CTTTGTCAGAAGGGGGCATTATCACTATGTCATACTATCACTAGTCATACTACTATCACTAGTCATACTATCATTATGTCATACTATCACTATGTCATTGCTATCATTATTTCATACTATCACTAGTTATACTATCAATATTTCATACCACCCCTCTCAGTTCTATTATTGGGAAGGCCTTGTCTACCTATGACAACTTGTTTACGGTAACCCGAGACTACTGAAAGAACATTGTTTTTAACAAGTTATTCGGAGATTAATTGAGTGTTATCTCCAAGAACAAGTCGTTACTCTTTTAATGCCTTTTTTCTGTCACAAATTGTGTTAACATATCAGTTAGGGTTAACACTAGTTAGATCAAGTGGTGTTAACACTATTCTTTTACGAGGTTTATATTATTTTAGTGATCAATATATGTAGTTTATAGACCAAAGTTTAAAAAAAGTATTTTTAAAAACAATGTTGCAAATATTAGGTTGTTCAGATAATTCTGTGCCCTATAATCACGGTTGACTACAGGGCAAGAAATTGGTGATTTTCCGTGCCCTGCTATGTCTTGCCCTGTGTGTATGTCTCCAACTCAAAAAATTTGCATTGAAAAGGAGCACAGAATTATTTGAACAACTTAAAAATTTTGAAAAAAAACCAATAAAATTTTTAAAAAATCATTAAAATATGGCCTTCCTTATGTAATTCTTAATATAATGACTAAACATTACTACGCAAAACCAAAATACCATAGTAAAATCAATAATTTTATACCTAAAACCGTACTGCCACTATAGCAAAAATTCTTATAATCACTACTCTTACCTCAAAAACCCCCGCCTAAACAATAAAAAGTGTCTAATAACTACCGTACCCGGAACAGCCCTTGGAGTCTGCCTAAAGTAACCTCTGGAAACATGTGTTTTCGTATAATCCTCTGATGATCTGCCTCTCCTGGCCCCAATCCATCATCGCACGCGCAAGTGGCACCAACTTGACACCTTGGGCCGAAACAAATGTTTACGGAGCCAAAAGTGATTGACACCGATTTCACACCACTGGTTACAGCTGTTCCAGACGGGTATGAGGCAGGTCATGTTTTGAATATTACTACGGTTAAGCGATCGTATTTGGTTTGGGTTGGCCATTTAGCTAAGTTTTGGCTAATAATGTTAATTTAGGTATAAAAAAGTTTTTAAGAATTAAATTTTATCGTATTTTAAGCTACAGTAAACACTTTTTATAAACAAAATATGGCCAACTACCTACTCCTACTAACCTACTAACCCATAATCCCATATAATTCTATAAAACCTAATCAAACTAATCTCAACATTCCCCTTCTACTGTAACATGTTTAATGCGCGATTACAGGCGGAAGCCATCCTTTATCATCCTCGTATGCCTGATGTCATGTGACAGCGTCGAGAGTCTCGCCTTTCATCTTCTTCACCTTGCGCAACTGAAGCACTTCGATGGTTGGCCGCATTCTCGACACTCTCTTATCACCGGCGAGCATCAAAAAGAGGTATCAAACTCGACACTCGCTTAATGATGACATTAATTCAGACCTATTAAGATGATATGTTGATCATGACAGTTAGCACGGATATTAAGTGATTATTCAGAGTGAGTGATTGGGCTAGGGTTTAGAGTATGATGGGGATGATAAGGTGAGACTGAGATGTCCTATATCGTATACTATTAGATTGTTCAAGTAATTATGTGCCCCTGATTCCAAAAATTTAGAAATTTAAATTTTAAAATTTCAAAAATCCGCCTTATCACCCCCTAACTCGAAACCACCCAATCCTTATCACCTTAACCTAAAACAACCTAAATCCCGCTTAATTAACTGATATTCAAAACAAACTGTTGTTGTTGTCCTTGAAGTGCTAATTAATCTCAATAATACGGTAATCGAGAAGATCGCTATCGTCCGAATTTTGAATCCGATCGAACGGTCTGGCTACAGATGGCGCGACCTTGCCATCGTTATCAGTGCGCCAAATCGGAGTCCCGCGAGAGTTACCTCAATCTCGTTTACCTGCAGGCCCCATTATGTTATGGTTGTCGCGATCGCGCGCAGATACGGCGACAACCATCATCCATCAGGTTTCCACAAACGGCCCACAGAATTGGATGGCTGACAAGGTCAGGAACACAGCGGAGTATAGTAAAAAACAGCGAAATATCTTCAGAGTATAAATTTTTTAAAATCAAAAAAAAACCTAAAAATATTAAAAAACACCCCCCAAAACACTGTTCTTTGCCCTACCCTGCTTCCAAAACCCTATAACAACACCCAGACTCTATTCCCCACACTTCCCAACACCAACACCACCAGGAACAAGCCCCCAACCCTCTAAAGAGCATGTTTCTCAACCTATAACAACATCCAGAAGAGCCAGAAGTTCGCACGGTTACAAGCGCTACAAGTGTCTACAAGCCGGTCGAAGAGATTACCGCGCCTTCTTGAAATAAATGAGATAAGCAGGCCCTTTAAATGTAAATTAAGAATTCCCCGGAGGCATGAAAGAGATGCTTAACTGTCATGTCTCTTCGCATCTCCAACAAGCCTTAATTCGGTACATAACAACAGCTACGGTACGATGAGGATGTTGTTTGACCCAAAACAACCTCCCATTATTTGCAAGATCGTGCAAGGTTTTTAGGGTACTATATAGTACGGTATGAAAAGAAGTTGGGCAAAGTTATTAGTAAAGTAGAAAGAAGGTTAATGTAAGGGTGTGGCAACTTAAAAAAAAATTTTTTTTAAAACAAAATTCAGAAAAAATTTTGTCATCAAGCTACTCGCTTATCAGATGCCATTTTCTATCATAATATGCACTACTGTTTAAACCTCACCCCCCCCCCTTCGCCTATTAAAAGATGCTAACCTTTCCCAATTTTTTCGAAAATCCAAACTTTCCCTACCTTCCCATAAATCCGATATCCCCTCTAAACCGACTCCAGAATCCTGAACATAAATTAGTGTGAAATGTCATAAGTAAGCATGTTTATCAAAGTGTCGCAAAGACGGACGACGAGTCGGTCCTCACTTTAACGACTCATAAAAACAACTTTCGCACCCACTTGGGCGATAATAAATATGAACTGCGCCACAGCCATCACCTGGCCAACACTTTTTTGACATTACACCGCCGCAAATCGAATAAAAAATAATCGAAATCGATTTCGAATATTTGAATAATTGGGGTAGCACAAAATACTGTAACAATATAATGCAGTACTACATATATTAATCAAAGTACTATTCAGACACAAAACTGCTTTGTGCCTCTGGTTTGCCCAACCATGTCCGCTATGGGAAAAAATAGAGTAGTAAAAATTTCTATTTAAACCCTGCCCACTTCTACCGCCAAAAAAGTGCTGAAAGTGAGTATAATCTAGTTCAATATATGAACATATCCTAGTACAATATATAAGTATCGCCTAGTACAAAATCAACCAATACCTAAGCTTTAAAGTGTCATAACTATGAAATAGAACTTTTAATGTTATGGCCATTATAACTGCAACCCTAATGTTGTCCATCTAGTATCTTCTGGCCATATGACAAGTGCGCGCAAAACACACGTGTTCAGAAGTTATGGCCGAGACAATAGATGACTAATCGAGAGTAGATCAACTCAAGATGTTTATGACCTCATTTATGCCTTCTCCACCAATCTATGGCATATAGCACCATAGAAATGTCACAAAACAAAGAAAATAGCATTGAAAGACACTAAAACCCAAAGAGACGCCAGAATACCACATACGAAGAGACATACACCAAGCAACACATAACAAATCAAAACATACGGTAGTAATGAAGGAAATTAGGTTCGGTCATCACAAAGTCGTAAAAGAAATGTCAACATATTAAATAACATGTGGGTACGGTAGATTAAGGCCGGCAAAGGAAAGCGAACTGACTCAAACAATAAATCCACCTAATCCTTCATGAAGAAGCGTTTAACCGCCCCGACTTAAGCCCGGGCCACTCCCTGCCAGTGTTCAACATGTTTCAAAGCTTAAGATGGAGGAAGGGTTTAGTACTACAGAGTTAAGCTAGTAAGTATTGGAAGTAGTTTAGTATGTTAAAAGTAATCTTGGCAAAAGGAGTTAGCACTATAGTTTTGTTATCAATAATTTATACTATAGTAAATTAACTATAACACTATAGTAGATAAAATTATAAAAACTACAAAAACAAAATTACTTTAAACTCAACTTTTAAAATTTGAAAAACCGTCAAATACTACCCATATTATCCATAAAGTCGCACCACTCACTTGCGCGGCTGATTTATAATGATTTCTATGGCCATTAGTCTCCCATATGAAAAAGTATCAAATGGCCATATATTTAACGTCCAATATGTAGCTCATTACCCAAAAAAGTAAATACCAGGCGTAACAAATCAACCAAAACCTAACACAATATAGTTACGGTCCAAAAGTTCATAGAAAATCCCAAAATTTCCAAATCCTTTACTGTAAAACTAAAACAACACCCTTCACTTATCGAGCATTATGTCCTCAGTGTAATTACGACCCGTTTTACCGCACCCATCCCCGAACAATACGGCCGGCGGATCATTTTCCAGCGGAATGACACCTTTGATGACATTGATTTGGCGCAGTAATTACAATATAGTCAACTTCATTTATTATTAAAACAAAGATATACCGGCATCGCGCAAAGGATTATGTTCAGGGGTGTGACATCATTTACAAGACAACATAAAGGTAGAGTTATAACAGGTTTATATTATATTAGACTAGGTAAGGCAAGGTGACGTAATTGGCTATAAAATGCTATCCTAGTTACTCTAATATTTAAAATAGTTACTAATTCTAAAAATCTAACTTTAGCCGTTCAAATCACGTTGTCTTTGTTAGAAAACAAAATATTATATTAAAGTTAGATATTAGACTAGCTTAGCCCAGCTAAAGCTAAACTAGCCTGAAGAATAAAGTCCACTTCAGCTGATATTGAACTACTCAAGCTGCTTTCGTTGGTGAAGCAATCGTAGGGTTTGGAGCTTCGGTCGACGATGCTACCGAAGATCGACCAGAGTTGGCGGAACACGTGCTACTGTTAACGTGCATGGCTTCTGGAGATTCCATGTTCTGATACAGGTTAAAGCTGAAATCAAAAATCGTATATATTTTTTAATGTAACTCAAAATAATGCTTTAAAACGTATTTTTATACCTAAAAATCATTAAAAGTTACTTCACTTAACACTCATAACACATCTAAATGTCTATAAACTACTGTGACCTAGCGTAACATAACCGTTCAGATATGCAAATCTCAAAGTGTCAGAACCTACGTAGATCCATCTTCTCCTTCAATTGTGACGTCATTCTCGTCATCGCTGTCAGGATCTGGTGAAATGAATACCACTTCGAACTCGAGCTCTCGGTTCTCCATCATCTAAACATAAATAATACGTAATTTACAGACACATTATAAACAAAAACAGGCAGTAAACACCCTAAAACTACCATAATCACCCAATAAAGTTACAGTAACCCACCTGTTTAGACAATATCTGAACAGCCTCGTTGTGTTTCACCGATCTCAAGTTAATTCCATTGACAGCCAGTATCGTGTCGCCTACAAACATCTTTCCGCATCGTTCGGCCGGCTGTCCTGGATGAATCTCTGATATTAGAATAGGTACACCGTGTTCTCTTCCACCCTAAAAAAATTACATTTTTAATCTTTTTAAAATCAAGAAACTGATCATGCAAATACTCTTCTAATTGTAAATCAAATTTTACATTCGTTTATATTGTTCATGAAAATAAAAGTGGCAAGCCGCAGCTAGCAAAATGTAGGACGCGACTTGCAATTTCATTTTTTGGCGCAAATTTTACAAAAATCGAGGAAAACAAGATTCTGTAGCTTATGTTTACTAATTTCGAAATTCCGAATAAAGTCGGTCGAAAAGTCTTTCGAATCTGCAAGATCACTCACCGTAATAGAGATACCCAGCCCTTCGTTTGGTTCTTTGGTCAGATTCACGATCCGCACTTTACCCGAGTGTTTGTGCAAATTCTTGCCCTTGAGGCTGGAACTGTCTGTAGACTGTGACGTGCTGGTGCGTAGTCGTCCTCTGCACGCTCGGATTACCGTCTTGTGACGATGCAAATGAATCTCGGCTTCTAATTGGTTCCAGAGGCGATCGTGCTCGGCTCCACGCATGTCGCGGCCCAGAAGCTGAATCTGTTGGATTCTGAAATTGGATTAGCTTAATTGTTTACCAACATTCCATATTATACTTCTTCAAACCGGTTTCTTTTCGGAAATTGTACTAGGACGACGGGAAAGTACTATAAGGTCGTAAAGCCTACTATAAGATGGGAAAATAATATTTTTTTTAAGAAATAAGTGGAACTTCGATATACCCTGCTGTTAAAAAAATTAATATACATTTAACTACAAAATATTGTTAAAAGAGTTCTTTCCCATGCTATTGTATCTTACCGTCCAGCGAGTTCTTTGTCCAAGTATTTGGCTGCCAGTCTTGCCGCATAAACCTCGCTTTGCATTGATCCTAGCATCTGTCTCAGTTTGTGATTTTCTTTGGTCAGAATCTCAACTTGAGCTTCTGCTTTGGCTGCCGGAATCTGTTGACTTCGAAGCTGTTGGATCTCTTGGTCCTAAATTAATATCGTATGATCAACAATATGAAATTTGGTTTGAACGGGTCCATTTAACATCTCCACAAATACTACTCAAATATCACACATTTTTATCAACATGCCCTAAATAAAACTAAAACAACAAGCACAAACAGCTTACAATCTTCTTCCTCAACATATCAGACTCGTGTGGAGCAGTTCGTGAGTATAATTGGCATTGGAGGGAGTGGATCTGAAGGGTAAGGTCACGGGATTCATGTTCTGCAACAGTGCATAGGGCGTTTACTCCAGCCAACATGTCACGGTATTCTTCTACTTGGTCCTGAAATATTAGAATCATAAGATAACGGTCAAATTCCTAACTTATTTGGATACGTATTTTATATAAAGTGACTTATATCACCATTTACTATAACTAAAAGTGCAGTAGACCCCTAATTAATCCAACAAAAGGTTAACAGATATTTTGCCACAACAAGAATTAAAACCTCATCTTAACCATATCATAACTTAACTTTAGACCCAAACACTCGAAAGTTCAACAGAAGATAAACACACTTACCGTAAGCCGACTGTTCTTGTGAGCCAAGGTTTGGCACTTGCACACCAGTTGTGCGAAACACGAGCTGATTGCCGTCATCTTCTGGCGACACTCGTAGGCCAAGTCGGCTTGATCAGCGTCGATCTCGCCCAGCGTCAGGTCCATCTCGACAAAGGCCTTGTCGAAGTCCTTCTCCAGGTCCTCCAGCCATCTCAGCTGGACCGGCTTAGTGGGGTTGTCGGGAGTGGAGGTTTGAGCCATCCTGGAAAGAATGAGAATTGGCATTTGAGGCCATCAACGCAATGGAGGTAACGCGGCCATAAACCCCGAAACCCTCTTCAACCAAAACAAAAGCTCTTCCTTATGTGGAGAGGTTTGTGTGAAAAACGGCGCACAAGATGTCGGCTACAGAGTCAGTGAAGTGGAGCGCCACGGCGACGCACCCCAACAACGAGGTCAACGTTTAAATCGGAGCGACAATCAGCTCGGATGTGGGTAATCAACTCAAAAGTTCAAGTTTGAGTTCATCTGGATTAGAGACGTCAATTCAATAGGGAAATAGCAATATTGTTACTTTTTGGATCAAAATTAAATTGGAATTTATGATTGAGAAAAAAAATTGATCACAAAGTAAATAGCAAAAATAAGAAAATTCATGGCCTATTATAGACTTTCAACCAAAGATTTCGACGACAAAAATTTATATAAAAAACAAAATTTTTGAAAAAAAAATAATAGACAATAATATAACCTTTAAAAATGCAATAAAAATCAAAATTCCAGATAAAAAACTGTAAATTTCACGAAATAATTATTAAAATCCCCGAAACAATCATAAAACAACAAAAACGCACTTTTAAATCAAAACAACGTCAACATTCCATACCTCCAAACTAAAACAACATCAAATTACAAAAAATTATCAGAAAATAACAAACGTCGCATGACTCAACGTTGACAACACCAAATTCGACAAAGAAAAGAGTTTATTCGAAATCTCTTGTCATGTTGGCAACCCGCAAATTTACATAAACAGTCCACAAAACCAAGAAAAGATTATTTTGGTTTGGAGCGGGGAACAAAGACATTCCTTTAATGGAATTAGTGGGCCCAGCCAGAAGAGTCTTTAAGGGTCTCCGTCTACATCCATCACCGTCCAAGCTCCTGTTGATTCTGGAGATTACCCCTTTCCATTTATAACATCACGATTTGTAATTTGAAACAGAGGCCATATATTATACTTTACATTATAAATTACATTTCAAGGTTAATACCCTAATAAGTCGGTCAAAAGGGAATGAAACTATATGACAAGACAAGTTTCAATCTTAGTTTTTCTTCAAAGTTTATGACCAAAATAGTGTTAATTTACTAAAGTAAGTCCTAATTGTTTCGCACAACTTTTCTTCCCTAACTTGATATCCATTAACTCTGTACTTTAACATAGTAATCCTTACTTTATTTGACTCTTCTTTATATAGTACATAGTCCTTCGAACAGTGGCTTTGTACACAATTCGGAAAGCCCTTTTTGGAAAAAAAAACTTGGGAAATCCCCAATAACGATCTAATTTGATGGCCTAATTCCCGGCGGCCTGATTCGAGGCTCATCAAGAAGCAAGAGAAGGAGATATAAACCACCCCACACAATCCCCATTGATGAGGCTAGATATCGGCTTCGTGTTGCGAGGCCTCTCGGAATCAGAAGGCGAGGAAGGGATCCGAAATACATTTCTTAACAAATCTGAACAATTGGAGCCCTGAGGGCCTGACAAGAGCGGGTTCAAAGGCATTTTCGGAGGGTGCGAAACTGCCCGAAAAGGAGATGCTCAAATCCCTGAGGATTGGTATTCAAAATGGGAAATAACGTGCTGCGTCGCTTGTCGCATTTGAAGAGATTGTTTAAAGGAACTCATAGATTTTATTGTTTATTCCAATTCATTCTTTCCGAGACCAAAAAGATCCGATAGCAGAAGAAAGGACAGGAACGTAACATGGTACGACAAGGCAGAACATGTCATATTGCAAGGATATGAATCAGAAAATGCATATTATGTTACGTTCTAACTACATAGTACAATATAACTAAATATTTAATTTCTTACTATAATGTAACATAATATGCATCATCCCAACACTAAGAGTCAAAAGAGACAAAGTTGCACCAGGATAACACACCTTTGTCATAAACAATAATATCGTACCAGAGAAAAACGTAACATCGTACCGAGATGAAGAAATGATCACAACTGTCGTGAGCAACAAACAAAAGACCTGACCCACACAAAAGGTCATGAACAACTTGAGGAGAAGAACACCTGATCGACAAACAATAATATGGCCACCAATTGCACCGCAAAAGGATCGAACGAGAAGAGAAACGTGGCTACTCCCTCCCAAAAGTAGATACAACCATCCCTTCGAGAGAGACGATCTTTTCTTTCTGTACATCACCTCAAAAAGAGTCTACCCGCTTCCAACCAACAAGAAAGACTGTATTTAGCTGTGATGCGACTGATTCGACCCAAATCGGCCCATTACTTTATCTGAGATCTCATTGATTTCGGTGGAAACTTTGGACGAAAACTCCTGATATTCTCGCTTCAGATGGTCTATCACCCATTCTACGCCGCTGCGCCCCTAAAACGGTTTTATTGTTAGTTCTATTACTAAAGGTCGTATGAGTAAGCAAAATATAAATGATAGAGTTTTTGACAGAAAATAAGGATTGGTATCTGATACGATGTGTTATAAACTGCCAATAAGTATATAAATTTACGAAATATAAAAATAAAACGCTTTCAAGACATAAACTAATTGAAATAGCTTGTGACACAGCGCATAACAATATTCGAAACACTCACTTTAACAGCGTTGGTCTGATATGCATTAAGAAAGGCTTTTTCACAGTAATCAGTAAAAGCAGGTAGATTAACAACAACGGCAGCTTCTTGCTTTAGCAATGTTCGATATGGATTGCTCGGGTCTGGAGTATATTCTAAACGCTCATCTACTCGCAGAAATCCCAAGGCGTTCAACTGAAATTATCAATAATAATCAAAAAGTTGTAATTTCATGCCTTTACTGACCAAAAATTACGAGTTTGGTGCTTAATTCGCGCAATAAATTTAAGTAATAAACACAAAAACACCCTATATAACTTACATTTCGAGTAGCCAAGGTCATCTTGCGTGACGAAGGATCAATCACAGTATACTCATGAGAATATTGAGTCCCAGAAAAGCCAGTCAGCTGGAATTATTGTCTTTTATTACCTAATTTACTCATAATAATACCAATAAGCAACAATTTAAATATTATTTTTAAAGTCCATTGTTAAAACGTTAATAAAAACAAAAATAATCACTGTATTATCATCTAGTTGATGTTTATTATCTTCTAAATTACAAAAAAAAATTTTAGAAGCTCCTTACTTTAACTACCCAATTTGGAATGTGAAAGTGACTTTGAAGAATTCGCTCAGTCTTCAGCGTTCCTTGATCCACTTTCTGTTCAACAACATCAATCGCCGTCACTGCGCGATTCATAGGATTCGGGTATTTGCGGAAGGCAGCATGAACGACAGTGTCCCAAGGGTGGCTGAAATATCAAAATTACCTTACGTTAACAGAATTCTCAAAGCAAGAATTCAAAGCAAAAACTAGTAATTCACGTTTTATCCATTTATGTTCGGCTTTATACCTAAATATAGACCATAAATTTAAAAAACCTACTCAAAAGTGTGCTCAGATGTCCAGATCTTCATTTTCCTTCAGTATTTTTTGTTTTTTCTATATTATCTATGCCGTTTTAAAGGCACGTTACCCACAAGTTCTGCAATTCCAAAATAAAAATCCTTCAAATGGAAACAACCGAACAAGATATTTTTCGCGGAAACGGCAAGGATAAACAACGAGCATAAAGAACCAATAATGATCAGGTGAGAGACCTATAATATCACGTGAAACAAGGAGTGTCATATCATTAATTCTCGTGAACTTTGTTCGGGAAAAGAGGCTGTTGTCTGGAATTTGTCTCTTCACAAGTCACATTCTTACGCAATTTCAACCTCACAAAAAATAATTTACGTGAAACAGAATGCCACAAAATGTTTTTCCGTTCGGGAGAGAATGCAAATATTAATGATAGAAGAATTTCTAGAATTGTGAACCAGCAGCTGTTCTTATACTTTTTGGTATAAAGTTTTTGCAGTGAAAATTTTTATTTTTCGTCACTTTTCATATATCTTGTAAATAAAATGTCAGAAGTACAAGAGTTTGAAGCGAAACTGCGAAAAGTGAGTTTTTAATCCTTAATATTAATATTAGTTTAGGCTTTTCACGATCTTGCTTTAAAAACATCCCAGACGAATGACCAGCTAGAGGAAGTTAGATACACCAAGAATCTTATGGAACAGGTAATTTTATTATTTGTGATTTATTTTTTAGGTAAATAAAGAACAAGGCTTTACATGAACGTTTAATTCAAGTTATTTGAATGGTTTTTATTGCAGAAGCGCATTTTTGTATCAAAATAAAGTTTTACGTTTTAGAATATCAAAGTTGCGGAGATTGCTAAGGAAGAAGTTGGTAAACTAGAGCCAGAAAGAGACGTGTACCATTCGATCGGTCGTATTTTTGTGTACCGCAAGCACGATGAAGAGATAAACGATCAACAGAAGGACATTGAGAACTACAAGAAGAAGATTGAAGATTTGGAGAAGCAGAAAGAGTATTTGACCAAGAGTCTGAACGATGCTCAAACAAATCTCCGAGAAATGGTACAACAAAGTCGGACGGAAAAGGCTTGATCTCTGTGATAACGTGTTATTCTTTGTAATGCTTGTTTCTTGTTTCCAATAAAAGTACTACATTTTGTTGAGGAAGTTGTGACGCGAATTGGTCCAGACTATCAGTTTTAATATTTGATAACTCCATTCGAACTCAATCGCTTCTTTTTCGGAGACGTGGCAGCGATTTTTTTCGGATTTTTTGTACGAATTACGATTTTTTATTGTTCACTCTCGGGTATTAGGTGATATTTTTAAAATTTTTAGAAAGTTGTTTTCAATTTTGGTTAATTTTTTACTAAAATCGGGGTTTTAGGTGGAAGGAAAGTCTTATCATGATAAAGAGAAGCTCAGCGTGGATGTCTTCTTATTTGAAAGCATCATTTACCGGTATATTTCTCGAGTTGTTATAGGTAAATTGTTGTAATTTTCAGAAATGTCCGGGGAAACAGTTCCGTCGATATTGACATCGTTCAGGGCTCTGTTCCGAACGGACATTGCTGGTCCTGAGGGTATTAATGTTTATGTTTTACCTAGAACTGATGCTCATCAGGTATGTGATTAGTATAAAGTTAGTTTGTTTGAGATGATAACACCTTTAGTCCCTTTTGATAAAATAATGATTTAGAGTGAATACATTTGTGCCAAAGATGGTCGTGTTCAATTTTTGACTGGCTTCTCGGGTTCTAATGGATTCTGTGTGATAACGGAATCGGAAGCGCTTCTCTGGACTGACAGTCGATATTTTGATCAAGCTGGACGAGAACTGTATCCTGGATGGTCATTAATGAAGCAAGGAGTAGTTGGAGTACCTACTCCAATGGCGTGGCTTCTTCAGAACACACCTCAGGGATCAAGAGTTGGATTCGATCCTCAATTGTTTGGCAAGGGTAGGTTAATTTTGCAAGTATAGCTTAATGTACCAAATATTTTTGTATTAAAGTTTTAGTAGGTATTAAATTACGATTTTCTTTGCTTTTTGAAGTAAAAAAGTAGTTATAGTATTACTTATACATGGATTATGTTTAGGAAGCTCTGACGAACTACTAAAAGCCATCAAAGGAGCCAAGTCGACTCCAGTGAAGCTGGGCACCAACTTGGTGGATGTGATTTGGGAAGATAGACCGGAATCCTCCAAGAATCCTCTGATTGTCATGAAGCCAGAAGAACATGGTGAAAGTATTGAGTCGAAGTTGACCAGAGTAAGGAGCGAGATGTCCAAAAAGAAGTGTGATCTTGTTCTGCTGTCTGATCTGGCTCAGATTGCTTGTAAGTTTCTTTATTTCTTATATGCATTTGTTAAAGCTTACTTTAATTATTATAATGAAAGCCGGCTTTTTAATGAATTCTAACTATTCAACCCATTACTTTACCTTGTCGTAGTTCAATTGATTGCAAACTGTTATTTTAGGGACGTTTAACTTGCGTGGAGCTGATATTCCTTACAATCCGGTCTTCTTCTCGTACGCTTATATTACCCATGAAGATGCTGTACTTTTCGTGGACAAGGAGAAGATAACGCTAGAGATTGAGAAGCATTTGGAGATCGTGAAGATTCATCCTTATGAAACAGCTGGGGAATGGCTAAAGCATTATCACAACGAGGCCAGAAACTCCATCTCTGGCCACAAGGTATGGATTCCATCTGAAGTCAACTACTCTTTGTCATCGTTGGTAGATGATGACTATGTTCATGAAGCTGCTTCACCTGTATATTCCATGAAGGGCATCAAGAATGACACAGAGATGGCTGGAATGAGGGAATCTCATGTAAGTTGGTTTTGTGAATGCTCGACAGTTGTAATATCTACTCTTATGTTAAGATGTGCTTACTGATATATATGTGAATAATTTATATTAATTTTATTAAATTTTCAGATTCGAGATTCCGCCGCTATCGTGCAACTCCTACTGTGGTTGAAGAAGGAAGTAGAAGCCGGCAACGAAGTAAACGAGATCCAAGCTTCTGACAAAATGGAGGAGTTCAGGTCCAAGCTCGACAACTTTGTTTCTCTCAGTTTCGACACTATCTCGGCTGTGGGAGAACACGCTGCTTCCCCTCATTATCATATGACAGAGGAGAGTGGGAAGACTGTCATCACTCCTAACCAGGTATTCCTACTGGATTCTGGAGGCCAATACAGAGACGGTACTACTGATTTGACCAGAACAGTGATCCACACTGAAGAGCCAGATGAATATGTGAAGAAGATGTACACGTTGGTATTGAGAGCTCACATCATCTGTGCGAAACAGAACTTCCCCAAGGGCATTGATGGTATGTTACTGTACTTGTACTTATTAAATATCGACTTTTATGTATAAAAAAGTTATTTTTGAAACTGTAAAATACAATATTATTATAGTTAAATTTAGGTATACGATTGGATGGATTAACCAGATCGTCGTTATGGAGCTTGGGCTACGACTTTGGTCACGGTGTCGGGCACGGAGTCGGCCACTTTTTGAACGTGCACGAATATCCTCGTAAGTTCATTTTTTATATACTACTTGTATATAAAACTCGTAGTTTACTGTAAAGAGAGTGTGTTATGAAACATTGTTTGATTTTAGCTCAAATCGGTCACCGTCTCCGAATCGCAGAAGCCGGAATCTACAAGGGCCAAGTGATTACAATCGAACCAGGATACTACGAAACTGGAAAGTTCGGTATTCGAATTGAGAACTGTTACGAAATCGTGGAAGCTAAAAACCTGGACTCGGATTCTAAAGACTTCTTGACCTTCCAATCCCTGACGTGGGTCCCGATTCAAAAGACCATGATCAACAAGGAGTTGATGACAGCAGAAGAGGTGAGGAGTGTCATAATATTAGATTTATAAGTGTACGAGGGCTTTTCTAGTCAAGTAGTTCGTAGAATAACCATTATCGTTGTTATCGTTTGACCTTTTTCCAGATCAACTGGCTGAACGAGTACCACAATAAGTGTTTGGAGAAGACCGGCAAGTACCTGCAAGAAAAGGGTCTCCAAGAAGAATACAACTTCTTGGCTCAGGCCTGCACTCCTTTGTGATTATATTATTAACCTATTTATATTAACGCTATCAATAAAATCTAGTATTTCAATAATCTTAATGATAAAATGCTCTGTTACCTTACAGTTTCATTTTAAATACCATATAAAATTTAATGTTATTAAGATATTTATCGGTACAAAATATATATCTATAGTTACATTATTATATACTGACTACTTGAACGCCTGTAGACCAGTAATAGCGCGTCCGAGAACTAACGCGTGGATGTCGTGGGTACCTTCGTAGGTATTGACGGACTCCAGATTCACCAAGTGTCTCATTACATTAAATTCGTCCACAATTCCATTTCCACCCAATATGTCGCGAGCTTTCCTCGCAATTTCCAACGATTTTCCACAAGAATTTCGTTTGATTAAGGAGATCTGCTCTCCGGTCACTCTGAAATTAACATATTACAGTATAGCCTGACCAATATTTATTCCTACTATTAATTTAATGTTACTTTCAATAAGTAAAACTAATAGCAAAGGCAACTTACAGTCCTTCATCCTTCAGTCTAGAAACTCTCAAACAGGCTTGTAATCCCAAAGTGATCTCGGTTAACATATCGGCCAGCTTTAATTGGACAAGTTGAGTTGCGGCCAAAGGTTTGTCAAATTGTTTCCTAAAATGTAACTTCACAAATTAAAAAATACTAGTTTTAAACAATTAGAAACATTATATACACCCCGAAAATATAGCTACCGTAGCCCCGGAATCACTTTTGCGTGTAACCATAGTAACAAAAACTATGTTTGTGTCCACATTCCGGTCACTTTCTCTTATGTTTTCTAATGCATAATATCTTATTACTGTTATGTCTTGTAAATGTTGTGTACCCTCAATATGTTTACAATCAATTTCTGTGGGAGACACCTGATTACTGTAACGCTACACAGTTTTACAATCCAGTAATACAAAGTTGTCAAGAATGTCCCGAGAATTTTAGGCCAAATTCTGGAAAATCAGACTGTCTTTGTCCACTGGGGACACATGAAGACATCAGCAATATTACAATTGCTGAGAAACAATGTCTACAGTGTGGTCAAGGTATGTTTTGTTTATTTTTTGACGTTTAGAGCCAAAGTAATGTAATATTCCGCCGAGACCTATGTTATCTTTCATAACGTTGTGTCTAGATTAACGTGCATCCTTATTGTTATGCTTCTATTCTTAATAATTATAAAATGTATGTTGTTGACCTAAAAAAATAAATAAATAAATAAAAATTGTTTACCCTATTATGAACATTTAAATTTCTACTCTAACCAAGAATAAATTGTAGGAGAAGCTGTAAGTGAAGATGGCAAGAGTTGTCTTAGATGTTTTGACCAAAATGGACGTCAGAAAACTGCGGAAAACGGACAATGCACATGTCCTTCTGATTCCATCAAGATCACACGATATTCTACAAGAAACAATGGGCTAGAAACAAGAGTAGAGTGCTCCAAGTGTCCCACAAACACAAAACCTGACAGAAAACAAGCAATTTGTGAGAAATGTGTTGGATTCGAGTGCTACTGTTTTGAGGTAAGACATTTTTTTATTATTAATAATAAAGACATTTTCAAAGGTATCAAAACCTTTTGCAGATTCCCTCGCAATGCTCTGAGAAAACGATGTCTCAAATAAGTGACGGAATCGAGATCGAAACAGGCCAGAAGTTCCGATCTGCCCATGTTCGTCGCTTCACAGAAGCCGCTGAACTTGGTTGCAAATCTAAAAACCGAGAATCCTGTCACACGCTAGCCAATTTGTGTGTTCTACAGAACTACAATCGAGATGCGGCTACATCGTGCACATTATATGAATCACTGTTCCGAACAAACCCGTCCAGTTCAGACATACCGGCACTATTCTTTTTGAACAGTGAAGCCAGTATCGAACTGTTCCGAGAATCCGCCATCGACGCTCACTTCGACTTTGTGCACGGTGCTCCGAATTCACAAATGAACTTCCAACTGGCTACATACACTTTCAACGGTACCTTTCTCGGATTCCACCCCTTGACTGATGGGATAATACAACAATGTCCTACTGATACAGACAGGAAGGAGGGAGCGTTTAAGTTTGGGAGGATGGAGAGAGATTACTGTAGAATCAACTTGGCCGAAGTCATTAAAAAGTACCACATCTTCTTTGGTACCCACCCTTATGAGTTGCTGTTCCATGAGCTGTACTTGAAGTATGCTGACAGACAAGGCACTCAAAAGGTAACATTTTCTTTGACTTTTAGTTTAGTTTGTTATACATATTGCATGAAATAACATATGCTACTAGTCAGTAAAACAACAAAAGCTTGTGGTTATTTTATCTCTAGAATCCAATTTAAGATATACAACATACCGATAGTCAACGAAAACATACGATATAGTGGACAATTTGTGAACCGGGCAGATTCTCGCCAAGACAGTAAATGGATTCTGACCCGTCGATTCTATATTGTGGATGAACAGATAGAGCCAGATCTATTCAACGCTCTCGTTAGGGTACCAGTTCACATATCCCTACATATTCAAATACAACGATCGCTTGATGGAAGAATCTTCCCGCCTTACATGAGGATACGACACAACCAATATTACTTCGCAGTAGATAACAAGTCAGCCGTCAAAGAAGTTGTAGAGCAACGAACTCATGAAGAACATGCTGACTTTCTGTTCCAGACCATCTATGTCATCGACAGTTTCGTTCATGACAAAACTATTGAGGTCATCATGGCTACTTTGAGTTGCACATGTGTCTTATGGGGTGCAGTGAAGGCATACAGGTAACAATAACTTAATGAATTTCTGTTATTGCAAATTTTAACCACATCACCACATTCAATATCACTATTTTCAGCTGGGGAAGGAGAGCAGGAAAGCTGATGGTTGATGCATCTACCGTAATCAAGTTCCTACTGTATGTAGCTGAGAATCTTGGTAACATTTTCCTATTAATAGCCGGATGTACGGCCGTGTGGATCACGTTTGCTTACAAGCTACAAAAAGAAATGGTATACGTGGTGCTAACATACGAACAAGAGTGGTCTTTGGTCATCTACATTTGTTGTTCATGTGGATTGAAGGCCATAGCACTGGTTCATACCTACATGAAGCTGATCTTCACGGAAACATTCTTCGTCGATTGGGAACGGCCGAGACATCCAGTCGACCGTAGCCATGAAACCACCATGTTGGAGATGACACAGAACGATTTACTGAGCCATAAAACAAGAAAGACACCTCCAGTGGTTATATGGTAAGCTATACTGTAACATAACTATCCAAAAATTTACAGGAGAACATACTTGATCGCAAACGAGTGGAACGAACTCCAATACTACCGCAAGACGAGCGTGTCACTCCAGATGATAGCCATGTTATTCTTCTTGGACCTCTTCAGGTTCTCTGACTGGGCTATAGTTCAGCCTGGATTCGGAAGAGGAGATCCAGTCTACGCAGAAACCCGGATGACAAGATTTGCAGTAAACCTGGCAGCTTATATTGCTATCAGCATGACCCAGTGGATAACGAATGTCTTAATCATAGAGAAGATCGCCGATCCTTTCAGAAACTTCATGGACTTGTGTTCTGTAGCCAACATAAGTGTGCTAGCCTTGACTCATCCTCTCAGAGCGTATTACATTCATGGGCGATCAGTCCATGGATTGGCTGATACGGACATGTTGGAGATGAACATGTTCTTACAACGGGAAAAGGTAAATACTTTAACCATATGTAATTGGTCTTTGTCACGTAAAACAAGTATATTATCTTGTTTACATTACAATTGTTTTAGGAAAATCTTTGTGGCCTTCGAGGTTTGGAAAGCAACTCAGAACTGCAGACTTTCGTCGCTTGTCTGCCTCGAGCATTTCGGGAACGACTAGACGAACTGACTGGTGCTCTACGTACAGTATCACAAGGTCCTCAGGTCAGAATGATTGGCGGTGATAAGACCACTGCCAAAGTAGCTAACACTGCCAAGATTCACGCAGAGATCAATCAATTTGTAAAAGACTTTATCGACCACGCCGACCAGTCTACTGATTACATTGTGTCTGACCCGAAACTCATCGAAGAAATACTGGACATTGAACTGAACGACACTAGCAAAGTTGGCACACTTATCAGGTAAGTCTTGTCTTATCACAGTTAATCTTACCGGTTTCCTTCCTCGTCATATTGTGATTTGATCTGTAAATTAACAGCTTTTTGGGCTAATAGTAAAATTTACATAAATATTGTTTTAGAGACCCATCAGAAATGGGCTACAGTGCGTGCTTCGTTTATGGGAACGAATGGTCCCACTTGTCATTTGAATTGTTATTGTTCTGCGTACTAGACATGTTTTTGCTCAATCGAATTTTAAGTGCGACTGTCGTGTTCGCCGTATCGACAGCTGTTACCTCAATCGCCAAGACTTTCTTTACAAACAGTTTGGTAAAGAGTAGTTTGGTCGATCACCGATTCCTCATATAAAATTGTATTCAAAGTGTATGACGTTAAATGAACTTTTTGTTGTTCCTGGTCTTAAAACTTAAAAAGAAAAATAAAAAAAAAATGTAAACAAGCTCACCGTTCCAAAGCGTAGTCCCTTGCGGTCGTAAAACAAGTTTCAGCAGCTCCCAGAGCGCCCCATGCAATTCCTAAGCGAGCATTGTTCAGACAGCCAAATGGACCATTGATACCTTCAGCATTGGGCAGTAAGTTTTCTTCTGGCACTTCAACATCATCCATGGCAATCTGACCGGTAATTGAAGCTCTCAAAGAGATCTTTCCTTCGATCTTCGGAGCTGTCAATCCTTTCATGCCTTTTTCAAGGATAAACCCCTGTAAAATATATTATATTATTTTACATTGTATTAGCGATTCTAAACTGATTGTATTTAAAACTCACCCTAATTTTGCCGCCATGTTTCTTACTTCTGGCCCAAACAATAAAGACGTCGGCTACAGGAGAATTACTGATCCATGTCTTAGTACCATTAAGAACGTACACTTTCTTGTTTTCATCAAAGGCAGCTCTAGTCTCCATTCCCGCTGGATTCGAACCATGATTCGGCTCTGTTAAACCAAAACATCCTATCTTTTTACCTGCGGCAAGATCAGGAATGTACTTTTCTTTCTGCTCGTTGCTTCCTGAAGATGAAGTAATATATTTTTCATAAATTATATTAGACATTAAAAAGCTAGTTTTTTCATAACACTTTCAAAAGTAATTAGAGATCATGTTTAATCAACAACACACAATATTAACTTTAAATTGCGTTTAACTTACCATAGTTGTAGATAGGTCCAATCACAAGACTGGTCTGAACACTCATAATAGATCTATATCCACTGTCAACTCGTTCTACTTCTCGTGCCAATAACCCGTACCCAACTGTGGAAACACCAGCACAACCATATCCCTCGTATGGAGCTCCTAACAATCCCATCTGTCCCAGTTCAGGTATTAAGGATGGGTCGAACGTCTCATTCCTGAAGGCTTGAGTTACCCGAGATTGTAATTTGTCTTGACAATAACTTCTGGCTTGGTCTTTCAAAGCCTTTTCATCTTCTGTTAACTGACTGTCCAAATCAAACGCGTCTAGGTAGTTGAATGTCGCAACATCTGCAAGAATACAGTGTAAAAAGTAATCTACAGGATATAAATACATGTCAAAAACATCTATTATAAAAACTTTAACTTACTTCTTGTGTTTTTCAAAACATTTCTACTCAAAACCTGCGGGAGACATTTTGCCAGCATCTCTGAAAATTCCTGTAAAGTAACTAATAACAACTTTGAAAAAAAACACGAAATCAAAGATAATATCTGATATCATCAAACACTCAAACATTATTATAACAACCAGACCAAACCTAAGGTCAAGAGTTATCAACGAGAATTAAAAACTCACGTTTTTGTGATTCTTATCAACCTTTTGTATCTTTTTATCAACTTTATGTATTATTTATTTTAGTCAGACCGCGAAAACAAGTTTGCGCATATTTTGGCATTCCGCTTCAGCTAAAATGTTATAGAATTTCACAGACAAAGAGGAGAATATGGATTTGTTGCATTTTCATATGGAATGTCGTCTGAAGATGTAGAAGAATGGATACGGAAAAATTGTTTATGGTCGGAATTGCCAGAGGGCATTCAATTAATATTGGGAGCTTCACAGAGAGAGTATGAAAAGCGTGTTTTGGATTACTCTATTAGAAATCAGCTCAAGCACGCTGGAAATGTCGGTATGTTTTTGTTACGTTAATGAAATGCTGTTAAGTCAGCTTTAATTGTTTTTTAAAGTTATTTAATTTTTTTAGTCCGAACTGTCAAGAAAAATCCAGAGGAATACTACGAATTGTTGTTGAAGGAAAGTCGCCAAAAACTAATGTTGTTTCCATATCATTTGAGCGAGTTTATTGTGTTTGGGCTGAGAATTACGCCGTTTCAGTATTATTTGGAGATGATTCAGGTATGTATATCTTATTTTATTTTTATTTGAGTTTAGGATATCATGAGAGCCGAGAAAAGTTACGATTCGTTACCTAATTTTACTGCTGCTGATGTAATACGGTTACTGGGTATTGGACGGAATCAGTACATTGACATGATGAACCAGACAAGATCATTTAAGAAGTTGTTTAGAAGAGGGAAAGGAATCAATGAAGTGTTACCTCAGAAGCCGGACGACATTGTTGTAGAGCCGTTTTGGATGGTGAGGCCGGGATATGTACTTGAAAATGACATCAAGGTATGCTGAGAATTTTGTTTTTTGTTAAGTGATGTATATTTTTAGCTCTCAAGCACATTTTTAATGTTTAAAACAATAATTTTGATTCTATAAGGCACTGACTGTGGTATTAATACTTAAAATTTAATAAATTATTAATAAGTGATTTAGCAATTGGATATTCACGAAAAGGAAATAATTGATAAACTGGTTGACGGAGTTCCTTTAATTGCCGGTTTACTGAACAAAACGTCAATATTAAGCTTGTTCAACAGAGGATTGGTTTACTTTGATGTGCCTGCGAATGACAGCGACTATGTTTATGGTAAGTGTGTATTTTTCTTGTTTCAAGGAAGTGGTATAACACGGATGTAATTTTTTGGTGTTTATTGTTTATTTCAGTGCCTACTTTGGATGGATTTGTTATGAACCGCGTACAAGGAGATTATTTTGAGAAGCTGCTGTACAAGGTTTTTGTTACAATTGATGGTCAGATGAATGTCAAAGAGGTAATTTAATGTTTACATTTTTAATAGAATTGTAATGTTTGATAAACATAATAAATTGTAAATTTGTTTAGTGTTAATTACTTACATTACAACTTTTTAGCTTGCTGATGTTATTGGAGTAGACATTGAGCTAGTGAAGACTGCTGTGTCAGCTTTTCTGCGACTTGGCTTTGCAAAGAAACGTACGACTGGACTAGAACAGACTCAGCTACATGCATCATGGAGACTAGATGATTCTAAAGACGCTTCTGTCGTCTTCTCTAAAAGTATGATGGAGTTGACTAATTCAACAATGAATGATGAAGATGAGGATTTGGATGCATCAGAGGAAGATGGAAGAAAGCTTTCAGCCGCTTCTGTAGTTACATCGCCATCTGTTAATAGTGCACCATTAAGTGAACTTAGCATTAATGGCACCAAACGGTTGGCATTTCTGTTTGATTCGTCTTTGACTGCGTTTTTGATGATGGGGAATCTGTCGCCGAAACTGAAGAATCACGCAGTAACCTTGTTTGAAGTAGGGAAACTGTCGGACGAAACCGTGGACAACTTTGTAGATGAATTAGGTAACATTAACTTTTTTGCTGAAGGAGAAGCGCAACGATATTCTGAACATGCGAAGACTTTGTTACACACGATTAAGGCTTTGAAGGGAAAAGGAGAACTGGATCTGATTAGAGGAGAAAGTCTGTTCAGTCTTGATGAAACGGCTCGAGAACGAGTGGTTAAGAAGGCTTACAAGTATGTTATAATATTTCTTAGTAATTTTATTCTTATTGTTTTACTGTAAGATTAAGTGTTTGTCTATAGGATGAGGTATTGAATGTTTATTTTCAGGTTTATCGTATCAATGGCACCACTGGGAGCTGATGCATGTGCCTTTAAACAAGTAATAGTACCATCAGTAGGAACTAGTGTAGTAGAACTGACATCGCCATGGTTTAGACTGTTTTTGTATGATATTGTGAACGAAGGAACAGCATCTATGTTAATTCCAATGGGTATCAGAGTGAATGAGTTACCTGACTTATTCTGGAAGAGTACAAGAGTTATGTTAAGTGCTGCTACACATGAGCCTAACATTGTGATGACAGATGCTGTGTTGCCTGTGCTGAACGATATGCTGTTACATTCTTCTGTGTTTCTTCAGGTTGGTTTTTTATTTATTTTTTAGTTTGATATGATAATATTACGAAATAAAATTTACGCATAATTTAATTTGATATTATACGAAAATTGTGGGTTTTTTTGTGATTCTAAGTGTAAAATTGATATCATTGTAGGCCTACAGCGACAAAGTAGACGACTCTGAGATTGTGAATGTTTCTTTCCCATTCACCGAGGATGAATTGAACGACGATACCCACTTCTGCAATCATTCAGTCGTGTCAAAGCTAAAGGACGTTGTCAACTTGAACTTAAACACGGGATATCTTGTATTTTTAAAAGTTAAAACATCAACAGATTCTACAGAGACATCAGAAAGTGAGGAAGAGAATCAGATGGTAGAAATGGCATGTTCTACTGCTACTTTGAGGTCTTCATTCAATAACACGGTAACAAAAGATCCCAAAAAGGTAGTTTCGAAGCGAGTAAAGCTGGTGAAACAGGAGAGCTTCGAGGACTATGTTCTCTTCGATTGTGTCTTTGGGATTCCACTGTTCGATGAGCGTTTGAATTCAGAAGTGTGCAAACGGTTAATAGAGAACAATCTTTTTGACAAGTAAGTTGATTACCTTTGTATAATCGTGTAGTTTAATTTTTTGATAGTAATTTATTTAAAAGTTGTTTATAGTTGAGTTTTAAAGTTTAATATCAATTTTGCTTTTCAAACATGAAACTTGACATGAAATTCTCAATTATGATTTATATCTTATTCATCTTTTTAGGAGTGAGGAAATAAGCAAGCTGAATCAAAGTCTAGTTCAGAAAATTCAAAATTTCGTCTACCAACTTCAAGTTCCAGGATATGAAGTAAGTTTTTTAAATTTAAATAAAAAATTTGAGGTATTCTTGTTGCGGTTGAAATTTTCTGTTAAAGTGTCGTTTTGTTAAATGTTCCGATGCAAAATAATGATGATTATTTAAATTTTTATCTATTTTAGGATCCATTTGGACAATCCGATGCCAACTGTATACCATTGCCAACCCAGACGGTGTTTTTTGACGGTTCTACTGTTAGTCCGATAGTGCTTTAAATATTTTTTTGGATAGCTTTGATTAGATTTTTATTTTATAGGTATTTAAATTATTATATATTACCTAAATTATTTTGATTTATTACCTGAGGTGTTAATAGTGCAATTGTGATAAGTTCTGGATGTCTCGGAAATAATTTCACTTTTGATGTGTCAACGAGTTCTCTATGATAATATTGACAGCTGTGTTCTATTTATATTACGGGCTGTGTCTTGACTGTTTCTAATATAAGTTATTATTGTATAAATAAACGGTTATGTTTTTGAAAGCAATATTGTTATGTCGTTAATACGATTTATATACTTTTGGTGTGTTTTGATTATACTTTGAGGATTTTCTCGTTTTTTATGTTAATTATGTTGTTTTAGCAGAGTGGCCTTATGGCCGACTCCAATCGAACACGAATCGTGTTCGGAGTCTTTCTACTTTTGATTGTCAATACCGTATGGGTAATCTCCGCTGAAGTCACAAAGGTAAATGAACGTGCATTAAATTTACTTTATTATTGATTTCACTCTGTTGTATAAGTTAGTAAATTATTTGGACATTGCTAAAAGTAAATCATGGTGTTTTTATTATGATTAGTAAATTCAATCTGTTATAACACCTAATTTTAGTATTTGTTTGCCGATCTGAAGTTCAAAAGGCCGTTTTTCGTAACATATATCAAGAGTTGTTTGTTTTCCATATTCTTATTAAGATACCTTATATGTGGCACACAACAGAGCAAGTCGGATGAGGTAAGTTAAAGCTATATGCTTTGTGTTGAAAAACGTTTTACAGCTAAATTTCTTTCTTGCTTATGCTAAAATGGTATATTTTCAGAAAGATTACTCGCTTTTAAAGACCGAAAATGAAACGGATTCAGAGTTTGAAGCTGAAAGTTTGGTAGGTTTTGAATGTAAAGTTGGAGTAAGACTTGACTTTTTTTTGATATTTCAATATTGAGGTCTAAAAGCAGTAGTAACATGAGAAAGTTTTTGTTTTTTATGGTACATTTATTATAAAATTTTGTTTCAGTCGATGGGAGAATTCGAGCCAGTTACGTTACCATCAGATTACGATTCAGAAGATCAGATGAAGGGAATGGAGGAATCCAAAAAGAAAAGAAGAGTTAGATTCAGCTTGTGGAGAGAGGTCAGAAGTCTGCCAGAAAGGATTGCTTATGAGGCCAAGATGGCTAGGCTACCATACAGGCCACCACCAATCGGATGTAACTGTAGAATGTCAGCTCCTGTCAAGTATACCTTGTACTTTGCTCCGTTGGTTAGTTTTTTTAGTTATTTTTAGGTTTAAACGGTACCTATACTAAACGGTTTAACGTTTTTGCTTCTTGAGATTCTAGTTTTATTGTTTTTAGTGGTTCGTCAGCTCAGTAACCTACCAAGCCTCCCTTCTGTTCTCTTCGGTCTCTTCAGTCAACATGATCTCTGCGTCTTCATCTCTGTTTGTACTACTATTAGGAGCATTGTTTAGTCCGTATCTGGAAGATCGGTTTAGCTTTATGAAGTTTGGCCTAGTCATTTTGAATTTGGCTGGAGTGGCAATAGTTTCTCAGTTCTCAAGTGTTTGGACTGGCACGGTATTAGCTGTGGTATCAGCGTTTACATATGCAATATATTTAACAGTCTTCACGGTGATAAGTCGGAAGAACGACAAGATTGATATGAATCTTCTCTTTGGTAAGTACTCTTGTTATATGTCACATGTTTATATGCAAATTTATGATGTCTTCTTCAATTACATTTAGTGTTTATATTGAATCTCAAAGAGTTAACTAGTCATTTCAGGTGTAATAGGAGTGTTTTCTCTCATCATATGTACTCCCTTAATGTTCGTAGTGCATGTCACAGGTCTCGAACCTCAACTACCTCTACCAAATGCACACGAGTTCACTGTAGTGTTATTAAATGGCATGATTGGAAGCGTATTGACCGATTATTTGTGGTTATATGCGACTTTAATGACCAATTCCTTGATATCATCGATTTCGTTGACTTTAACTATACCCATGAGTTTGTTTGCTGACGCTATCTTCAGGTTACAGTTCCCTGACGCTGCTCAGCTACTGGCTGCTGTACCTATTATGGCTGTGAGTTTATCATAAGGTTTTTGGTTTTATTGAAAGGTGATATTAAGTCTGTTGCATTATATTGTTGTATGTTATGTCACATTATATTATGTGTGATCTGAATTCATTGTTTTAGTCGTTTATTGGAGCTTCCTTATTATCACACTCTTCAAACGATCGGTCAGAAGCTACTCGACGGTCTAAGTCTCCAGTCCCCATCACGAAGCGTGGCGACGTCAGATTCCGAAACATGAAGTCGGACGAAAGCGAAAGACTCATGGAACAGGACGAAAGCCTATGATAATATCATTCTGATATTGAGGAGCTTATCTGTTGGATATTTAAAATTGATATTGTAACGATATTTAATTATTGTATTACTGTAAATATGGAATTGTAATTAGCGATCTTCTTTTGTCACAAACGGGTCTTATTTTGTAGTTCACGGTTCCTATTCTAGTCAGGCATTATAAGATGAGGTGTTAAGTTAAGCGTAATATGTCAATAAAACTGATAATTATGAAGTGTGTGTATTGATATAGGTAATGGATAAAGATACTATCGTTACTTGTCTTTGTAATTTAAAAAAACTACTTTTACAACTTTGTTAAAGGGGAGGTAAAGTGTTGTAGATAAGATTGTCACAAGTTACAAGAAAACGGCCATTAATCTTACCTCAAATTGAGTTATCTCATGTTACAGTACCTAAGAGTCGTTTTTCAAGTACCGTTGACTTGTTTCCAACTTAAACTGGTACTTAGCACAAGTACCACTTTCAATTGCAAAACCGAACACTGTAATTAAAGCCCTGAGGGCCAATTAAATGTGGACACAGGGTGCGCGACGAAGGTCAAACGAGAAATCGGAGTAATGGAGAGCAACAGCTCGTGTCGGTCAGATGAAAATACCCGCACGTTTTGGCCACAAACACCGTTCATCACTTTCGAGAAGAGGTTTAATTCCGATTAAATGTTAGGGGGGGGTGTGAGAGAGGAGTTCAAATCGCTCGAACTGGATTGACACGCTTCTCAGTTTCATGTCATCAGACTTGAGTTATTTTATAAGTAATATAAAGTTCATATTGTTTTAGAATCTAGTAATGTTGTTTTGAGGGGCAGCAAGTGACCCTTATATGACAGTTTGGATCTTGTTTTATGTTTCCATGAAATTTCGCTTGTTTTCCACTCACTTTTCGACCAAACGCTTCAAAATCAAAGCCAGAATTATGTTGATATCCGTAGCCGGAAAGACGCAACGATGCCCGAGAACGTTGTCGACTTGAGACAGCCGTTCTCTTTGCGCAATATACCGGATCGAAAGTGTTTAAACAAAGCCAACAACAACATAAACGCCTTCAAGATGGATGGCGGTAGTAATAATACGTGTTTGTGGTCAGTCTTTTTGTACGAAAAAGTGGCGGCGACTGGGAATAATTGCCCATCTCCAAGTCGATTCGTTTTTTTGCGGCAGTATACGATGCATCAAGCTGTAGTAGAAGGATTACACAGATGGCATCTTCAGAGATCTAGAAGAGGCTATGGTAGTGGGAGAGATAGTGGGGGATAGGGAGGGAAGAGAGGGTTAGAGAGAGCTTGAATGTGAGAGACGGTAGATGAAAGGTATTGTTGTAGGGAGAGGCGGTAGAGACTAATGAGGGATTGTGGAAAGCTTCTGAAGACGGTGTTTGGATATTACCATAATATCCGCTTACTTTGTAAAAGCTACTATGCCAATTACCACGCGGTTTACTATTGTTTATCTTGAGAAGGCGATTTGTCATCAAATCTTTACAGTGTTTCCAGCTTTGTATAATATCTCGTTCGAATTTTATTTTGATTGTTGATGTATAGGTGTTCGAGTTATTGATGATTAAGCTTTAATAATATATCATCTCTTATGACACATAATGAATAACTTGTAGTGTATATCGTACGTCTCACAGTAGCTTTTACCTTAAATTAGCTATCTCAGCCATTTACTAAACTCAAGATGAATCATCTTTTTCACGCTGAAACCGGGTCATCACATCATCTACCTTAATGTTATGTTTTTACTATGTTATTTAAAATGTTTACCTTAAATCTTATCATTAACGATGTATACTTTTACTATAAATAGTATAAGTTTATGTTCTACTCTATCATTTCTATATGTGCATATCCTAAAAACATAATGCGCAACCTTATCCATAAACATACTAAAGACCATAGAGCTACTGCAATATACTCCATGTCACTACCCATTTATGAACCCACTTATTGTTGTTTGCATCTCCAAGATACGTAAACATGGTGTCTTTATGAATTGGATTACCCCGATCTGAGGCCGTTCCTCTTCTGAAGCCGCCTTCCTCCAAGGTCGCGGCTTCAGAAGGCCTCTGAAAAAATGGCGCGCGATTTGAATCAATGAATCGCGATGAAATTCAAGGTGACATCTGAGTGGGCAGTGGTTTTTGGGGTGTTATACGAGAAGGCTATGTTTGGGTTTGTTTACCGTTAACTTTATATGAACTTTAAACTTTTTTAAAATTATTTTTAAAGAAGGAAAGTAATGATTAAACATATTATCTACTATATCATGCCGTTTTTTAATTTTAAAAAAATTGAAACTCGAATTGGCCCTTAAATTATGGACCAAAGTTTCAATTGTCTCAAGTACAAAACGTTATATGTAAGTATACTTTACAATAACACGCCGTCATCAGTCAAGTTGAGCTAAACTGCTTTCGTTCGCTCGAGATTGATGGATAGGAAACGTTTTGATTACTCATCTTATCTCTCTGTCTTCGGATTACTGCTTAATTCCATGGGTTGTTAAGGGTGCAGTTTACTATTTATGAGCCCATGATCCCCGAGATTGATTGTCATAAGTGGTGAGAGCCTTTTTTCGAGAGCCGGCTTCAGAGCATTAATTTCCGAATCCAATTTCGTTTTTTTCGAAATTTTGGGATTTAAAATGGGTATCAGGCTGGTCTTTGGACTATTTCGAGTAGTTGGGATAAGAGATCAAAAGGTGATTGTTAATTGAGAAGTTTGTTGATAAGCTTGGAAATGTACTTTAAATTGTGTTTATAGGTCAGAAATTTTGCAGAAACATTTTTCTCTTTGTTGTTTATTATTAATTTGTTTATTATTCCTTTATTGTATTTTTGCAAACTTACATTACAAACCCTACACGTTCCCACCTTCCTACTCTAATATCTCTTCCGATGATTTGTGAGAATCTCGGTCACAAAACCTTCCCGAATCTCCTGAATCCGTGTTAATCGTCGCTCCCCCAGACTGGCCTCGCATCGAATAGGTTTGGCCTTTGAAGTGGAGCCAGGCCCAATCGAATTAAGCCGTGCCATTGTGGTGTAATTGCGAGTAATTGACTCTCCGTCCCTTGATCTAAATTTAAGTGTGTTATGACCTCCGGTCATTCTCGTTTTTTCGTTTTCTTACAATCCTTCCCCCCGCTTTTGTGGCGCTTTCCGATTGTTAAACTACTGGTTTTAAATATACTTTTATATTGTTGTGGTCTATAAATTATAGTTGTTAGTTGGGTTTTACCATTAACATCAAAGTATCTTAGTTGCTTGTTAATTTCTGCTGTTTTGTTAATTTAAATCGCATTTCAAATTGCTTTTATTACCTAGCTTTTGCTTTCAGAAATGTTACTCCGGAAAAGCGGAGTACCTTGGGCTGTATTCTTATTGGCCATACAAGGCCTAGCCCAATCAGATGTAGGTGTCAAAGCCCCAGATTCCACTCCAGTACCAGCTCCATCTTCACCCAGCCCAGCCGGTGACATACAGTTAGTTGAACAAGCTACAGAATTTGAAGAAAGTACTACTACTGCTACACCCAAAACTTAGTATGTTAATAATATATATATATATACTACATGTATAGCCACTAATAGATTTATTGCTTTTTACTTACAAACGTATCAAAAACTGACTTTTAGTGCCGGCAACTACTTGATAATCGCTCCAAAAATTGCCCGACCTGGTCTACCGTATTCAGTATCAGTGAATATTCTGAAGTCGCTCGACGAAGACCACATCGTACGTGTTGAAGTCAGAAACGCGAGGAACGAAACGATCGGAGCCAGAGTCGTGAGCAACGTGAAAACAGCTGTGCCTCAGACCGTTTCCATCGAGAATCTGAGCAAAGATGGGCTTCTGGAAGGCGATCAGTACAAGGTCTACGTGAGGGCTGAGAACATCGCCTCCAGAATCCTGTTTGAAGACGAGAAACCCATCGAATTTTCGGGGAAATTCTTAAGCGGCTTCGTACAGACCGATAAGGCCATTTACAAACCTGGAGCTACTGGTAAATTAACATACAGAGCTTGAGGGCAATGTATTATCATGTATAGCATAATATTTTGAAAATTTTTAATAGATCTTTCAACACCGTGCTGTGCTGTCTTTTTTATATCATCAACAGTGAATTCCCATTTTAGTGTTCTACCGTGTCGTGGTGGTAACTCCTGACCTAAAGCCATACCAAGGAAAGATAGGCTTAAAGATCCAAGATCCTGCCCAGAACGTTATCAACCAGTTGGAAGACAAAACCTTGGTCAAAGGAGTCTTCTCCAATCAGCTGGAGCTGGCTTCAGATCCTCCACTTGGAGAGTGGATGCTGATCGTAGAGACGGAATCTGGCATGAAGTTCGAAAAAGGATTCACAGTTGAAAAGTACGTTCTACCCAAGTTCGAAGTCAACATCAGAACACCCAGCTTCATCACCGTGAACGACGATCTTTCTGTCTTAATCGATGCCAAGTAAGTAGTAAATTGATAACGGTATACAACACATAATATAATACAAAACTACTTACAAAGTACCGTAGTCCCTGTATAACAAACAAGTTAGAGTACAAGCGGCAGAGCGGCCAAATTAGTACATAGCAAAACATTTTATGTCGCAATCTATAATTGCAGGTATACTTATGGCAAAGGAGTATCAGGAAAAGCAAAAGTGATTCTCGAACTGCCATTCAACAGATGGCACCACACCCTGCCAGTACTGCTTAACGATGAAAAGGTGAAAGAAAACGTGGAAACTCAACAGGAAAGTACGATCGAAAGAACCGTCAAGCTGAACAGCATGGGTGAAGCTACAGTAGTCTTCACAAACGAAGAGCTACGGAAACACAAACTGGTCATGGACTACGGTGGAAGTACAGTAAGAATTCTGGCTACTGTAACCGAAGACCTAACTGATATTCAAAGAAATGGAACTGCTCAGGTAAAGCAAACTAAACCTATAATATTCATTGGACTAGTCTAAATTAGGCTGAATAAAGGCTGAGATTATTGTATGCGATAATTCAATAAACAATATCAAGTTTTAGATAGTAGCCTACAGACACGATGTTCAGTTAGAAGTTGAGAAACAAGGAGACAACTTCAAACCTGGCCTCAGCTACAACGTTATCGTAGCCTTGAAGCAGATGGATAACACTCCAGTGAAAGCAAATGTACCAAAAAGAGTACAAGTCACCACCTTCTACGACTACCCATACGATCCCAGCAACAACAACCAGCATGAAGACAAAGAAGTCAAGGTTGTAGACCTAGATGCCCACGGCACCTCCGTCCTCACTCTCCAACCTCCAATGAACTGCACTTCAGCTCGGGTAGAAGCTCACTATGACAGAGAAGGCAAAGACAACTTCACTAACGCTCTCATCTACACTTCCTTGTACGTTGATGCCGCCAAATCACCGTCAAACTCCTACATTCAGCTCCTGGTAGACAACGAAGGAGCGGTTGAAGCCGGCAAAACATTGTCATTCTCTGTGAAGTCGACCGAAAGTCTTCAGACCATCTCGTACCAGGTGATAGCACGGGGCAGTATCGTGCTGAGCCAAGAACAATCCATGAATGGAGATCTTGTTACCGTGACCTTCACCACAACTCCACAGATGGCTCCAAGCGCAAGATTGGTGGTTTACGCGATTCGTCCTGATAACAGAGAGGTTTTGGTAGATGCAATGGACTTTAAGGTTGAGGGACTCTTCAGAAACGATGTAAGTTTGATACCTAAAATTATTATTTATGAAAATCAGAAACTTTGCCAAATATCAAATAACTTTACTTAAACAATTGAAAATTGTAGGACCTTACTGTTTAATCTGATGTACTTCACCCTACCATTGCTTAGAAAACCTTTTTAGGTATCCCTAAACATTGACAAACAGTCGGTCGAACCAGGAGAAACCGTCAAATTCACAGTGAAAGCAGATTCAGATTCATACGTCGGTCTGTTGGCCGTGGACCAAAGCGTTCTTCTTCTGAAATCTGGCAATGATATCACGAAAGACATGGTGGAACAAGATATCCAAGAGTATGATACTACCCGCGCCAATGGCTACAGATATTGGGAAGCCGACGCTTTTGGTCCCAGAAGAAGAAAACGGTCTGTGTGGTACCCATGGTGGGGCGTGGGTGGAAAAGATGCTAAATCCATTTTTGAGGTCAGTTTTGTCAGAAATTCTGAATGAATTTCGGCCTAATGTTGTGAAAGGTGTTTGTTGAGAGGAAGACTTGACTCAACTGTTGGTCAAGTCTTTCTCCTCGACAAAATCTTGTAAATGCCCATATTTTGTTGTTCTTTGGATTTTAACTATAGGAAAATGAAAGAATCTCACGAAAATACTGTTTCAGAATGCTGGCCTCGTTGTTCTTACAGACACCTTCGTATACCACGAACCAGAACCCATTCGTAAGTTAATCGTTTCTCGTCAGTTTTTGTTGCTTTTGCTTTGATTGTCTTTTGAATTTTGGTGGAGTCTTGTAATCATAACCAATTTTTTACTAACACAGGGCTTTACCGCACCATGAACTCAAACGGTCTTCTGAAGCGACTCGAGAAGTCGGCGGGCATCAGAATCCGAAAGGACTTCCCAGAAACTTTGATGTACGGCGATCTTAAGGCGGAGTAAGTTTGCTTGTTTATGTTTCTACTAATTGGGATAAGAACTAAGAGTTTTTGGGTTCAATTGCATTGATGTTAGCTTTTTTACAAAGGAACGACGGTATTTTATAGTAGATGTGAAGTAATCTGAACTTAATGAAAAGAGCTTGATCTGAGTGGAAGAGTAACACAATTATAATAACATAGCATTTTTGTCTCACTATTAACATTATTTTCTATCGTATCACACTTTTTCTTGGCTTTCGCTGCTTCTTTTATCTATGATAACATGTTTGGTGGATGGTTTTGTTTATTTTAACTGTTTTATCCGTACATCTACTATAACATGTTTGAACTGTTTAACACTATCCTAGGGCTTCTGGAGCAGTCGTTAGGTGCTCCAAATGCGGCCGTCTTTTTTGATGCACGTTCAGCACAAGATAACGTTCTCCAGGTACGAAAGGACTTTCCTGAAACTTGGATTTGGGCCGAGACTTTGGCCACAGGACAGAAGTAAGTTTACCAAGGGCGATATATATATTTTGATGCGAAACATAGGTATATCAGGTAACACTGCATCAAGCTGTGCCTTTAGAGAAGGTTGAACAAGGTACGAGTATAACATATTATACAAGCTGACCGAGATTATAACAAGAACGTTAATTAACACGTTGAACACCAAAACTACTCTTACTCTATCACCTTTGCTTTGCACTGATTCTCTGATATTATGTTATATCTTCATTTCTACTATGGTTTATATCCTGAATGGTCATTACTTTTGTTGTTGTGTTGTCCATCCACCAAAGTTCAGAAGGCTTTTCTATGTTATCGTGACTGTTTATCTGGATTTATAGGAAAGCGATTCCGGAATCTGAAGGCTGGATTGGCAGCTGGTCAAAACATTGACGTACTTGACAGTCCCAGTCTTAAAATACGACGAGAGTTTCCAGAAACATTTGTTTGGACCAACATTACGAGGTTCTGCTACTTTTCACGTTTATTAGTAGTATAAGATTAAGTAGTATTATATTTGTTCTTTACAAACATAGGGGGATGCTTTGTTCTGTGAAATGTCTTATAGGTATACCCAGTGTTTTGCCGGACCCGTCCGGTCCGGTTTGGTCCGGACCGGACCAAAAGAAAATAAAGCCGGACCGGACCGAAAGAAAAGTTCCGGACCGGTCCGGAAAAAAAAATTTTTAATTTTAATAAAACTGTTTTAAAAATTGCAAATAAAACATATTTTTAAGAGTTTTTAAACGTAAAGAAAGCAGTTTTAGCGCTCTTGGCTTTTTTTAAAAATAAAAAAATTTTTTTCCGGACCGGACCGAAAAAATTCTCATCCGGACCGGTCCGGCAAAACACTGGGTATACCCATATCTGTAAACTACCTTAATTACCCTGAGAATATTACACTAACCGTGTGTCAATTAATATAATTGTAAACAGGTCTCTTGTAAACAATAGTTTGTCATGTGTTGAATGCCGTGTTACTGTGTAGTTGAAAAAACTAACACTAATGTAACTTTACACTTTCAAAGTTACTGTGTTCAGGATTTCGCGCAATGCCAATAACCTTGAACATGGCACCGAGGCTGTATATTCCTGGTCCAGTAAATGACTTTCCATCGAGTAATGTAGTTGAAGAGTCTCAGGTGGAATATGCTCCTCCTTCTGTCGTAGTCAGACGCTCTTTTCCTGAAACCTGGCTTTGGGAATCTATGAACACGTGAGCGTGTGTTGTGCTTCTATTAGACATAGAGGATAGTAGATTAGATAATATATAAATGCTGGATTACAACTTTGTAGTATAGTTATTACATTACACACACAGTATGACATATAGTATCTAAAATGACAGTTTAAACAAGGATAAAGGGAAGGTTAGATCTTTTAAATTACTTCGAAATCAACAAAACGTATTTTAGTGAAACTGGTGAAGCCGTCTATCAAGCTACCGTCCCAGATACGATCACTTCTTGGGTGGCTTCTGCTTTTGCTATCAGCGATCAAAGTGGACTTGGTGTATCCCCAAACACTGCCAAGGTAAGCGTTCTCCTTCTTTATAATTTTTTTTAAATTGATTTTAAAGTGTTAATTCTATTTTATATATGTACTAGTCCAACCACTTAAATTAACGTTATCTGACCGTCTACTAATTTATAATTATGTTTTTTTAGCTGAAGGTGTTCCGCCCCTTCTTTATTAGACTCAACTTACCGTACTCTGTAAAACGAGGTGAGAAGTTTGCTCTCCAAGTTCTGGTCTTTAATTACCTGGAGTCAGAACAAGATGTTGCCGTGACGTTGAAGAGAAACAGCGCTTCTGGCTTTAACTTTTTGGAGAAGGACAGCTCGGGTCTGGAAAAGAAGGACCAGTCAGACAAGGCTAGCAATGTTGTATATGTGTCAGTACCTGGAGGCGGTATCTCCAAGGCTGTCTACTTCCCCATCGTTCTCACAGAAGTCGGTCATGTCAAGTTGCATGTTGTAGCTCAAGCTGATCACGCTGCTGACGCTGTAGAAGAGGTCTTGAGAGTGGAGCCGGAAGGCTACAGAGTCGACCGTAACGTGCCAATGGCCTTGGACTTGTCTTCAAACGGCACCGTGCAGAAGAGTATCAAGATGGACTTTCCTTCAGATGCCATCGAAGGATCGAAGAAGGCCAAGATTGATGTCATTGGTGACATCATGGGACCAGTCTTGAGTAACCTGGAGAATCTGGTCAGAATGCCGTTTGGATGTGGAGAACAGAACATGCTCAACTTTGTGCCCAATATTGTAGTACTCAGGTACTTGAGAGCTACACAGAAGAGCTCTCCTGCGATGGAGACAAAGTTGGCACGGTACATTGAAGCTGGGTATCAAAGGGAATTGACTTACAAGTAGGTTAACTAACATATGTTTGTGCTTATTTAGAATGTAACAGAATTTGAAAGTTTTATTACCTAATCTAACATAACTTAACTTGCAGACGTGATGACAACTCTTTCTCAGCCTTTGGCCAATCTGATAACCACGGATCAACATGGTTAACTGCCTTCGTTGTTCGTTCTTTCAAACAAGCGCAGCCTTATGTTTACATCCAAAGTGAGATACTACAACAAGCTATCGCCTTCTTGACGTCTCAGCAGAATCAAGAGAATGGAGCCTTCGCGGAGCGTGGCGAAGTGCATCATAAAGACATGCAAGGTGGAGCATCTAATGGTGGATATCCTCTGACAGCTTATGTCACTGTTGCCTTGTTGGAGAACAATATCAAGAACGAGAAGGCTATTACCTACCTGGAACAACATCTAAAGGATGTGAGAGAAGATCCATATGCTTTGGCTGTAGCTACTTATGCACTTCATTTGGCTGAAAGTACGATGAAGGACGAAGCCTTCGCGATGTTGGAGGGACTGAAACTGGAGGAAGCTGGTAAGTAGATAAATTTTTTAGGCTTGTTTTTAAAATGATAATCATGTTATCAATGTTAGATAAAATTACGTTTAATTTTGTTAAATTCAACTTTTTAAAATGAAAAGCTGTATTACGGGCGCTAGGACAAATGCGGTTTTTGGACATTTGCGGATCTGCGGTTTTTAGACACTTGCGGATCTTCGGTTTTTGGACACTTGCGGATTTTGGACATTTGCGGATTTTTTAAAGGTTTTTTTAAATTTTTTAGTTAGTTTATTTGTAGTATGGTACTAAATTGTACGAAAGTTTAAATTGGTGCGGTTTTAACATAACAGTACCTTTTTGGGCTTTTAGTACCATTCAGTACCAAAAAATATAAAACAGTACCAATTTAAAATTTAGTACTATTTAGCACTAAAACATATTAAAACAGTACCAATTTACACTTTAGTACCATTTAGTACCATAATACAACTAAATTAACTAAAAAATTAAAAAAACCCCTTTAAAAAATCCGCAAATGTCCAAAATCCGCAAGTGTCTAAAAACCGCGGTTCCGCAAATGTCCAAAAACCGCATTTGTCCTAGCGCCGTATTACGATACCTTTTTCAGACGGATCTTCCCACTGGGCTTTAGCTCCACAGAGTTCAAGAAAGACTCGCGACACCACAAAATACTTTTACCAAGCTCGACCGGTCGATGTCGAGATGACTGCCTATGCCTTGTTGACTTACATGATCAGAAATGACATGAACAAAGCTCTGCCATTGGTCAGATGGCTGACTTCACAACGAAATAGTCAAGGCGGCTTCAGTTCTACACAAGACACCGTGATGGCGCTACAGGCAATGGGAGCCTACGCTGAGAAGGCATACACCAATGACTTCTCAGTCAGATTGGCATTGGCTAATGGACCTGATCTTCAGAACTTCACGATATCTTCTGACAACTCCATGGTGCTACAGTCGTATGAACTGGCTAACTTTGATGATACGATCGAGTTAGAAGCCAATGGAAATGGAATGGCATTTGTACAAGTACAGTACTCTTATCATAGACAGGTGCTGAAGGAAGATGTACCATTTTACTGTAGTAAAGAGCTGAAGGAGGTCAGGGGCGGCAACAGGATGCAGTTGGAGTTGTGCTGCAAGTAAGTTGTGCAAGTCAATAACTGTACTCAATTGTGAAAGATAATAACGATATAATATATATTATTTTGAAATGACATTTAAATATTAAAATTCAAAAGTAAGTAATGAAAATGGTGACATTGTTTTAGTTACACTCGGCCGAACTCTCGTTCGAACATGGCTGTAGCTGAAGTCGAAGCTCTGAGTGGCTACAAGTTTGACAACGAAGAGATGAGTAAACTGACGTCGATCAAGGACCTACAACGAGTTGAATTGGAGAAAGATGACACTCGGATGAACATCTACTTTAACCCGGTAAGTTAACTTCCAATATAAAGTTATGGTAAGATACGATTTTGTGTGTTTCCTATAAGTATTATACTACAGGGTGCGTAAAAAGTGGTGTTACCAAACTTTACCGGTCGTTTTCTCTATGTTATAATACTTTTCACGCACCCTGTATAATAGATTAATTACTGAGTTTTGTAGATTGGAGACGTCCCAGTATGCCTGTCGTTGTATTCTGATATGGTTTATCAGATTGCGGACCAAAAACCAGCCCAAATCTCATTGTTCGATTACTACGATCCTGAACTTCAGGTGGATAATATTATCTATTGCATTTTAGTCATCAAATCTGTTGTTTTATGAAATTTTATATTATCTTACCCTTTTCAGATGAAAACAACCTACACAGTCCGCCAATCCCGCTCGCTCCAAGACTCTTGTCCCGACTGTTGGCCTTCTGAAGACGAATCTAGAAGTCAGTCGTCGAATCATCAGAGTTTCGCATCGCGAACGAACGGTACGACCGGTCGATTGTGGATGTCCGTCTCGGTGTTGTTTGTCTTGTTGGTCTCATTGCTCGTCTGATCTACTCAGCCATGTGTAATACACGTTAGTAGGGTATACTGTACATTCTTGTTCAATTATTTATGTGCTCATCTTTAACATTTGGCTATAGTAACTTCGTTTTGATTCTGTTTTGTATGTTTAACTGATTTATTTGCTGTATTTTTAACTTGAAAAGTTAAGTTTACTGTAATTTTATTGATTACTGTACTTTTATGTATTAATGATTACTGTATTTTGTGTATTATTCCCTTTTAAAATGTAACTTCGCTGTGTATTTTCTTGTCGTAACACTAGATTGTAACTACATAACCTTGAAGTGTGTTACTAATCTTCTGAAGGCCGTTTGAATAACATACTGTGTTGATTGGAATACTGTCTTGGAACTTACAGTAGTATTTCAGAATGACGGACATTACTTTCAGCCTTTTGAATATGGGTTTCTCCTCACATAATATTTGTCTCAGTATTTATTTTTTTCGAATAAAGTTTTAAGTTCAGCCCCGAGGGTATTGATTACAACACAAAGGGGTACATTAGGGAAGGGATAGGAGGTAACGCGGCCGAAAAGATACAGGAGGAAGGATTAAGAAACATTTCAAGTAACCAAGGCCCAGAGTTGTTGTAATGGCTAACATAATCAAGGTAAGTTAGTTTAAGTTAAAGTATGATGGATAATATTTGTTGCTTTTTTATACACATCCTAGGTGTTTGTTCACAACATTGTTACCTAAAATGTTAAAAAAGATGCCCTTTGGGTTGAGTTTTGGCATCTTAAGTGCTTTCCAAATACTTAAACTCGTTCGTATAAAATTTCAAACGGCTTTAAACGTTTAAAAGATGTTGTTCTTGGCTAAAAATAGATGCTTTTGCTAACAAATCATACCTAAACTTTAGCTAAACTTATCAAAATTGTAAAGATAAACCAAATTGTTCAGAAAATTAGGTAACAACCCTAAAATTACCCCCAAAATAACTTTTTCCTTAAAAACCAAGTAAAAAATTCCGGCTAACATTATATCCAACTTGTTTACCACGCTTTCAACAGCCAATCCAAATCGAATGTAAATGGGTGACAGAGTAAAGTATCAAAAAAGAGCGACAAACAACATAAAACTAAATCTATTCGGATCGCTTTTCCATGAGAGGCCTTGGGGAGGGTTTATTTGAATAACTTGCTCTCGAATAATATAACAAGGGAATGAGCGACGGTTATGGGTGGAAAGTAACTAATTACGTGAGTCTGTTACATTACTTTCCGGCTACAACTATGTTACTCAGCTTGTCATAACATTAAGTAGTCTTTTAGAATAGGGCTTAATCACGATTGTCGACCTAAAATCTAGTAGAATTGCCTCTTTTGCCTTAAACTGAAGTTAAAAACTTACAAACAAAAGTTTAAAATAGAGTTTAAATATCGTTGAGGAATGTAACTGACATCCCTTTTTGGACCATTTATCCGCGAATTATTGGGCCGGAAGGGAAGCCCCTTAAATGTTTGAAATTGATTCCCTGCCATTGTTTTTACTTTCGGCTGCCTTCTCTTCCTCCCTCAGGGGCCATCTGTCTTGACCTCTGGCAAAAAATTCATTTCGAATAATTCAACTATTTCTACGCAAATTTGCGGCCCGCAGGCAATGGTATAGCTATTTTCGGGGTTATATGCTAATTTTCATGTCATTTTCGGTTACTGTGATAGTAAAATTTTAAGTTTTTTAAAATGTCATGTATATGTTTACATCAAGTTAATTGTAATTTAAATTTTTCAAAACTCTGGCTTTGTGGCTCCAGGCAAATTTCAGAGGCCACCTTTGGGAAGATCGGGCGGCCGAAAACATTGCCTCCCATCTTGGGCCACTTGTCGGAGCTCGTTATCTATTCCATCCCTCGGCTTTTATTATTCCCTTACAACCTTTGCATCTAAATAAAATTTGTTAGCCTCAGGTCTTTGGGCTAAAATTTGAGTCATAAAACTTTTGAAATATTGAAAATTCGAAGCTTTTTTTTAAATTGTCATGCTATAGACAAAACTTGCCGAGTTTACATAATTTCAAGCTAAAATATGTTGGTTTTGGGTATTATAGGTATGATAATAGGTATTGTGGGACACAATTTACACTTTTTTAAATTTTTTTGAAGTTGAGCTGAATAAATTAAAATTGGCATTGCGCATTAGTTACAGTAAACAAAATGATACTTTTCTTTAAAATTGTGAAATATTTTGAAATTTTGAAGTTTTGTGTCACTGACTTTTCAAATGATGTGTTTTTCTGTGCTCATCTTCAACGTTTGACATTATTATTAAAATAAATTCACATTTACTCTACTATAAGATCAGTTTGACTTTGCAAATCCTACAATTTCCTTTACCAGGGAAGCCCTAAATTGTAGTCATTACTTACTCCTCATGGCCACTTAAGTCTAATCATCCTCTCTTTAAGGGCCTCACTCAGAACAATCGACCGGTTCAAAGACCAGTCCACATGCCCGAGGCAAGACTGGACCTCGAGCAGAAGGAGCCGCTCAAAGAGGAATCCGTGATTCAGGAGAAGTTGGACCAGTACCACGATAGGACGTTGGTGTTCGAGAATGAGGACAAGATCATCTACTTGTTCGACTACTGTAAAAGTGAGTCCGGTAAGTCTTTTTCTCTCACTTTCACCTAACTTTTCTTTTACTAACGAAGAACCGTGTGTAATATATTGATTTTCTGTTTATTTTAGGTATATTACAGTACTTAAGATCAAAAGTACGACGAATACAATACTAACTTTATAAAAATATACTGTATTTTAGGTAGTGGAAGAACAGAGGTACTGAATCGTCATGTCCTGAAGAAATTAAAGGACCATGACCATTGGGCAGTCATCAAGCACCCCTTCGTACTCAACTATGTAAACGAACGGATTCTTTCGTGCACACTCTTCTACGCCATCCACATCATCGTCTACTTCTTCTTCCTCTTCCTACTGTATTCCTACGTCCATTCTCCGCCGTCGATGGTCAAGAATCTCATCGTGACTACCATCATTGGCTTCTTTGTCTTCTTCATGTTGATCAAGGCGACGTTGAAGCTTCAGAAGGGCTGGAGTGCCGTATCGTTCTGGTTTAAGATCTCGTACGCTTTCAACCTGTTAACCTATGCCCTGACATTGTTCTACGTATGGTCGTTCTACTTGTTCAACTTCGACAACTACAACCAGGAGATCAAGAGGACGGTCAGCTGGTTTCTGCCAATCTTTGCCATCCTCAGTTCGTGGATCAACTGTCTGTACGTGCTGAGGAAGAGTCCGTGTGGTACTTACATCTTGATGATGAGCAAGATCCTCAGAAGCTTTTTGGGTGTAAGTGAATTACTTTTATAGATGATTTGACATTTAGGACCGATTTTATGTTCTTCATGCCAGCTTGGCCAATAAGTTGGCATTTTTCAAATTTTTATTATAATACCTTTCTCTCAACAACATGGTACCTATAGTAGAATAATATTGCCATTACCTTTCAGACAACAGTCATTTGGATTCCGACGTTATTGTGCTTCGCCTTCTGTTTCCAGCTGATTATGAGAGACAGTGGCACTCAGCCATGGGACGATCCAGAATACGGTAACTACTCGTCCAACATCTTCATGGCCATGTTTCAATCCTTCACCAAGACGTCAGCTATGATGATTGGAGAAGTCGAGGCCAACGATATCCTGGAGCGAAAGACTTGGATCGCGAACCTGCTTCTGATTGCCTTTGAAGTTATCACTGTCATCTTGCTCATGAACTTGATGGTACGTGAATGGGTTTACTAGCTATATGATACGGCAAAAAATATTACTTTTTGCCGTTTCATACAGTATTGTACTGTATATTGTTTCATTCAAACATTGTAGTCATATAATGTATATTCTTTTAGATTTCGCTTGCTGTCGGCGATGTAAGTGACCTCCGTGTTTCGGCGGAAGAGTATTTGTTGCGAATCAAAGTAAGTAAATTCACAACTAATTTTTTAAAATTTTTATCACTTTTGATAAATCATTACTTATCATTATTGATAAATTTCTACTTTGTGATAATGTTCTATCTCCTTACTGCTTATATTGTTTTAGGTAAACTTCTGTATTGAAGCGTTACACTTGTCTGAGCAAGTGAGTCTTCTGGATTGTCTACCTTTCATCCAAGTCCTACATCGTGCTCAAACCAACAATGTTCTAGTGTTGAATAAAAACAACGACGACGTTTTCTCTATGCATATCAAGGCAATTCGTGAGTTTTGATTATGTTTGTTGATCTTTTAGAAGAATTTTGAAAATTCAACAACAGATTTTATAAAATTGGCTTCTGTACAGCCTTGATCTTTTTAACACTTCTTAAAATCCCCCAAATTGTAGGTGGTCGCTTCTTCACGGAAGAGAACCTGTTCCCACCTCACAAAGAAGAAGTCTTCGAACTTGTGATGAATGCTACTGGCCTCAAGGTCCGCAAAGATCTCTGGAACACCAAGTCTACCGTGATGGCCCTCAAAGACCTCACTTTCAGAATGACAGAGACTACACCCTCAGGCATCAGACTGGTCAGGAATAAAGATCACGGCAAAGAACTGCTCACGTTCATTGACCCTGAGGGCAGCTGGAGGAAGTTCCAACGATGGCTGATTGGTCTCAACTGGAAGGCTTTGCTTCTCAGCTAAAGTTTGAATTAATATACATTTACTTTGTGTTAAGTTTCTTGAGTAGGGTTAACTTCTGAACTGATCTTTGATGGTTCATTTTATCGTTTTTGTCTAAATTACCTTGCTTTACCTCCAAAAGGGCATCTTATTGATGTTATTTATATATCTGAGCTCAGGAATTCTAAAATTCACAGCTCAATAATAACATGTACCTAATATTAAACTGTAAATTTTAGCTGTATTTAGACTTTAGAAGTCTAATACACAATTGTATAGCGCCCAATTTCTATTATAATATCTAAAACAATATCGCTAAATTCACTGTCAAAGTATTTATTTTTGGGGGCTCAGGTAGTATAGTACCCCGTGATATTATAATACCCCCTGCAATATTATAGTACCCCAACTCAAATTTATTTATTTTAAAGTATATTTTGTGGACAAAGCGGTCTAAAATGTCTTCGTGTCTACTTAGTGGGGTACTCAACTACTTAGTATAGTACTATACTAAGTAGTTGAACACCACACTAAGTAGTTGAGTACCCCACTAAGTAGATGAGTACCCTACCACATAGCTTGGTACTATACTAAGCAGTTGAGTACCCCACTAAGTAGATGAGTTCCCGACCACAGAGTTTGGTACTATACTATGTAGATGAGTACCCTGCCACAGAGTTTAGTATAACACTAAGTATTAAATATGTACAAACGAATTTAACTTACCTAGAAAAATCGTGTTCGTGAGCAAACGGTGCAATAATCATAACCAGACCAACGCGGGCCCTACGGGCCCGCTATGGTCTGTGCATTTTGTTGTATTTTAATTTTTATACATTATTTTTGAATTCTTATGAACTAAAAAAATTGTTGAATTTTTTTAAGAAAAAAAATGGCGCAGGGTCTGTAAAAATCCTGCGCCATTTCAGCAAAAGTTAAAAAAATGGAGCAGAATAAAGAGAAAATCCTGCTCCATTTTAATCAAAAAATTGTTTGAAACGAATTGTGAAAAATGAGTGGCAACAAAAATGAAAATATTACAGAATAGTCGTAAAATTTTAATCCCGCTATTAAAATTTTTAAAAAAATTAGGATAAAGAATCGTTCATAATATGTATTTTTAAATATTATTTAAAAATACTAAATAAATTTTATTTTTTAAGTTAGACATAAATATTTTCAATAAATAACATTTGGTTCCTTCAATCTTGGTGTTTCTTGGTAGTTTTGTAGCTTCTCAGCTGCTTCATGGGTTGGGGTGGCTTCAAGGTTTCCATTGGAGTGGAGTTTTGTTGTTCTAGTGGAATGGTCGAAGCGATCGATTGAGAAGCCAGCGCCAGCTCCAGAGATTCGGCAGAAGTTGAGGGTTGATCATCTAGCGAAACGGTCGAGCATTGATGTTCGGTCAACTGGGAGTTAGAAGGTGAAGCGGAAATTTCAACATTTTGAATCTTTGGTAAAGGTTCATCATCAGCTTTGGTTGAAACACGCTTTTTTGGAGTACCGAAAACGTTTTCCATGTTGAAGGACTGTCCATTACGTTCAGCGATCAACGAATCGTCATAGCACTCAACGCCTAAAAATTTCATTGTATCTTCTGCAGGAAAAACATTTTAGAGTAAAGATCAAACATACATTTGTCTCTGTAAATTCCACACAAAGATATGGGAGTAAAAAGCTTTGGAAAGGTCTTGTTTTCGCGCACTGACAAAACTTTTACCATCAGCCTATGTCCCAAATCGTTGCAAACGTAACCACAAAAAACACCACCATTGCGGCCTTGGGTTGGAATAACTCTCATGAAGACATCTTTAAGTCCTAAAATCATAATTATATTGACAAAAAAAAGACAAATTACTAATTTGAGTCGATTGCGGCGTAGTATGGAGCTGTGAAAAGGTCAAATCAATGTAGAGTTGTGGATTAACTATGTCGACATTGTCACTTTGTCCCAAGTCCTCAATTGTACTCAAGGCGGTGAGTTGTAGTTGGTAGTTACAGTCGCCGACACGATATCGTTCCTCCTTATAGATGACACATTTCAAATTAGTCATTCGAATTTTCTGAACAAATGATATAGAATTTTAAAAAGCAAAAATATATTTACAAAACTAAACTTACTTGTCCAGAGGAAAGGTCGCTATCTTCTGCATACTAAGCCATGTCTCCAAAAGCCGCTACATCTGCTACCTTTTTGTCAAGGAGGGACAACGTTAATTTGTACAACATCACCTGTTTTGGTCCGACATTTCGAAGGTGGTCAATTGTCCGGACGTAACCAACAACATCTCCTAAAAGTTGGGTTGTCGATTGTTCGTTGATGTAGTCAACGGGAGTGAGAGGCCAATCAACCATTATCCGTGGAACAGTCGACAAAGGCAAGAAACTGGCACGAAAGGCGGAGTGGAACGGTCGAAGACGGTGCACCAACCGTCAAAACAAAAAATGAGCATTTTTTTGAAAATTCAGTGCTTTTATAGTGAAAAAATTATAGAAAAATTAGCATAAAAAGTAAAGGTTTTTTTGTATAAAAATTAAAAAAAGTTGTTGTTTTCTAACAAAAGTTAATTTAAATCAAGTATTTGTTTATACACAACATTCACAACGTCATTTGAGTCATCTTCTACTTGTACTTTAACACAATTCCAATTTTGAACTCTGGAAAGAGCGACATACAATTGTCCATAGGTAAAAACTTGTTTTTTGTTTAATTTAAGCCCGATTTTTTCAAAGGTTTGGCCTTGAGACTTGTTTATAGTCATGGCAAAAGCTAACCTTATAGGATTCAGGTGTAGAATTTTCTTTGATAGGCAAAATTTGTCTAAAATCTCCGCCTAATAACATTACTTTCCCACCAAATGGTTTTTTACTTCCTGTAAATTCTTGTAATGAGCGGTCAATAGCTTCAAGTATATGTTTACTTATCATTGAGGCTTCGTCAATAATAAAAACGGAAGTGTTTATTAATTCTTGGCATTGTTTTGATCTTTTACTCAAATTTGATATGCTGTTACTATCCATTTCTAAAGGAAACTTAAACGTACTGTGTACTGTATTACCATTTGGCAACAATGTCGCTGCGATCCCCGTAAATGCCATACAAACGATATTTTTTTTCAACCCTTTAACAATGTTGTAAACCGTTTTATAAACAAACGTTTTGCCGGTACCACCTGGTCCATCCAAAAACAAACATTTGTTTTTTACATTTTTGTCTTCTACCATACTCAGTATTCTTTGAATCACATTTTTTTGATCAAGATTGCATTTTTCAAACATTTCTTTCCCTTTATTTTCAAAGTTTTCAAAAGAATTATTATCTTCCGTTTCCATTTCTAACTCTAGTTCAAAATTTTGCAGTTGTTCATTTGAGAACGGCACAGCCGAATCCATTTCAAAATCTTTAAAATTTTTACCGTTTCTGATAAGAATTTTTTCAATAAAATTATACGCAATTGTATAACCTTCATCGCCATATTTTCGGACACAATCTTCAGACAACTCAGTTTTGAACAATTCGTACAGTTCTTTGGGATTCGTAGGCGAACAATGGATGAACAACATGGCAAACAAAAACCTTAATTGTCTAGGCATTTTGAAAAAAGCTGCTTCTTTCATAGAATTAATGTAATCTTTGTCATCTTTAATGTAACCTCTTGCTAAGCAAGCTTTTTTATAGCTTGAATGATAAGTCCCATTTACTGTTTTTAATTCGTCAAAAGAAGTTGGATTACGAATTCGCAACAATAATAATCGAAGATGGAACGATTCAGCGTTTTTTGGGCTAATATTGTATATTCTACCAACCGTATTAAAATGAGCCTTTCGCTGCGTCCATTTCATTTCTTTTTGATTCCAAGTGTATTTTTGCGGCAGTTCATGATACAGTAGTCCGGTATTTTCAGTTTGGTTTAATTCGAAAAATGCCATCAGCTTTGATTTTTTCCTACTTTTTAATTCTTCAATTCTTTCAGCACTGTCACTTTTTTTAAAAAATACAGCTTGCTTTCCTTCGTCGTGTATTTCAAGTCGTTCGACCGCGTGACTTTTAACTATAATTTCGTAACCTAACAATCGCCAAACAGCCTCAGGAGCACTCAGGTACCTACATTCAATGTAGCGCTTTATTTCGTCATAAATTAAAATGTTTGCACCATCGTTAGAAACTCGCTCAACTAAAGCCTGGTCAACCCCTTTAAAAACATATTTATGCAAGTATTTGACAACCTCTATGTCCGCAACGTGTTCTACATTAATGTGGCAGTTAAATTTTTTTGACAAATGTGGAGAGTACGCGACTACGTGTCTGTTGTCAAGTATTTGACCGTCTGGAGCTGTGAATGTTACACCGTTATTTCTGCGACGATAATGTGCGTAGCCACCTGTCTTAACCCGTTTCTTCAATAAAGTTTTTCGGAAATTTTTTAGAACAATTATCGGAATTTTCGATACACGGAAACTTTTTCCAAACTTCTCCTTTACTGTTTAATTTTTTACATTGGTGCAAATTGTGTTTTGTTATAATGTGAAACAGTCTAGGATCTTCATTTTCATTAGGAATTTCGGCACGAATCACTTTGTCAATTTCTTCAGGACTTGTTAATTTTGAGTCTTGTTTTAATATAAATAACAGATGCACATGTGGTAATCCTCTTTTTTGAAATTCAATCGAACCGGTGTATGCAGCAACTTGACCAAATAATTTACTTTTGGTTACATAATTTAACATCTCTTTGTATTTTAAATTAAAAACGCGAGCAATCAAATCTGGTCGGTCAGCAGACGTTTGGCCAGGAAACAAATTGTTTTTTATTTCTGGCCATTCTGGGTTATACGTCATTGTCAAAAAAAGATCGGGTTTTCCGAAAGTTCGTGTTAATGTCATTGCGTCGTCGTACGCATTTGTCATATATCGTGGTGAACCCATTTAGCTTGATGGTAATATAAACTTTTTACCGATTTGAGCTCCAGTTTCCTCTGATTTTTGAGCCAAATATTCTTCAATATACTCGTAGGATTCAGCTATTTGTTCACTTATATTCCTTTTTATATAATCAAGTCGCTCACGATCAACATTGATATATTGATTTACAGCCCATTCTTGAAAAGACTTTCCGCCATATAAAATCGGACAGAATGGGAAATCAGATTCATCCCTTCCAAAAATTTTGTATTTTGCATACTCAGCATTTGTTATTTTTTCATTATTACATGTAAATTTAGGATGCCACCCTAGTTGTCCAGTTGGATAGAACAGTGTATATAACAATGGTTCTGCGCTTTGATGTGTAGATTTTAAATTAACTAATTTTTTCCCTCGTACGTTAACGCATATTTCATATCGGGGTACTTCGCCATCAACGCCAGCTTCATAAAGTACCGCAACTTCATTAACTCTTGGCGGATTGAAGCGTCGTTTATCAAGATGGTCTTTTAAACAAAACAAAAGCATAAACTCTGGGTTCTCGTTGTTATTTTCTGCTTTTTCCAGTTCTTCTTTTAACATTACGTATGATTTTACAAACGGATTCACAGCGCGAACGGTACGGTCTAATTCTTCTAATAATTCTTTGTTTAAGTCATTCATTATATCATATCTAATTCCACACGCCTCATCTGCCTCGACCATAAAAAGTTGACCATAACTCGGTAATTCATCTAGGTCAGGTAACGCGGAAGTGTTAAACATTTTTTGAAATTCTCCTACTTGTCTATACATATATGGGCCACCACCATTAAAGCGTACTTCTTTGGTAATAATACTACCCATTGACATGGATTTCATATATCCTCGTATATTTTTTTTGAACTCAGTTGATAATTCATGTTCATTTTTATACAATTTTTTCAGATTTTGGGGGAAATTTGCGACCGGTGGGATATCAACTTTTCCTTTTTCACAGCAACTGCTAAATTTTATATTTTTGTCGTGCGTTTCATCAATAAAATGTTTTGCTTTACAACTTGTGCATGTTAAGGTCATTTCTCCAAGGTTATGAACTTGAATTTCTGGCAAATTTGTTGTATAATCTTTTGAACCAATATTTCGACGATTAAGTCGATTTTCTCTTTGCTCAGCGTTTTCATTCTGCCGTGTTATACGACGATTTTCGTTGTGAATATTTAGTCGATTTTGCTTTTCTGTTTCTGTTTCGTTGTTGATAATGTTAAGATAACTATTTCTTCTATTTTGTAGTCTAACATTATTTTGATCAGGAGTTTCTTGTTGTCTAACAGATTGCATGTGTCTCCGATGCTGTTCTAAACGGCTTTCTCTAGCATTTGTGGCACTATCAGAAGAAGTTGAAGGCTGTTGATTGTTGTCACGGTTTCTTTGCCTTCTTTCTCTTTGCAATTCTGTCCTTCGCCTTTTTCTTTCATCAGCAATACGCTGTTCTTCAGATGGTGTACGTAAAAAGCCACGGCGCATTTTTAAGTAAATTTTATACAGTAAACTTTAGTTAACTAAACAAACTCCCGACAAATAACTGTAAATAGAAATTAGTAATGTATACGAAAAAATGTGAGTCTTAAAAAAAGAGAAACAGTCTTTGAAAATGTGAAACGGTCTCTAGTTTTAACTTGATAATATATCTCTATATCTAGAATTCTAAAGTAAACGGTTTTGTATTCTGAGTTCTTTCGTTCTAATTTCTTTCTTTCTGAGTTCTTACGGTCTAAAAATTCTGACAGTCTGGAGAGTTATTTCTGTTTCTAATTCTAATTCTTAAAACTAACACGAAAATCGTTTTAAATTGATTTACAGCAAGTTTAAACACCGTAAAAACGGGAACGACCGCTTGCCACAGTCGAAATTACGTCAAAAGAAATGTTTTTGACAATTACCATGAAATCACCAATTGTTTTTATTATACACTTTTATAACATAATTAATATATTTTTTTTATAAAAACCTCAAAATATTAAAATTCTCGTACTATTTTGCTTTTTCATTTTCAAATAAGAATTTTTTCATTTTATTTTTCACATTTCATTTTCAAATTGCGACCGCACAACTTTTTTCGAATTTTTAAAAATAAAAACGGCGGCTTCACTTTTTTGCTCACAACATACCACATTCTCTATTTATAAAGGGGATTTGATCCAGACCATTGTACCCACGCCTGACCTGTATTGTTCTTCCTGGAATGCCATAGGAATTGGTAAATCTATGCAAGGTCCTTTTGTAACGTTTGTCAACCACTTGTACCCACACGTCTACCATTGAACATACCATCAAACATTATGCGATCGAGGTCCTGAAGTGTCCGACCGTCCATGACCGCAATGGAAACGAAACAATAAATAAAATGAATCGGATTTCCGATTACGCAACTTGAAAAAAAAATAAAAAATCGTCAGAAAATTTGTTTTTTGGGGTACTATAATGCAGTAAGTTGGTGGGGTACTATATTACAACTTTTGGGGTACTATAACTCTTGAGCGCCTATTTTTGTTTTAATAAAGTAACATAAAATATATTATAAGTCTTCACTCGAGAAAGCGAAAACAATATATTCAATCAGTAACGTAAACTAAAATATTCTCAGCCATCTAACTGATGCTCTGACACTCAAAAACAACTTTTCTTATGAGATTAAACAATTTATTCATCTATTTACAAGATATGTTACAACAATATAATACTATGATATATGACTAGATACCCGTGGTGAAATTGAAGATAATTTGGCGAGAAATTGTCGTAAAATACGTAAAACTCTAATTATGGCACAGGCATTCTTTGAGGCCTTGACATTTTCTCTCCGACGGCCAGAGATGACACATTTCATAGTGTCATCACGACTATTCTAGACAAAAAAAATCGAAAATATGTCATAAAATAAGTCATAATGACAACAAAGATCACAATGTCATCCCAGCCTTACCCGTCTTTAGATACCTAATGAAAGCGGGTAGTTGATTACCGTCGAAAAGTGTCGTATGTTGCGTATGTAGGGCCGATCTTTGGTGGGATGGCATCGGTAATGGTGGGGGCATAAGCGTTGATGACAGACAACATCTGCTTCTGGCCAGACGAACTCTTCGTCTTGGCCATGCGCTTCTTCCGGAGCCTTAAGCACAGTGCTATCAGACCAAGAGTTTGGATTATGGCCAACACTAGCACAATGTAGATCCACCATGGTATCCGGGATAGTGGTGATACTGTAAAATAAAATTATGTATAAAAAGATATACTTTAACTACAGTAAAACCTATTATTGAGGTCATTTTAGGTCTTTAAACTACTTCAACACCTTTAAAACCCTTAAAAATCTACTACAATATAATAAAACTTACTGTTAACCTCTTCAGCGACAACAGGCTGTACCAATTCCACGTTCTCAACGTTCGGACAGTGGCACTTCCGTCGTTCAATGTGAGATTTGAGTGTGGTACAGTTACAGATGCCGGTACCATCAACAGTCAGCGCTCCGTAAGTGACATTCCTGAACTTGTCTTTGTTGATCTTTGGCATTTCGGTCTTCGTAGCTTCAGTTGTTGTTGTAGTCGTGTCTTTGGGCTTGTCGTGTTTCTTTGCTTCAACACAAACCGCCGGTTGTCTCGAAAAAATGTCTTGGAAGGCTAGTTTGGAGCGGTTACTGAAACAATGTCGCTATAGTAAGCAAGGAACATGCTTATAAAAGATTGAAGTTAGCTCAATATTATATCAAGTAAAAGTGTAGCAATAGACATGATAACTTACCTTGGTAACGTAGATGATCTACATTGCCCTTGTTTCCAGTAGCAGTGAGGATCTCTTGAGTTTACACAGTCTTCGCAAGTGTCGTATGTAGAACATAAATGCAAAGGCAGTCGGTATACCACCGGATCCGTTACCACTATCAGATATCTGTTTTGGGTTATCAGAAGACGACGAATTGGCAGCTAAAATTACAGTTTACAATATTAACGAAGACAAAAAACTTGAATATAAAACAACCTATCTTCTTTAAAAAAATTCTTTTACTACGGTGTAACATTATAAACACACAGTAATAACTTCATAAATGATATTACCTCCAAAATAAAAAAACCCATAAAATAAAAAAAAACTCACATTACTGATTTTGTAGACCGCCACCTGATGAATAGGATCTCTGTCCGTTGAATTCATACCCAAATTAGTCATCTTGATAACGTTGCCTTGATCAGTACCAACATAGAGAACATCAACAGGTCCATCAAAACTCGAGACTCCTTCGAGAACAACGATCTGATTGTAGTTGTCGCTTCCTCTGTAGATCCCAACAGCTTTTCCGAATAGATTAGGTACAGAATCAGCCATCAATGGCGTCTTCCTCATCTGGATGATCTCTTCTTCACTCAGATCTCTTGAATTGGCACTACACTGTCCCAACTTCTGAGTGTTTGGATTCTCGTTTCTAGGCTTTCGTGTCCATCTTTTTGATTCAAAATCCATAGATAAGATATCAGATGTCGCGAATAAACGGTCGATCTCCTCGATGCCAAAAGCACAGACTACGGAATGGCGGAGGAAATTGAATTCGGATACAAATGTGGCGTACACCATGCTTTTAGGCTTGCCATGCCAGTTGTGAGTGATGGAGGAGACAGAGATTATCTAAAACAATATATTTTTACAAAAATGGGCAAAAAATACTTCTCGATTTTCTTGAAAAAAAAGTAAAATATTATTTCATTTTATTTTTCTTGTGAAGTTTTGCTGTTTTGGCGTTTTGTTGCAAGTTTACCCAAAAATACAAAATTTTGAAACCTTTTTTACATTCTTACAATTACCGAACAAAATTTACTGGACATACCTCGTCAAAGTAAAATGGCTTGTTCTTTTCCGGAATCGAGCAGTTCAGTCGAGCTTTAGTAAAAGATGTCCATTCAGCTTCGTATTCTTGAGGACCACCATTGTCGTTCTTACAGACTCTGGCTACTCTCGAATGTGTTGTAGCATCCGAAGATTCAGTCGCTTCTTCACGGAAGAAAAAGTAAATGTACTGAAAACGGTATATTGAAATTATTGTAATTATTTTCAAGTTTTTATTGCGTAAAACGTAATTTTTCTTAATTTTTGTATATTTTGTTACCTAAATTATCGTTTTTCATGTTTTTGTTAATCCCATGGACAAAGTTTTTCAATTCAAATGTCATAAAACAAGGTAAGTGTTTTTGTATTTGCATGAAATTTTAGATTCATCTAACAGCCATGACCCTCAATTACAATATCCAAAATGGAAGCAAACGGGTTGTGCTACAAGGTGAGATCGTTATCTCCGACTGTAGTCTTGTTTTTATCAGCGCCGCTCACCTTTTCCGACTGAAGGGTACCCACGAACTGAGGCTTGTTCAGGAGCATTATATTCTGTCGCTGCGTTCGTATGCCTCGGTCTTCTGGCTTTGTTATGTTTCGACGGAACACCAGAGCGTCGTTTCCATCAAAGTCGGCGACTAAAATGGAAGGAGTACAGTGACATAATGAGATGAACATACAACAATAACATATCGAAGAGAATAGCATATAAGGATTTAAAGAAGGTCATTTAAATAACCATGTAAAATCTCCCGAAATTTTATAATAAATGTAGCTGTTAATTATAAAAGAGATATAAAAGTTAACTTACCAGTAGCTGAATATAGCAAGTCACCGTCTCTGAGGAAAGATGTGTTGTGTCGAGGATCTAAAGGTGATATTCCAGTTCCAATGAACTCGACCAGTGTCTCGTGTCGGCTGTTGATCAATCTGCACGACGGCTTAAAGGCATTTGTTCCACAGATCAGTAGCGTGCCGTCCTTTTCAGAACGTGACAATACTCGAACGTAGTTCCGGCAAGCAGTCTAAAACAATATAGTTTAATATGCTACTACAGAAATGTTAAAAAGTTTTTTGAAAAACATTTCACGGTTATTACAGTTATTGTATACTGCTTATGTACCTAATCATACTATCTTATTTTATATAGATGTTATGTAATGCTATACTGTACTAACCTGATCAGCGGTTTTCATGTTACAATCATTGATTTCCTTCTGTCCACTTGGCCATTCGTAGAGTGATATCCTCTCGAATAGGTCGATACTGATGTTGTGCACATTGTCACTACAAAAAATTCATAAATCAAAAAACTATTGATGTTATGCAGCCGTATTTGTTAAGAAAAATTTGAAATGCTAGGGTATCATTTAAAAACCTACGCTGCTCCAATAATAAGATGTGCATCGTCGATTTCCAGAAGTCTGAAGTAGTCTACTGATGCTGCATCTCCGTACTTTCGAAATTCGACTGGTTGATTTTCTGAAACATTTTTCTTATTTTTTGCCATTCTTTTTTGTACTTTTTGACTGTTTAGGAATGTCACACCCATGACAAGACACTAATTGCAGTCTGTTAAGTAGATTTACACAGTAAAAATGTTTTGTCGCCGTTTTCGCTTTCGCATAATAATTAAATATCGGAAAATGCCCTGAGGGATTTAATTCGAGTTAAATGATCCACTTTCACTTCGCCCTACTTCCTGTAACTGAGGTCAGTAACCGCGGTTAAGCTAAGTAAGTGGGCATGGTAAGTGGAGCCGTTGGGGGGTACGATCTGGCGACACTTAAACACGTTTTAACGACACTTCACACGCAACGGCCTTCTGAAGCCGAAGTCTTTGAAGGAGGTGGTTTGGAGTAGATAATGAGCCGGTTCTTATCGCTGCTTTTATCTAAGGCGACGCTAATCCCACTAATCCTCCCAAGACGGTTCAAGCTGTGCTCAGGAGGTGAAGGGTGATTGTTTTGATAGACGATTGCACAACATACCAACATGATCTTATATACAAAAAATTATTGTTTTGAGTAACGATGATATGTCATAATTCATTGATATGGATAATGTTTTAAAGTCTTAATATGGACAATGAGATATCTACCATATGTTTTATATCCCTCGTTTCTATCCACAGTAAACCTGACCTCCTTGAGATAAAACAAAAAGGTTACTGAGTAATTCCCGAAATTAAGTGCGTTGAGGGATTTCCTGTCCTTGTGGTTAATCAAAGGAGAAAGAGGCTCTAATTTAAGGATGAAACGACCTTCCCGGAATGGACATCCAGCGGTGAATATCGAATATCAGAGGGAGTCACCAGGGCAAAGGTCAATAAACACTTACTCAGTAAACAGTTCATGACGACTGTTTTACATGGAAGACACTATGTTATATATGATTTTAGATTTCATTATAAAGCATAAAAATTATAATGAATAATTTTAAAACGGATAAAAAATTTCAAAAATAAAACATTTAAAAATATTTTTAAATTTTTAAAATTCAAAAACCCACCTGGTATCCTGAGATCGTACTCCCTGGGATCGGCCGTCACCAAAGTTAGAAGCCAGAAGAGAGTGAAGCCGGTTTCCGGTGCATTCATTGTTCTTCTCGATTCTCGTTCATCTCAAATTAATTTGAATAAATAAAATATCTTGATGTGCCGCGCGCCGTTTAATTGTAACAGTAAAGGCATCTTTAATATAAGTCAAGTCAGGATTATAATATAAATCAAGTAATAATTTTTGATTACATTAAAAGTAAGATGAGTAATAGTAACCACGAGAAACAAGTAATAGCGAAGTATTTTTAATCACAGAGTAAACTTCAAACAAAATTTGATTAAAAGTTTGATCAGAAAAAGTAAAACAAGGTAAAACAAGATAAAATACTTCAAAAAATGTAAAAAAGTTCAAAAGCACAAACCTAAAACGTTAAAACGCGTAAAACGACAATCTGAAAAGTGTTAAACAAGGCAGTAATCGGTCAGCAGAAGTTAGTAAGTGAAAACGTCAAAAAACCGAGTGCCCGACACATTTTTGTAACCTTGGCGAGGCCGATTGATGAGGCAAATTAAGCGTTTAGAGGGACCGTTGCTTTCCTAGCCCGCCTGCCTTCCCTCGCTGTTCCCAAAAACGGCGAGAAAACCTTAAGGAGGTACCCCTGCCCTCGCCGAAAAGGCGGAGCAAATCCAGAAAATTGGCGGCGATCCCGGCCGGCGATAAGCCCTCAGGTGCGAAACAATAAAGGTCTGCCCGAGGTGCGAAACAATCGACTGACAACAGTGATAAACTCAACGACAACGTTTGGCTACTGATCTTATCAGGAATGACATTGGAGACGCTAGTTAACAATGTCGCCATGTTACTTGAAACTGCTGTAAACTAAAAAGGACAACGCAGTCAAGGCTAAAGCGACAACAAAGTTGAACTCATTTTGTAGATAGTCTTGTTCATTTTGACATGACATTGATACCATCATATTTTTGGGTTAAAACGTTTGGTTCGAACCCATAATAACATACTACAAGCCTGTAAACTTTGTGTAACGACACTCAAATCGTCGTTTACCAGGGTATAATCACTTTGACGCCTTCGAAGGAAACAACAATACTAGTTTTGCACGTTATAATAATTGGCTAGGAAAACGTCGAGAGTCTCGGGAGTTTCGCGCTCCCATAACTAAAATAATTTGCGAAGGTCCCGCGACCAAAACCGCGCAAATAAAGACAGATCATGGCCTGAGGTATATTATAATCTGATTAGTTGTTGCCCCCTCGACAATTAACTACTAATTGACTATGCGATACCTATTCACTTATCTTCGAGTTCGCAGTAATCGAGATCATGTCCCTATCAGATTACTACCCGCGACATCTTCGACATTCAATTAGTGAAATTCTTGTCTCACGCCTCATTTGTCGCTCTATATTGCAATGGAGAAAGTGAAGATTGTGAATTAAACCTTTAATCGCCGGTAAGAATATGATTGCGCAGTCGAGGTATTCACGGTAACTACCAACGCTTCAAGTAGGTGGGTAAATTAAAGTTTAAAACCCATTCGGCAGTAAAATATACTATTCTATTACATGTTTGGAGTAAAATATATTACTTGTTTGGCTTACCACGACATGCAAACATTGACTTGATCAAGATACGAAACTACTTGGAACTAGTCAGCAATATGTAGTGTTAGCTTATAATATTGACAAAGGTTCTTTACTATATCATATAATTATGTAGCATCAATCGATATGATACCCAGAAAATTGATAGTAAATGATAACATTATCTATCAAATTAGAGTACTATTACTAGTGTTACCTAATCAAAAAAGTACAATTAACAAGGTGTATTACATCTACAGTAAAACCAACAAACCGAGACAAATGTCACTTTAATTAAATCATAATGACATAACACAATATAACGAGGAAACGGATGAGTCTAACGGCAAAAGCATCTGAATCCTCTCCGTCTTGGAGAATAAATCATCTGAAGCGGACAAAAGAAGAGGCGAATTATATTCAGTTACCCTCTACTACAATATTATTGTTCGCTGAGATGACTGTAATTACTTCAGAAGGTGTCTGTTACTTCAAAACTACTATGATAACACATTCTGGAACATGGTTGAGTTATCTGAGGGGTGGCACGGGCTTAATGTTAAGGACGGTAGACGGTATTCGGTAGTGTATAAGAAGATCAAATCATGGTCAAAATAAGATTATCACAACATTGTCAATACTCAACAGTAACACAATATAACATAAAGTCAAATACAAAGCCAAAAATTTGAATTTCACGTCAAAAGAACGCTCCCTTCCCAACAAGAACACGTACAATAACAACAAAGTAAACTCTATACGAAACCATTGTAATACCCTGTACTTCAAACCAGTCGCTCCCCCTTTCTTCCCCTGCGGCGTAATCCGGCAGAAAGTTGCGAAGACGGAGGGAAGGCATCTGAAGCTGACTCAACTGTTTGCGTTAGGCTGAGGCCATTCGCTGCGGGTCGCTGATTCCCAAAAAAACAGCTAGCGAGTCTCGGAGGAATCGCGAAGGCCGGCTAGAACACATGGCACCATAATAATTGGGATGATCAAGGTTAGACAAGGTTGATTTCTCTTTATGTGAAGACGTTGGACCTAAGCTTTTGAAATTTAATGAATTAGTTTTCTGCGCCTAAATTTTTTACAATTTTTCGAAAAACATAATATTTACCATTATATTTACTGTGGTATTACCCTGTTTATACTGGTTTGCGCCAAGAAATCCCCAAATTTCAAAACATTTTGCAATTCAACCTGAAAGCTCTTAATTAATGTCGCTTTTCGATTGTGACATTACTTTATAGAGATTAATAGTGCTGACTCAACCATTTCCCAATAAATTACCATCAGGAAGGCAACAAGTATCAGGTGTTACCATAAGAATTTGAAACATTTAGTGTTCTCAACCTAACTATAAAGGGAGAGAAAATTTAATTTTAAAATATTCAGTTTCTCTCTTATATCAAAAATGTTAAAGATCAGCTCATACGTGAGAATATTACGGTAGTCTATTTACATCATGGTTTCGTTACTATTTATAACATTTCAAAAATGTAAAAACCAAAATTACTACAAGCAGAATCAACTGAAGATACAAAAATAGAACCCTTAAAAGTGCAAGAATACAACAATTTCTACAAAAATCAAGAACCCATTACTTTTCAACCGATACCACAAGAATAGCGATTGCTGACCAGCCCAACATACGACGATGAGTCAGTAGTATTTGTGCCCACATATCTTGACGATATGAATCTCAGGCTCACGGCCCATCAACGTCACAAATCTAGACGTGGAAGGGGGAATAATTGCGGAAAGAGAAAGTATACTTCCGATTATGTACACAAACATTGCGCAACATCAGAGAGCCTTTGTAAAGGATAATATTATTCTAAGGTATCCTTTCACGGTTTCCGACACGAGTGGCTTCTGGAGTCACTCTTCCTGACAAAAGATAACGTGTTTTCGGTTGAATATGAGGGAGTTACGGTGAAAAGAGGTGGATATACGTGTTCTTACTACTATATTGTACTTTAAAATATAAAAGTTATCTTTGCTAAAAGTACAAAGGTTTAAAAAATTAAAAATACGAAATTTAGAGACAATATAACACAGCAAAATAAATTTTTAATTCCTTAGCAGTCTTTAAAATATTGTTTTGTGTAAACGCTTCTGTAATCAGATGGTTACAGTCATTCTTCAACTATGTTATACACAATCAATCATGCATTACCGTAAAATAATTTACAACCCCCTAAGCACTGTAAAACCCAATGATAAATTTCTTTTACACTTTTTGCATTCCATCTCCTAATACTACCCTACTTTAACATAGTTTAGCCTTTGTTATGGCTACCATTGAGTAGTATATGACTAAGTTAAATAACCAATGCGTAGTATACTTACTACTAATTTTTGAAGCTATAACCTAATTAAATCAACCCAATGACTAACTCAATACTCGAAAATGCTTTAAATAAACCCAATCATAACCTCGTAAACAGCAATCACGTTACGAGATTACCACAGCACATTATACGATTACCATTTACACCTCACGTACACGACTATTACAATATAAAGTTGTTTTACAAAACCCAAAACGACAGCGCGCAAAGGAACGCCGAGAACGGTGGTGTAAAGGCAGGGATTTAATCCCATTAGAGACATGAACGACCCAGTTACCGAGGCTAATCATGAGGTCGGCGGAGACCTATAAAGCTTATCGACCAGCGCATCGGCCTGCTTTTCCGGCACTCTCGAGTTATCGTCGAGAATCGAGGTGGAGGAAGAATAAAAACATTAATAGAGAAGGCTTTTAAAGATGGTACGAAGATTATTGTTGACATATTCATAGAAGTTTTCAATAAGGTACAAACAATAGACTAAGATAGGAGAAAAAGACTATGTTATACTTGAGAAGTACATATAGTAGTATAAAAGTGTAGACGTTAAAGCATGCTCTGTTAACTTTCTATCACACAACATTGTATACAAAAGATAAATACCAATATCTTTCACGTAAAGAGAAAAAAAAATTGACCAATATGCCAATATGACACCAAGTAAACATACAGTATGCATACTAGCTACTTCTACTGTCTAAACCACTAACAACAATCATTTATAAAAGTCTCGAAACCAATAGCGACAATCTTTATAAATCAGTTTTGAACTGTTAAAATCACAGTAAGTAGTAGTGTTATAATGGTGATATCACCCCTGTTTTAATAGACATATCAGTCAGCGATCGTTCCCAGAAGATTAGAACGATGGGACCGTGAGATAAACGACGGATCGCTCCTCGAAACAGTTTTACAATCTCCCAACCCTAAGGGCATATTTCGACAAAATACAAGTTTACAGCGCTGTAAATCTAAGTACGATCATCACGAGGTAGACATATTTCGTAGTAAGTTGACTAATTATAGTAGCAAATTACATATGTGATTAAAATTAGCATAGTACACTTAGTATTATGCACTGTCTAGCAAAAGATCATAGCTACTACAATATATAATACAATAGAATATTATCAGAAAAGTATTTGAAATTAATATTAAAAATTTATACGTTATATAATAGATTACACAGAACAGTTAAAGCCGCGTACAGTAACCCGGTCAGTAATTAATTTCAAGTGTTTATACAAGACCCTTCCACAACATAAAGTAGAGTCAGGAAGAGCAATATTGTAAAGGAGAAGATCGCCGCAGGACATTTGAATCTGTCAAAAATAGTCAAAATCATACAAAAGTAGTCGAAAAAGTTGAAAAGGTTTGTTAACCCATATAAAAAATAAAAATAAAAGTACAAAAGTTTTATTGGTCAAAAAGTTTGTAGAAACCTCGAGAAACCCCTATGCTTTTTATTACAATCATAGTAAGACTGCGTTTTATAGTTTCGACCATAAATATACATTAAGATTTTATACCTAGAACATTTTCGTATTTTAGGTATGAAAATCATAATTTGTACTTAATACCTACAAAACAGTAAGACAAAGAGTGTTTATCAGCCCGATTGATTGTTGTTACTTTTAATTGCACGTTAAGCGAAGAGGACGCAAGCCGGAAACTGTAACATATCCAGATCCGATTTCCCGGCGTTTTAACAAACAACAAAGACCGCTTCCCAGAAGAAAATATTTTTGGCCGTTATGCTGAAATCTCTCGAAAAAATGGCTGCGAAGATGGATAGAATTACCGTAATTAAGCATCCCCACTTATTATCATAACTCTTGAGCAAACACAGGTCGTGTAAGATCATGTTCGTGTTTCAGGTAAAGGTAAAGAACTTAAATTTTGAAAACTTGATCTCTAGAACAATATTTGATATCAGATGGGATAGGTAAGGTCAAGAATTGTCACGATTAAAAAATTTTTTAAACAGCAAGTTGTGAATAACATAAACAAGGCTATACCATAAGTTTTACCACACAACGAAACATTTAAAACAATATTTTGTATAAACCAATCCTGAAACCGAACAAGGTTCACCTCCCTCAACGCACAATCCCGTTTCAGTAAAAAAGCGTTTAGTAAAATTTAACTGCCCTCAAGCCCTTTGTTACAAGATACCAGGTTACAATGATTTCGGCGAACCTTTTGACTTTGGAATAAGTTTTCGCTCAGAATAATATTTGTTTGGCTGACCTTCAGCTGAACACAATGCGAGGATAAATATTAGTAATTCCACAAAAGAGTTTGTAAACCAGGTCAGGTAAATTATTATTTATTCGACCAGTAATTGAGTCAATCAACGGTTACTCAACGTCTTTCTTAAACCCATCCAATTTGAATAATTTTAGGTATTTCGAGAACAAAAAATTGGTTGCAAAACACTTAAAACTCGAATTTTATGAAGGTTAAGTTTAAAAATTTAAACGAAGATTTTCCAGAATGCCTATTTTAAAAATATTTTTACAAAATATATTTTTTAATTATCATAGTATATCAACTGAAGGCCAGATAGCAACCCTGAATTACACGTTCCAATTCGTTTCACTTGCAAAAGAAGCGGAAAGAGCCGAGTGCGCTTTTGGTGCAGTGGACAGTGAGAAAACCTTTCGTTCGGAACCTCGCGGGTTCGAGTCTCACATCTTTAAAACAGTTGGGTCGATGGCCAATATCGCTCTGACCACCTACAGATGTAAAAACAATGTTTACAGAGGCATTAGGTCCCTTTACATCTCCAGTAGAGGTATCTGTTATTGTTGACGTACATTTTGTAATTTTTATATTCTTCATTAGTAAAAACTGATAAAAGGTATTATTATATTGCTATATTGTTTACAGTTTTTTTAATATTATTGTTACTTTTATCTGTTGAAACATTTTATTTTATTATAATTTGGAACATATAAACCACAAAAAGCTGTTAAATATAACAAAACGTTTAAAAAAGTGAACATTAGAGCCAGAAACGTATAATAAATTATAAGTAAAACATTATGGACTACTGCTTTAAAGTTCGTTGTAAAGTCTGAAAAGAATAAAATAAAATGTCAAGGAAACACTTTTCCAAAAGCTAATATTACACTGATACGGCTTCAATAATCAAGAGCTTTGCTGAAATGTTTTCGTATAAAAAGGCTTTCAGTCTGCAGCGGTTTTTTTCGTGATGCGGTCTGCGCCCTAATCCCAAAAAGAAATAAAAAAGATTTGGCCATTTTTGTGTCCTTGCTTGTTATCTCCATATTTGTTACTTGTTTCTTGTTGAATTGTTAAATTAATTAGAAAAGCATCTCAGTATTCTACAACAACACTAAGGTTATATTGTACATCCACTTATTTGACCAGTATCATCTGGATATTAGACTGAAAAGATCGTATTTACTGAACGCTTCATAGAACTTGTATTTACATAAAGAAGGAGCCAATTATCTACATCAAAACAAGGAATTAACTAAAGGTGAGATATGTGTTCACAGACATGTTTACTATAGATAAAATCTGGCCGTTCACTTGGCCGATTCCTTTGTTTGGGGTCATAAAAGGTCCAGTTGTATTAAGGGGACGTTCTCTGTTCGACTGTCACTTTACTACAATGTACTTGGTCTTAGCTCCGTCTTCGGATATCTTCTTGTTCTCCTTATTATAGGTGCCTTGAAGACAATATCTAAATTAAGTAGGGTTTATTTGTAAACCAAGTTTATTCAATACCTATTCGAAGTGTATTAAACAATATTTGACTTTAAGCGGTGATATTAGGAGCCAACAGATGGCTTTTTCAAGGACACGATCATCTTAATTTCACAATCTCTTTTTTCACGTGAATTATTACCTAAAATGGAAATAACTTTGTTATTTTAGAAGGCGGGAATCTTCTTCAGAAGTCGCTGACCACTTTTAAACTTCATTATATTTTCTTATTAAAGGGTAAAAGTTTAATATCTTTAAATTAGGTTTAAGAAATTATAACTTTACGTTTCACAATGTTAGTGGTATTAACGTAAATATTGTTTTATAATGTAAATAATAACATATGTTTCTAATAAGTTTTGGCGGGAAATTATATAGTTTGATTGATAAAGGCAGATCAAAGAACTGGGAAATCGCGCGACTTTAGAACCTAGAAGCTGCCTCTATTTAAAAATGGCAATCTTTGTGAGAAAGCCTATTCCGACTTTCTAAAAACAAAATTTCGAATTGGGACAATAGGCCAACTTAAAAGAAACACATTTTGTAGATGGACCATTTTATAAGTTTCCATTCAAGTTTAAATCGTTTTTGTTAAAAGGCTATTCTTATTGTAGGCTTTAATTACCTAAATCTTGTTGTTTTTAATATTATTTTGGTCAAAAAGTAAGCAGAATGATCAAAAATAATGTCATAGCAAAGATACTACGCACTTTTTGACCGATTCTGCTAGATTTTGTTATTTTAAAGGACATTTCAATGTTTTTTGTCTAAAATGTTGATAATGATTTATAAGGTGCATCAAAACAAACTGATTGTCCATTAAATTGATAAGACTTTTGAAACGAGCGCGAACTGATAAGAAGATGGAGTACGAACGTCTGGGGAACACTTCTCTGTACTTTCAGTTTTTTGATTAAATTTCTTCAAATTCGGCAAATTATTTTTAAAACTATTATATTGTAGTAAGGTTTAAAGTTTTTTTAATTATATTGTTGTAGATTAAAGTTTAAAGTCAAGGTTTTGCATAATTAATCTATTTAAGATTTTTTTGATTTGCATAATACGAGAATTTAAGTAAAATTAAAACAACAAGATAACTAACTTAAAAACGTTGTTATTCTTACGTAAAGCATATATTATGCTTGTGGGCCTACTACAACATGTTTTCGAATGGGTGGTACTTGTCTATCTATTGTTACATAAGAAAACACTGGTTGGGGTCATTGCGATAAGAAAAGGGACAATCAGCGTCTGCCTTGTTGATTGCTGAGTTTGGCTTTTCTTCCTTCTAGTACGTCACTTGTTACCTTGTTTAAATATCTTTATTTTCTTTTCTTTTTTCCAGACTAAAAATTGACCAAAACTTTATTTCCAGGGTTGAACTCTGTCCCTTGATGGTTCACAGTGACTTTGACATGATGAACGCCCGTCTGATCCTAGAGGACGGTACTGTATTCACTGGTCATTCCTTTGGCGCCACCCAGTCCACCGTGGGAGAGCTGGTGTTCCAGACTGGAATGGTAGGCTACATCGAGTCGCTGTCTGATCCGTCTTATGCCAAGCAATTCCTGACCTTAACCTACCCACTGATCGGCAACTACGGAGTGTCTGACATTACTCTCAAGGACAAGTTTGGGCTTCCCAAAGGCTTCGAAAGCAGTAAAATATGGCCGGCGGCACTGATTGTGGACAGAATATGTCCAGACAACGAACATTCACATTACCTGGCTGTCAGGAGTCTGAGCGACTGGCTACGCGACAATGGAGTTCCAGGATTGAGTGGTATTGATGTGAGGGAGTTGACGAAGAAGGTACGAGAGCAAGGGTCGATGAAGGCCAAGTTGATCATCGAGACGGACGATGAGAACAAGTTCGAGTTTGTCGACATCAACAAGGACAATCTGGTCGCTGAAGTCACGAGAAAGGTAAGAAATAAGGCAGAATTACTTTTATAAAAATTATTTTCCTAAAACGCATAATTATGGTTTAGTAGGTGTTTCTTTAATTAAATTTTAAAATTTCAGTCCGCTGAGACTTTTGGCAATGGAAAGGTAAAGGTATTGGCCGTGGATTGTGGCCTCAAGAACAATCAGATCAGATGTTTGGCCGAGAGAGATTGCACAGTCAAGGTGGTACCTTACAATCATCCAATCGAGAAAGAAATTGGTCAGTTTAACATTTTTTAATATTGTTATATTAAAAAAAATTAATCTTAATATAAGAGAAGTATGTTGTTATTGTTAAAGGTCTGCTGAATATTAACTTTGGCTGCTGTTTATTTTGTTATTCTAGTAGTTATGAATTGTAAACTGTAAAAGTTACTATTAGGTTGTTCACATAGTTCTGCACCTTCTTGCCCCGCAAATTTGCTTTGAGAGAGGACGCAGGATTAAGTGAACAACCTAATAAAAAGTACTTTTTTAATAAAAAAAAATGTTGCAAAGTGGCAGTTTCAGATGACTTTGACGCTTTGTTTTTGTCCAACGGTCCAGGAGATCCCTCAATGTGTTCAGAAGTCATCCAGAACTTGGCCAAGATCATCCAGAAACCCAACCCAAAGCCAGTTTTTGGCATTTGTCTAGGCCATCAGTTGTTGGCCAAGGCTGCTGGAGCCACAACATACAAGTTGAAGTACGGTAACCGTGGACACAACCAGCCGTGTGTTCATTCTGATACCAAACGGTGCTACATCACTTCCCAGAATCATGGATTCGCTGTAGATGAACACAGTCTGAATCCACAGGAATGGATGCCATTGTTCACTAACGCTAATGACAAGACTAACGAGGGTATTGTGCATCTGGACAAGCCTTTCTTCAGGTATGTTATAGCTGTGCAGCGTTATTTTACTACCTTACATTTCGATTATACACTTTATATTACTATTTTACTAACCTATAATCTAACCTATATTACTTTAGTGTCCAGTTCCATCCTGAGCATGCAGCTGGCCCAACCGACATGGAGCTTCTGTTCGACGTCTTTGTGGCTACAGCTCAGGCTTACAAGAACGGTGAGAGGATCAAAGTGCGACAAGCCATTACTCAAAAACTACAGTTCGACTCTAACTACGATCCAGGACAACAGCAGAAGATCTTGGTCCTCGGCTCCGGAGGTCTGTCCATCGGCCAAGCTGGTGAATTCGATTATTCTGGAGCCCAAGCCATCAAAGCTCTGAAGGAGGAGGGCATTCGTACTGTACTGGTTAATCCGAATGTTGCTACAGTACAAACATCAAAGGGATTCGCCGACAGAACATACTTTGTGCCAATTACCAAGGAGTATGTGACTGATGTCATCAAACAAGAACGGCCAACCGGACTGTTCTGTACTTTTGGTGGTCAAACAGCTTTGAACTGTGCTGTCGATCTGTTCAGAGATGGTATCTTGGATCAGTACAATGTCAAGGTGTTGGGCACGAGAATTCAGACGATCATTGACACTGAAGACAGAGAGATCTTCAACAAGAACGTGGAGAGTATCGGGGAGAAGGTGGCCCCAAGTAGAGCTGCCACCAGCATCGACGGAGCGATTGCTGCCGCTGAAGAGGTAGGATTTGATTTTAATATATTGTATATGCAAGTGTATATAAGTAATGCAATTAATCAAAAGAGGATAAAGACTGATATTTTTTGTAAATTTATGTTTATACTGTTAAAGTGACGTAACGTAATATAATTTACTTGCAGGTGGGATACCCAGTCTTAGTACGAGCTGCCTTTGCCCTTGGCGGCCTTGGATCCGGCTTTGCTGATAACAAAGAACAACTGATCAAGATCACCAAGCAAGCCTTGGCCCATTCCAATCAAGTACTGGTCGATAAGTCGTTGAAAGGATGGAAAGAGGTTGAGTACGAAGTTGTCAGAGATGCATACGACAACTGTGTTACCGTATGTAACATGGAGAACGTGGATCCATTGGGGATTCACACTGGAGAATCTGTAGTTGTAGCTCCAAGTCAAACTTTGACTGACGAGGAGTATAACAGACTAAGACAGACTGCTATCAAGGTGATCAGACACTTTGGTATCATCGGAGAGTGCAACATACAGTATGCTCTTAATCCAAACAATTTGGAAGTAAGTGATTGTTTAGGTATTAGGATGTGTATTGTACTTAAAAATGCTAGTTTCTATTTTATTACAAAGTCACAATTTAAGGTGTTTCTAAGATAAACTCATTTTTTTCAGTACTACATTATCGAAGTCAACGCCAGACTCTCCAGATCTTCAGCCCTGGCTTCGAAGGCTACTGGCTATCCTTTGGCCTACATTGCGGCCAAACTGGCCCTTGGCAAAGCTCTGCCAGAACTCAGAAACAGTGTAACTGGAGAAACGACCGCTTGTTTCGAGCCTTCCCTCGACTACTGTGTGGTAAAGATACCACGATGGGATCTATCCAAGTTCGCTAGAGTGTCAACCAACATTGGTTCGTCGATGAAGTCGGTCGGTGAAGTCATGGGAATCGGTCGAAACTTCGAAGAAGCCTTCCAGAAGGCCCTTCGGATGGTTAACGACTCGTATTCTGGCTTCTCACCCTTCTACTGGAAAGGAAACACCAAGGAATCTGAGTTTGTGAATCCGACTGATAAGAGAATGATGGCATTGGCCAAGGCTTTGTTCACCGATGACATCATGGAAGGCTACAAGGGCGAGCTGAACACCGTGCATCGGCTACATGAACTTACGAACATTGATCTTTGGTTCTTGTACAGAATGAATCACATCATCGACATCTACAAACAGCTACGGGAGCTGGGTTCTTTCGAAGAACAACATACTTTAGATCAGATCAGAGAAGCCAAGAAGTCCGGGTTCAGCGACGCTCAGATCGAAGAAGCAGTTGAAGGGTGTGCTAAAGGAAGAGTGAGGAAGTTCAGAAAGGAGAACAACATCATCCCTTGTGTCAAACAGATTGATACTGTCGCTGGAGAATGGCCTGCGGCTACGAATTACTTGTATCTCACTTACAATGGCAACGAATCTGATGTTGTGTTTGATCACAATGAGGTAAGTACTATATTATGCCATCTCTTGTAATTAAAGTTACTGTGAGTCTTGTATAATATAAATATAAAATTTAAAATTCAGAAGCCGGACAAGAAGAACGTTCTAGTCCTCGGAAGTGGAGTCTACAGAATCGGATCGTCGGTCGAATTCGACGCTTGTTGTGTCGGTTGTGTATCAGAACTGAAAAAGATGGGTCATCAGACCATCATGGTCAACTGTAACCCCGAAACCGTCTCTACCGACTACGACATCTGTGACCGACTCTACTTCGAAGAACTCTCTGTGGAATCGGTTTCTGACATCTACGAACTCGAACACCCCTCAGGCATCATCCTCGCCTTCGGTGGCCAAGCTGGAAACAACATTGCCAAGACCTTGACTTCAGCTCAACTCAACGTCAGAGTTCAAGTGTTTGGCACGAACCCGATCCACATCGACGAAGCCGAAGACAGATTCAAGTTCAGCAGAGCTCTGGAGCAAACCAACATCAAGCAACCTCAATGGCAGAATGCCACCACGGTAGACGCGGCTAAGAAGTTCTGCACGGATGTGGGTTACCCCTGTCTGATCCGCCCATCGTACGTTCTGAGTGGAGCCGCAATGAATGTAGCACACAACGAGACTGATCTGGTACACTTCTTGAACCAGGCTACGGTTGTGGCTAAGGACAATCCAGTGGTGGTATCTAAGTTCATATCGGATTCCAAGGAGATCGATGTAGATGCAGTAGCCATTGATGGTTATGTCATTGCGATGGCTATCTCCGAGCATGTCGAGAACGCTGGAATCCATTCTGGAGATGCTACACTGGTTACCCCTCCACAAGATCTGAACGAGCAGACTCAGAAGAGAATCAGACAGATCGTGTATCAGATCGGAAAGAGATTCAAGGTTACTGGACCCTTCAACATGCAGTTGATTGCCAAGGTTAGTTTTGATATCTACTACTATATACAAAGAATATCGTTTCAAAACCTGTAATACTGTCTTAAAAACACATTAAAATTAAGTCGTTTTGAAACGTTATATTAACCATTATTACAGAACGACGAGCTATTCGTGATCGAGTGTAACCTCCGTGTGTCCCGCTCCTTCCCCTTTGTCTCAAAAACCCTCGACTTTGACTTTGTTGGCCTAGCTACCCGTGCCATGATGTACAACGGCACTCAACGAGGAGTTCAGCTCAGAGAAACCACCAATACCAAGATACCATCGAAGAAGGTCGGAGTGAAGGTCCCTCAGTTCTCGTTCTCCCGGTTGGCCGGAGCTGACGTTGTTATGGGAGTGGAAATGGTGTCTACAGGAGAAGTAGCGTGCTTCGGAAGAGATCGGTACGAAGCCTACTTGAAGGGACTTCTTAGTACTGGCTTCGTGGTACCTCAGAAGACCATCTTCTTGTCGATTGGCGGAGTCTACGGTAAACAGGAGATGTTGCCGAGTGTAACTCACCTTCATCAGATGGGATACGAACTTTACGCTTCGAAAGGAACTGCTGAATTCTACGAATCCAACGGAATCAAGGTAAAATATCCATTTTTTTAATAAAAAGATATTATGGGCGCGGTTGCCAAAAATGTCTAGCGCGCGGCCAAAGTTATACGATTGAAGATTACTAGTATAACATTTTAAAAATAGTTTGCATTTTAATGTTTTCAAAAACGAATGTTTTCAGATCAAAGTGGTAGAATGGCCTTTCGAAGAAGGCGAGGGAAACGCGGCCACAAACACAGACAAGTCTTCTGGGAGTCAACGAACCATTGCCGACTTCATGGCCAACAAAGACATCGAACTCATGATTAACCTTCCCATCAGAGGAAGTGGCGCCTATAGAATCTCGGCCTACCGTACAGACGGCTACAAGACCAGAAGAATGGCGATTGATAATGGAATTCCGTTGGTTACTGACATCAAATGCGCCAAGTTATACATCGAAGCGATCAGAAGAATGAGCAAGAAACGACCGGTCATGAACAGTGTGATCGATTGTGTGTCGAGCGATGTGATCAAACGACTGCCAGGACTTGTTGATGTACATGTTCATGTCAGAGACCCGGGACAAACCCACAAAGAGACTTGGGAAACTTGTACAAGAGCTGCTGTGGCTGGTGGTATCACCACGATCTTGGCCATGCCAAATATCCAGCCTCCTCTGGTTGATGAAGACAGCTTCCAAAAGGTAAAACACTGATCCAATAGTTTATTCAGTGAATATTTAACTTTTCATAGCGATAATTTCAAATTTATTACCTAAATTCAAGTAAAATATTTTAGGTAGAAGAAGTGGCTTCAAATTCTGCCCTTTGTGACTATGGTCTCTACCTCGGTGCTACACCAGAAAATAAAGAGTGGGAACCAGAAACAGCCAGCCAATCAGCTGGTCTCAAGATGTACCTCAACGAGACCTTTGCCACTTTGAAGATGCCAAACTTTGTCGATTGGGTTGAGCACATGAAGTCCTTTCCAAGAGATCGACCGGTCGTATGTCACGCTGAAAAACAAACGCTGGCTGCCGTTCTAACTGCAGCTCAAATCGCTCAACGTGCTGTTCACATCTGTCATGTTTCGAACGCTGAAGAGATCGGAATCATCAAAGCAGTGAAGAAGCAAGGATGGAACGTCACTTGTGAAGTCTGTCCCCACCACCTCTTCCTCACGTTGCCGAATCTTGGAGAAGGATGGAGAGAAGTCAGGCCAAGACTGTCCCAAACCCAAAAGGACGTTGACGCTTTGTGGGCCAACCTAGAGTATATTGACTGTTTTGCGACTGATCACGCTCCTCACACTCGAGAAGAGAAATCAAAGGGTTCTGACGCTCCACCAGGATTCCCTGGAGTTGAATACATGCTACCATTGTTTCTGACAGCTGTTCACGAAGGCAAAATGACCATCGACGATTTGATTCTCAGGCTTCACACCAACCCTCACAAGATCTTCAACATTCCAGTACAACCAGACACCTATGTTGAAGTAGATCTCGAACATCGGTGGGCCGTTCCTGAGCACGGTGGCCAATCTAAAGCCAACTGGACTCCGTTTGCTGGTAAAGAATTGATTGGCAGAGTAAGAACTGTAGTCATCAGAGGTGAAACCGTCTACATCGACGGAAACTTTGTGGCCAAACCTGGATTCGGACAGAACTACAGACTCACCGCGCCATCTCAGAAGCCGTCTGGACAGTTGTCTTTGACCGAAGCCGAGATTGTTCAACTTGGCAGAGATTCGCGCGACATTTCTCCAAATGAATCCACTCCACGATCGTTATCGCCTCACAGAAGCCTGGCTTTGAGGGAGAACAGATTGTTTGGAAAGTCATTGTTGAACGTGGAACAGTTGGACAAGTTGACCGTCAATCAGATCTGCGATGTAGCTGCGCGATTCAGAGACGAAATGGCAGAAGGAAGAAGGATTGTCAAGGTAAAAATAACAAAAGAATATTGCTTTATATACACAATATTTACGGTTTTTAGTAATTTTTTCGTATATTTTTTGCATATTGGGTCAATAATTTAACCAACATATTTCAGTTGCTGGAACGATGTATTGTGATGAACATGTTCTTCGAAAACTCGACCAGAACCAAGTATTCTTTCGACGCTGCTACGGAAAGGCTCGGCGCTACTTCAAAGTACTTTGATGAAGCCAGCTCATCCACTGCCAAAGGTGAAACTCTTGAAGACACGATTCAGATGATGTCGTCGTACTACGATCTTCTTGTCATCAGACATCCAGAGAAGGATGCAGTCAGAAGGGCAGCTTTGGCATCCAATGTACCAGTCATCAACGCTGGAGACGGCACTGGAGAACATCCAACTCAAGCCTTGTTGGACGTGTTTACCATCAGAGACGAATTGTCATCAGTCAACGGTCTTACCATCGCTTTGGTCGGAGATCTCAAGAACGGCAGAACGGTGCATTCACTGGCTAAACTGTTGTGTTTGTACAAGGACATCACCCTGCATTACGTTAGTCCAAACAAAGACCTCGGGATGCCGGAAGACATTAAACGTTTCGTGTCAGAGAGGAGCACATTTGTTCAGAAGGAATTCACCGATTTACAAGAAGGAATTGACGGTGTAGATCTTATCTACATGACCAGAATCCAGAAGGAACGCTTCTCGTCGGTCGACGAGTACAACAAGGTCAAAGGAAGCTTCATCTTGACCCCAAAGGTCCTGAACGCAGCTTCAAAGTCAGATAACACCTTGGAGGTGTCTACTTTGGGTAGGTCTTATTACTTTATGATGTATATACTGAAACTTCGCACAATATTTTTGATAAAAATAGTTTTTTTTACTAATATAATCAATTTCAGTATCTCACCGCCAACGGCCAGTTGTCATGCACCCACTGCCGAGAGTCGACGAAATCAGCAAGGAATTGGATACCGACAACAGATCCGCCTACTTCAGACAGGCCAAGAACGGCGTCTATGTCCGTATGGCCATCGTATCTTTGATCTTAGGCGCTGACGAACACCAGGAGTGATTCAAATTTACCAGTTTTAAATTTTTATATCACTATTTGTACGAGTATTAACTGTTGAAATATCAATAAATTTGTCAGCTATCAGTATTAGGACATTATTTTTAGAAACCAACCTTTTTCAAAGGTAGATACTAGATGAGATTTATTAAATATTCGTCCAGCAGCTTCTAAAATTTGCGGGGAAATTCTGAAGCTTTCTTAATTTTCCTAACAAGGAAAGTGTCAAAAGGTGTACCTAACGCCCAGACATGTGATATAGCTCAAAAAAATTCTGTGATCGTCCTGATTAAGAATCCGTTTTCAAAAATTGCTAAATTTTTGTCTCGACCGAGTTGTGGTCGTTTAAAGTTTGCACTGACTCCCTATTAAATTCCCAAAAAAGGCATGAGGAGAAACGAACAAAAGAGTGAACGTAACCGAATGGCCAAATGGATAAAGCGTTATCCCTCGGAAATGCCGCCGCAGGTTCGAATCTGGGTGCGTGCAAACGCTTTTGCAATTTTATTTTGCATTTGAAAACAGTACGAAGTGTACCATTAACAAAATAAAATTGTTATTTTTTAAGTAAAATTGTATTTTATTGAATATCATAATTGTTGTTTTTTAAAAAACTTGAACCCATTTAACAGTTCAGGGAAAATTAGACAAAAAAATGAACGTTAACATTATGATCAGAGTTTCCAAATTTCAAATTTGCAACTCCGGCGTCAGCTCCGGCTCCGCCTTTTTTTAAATTTTAGCTCCGGCACCAGCATCTTATTAGGATAGCTAATATATTATCTTGATATTAACAACTTACTGTGGCAAAGTACACACGAAGGGTCTACTATCTTTGGAAAATATACCTCGTGAGGTAGTCGAAGTACAACATAGTGATTACGTTTAAATATTTTTATAGTTTTTAAAAACATAATATTCAATAAAATACAATCTTACTTAAAAAATAACAATTTTATTTTGTTAATGGTACACTTGGCCCAGTTTTCAAATGCAAAATGAAATTGCAAAAGCGTTTGGACGAACCCAGATTCGTACCTGCGGCGGCATTTCCGGAGGATAACGCTTTATCCATTCGGCCACACGGTTACGTTCACTTTTTTGTTCGTTTCTTTTCATGCCTTTTTTGGGAATTTAATAGGGAGTCAGTGCAAACTTTAAACGACCATAACTCGGTCGAGACAAAAATTTAGCAATTTTTGAAAACGGATTCTTAATCAGGACGATCACAGAATTTTTTGAGCTATGTCACATGTCTGGGCGTTATGTACACCTTTTGACACTTTCCTTGTAAAACCATATCTTTACAATAGAAGCGTTTTTTAATGTTTTCGTGAATAGTCACATTGCCTCTACCTTATTGGTTTTTTGCTCGTTATAATTAGAGGTGGCAGTTGTGTTAGAAGCATATAGGCATGGCTACATAGCGTTGATCTCACCCATAAGGTAACGAACGCTCTTTTGAGTTGCGAAACTCAATAATAGCGATGCACAATATAATTACACAATTCGATTTTAAAATTCTGGTTGTAAATGTACATAACCTTTGTCAAATATGTTTTGTGTGATACGATAAATTGGCCTCCAGACGTCATTTTCAAACACTTGTAACAGAATGCCACAAGTTTAATAATAATCCTTCAGCTATGAGTCAAGTGTCCCCTTTCTTGGTCTTGTCCCGATTTTCTGATGTTTAGGAGGCGCCGAAAATGGGCGGAGAAATTTTTCGCGCGTTCAGAATTGTGCATTAGACAATTTTTTGTTCATTGTGTTTCGATATGGTTTACTTGCCATTCAACATATGCCTTTTACTCGCATTTTTCATATTTAAAATATATTTTCCACGTTTTTCGTTTTTTCCAAGGTTTTTTGGAGAGAACTTTACTCCGAACGTCGTTCTCTTTATTATTGTGAAATTTTTACATACACGTGACCCGTTCATTAGATTTATATTGTTTTGTTTCAGCGTTAACTTTACTTTAACATGTCTGAGAACGGAGCCGACAAAACTGGAGCTAGCGACGCCACTGGAGCCGGTGATCAGCAACAAGGCGAGTACATCAAACTGAAGGTGGTCGGACAAGTATGTTTTTTGCTTATTTTGTTGTATTTTTAGATCTTTAACTTGATTTGAACGTTATGTTAAGGATAGTGTTGTTTTGGAGCTTCTAAAAGAAAATTTTTATATAAAAAGATGTTAAGTTATCTAAAACAAAAGAAAGGGCATTTTTTGTGTAGAGTTTTACTCCTTTGAAAAACGAAGACGAGTGCAGGTTAATCCTAGCTTCTGCTCTGATTTTTTACTTACAAATCGAGTCTATATTTTTCTTATTAGCTCTAGTTTTTGATGTAGATCAAACTACAGCTAATAAAGAATTTCTGGTTGGATTTTGCGGATGTTTAGACTTATAATTAAAATTCACCTTTTTAGGACGCCAATGAAGTACATTTCCGTGTCAAGTTTGGAACCTCGATGGGCAAGCTGAAGAAGAGTTACGCCGAGCGGACGGGTGTTCAGATTGGATCTCTCCGTTTCTTGTTTGATGGCCGTAGAATCAACGACGAAGACACTCCAAAGACTTTGGGTATGGAAGACGACGACGTTATCGAAGTATACCAAGAACAGGTCGGCGGCTTCTAATGTCAATAAATTAATGTTGGTTCCCCAAGATCGGGTGTTTGGGCTGAGTTGTTAACCCTTTTATTCTCGCAACTGTTACCTAATCTATTTCTCTTACTCAGCCTTTACGGTCTCATACATGCAAAGTTAACCCTATTTTTATTAGAAATGTGTTTATATTTCAGTTTAAAATAAAAATATTATTCATCCGGAGGCAAGTATTGTATAGGGGCATAAGTAAGGTGTGAGACGATATTATACACAATTAATCGTTGTAAGTTTTGCTATAGTATTATGTGAGCTTGTAAAATAGGAATTATTGTAAGACTGGAAAGAGTTTTAAGATTACACATAGGTGGTAAGGTTTAGGTTGAAAAATTATGAAATATGTGAAATGCTGTAAGGTTGAAATAGGAATGTGATCCGCACAGCGGAGTTATTGTGGTTGAGTTGGGAAAACCGGTTGGAAGTTGATAACAGGTTCTAAGTTTTGTGCAATGAACTCGTTTACAGTGTCCTCGAAGTAGATTTCTGATAATGCCACTTGGAGCTAAAATGAAATAAGTAATTCACGGTTAATGCACCGTAAAATATAATAAATGCCTTAAACATTCTCAGAAAATTTGATAGCGATAGCACTTTTGAATTGAGTTAGTGCATCGAGGTATCTTACCTCAGTTTTAAGTACTTGTAGTTCTCGTTTGATACTTTCATCTCCTGGAATCGAAACCGCGGCTTTCCATCTTGTGAATCTGAACTTCTCGATTAGATCGTAGAGATTGGCTCCAGGGAAAAAGCATTTTAAGAAGTTCCATTCCAATGGCGGGTGGAACACATTGCCGTGGTATTTTATTGGAGTCACTGGTTGTGGGTTTGTGCAGTTCAAGACTTGCTGAAGCAATATGTATTTTAATACTGTACAAAACAGTGAAAAGTAATAACATATAGGATAACGTTACTTGCCTTTGCTAAAAGGCATAGTTTTTTTCAAAGTATTACAGTAAAAGATAACACACTAATAAGAGACACTTACTTCGACCCATTTCTTATCGATTTTTGGGAAAGTACTCTGCCAGTTCTTGATGTAAGACATCTCGTATACCAAAGACGGTATACCAACTGGGAGAAGTTCACATAACGGGCTGCCGTGCCAGAATCTTTGCCATCCGGTCAATATTATCGTTCCTACTTTGTCTGAGAGATACTGAAACATTTATATTGTTAATAGTCGAAGAGGTTTACAGATAGTAAAACGTTTGCAAAAATACCATATCATATGATAAGTTACAGTATTTCATAATATTACTATACTTTTTTTCTAAAAGTAATAACTTAAACTCACATCACTCTCGATGGTTTGTAACTGGTGATACGACCCCAGGTTGGCGACGTATCTCTGTATTTCGGAAAAGGTTTGATCGATTCCATTGGCACCTTTGAAAGCACTGCCAAAGACAATTGAATTGAACTCTTGGGAATATTCTTTGAACATTTTCTTCGGAAAGTAGTTGGGTACTGTAACATCCACTGCGTAGCCCCAAACTACAGGTTCTACGAGTTGGCCTAGCTTGTATTTGGCCAGTAAAGATGCATTTACTCCTCCGAACATGTCGTTCCATACTAAGATACGATCGAATTTGTACTTTCTTCCCAGCAGAGCCACACTAAAACAGCTGATGTTTAAACAGAGTAGTCTCATGACATTTCTTATGTGTTTTCATATAACAATAGTAAAATATTATAGTTGGTCATTAAAACACGAGTTTTTGTTATCAAACAGCTGAATCTTAGCTTACTTTGCAATATGATTGAGTTTGAGTTCGTCTACGGATTCATTGAAGTGGGATATTAAGGCTTCTTTGCATCGACCGTCTTCGGCTACGTGGTACGCTTCATCTGCTCCTAGATGGATCGTCGTCGCATTCGGATGCAATTCTCGGATCTGAAACATGGAAGGAATACTCAATATTCTGTATAGTACCTAGACATGTTCATGATAAATACGTAAAAATGTTTTTGTTCAGTGTTATCTTAAGGAGTACTGTAATATAGCAAGCATACCTGTCTGACCATTTCATCTATGAGTTCCAGCGACTGGTGATCGCTAGGGCAGATGGTGTTGTTGGCCGTCTGATTCTCTCTCAGATGTTTGAATCTGTCCAGTTTGAGGACAAACTCCAGATGACCAAAAGTCTGCACTAATGGAATTAGCTCCAGTCCATTCTGATCAGCCAAACTGTTGATATTGTGGATATCATCAGTTGTGTAGTGATTAGGCTGTGGTAGGTCGGAGAGATTACCAGAGTAAGGAAACATGTCCTCGTACTCCATGAGCACGCCATCTACATCTAGACTGGATAGGAGTTGGAAGAATTGTTGTAGGTATTCTACCCTCGGGGGAGCACCTTTCAAGTCCAGGTGAACTATCGTCTGGAAACATTTTATCAGTTACTATAGTAAATTACAGTATAAGCCCTGCTTTACTTCAGTTAGAGTGCCTGCTGTTACCGTAAGCAGTAGGTACTTTTGAATGACTAATAAGCAGGCTTGGACGTAGGGCAGGGCAGGGCCCAATTTGCGGCCCTGGGGCCGGGCCCGCTTGGGCCCTCCCCGGTGCAGGGTTTTAGTTTTCAGGCCCTGTCCGGCCCGGCCCTAGGGCCGGGTCGAGCAGGGCATTTACAGGGTTTTACAGGGCATTTGTAAATTAAGTTTATAAAGCTAATAACAAGTGAAATAAACTGCTTTATATCTATTCGGCCTCACCCCTGACCCTTTTAGCCCTATCCGACATCACCCGTGATCCTTTTAGCTCTTCCCGACCTTACACCTGACCTTTTTAGGCCTACCCAACCTTACTTCTGACCTCTTTAGCTTTATCCAACTCTACCTTTGACCTGTTTAGCTTTACTAGACCCTACCCTTGACTTTATTACCCTACCCTACTATACCATACCCACCCTACATAAAATTCCATACTGTACTGAACCATGCCCTATGCTACTTACTATATCATACTCATCTTACCAAACAAAACATACCAAACCTTACAATACTTTACATTACCATATCATAACTTATCCTATCTATCATACCAGACCCTGCAATACCCTACCATACTATATGCTATCCTATCTACCATACCAAATCCTACAATGCCTTAACATATATAACATGCCATACTCTACCTGACTATATTATACCATTTATCTTGCTTTATTTACCTACTCTACCCTACCTATGGGTAGTACACAGTAGTGTTGTATAAGATTGGATAAGGTAAGATATGATACAGTATGGTATATGTAGTATGTTATGGTATGGTAGATAGGATAGGGTATGGCGGGGTGTGGCATATGGTTAAAAGGGTCAGGGGTGACGTTGGGTAGGGTTAAAATAGGGGGGGCTGAAGTCGGGTAGGGATAAAAGGATCAGGGATGAGGTCGGAAAGAGCTAAAATGTTCAGGAGTGAAGTGGGGTAAGTAAATAACATTACTTGTTAGACACTCAACAATTTTAAATTAATTTTTTTTATATATGAAAAAATTATTACCGGGCATTTACAGGGCATCACCGGGCACGAAGCAAGCCCTGCCCGGTTAGAATCATGGGCCCTGCCCGGCCCTGTAATTGATCGTAAAAATGGGCCCTGCCCCGGCCCCAGGGCCGGGTCGGGCACAGGGGGCAACGCCCTACGTCCAAGCCTGCTAAGTTAATAGTCATTATAAAAGGTGATTGAACGTGTGCAAATGTACTACGTACAGGCTTGGACACAGGGCAGGGCATAGGGCATGGTTTGAATTTTTTTTACAGGGCAGGGCATAGCTTCGAACAGGGCAGGGCATGCCATATGCCCTGTAATGCCCTGCAAATGCCCTGTTCTTTCCAAAAATTTTCTTTTTGATTCGGCGGACACTTTAGTATTTGGCGGAGGGTCGGCGGAGGCTTTAGGCAATTTGGCGAAGAGTTTAGGGTATTAACTCGACCCTACTCTTGACCTGTTTAACCCTATCCCACTTTACCCTTGCATATGTTACCTTACACAACTATACCATACTCGTCCATTATAATAATATAATAATATACCATACGATGTCCTGTGTTACTACCATACCCATCTCACTAAGCATACCATACCTAACATACCATACCTTATCATAACCTATCATATCTACCATACCAAACCCTACAATACCCTACCATACAATACCATACCTTCCACATCATAGTATACCATACTATACAATACCATATCCTATCATACCATAACATACCATACCTTACAATACCATACCATATCAAACTGTACTATACCTTACCTTATTCAATCTTATACAACACTACCGTGTACTATCCATGGGTATGGTAGAACAGGTAAGTAAAATGGTATAATATAGTCAAGTATAGTTTGACATAGTATGGTATAATATGATACGTTATATTAAGATGTGGTATGATAGATAGGATAGTTTATGGTAGGGTATGGTATATTAGGCAACATGGGTATAGTAGGTTAGGTTTAAAAAGGTCAAGAGTAGGGTCGGGTAGGCTAAAAAGGCCAGGGGTAAGATGGGATAGCGCTCAAAGGTCAAGGGTAGGGTCGAATAAATAGAATTCCCTAAAGCCTCCGCCGACCCTCCGCCGAATACCCTAAAGTCTCCGCCGACCGTACAATTTAGTACCATACAATGTCAAAAAGAACAAAATTTAGAAAAATTAGTACCATACAGTACCAAAACCTTACTGCTACTTGCTAAATCAATTTGAAGTTACAGAGAACAGGAGAATTTAGGGTTTCAGAAATATTACTTATAATTAATGTTTAAAATTTTTAAAAAATGTTGTTTTTTTTTGTTATTAATAATATTTAAATGTTAAATAACTTGTTTTTAAGTTGTGTAATTCATTATTTGTGACTATATTATGTTTAATGAATTTATTAGTACTATTATACTTAATGCCCTGATGCCCTGCCCTGTGTCCAAGCCTGACTACGTACCTTCATTATTTCATTTCGCTGTAAAATGGGTTGAGTTGATGAATCCTTCAAAAGAGTAGTCAAGGATATGGTAGAAAAGACGAAGAAGATACCCACAAACAAGCAAATCGACTTCTGTTTACCCAACGCTGTGTTTGAGCCGTCTTGCATTAACCTTTAACAAGTTATCTTATCAGTAATGGTCGTGTTATACTACTTGCAAAAAATAGAAAAACAATTATATTATACTGTTAGAGGTGTGCTATACATTAACAGTACTGTTCTTTCGTTTATACTCAAAGTACTTGGCGATTTGTTTATATCACCATGAAAAGATAAATATAGGTACAGATACCATGTATCAAATATTACTGCCTTCAAAATAAATACTTTATTGCAAGCATAGAAGTCTATTATCACATTATGTTCTAGCACCCGTTACCACAAATTGTTTCCCAGAAGATTGCAAACATAATAAAAAGTTGATAAGCGCATTAAAGAAAGATTGGCAATTTAAAGACACTTTAAATTCTTGAATAGAGTAACATTTAACATTCTACTTTGACTACTATTCAAATAACATCTTGAGCCTCTCCTTCGCTTGTGACCTGAGGGACCGTTTAGTACCAGTACTTGAAGTAGACTTGGCCGAGCTCGAGTCATCTGTACTCGCGAAGCCGTTCAGGACATGAATCTGTTTGGCTTCGCTTCTGTTGAAGTGGGTTACACGCTCACCGAACAACATCGTATGTACTGTGTTCGGGTCTCTTTCCTGAATATACGGAATATGTTATACAGCTACTACTATAACTATATAACTCGCAAAATAATTCCACAAAGTCAATAAAGAAAATGATAACTAAAGCTTACCACCAAACTCTGAGTACCATTGCACCTATGAACGAAGACAGCGGGATACGGTAAGAATCCAGTAGCTTTTGGAGTAATTTGGAAAGAACATTGACCTAGTCCGCTTCCTTTCATTGGTACAACTATAAAAGTGCATTTAAGACTTTTAAATCTTCATATTGCAATTCCCATTTATATAACTCATTTGAATTACAAAAGAGAATGTCAAAGAAAAGACAGCATGTGATTTTTGCAAGAACAAGTTTAAAATTTTAAAAAATCAAAGTAACATATCATAGGTATTACCTTTAAATCTCTCATTCAAAGCCCAGTGATTCGGATCGGCTTCTATTGATATTATGACAGTTTGGGTGTTATCGGTCAAAGCCCTGAGGGTCACAGCCAGATCACAGGGATGATCGGAACGGCAGATCACGGTCTGTGGACGTTCCGTCAGAATCCTCGTACAAACTTCGAACTCTACATTCGGAGCTGTGAAGCCGATGGTATCATTGAACAGGTAATCTCTGGATGATATCACCTTAATCATTTCATCGTTGACTTCTGAATCCGTGGCCAACTCTATTTTGTAGCCCAATGAGATACTGTAGTCCAGATGGACTTGATCTTCTTTGTTCGGAGGCAATTGCCATATCAACCGGTAAGTGGCACTGGCTGGAATCGGGTCCAAAGAGGGATTCAGAAGCTTGGGGACGTCTTTGTCGTTCTCTTTCTCTGAATCTGGGTTTTCTATTTTGGCCAAGATGGGGACGATAAGAAGGTGGTCAAAGTGGTCACAACGTTCCACATCCATTTCGAACAGAATTCTATAAACAGTTATGATTAAAAGCCACAAAACATTTTTATTCTACAAACTATGATCATTCATATTTGGACCACCTAATACAATATTAAAAAAGCTAGCATTCTTACCGGTCTTTCAGGATTGATGTCATCGTCCTTATGGATAACATCGACTTGAAACTTAAATCAAACAAAAATGAGTTTCCCATCCATTCAACTTTGATCTGAAACAGATGAGTTGTAATATCCATTTATTTCATACATGCTTGTCCATATATAGGTACGATCATCAAAATGTACAACAAATTCGTCCATATCTTACCTTATGTAGTATGTTACACTTGCCCTCCGCCGAGTAGTTCATACGGTCGATTTTTGCACAACAACCAACGGTCACCACGGTACTGCCTTCCTTCTCTGAGCTTCTTTTCACCTTAACCTTTAAGTCTTTGGCCCATTTTCCGTCAGAATTCTAAATCATCATCAATATAAACAGTTTAAGCCCGTTTAATATAAATATTGTAAACCGGGTAGGAGAAAGAAAAAAATATTTTTAAACAAAATAAAGCTCCTCAAGATTATTAATTGTCAATGATAGCTTACCAAGAACTCGAGTTGACCTTTTTCTTTGACTAAGCTGACATTCATTTCTCCTGAATCAGCTTTACCAAATTCAACGTAAAATTTCAGATTCTGGGATATTCCAGCGAACAGAACGTCTAAAATATAGCGTCATATTTTCAAACATAATAAAGTATCACAGATTATAAGAAGCAGTGTTAAGTAAGTAGCATAACCAACTTATAGTTATAATAAGATTGCTTTCACCATTAAAACTATTAAAAACGCATCTTGGCCAAGATTAAGGTAGGGTATTAACTTACTGTCATCGTTGCAAATCTTAACGACCGGTCGATCCAAAGTGCATGCGCATAACATTGGCTTTAGATGATGACTTAATGACATTTCGTGTTGATAACTCATGGAGAATATGTCATATGGTGTTACTGGTACAATCACTTCGTTCAGAGTATACAAGCCGGGTGATTTACACTACATAAAAATATTATTTTACAGCAATACGGTATAACCAAGAGAGAGAATTGCAACAAAACAGTAAACTTCAATGCGTATTTTACAAAGTATGATAAGTATACGTTTAAACTTTAAGTAAGACATGTGATTTACAAATTGAGTACGTACCTCTGCTTCAAATTCCATGATATTGATCCTTGGAGATACTACTGTACCATTGGTTCTCTTCGCTTCCACCGTACCCTCAGTCTTCATAGTTTTCTCAATAATACTTGTCCATTTACTTTTGGTAATTCCTTTTTGGACGTTTGCAACTTTGGCAACTCCATTCTACAACAATATAAATACTATCATTTTCGTACGACATCAGAAAGCATACACAATCGTAATACAATAAGATATTACACATAACAATAGTATCGAACATAAAGATAAAAAATAACCAAAATTTACATCAAGTCGTATCTTGTACAATGGATGTGATGATATAGTATGTTCTTCAGTCAAAGGACATAAAACTGCTTTTACATTACATTTGACAGGTATGGGCAAGTTACTGATCAACTTCACAGTAAACTTGAAGGTAGTTGCGACCTTGCAGATCACATTCTGATCCACAGTACGTACTTTGAACGGATAATCTGTGTTATACCTCCAATTGTAATTGCTTCTGAAATAAACCATTATTACTTACTACGAAGACATTTTGAATAAACATTAAAAGCCTGTTAACAACATATAACACTTACAAAACTATAGAATCTGTCCGTTTCAAAGACTTCAATCGTTTAAAAGTGTCTTCTGTTGGTTGGTAGATAAATTGTGACAATACTATAGGTATCAAGCTGAAAATATAGTATTGGTACCCCATAATATTAACATGATAAATACCTTCATTACATACCAACTGTAAAAAAATATTAAAAACTTACAACAGTGGTTCCTTTTCTACAGTACCCTTAAAAGATACAGTAAGATGTTTGAAAACGTCCAGAAGCCATTTTACGGGCATTTTAACTCGATAAGTACAGTCCAAAAACTCGGACAATTCAGCTCGAAAGTCAACCAGTTTACCGTTATCACTAAAGTATGAAAGGATATAAAGTGTGTTGATATAAAAGAATATAATACATAATGTAAGTGTTTGTTGATAATTTGCCACAACAATAACCAATCGAAAAATTATAAACAAAGCTTACTGTAACAACTTGACTCGCTTCCATTTGTTCTGAGTGTAATACACCTTCCATCCGTGAGTCTTCATGGCTTCTAGGCCTCGTTTCAAGGTTTCTCTGTAACATACGAACATCTCGTCATCTCTTAAGAACTTGAGAGTATGAATAAGTGGAGTCAAAGACTCATCTGGCTTCTGAATACTTTCAAACCAATTGTTGTACTTGTTACTATACTTCTTTGTATTAAGGTCTTCCCACTAAAACGTCATTTTATATAAATCCCATAAATACCGACAAAAAAAGATAATATAGCAATACAAGCAGTGTAGATCACTTACACTATCGATAAGAAGCTGATAGATCTGTATGATAAACTTAGCAGCATTCTCTGAGTTCAAGTAATCTCCAATCAGCTCCAGAAAAGATACGATTTCCTCCAACCAAAAGATAGTAATGTAGTTTAAGAGTAATTTGTCGTCTGCCAACTGTAACATCAATAATAAAAATAAAGTTTTGAACTCTCAATACCATTAAAAATATTTTTATATACCAGCCCTGCTCACAATACATACAACATGTACAATATACCTTTAATCGTCGCCAATCGTTGATAACTTCTTCAATCGTTTCCAAACCGTACCTCGACAGTAATGTGACAAAGTAGTTCTTCAGGTTATTCAGAGTAGCCACGTCTTCCAGCTTCTTCTGCTTTCGCTCCTCAAACACATAGATAGAAGCAAATAACTGATGAGCCAACAAGAAAGCTCTGATCGATAACAAAGAATCAGATTCGTTCAAGTTGTTGCGATGTAAAGATTCTGACAAAATCAGACATTTACTGCCGTTCAGTGGAAAACGGATCTTTGATAACCAAACATCTGCCGAGTCTTCGTTCAGCAAGGCATTAACCATCTTCACCATCTCTTCCATTGCTTCCAGAGCACTTTCTAATAATCCCAAACTCCAGTAAAAGACACAGTAATTAAATTCCAAGTTTATCAAGCTTATCAGACTAAAACCTGACTCGTCGTGCTCACTTCTCTTTGTTAGAACAGCAGAATTGATATTGTTTGAGTACTTGTCCAACGAAGCCGTAAAGGTTGATAAGACAGCTCCACTAAAGCCAGGTTTGTTGATGTTTATCTCAAAGATCCTAAAATTATAAAATATATTTTGCTATTTACCTTCTAGAGAAATTGTTAATAAATGTCTTATTGTATACGTACTTGTTTAGATGGTTCTGAACATCATTCTTCAGTTTTTCCATAATGTGACCTCTAGATTTGTTCTCTTTAGCCCGAGTTGAATCAAAAACTATAATGAAGTTACTGTTCCTGACTTGACTAAACCATTCCGCAAACTCAGGCAGCACTTGACGATACTCATCTACACTCTAAACTCAAAAACAATATCAACAACATTTCTCTTACCGAAACAAACAAAAAGTAGAAATGGATGAAAGCAACTTGATCCAATGTCGCCGAGGAACCATCGTCAATCACAAAATGAGAGTCAAATGGAAGGAATATCAGCTGGAATCGAGTTGGCAGGGGGTACGGAGACTTCTTCTCGTCTTCACTGTAAACAACACAAAATATACTTCCCAAATCTTACTGTATAGATCTACAGTTAATATACGCACCAAAACAGATAACATCTTACCGCTTCCAACTGACAGAACCATTCCCCAGAGCATTGTACACACTTTTTTCATGTAAAACAAAACAATTTCGGTTTCCTTTCCCTAAAACAACAACATTTTAATACAATACTGCCTTACATGTCAACTGAATGGGTTTTGCCTTAATTATCTGTTCAAAAACATCTGGTTTCATGTCAACATTAGCTCAAATTGATCGGACATCGAGTTTTCTTTTTTGTTTATTATTTTTTTGATGGAATAACAGAACGCCAATATTTTAGCACAGTATACTTTCGTCGCAAAAGCCAAAATATTATCTTACACAAGAGAATTTTTGGCCAAAAATCTTCGGAAAAGCACTTTTTTTGCGCATTCCATGAATTATTGATAACTTTATTTTATAAACATTTGTATATATATGTATTGAAGATGATAAAGGCTATATTGGTTTTCAATAACCATGGTAAACCCAGGCTGCTGAAGTTTTACACTCGATATGTAAGTTTTATTGTATTTTTTAAAGTATTCCGTGTTTAGACAGAGGAAGAACAACAACATATCGTGCGTGAGACGTTCCAATTGGTTTCTAAACGAGATGATAACGTTTGTAACTTCCTGGAAGGCGGATCATTGATCGGAGGATCTGACTACAAACTCATATACAGACATTACGCTACATTGTACTTTGTTTTCTGTGTGGATTCATCTGAAAGTGAATTGGGTATCTTAGACTTGATCCAAGTCTTTGTCGAAACTTTGGACAGATGTTTCGAAAATGTCTGTGAGCTGGACCTTATCTTTCACGTCGATAAAGTCCATCACATTCTAAATGAACTGGTGATGGGTGGAATGGTGCTGGAGACGAACATGAGTGAGATTTTACAGAGGATACAGGAACAAGAGAAGTTGGAGAAACAGGAGGTGGGTTGTTTTTAAAAGCATCAACATTTTAATTAAAAACATACCTATAAGATAATATGTCAAAGAACGTAGTATAATTCAAGAATAAAAACTTTGGTGCAGTAATATAAATTAAATATAACTTCAAATTTATGCAGGCTGGTATCTCCGCCGCGCCAGCACGAGCTGTTTCCGCTATGAAGAGTATAAATCTACCCCAACAAATTAAAGATCTCAAACTGCCCGACCTGCCTTCGTTTTCGAACTTCAAAAACCCATTTTAAATTAAAAATTTAATTATCTTTTAACATTCCTACTATATTATATGTACAAGCGATAAATAATGACAAAATAACCGGAATATTAATATACATCTACTGAGTGTCTGTACATCTATTGTGTTTCTGTGGATGCTGCGGGTTTGATTTGGCGAAGTCGTTTGATTGTGTCTTTTAATTTCGAATCAAGAGCGGCTAAAAAATTGAGCTTTAGGTGTCGAAATAATTATTCAGAAGTGTAACAAGATCAATAATGCTCTGTAACCAGGTAAATGAACCATGGTTAAGATAATACATATTATATAATGATATATATATTATATGTATACTGAAATGATAAATAGCACATACCTTGATTAGGAGTATCGTCTTTAAAAGCTGGGGTTCGTGGAGGTGACGGTAACGGTGTGTTGTTCATGATCATCTTCTCCAAGAACTGGTCGAATTGTTTGAACTGAATATTATCGTGCATTGTTTCCAGGGATCGTAGTGGAGGCCAGAATCTTCTGATTTCAGCCACTGGGATCTCGTCTCCGTCTTTGTAGGTTTGTAGCCGAGGTGCTGACGAAGATCTGGCTATTACAGCTGTTGAGAGAACGGCGGGATCTACAAGTCATTACTTTGTCTTTTAACTTAATTAATAGTTTGAATAGATTGTGGTGTTTTTAGCGGTATTTTGTGTTAGGCTTATTGTAATTGTATTTTTTGAAATCCTTACTATTCAAGTGTCGCTTTCTATTAGTGTCCGCGAACTTGCCCATGAGCACATCGGTGCTTATCAGTCTGTTATCGACACTGCTTCCACCTGAAATAGTCATGTTACAAAACCGGCTTAGTGAACTGATAACCTCCTAATACCGTCGTTTGACAGCTTTGAACGGACCTGTAAGCAAATTGACCGTATGATGCTTGAAACGATAAGGGAAGCGAGAACGACGTGCTGAAATGTTTGGATTATAAAGCGACAAAGGGATGTTTTACACGTACTAAGGGTTTACATATGGTATTATACTTTCGACAATAGATAAGGGATTCGTATAACATATACCAATAGTAAGTGTTACCTTAACCTTGATCGCTTCATGTTATAATATGACTAATGTCATCTTTATACTTACAACTCTGCCTTTTGGTCTCCTCTTCTCCACCTTCCTTCCTTGTTTCCGGAATATCGTTCATTTGTAACCCTACAGGCTCCTTGGATTCTGACCTCTTCATCACGATGATATCTCTTCTGGAGAAGACTTCTGACAACGGTGGTCGATCAGGTTCGTTGGGTGAAGAATTCGAGGTTTTAGTTGACGATGTAGCTGGTGATTCTTTAGGTGTTTCATCGTCCTTTGTTCCCAAGATGTCCTTGGCCCAGTTCCCTCGTCCACTTCCTACTGTAGCCTGATTAGCCTCCAGAATCAGTCCTTCAGCACACGCTTCGGCTTCACGTAGTCGAGATTCATCTAGAGAGTCATCTGTAGACAACAGACGCCTTCTGTTGCAAGCTACATCGCTCATAGACTTGATGATCTGATTGGGCGTGGTGTTGAACCGGACGAACTTGGGCAGGTCGCCTTCGGCCGTTGCATTCGTCTTGCCGGCTTCTTCCAGCTTCTGAGCGTTGTTGTAGATGAGGCTCATGTAATTTTCTGGAGTCGCTTCTTCCACCAACTCCTCGGTCTTCTGCTGAGCAGGTTCATATCTTTCAGAAGTGGTGTGTCGTTTCCTGACTAATTTGGTAGCCGGTTGTCCCATTTCGCTGAACTCCTTCCCAGCCACTTCTCCGAGTACTACAAGATTGACAGCATTGTCTGTGAGTTCTTCATCTGATTCGTGGCCTTCTTCTTTGCCTTCTGATTCCTCCTTCTTCTCGTTGAGAAGTTTGGGTTCTTCTTTTAATGGTGATGCCCTTCGTGGTGATGTTCTTGGTGTTTTGAGAGAGTTAGATCTAGACGGGACGTCATACGAACAACTTCTTTGAGTTTCTTTGGCTGGTACGAGGTTGGGAATTGAAGAATCTTTGCTGAATTCTGTGTCCGTGCCTTCTCTGTCAGACGCATCGCTTGAACTTTTACATCCAAACGACTTTGGGTTTTTGTTGTTCAGCGACTGAGGGATCTTCTGTTTGTTGCTGAAGGAATAATTATGTATAAAAAACGTTATATTGTACTCATTTATGTAAGAAAAGTTAAGTCATCGTAACCTACTTGAATCTAGTTTCATAAATCTTTTCCTTTTCGGTCAAAAAGCATGGATATAAACCAGGAGAGAATAGTAGTTCTACGTGGAACCTGTCTGTAGAACTGCTCTCCCCTTCCGCTCTGCTGTCTTCGTATACCATTAGCACCACTTGTGTCATGTAATTGAACTCTGTAACACCCGAGAGGAAGTTCATGGCACGTTGCCATTTTTTGTCGTCTGGCTGAAATTTGTTACTTTTATTCCCACTAAATCCTACTTCTAGCTATCTTCAGATAGATTAAACACATTATGCATGAATTATGTATATATAATGTACATTTTTCTTTTAATCAACTTTATGAAATCTTACCGGACAGAGACCTCCGTATCTGATAAGATTCATCAAGGTATGGATATGACTCTCCGAAGTAAAGTACAACCTTGTTCTAACGTGTCGCATGGGTGTAGCAATACCTTCTGAAGCCCGTGGATCCAGCCGTGTCAAACTTTCAGCACCGTCCTCTGGATTCTGAACACATCTGTGTAGGTCGTTCTTGATCTTGGCCAACAGTGGAGTGCAAACTCGTTGTCCCACACAGATCTTACTCTCTTCGCTGATACCGTACTCTTGGGGTACTACAATATCGGCCATGTTCTTGACACACAAGTAGAACCTCTCGAACTCGCTCTCATTGTTGATACACAGATCAGGGTTGTGCTCTAGGTCGTACTTGATGTTGTCGTAGATGTCCGGGATCTTGGAGATGTCGAACTCGTGTTCGTTGCCATTTCTGTTGTTCTTTTTGAACTCACGGAGTTCTTTCGACCATCGACGTTCGGCCAGTTCCCAGCTTTCGTTTAGGTATAAACATCGATCTAAATTGACATTTTTAAAATTTGCTCTTCAAGATTTTAAAGTTAATTTAATGAGATAAGTTGATGGCATCATAAATATGACGAAGGTATGGTGAACTTACCAGGTTTGTTGATCTTGTGCCATCTGATGATTTCACACATTTTCTGTACATATCCCGCGATCTCATGACACATTTTGCGTGGATTCTTGATGAATTCCATGGCATTACTTATTGACCGTAGCCCTGAGGGGTTAAGGCTTTGGTAGTCTTCGGGAGTGAAGTCTCTGTCAGCTTGTAGAACCGAGTGAAGATAACCTTTGAGTTCATTCTGGAACTGTCTGGCGTTGTAGTCATCGTTCAGAAGGCCGTCAGTGTTAGCTGACTTTACCATTTGCATCAGAATTGGCGTGAGTTCTCCTTCCAAGGCTAGTAAACCCTAAAATGATTGTTTTAAGTAAATGATAATGCAATCAAGTCATCCTCAAGATACATTATTACATATATATTGACTACTGTAACAACATCTTACTTTAGCAAAAGCAGCTGCCGTCATCTGAACCCTCCCTTCATCCGAAGCGTAGATCTTGAGGTCGTGTCTGTAGGTAGAATGAAGCCTCAAGAATCCCAATCCTTGCGTATCTTCTGGACCTTCCTTGCCGTCTGTTCTTCTGATTCCTGGGTATAAGGTTCGAAACAGCTTCCCTAAGGCTTCGGCTTGTAGAACACCAGCTGTAGTTAATTCACCGCCCCATTTGACTATCAACATGATGTCAGGGGACGCAGCTTCTTCTGATTCTGAACTGTTTTTAAAGTCTTTTGGATTTAGATACTTCATCTGGATCTTGCGGTTGATTCCGGAGAAATGGCCATACCTACAAGTGTACAATAGAGGTAAAGTATAATACAGTGAAGAACCGTATCCTTGACATTTTTGAATATTATAGTACTTTATGACAACTTACATTTCCAAAACAGTCCTCATTTGTTCCCAAGTCTTGACGTTCTCCTCAGCCTTCTCCAGGATCACTTCTACCTCCTTGAACTCAGCGTCATCTTCCCTTAAATCTGTCATCCTGCTCAACGAATTCGACCGTAACTCTTGTTGTTCTTGTAGTATCTCTCGTATCAGTTCCAGCATTTCCATGAGTTGAGCGGGCTTCTTCATCTTGATCTCCATCTTCTTTTCCCCACCGTGCTTCTTGAACAACGTCAAGAACCTCTCGTCGTTCACGATCACCTTCATCTTCTGTTTTGGAGTACGATCACCATGTCGGATTACAGATACGACGCAACGTAGCTCCATTATACGACCGCTTGGGGTTGACACTAGGGGAGGGTCGTCTGCAATAGACGTTTATGTCATGGTTAATATTAAAAGTTATTTTCAAAATATAAATATTATATCTATAAAAATTACTTTAAGGACCAAAAATGTTTAAAAGTTTTGTTAGTACAACCAATGTAAGTTAAAAACCTTTGGAACACACCGTACCTGCTTGAAAAGGAATGTGCCAAGGTATACTCAGCGAAGATGCCAGTCTTCTGAGTATCGTATTACCCAGAATCCGTGCCGTATCTTCGTAGTATTTGGTAGATGTTTTAACAAAGGAAAACCCGTTGACATCACAGACGTACGACTTTCCATTGGCTCTCAACAGGTCGAATCCACATACTGTTTGCTACAAAATTTAAAGAATTAATGTTAATTAATGTTTCATTGTCTCAATACTTTCGACCAAAAGATTATGGTAAAAAATAAGCCTTCAACCTACCCCAAACGCGATTACCACCCTCCTCGCAATCATCTTTTCTTTGGCGGTTAGAATCACCGGATATCTGACTTCTTTCCCATCCTGATCCCGCTCCACTTTTCCGTCCAGTCCAGGTGCCTTCCTAGCTTCAGCATGAGCATAGTACGGTCCTACCGCGTATACCTTAACATCGGTACCATCGGCTTGAATGAATTCCTCGTAGATGTAGGAGCCTTCTGGTCGTACGGTGCTGACGGGCGAGTACCATGAGCTCCGATCGTTGACCTGAGCAGCAGACTTTAAGACAAAAACCTCGAATTTAGTTGAATAATCACCCCACCAAACGGGAAAGCGCCTCAGGGTATGCCCCATATTTTAGTGTGTTAGTAGGGAAAAGCAATAGAAAGACATCGTATCTTAAGAATTACTTCGATATATCTACTTATAGTATTGTATCTACTTATATCAAAGGATATATTTCAATAAGGATACCGTATCTTGCTGAAAACCAAGAGGCACTACCACTTCAGGTTTAATATATATTGCCTAGTTCCTTTGAAGTGTTACTATAGTGTTAAAGCTACTATACGACAAAAGGACCTCATTTTACGATAAAAAACAATGCTTCATCATAACAATGTCATGTTATGGTAAGCATAGTATGTAAATGTAAATACCTTTCGGAACAATCGTTGTGATCCGCCTCCAACTGAGCTGGGGAAGTATATGTAGACATTATGATCTTCGGCCGAGATGGGCTTCTCCACAAACGGCTTGTTGAATACCATGCCATTGACTTCGATATGATCGTTGAACTCCTTCAGCTCTCCTCCCACCACCTTTCCTTCTTCATTTCTGACCAAAACACAATGCCGGGGATGTTCTATACCTGCCCGTGCCAACGTTCGGAACACTTTTCTTCGGTCCAGCTGAATATTGTGTACAAGTATTAGCTATGATTTAATTTTCTATGCTGCATCACTTGTCCAAATTTCAAGTTTTGCTTTTGGTTATAAGTCACGAAACACCTATATAATAGTCTAGCTACCATAGCCACTTGACTTACCAGATCGAACTGTCTATGAAGATCATTGATGACGTAAGGTCTCCTGAGTCTCTCATACTCTATCGCCTTGTTCAATGGGAAGTCTGTAGCGTGGAAACTGATCAGACAATCACATAGAGGCCAGTTTTCGACCGGTTCATTCAAGATCACGTCTTCTGGAAACACGTAGATCTCGAGCCAGTCCTTGTAGTACTCGGCGATCTTCTTCATGATGGCCCTCATCGGCTTCGAATTCGCTTTTCTTTGCATCGCACATACTCCCACAATAATCTACAATAACAATGTGTTCAATAAGTGTTAGTATTAGTTGTAAAAACTATAAGTAACAGAGAATTATCAAAGCTTTCCAAACTCTACAGTAAATTGTAATCCTCAAATAACACTTCCTACAAGTTACAGTACCTTTTTCTGAGCTTTGGGAGCACTTTCGGCCGTTTCTTGTTGAGTTTTGGAGGTTTGCGGACTTTTGGGATCCGCTTCCATGGTGCTTCTGGAAGGTTTGAGGTCAATCGTGACGGCAATCATGGCTAACACAACACGAATACAATGCAAATAGTTCGAAGAGGCCGCCAACCTCTACACACGCCTTTAACACCAACCAGTAACTCCGATAGTTTATCAACAAATCAAACAAGAAACTGATAACAACCCTAATGCGAAATAAATCAAGATTTACGACTATTGTAATGGGAGTGCATTGTAATATCACATAATCTGCTAAAATACGTTTTCTGACCAGTTTGTATTACAATACCGACGTCACAATACACTCTTTTACAGTTTACTCATGGTACTGTAGCCTATTACAATATGACAGTAAACCCTACTACAATATACTGGTTGTACTATGAGTTGTTCCACGCATAATACAATCTACTGTAACAAGATTACTGTACAGCCTTTTTCCCGAAATCGATCGCTACACTCGGTCGATTGTTGGGGTCGAACGGGGACGGTAACTGAAGGCCAGATTTGGCTTCGTGGAACGTGTAGCTCAAGAGGATCTGGTCCAAGTTCTCCAGGGTCGGGTCATTTGCATAATCGGGGTCGATGTAGAAGAAGACGGGCAGTTCCACCTCCTCGCCCGGATTCAGAATCTGCTCTTCGAAACAGAAACACTGAATCTTGTTGAAGTAGTAGGCGGCCTGGAAGGGGGTCAGGTTGTACGAAGAGATCCCGACGATGGGCTTGTCCGTGGGGTTCTTGGCTGAAAATGGCATTATTGGAAGTTGGTTAAGAAATATACTTCAAGGTATGTTAGGTGGTCAATAAATTTCTAGAAATATGAGAAAAAACAATTTTTTTTAACTTTAGGCCCAAAAAAATTAATTCATCTGATTGGCATTACATCTTCGCAAGGCTATCAGAGAATAAAAAATCACTTCAAAATTTTCAAAATTCCTTACAATGCACTTTTAAAAGTTGTTTGTCTAGTTCAAAAACTAAAACAATATCAAAAACAGCTTGCTTCTGTGACTTTTTGTAACTTCGCGGTTCGAATTCTTTGCAATGTTCTACGAAAACAACAATAACACGCGAGATTGTTACCTTTAACCTAAGTTAACCATACAACGACAGTGTAATGCCGCTTGTTTACCGATTCTCAAAGATCAACCAGTTAAGGCCTCAATTGTAAAATTGTTTCTACGACTTTTAACTGACTTTTCGAATGGCTTTTGTAAATAAAACGGAAACTTCCTACTTGTAACACACCTTCTCATGATTGTTTTTAGAAATTAGACAAAAGAGACGGACAAAGGTCAGTTTAGACCTAACGTATTGCAAAATACGAAGTATTTTCTACAAATACGATATTTTAATTATCAAAAAGTGTGCAGAATGTTTTTAATATACTCTTTCTTTTTAAGGTTTTGTAAAGTTTTGATCAGTCAAATACTTACTTTAGAATTTAATAGGTTGGTATAGCATGGAAACATATTTAGTACCTCATCCTAATCTTGGTTAACTTACCAGAGAAGAAAGCCAAAGCTGTTTCTCCTGGATGCACGTATATTTCCTTTTGTAGTGGTTTAAAATGCCATTGCATCGATGAAGGGACATCTGCGTTAAACTGTACCTTAATTAGTCTGTCCTTTATCTGATCCATCTTCTCTATCTTGTCAAAGTCTTTGGCTACCTAAAACAACATAAACATATCGTTTCTGATTAACAAAATTCATATAAAATGTGACATTATTTTACCTGCGTTAAACCACCGAACGAAGTAGCTTCACAGAACATCCTATATAAGGGAATGGCAGCAAATGTCAACCCAATCGCGACAACTCCAATACTCATCACGTAGAACATCGTATCTCTGTTACCGGACTTGTTGGACCTATGAGAATCTGGAAACCGCTTCTGTTCCACCACCCGCGTCACCGTCAACGACCTTCTGATGACAACGTTCTGTGATTGGAACAACGACCGTATGCTGTGTAGTTCCGAAGCCGGCTTCAGACCACTACGTACCCATATCGACCACATTTATCTGCAAGATAATCAAACATACGATCAGTTTACCATGTAACAGGAGGATATTGAACCATATTCATTAGACACGATTATAATTATATTGTTTATTCATATACACACAAAGTTTGATATGTTCCGATTCGTTAGCTACCTGAAACCACAGAGATTTATATTAGGTTATACATTATTAACATTACCCTTTTTTAAAGAAAAAATAATCAAAACTTTTAAAAACCGTCACAGGCACCGTTTAGCTCTATTTTTAACAATTTTGTTACCTAAAAATGCAAAAATATTAAAACATCTCACTTTTCCGATAAGGCCCCACTATACAACTCTTGAGCATGTTCTGATAGTTAACCCATCCATGTTCTTCTTGAAATAACCTCGTGCCATCTCCTCCTGCTACCTGCATGATCTCGTCTACTCCACCTGGATGGAACTCTAGATACCTCGTAACGTCGTATACCTAAATGTCAAACTTATACTTTAATTGGCTTCTTATAACTGAATACACTTAAAATAGCACAATACTGCACTACTACTTCAAAATAAAAAAGTGCATCTAAATCAATATAATTTCAAGTAATTTGCTGAATAACCAAATAAACAAATGCATAAACCATTGATTCAGACCTAAAACTACAAAAAAACGTATAATAAAATAAACCTACCATTCCAAACAGCACTATCCAACAATCTTCTATTCGATTATGTTGTTTTAGTTCCTCATCATCAACTGACATCAACTTTTGGCTAGCCAAATCTTCGCTTTCTGATAACCTTACCCATGCCATAAGACTTCTATCGGGTGCCAGAGCCACTTTAACTCGTCCAGTTTCGGATTTCTGAACCAATTAAAGTAAGAAGAAACATTTTCACATTATGTTAACATAAAATCTAGTGATAACAAGTTGTTATACATACCACTGTGGATGGAACACCCAAGCTCATTATTATGCAACGGATTGTTCTTTTCAGCTTCCGGATTCCTGAATTTTAATAGTTTAACAATATAAATAAAAATGTTCGTGAGTTAAAATACCGGGCGCAGTGTGATGTATCCGGCCGCGTTTTATTGAAAATCACGCGATCTGCGCCCGTTATGGAAGTGAGAAGTTTCATTTTAACGGTTAGTGTTGCGTACTTATAAAAAGATTGTTAATTAAATTTAAAAAAACACTGTTGAGAACAATTCTAATGATTTCGTCAGAGGATTTTAAAATTTGGTTGTTATTTTTAGTTTTGTCACAAGACTAAAATAAAATAAAAAAAAGTTTTCCTTGCAGCCTGTGAGCATCGGACGCGACCGTTGCTTGCTTAACGCAAAAGAGTGATCGGTTTTTTGCAGTGTATTATATAAAAAGACCAATACCCTTTTCTTTCTGGATTGAGAAACAAGATCTTCTTTAGCTTCTTGGTTTTTTGTCATAATATTTCGTTATCATTGACGAGCGCTGATTTATAGTACTATAACCGTGCGTTGGTTACAGTATGCAGCCATTGTCGATAGATGTGACACCGTCCACATCTTCTGCATTGCCGGCTGTTGATATAAAGTACGACCAGGTCAATTACAATGAGGTATTCTTCAATGACTTTGCATCAGTTAAGCGATTGGGGAGGGGGAGTTACGGTACCGTGGTACAGGGCTATTACCGAGGACGACCGGTAGCCGTGAAGCTGGTGGAGAGTGACATTGATCATCATCATGTTCACAACGAGGCCATGATACTGAACTCGTTCAAACACGAAAACATCATCCGGTTGTATGCCACCTTCTATGGCCAGCAAAGCGGGTTACTGTTGGAGTTGATGGAGGGCGGATCTCTACATGAATGTAAGGAATACAGTAATAGTTTATGTTCTGGGTTTAGTGTTGCATCAGCAGAAGCACATTCAATACTTTTCTTGCCATTTAATTGGATGGGCACAACAGGTGCTGGCTGCATTGTCGTATCTTCATTCCCATGGTTATGTTCATCGCGACCTGAAGCCATCAAAGTAGGTGCTATTGCTGTTGAGTAAACTAATATAAAGTAGTCGAAATGTGACATAAAATCAAACTACTTATATAATTTGCTCACAATGTTTACTTCAAAGCTTCTCGAACATTCTATTTTGAATACCAGTTTTAAATTACAGTATGCTGCTGACAAACGATTATATAACCCTCAAGTTGTGTGATTTTGGAACGGCGACCGAATTGAGGACCAGTATGACAAACAATAGAGGAAGTGCAGCGTGGATGGCTCCAGAAGTGTTTCGTGGTAAGAAGTACGACCAGAAGTGTGACATCTTCAGTTTTGGGATTCTACTGTGGGAAATGACTGCCAGAAGGTGAGCTACGTTCTTAAAATGTCTCAAAAAGTTTTGGGGTTTAAACGATAATGTTACAGACAACCCTTTGACGACAACGAATCCAACGCTTACACGATCTTATGGCAGGTTTCCGAGGGCAAACGTCCTCCAAAACTAGACTGTCCTGACGTTGTGATGGATCTGATGGAACGGTGTTGGCACGACAAGCCCTACGAACGGCCGAGCGTCGATGAGATAGCCAAAGAGATCGACATCATTTGTGCCGACATTTACCCCAATAGGTATATGCCATTGATTGACAAAACGACCGGTAGCCAGGCCTTTGCTCATCCTCCTAGAAACCATGACAACTTCAAGATGCCGCCACCGTATCCTGTCAGTCCTGGAGTAAGTAGCCACATGAAGATAGTAAAATTGATCCCTAAGATCATATTATACTCAAACTATTTTAAAATTTAAGTTATTTCATAGTAAAAATCTTGTTTTAGTCATCAAATTACCACCCTACGAACCGATCACCCCATCCCCCCCTCCTATCCCACCCCCGCCCCGAATCAATGGCCATGCCAGAACCTCCAGCCATGACTTCAACCTGTATGGTCGACAGCAATATTCCTCCCAGACGAGTAGCGGCTACGGAACGGCCGTCGACTATCACCCCATGATCTCACCTCAACATGCACCTCTACCTCCACCTAACCCTCCAGTTATGTCGTCGGAAATCGGGTGGAGAGTAAGGTTCACTTTCATATCTGTTTGAATACATTTTCAAATCGAATATTGTGGAACGCAGTCCTCCGAAATGTCCAAATTTAAGCTTTTCATTATAGAGATCCTCTGAACCTCCACTTAGCGACAATGACAATGGCTATAACACAAATCGACCGCCTAAAAAGAAAAAGCAAGTCTATATTAACCTTCCATCGTATTTTAGCTCCTCAATTTGCAAAACTTCTTTCATTTTTATTTTTTTGCACAAAAGTTTCAAAAAACTTTCAAATTTAAAAAACACCAATTTATCGCACAAAAAACATAAATTTCTAAATGATATTGTCGTATTTGCAGAGAAGGCCTTCGACATTTCATAGGCAATATCGCCGGAACCATCTCAAAACATTTGTAACAATCAGGGTCCTTAGTAATATAATAAACAGTTAAGTGATAAACACACGGTTTTCCTGAACAAAAAATTTCATCTGGAACAAGCGATCGATAAACAAGGTTACTGTAACAGCTCACAGTAACACAGAAGCAATACCATAATGTAAGGCCTCCAAAACGGCCGATGGCAACTAAGAACATTAACAAAACTATATATAAAAGTCGAACAATATAAATTTATAACTTAAAAGATCATCCTATAAAATAAAGAATGGCAGAAGAGAAAGTGCGTCTTTGAGAGAGACGACAAAGACATTGTGGAAACTGTTTGATCCCGTTTAACCGTTAATCAGTAGAATCTTCATTTCCCGCTCATCGAGATTGCGTAGACGTTACAGACAGCTATGACAGCACGGCTCTCCCAGCGATAAGCGAAGGTGTGATCAGTGTTCTTGTCCCAGTAGCAGGTGCTGGACACGTTCAGTCCAGCGCCCAAGCCAGTCTGCATTACAACACAACATACTGAAATCATTCCGTGTATAAGATTTCAGGTTTCAAATACAATATTATTAATTTTAAAAGCAAATCTTGTCTAGTTTACAAAAATTGCCGATCTAGTTACCTAAAAACAGAAAATATAAAAAATTGACTCACGACAATACTTATATGGCCGTCCCAAACCAGCCAGTTTTTCGGTTATCTTCTCGACTGCCGTCTGGTTCCACTTGACCACTTCGGCATGTTGGTAAGGCTTCTGGCCGATCACATCGTCCAGAACTTCTTTGCAGATTCCGCTGACTTCCTCAAAAGATGGTGGCAACTAAAACACGTATTATATTACGTAAAATATATTTACATCACACCAAATTTTTTAAAACATTGTAAAAATCCAGATCTACTTACCAAACTGCGGTCAACCATGGAAATACCCAAAACGAGACAAGATCGGCTCTGAAACTACAATATAAACAGATATATTTAACATAATGATAAAAGAGAACTACAGCTTTACGATAATTTAACTCCCGAAACACCACGAACAAAAGATTTAAAGGAATTATGCTTCAAGAGGTAAGGTTATCTTCACCTGCGGAAGACATTTCGGGCACCAGAAAGACATGACTCATCATTCTATTTTGAGCCATGTTTATCGTTACAATAAAATTGGCGCAATTTCTTGAAATTCTTGAATAAATTACTTTGAACAAGGATTTAAAGAGTCTTGGATGTAGAAAAAATAATATTGTCGTTTTTTATAAAAAATATTTAATGTTAGTTTTCAGAAATGTCAGACACAGATGATATGAACGATCCGAGCTCAAGTTCTCAACACTTTATTAACTCTTTGCCAGCTGGATGCGGTCCTCAACGAGATATCAGTTTGGAAGCTGTCTGGTCGTTGTCCTCGTGTAAAGTCGGTAAGGAACTTTTGAGAGTTTTTAATTATTAGAACGCATTAAGTGTAAAAGTTTGAGTAAGAACGCTGAATTATGTTTCTTTTTCTATTATAGTAGTTTGTTGGTCAACTTTGTATTGAATGTACAAAATAAAATAAGCGGGACATTTAGAGGGTTTTGGCATTAATCAACTACTAGATGACAGAACTACATTATTCTGGCAAAGTGACGGTCCTCAGCCGCATACAATTACAATCGAGTTCCAGAAATACACAGAGATCTCGTTCTTGCTGTTGTACTTGGACTGCAAGGCAGATGAATCTTATACTCCACAAAAGTAAGGGAAAACAGGTTAGTTTTATATAGTTTTAGGATTCAAGTATACACTGGCCATTCTATCTTAGACCTGGAAGATCCACCGAAGACGATAACACTTAGCGAGCCTGTTGGGTGGCAGGTAGGCACTTTAATTAATTCTAACTGAATACACAACTACAAATTACTTGAACATACACTGTTGTATTTTAGGCAATTGATCTCCGCCGCGATAAGCAGAAGTTTGTACGGGCTTTCGTGGTCCAAGTTCAGATACTACAGAATCATCAGAACGGAAGGGATACCCATGTTCGAGCATGCAAAGTGTTAGGACCGATTCAAGAAGAAATGAGTACCAGAAAGACCATTACCGTAAAAGACAGGGAATTCAAAAAGACAATTCAGGACGACCTGCTGTTACTCGATCACTGCATGCGGTAAAAAATTTTGTTATTGTACATAAAATGTGGTAATAAACTAATAAGGGCTTTCGATAGTATTATTACAATGCTATTTTACTACAGAATTTATTATTTAAGCATAAAAATATTTTTTTGTTCAGATAGTACCAAAATCCTTACTTAATCTTAACAAACTTCAAATCTACGTCGAATATTTATTCTCTAATTTTTACACAGTACACCTATACCTGAATGTGAGACTTTTTGAGGTCTTCGCCTTTAGTCACATGAGAGTTATAGAACCTTTGGCCGCAGTATCCACAAGCATGTGTTCCTGGTTTGTCCTAAAATTTAAAAAATGATAAACAACTTTTGATAACAATTCAATTTACTCAATAAGTAGAAACTTGTAAATCACAGAAATACGTAAAGTTTTAAACTTTAAAAGCCTGAATAACAACGGAAAACACTGCCTAAAGCTGAGAAATAAAACAAGACGTACCAAGTTGATGTACACTTTAGGATGACCGAGAGCTGGGTGACCTCCATCACACGATACAACATGTTCTTCAGAAGCCTTTGGTGGTTGTTCAGCTACCAAATTGATGGCAATGTTAGGGTTGACCTGTTTTTTTGAGATTTCGAATCTGCTCAATCGATAATCAGCTTGATCCCATGCCTAAGTTAACGGATCATATTATTCATTTTAAAAGTAAGAAACTACTAAAGACTATGTAAATGTCTAAACTAAGACTTTTTTAAATAATAGTTTTTAAATAAATTTACTTATTTCGACAACTAATCGACTTACTTGACCAGTGTGCGTAACTTCGTCAAAAACCGCATTCTTCTGGTTGATGTCCTTTGGTTCTGGAACTTTGGACGAAGCCAGACGAATCAATTGACGCCGTCCAGCTCCAACAAGACCTGTAGTTTTTGTCAAGAACATTGTTGGCTTGACAAAACCCCGAATTTACTTAAAATAAAAATTAAGAAAACGGAATGCCAACGTTTGGTTTTCGTTGTGGGGCCAAAATAGCAAATCTAGAATATATTTTACATTTGACATGTTCGTGTGATCCGTCTTCGTTCTAACGATGGCTAAGACACCGGACAAGATTGCTATCAAAGAAGTAGGTATTAGCTTGTGTTTAATGTACTTTTATACTCGTTCTCAATGTATCTTGCTGTTTTAGCTGCCGATTTATGGAGAAGATAAACCTCTGAACTCGTACAAATTTGTGGAAGAATCTCCTTTACCTCTTCAGAAGGAGTTTGCTTCTCTTCGTTATGCTCTGAGGGATAACTATGCTGTTTTTGCTGTAAGTTTTTTTATATTTTTGTTGTTTTTTAGACTATATTTATGTTTTCTTTCACATTAAACTGTTGTTTAAGTGGTAATGTTGCATCATTCAATTATAGTTTAGAATATACGGATTTTAGCTTTATTAGGTACGATTCAATTTATTATATTTAACTTTTGTTTCTTTTACATTTTTTATTACTTTACTAATATTATAGTAGCTGCTGCTGTCTAAATTAAAACTAAAACGTATTTTGTTTACAGGACCGTTTCAAAACAGTAGATCAGGCTCTAGTACAGTCCAAAAACTTTGTGAAAGAGACCGACGAGTATATCAAGCGAGAATGGACGGTATTGCCTAAGGCCGCGGCTATTACCGTAGGCGGAATGGCTGGCTTCGTATTGGGACTTCGTCGTTATGGTATTCGCAAGTTCGTATACGCCACCACAGGTCTGTTGACAATGGCGGCCTTCTGTTATCCTCACGAAACTATTGAAATTTCCAAAATTGGCTATCAACACGCGTTGCGAACATACGAGGACTTTCAGAAATGTAGGTTAATATACTGCGGTGATTAAATTCAAAACATAGTTTAAATTATCTAAATTATCAATTTAACTAAATATATCTTCGGATTGAAATGATTCTTTCTAATTTAGTTTTGTTGGTCGGGATTATGTATATATATGTAGTTTATATTTTCTATATTATTTTGTGATAGTAATATCATATTTAATAAGACTGTGTACGTTGTTTCACTGTGTTTATTTTTAGCGCCTGAGCCAGCGAAGAAGTCGAAGTAGAGCCTGTTATGTTCATATAGCTAGTGAGGTGTAATAAACATAGAATCTTGCTTTGTTTGTTCTTGTTGTACTAAACCGTTTACTTCGGTCAGTATTTTATCTTGCGCGAGTTTTTTAATGACATTTTGTTACATAACATTACGGTATGATTATGCTAATAAGAGTAACATTATGCTTATGTTAAGGTACTTGTATGTGTTAGGGATATTGTTATAACGGTGTTTTATTTTAAAAGACAGTTCTTACGTATATTGTTGTATGTTAAGGGTATGATAAAACAGCTAGATAACAGCCTTTTTTAGTTTTGTATACGTAGAATTACTAAGAATAATGTGTCATCATACCTTATGACATGAGATGTAGGTTAGTGTAGTACAAACATAGTCGTATGTTTTATACAAATCCATCGACTGGACAATGTATACAAAACGAAGGGAAGGGTGTTTACAATATACTCGTGAGTACATGTGTTATCGGTAACAATGTGCATGTGATACGATGCTTCCTAATGAGTTTAATTGATAGAGAAAGTAGTAAAGGAAGGAGACATGTATTAGTGTCTCTTCTGTTGTGTGCAGCCGAAGAAGAGCGATAAACGTACGACTGCACTTTTTTTCCAGCTTTTCGCTTTTATTTCTGACTGAAGGTATCTGCAGCGATCTGGGGTTTAACAAGTACACATAGTTTGTCGGTCTTTAAGTGTCGTAGCACCTTACATTTTTCGAAAATTATATTGACGATGATATAAGCTTACTTAGATGTTACAGTAACTCAAAGTCATCAAATTGTGCGATGACATTGATTTTGTTTACAGCTGTAAAAGCGAGTGATTTGAGGCCGCTGTCTTTTGTTTTCGAATGATTCAAACTGTTTTAGGCACAACTTCAAGTGTCTTCTTTGTTGTTAAGGAAAGATGTCAGAGCCTGCCGCCCAGAACGCTAAGAAGAAGGAGAAGGCCCCAAAGAAGCCTAAAGAGAACAAGCAACAGCAGAAGCCTAAACCACAACAACAAGATGGGAAGAAGCAAACCAAACTGGGTATTGATACTAAGAAGTACGACAACTACTCCGAGTGGTACTCGCAGGTATATATTAGAAAGGTTTTTGGGCAATTCCGTTTTAAAACTGACATTGTCTTTGCAGGTAGTGACAAAAGCCGAGCTGATCGAGTATCACGATGTCTCCGGCTGCTACGTGCTCCGTCCCTGGGCTTACTCGATCTGGGAGTTCATCCAGTCTTTCTTCGACAAGGAAATTAAGAAATTGGATGTCTGCAACGCCTACTTCCCAATGTTTGTAGCCGCCAGTGCCCTGGAGAAGGAGAAGACTCACTTGACTGACTTCGCGCCTGAAGTCGCTTGGGTCACGAAGGCCGGCAGCTCCGAATTGGCCGAACACATTGCCATCCGACCCACATCAGAGACGGTCATCTACCCATTCTTTGCCAAATGGACCCAATCTCATCGAGATCTGCCCATTAAAGTGAACCAATGGTGTAATGTTGTGGTATGTTACTTCTTGTTTCTAATTGTAATGTTGTAAACAGTCATTAAGGGTTGTGAAAAGGGGTTCTGGGTGGTTTACGGGCGATCACCGTAAAGTATTCTCTATGTTTCTTCTGGGTATATTTGAGTTTTGTCAGTAAATTAATGTTTGAGAGGTTTGTATCTTGATATATCTACTATAAGATGCGATGTATATGACAAAGAATTTTTTTGAATTTTGGCTTTAAGCTTATTTTTTGTACAATGTTGTAATAGGGTATAAAATTTTTATTTTTCTTTAATAAAGCACTTTATTATAGTACAATACTGATGAGAATGTTTAGAGATGGGAGTTCAAACACCCTACACCTTTCATCCGATCCCGCGAGTTCCTCTGGCAAGAAGGTCACACTGCCTTCGAGAGTAAAGAGGAAGCCGAACAAGAAGTATATAATATTCTGGACCTTTACTCCAAGGTCTACACCGACCTTTTGGCCATTCCCGTTGTCAAGGGACGGAAATCTGAAAAGGAGAAATTTGCTGGAGCTGATTTTACAACAACTGTCGAGGCGTACGTACCTGTCAATGGAAGAGGAATTCAGGTGGTCTATTATCATTGTTTACTTTAAAAAATTATTTCATGTACTTATATATTCTAAAACTTATTACCTATTTTTGATCTTCAGGGAGCCACCTCTCACCATCTTGGCCAGAACTTCTCCAAGATGTTCCTCATCAAGTACCAAGACCCGGTCGATCCTTCTAAGCAAGCTTTCGCTTGGCAAAACTCCTGGGGTCTCTCAACTCGTACCATCGGAGCCTTGGTAATGGTACATGCGGATGACAATGGTCTTGTTCTCCCACCTAGAGTCGCCTCTATCCAAGCTGTCGTTATCCCAGTCGGAATCACAGCCAAGACTACAGAAGAAGAGAAGAAAAAGTTGCTCGATAAGTGTCAAGAAATAGTCAACCGACTGATCGATGCTGATGTGAGGGTCAAGTTAGATGCCAAGGATAATGTGTCTCCAGGATGGAAGTTCAACCACTGGGAGTTGAAGGGAGTTCCAGTTAGAGTTGAAGTAGGACCAAAGGACTTGGAGAAGAATCAGGTCTTGGCTGTGATAAGACACGACGGAGAGAAGAGACCTGTTTCGTTGGATGGTCTGGAGAACAGCTTCCAGGAGCTCATGATCGAGATTCACAAGAAAATGTACCAAAAGTAAGTAGAGTTGTCTCACATAAGTACATATTTGAGAGTTGTTATAATGTTTAAGCTGGTAAAAAGTAATATTTTTAAAATATGATATTGTTTTAGGGTGGAAAAACAACGCGACGAACACAAGACTGTTTGTACCGATTGGTCGAAGTTCGTGGACTTGTTGGACCAGAAGTTTGTGTTGTTATCTCCATTCTGTGGTGGAATCGAATGCGAAGAGAAGATCAAGGACGGTTCAGCTCGTGAAGAGCCTGCTGAACTTGGCCAATCGGCCATGGGGGCCAAGACCTTGTGTATCCCATTGGAACAGCCTTCTGAAGCTCTGCCAGAGAAGTGCATCTTCCCCGAGTGCCAAGAAAAGGCCAAGTTCTTCGCTTTGTTTGGTCGATCTTACTAAGACTTTCATAATATTACTGTAGCATGCTTTGTGTACGGTATACGGTGACATAGGGTTTTAAAAGGCGTCTTTGTAGAAGCATAATTATCTTTGATTTTGTATTGTTTTGACTGTTTGTGTTAGCTATGTTACCGTGTTCAAGTTACAGTAGCATGCTACGTATTCGTGCATGACTTTGTGACAGTTTTCATGAAAAGTGCATTTTTATCAGGGTTTTATTTATTAATTTATGGTTTTTGTTGATCCCAATGTTGTTGACGGTGCAAAATAAATTCTAATTTAATGTGGTATCATTTTGAAAGTGGCAAGGTTCTTTACCAACAAATATTATTTCGAAACCGGTCGGATATACGATCAGTTGTGTCATTGTTTCTTCAAAGTAACATAGACTTTGGCTATCTGTAAGTCACACTAATAAAACTAAATTTCATTCCAAAATCAATATGATTGTTGCAGATGGCCCAACAACGGGTACTACAACTTCCAAAGTTTGCTGTGGTGGAAGTTATGATCGATCTGGATGGCCGCGACCAGCTGAACAGCGAGAAATGGGAAGTCCGCGACCAATTCTGGCGCAGGGTCCTCCACCGCTTGGACGAGCTGTACCCCGAGAATCAGTCGGAGGTACGCACGGTGAATCACGTCAAACGAACGTGGTGTGCGCTGAAACAACGCGTCCTCGCCCGAGCCAAGACCGTGAACCGAGAGACGCTGCCGTCCGACCGCAAAGTGCTGTATCTTCTGAAAGCCTGCGACACCTACGAGGAGGATGCCCCAGTTAATCTTAAGCGATTGGAAAAGCTCGAGAGCGCCACAACCGGCGAAAACACCCCCTCTTCCAACTATACAGCCATGTCGGCAGGCGATGTTACCTGTAAGTTTTGGGGGGTAATAGGTTTGTGTGAAGGTAGGGGAAATCAAAATTCGAAATTACGTATTTTATACATTTTTTGAACTTTCTAGGTCTAACTTATATTTCTGATGATATACACTTTAGAGTTGACCGCATTTTCTGTTAATCCTCGTTTTACTTAATCGTCTACATATTATTAAAGCAATCAATTGGCTTATATAAAAAAAATAAAAAATCCACGATTTGCTTAAATTGTGCAATATTATGTTTTATAATACATTTTTTCATCTCGGGACCTACATCTAAAAAAAGTAAGTTAAAGATTGTTTTTACTTCCAACTAGATACTAAAACTGGAGTTTGTGGCGGAGAAAGAGCAACCCTGGTCAACAAAGTGTGTGCGAACTGGTGTCTTCGAATAAACAAACGCTCCCTATAGTCAACGAGGAGAGGGATGATAGGAGAAAGGTAGGGAAGAGAGAGAAGCGAGACGGGACGGTCGCTCTCTCCTTCTCTCTCTTTATAGTCAACAGACGGAAAGCACTTCGCGAAGGGAGGCAGGGCTTCTACTCTCCGTTCTTCTCCAGTTTATTTCACGGAATTCTTGTCACTTTAACGTGTTATCATCCTATATTTTTGTTCATATCTCATTTTTATGTTTTAGCTTTAAGCACCGTATCAGGTATTCTGAAGGAAGCGACTGGAAATTCTGTGATAAATATGTCGTCGGAATATTCACGTTGTGATTCCCCAACAACTATGGGCTTTCAAGGAACACCACAAGTTGAGGTAAAGGAGCCTTCGGAAGAAAGAACTTTGGATTCCGTGTCAAATACATCAAGACAAGGAACACCTTCACATTCATCGACGCAAGGAACGCCCGTGGCAAAGGTGCCGATACCTAGAACGTCGGTATCATTGGCAACGAAAAAGCTAATGATCTATCAGTTTGAAAACGGAGCGACAGTATCAAGCTTGGCCAAGGAGTATAATATCTCAAAAAGTTGTGTATCCAAGACTCTAAAACGGAAGAGTGACATTCTTGACATCGTCTCGACCCGTGATGACGAGGATATGAAGCGAGTGCGACGTCCAGTATCCGAACAACTCGATTGTGAACTTCTTAATTTTATCGATACTTGTAGACATGACAATGTCCATATTACAGGACCAATCCTGAGGGTAAGGTGCCGTTCTCATTTCTATGTTGTTTTAGGAGAAGGCATTAGAGATATCACACAAGTTGGACATAAAAGACTTCAAAGCTTCGGAAGGATGGTTGTCCCGCTTCAAAATCAGACACGGGATCAAGTTTAAACAGACGGCTACTGATAATGCAACGGACAATTATATAGAACAACTGAACGATTATCTAGTTGATCCAGAAGATGACATAGCCAACATGACGAGGCAGGATGAGCGATTGGAGTTTGACGAATTTAACCAAGGTTGTTACTTAAATTTTGGTCAGAAAGAGATTGCTATATCATTAAACAGACTTAAAAGGTTAGGCCTATTTACAGGTCAATTGTCGTACTACTTTCGTACTTCTTTTAGGTTGATACCAATGTTCTCACACCAACCTTTAAATTTGCAAAAAACCTAAAATTTGCATTTTTGGGTAGTTAAAATTATGAGAGTTGACTGCATTATTTTAACCTTTATTTATATATAAATTTGTGTGATTATCGACGTATGTTAACAATTAAATTTCAGTGCCCAAGAATATCGACCCGTTGTTGGATGCAATGATCGTATGTGGTGGTAGACAAGCCTTACCTAAGAAGCGCGCCAGTACAGTCAACGGAAAGGTAAGTTGAAGAAATATATTATAAAGCCATAGAAAACATTTGTTTTGGAATGCTTTACCCAGTAGATTAGAAATCAGATTTTAAAAAGTCATAATCATGTTTTGATAAAGTAACCCTCTTACTTTCAGCAAGAATACCGACGTTTCTGGGACAAAGTACACATGGTACTCCAATTCAACACTCAATGTACTGGCCGTTCCGTGCTCAGCTTCCAACGTGCTTGGTACAATATCAGAATGCACTATAGTGTAAGTTCACGTACAGTAAACTAAGATTGGGATTTAGAATAAGGAAAAACGGGGAGATGGAGATCGGTCATTTCAAGCACGAAAGGCCTACTACCTGATGAGAATTCTGAGCCAAGAACAAGCCAAGCTTAACATCGACAATGGAATCGTGTACGATCTCCTGAATCCAGACGACAGCCAAGCCAATGGTAAGTTACTCTGAATATCTTCGTAAATGTAGTAGAAGTTTAGCGATTAGTGTTATGGAAGACTTATGGATGTTGTTTTAGGTTCACGATGCGAAGTAATCAAACAAGAACCCCTCGATCTGACTCAGCTGATCATGAACGGTCTAAACCAACAGCAACAACAATACGACGAAGACATCGTGGAGGATGATGCTTCCTCATCAGTGTACGACGCCTTGAACTCCAACGAGAACGGTGACCTTCTGACGGCCTTATCCAAGAGCGACGCCTTCCCAGACGAATCAGAACTCAGACAGAAGCTTCTGGTGTGCCAGATCGAACGAGAAAAGGCTCAAACCGAACTTCTGAAGGCTCAGAAGCGTCTGATCGAAGCTCAGCTGAACGGTGTCTTCAATTCTGAAGAGCTGCCCATTCTCAGAGACAGCAAAAGCGTCATGGACAACTTCTAGGCTTGCCTTGTGTCAAGTCTATCTTGGATCTAAACTTGGACTGGTCTAGACTTTGTTCATGTCAGGTCTTGTTCGCCTAATAGCAGGCCTAAGTATAGGTATCTCTCTCTACACGGTTACTTTATTAAAATCCTCAAGTGCCTTAAACCTTATTATCAAGTAGTTGTTTTATATAGTCTTTGGTAAGCAGTTGCTGCTTTATATTGTTTTCGTAATAATTTTGTTAATTTTACGTCATTTGTTTCTTTATTAAATAATTTTATATTATATTTGTTGCACGGTGCTTTTCTTTTTCGAGCACGATGCAATCAAAAGAAGTTTTGATAGTTTTAATTCCTTTTGATACCATATATTGTTTTATCTTGTCTACGGGACCTTCGAAGCTGCTCTAAATACTTGAAATATCCGTATTCAAATTCAGAATCTCCTGATGCCCTTAAGCCAAATCCCCCTCCTCGTAGCGTACCGGTTTTATTTGATATCGAGATGACGACTTATTCTTGTAATCTCACCTCCAGAATTCACTGAATGTCTAAGAAACGTCAGGATCTCTCTTTCTCTGTTGTCTCTTCTGCCATCCCACTATATTATCCTATGCTCAATCGGACAACGTTAATGTGCCAATAAATGATATTTTTACTGTTTTTGGTTTGTAATTTAATCTTTTAGCAGTAACATTTAATTTATTGTTAGTAAGGTTTTATTCTAATTAATGGATGATATATAGTACTGTATATGTAAGGTTATTTCGAGATATTTTACATTGTAAAGTTAAAAATTTACTTTCTGGTTTGTTTCGAATCCGGCTGACCATATTGAGTACCCTGCCTTCGTTTCCTGACCAGCTTTTCGTTAGCTGGATCACCTGACAATATACTCTTCATCCGGTCCAACTCATTCTCAACTGGTTCTACATCTTTCACATCGAACCAAGCTTCTAAAAATTATTCTTCTTAGCAAAGTAACGACACAAATTAGAAATATATATATAAAGATAAGATGTAGTCTATATTATTTACTTACTATGTTGATCCACTCCTTCTGCCATTTCCTTGCATTTGTCAAACGAATACTTCAGAGCCAGACTTTCGATCATCTTGTTGTAGCTTTGCACTTCTGAAACAAAAAATATAGTTCAACAGTCTCTAACTAGTGTAAAACCACCCACTACATGTTGTTGTAAGTCACCAAAAAAGTATAACTTGTTCTAAATCTTAACATTAGCGAAAGCTGGCTCTTCCCCAAACTTCTACAAACTTTTCGATCAACCTACTATAATATAATAACGTTTTGTCTTAAAAGCAACAATGCTTACGAGGATTGAAGAACATCTCGGGAGTGTACTCTTGAGTCAGTTTGTCCACAAATCCTGATATTGTTTTAGATGGTTTGGTAGACGGAGCCACGAGTTGCCGAGTCTCCTTCTCCATCTCACACTCCAGGTCTCGTTTGTTTTGTTTTAGCGGTAATCTGACAGCGTGAAAGCCTTCGTATCGGTGAATGTCTACCGGCTTCTGAATACAATAAAATCAAAAACTACAGTAATTTTTATGAACATTACATCACAATACTAAAGAGATTAAAGATAGCTTAATGAGCACTACACCACCGTAATAAAGAAATTACAGTAATCTTAATGAGCATTACTCCACAGTAATAAAGAAATTACAGCCACTTTAAGCAGTATCCACTCTAGCAATTGACTACTTACGATGTCTTCTGTATCCTTCGGTGGTGCCTTTTGCGGTATCAGGGCATACAATTTGGACGTAGTATTACTTCTGAATGTGCATCTAGCTAAAGCATACACATTCTTCTTCAGACAACTCAAGTACAAAGAGCGGTAGAGGTTCTGCGAGCCTGTCACGACCTTAAAATTGTAATTATAACCTCTGCAAAGTAAAATATTAAAACAATATTACTCATATTAGTACCCAATACAGTACAAACTACAGTACTCTTCTAAACGCACCTTGTCCAATGGATACAGATAACAACTCTCACCCATCCTCCACGAATCCTTGAACTCATTCAAAGGTTTGAATCCGAGTAATCTGATGCCCGGAGTCTCTATCCTCCCCAGCAGATCCCTCTCCCGCCTCGTCAGCTGAATATCCACCCCCGCCACAGACACCAGCCAATCCATTTGAAAAGCATTTGACATATCCACAGGCTTCGGCTCTGCCGCCATCTGAGTCGACAGATTCACGGCTTCAGAATCTGCTTCAGAAGGGCCGGCTTCTGCCAAGAATCCAGTTCTCTCCACACACTCGTTGGTTTCGGCATCTAGCCACGTCGATTCTGGCTTCTGACGCTCGTGACATACGTAGTAACAACTTACTGCCATTTCAACTGCACCACCCAAGTGGAATGGTACCACAGCAGCAGATCGTAGCGAAGATTCAATGAATTCTGTAGTCGGCTCTATCGGGTGGATACGGTACTTGTAGGAGGGGTCTATGGTGTTCTAAAAAGATATGATACATCAGTTATAATACTTTATAAACCAAACGTAATAGATATTGTTAAAAGCAAGTCTTGAGTGTAAATATAAATTGTCTTTCATATGGTATATCATCGTATGTTGAAGTTCATATATGTATTAACCTACCCAGAATTCGTTTGGCGTCGTACCCAAAGGAAAGTCGATCAAATTAGCAGCAAAGTGAATATCCGCGTCTAGTTTGGCCATTCTTTTCGCCACCAACTCCTACAACAATATAAAAATGTACTTACCTAACATCTTCTTAATTACCATCACTATATTATCATTATAATGCCATTTTACAAGTGGTTTTAAAACTGATAGACAAGAATATCTTATAATTAAAAAACCAACAACCGAAAGACTAACATACCAAGTGTTTTGACTTCGTATACGGATCATCGTAAGGATCATAGTTGTAAGAGTAGAAGATTACTCGTTTCTGGGAGGTGTTACTTCTAAAATATTAACTTTAACACTATGATAAAAAAATAAACTCAATATTGTTATAAAATATCAATGGAAATAAGTTGTTGCCTAAAACAAAAAAAACAAACAGAAACCTTGCCCTTCAGAGAAGATCCTTCTACAGCAAAAAATAAGTTCACAGATGTCAGCATGAGAAGATCCTTTGCCGTAAAACTCAGATACTTCCTTCTTTATGTCTTCTGAAACGTTAAGGATGATACGCTAACAAATGTACCTTGACACACAAAACTAGTAGCTGTTTGAGATAAATAAAAAATAACATCTTTCCGGTAATATAATATGCTTACCTGCTTCTGACAAACAGTAAATAGTTTGGTTTAGTTCGACACACACATTGTCGGTGTTATAGGCAACATAGATACCATTCTGAGCTTTTTCTGGAGACTAAACAATATTGTAAGAAAATTATGTTCAAAAAATCCATTAAAGCTGTCATTTATTATTGCTAACACACCAAAAAGCTTTGGTTATTTTAGAACATGCATAGAAGCTAAATATCCTCAACGTAAATGCCTAAAAACCAACGAAAACATATAAGTCTTACAGCGTTTAACAATATGACAGTGACATACTCATTTAGCTTTGAATTCAAAGCAAAATAGTTCAAGTGAGCTGTCAGTCGAGCAAAGGCTTCGTGTAGATATGTTTTACCATCGGACCGTGTTTCGTACATCTTTTCTGACACATCGGCAACGAAAATAGTCGATTTTCTGCCGATTTCAGCCAAACTAGCTTCTTCGGCAAAATGTTCATCATTATCGTTGACATTCTCGTCCATTTTACTCCAATAACGATGGGTTTGCTGTGATTTGTTTGAATTTCTAGTGTAAAACAATATTTTGTTTTTATTTTTGCTAAAAATGGGCGCAGTCTGCGCACTTCCTCCGCATTTTTAAGTTTTTCGAAAAAATTTGTGGGTTGACCAAAGGAATTATTTAAAATTTGCCTGAACAGGTTTTTAAGCGTTTATTAAATTATATTACAGTAGGTTTAGTTATTCTTGAAAAGCTGATCAAACTCCGAAACGTGGTTACTGTAGAATCCGTGATCGTGCATTTCCGGTTCCAGATCGATGCACAGATGACTAGCGTAGTTTTCTTGGTTCACCTTATTCCACTTTACCAAATCTTGTCCATTTGGGTTCCTATAAATACAGTAATTACTCTTAGCCTCCGGATTCAACTACAATAATCGCCCATAACTATTATTTGTTTTAATTATTATCTTCATCAATTAATAATCTTATCACTTACCCAGTTTTGACAAAGTTAGACAGATACCCAGTGAAGATATCGATCATCTTGTGATCCGTGTCATCTGGATCGAAGTCTCCATCATCAACATAACTCTTCCCCAACATATACGGTAGCTCCATACAGTGGGAGGCCGCTTGGTACGGTAGCATTTTACCGTAAGACCCGTTGGTTCCTTCTTTGAAGTATTTGAACTGGAAGAGATACACGTCTTCACCACGATCTACACGATGCTTCACCATCTTGTGGGTACCGTAGTTGAAGAACAGTTCGGACAGGAACTGTAATTACAGTAACACGTTTTAAAAAGTTAGATACCTTGACGAACTGTTCAAACTTATTATTGTCTGAATCTGGCAAAGAATCGTCTACAACCTTATCGTAGATCGCGACAGCAACTTCTGGATCCAAGGTTTCCGAGATGATACGAACATAAAATGGCACTGACTCTCTGAGGGATGGAAACTGCTTCGATATCGTGCCTATAACAATATATTACAAGTTATAAGTTGGATGTCATACTCACCAAAGGTCAGACACTCTTGTTCAGTCACTCCAACCAGTACCGTCTTCTTTGGAGCACTTCGCCTCAGGGCCTCCAACTCTTCTGGAAAGAATTCTCCGTCAATCACAGGCCCGTAGTTAGCCAAGCCTTCTATGGCCAACTTCTTGCCCTCCACAGTCTTCAGAAGCTCCAACACTTCTGAATCCTTGGCCTCCTCCTCTGCTCCCAACTTCTTCCTCGCGAACTCAGTCGCCGTCTGCTTCACATTCTGAGGTTGCCTGAGGGCGAAGGCACAGTACGATGAACCGGCAAAGTTGATACAGTTCTGGAAGAGGTCTCTGGTCAACGGGGAAATGGCTAGCAGGTCGACAGCAGCAGCTCCAGCTGATTGACCGCCTACTGTAACATTGGAGGGGTTACCTCCAAACGTGCCAATGTTGTGCACCACCCATTCTAGTGCCATTTTCATGTCGAATAGGCCGTAATTGCCTTTGTATTCTTTGCCCCAACAGAGGAAACCGAGTATGGCCAGGCGGTAGTTCAAAGATACGACCACAATGTCTTTCGAACAGAGGTGGCTACAATAATAGAATTTTAAGATATTGGTGTTGGAAAGAACAAAACGTATCTCTTTTATATCAAAAGCATAACTCTTTTATGCTTTCAGGATTTACTTTCACACTTTTACATTTACTTTGAGCTCAATATACTTACCGTCCGATGTTATCCACCCCCAGTTTGTTCGAGCAGTCCATCACAAATCCGCCTCCATGAATGTAGACAAAGACTGGCAGGTCTTTTTTGAACTAAAATTACTTTTTGAAATAAAATAGTTATTACTTACCTTTCCATCCGGGTATGGGGCATAGACATTGAGGTAGAGGCAGTCCTCACTCGAATCAGTTAATCTGTCCGTATGGGACGCTATATAGGGACAGTGGGGACCAAACTTGGTACAGTCTTTGACACCGTCCCATTTGGGAGCCGGCTCTGGCTTCTGTAATTAATTATTAGTGTTCGTTTGCTGATAATAGATTTATGTTCAACTTGAGATATATTTTTTTTAATTTAACTTTTTATCAAAAAAAATGACAAAACTTTTTAAAAATAACTTATCTTCCCTCACCTTAAACCTCAAACTGCCGACCGGTGGCCGAGCATAGGGAATGCCGAGGAAAGCGACACTTTCTCGGTCGATTAATCGACCTTCGATCTCACCGTTCCGAAGCCGAACCTTGGGAGAGCTCATCGCGGTGGAAGTGGAAGTAAGAGTAGAGAGAACACGCTATTTAGAGGCGCTCCGCCACCCGATTATGGATACAAAACACTCGTTTATTTATTTACACTTATCATAAACAATGATAACATGAGAACTGTCTCCAGTTTATGAAACAAGGCACTACGAGGTTACTACGAGCAGCTCACTGGTATGAACACATGGTAATGTAATATATGCAAAGTCAGATATTAAAGTACAGAAGGTTACTGATTTTACTTTTTAAAATAGATTTTTATAATAAAATTCCATCCCAAAAGTCCAAAGTTACTTTGCAGTAAAATTAAAAATTGCAAATATTCCGAGGACTTTTGAGACAATATGGTATATGTATCATAATATACATTACAAATCATAAAAATAAAGCGCATATACCGAGGATTACTATTATGAAACACATTAAGTTACCATGTAAAACAGCACCGGAAACATATAGGACGATATAAATATAGACAAAAAGTGATCTGTGATGAATAATGTCATAGATTAATGCCGAAACTCATGACAGTTAAACAAATATTACAAAATCAATCAAACAAAAACAAGATTACCGGTATTCGAAAGTTAGTTGACAAATCACATTAACCTTGCATGGTAGTATGCATATACCTTTAAGATATCTATAAGATATACTTATAAGATACGAACATTTACATCCAAAAGAAATTACAATTTTGATGTTAATGTTCATGTTTTACGTATACAATATTAAAACACAAAAACCTTGGTCAAAAAGTTCGTAGAACCGCTCTTTATAAGCTTTTCTGTTAACTTTACTTTTCGACCAATTAAGTATATACACATACGACCATGCTCTACAATAAAACTATTCGTACATAATGTGTACCCAAACTATTCGTATAAAAAGTGTATACAAAGTATAAACAATGTTAATATAGTACAGTTAGACACTGCTGCAATTGCCTCGAGGGATACAACAGACAGCCTGTTGGACTGAAGACGTCACCTGTTCTTGATGACCATAGTAGTACTTCAAGGTAATGGAGACATCAAACTGCATCGTCACATACAAGGCCGTGTAGTTACTGAACTCGGCTTGACAGTACTGGCTGAAACCAGATATACCTTAATATAAATACTACTTCTTTCTTCGGCCTTAAGGGTCTAAAGACAATGCAAAACTTTAATGCAAGATACACAGTAAATACGTTTATTTAATCAAATTTTAAAATCATGCCTCTCAGCGCCATTCTTTTTGCATCAAACCAAAAAATCGCTTCAAAATAATGCCCGTAAGCATAGTTTTTAAAATACGCAAAGGTGTTGTAGACCAATTATAAGATCGCATTAATAAAAGCCATTTTCACTCCGCTCCAATATTATCCATCAAGTAACAGCGACAGTAAAAGCGCTTACAATCCATCCATTCCCTCCGGTAATGACTTATTGTTATATGTCTGAGAAAACTTGTAAGCGTATACATGCCTTCGTATCTTCACTTTTGTATGCTCACATTCACGCTGATGAGGCGGAGAGATCCACAAAGTTTTTAATTTACAGGTCTTTCAATACCTGTACAAAATCTCGAAATTGCCTCGACGCTGCTTACATTATAGTCCTATAGTCAGGAAGAAATCTGATGTTTGTCACCTTAACTTAGCTTTCTTCGAATTCCTACATTCCCTTAACACTTCCCTATTCCGTCGACTTAACCTTTGCCTCACCAACTTATTGTTTCCCAGTTTTTTTTTGTTGAAACAAAAATTCGGCTAGCCTCGAGAACCTGATCTCGTGATGGATCGCAAACGCGTGGGCCTGAGAAAAAGTCACAGTCGGTCTCAGTTTTTGTTAACGAATTTCGTCGATGAAACGAAAAAAAGAAACAAAAATTAGGCGGAGTCGAATAAAATCAAATAGCTGGATATAAGTCCCTCCGCCCGCGCTAACTACTATAATATCACGGGAGACCGCGACCGTTTCCGAGGCGCTAATTGTCAAGTCCAGTCCTTAATTAGATCACCGTTTCAGCGGTTTTTGAAAAATTTTAAATTCGAGGTTGTTTTAAGTTTTTGCTTTATTAGAGCTTAATTTATATTATTGTACATAAAGTACCTTATCGTACCGCAATAAAAAATCATACCATAAAGTTTGTCATAACAAACTTCGTTTCAATTTGTCAAATTTCAGACAAATGCGAGCCATCCTGCTGACTTTGGCCGTTGTGGCCCCAGTTTCGGCTATCTTCTTCGGCGGCGGCCAAAGCTGTGGATGCTCAAGCTGCTGCTCGGCCCCCACCACCACAACCAGGTAAGCCTCACACACTACTTTTTAGTTTATTTTTTAAAATTTTCTTTAAAATTTAAAAAAAAAGTACACCACTGAAAGACTAAAATATGTATGGACAGTTCTAACTGCTATGAATCTCTTTCAGTATGTGCTCCTCAACCATCATGTGGATGTGGAGGAGGTGGTGCTCCAGCCGCCTATGCTCAACCAGTATCTGCTCCATGCCGCCCACGTTACATCATCGTACGCCCTGTTGAATCCGGAGGATACGAATCTGGACCAGTTGGAGGCGGTTACAATCAAGGACCAATTGGAGGTGGTGGTTACGTTCAGGCTCCAATTGCTGGACCAAGCTTCTCCGCCCCAATCCAAGGCCCCAGCTACTCGGCTGGACCAGTTGCCGGCCCAAGCTACGCCGCTTCTGCCCCAGTCGCTGGACCAAGCTACTCGGCCCCAGTCGCCGGGCCCAGCTACTCGGCCCCAGCTCAAGTAGCCGCTCCAGTCGCTTCGTACGCATCCGGAGGTGGTGAAGGAGCCGTCGCTGCCTCAGCCGCCGCCTACGCTTCCAAGACTGTGAACGCCGAAGGAAAGTGCTCCAACAAGGAATTGAGAAAGATTCTGGAGAAGGAGATCGTCCCGGGAGATGCCAACGAGTCCAAGCGCGCCGTCTACCGCGTCGCCAACCAACAATTCAGCGACGCCAACAGCGAGAAGGGCATCGACGTCATCTGTGCTCCAGCCTTGATCAGCTACAGAGTCGCTACTGACTTCTACTGCGAATACACCAAAGAAGACATCACTTGCTTCGCCTTCCAACAAGCCTAAGTGATGAGTCTTGTCTACATGGTTTCCTCTACTATATTGTAGTAATGTAGCTTATTTCTACCCAAATATCTGTTTATATTGATATGTTCGTGTAGACTTAAGCTATGTGACCTATGTATTATTAGTCAATCTTGTTCATGACTATGATGGTAATGTTTCAATGTAATGGGTGTACCTATCGATTGCAATCATGTTGTTGTCTGTATATAAATAAAGCCTTTGTTCTTCTTTCACTTTCGCGCAATTCCAAAAAGGATCGATCACAACATCGTTCCATTTCAAAAATAACTTCAAAAAGATCGTTCGAGACAAAGAACAATTGTCAATATCCAAAAGACAAATAGGAATCTAAGAGATAAAAAAAACACTCACGCGACGTAGCCTTGAAGATTGACGGTGTTGTTGAAGTACACTTCTCGAGTACTACGTCCATAGATACTAAGCTGAGTATCATCAGATACAGAGCTGTTAAATCCATGGCCAATCACATCCACCGACCATGGTTGGAACTTGGACACGATTGTAGCCGTCACATTCACTATGCTTACAGGGAGGTAGTTGCCTGAGGACACATTCACTCGATTCTGAAATGAGTTTAATTATAACTGAGCATCACTTATTAGACAAATGTCACGAATAACAGCATATTTCTAAGTTATGGCGACATTAATAAAAAGGTAATGCCAAAAGTTTGCAGCATTTTGATAAATTAAAGAAAGTTTCAATATTAAAAGAAAAAATTTCAAAAATTCGTACCAAAAAAGTCAAATTCCATGAGTTGGTGGTCCTGAGGGTCTGTTTTTATAATATGAACAATAGAAATAGGACGCTGTAGAGAAGAAATGTTAACCGTGCGAGGCATTAAAACAAAAATAGTGGCACTTCCAAGTAATATGAAAATTGTTATCCAGACAATAACCGTTTTCCATCTAAAATATCTCATCAAATTGAACTTTCAAACTAACATTATATATATTTAAAATAACATAAAGCAGAACACGTTTAAATCAACAAAGATTTAGTTTATTCTACTTAAAACTATTGTAAAACATCAAAAGCTTACAGTTTCTTGGGCTTTAATCTGTCATCTGTTAAGGGAATCAAAGCTACGAGTGTTCCTTCCAATTCTAAATTACAAAATCAACTAATTACTAAATCTGCATAAAAAAATTACATATAGCAACAATTAAAAACCACACAACTCAGAAAAAATCTATAAAAACTTCATTTTATATGACATTCCCCACCTTTTGGTATCATTCCAGACCCATTACAGCTAGGACAAGGCACAGAACCACCCATAAGTTCCGTGTAGCCCGTTCCTTGATTCCTGTCGACATCTGAATTCGTAGAAGCAACTAACTGATCAGTAATGTTATCTTCATCATGACGGAATATACTTCTCACTCGATTCCGAACGTTTTGAGAACTAAACACATATAAAACAAGAGAATTTGACTTACATATCGGTAAAACGTTGTCGTACACTGCTCATTTATGCAACCACATAAAAGAAAGCTAAAAGTTTTGGTTTATAAATGTGAGTTGTAAACAGTAATATTAAAAAAAGAATGTAAATCAATAATAATATATTATTTAAAATATAAAAGCATAAAATAAAGTATTTAAACAAAAAGAAAACTTTTAAAATATACGACACAAAATTTAGAATAAAATAACAAAACGACCAAAATAAAGGTAGAACACAAACAGATCAATCGCAGTATTTTAACGTTCCAAGAAATTCGCGCTTCAATTCAAATAATCGATTCCTGTTCGAAACGACTTCAACGTCAGTATTTTTGAATTTCAATTAAGCTTCTAAACCGACTTCCAGAAAATATGGCTAAAACTTGTCTGATTCATTGTTCACATGACTTTTGAAACAACAATAACATAGCTGACACAACTTAATATAAAGCATAAAATTGTGCAAAAAAATTAATCTTTGGCCAAACACTGATAAAGAAATTATCAAATCAAAGTTGATTAGATGCAAAAAAGATAAGAATTTTTAGTACAAGAATAAATAAAAAAAATAAGGAGAACATTAAAATCAATGTTAATGTAGCGAAGTGCCACAAAAGTAAATTTCGCAAAAATAAACATGTTTTAATTTATTTATCACAGAAGCCTTTTGGTGAATTCATGACATAATTTATTGAATTTCCAACAAGAATATGAGTTCAGATTAACCAATATGTAACATAACATCGTATTCAACCACAATTAATTGGGTTTCTTTGCACTTGGCGCATCCCCAAACAGTGGTTTATTGGCAGTGCCTCCGAACAATGTCCCTGAGCTCTGGCTGTTGAGTGTAGAGCCGAAAAGAGAAGGAGTTGTGGTAGTCGAAGCTGCTGGTGTAGTAGATCCAAAAAGACTAGTGGTACCAGAAGTCCCAGCAGTGATAGACAAGCCTGAATTAGTTGATGCGGTTGAAGTGGTGCCAAATGCTGGTTTTGCTCCAAACAAACCGCCGGTCGATGTGGCACTATAATGTAAGTTATAAGCAATTCTATTTTGCATAAGAAACAATATAACATGAAATAATGCAACAAATTAAACCTACGTTGAAGTAGCAGTGGCTCCAAACGGAGTAGTACCAGCTGGTTTGGCTCCAAACAAACTACCCGTAGTTGAAGTGGCGCTGAAAACCAAATTAATAATTTTCCTGTTTTTCTGAACAAGTTTACCAAATCAAAAACTATAATCTTCAAACTTACGTAGAAGTAGCACCAAATGGAGTGGTACCAGCTGGTTTTCCAAACAATGAGGTAGTACCAGTTGATGGAGCACCAAAAGCGCCAAGCCCAGTAGAAGGTTTCGCGCCGAATAGTCCTCCACTAGGAGCAGTACTCCCGAATCCACCCAAAGTTGAGGTAGCTTGAGGTTGCACTCCAGCTTTGGGAAGACCTTCAGCTAGAGACAATAAGGTCGCTGAACTTGGGAAGATATTGGCTCCTAAAATAAAGTAAAATTAAATAGTAAAATCATAAAGTATTATTTATAGTTAAGTCTTTAGTTAATGTAAAGTACCCTTCATTCTCTTCTTGGGGTCGTAATCAAACTGTTCCACATCTTCTGACTCGTCTCCAATAAACGGAGATGGAACATATCTTCCTTGTAGACGACGCATGTTCTCCACATACTGTTTTTTCGTCCTCTCAACTTGTTCATGAACATTTGACGTCCTCAGAAGCACGTCGTCCGTAATGGCCACGGACCTGTGAATATGGTCGAACAAGTCTTTCTTCGAAATACCTTGAGCAACAGTCACGCCTTCTTTGACGTTCAGGTATTCCTTTAAAGGTGCTTCTAGACCTACAATCCTTCCCAACTCTTCTTCAATCTCTTCCTTCAGATCTCCAGCATTCTGCTCCATATAATCCATCAACGATTGGAAGCCGGTTGTGGGATTACTACGGTTTTCTTCGTTGATTCTACTCAATACCTTCATATTTGACAATATTTTATTCGACCTCCGCATAAGCCCTAAAACAATTTACAATTACAACAATAATAACATGTAAAACAGAATAATGTACAGTTACTTTATGCCCTATCGAAACAATGAGCATAATAAGCTATGCGTAATCTTAAAGCTACTCACTTTCTATTTCGTTAGAGTTAGTGTGCAACCTTCGTGAAGCATGGTGGACCAGATTCTTTGTGTTCTCCACTTTAACATCGTAATCAACATCAAAAGTGGAGTTGAACTCATTTATCTTATCGTTGTTAGCCTTGATGGTATTCCTAAAAGGATAAATACATAAGAATAAGACTTACTTTATCAGGTCGATAGCCGAAGACAATTGTTGAGGTACTTCAGCATCCAAAGGGCTGATTTTAGTCCGGCTAGAAGTTCCAATCCCCAGTGAGTTCTCGGCTGGTTTTGGAGCAGCTGGTTGACCAAACAACGAAGATCCAGTGGCTGGTGTAGCTGCAGAAGACGTTGGAGTTGCTCCGAATAACCCGGTCGTTGGTTTAGCCACTGCCGTCCCAAACATGCTTCTTCTGAAATAAATTAAAACTTTTTAAAAGAAAATTCCGCATTTATCTCAACTTTTTTTAAACTCACGTAAAAACGTTTTAAAACTGTTAAAATGATAGAATTCGGATTACAGAAATCATTGCTAATTGTAAGTTTGAAAAACCTTTCACAACATTTTTTGCAAAAAAAAAACATTTTTTCACCGTTGCGGCGCGCCGGTTTTAAAACACGCAGTCTGCGTCCTGAACTAAAAACACGGTGCAGGCTGCGATTAAACATAAAAACATATTTTTATATTTTAACTCTGTATTTCTGTTAGTCTTTTTATAGAAACATTAGCGTACATAACCATGTCAAGGAACAACAAAGGAGCTGGTGATGGAAAGAAATTGACTTACAAGGAAAAGAGCTCAATAACATATGTTCAGAACAACGATCCACCATTTTTGAGAAAGATCAAAGAAAAATTTGGATACCAAGAGCCCACAGTAGAGGACAAAGTAAGTTTACTGACTTCTTTAATTGTATGTTTTAGTTCTTCGAAGAAGGAGGCGAAGATTCAGAAGAAAGCCCCGGATTCAGCGGGGATCCAGATGACATTCGGAATTTGAAAAAGGAAGATCGGCCACAAATCGTCGTACTGAACCCAGAAAAACACGTCTCTGAAGTTGAACTTGATGAAGAGGTAAAGAAGAAGCGAGAGGAAGAAGACAGTAAGTAATTGCTTGGACTAGAATCTTATAAATGCTTCTTTTATAAACAAACCCCAATGTATAATATTTTCAGAAGAGAAAATCGAAAAAGGCATGATAACATTCAAGAAGCCTGTGAAACGTGCAGCTGCAGAAGATGAGAATACAACGACAGATGAAAAGAAGAAGAAAGAAGATACCACTAAACAAGTCATACAAAGTCGTCTATTGTCTTTTGGAGATGAAGAAGATGAGTAATAAACATATTATGAACAAAAGGTAAAACAATTTTGATCACAAAGTTTAATGCTAAAGTGAGAATGTTAATAGATTTCTTGTTATGTCAACTAAATATACAAGATACAAGCTAGTATTCGATCGAACTGTAGTACATTGATCAGTAGTCGCTGCTAGACTCGCTTCTGGTCCTGTTGTCGTAGTTCTTGATACAGTAGTTTTCGCGTTTGCTGATCTCTCTGACAATTTCCCTCGCCTTCAAGAAGTCCTTGTAGTGGGTGGGGAACACTGGATGCACATCGTCGAATACACCATCAGTTTCATCTGCTTTGAAACGTGGAGAATCGTATGGATTCAAGGCGTGTGTTTCAACTGAAACTGATAATGCATTTGGATGTAGCTTTTGTACATTAATATGGGTACAACAATATAAAGGTAAAACAATCAGAAGAACATACCAGAGCTCAAGTGGGTCAACACATAGGTAGGTGCTTCCTCTTGGACAGAAAACAACATATCACAGGGCTTTTCCACATCCGCGAACCTTTGGGGGCCCCAAAAGACAGTTTCGACAACAACTTCTTCCTCCCGAGATGTCACGACCTTCTGAGATGAGTTGAAGCCGTTGAGCACACTCTCGCTCATGAACCTCTTGTGAGAAGCTGACATTGAACTTCGGAACTTTGATCGAGAAATTCTGGAGTCGCCAGAGCTGTCGCTTCCATCACTAACGTTGAAAGCGCTGCCACGAGATTTGCTGTAGAAAGAACCTTCCTCGCGTTTGAAGAATGCCATCTTAAAAGCTACGGGACCTGAAACAACAATACATTCAAGCAATTGCCCATTAACAAAATACAATGTAAAAAATCAAGCAACAAACGGGAATCCGATAATTCAGTCCAAAATTACAAAAACACATTATTATTCGTTTATCGTGAGATCAATTGAAACCATAATAATAAACCAAATCAGTAGAAAACAAAAGTTAAAAAGTTAAATTATGCCTTTGGTGGCATTAAATGCGCATTCTGGATGCAATCCCTCTCAATCCGCAAGTTGTCCAACGTCACGACATCTGTCATCACGTTGTTCTGGTTAAACTCGACCACCGAGCCTTCTTCGAAGAACATGCTCACAAAGGAATCAATCCCAACACAGTCGCCCTTGATTTTGAAAAACTGAGGAAGCTTCTCAAAGGTTTCACGCAAAGAATTGGATCTGATTCCAAAGACGTAGTTGATCTAAACAGATACATCAATTAAATCCCACAACCTACCTGCTGGAAAGACAATAGCCTAACATTTCCTTCTAAATCCCTGTATGTACTCTTTTCAAAGAGTTCCATCTTAACAAGGCCTCCGTTCTTCATGATAACGTTCAGAATCTGAACTATTACCTTCTGAAATCAAAATATTAAAATTCCGAATAAACAATTTCTGTCTCCTCAATATTACACCATAAATTTATACAAAGATAGCTTTATAAAATCTCAACAAAGTAAAGGATGACTCACGTTGATGTAGAAAGCTGTTCCATCGATAGAAGACTTGAAGTCAAAATCATCAGGAAGGTCAGCTTCAATAGCCTGGTTCAGACTGTCCGAACACGTCTGATCGCCGTCAGATCCAAACTCCGACAACTTCGAGTTACGATACTTATTGAACGTCTCAGATGTCGCCATGGAATGTCCAAACATATTCACATTATCTGGAACCAACGTCTTCCCAAGGTCGTCGCAGTCCTTAACCAAAGTTGAGTCGCCAAAATCAGAAGTCTTTCGATCTTCCTCTTCAAGCGGTGCTTCTTCTGTCTCCTGAATAGTTGTGGTATCAGATGTTGAAGCATCGTCATTCGTCGTGCTTGCAGATTCTTCAAGGACATCAGAATCCGTTGTGATGTCCTTAACAACTTCCTTTACAGATGTTGCGGCTTTGGACGCATGAATTCTGATTTGAACTTCGTTATCTATAATTTTAAAAGACAATTTGCAGAACCGCCTACTATGCTTATGCAACAAACATTATTGATAACTCTCAAGAAACATTTTTGACTTACAAGGGTACTTCAACTCGATGAAATCCCTCGGAGGATCGTATTTGAAGACTGAACCCTTCATCAGCGTCAAAGCCTTGTAAAGGTAATGAACATTGACTCCGAATACTTTCTTAATCTAAAAGATGAAACTTGACCGCTTTGTTACATAATTATCAGTATATGATCAAAAATTGCAAGAACTACAAAAGTTACAGTAGCTTACTTACCAGAGCATTAGAAATTGGGCTCCCATAGATCTGTTCCAACTCCTTCTCTAAAATACTGATCCGTACCCCGTTTCGTTTGTGTACAATATCAACACAAGCCATCACCTTATCCTGCAATCAATTATACTATTATTACAAAGAATAAGATCAAAAAGTTATCCCTATCCGGTTATGTTACACAATTATGTAAAATAAAAGTCAGAAATATACAGAAAGATGTTAATGATAATGACTTACCCAATCAGGCTCTTCAACCGGAACGGGCGTCTTCACAGGCTTAGTAATTGGAGGTTTGAACAATCTACTGTTTGAGCTTAGGTACCCAGCAATGCTTCTCTTGTATCCAGCAGAGATTGAAATATTCTTGGTATATAAAACCTTCGGTGCAGCCTTAGAGACATCATCAGATCCAAGCGTAGATTCACACCTTAATGTACTCTCATCTGACACTGAAGCACTTTCCGAAATAGAAGCCGACCAGAAGCTAGTATCGCCTTTGTTGGTTGGTACTCCAAACTCGGAATCAGTTGGTTTCACAGAAGGATATCGTCCAAACGGGTTATCTTGAAACTTCTTTGAGTCACTTTTCGGAGAGTTTCCAAAACCAGCCACTGAGTCGAGATCATCTGACGGTAAGTTGCTCCAAATAGACGATACTGACTTTCCAAATTCAGAAGTTTTTGAATTCTGGAAAGCACCAGAAATTTCTGATTTTATAAAGCCAACCGCATCTAAAGGCTTCTTAGACGAAAGTGAGAAAGCTGGTCCAGACTTCTGAGGCCCTGAACTCTTGGCTTCAGGTGATGTAGACGGCAAATTAGAGCAGAAGTCAGCGAAAGGCGACGACTTAGCTGCATATGTTTGTGCAAAAGGCCTGTTCTCCTTTGATCCGCCAAAATCATCAAAGTCTTTGGATCCTCCGAAATTGACCTTTTGCGTCAGAGGAATCATGTTCACACTGTTACCAAAGTTCTGGAAGATTGAGGAGTCCTAAAACTTCACAATTATTATCAAAAATACAAACCATGAACTCAATATAACAAAACTAACCCTCAACCCGTGAATGCCATCAGATTTCATAAATATTGGTCTTCTTTGGTCGCGGAACTTAGGTTTACTTGGAAAACGACGTCTATCCATATTCATATTCCTCTTCCTGATACGTTCTTCCTCGTTAATTTCTCTAAAACACAACAAAACAAACTACAGATCAAGCACAAAACAATTAAGAGATTATTACGATCAGAATATTCCGAAAGCAATATCATACCCAATGATATAAACCATAATTTTAAAAAAACAGTTAAAATTCAAAGAAACTAAACTAGAAAACCTTACTTTGATTCTTCGATGAGATCAATAACATCGTTGATCTTCTCGTTCCTGACTGGAAACACCAAACCATTCTTGAGAATGAGTTTGTCGCCCAACTCGTCCACCAAGTCCAGAATGTTAGAAGCTCCAAACTTTTCATAATGTTGTTTTAAGTCAATGCCCCAATCATCTCTAAAACAACATCATAAAGCAAAAGACCTCGACTAAAACGATATAGAAGCAACGAATAATGAAGAGAAACAACACAAATCTGAATCTACAACTTACTTGAAGTTTTTTTCAAACTTATAAATCTGAACGCCTTCTGGGGTTGAAGCCACCGTGCTCACAATGAGGTTTTCAAGATCTTCACGTGACTGCATGCTCAAAAAATCGCCCTGATTATATTGGTTAGAGCAAAATTTGTGGCAAAATATTTTATTTCCAAATCAAGCAATTACTGCACTACCGTATGCCCTGGGTCCCAACACGAAAACAAACAAAAGCTTTTGCAGAGTGATATTATCATTACATTCTTTTACACGATTAGTTAGCTAAAAAGTGTATTGAAAATCAAAGTTTTTATTTTTATATTTAATTTTTGACCGAACTGGTAATATCTTCACTAACATCATATTATTATCCGTTTATTACAACAATAATCAACATAAATTAAGTACCAAAGGTTTGTCAATATTTACACAACATCTTGGTGCTAAAGATCATAAATATGTAGCATCAGCGACTTTCCCCATAGACTACTATCAACCCTCGTCAAGCACGAAGTATAAATTGGTTGTAAAAGATGATCAATAATATTAAAATAAGCAACCTTAGACCAATATAAAATAATAAAAGAACACAGATCAGACATAATTATTAGTATAACAACCATGACACCCGAAATGCATAAAACTTGTACTTTTATGGCTGATGTACAACAACAACTGGCTCCGCTTGGCCACCGTCTGGCCCAATAGTCTGTGTAGCCGTCGACTGACTAGTCCGGCGTTGTAGTCGAGGTTCAGAATCTGTTTCCTCGAACTCCTCTTCATCGTCAGCATCCAATTCCTCTTCTTCCCCACTCGACTTGGTGTTAGCTCGTTCACTTGGAGGTCGTGCTCTGTTAGCACCAAGAAGACCATCAGCCGCCAGCACACGGTAACAGAGCACCGAGTTGGTGATGCACAAAGAGAAGATGACAAAGAAGGTTAGCACGGTGAAGTACCACTCCAGGGACCAGCCGTTCGTAATCTGCCAGTAGATCAGGTAGACTACCACCGCCATTCTGAAGACCATGAAGGTCATGATGTTGAGTAAGGCGACGAACTTGAAGGCGGTCGAGTCTTTGGGGACTCGGTAGAGGTTGAGAAGTGATCGAGAGTGGAGGAAGATTGAGTTGACTTCCATCAGAAGACCCAGTACGACAACTCCGAGGAACTTGGATGGAATGATGGTAGTTAAGAAGCCCATTATTACGATAACATGGTGGAAGAGGAGCTCCAGGATTCTGGCTGATCGTTCGTTCACCAGTAAATCGATGAGATCATGGATAATGTAGCCAAAAGAAACATATACCTGTAAAAACAAGACTTTAGATTTTTATCAAAAAGTAAGTTTGTATAAGCTATTAAAACGTATTTTAAAAACATGTGATTAATCGATACTATGACTACCGAAGTTGCATTTTCACATGGAACTTTATTTAAAGTATTTTAAGGTAAATATTTTGCCAAAAGTACTGAAAACTTACCAAGAATTTGGCTGACGGGTGGTCAAAGTAGATCATATCACTTATAGAAGTAGGATACGTTAATACAACCCATAGTGCCCACAGACCTGAGATGACAGAATGGATGAGAGATACGGCTTCATTCGACGTCCGCCATTTCTTATTTGGTGGAACGGCCTGAAATTTGAGTCACAATTTTGCCATGTCTTCACTTGAAATTTCTTCACAACTCTTAAGCCCAAAACTAATTTAAAAGTTATCACCCTTGCCCTGCAACCTATACTACTACATATCCCAAAACTCTTCCGACCCCCTAAAAAGAACCTACCTCAAGTTCAGTAGAAGGAGGGACATTCCTCCGCCTCCTGCCCTTGCCAAACTTAAAATAATCGAACGTTCTGAAGGTGCACTTCCCAAACAGATACCACCGCACGGTGTACTGTAACAGCCGGAAGAAGATAATAGAAGCCACCACGACCAATGTTATACGACCCACATCTGGCCAGTTATCGCCCTTCCAGTCAAGGTCTTCTATCGACGGAAGAGAGATATTCGTGTTGAACGGGTGGCTTACCATCCTCCTGAAAGCAAATTACTAATAGTGTCAAGATGTTAACTATAGTAAGCATTATTCTTTAATATATGTTAAACAAAGCGAATACCACGATAATAAAAAATGAAATAAACTCAAGAAAAGAATCGTATACGAGCTCGTAAAACGTTATCAATGAACTCGTTGAAACAATGATAATATGACAAAAACGTCGAATGACACTAAACCATCAAACTAACAGTGTAACTAACCTAAATGACATTACTTTTCAAATTAGAATACCGAATTTAAGTAATTCTACTACAAACGTAAGACAAAATTAATATTCATTTAGTCGTCCATTAATTTCACTGTAAACAGACCGCAATACCTCGTGTGAAACAATTTTGCCTCTTTTTTCTACTATAATATAGTGAGTCATCGGCCGTGAGAGCCGTGACGATCAAAACAAACCAGAATGTTATCTCTTTTAAAGAAAACTTTAAAACGAACGGCTTATAAAAATTGACAATAAATGTTATTTTAAATATTGACAAGTTATTTTAGACACAGTTCAAAAGATGTCTACATCCATGAAAACCTATAAGATTTCAATGAATTTCACAAAAACTTATTCCAAATGTATAAAGAAAAAACAGAAGCTAACATTCCTTACAGTTCTAATTAAAGCCTGTCTTAATATTCTATAAATAGCAATCTGACGCCCCACCAAACTACCCTTCCCAAAAAGTGCATTATATATTATGGAGCACCCTGCCTTAATCAGATGATAAACTGGCCCTTACCGCTCTTTTTTACCCGACATGGCTTTGGCGTTGAGCTCGCCACCACTTTGAAGCTTGTGTCCGAGGCTTTCGAGAAATTTCCGAAGCGTCAGACTCTCCGCTTTCAACACGTTCTCTCGCCGTTCCTCTGCCCAAGTATGTCGTTTCCTTTATCCACACAGTATTTTGGTCTAATGACATGAACGGCATGCCGTACCGTTCAGTGGTAGAACAATGCTCGCCAGCCAAAGGGTTTTTATGAAATCTTTATAAAATTGACCATTTTCGGTTCGAAAATCAATCGAAAAAAGATCGGAAAGGACAACGCAGCCAGAGCAACACTTGACCCAAACATTATTGTAAAATCTTTTTTTGTATCTGGGTTGTGAAGTTTGACGTCAAAAAGCAATATTTAGCCTTTCATACTCTAGCTTCTGTTCGTTTTTATGAAGATTACTCATGTTTCTATGTTATACAAGGTCTTTTTTGGAAAAGTCAAATTAATTTAAAATTTAAAGAAATTTAATTGATAGCAAACCCATTTTTCGAAGTAGCCAACAATTCTGACCTATAATAGTTACTCCAATACATTAGGAGAATATTTAAAAAACTTTTATTCATTTTTATTGCGCTTTATATATTTTTTATCACTTTTAAAATAATAATTAAGATGGACGAGACTTTAAACGCTCCAGGCGCTTAGAAAGGCAGTGAATGAAAGGTACTAGGCAATTAGTTACAATCTATATACAGGCTACAGTCCGCTTCTATTTACAGATCCTGCTAGGGAGAGTGGTTTACAGATCCTGCTCGGTTCAGATATGTTTGTACATGTTAGTTGATGTTGTTGCACTTGCGGTCGTTGGATCGACCGGAGCTGTTGCTACCCGCTTTCTTGGAACGTTGTTTTTGCTTTCTGGTCATGGGCTGGGACATGATCAGTTTGTCCAACGGCTTCTGAGGCCCTGGAGGACTGTTCTGGACGGAACTTGGTGGACTGTCGTTGGTCTCGGCATCCGGATCCTCGAACAGTTTCTCTTCCAGCCATTGACGTTGTTGGATGGTGGCCTTGACTTTTCGTTTTTGTTCTTCCTTCTTCATCAGGGCCTTCGCTTTGGCGCGTTTTCGGATCTCTGTGGCCGTCAGCACGGGTTGATTCATTTGGCTGGAGACTTCGCTGGTCATGTCGTCTAGTTCGTTGATAACAGGCTCGTCGACCATCACGGGCGAGGAGCGGCCTGATTTGGCTAAAATTAAGGAATTACTGTTTTGTTTTGGTATTTTAAAGTGACTGACATTTATTTTATAAAAAAGTATATAATATATATTAAAAAATGTCTTAACAATCTGGTATATATGAAGTAAATTTGACAGTTAAACTTACGATCAACCATGATCCACTCGTCGTTTCTTCCCTTCAGTTGTTCGTTGGATTCAGCATCGGCAGTGCTCTGTTCAGAGCCGAAGAAGTAAGAGTAAACTCCGTCCAACATGTCTTCGAGTAAAGTAGTAGTAGTAGTAGTGTGCTAGAAATAATATTTCCTTTTAAACTGATTGTTTATTCTTTCGACGCGCGAGAACCGGGTTTTATATACAAAAAACCACCTTAAAACAAAAAGCCAAAGTTCGTTGAACGTGATGTGCTTTTGAAAAAAATACGTCACGCTGACTGTAAATCACGTGAGTGGTTGGGAAACAAATGTGTTGTGTTTTGGGGCAGTAGTATTAAAGGAATTGGCACGTTAGTGAGAGGAAGGGAGATCTAAGGCGTCAAAGGCTAGATGTGAAGAAAACGATCTTAAGGTAACAATGTGTCATAAGGTACGAAATAAAAGGTTGTTATTTGTTTCATCTATGAAGTTTGTCTTTAAACTTCATGCGTGACGTCTGTCTAAAAGGCGAAAATATGTTTTGATATAAAATTAAGTTAAAATAGATGTGCTGAGACAAAATATGATTCCTAAAACACTTGAAACAACAACTAACTATATGAGAGACAACTTCCGAGAGTAATCTCTGAGGTTTGAGCACACAAAGAACGTGCTCCCTCTGAAAACAACCGTGTTGTTGTTTATTCGCATGTATATTCCCTAAACAGACCAAACATCTAAAGGAAGGCAATTCGAAGATGGCTCAGACATTTTGAGCCAAATGTTGTGGCAAAACAATAAATAACCAAGTTTTTCCTGTTATCACGGAACAAAATACTCGGATCTATAGTATTGGATGTTATTGTTGCTAGAGATGAATGTCTGATGTTATAAAAGGCAAAGTTTAGTGATAAAAGATGACTTTTGTATCAGAAAGTTGACAAAGACAATGATTTGAATTAGGAAGAACGTTTTCTCTGTCAAGTCCGGCTGATTTGGATTAATTGTTTTGGGAAAGGCTACAGACTAACTCGTTCTTGTTTGTTTTTACGTTGAACAGCTGGCCTCAGGGCTTAAAACAGCTGGGGTCAAAGGTAAACTGTTAAAAGTATGAAGACTTGGGCCGTCTGGCCATGACGAGTGTCTTTGGCCAAGTTTAAACGGACAAAATAACAGATATAAACAACTCAGCAAACAAGTTCTGAACTGCTTCTATATCGGGATCGTTTTCTGCTGTCAAAGTTTACGACAATTTTACTGTAAAATTGTTTTTTCGACCACTTTTACTTTAAACCTTGTTAAAACATTACTGTTTAAGGAAATACACTACTATCTATGTTAAGATACCCTCGCTAAACTACTATTTAAGTTAAGATCTCCAACACGTTGAGAAAACGAATTCAGGTACCTTTAAAGCTCGAAAGCAGACATTTCCCCTGAAGCGATTCCTTTTGTTTGTCGCAAGTTTCGAAAAGAAACGTTTGACTCAAAGCAGCGACAAAATCAGCAACAACATAATACAATTATTCTGAATAGTCCTTTGTTAGAGGTTCGAGATGACATTCCCCGTTAGTCATTATGCTGTAGACAGTCCTCTTACGACAGTTTACTTAATACACTTGTTACATTTATGTAAAATTAACAATACTTATAAAGTTAAGTTGAAAGTAGAAGATACGATGGTTAAAGACAAAAAAAGATGACATTAGAGTAGCAAAACTGATGACTTAAGCAAACATCCCTATGCAAAATCAATACGATAACTACCATTACATATACGATGACATTACAGACCCCAGACACATTCAGACACACAACTTAGTCTATGTCGAGCTAGGTAAAGCATGGTATGTAACAAAACAAACGCCAACAAAGACGTTTGGCCAAGTGTGGAAGCGGCCTCCCCCTCGGACTCTCGACACTCTCGAGACTCCACCCCCGACCCCCTCCCCCGCCGCGTCGCCCGGGAGTGGGGCCGGCCTTTCCCCTCCTTTCCAGCATTTTTCGTCAATTTCCGAGGGAATTGTCAGCGACATTCGAGTAGAATCGGTCGGTCTCTTACTGCGCGAGTCATGCGCCCCAATCAATGCTTTGTGTTGGTCATATGACCTGTACATACGATGCTTCCTGAATAAACAGGTCAGGGCTACAATTGTAAACGGCGCTAATAAATCAGATAAGTATACCGCCCGTTAATCTCGGCGGATCATGTGGTATTACGAATGTAGCACAAATCTGGATATGAGATTACAAATGTAACGCAATCTCAGGGATTAGGGGGTTGTCGCATACAAAACATAACATTTACGAGACATATGTAGCTTTTAAAGAGTAATTTATAAAGTTTTGTGAAGTAGTTTAGTATAGCAAAGATGTTATACATGGCTGTTGTAAGATTGCTTACAATATTACACAAAGAGTAATTACACGTCAGCAAAAACAAATTAACACACCCATGGGAGACAATACAATACTACAGGTCTTTAAACATGTTTTTCATGATTAATTTTATGGTATGTATCGATCACAACATCCAATACACAAAGAACGTTACTTTCTCTAATACAATAGTAACGTTTTTAACAAAAACAGTTGTAACATTGAGTAACTGTTCGAATATCAAAAGAAGAAGTGTAACATATACTAAAAAAGAGATACTACTTACTTTTTGAGCTGATTAAAAAAAATAAACACAAATGCGTGATTACTGTATATAGCATGATTTTTCAAAATTAATTTTTGAGTTAAATAGAAGTAAAACTTCAAAATTACTAAACATTCTGTACAATATACAAAAATGAAATTTAAAAAAATTATTTGCATACCATGAGGCAAGGATAAGTCTTTGCAACCAATATACAAGAAATAAATAAAAGGCGACTGTCGCTAAGAAAGAGCTGACCACCCCCCCCTCAAGATCCTATATTCGTTCTCTCTCCCTCTTCTGATGCACGTCATTCTCTTCGCATTCCCATGACTTCCTCTGGTTTCTCTGCTGCCTACACTCTCTACCGTGGAGATGTGTTTTGTATTTGCTTCACTATGGGATACTACTTGTAATACCCTTATGTCGGAAATCCTTTTAGCAATCCTTTTATCCTGACATCCTTTTATGAATCAGACAGAAAAAAACTGTAGACAAGATGTCATTTTATAAGAATTAAATTAACACAACATTTGTTTATAGTTTTGAAAAGAATGGAGAATCTGCACTTCATCATTACTTCTTCAGTAGTTGTACCAACCTTACTATTGAAAACCAAGTTCATACTCCGTATCAAAAAAAAGGTAATAAAACCTAAATAATGTCTCCTAAATAAGCTGATTTTGCAAGAAAGTCACAGAAAAGTCATGTTATGCAGTACCAGTCACAATGCGATCACAACATTAATATACGTCAAACAGCACGAGAATGACACCTGAATTTGCATTTTATAAAAATCTTATCAATGACTTCAGCAAAACAGTGACTTCTTATCTGAATTATGACCACAGTCCAAATGCAATGTCTCAGACAAACACTAGAGTACAAAAGAACCCGACAAAGGCAAGATTAGGCCCTTTATTGACCGGATTATATAATAGAAAGAAGGGCATGGAAAGAAACGTCTTCAATCATGGCAATGGCAGAAGGTGGACATAAGTCTTTAACAATTTAACTATAAGCTAAAGCCTAAATAATCAAACTTAAAACACACTTTTGGCCAAAAAGTGAGTAATAAAGATGAAACTTATAATACCTTACTTAAAATCAATATAACGTACATACCAACCCACCGTACTTTTGTTAAACTCAGTGTTGTTATATCGATTAGCCCCATATACATAAAGTCAAAAGCACCATCTTTTAACCGTGAATTTAAAACTTCTCAAGACAACTGTTATTTCAAAGAAAAACTAGTAAAATCGATTGTAAAGTCAAATAAATCACAAAAATTTTTAAACCACTACACCAATATTAACCCTTCATCAAAACCACTTGCAATCAAACTTGGTATGAACAATAATTTCAATCATACATTAAAATATCACGTGAATTCTTCGTTTCCGAACTTTATTTCTCCAAATTATATTAAAGGTTGTAACATTAGTGGCTTTCAAAACAATTATTTACTGAGTGAATAAGTTTAAAAGAGGAAGATTACATTAACGGAGTATCATAAGGTGAAAATGACATGAGTTTATGCACGTTCGCCACGAATTCTTCTGGCCAGCTGAATATCCTTGGGCATGATTGTGACTCTCTTGGCGTGGATGGCACACAAGTTGGTGTCTTCGAACAAACCGACCAAGTAGGCTTCCGAGGCTTCTTGAAGAGCTCCGATAGCGGCAGATTGGAAACCTAAACCAAAGACAGAATTAAAATTAAACAGCTTGTAAACTTACGAAGATCAGTCTTGAAATCCTGGGCGATTTCACGGACCAAACGTTGGAAAGGCAGTTTGCGGATCAAAAGTTCGGTCGACTTCTGGTAACGACGGATCTCACGGAGAGCGACGGTACCTGGACGATAACGGTGAGGCTTCTTAACACCTCCTGCAGCTGGGGCAGATTTACGGGCAGCTTTGGTTGCCAATTGTTTACGTGGAGCCTTTCCTCCGGCTGATTTACGTGCAGTTTGCTTGGTACGAGCCATGGTTGTTCAAAGCTATCTGAAAATTTCAAAAATTTATAAGGATAACATCGATAAAGCACGAAAAATGTTCACCAAACACGCTCGAATATTATCAAAATAAACTAAAACTCTTCAATAAAAATGTAGAAATGTTCTCAAAGCATAAAGTACTCAAACTTATAAAATTAAGAAAATGAATAAAACTAAACCGCGAAAAATATTATTCAACGAAAAATCGATAAATCGCAAAATAACGCGCGAAACCAAGTCTCGCCGCGAAAACAAACAAAACAATCGATAATTCTAATTCAAGTTGGCGGGCGAAAGAGGACCAGTGTACAAATTGCACTGAACACGCAAAAACTACTAGAACTAGTCGAGAAATAGCTCGCAAGATAGGGTGAGACCCGACTTGCGACAAGAAAGAGACGGCGGGTCAAACGAGGAACGGGAGAGAGCCGCGAGGCGAGCAGACGAACAGCCTAATTGAGAACCAAAAGGGACGACTTTCGAAACAACCCCTACTATTAAACACATACACTCGAATGGCTTTTTACAATGCAAAGTGCATTGCACATGGTGTAAAATACGAGTCTAATCGAAAATTTTGCAATTAGTACCAGACGCTTAGAATTATACGACTGTTTTTAACTATATAGTAGACCAAAACAAGAACTGACTATCTTAGTTAATGGGAGAGCTTAGTATAAGCAACTCAAAAACTAGAACTATAAAAAACAGAGCTAAATTAAAAACCGACCATCCGGCTGTATCCGCAACGCCTAAACTGCCGCCCATACCATGTTCCAAAGTCTTTATAATATAAAAGACGATGGACCACTCACTTCTCTTGTCGTATCTTCACCTAACACTATATTTTCGCGTCATTTTGACACAATTGGCAGACGCGCTTCATTGTCGAATGCACGTACAACCCCAACAGATTACTATAACTCCTATGACGACATGAAACGCTAATACAATTTTGTCTGGTATCTCTGCTCTTTCTTTCATTTCTGTATGACTGTCTACATAAGTCTTATATAAGTTACTTGTAAGACTGAGGTTATTCTAAAAACTAATTTTTAACATAACTAACATCATCTTACAAAAATACAGTAATCCTGACAATTACAAACTAAGGATTTTAGAAATGGATGTCATAAGCCATCTTGTGAGCAGAATTGAAATTATACCACGAAAAATCGATAAATGGTAGAATTCACAGAGACTAAAAACAATTTTAAAATTAATTTTGTGAAAATCGACATCTAAATGTATATTTTTTTAGATTTATGTCAGAAAATAATTATAACACCAGAATTCTCTTATTATACACTGTAAAACCACCAATTTCATAGAAACAACTGAACATTACTGTAAAGTAAGTTTAATATATAATAGAAACGTAGCACACAACCCCGAAACTAATCAATAAAATGTCCAAGATGTACAAAATCCGTCTAAAATACGTTTAATTGTAAAAAAATCCTTTTAAAATTACTAAAAAAGTAATAAAGGTAACCAACTAAAAAAAAATTACAAAAAATTATATTTAATACGCTTCAAATTACAGATACGACTATATAGTAAACCCGTAAATCCTTACACTGACACAATTCTTTTTTTTTGTTGGGCTTGCTTCTAAATTTTTGAAGAAAAAGAGCGCCTGGCTCGCACTTCGCGCCCAATATGTTTGCAGACTGCGAGAGTCATTTCTTCTCTTTAAACGTTCGTAGGAAAACTAACGTATATTAGATAAAATGACAGTCATATACATAAATAAACAATGTTCATCACATAAATTAGTATGCAAAATCTTTAAAATTGTATTTTATGAAATTGCATTGTTCGACATCTTTGTACAACAATGTTGTATGTGCAACTACTTTTTAATTTTCAAAAAATTTTGTGTTTACAACTATTTTTAAGTCTTGCTGTATTGGCAGTGGCCCAAACGCCTCTAGAACAAAAAGCCAAGTTAATTGAAGGTGGTATAGATACTACTGTTGCTCCATGTGACGACTTCTACGCATTTGCTACTAGGAAGTATGACATAGATTATAAAAGAAACAGACAAACAGAGCTGCTTAAGACAGTATTAGAGAAGTCTAATTACAATGTAAGTTCGAATATAAAAAATGTAAATGAATACAATGGCTATAACAGATTCCGTCGCTGAAGAGAGTAACACAAGTGTATGCAAGCTGCTTAGTAAAAAAACCTCCAGTGAATGAGGTAGGTCAACGTACTAAGGCTCAACGTGCTCAACAACACTTTCATTTCTCTTTTCCAGTAACAGAAGCTGACGTCGCGGATAATGCTGAATATATATGAGAAAGTTAGCTCGGATGTACAAGGTGTTATTTGAGTACGGTAATGATCTGATTGAACTGATCAAAGAGAGTGTCGAGCGGCATGCACTGACTATTTTCTTGCCTGAAGAATTTATGACGGGTAGGGAAAAGGCTTCAGTGTGGTGAGTGTTACACTTACGTCGTTTGTTGATGCAGAACTCTTCTACATACTTTTTGACGAGTCTTATGTAATGTTTAAAATTTTTTTATTTTTTAACAGTATTTCAGGAAAGATTATTGTGAAGTGCACGGTTGTTACTACAAACACATCGACTTTGCAGACTTTTCTAATTTAGCAGCAGAGTATGCTCATTTCCGTATGACACCAGAATATGACACGTTTCTGGAGACCGTGTTTGGTCACAAGTTACGAACACCTGCTATTTTATTCCCAGTTCTACAAACGGTAATAGATCTTCACTTTAAAACTTTCAATAAGAGTTGAAAAAACTAAAAAATATTATTAAAGATGTATTTGGTAGAGAAATTAAAACATGTATTAGTAAAAAAGCTAACAAAGCCTTTTTGAAAACTCTAGACCGGGCCAGATATATCAACTTGTTGTTTCAATACTGGATGTACGTGCCATCCGAAGCCGTGGGTTCTGATTGCCTGAGCTACATCCAGTACGCTTACCCACTATACCTACACAAGATGATATACGATCATTTGAAAGAAGATCAAAGTTGGTACCAAAGATTTCATGATAATTATTTCTTGTATGCAAATGTAATAATGCAACAAGCAGAGGAAATGCTAAAGTTCAGCAACGTACTAGACCAAGATGACAAGCAAGTGGCGCTGCGTAATGTTCTCCTGAACAAGTTCGCTTTCTTCAATCACAGTTTCTATGAAGACGACAACTTCAGAGAGTACGCGGGTGAAGTGACTGACATCAATCCTCTTTCATCTGTGTTTGTCAGCAATCTGAAGCCGCTGATAAGGTTCAATTATGACAAAGACGAAAAGTTGTGGATAATACCACAAGTTAGAGTTAGTATTTTTGGTAGATTCACATCATCAAGAACTACGCAAGTCATGTTGATTTGAAGTGATTTTATGTTTTTTTAGGAGAATTTGTAGGCAGTTTTGATTTATTTTTTGTAGGTCAACGCTCTGCACTTGACAGATACCCATGCCAACTTCTTTGACTGGGGCATATTCTTGTTTGATGCCTACGACAAAGACTTTAGTCCGTTGTTAACATTATCGTCATGTGGATTTGCAATGTCGCATGAATTAGCTCACACATTAGGTATGAACCAGTAGTTGTAATAATTGTTATGTAAGCGGTAAATTAACTTTAGAACATAAAAGTTAACAGAGTCATTGACAGAAGTATAAAGTTTAAAATAGTTATTAATAAACATTTAGGAACCGAATTAAAAGGTGTATCAGGTGTCTACAAACACAACATAGACTGTTTGGTAGACTTTTATGCTAATCAGTGTGACCCGATCTCTCTTTTATGTTTGAATCCTGTCGCAACTTTGGAGGAAAACCTTGCTGACACTGTTGGTATGTATAATATAATTTTACAAATTCTTAGTTGTGTTAAAACAATGTTAAGCTTTTTTACATAATTTGAAATCCTTTTCAGGAGCACGATTAGCATACGATACCTACAAGAAGTGGGTATCCATCAAAGGTCATGGACCTAGGCCTAGAGGACCACTGCTGGATACCTTCTCCGACGACCAGTTGTTCTTCATCAACTTTGCTCAAAACTTTTTGGAAACCATCGATTGGCAAGCATACGACCCCGATCACCCCACCCACCCACCCACCTCGTGAAGCCAGAACATGGGGAACATTGGCAGGAAACCCTGCCTTTGCCAATGCCTTCAACTGCAAATCAACTTCCAAGTATAATCCAAGTAATAGATGCTTCTTCTTTGAAAAACCACAATAAATGACAGTTTATATTCAAGGTATTTACAAGGCTTACAATATTAAAGTAATCAAACTCGCTGATCAAAATTCTCCGAAACTGCATTCCCCGAAAAGTCCCGCTCCCTTTTCTGAGAATAAAATTTCTACATGGTAAAACTCTGTAAAGTTTAGACCAAAAGTATGTTTTTTTATATTTTTACTAATTAATTACCTAATTTTTAGTTACAGAAGATGCTTAAATTATGAAAAACGACAAGTCAAAAGTCCAGTAAGTTAGTTTATTGAGTCGGTCTCTTTCTCAGCTTCAATGTGGGATTGTAGATGACTTGGGATGCAGTGGGCCGTTTGTTTGGGTTCTCATGAACCATATTCAGTAAGACAGTCTTAACAGTTTCCGTCGGTCCGACCAACGAATGGTTTTGGATCTCTGGCCTGACATTTCCAAACAGATACTCGAGTAATATTGTTCCGACGCTGAACACGTCTGCCGCTTTTGCGTTGATCCTGAAAGTTTTTTTATAAAACAGTGAAACAATAATGGCATGGCATTGGTATCATTTACTGCGGTAACGATTAAGTAGAAGATAATTCACGATGTTTAGTCTAATATACCAGGTAGAACAATGTATATCAACATAAAAAAGTTTAAATTTTACGTTATTTTGACAAATAACCTTTTCACCTTACTCTGAAGCGCCTTGCTTGACTTCTGGAGCATCGTACACGGATTCAGGGCCTTCTCGTGGTCTTTTGGGTACGTTTAAAGGCGAAACGTTTCCTAGTCCAGTCAGTTGTACTCGAAGGTCTGAGCCGAATACAAAGTGCTCAGGCTGAAGGTCAATGTGATGGAGGTCTTCGATGTGCAGGTACTGAATACATCTGCAGACGTCACGGACAAGTCTGCAATTTTATAGAATTACCTAAAACACAGGGAACATGTTCATGTGAAAAACTTTATTTTTAGTATTCGAATTACATTTTTTTTAATTATGACACTAAAAAGCGTGTTTGAGTTGCTTTTTGTTGATAAAACCTTTTTGATTGTTAACTTACGTCACCATAAACTCGATTCGTTGGAAAAGTATTGGCAATGCTGAGCGGAGTTCAGGTAGTCCCACGCCTTTCTTGACCACGTCGATGCATAAACCTGCCTGTAAAGTTAGTAGAAAATATATTTAAAACTTTTTTTACAATTTTAAAGATACATAAGTTGTTATAATAGTTCGAAAAAACACATTTACAATAATACTACCAAGTTTGAACCTACATTTACGTGAATTAAGAAGACGGTTTCACAAAAAGGTATTCGATCACACATGAGGCTAGCACCGGTTGCCTTCTTCAAGTGATACTCGATACTGTTTGTGTTCATACATTTTACCGTGTACAAGTTTCTTCTCAGGACCACATCTTTAACTCTTTTCGACCGTGTTTTCAACGTGCATTCAAACTGAAAAGGTTATAGTAAGATAGATGTTAAAGCATTTCTCTTTAAGAAATATAAAATACTTAGAATATACACCTTCTAGTAGCAATAAACTAAGCACAGTAAGCCGAAAAGTAAATACTTACATCGGGAAACCATTTCTGGAGGTCAGTATCAGTAAGTTGTAAAGCAGCATCGTGCAATGAAGTTATTGCATCGTTGCTGTCATCTTGCAATACGTCGAACATCACCGGCCCTTCCACCACAAGCTACTTCGAAATGATTTCATTTTTCAAATATTTTTTTAAAATTTGAAGTGAAACAAACTTTTGTAAACTGTTGTAGTAGAACATGAGAACATGTTTGACAGTATGCCTTTAAGAAGCATTATGAGGTTCAATATCGATAATTATTTTGTATACATAAATATATATGTAAAAGAAGGTAAATGTTTACTTTACCAAAGATATTATCTATTTTCACGTAAATCGCCGCAGGGATGTACAGTTTCTGACATTGAAAAATGCCTGAATTAGCGACGAAAGGCTTTCTCTTTTTAATTGCAATAATATTTTCTATACATCTTGTATACCACTACAAGAATGGCTATGTGCATAAACTGACTATCGTACCATCTAAAAGTAATCTAAAGCTTTCAAGGTTTGTAAATTCGGCTAACCTTGATAATTACAGTAACTTTTGTAGCATTGAAAATGTTTTTAACTACGACCAAACTGTATATGATCGTATTACTTTGGCCTTACATACGTCGTATGATAGGTTTGGAGAAGATACGATTAAGCAGATAGTAGATTGGAACGGGATCGTTTCCATAGCTATTTATTTTGCATCAGCAGATACGGTAGTATCAGGTGACGTAAATTGTGTTTACAGTAAGGTAAGTATCTCATAGCAACTTAAAACTTTACATACTCTTAAAAGTTTAACATGCTAATATTATGTATTGTATTGCAAAATTGATGCTAAGCTATACCTTTCAGCTATTACATTACCGTAGCAAGTATACACAGCTTCTGAATATTGCGGTCACTTTTGTATTTCACAACATACCAACCTGCACTCAATTAAAGTTCTCTACTGTCAGTAACACCAACTGTACAGTAGGAGGACAAATCTACGAATATCCAATCAACACAATACGAAATGCAGCTAGAAAAGTAAACTTTGAACTACAAGATAACTATCACTTTTAAAATACGTATATGATAACCAAGTAAAGCTTTCAGGTTGTAAAAACAAAGTATATGGTAATGGCAGACAGTGATCATTACTTCAGTCAAGGTTTCGAAGAGAGAATGTTATCATTGGCTACAAGAACGTTGGATAAGGACCCATATACTGTACTAGTCTATCGTATATTTGAGGTTGACAAAAAGGTAAAACCGTAAGTTTTTTTGCTTTGAAATATCTTACTATTAAGTTGTCCAAATAATAGGCACAGAATTATTTTAACAACCTGGTAATTATTATTTTATTGAAGGCCAAAAACCAAGTCGGAGTTACTGAAGCTGTATAACAATGAAACGGCCAGAGAATTTCACAAAATTTTTTTCAATCACCATAAAATGGCAGGACAGGAAGAGTGGTTTACAGAACCGGAAAATAGCACACCTTCTGTCCAACTGGTGTTACCGTAAGCCTTGTTTACACAAATTTTACACTTTGTCAAGATTTGATGATATATCAAGAAAGTTTATTTTGAAGGTTGTTTTTTTACTGCAGTAATGATTGTTACAGTTATAACGACTCAAGATGGGAACCACAATTCGTATCTACCAAACTGGTACCGTTACATGACGAATCTTTTGTGTATCCGATCAAAGATAACACTGTTTTAGTAAGTTTTGTCTTTTTTAAAAAATTCGTATAGGAGCAATTTATGTTTAACAATTTTTTTATCACATGTACAACAACAATGACCGCCAATATAGCGATTGAACCTTTTTTAAACCCAATCTTGACTAATCATGTCAATTTATATACCCCCTCCCCATATGTTATGTCAATGTGTTTTAGCGCTGGGAAATGTGCAGAGCCGGCTTTAAGTTCGCAGTCGTCCATAATGTGTTTATGTATCATTTGGGCTTCAAATCATCTGAAGCTGAACGAAAGGTCCATCGCCTTCGAAAGAAGATGGTCAGAAGGGCCAAGAATGCCGTGGCCATGTTCAACCAGAGAATGGATCAGCTGTTCCCGACCACCCAAAAAGTATGTCCAGTGTTCCAGATCCGTTTGTAACATTAGTCGCCATAAACTACAATAATGACCAGTTCAGACAGCAAAGTGTCAAAAATAATATTATACAATTACTATTTCTTCATGTTGTAAGACAGAAAACAAAGCCGACAAACTCAGCTATTTTTAAAAGCTAACTGATACCTAATTATCTTAAGTATCAATTCCAAAATGAAATAAACGTTATAACAATTTATTTACAATATCAACAAGATATATACAAGCTTTACAAAGAGTTCTTCATATCCAATATGTCAAATATTTCTTTGAGGGTAAGGCCGTGTAAAGAGTTGGCAAGTCTGTAACAATCACCATACGAATGGCGGAAGTCCCGTTTGAATCGATTAATGTCCTCCAACAAGTAGTGTTTCCTATATAAAGCAGGGAAGACTGGGGATGGGAGTTTGGTGTCAGTCTTTGAATACCATCTGAGTACGGTAGCAAACAACGAAGGAGGTTGAATGGTCTGAACGTGCAGAGTATTGAGACATGGTGCTGTGGAACAGGGGTGCTGACTCATACCTAAAAGAAAATCAATTACTTAAGACAGTTCTCTAATACTTAATTGAATAACGTAACTATACTTCATACAAACATCAGAATACATTAACAATTTTCAATCCCTACCTCCATATAAAAGCACAGCTTCTGTAAAAGACGTGTGTGACCGTGATTCAATGGCGTTTGCCGTGTGCCAGAATCTTTGAAATGGCGGCGCTTCTGCAGGTGAAGTAGCATCTGCATTATTGTTAGCAGCTCCTTCTTGGTCATTAACCTCATCGTTAATCGTCGCTGGCTTCACACACTTCCAACTGACAGTGATGTTCTCCCTTACATCACCTTCATAACATCGCGACATATCTAATGCCCAAACATCGTCCAACGGCTTTTCATCTACCGAGAATCCGCTACTCATGAATATCTCTTGTCTGTCCGGAATCCAACTCATAGCACACCAAGATCGGCCGGGTGGACGAATTGATAGATCACTGAACATAAAAATATATATCAAATAGAAACAACATATTTATAAAAGTAACTCTACGCGCTTCAATATACTGATAGTAGATTAAAAGAACTTACATTTCTGTCCAAATAAACGTATTGATATCCAGCACATACAAGTCGTTCAGCCTTGTAATAGACCCCCTACCACCAAACAAAAATACCACACCCAGATCCTCGACGTACTGTGAACCTGCACCAGCCCTGGCAGTCGGTGGCGTCCCTCTTTTAGGTATCAGATTCCAACGTCTTTCATCAACGTCAAACTCCAGGAGCTGGTTGTTCCAGCAGGTTCCTGGACCTCCACTAACAAAATCGTTGTCACCAACCAGGTAGGCATCTACCGAGTTCAAAAGTTGAAAACAAGGGCCAAACCCGCCGAAGAAGTAAAGTTTGTGGCCAATCGACCAAGCAGCAGTCTTATCTCTAGGAGTTGGTACTTTGAGGTCTGGAGCCGGATCCACAATATCCCATACAGCAGAAGGTATGTTTAGCTTCCACAACATGCTGGTCTGGGGATTCCTTCTCCTCCCAGAACCGTCTCCCACTAAACACAAAGAATTGTACTTAATTTTTCTAAGGAATTGAATATAAATATATAAAAGTTATTAGTTAATTGTTAATAATTCAAAACAAAACCAGGTCATAAAGTTATATTTTTTGACACAATCAGAAGTCGTGTGAAATTGACTTACAAACTGTAGTTCCACCAAAAATATACAAATCATCCCCACAAATCAAAGCTGCTCCACCGCTGTTTGGCTTAGGTTCAGAGCCTGTACCCATCACTTTCAGCCTAAAACAACGAACTTTAGTAAGATCTACCTCCAAAAAAATTTTTAAAATTTTAATTTGTTTATATTAATTTCAATCTGTAGCCACTAAATACAAAACACCAATGTAACGTTAACGAACCAAACACCAGAGTTTCCTGCCAGTGCGTATGGATAAATGTACAAATCAGATCCCTTTCGGTAGTCCATCGTACTGTAGGAGTAGTAATATCCTCCCCAGACTAAAAGAGATCCTCTGTATGTGGCACTCACGTGACCAGCTACCGGTGACAACTCGCTGGACATGGCCAACTTCACGATCGGAATCTCAGTGTCACAGAACGACTCCAACACCGGCTTCGGATTCTCGCCGTCCACGGCATACGCCATCGTGATTCAAAATAGAAAAACGCGTTACTTGAAGTAACAACAGACTGGTCCAACTGCCACTCTCATCTCTCTCCACAGGTATTAAGAAAACAGGGGGACGTCTTTCTTTTGGTCTCTCAAAAGATGAAAAATAAAAGTGCACATTATCTGGTTTTTACAACGTCGTAGACATAACTTATATCATAAAGTACGATTTTTCAACAAATTGTCTAAAAATTGTAGAAAACCGCGAAAAACTTGTAAATTCCGAAAAATTACCAGAATATTCTGGAAAAAAGCGAAAAACTAGAGAAAAAGAATTTTGAGACGAGATTCTCTTTGGGTAGACGGGAGGAATGTCTCTTGTTCATTGTTACAATAAAGGTTGTGGACAAAAGTTTGATCCAGGTAACAACGGGGAAGGTAAGTAAATGTTTTTTCATTTAAAATTATATTATTTATGCTGCAAGTATTGTTCTTACTTTCTGAAAGTTGGGAGAATGTTCTTTTTTGATAAAAAACGTCTGAAAATGGTTCAGTTTTTTAGGTTCATGTCGTTATCATCCTAAAGCACCTTATTTCCATGACGCACAAAAGATCTGGCAGTGTTGTGACAAGAAATCGACTGATTTTGGTACCTTTTTGAGCATTCCCGGCTGTACAACTGGTAAACATAGTAATCAAAAGCCAGATGACATTGTAAGGCTGTCTGCTCAGAAGGAAATACGGCCAGAAAAGGAAGATGAAGTTATTGTATGGAATGGTCTCAACAAACCAGCAGCCCGACCAGCTGGGGACAATCAGGAGGTGCGGGAATCGAAAGTTTTACCTAAAACTGTGACTGAAGGATTGAAAGCGGCCATTAAGAAGTTCCAGGAGGAAACGGCTGAAGCTGCTACGGATGAACTTAAAATTGGAACTAAATGTGCTAACAACGGATGCGAATCTGTAAGTTTTTTTTATTTGTTTTCGTGTTTTAGATCCGTTGACTCGTAAGATGATAAACATTAAACAAGAACTTTTATAGACTTACAACGGCCCCGACTCTCTAACCTCTGAAGATTGTCAACATCATCCCGGTCAGCCAATATTCCACGAAGGAATGAAGTCCTACGATTGTTGTAAAAGGAAGACCAGTAACTTCTCCGCTTTCCTTGAACAAAAAGGATGTTCTCGTGGGTTTCACAACTTTAAAAAGGTGTGTTTAACGTGTTTATAGTTTTTTTAGAGAATTTTTGAATTTCAGAAATGTTTTATATTTATAATGTTTTAACAAATAAACTTCAGGCCAGTGAACGCGTCGATCGTGTGAAGGAAGACTGGTTCTGCCGTGGTGGAGAAGTTCACTTCAATGTCTACTGCCGAGGCTCCATCCCAGAAGACTGTACCTTTGAAACTGATGGTTACAAGTTGAAATGCTCAATCTCTCATGCCTTTGGCTCAAATAAGACTGAGATTGAACTAGATCTTTTTGGAAAAGTGGTCCCGGAAGAGTCTTCTGTTCTGATTGCCGAGAGGAAGGTGGAAGTTATTCTAAAACAAGCTGACAATCTGAGCTGGCCCGAGCTGAGGTACATTCCCGACCTGGTTAAGGAAACCGAAACTCTGAGTGTTTGAGTTTGTGTCTAACATGAGTTGTTTGTATTAAAGTTTCTGTTTGAAAATGAACCTTAATTATGAAGGAGTTGAGACATTTCTGTTGACATACTTTTGGTGTTTGTTTTGCTTAAAGTTTTAACATAAATTTGTCTATTTTCTAAATTTTATGCTTGAATTGACACCAATGAGTTCTCGAATGTCATTTGAAGTAACAAATTTATTAAAATTTTGTAGAATTACGTTCGTTTTAGCATTGTATAAGCCAGAATGTAGAAGTATAGTTACAATACGTGTTAAGGCAGTTGATTCTGTGTTTGGGATGGAATTCAAAAGAATTGAGGACAAAGATGACATGTCTGTCGTGAAGAAGGTTTTCATAGGAATAGTCACAAAAGGGGTTTTATGAGGTCAAAAAGTCGTTGGCCTCTTAACGATGCTCTAGTAACAAAATATTAATGTAGTCAAATAGGTATACTAGATTGATTGGACACGTTAGTATACTGTAGTAAGAGGAGTCTCATGCAAGTTCATTTGAAGACAGGTGCACTTGTGGAGGCACGGTACGACGAACACTCGGTGTTCTCCGCCACATTGTGGACTCTCGAGAAGATCGTTGTGGGTAGTCACTTGTGCCTCCATCAAGTAAAGCTCTCGATGTTGACGTGCCTCGGAACTCGATCTCGAATTTGGTGGCACATACGAAGCACGCTGTGACCAACTTGGCTATTTCGTTCATCAGACTCTTGGTACCTGATATGACCAAGTCCACCTTGCTGAATGTGGCCGACTTTCCTACTGTAGGCGACTTGACCAGTACTTGAAGTTGTTGATAATGTTGAGGGATTCGTTCAAGAACACTCATGAGCTCGTTCTTCTCTTGACTTCCAGGCACCTAAATGTGCATTGTAATATCCTATTGATCTTCAAAACACTTTTATATTATATCAGTGGTTGTCATGTTTGTTAACTCATTCTCTTTTTAATACACCTAGCATGTTAACCGAGACCAAACTTACTTCAAATGCAAATTCCCTGACAGTTTTGTACATCTTGTTGGCTTGTTCGGCGAAGAACTCGGCTTGTGTGAAGAGATCGTGCGTCGTCTTCAGAGGACCGTCGCCTTTGGTGAACAAATACATGTTGTATGACATGGAGGACATAGCTTTGGCTCGTTTCACAATGTCATTCTCAGCGTACTCATCCCACTTCTCAGCTTCGGCTTCGACCTCGGCTGTCAGTAGTTTCATCTCTAGGCCTACCTTGGCAATCTTTTGTTGGTCCTAAAATTACGGTAGTTTGATACTGTCTTCTGTTATGTTGCAAGTTAGTTTTTTTAATAGTACTTTGCTTTGCTTTTATCTTATATTGTACTAGAGTTTCTGTTTCTGTCCTTACCTCAACATCGAGTGTCAATGGTTTTGTCGGTTTCTGAGTTGTACCGTGTTTCTAAAACATTTATTTAGTAAGACTGGTTACAGTAACACTCCTCCAAACAACGGTAAAACAACATTTAGAACTTTATTCTTGTTTACAGTACGATATAATTACAATAACAGTACAACAATAAATAACAAAGAGCAGCACCATACGTGGGGTTTGAGTAGTTTGCTTATGATTAGAACTTGGTAAGATATATTTGTGACGAATTCAAGGTCAAAATGTAAGTGATTTGTTATCGAAATGCCAAAAAACGATAAGTGAATTAGACTACTGTAATATTATGTGATATGGTGGTAGTTTGGTAGAGTAATTATTTAGCTAGTTTACAAGTTATTTGGGAATTAGTGTGCAATAGCGCGGATATTCAATATTATCGTGACTTTTTGCTGTGAATATTAAGATTCTGAAGCCGTTGGCTTTCTTCGTGCAATGAATCCAGAATTACAGAGATTCTGTTCTCGAAATTTCCCTTTTTCCCTTCTCCTATATCCTGTCTCAGTACCACAACATCACCATCCGTGCCCTTATTCAAACGCACTTTCTCTTCCGTCTCTCTGTTCTCCACATTCTCTACAGTATCTCGTTTGTACGGAGTAAACGCTGACGGTGAATTGGCTAACTGATTACTCGAACTTTGAGACGAGCACGATGAAGTTGAGGGTTTATAGTTAAGCACATCACAACCACTATCCGGATTAGACTCAAACATACGAGGATACGACGACGAAAACACAGGACTCTGCTCGCGACTTACGCCCGGTCTTGGCAACGACATGTAGGCCTGCCGTTCGGCCGCTACACGGCCAGAAGCCGCGGCATCCAGGTCTTTGGACAGTCGGCTGAGATCATTGATGTGGGAGGCCCAGGTGTCACAAAACACTTCCAGATTCTCGCGAGCGATTCTGGAGGAGGGGTGGATACAGAGCGTGCGGCCGGCTAGTAACGTCTGCAATAGAAGGCTTATATTTGATATAAGTGAAAGTATAGGTAACACTTGTCCTAATTTCTATCTTAATAATTTTTTAACTCATTTTAATGTCATCATTCTCTCAGTTTAGTGACAGATTTAAAAATATTGTCTGCCACCAACTTACCAATGGTGCGAGCGCCCTGAACGTTCGTTCAGCTTGTCCGGTGTAAACATGTAAGGCGTCTGTGAATGATATGTGATGCAACAAACGACACACTTCCTGAATGTGGACAGAATGTTCTCTAAACTTTTCTAGATACTTTTCGACCCCGTCGATGTCGCCGGACACCGAGCAAGTCTTGAGTGAGTTGAGGATGGTGTGGTCTTCGTTCGTCCTGAAAATCACTCCAATCTGATCCATTGCGGCGACCTGTAGCTGCTTCTGAAGGTCTTTTAGACGACGGTTCAGACGCTCCACCGTGACCTCCATGTTTTCTTGAGAGAACTGGTCTTGGTTCTGAAAGTAGAACCATAAGATGATCTGTTTTGAAATATTGAAATTAAAAAAAAATAATCGTTAATTACGATCTCTAAGTAATAAAGAAAAGCTGCTTGTTTTAACTAGCTTTACCTCAGAAACCAGGTTTCCCATTTCGAAGCGGCACTCCTCCAGAAAGTCCAGAATCTGTTCACGTTGATGATGTGGTGTGAACGCAGAATCCGTGAAGTCTTGAGTCATCTCACATAACGTCCCCAAAGCTCCATTAAGACGATCCCTGACTCCCGCACCCACGATCGACGTCATCCTGACCATCTCCAGCATCTCTGTCAACTGCCTGATGGCTACTGTAGCTGTCAGCTGAATGCCAATATCTAGAGGACCTGCTTCTGGAGTCAAGGGAGGACAATATCGATGTTGATCTAGCGGTAGCACGCCGTCACAGATACACAAAGCTACGAGTTGGAGAGCACATCTGATCTGATGGAAGACGCCATCTCGACACTGACGTGAAGAATCATCGTCAGTGTGGCGGAGAAGAGTCTTCGACGATGTCAACAACAACATCGTCATCCGCTCCAACGATGTTCTGGCTACATGTAGCTGAGCTTTCCGCTTCTCTGACTTCAGATCAGCTTGTCTGTCACCTGATCGATGTGCCAGAACCACCATCTCGCCTCCAAAATCTGTGAAGATTCTGACGAATTCAGTGAAGTTGACGGTGTTTTCGAGTTTGGTCAAGGAATAGACAATCTTGTCTTCAGCCCGCAAAATGTGACTGACCATTACTCGATCAGCCAACAACAAAACTCGAGTTACAGATGACAGAAGTTGTCGTGCAGCTCGAACCAAATGGGATTTGTCGATTCCTAATTGGGGGATGCCTGATTCGTCTAACAGCGAGGAGTGCAGGTTGGCCATCGCTGCTCCTGGAAGTCATAAATTTTAGTTTTGAATGAAAATTGTACATTTTTGAAGTAAAGTGGTGCTTCTGGATTGTTTTTGTTAAAACGCGTACATATCCAATATTGTTCTTGTTACAAACTTTTGAATGGAAAAGTAAATTTTAAGTACCTGCTTGCCGCGCTTCATGACATGCGTCATACATCTCTGGCTGTATATCTGGGTTTTCATCAGCAATAGATTCACCAACAACAACAAACCTCTCTACTGCGATTTCAACGGCTGACCCTATCTGCAATTTTTGATTATAATATGTGTTGTTTATTAACTAGTATTCTAGCTGTCCTTTTTTATTAAAATATGGGTTTTGATTTTAAATATTTTTTATTAAAATTTTATTGTCATCTTACCTTTAATGCGGCCCTCAGCGCCCGTTCACTTTTTGGCTTCGTACCAGTAATTATAGACTCCTTGAAGTTAACCAAAGTTGATATCTGAATTTACGATATTGAAGTTTACATTCAAGTAATTTTAAAACTTAACAAGTAATTTCAAAACTTAACATTAAAACTTAATTACTATGCCATGTGTTTAGATACGAAATAACATGTTTATATTTAACATGCTATGCAATGATAATCGTGAGTCAATACTTTAGTACATTTACCGACCTAAGCACCCAATACAAGAATGTAACGTTTACCTGAGTAACTAAAGGCAGCAAAGTCTGTTCCACTGACTTGGTTTTTATCTCCAGATTTCTAGGATCGAAACTCATAGTTTGAGGCGGCGATATCGGTGACTGGAATGCCATGGGATGTGCGGAGAGTGAAGCCGGCCCCGGAAACGTTGAGAGAGATCCGGCGATGAACGGCATTGAAGCCGAAGGGACCGCATTCAGCGACCCATTGGATTGGGGGTACACCACTTGCGACTTGGACAACATCACGACATCTTGTTCGATATTATGCTGTATATCAAGGTTTTAAGGTTGGTATCGGTTAAAGTACATTAAAAGTGATTGTTCGTAAATTCATGAATAATGCACGAATTTTGTATAGGTACTATAGGTAAGATGAGTTTTATATTACAATACTCATCTAATTACATATTGCGATTTTGTTGTTAATGTACATGTGGCACATTTCCCAAAAGCATTTGTTAAGCAATTTTACTAATAGAAAAATAGTTATCGTAACCTTGTAACCTTCTGAACAAAGAGTAGTCTCAGTATTTATAATAACCTTTTTAAAAGTAAATAAAACACACAAAATCATCTGATTTTCCCATAATTACTACACCCTATTCAAAAGCCAAGCACAACGCGTCTTAAAACAACAAAAATAAACAGGTTTGACCGCTTTCTTTGCCAAATAAATGCCAGAATCCATTATCGACAAACGAAGGCGTGGATCCAAACTTGTCACAACAGTTTTAAGACAATTTGTAAGGGAAAGAAGTTCGGAACTACTCCTTCATTCCGGCAGACGACCCCGCTTTAGGTGGGCCGTTCCCGTTTTTGGCCGCAAAAAAGGAAAATATATTTTGGGCGAGCGTAAACAAAAAAGAGACATTCGTATCTCGTACATCTGTCCTCAGCTCTTCGGTCAGCTCTTTGTTGATTAAACTTGACGAATAAGCCCGCAGGGAGCGGTTTGCAATTGCTAACAATAAATTCCAACTTTTATAGCGCTTCTACAGGCATTCAATTCAAGGGGAACGAAGCCATCCGAACGTGTCTTTGCATTTTAATTGGCCATTCTTCATCATTGGCCAATAAATTTAAAAAACACGTACGTCCCAAAACCTATTACTCTTAATCTGGCCGCTCAAAAGATCCGGAGGAAACGTAAACAGCACCAGGAAATACACCAGACCAGTTTTAAAAAGTCTCTTAAGCCAAGCCATACCTCCAACATAAAACATGATATTATTCACCTTGATCTTATCGAAACGTCGGAAGTGGATTAAAGTAAAACCAAATCTCTCCAAGTGACTAAACAGCAGTATCGGAAAAACGAAAAGTGTATCAAATTGCTGCAAAAATCAAATAAAAAACTAGATTTTCGGGTCCCACCGCGAAAACTAGCAACAGATAAACGAAAAGAAAATTTTTGGGTGCAAAAGAAGAAAAAGACGCGATTTTGGGACGTTTTTATACATTTTTTTGTGGGTTCATTAAGATAACTAAAATTTAACGTTATTTTCAATATGAAAATTAATTTTACGTGTTTGTAACATCATATTGTTGTTTTAAATTTCAGGGCGCTAAGCATGTTGGTGCTTTTTGAAACCCCTGCTGGGTATGCTGTCTTCAAGGTCCTAGACGAATCGAAACTGAAAAAGGAAGATAAAGTCTTTGATAACTTTGCCGATTCTGACACGATATTGGAGAAGTAAGTATTTTTAGATTTCTATTTTGTCTGTTTAGGCGTTTATCTTTTGAGGAACTAATAATTTGTTGTTACCTTTATATTACGAAAACCCATTTATTGAAATCGGATTATTTTTAGATTGCAATTGGTTTCGTTCAAAAAGTTTAAGGATGTTAATGAAGCCTTGAAGGCCTCTACGTCTGTTGCGGATGAAAGCAAATTGGGCAAAACCTTGAAGAAACTGATTCAGAAAGTCGCCACTGATGGAGACGAAATGGCCGTTGGAGACTCTAAGCTTGGCAGTTTAATCAAGGTAACATTTTCTTCTTAATTTTTGTTTAGGGAAACAACAAAAGACGGATTTTATTACTCCTGAATCTGCTTTTATTGTTTTACTTATATTTTATATTTTTGTTTATGGTCTTATTAATCATTTAATTGTAATTTTATAGGAAAACCTCGAAGTGGCATGTGTACACAACAAAGTCACTGACGAGCTCTTCCGCGCTATCCGTGCCAACTTGGATAACTTATTGGCTGAGCACAAGAATGAAGTTGATGCCATGAGACTGGCTTTGGCTCATTCTCTTGGTCGCTACAAGGTCAAGTTCAATCCAGAAAAGATCGACACCATGATTGTCCAAGCCGTTTCACTTTTGGACGACTTGGACAAGGAGTTGAATAACTACGTCATGAGATGCCGTGAATGGTACGGTTGGCACTTCCCCGAGGTCGGCAAGATTGTTCAAGACCATTTGGCTTTTGCCAAAGTTATCAAGGCTATGGGAATGAAGCAGAACGCCGCCGATGCTGACTTCTCTGCCATTTTGCCAGATGAGATGGCCGAAAGACTGCGACAAGAAGCTGAGATCAGTATGGGAACTGACATCTCAGAGGTCGATCTCATCCACATTGAACAGCTCTGTGACCAGATTATTGACTTGACAGAGTACCGTTCTCAACTACACGACTATCTCAAGAACAGAATGAGTGCTTTAGCACCAAATCTCACTGTTCTTTTGGGAGAGCTCATCGGAGCTAGATTGATTTCAAGAGCTGGTAAGTCATTGCATAGTGTATTAAGCGGCAAAATAAAAGAAAATACTGATTACAAAAGGGCTTTTTGTTGTTTACAGTATTGGTTAGTAAATTAAATTAAAAGTTTATACATATTTTATAAATTTTAATATTTCTGATTTCAAAGTGTAAAATATTGTTTTAGGTACATTGGTGAACTTAGCCAAGTACCCAGCTTCAACCGTACAGATCCTTGGAGCTGAAAAAGCTTTGTTCAGAGCTTTGAAGACTAAATCAAAGACTCCAAAATACGGTATTATTTACCACTCACAGCTTATTGGACAAGCTCCTACTGAGCTAAAGGGAAAGGTATGTTACTTCATTCTTGTTTATTTTTTGTATTTGGCTTTTGAACTCTTGTATGTCTTTCACGTTGATATAATATTTCTTTAGTTTGCCCGTAAATTGGCTGCCAAAGTATCACTTTCCACGAGAGTCGATGCTCTCTGTGATGACAACACTGGAAACGAGGTTGGAGTTGAAGCCAGAACAGCTTTGGAGACCAGCTTGGATAGCGAATCGAAGAGACAAACCACCAAGAAGGTCAATGCTTCATTCGGTGGAGCTGGAAACAGAGACAAGTACTCCTTCAAGAGCAATGTTCACTCGTATGACGCTGGAGCTGACTCCAACATTGCCAAGAAGAGAAAATGGCAAGGAGATAATGATGGAAAGAACAAAAAGTTCAAGAAGGAGGAACCCGAAGAGTAGACTCGACTACATTGTTTATTGTTTTACCTTAATCAAACAACATCCTTTTTACCTTGTTCACTGTTGTCTGTTACTGTTATTCTCATCGTTGAAATAAAATTAATCAAAATGTTTAAATTTTGGTGAAATACTCAGTATTTTTACAAAATTATCATACCGTAATCTGTTTAAATGACTTCATTTGTTATTAAATAGTTTAAAGTTAAAAAATAGCGAAATAAGTACAAGGATGAGATCAAGCAACGTTAAGCTTTCTACAACGTTCCAGTTCGGAAGTCACGGCTTCTTCTATTTTGACTCTGTCATTCTTTACCATTTTTACATATTTTCTTATTCAAGGTTGTTATCACTATCAACGACGGAGCTATTTCGCTTAATACGGTAACGATGTGTTCGAACTTATCTAAAATTACCATGATAATACATTCAACATTAACCTAAAATATGATACAATACATTTCAATACTAAAAAAGATTTAAAAAAAGTTTTTGGCTCACCTTTCCTCGTTTGTAACGAAAAGTGAACACGTTTGTATAATTCTGTTATGTCCATCGATGTCCTGTTGTTGTACTCACTACATATCACAGACAGAATATTTAATTTCAAAGATTCCAAAGCCGAGATACGTTCTAACAAAACGGGATCCTTCTTCTTCTCCAGCTCTTCTGCTTCCTTCGCCTTCTGCTTTATCTACAACATGGTTTTAGTTAATCCTTACTTCACTTCAATATCCTATATTTTTTACAACAACTTCAAGTTAATATCCTCAACTCCAATTTAATACCCAAAATGTTTAAAAATAAGACTTACCCTTTCTAGCAAACTCATTTTAGCTGTAGGCTTAGGCTTGACAGTTTTGTCAGTGACCTCAGTCTTTTCATTCTCCTTGTCCACCTTGAGCTTCTTTTCTGGCGACTTCAACTCTTCCGTCACCTTCTCCACACTTTTCAATATACCGGTAGCCGGCACTTTACTCAAGTAATCCATCATGGTTAACTGTTTTTTCGGAAGTTTAGGCTTCGGCAAGGCAAGTGGCGGTACGTCAATGGTATCGACGACAAAATCAGGGTGGAAGTTGCCTTCTTTCAGACCCTCACATTCATTCTTGTCTAAAAACTTTTTGTGCTCTTCAAGAAGATGTTGATGTAGATGATATTTCATGACAACTTCTCGACAATCCTTTCTCCAACCTTCGAACTTTGGCCCTAGACTGGTTTTTACTTCCCTGAAAAATTACATCAATTTTATAAACTGCGCAAAAAGTCAAAATTTTAAAACAATAACATTAGACCAACATTAATTTAGCCAAACGAGTAATGAACCAACCTGGGTAATGGAACAGCTTGGCCTTTTCTCGGCGACTTCATCGGACTTTTAGGTATATAATCCAAGTTCTGAGGCTTCTTCCGTGGCGAAACTAGCCCAGTGGGCACTGTGTACAATTGTCTCGGTTTTACTGGTGACTTTGGAACCAAATCTTCATTATAATACGGACTCAAATCTATAAACACAAACTATATTCAAGTATAATGAATGTATCAATAAAATTAAAATTCCTTGGTATTAAATTTTAATGTCGGTTAAAATCTCAAGTACAATATATAAAAGGGACAAATTAGATAGCCTTACCATCCTTCAAATTCGGTTTGATAAAAAGGTCGAACCGTAGAGGCTGACCAGGCTTCGTAGTCGTATCCTTCTTAAGTTCAATATGATAAGATTTGGGATATATAGCCAAGATCTTACCCATGAGATCTTCTGTAAGTGCCCTAAACAGAGATTAATATATAAAACAACGACAACTTACTTTTTAGAATTGATAGCTACGTTCTTCTTCAAGAGTTCTAATGTAATACGTTGACCAAGTGAGAAACGCATCATTACCACCTAAAAAAAGTACCATTAGCAAATGAAACTACAGTTAAAATTGATTTTCAAGTTTAGATTGATACACCAAGTTAGATGCCAATAAGTAATTAGAATAATATTTGGAATGAAGAAGACATCGTGACAAAGACGATTGTAAACAACGTACCTTTTCAACTTCATTGAACATTTTGTGAACACTTGCAAGATTCTTGGGTAGCTCATTCTTCGCAACATCCAACACTTTTTTATCAAGTCCTTCCATTGTAACTTAACGGCTAAAATAATATTAAAAATATAGACTTTGGTAAAATAAAAGCCGTTGTTGGAACAATTTAAAAAACACAATATTACAAAAATTTTACAAAAGGCAGGTAGAGCTATAATATCGTTAACATAAAAATTCGATAACCTTAAATTTATTAATTTTTACGCTCGCGCAATAAAGATTCTTCAATTTGAACAATAATTTACGCGCAAATTATTTCGTTTCGAGACCGATATACAAAAACCAGTGTGTCAAGTTTTTTCTGGATTCAAAATATAAACAAGTGATTTCACAACAAGTTGATAGATTCTTGTCTGCGAAGATACAATAATTTTGTTGTACGATTAAGCTTGATATAAGTTTTCTTTATGGCCATTCAAATATACATTGAAATAAGAAATGTCAAATAAAAGTTGCAATTATAAGCCATATTTTAGATTATTATCTTATAAGTTTGCTCTCTACGGCTGTTTTACTGTGCTGTATGTTTTGTAGCGTAGTCAACAATTGTATGTTTGTAATTAAAGATGATTTGATTTGGTTTTGCTTAATTTGAGTTAGTTACTTTAGCTCAACGATGGAAGTCTTGGCCAACAACATGCACGCTATGATTTTGTACGAGTTCAAACTGGGGAAGACTGCAGCTGAAGGTCATCGTAACTTGGTGAAGGCGTTTGGAGAGAATTGTGTAAGCTACTCGACCTGTTCTGACTGGTTCCACAAGTTCAAGGAAGGAGATTTCGACTTGAGCAATCATCATCCTGGAAGACATTCTGTCGTCGATGAGCAAGTTCTCATCCAGCTGATGGAGACTGATCCCAACATGACAAGCCATGCCTTGGCCGAGAAGTTTGGATGTTCTTCTGACACTGTGTGCCATCATCTTCACAACATTGGCATGGTATACGAGGGCGGTAAATGGGTCAAGAAGTAGAAGATACGATGCATTGGAGAACCACACATAATCTCTTGTTGTTACGGTTATAAGAAATCAAAAATATCTGAGTTTAATTGTAAATCATATATTTTGTTGTAAATTACGTTTAATATTTGTCATACTGTAAAACACCTTGTTTTAGAGTAATATTTTTTTCTATTGTAATTTGTTAATTGAAAATAAAATTTTTAAGATAAGAATACAGACGTTGTTGTGTGTGCAAAGTTACATTATTTAATGCTTATGATACTTTAGCAAATCACTGAAAGCGGTGAAAAATGCGACTTTATATGTTATACGAGCCGACGACTCGATCTGTGAAGGCATTCAAATATGAAGCCATGAGTTACAATTAATTTAATTTCACTTCTCAGGCTTTTTGTAACCATCTATTAATACATAACATTGGCATGGTTAAAAAGAATGTCAGATGGGTAAAGCAGGAATTCACAAAAAACCATGATTTGAAAAAGTTATTGAACTTATTGTTAATAACAATCTTCCCTGATAACATGTATTACATAGCTTACATTATAATTCATAGTTAGCTTTAGTTTTAATTTTATTTGATTTAAACAATCCTTTCAAGTCCACAAACTGTTTAAACGAATTGAGAAGTACGACAGATGATACCGTTAACAGAAAATGTTTAGAGTCCAACCGAAAATAAAGACCAAGAGGTAAGAAGTCAGCTCGTTAGCTCAAGTACGACAATGAAAGAACTGACAGATTGTGAACGGAGATGAACAATGATGAATTTAGACCAAAATAAACTGAACATAAGCAGACTTCCAACCCCCACAAAATATTACAAGGCCAAGACTGTGCAAATTCCGTTTAATAAGACGCAAGAAAACAAACGAACTCCACCTTCCCCAACCAGTACGTTGACAATAATGGCAGGGGAGGCTGGGCTTGCATTAGATAGCTTGCTGGAAGTTTGATGTCTGAGGAGCTACGTCCGCGTTGGCTGATGTGTTTGGGTTAGTGCCAGCAGGCTGGTTCGACACCTGGTTTAACGAAGCTTTCTGTTTCAACATGGTCCAGTCGAATGTGTAGTCATACTGAAACAACAATTATTTATTGAACAATATATAGGTTAAATTTCATAAATTGTTACAGTCATTGTCAAAATTAAATGAGAAATTAAAAAAATTCAGATAAAATTGAAGTTAAACGACAAATTTTAAACATACTAAAAAACTTTCAAACAAATAAAAAAGTAAGTACAAAGCCACAACTACAATAGTTATGTTATTAGATTACAAATATTAACATACCTGATGATTTAACGTGCGGAATAAGATTCTGAAGAGTTGTCGCAAGTACATGTAGTCAGGTGCCTCATCGAAACGAAGCCCTCTGCAGTAGTTCAAATACATAGAGAACTCAGATGGGAAACCTTTGCATAATACTTCCACCGGGGTCGTCATTTTCTAAAATGTCAAAAATTATTACCTAAAAATCAAAAAAAAATTACTTTTTTTCAAATAAAAACCGTTAGGAAGACAATATGTGAACATAACCTACCTTCTCACTGATCTTCTCGTACTTTTGCTTTTTGTTAGCCGCCTTAAGTCCTTGCCATGGCAGATTGCCTCTGTTAAAGTACATCAACACATAACCGAGAGATTCCATGTCATCTCTGCGACTTTGTTCAATACCTAAAATCTTACATTTAAAATCAAAAAACAAGATAATCATTTAATAATAAGATTGCTTAAACATAGTTAATGTGTGAAAACAAAAAAGATTAACACAAGGCAAAAACTTACCCATATGAGCATTGACAGACGCGTAACGAGCGGTACCAGTCAAGTTCTTGTTGTCCTTGTACGCAATGTGTGATCGAGTACGAGAATCACGGTACTTCTTAGCCAAACCGAAATCGATGATGAAGAGCTTGTTGCAGTGTCTTCCGATGCCCATCAAGAAGTTGTCCGGCTTGATGTCACGGTGAATGAAGTTCTTGACGTGCATGAACTCGATTCTTCCGATCATCTGATCCGCCAACATCAACACGGTCTTCATGGTGAATCGACGAGAACAAAAGTTGAACAAGTCTTCCAAAGAAGGGCCCAGCAAGTCCATGACCAGACAATGGTAGTCTCGCTCCACTCCATAGAATCTAATGTGAGGTACACCAACTCCACCAGAAAGGATCTTGTACACCTTGCTTTCGTAGAGCAGCTGTGGGTGTCTGGCCTAAAATTGACAACGTAAACAGGTATATTAAAAGTTTGAAATCTAATTATAGACTTCAAAGAACTTATTACCACCTTCTTCAATCGAAAACCTTGCTTTGTAAACAAGGTTTGACAAAAAACGTAAAGTAGTACCTAAACATAAAACAATAATCAAATCATACCTTCACGGACTCCAGCTTGACCGCCACTTCTTCACCATTTTGGATATTAATTCCAAGATAGATATCTCCAAATGAACCGCTTCCAATCTTGCGCTTCAACTTATATTTAATCCCAACGATGAATTCCGCCATCGTTGCTCAGTGACCCAAGCTGAGACACCTCCTTAAGTGTTTGAAGGTCCCTCAACCACTGAAAAAGAATGTTTAAACAACGCCAAATACTCAAAACCACATTTTAGGTAACGCCGACAACTCTCGCTCAAATGCAAATCAATATCGGGGAAAGCGCCAAAACCTCAAGTTTACGATAAAGCTGTTTACGACACAAATGACATAAAGCACTAAGATACCAATTCAAAAATACGCTTTCACGAAGAACACAAACATAAAACGGAGAAAATGTACAAAAAGACAATAATCTTCAATTACCAACCGATTCTCGCCGTCCGTCGCAATACCTAATTGTCAATTACCGAAAACGAAAAGTGTCAGACAGATATCATAAACTTTTGATAATTTCTCGACGGATGTAAACCGCGTGACAAGAGTAGAGGTAAAAGAGTTGAACTTTCCATCGACCCAAAAATAAGCCACAAACAAACACAGAGATCTTGAAGGAAGGAGAGGGCGCTCACGCTACCACTTTTGCGGAAAAACGTGAATAATATCGACCGAATCAGAAAATCTATTACAAAAGACAACTCCATAAAATAATATGTTGGCCTGCTATCAACCGAGACAGAAAACCCCGCAGATCCAGGCGAAACGCAGAAGAACCAAAGAAAAAAACGTCTTCGCACTCCGCTTTCGCCGCGTTCTCTCGCCCCGTTGTCCTCTCTCTCAATGTGACACGCTCTCTCGGAGCTCTGAGTCCGCTCACAGCTAGAAAATGGCGGGTTTCTCGATCTCTTACACTCTGCTCCCCATCTGCCTACTACAACATGGAAGGGGAGCTTCTCTCCGCTCTTATTCTCTACGAATTCAAATATTTCAGACCCACTTCTCACGGAGCACGCCTTATTTCGACGTGAACAATATAGGAAATGTATAATCTATTTTTGTGATTAAAGTAGGAGCAGATTCCGAAATATTACTCCGCGGTTTCGTTCATAACAATTATAATTTCGTCTAGAAAATTGTGAAAAAATAAGTATACGACAGAAGGCAGAAAAACCACAATCCCTCACCAAAACAAAACTTGTACTCCTCATGAATAATATAAAACATATGCGCGAAGAAAAAGGTAGACAAAAATGTAAAGCTATGCTGAAAGAATAACACTTTCTGCACTTTTTTGTTAGATAATTGCGTGTTGCAACGTTCAAACCCGAAAATCTGGCTTGACACATTTTCGTGGTGGGACCTGATTGTGAATGAAGTGTAAATACATACGGTATTACAAAAATCTGTCAGCCAGTTACTTTACTCGTAAAAAACATCAACTATTAAAGACGTTGGCTACATAGGCCTAAATCTTCTAAAATTTAAAAAGGTTGTTAACTATGCTTATGTTGGAATCTGAATCTTCAAAATGTTAATGTGTAAACAAGTTTATTTTAGTTTTTCTTAAATTACACATCAGTTTGACAGTTTAGGGTACTAATTTTGCCGTTGAAAGCCTATTCAAATTACTGGCTTAGCGGAAGTTTGGCGACCTTGGGCGGCAGGATGATTAAGTTTGGCTATTGTAACTGTAACTATAGAAACAGTGATGGTCATTCCGACGGTCATTCATTGCAACTACTGAGGGTATTTCAACTTGTCGTATCAAGTACTGCATATTTTATCTAATGTAACACATTTCAATAGTATTTTTATTCCAAGTATCATGTTTTACTTTGAACATGACATGTGTCATACTGTATACTTAATACTATTGTTTACTACATTAGTCAAATTTACTGTATCACAGACAGTTGGTCCAGCTACTATCCAGCCACCTTACAGTAGAGTGAATGATGGCCATCATGGTATAAACTTCGATCTGAACAGGGTCAGCCTCCAGTCGTCGCCGAACCCTCTGAATCCAAGTAATTTGTTCTTTCTGAATACGGCGACAAATGCACAGCAACCTGGGATCACGACAATTCGAAATGAACAAGGGTTCTTGATGAACCAATCGCCAAGGATAACATACCAACATTTAAGGGAAATTGACTGGACTCAAGTTGATCGGCGGAGCGAGGAAGGTGGGTTTTGTTTGGCAAGTGTAAGATCAACTGTTTTTGTTATTAAAATAATTTGTATGTTTGTAAAGAAAAATTTAGATATTAGTGCTAGTTTCTTGATTTGAAGATAAAATTACAGTAGTTGTTAGGCGGCATTTATGGGATTTTAAAGTATATTGTTGTAGGCTGGTGGCACTTGTATCCATTTGGAGAACGTTACTTTGATCGCGAAACCTCAAATCGTCATGGAATGGACAAACAGATTGATCTCGACTTCTTCTTGCCTTACTATGGATATCGCTTTAATTATACTTTTGTATGTTTTTATTGTTTACATTAGCTGATTTAATGTATTCGCATGAATAATGTTTTAAAATTAATCTTTGAAGCTTCAAAAATATGGAGATATGAAAGACTAAAGTATGAAACATTACTGTTACCTAAATATTATTGTTTCAGAGTTTTATCTTTTAATTTTTCAGATTTTCAATGAAGGATTTGTGGCATTTTCTTATCCATCCTTTATCCAACCTCCCTATACCTTTCCAAACCCAAAATGGCCTAATCAACCTGATCCTTCATTGATAGCTGTGTTCATGGCTGATCAAGTTAAACAATATGTTGGAGATACCAAAATCAGCAATGTCTGGTTTAGAATTGTCGAGAGGTGAGTTATTTATAACAACATGAATATGTCTTCAAGTCTTTTTTTTAACAACGCGAATAAATCTTCAAAGTGAAATTTAAGTTTTTTCTGGTTTTAAATTTAAATTTTTATCATAATATTATCCTGGATTTTGCTAAAGTATTGTAGTAAGTGTAAATACAAAAACCATTTTTTACAAATGTTAATTGCTTTTCAGACCACCATCCCTGATCGGCTACAACAATTTGAACATCGACTGGTTTCAACAGCACCACAATCAGCCCAACAATCAGCCTCTGGGCGTCTACAATTATCAGAATGATCCGAGGTACTAAGGGTTCGATTATATTGTAGTATATTTAAATTGTTTTATGTTTTAAAATTAACTTTATTATATTTTTTATTTTTTCACTGTGTAGTTTGTTTTATATTTTAGGTTTTACCGTACTTACCGCGGCCAACAGCTGAAGACAGAGATAGGCAGAGTGGAAGATCCAGAGTTTCTAGACTTGATCACAAGGTCAGTTCAAGGTTTTTTAATCGAATTTTTAATAGTATTTATGTCTTGATTTGTAAAATACGAACTGTTTTTTTAATAGTTTAGAGTTATATTGATAATGTAAATAAAAATTAACATTTTTAGTGACATACGACATGCCATGGTAGGTGCGAGAGGATGGAAGGCTGATTATGCTTTGATTGTCACATGGGAAAGAATGGCATACGGTGGAGCACCGAAGATCACGAAGGTGGATCAGTACGAGAAAGCGAAGCGATGGGTAGGTTAATATAAATATAAAGCAAAGGTTAATATAAATTTAAAAATTTGATCACAGATGCATCAAAAGGTCGTTTTTATCATTCATCATGACTACTTCAGCAAAACACATATCAGATGGTAATAGCCACTGACGAGATCCGCACCTACACCATGTTCAACTTCGCCAACATCAACTGGACTTCGTCAGCTGAAGCTGGAGCTCTGATCGGAGGTCGAGGAGGTAAACAAAGTGCTCTGGTCGGCTTTAATGGTGGTAACGGTACCGGCTACTTTGAGTTACCGTATAGTGCTGATGGAAACTCGTACAAACTGGTACAGTATGGTGCTGCTCAGAGTGCAGGCAGATGGCTGGCACGAGTGGATGAGCAAATACAGTACGGAGGTTGCAGTAACGAGAGTCGTGGTACGTTGGAGACATCCCAGCAGTACGGTAACATGCTGGGAGGGTTTGCTTTAAATGTGTCGGGACCTTGTTATCGACCGACTGATATCCTCAAGCTGCAGTTCGATGAGTTGACGATTGATTGTGAGAGGGTAGGTGGTGTTGAGATTGTCATAAAGTGTTATTTTGTACTGTTTCTTAATACATGGTAAGATGGACATGTAATATTAGGTTGCGCCTTTAGATTGACATGGTGATAGCACGATGTGTCATACCTGTAAATCAAGTGTTCCGCACAGGATTGGTTGAGTTAAGGCTTTCAGTCGATGGAGGCAAGAATTATCCCTGGTGGAACAAGTTTTATGTCTGTAAGTATACTTTAATTTACTATTAAGCAGACATTTTTTATTATTGAGCCGTATAAATTGTTACATAACAACACATTTTACATTGGTTTACATAGTTAAATACTCTTTCAGTGCAACCAGGGCTAGCACGACGTCGAGTTAACCTCGTGAACGATGCTCGCGAACCTCGAAACAATTGGAATGCATTTGATGCTCGGAATCTGACATTAACATGGGAACACGAGAACATCACTGCTAACTACAATGCCGAGATTGACATTGCTTTGTATGGGTATTGGGAAGATGTGGAAGGTCACAGCCTGAAACAGGTCGGCTACATAGCTAGAAGAACTGCTAATCTGGGGACTTTTACGTTTGATCCTCAGACATTGAAGTATGTTTTACGTTAAGATAAAAGTTTTATGTTTGTGGTAGAATAAGCTGTTTATATTTAGTTAGTAATCCTCAAGCTACTACAATGTATTGTTAAGTGAACAAGTATATTGTGCTATTTACTACATATTGAAGGAACCTTACATGACAAACCTTCTCAATATAAACTGTCAAGCTAACATAACTTGTTTAGAAAAGACCTGGAAGGAGATCCCCAAGCCTTCAGATTCTACCACGGTGGACTGATTCAAGTGAGAGTAAGTGAGAATTGGCAGAACGATCGTGGGGATGGTCTCTACTGGTCGTCGCCGGTATCGTTTGGATGGTTTTTCAAAGAACAATGGGAGTATCAATATGGAAGAGATTGGGCGATGCACTTGTGTCAGGAGTGGTACGACTACGACGGGCGGAGAGAGAACTTTGTCATGGAGCTGGAACCCAAAAGTAAGAATTTAGTTAGCAACTATGGCTTTTTACCGTATCAGTTATGTTGATTTAAAGTTTATTTGGCAAAATGATAAATAATGTTTTTTAAATTTACTTCATGTTATGTTACAGTACCATGCCCGTGTACGTTAGATCAGGCTCTGATGGATATTGGCAGATTCACAGCGTTACCAGACTGTGATCAGGAAGGTGATCACAGATGTTACTATCACCAAGGAGCCAAGCATTGTGTTCTCAGCACTTTCTCTGTGTACGTTTACGTTCTTTTGAAAACGTTATAATTACTGTATTTTATTGATTTTGGTACTTTTTTGTATCGTTATCATTTGATAATGAATAAATATACATTGTCAAACTAAGTGTTTTATTTTAGCTGGACTGGAGCGGGTCAAGTGTGTTGCTACGACTACAATGGATGGTTAATGTTTTCTGATGACTTTGAGTACAACGACCAGTACCTCCGCTTTTATTCGGCCGGTGTACCGTACAGGTAGGCAATGTGTAATCCTATTGTCGACATAGCTATATTTAAAAAGCTATGTCTTAATTTGCTTATGCATTTTACTATTTGACACTTAAGAGCCCACCCATGGGGAGCTTTTCCGTATAAACGACCACCGTATGTACCTACCTTGTCCAATTTGTACAACGACTTGTTACCGTATGATTACTGCTGCAAATGGGCTGGACATTGCGAGTTTTACTTTTGGCGGCGACAGACCTCAACTTGTCAAATGTACAAAGCACCAACACTAGGTATATTGACGTACTAATTAAAATAACTATGTTAACTTGATTTAATGGTATTGCTTTAGCGACAATATACGGCGGAAATCACATCAGCACATACGATGGAACAAGGTACACTTTCCACGGTAAAGGGTACTACATTCTGAGTATGATGAAGAGTCCAGCACACGATCTTATGATACAGGGAAGATTGGAGCAGCCGCCTAAAACCATATGTATGTCTTTACCTATTCTTTTGTATTTGGATGTTAGAATACATAGTAACAATTTACATAAGTATGTTTTGATTTCCAACTACTGTATTTAGGGGACACAGAAGTGAGGTCGACAGTATTAACTGGCTTAGCAGCTAGAGACAACCAAAGCTCGGTAGTCCAGATATACGCTCGCAAAGACTTCAGAAGGTGGCGCTACAAGACTGACATATACGTAGATGGCTACAGAGTCTACTTTGATATGCCGTGGAAGAAGATTCAGACTTTCCAAGGTAATATACGATCAAACTTGAGCAGATAATAACATGGGTTATTGATTTCTTTTCTACATTACTTATTACTATGTATCATATATATTGTAGGTGTAACTATTCGTAATCCACCTCGAAACATGAACCAGAGTGAGATTGACATCATGTTCACTACTGGAGTTGGTATACGAGTGGTTGAAAGTCGTGGTATCTTGAATGTTATGATTTCATTGCCAGAGAACTACAAGGAAGTCAACGCTGTAAGTGGTAATAGTTGGTAAAATACGTTGACTTGAGTCATACTTTGGTTGTATATGTACATATGACGTTGGCAACTAATTATAGACTCATTTTTCTTAAACTTCCTGTAGTTCTATACCTTATAATATATATGTTTACAGCGCAACTTCTACCGTGACTACTACCATACGAAAGACAGATACGGCTACAACGACTACATCGAGGATCCCTTCCATCGACAGGAAACTTCATGGTCATTTGCTTCAATATTCAACTTGAAGACAACCACAGTATCCCCGTTACAGTTAACACCGTACAATAAGTGTTCTACTCATTACAGAACGGTGGGATTATTAGGCACTTACAATGACGACATACGAGATGAACTAACATCACCCGACTGTTTCAATATACAGACACAGTATCCACAGACGGCCGAGGAGTCGAGGAGGTTGTACTACATGTTCGGAGAGAAATGTAAGGTTATTACGGTAGCTAGGATATCTACTTTGTCTTACAGAAAACAATTTTAAACGTCTAAACTGTTACTGCATATAATATAATGTTCAGAGATCGTACAAGTATTTTATGTAGTTTAACAGTGAAATTCTTATGTAATATGATTGCAGGGCGTCTTGATCGTAACTTGAATGTGCATAAGCTGTTCCAAAGTGACATTACTCCCATTTACAATCCTCTCAGCTTCGCCAATCAGCTATATGTACCTGTATTTGATCCCTGGAAGGAGGAGAAGAACCATTCCTTCCAGTCTTTCGTCTTCAGTTTGGAGGAAGTCAAGGTATGTTTGGTTTTACCATATAAGATCCATGCTTATTACATTTACAGACTGACTATATTTTAAATTACTGTAAAGTTATTGCTGATATATTTATTATTATGAACTATAATGTCATTGCTTTATGTTTTTGTAGGTGGATTGCCAAGGCCAGCCATCTTGTGAGTCGGACTATCTGATGATGGGACGTCGCGAGTTTGGTCTCGACACTCTCGACTTTGAACGAAAATTCGAAAAAATAAAGGAAAAGGGGGAACATCCAGGTAAGGTGAATATCATGGATAAGGCAACATCATAATAAAATTTGAGTCCCGGATTTATATCCACATTTCCTTCTATTTACTTTTTGACCGACTTAATGTTCATTTTGTGACTTTGTTAATTACAGTAACCAGCTGTGGCCCCCTTGTGAAGAACCCAGGAGTAATCAAATACCCGGCTGGCAATAACTACCTGGAAGGGGTTACTGTAACATTCACCTGCAAGCCAGAGTACTTTTTGCATGGAGATGCCCAGAGGACTTGTGTTAATGGTACCTGGTCGCCCGGATGGTGGGTATGGTGCCGGTGTAAGTTACTGTAGCTTCTCGTACCTAGCATTGCTGGTAGTAATATACCTACTATTGATGGTAGTAAAAATCATATTTCAACATACATAAATTGAGCATTTTAAATGCAATTTGCATTCATGCACAATGTTTTACATGCCTAAATATCAATATATTGTTGTAGCGAGATCAGAAGAATACGCATTGAAATGGATGTGTGGTATCTTGAGTTCAGTAGCTATTATGTTGGCTATCGTGTTCGTATTCTCAGCGTATATTATGAAAGGCAAGGAGAAACAACAAGAGTTTATTGATAAGAAGTATCCGGTAGTGTAAGTCTTCATATTAATATCAATTTACTGTAATTTACAGACTACAAAAGCTCACTAACACTGGGTAAAATAATATATCTATAGATATAGTGAATAATATAAAATCCGGACTTCAGTAAACTAAACTCCACCATTCCAGCAGCTACATCCCCAGCCCAGAAACCCCGATCCCAGTCCTAAAAGGACTGAACACATCAGTCTAACTCGCATGCTATTTCCAGACATTACACTGTAACGACGCTACATGACTGTAAATAAACAAGCCTCCTTCAGTAAACCATTAAAACATTGTTCGAGGCATGAATCAGAAGCCGCATTGTTCTCGGGCGTCCCACCGTTCCGAACACCGGCTGAATGTGCTTGAATTTGTTTTCGCTTCGAGCTCATTAGGCCGTAATCGGAAGATAGCTTTGTCTAATTAATAAATTATGAGCCGGTTACTCGCCTCTTCATTTTAATTTACATCAATTCTTGCCTGACCTATTTCTACATATTATACATGGCATTACTTTCTTATTGAGTTTACGTGACATTCAAATTTGAAGTTTGGGTTACATTTTGATTATCTTTCCCATAATATTTTTTACAAGGTTACATATAGGTTACGTTTGCTTTACCGTGCTTCTTCTCCGTGGTATTCTACAGTTATGAACGTGTTCGCGGACGTAACTTCCGCTTCGAATAAAAGTGAAAGTTTCAAAAGTTCTCATAAATCAATCTCGGGGGTTCAGAATCGTTTCTTTTTACGTGGTAAAGTCTTTGGTCTCTCACTTTTACCGTGGTATTTGATTGGTTTTGTTGTTTTTCTATTTGTTTGTTCAGGTTACCCGTGTAGTCATCCTTTATATGTTTTTAAGCTGTTCTAATAAGTGCATGCTATAGTATAATATATTATTTCTTTTCACTTTTTCAAATTAAATATTATTATAAGTAGCCTTTAGACCTTTAAAGAACACTTTTTGATTGAAGTTTGTCAACAGTCTTTGTATTTCTAAATATAGTGTTATCATCAGTTCCTATTTCGATAGGTTTAGTCAAGGAATTTGATTCATCACATTCCTGAACATGTTATCTCTGGTGATAGTAAAACGAAAAGCGTGGTCACTGCAACTGATACGTCACAGTTTCGGAATCAAATTACTCGGTATAACATGACAATTGAATAGAACAACCCTCTAACATAACAATCAGATCAGAGTAGATCTGCATACGTGACCTTTATCAGCCGATAACCATCTAAAACAATATAGTGGAGCGGCCAAAGTTGGGGGAATCGCTGACTCACCCCTTCTCAATTCGAATTCCACTTTAAACAATTTGGAGAAGAGAACATGAAAATATTTTGGTATTAAATCCCGATATTGTGAAAGGGTATTTGAATTCGGGGGGATGTTACGCTTCCCCGCCCGATCAGATATTCATGTTTTGCGGTTTCGGGAAGAGGGTTAGTCATCCAGTGTTATCAAGCCGAGGCTACGTGTAGATAATAATTGCTGTTTTATCATCGTGTTTGAGGCTTTTTTGTTGAACATTGAATCTCTTATATAATGTACGGAAAAAAACACATTCTGAAGTTCTTTGTGGGTGATATTATCTAGGATTAGTACACTATTTGAGCTAACTTTTCGGTGTTTAATATCTTGACCAGATGTAGTGTAAAAGACTTGCGAATTTTGAAATGTCTTCCTTATGATAACTTACATGAATTTTAGTCCGTAAACTGCACAGATTCCATAAATTTGAAACTATTTCACAGTCTTAACTTCCAGTAACTCTAACTTCGACAAACCTGTACATTACCCACATCTCACGTGTTCTTGAACCTTTTTTTGACTAATTTAGTATCGAAACCACAAGTTTTTTTAGTCCGAACACTAATTAGATAATAATCGGCGTAAACCTCGGTTTCCGTTTTCTGCTACGTAATTTTACACTCTCTCCACGTCCCACAACAACTTTACACTATTTCCCTCGTATAGTTCCATTAAACGGGAACATTACTCATTTGCTCCAATTCCTGATAAAACAAGGTCTCGTTTATCTCTCGCAATTTGCTGCGAATTCCGATCTCGTATTCCACGTAAATCCGCGAATATCGATTATCGCGAGATTTATTTTGCAACAAGGTGTATATAACAAGGTCTAATTTCATCGGCAATAGATATATTCATAATATTATTATAGAAAAGTCTTACTTTTGTTGGTCAAGCATAATATTTTTTGTAATATTACACTTGTTGGGCACGAAGAATCCGAGAAGTCGGCTGGTACGATAAATAAATTTTAAAAATTTCGTCAAATATTTCGCGCCAAGTCTTTTCCTCCCCAGTAATTCAACTCTCTCTCCCTCTAAAATAATATTTTTTGGTAGTTTTCTGTCTCTTTTTTTGTCCGAAAAAACGGCTACAAACGCTTTTTATTTTCGTCGCAAATTAGTCGTTCAAGTCTAATAAAAGTCGACTTTTTCAGACTTCATCTCACACATTTGGGGCTACAATGGCTTCTACTTCACATGGAGATGGACACATGAATTATCGTGAGTTTTTTGGTTTGTTTCTCTTCTGATTTTAGGTATTATTTGTTTGTGATGGGAAGAAATGCGGGTTTTTATGCAGGAGTATGGATTTTTCGTAAGATTACGTTGTAGATGACGGTTTTGATTAAGTTTTATTTTATTTTGTGTTTTAAGAACGATTTTTTGTTGATAATTAAGCATGCAATAGGCGTTCTTTAGCGAAATAATTCGAGAATAACATCATAGTTTTTTTATTACAGTACAATAACCACTTTACGTTGTTTACTCAAGTTCTAAAGCACTTTCTGCGTAAACGATCTGGTAGCATATTGTTCATGAGCGTTTATTTCTAAACTGTTATCCTTTCCTTTCTCGATTGGGTTGTTTTTGATGTCTCGAACTTGTTTACTAACATGAAATGGTTTTAGTCCATTCTTCGGAGCCTAATTCGTCGTCGTCTGCATCTTCAACCCTGAATCGTCGTGTCCTCAGAATTCCAGCATACGCTTTTATTCTCCCCAACTTTGATCATTTCCCAATTGATTTCCGTCGGTTTTTGGAGAAGGAGATGATAGAGATTCACACGTTGAAGCGTCTCGAAGCCTCAGGGCATCTAAATTGGTGGTGTTCACAGAATGCCAGTCAGAGGCTATGGCCATTGGTGACGACTGGCGACGGAAATTGCTTGCTACATGCTGCTTCGTTGGGTAAGTCGCTGGTTTTTGTGGTTTAGTGGCTTTGAAGAATGAATTATGTGTTATAAATGATTTAAAACTACGTTCTATCTAAAATTAGTTTAGTTGTTTAAGTTTGTTAAAAGTAACAACAAAAATAGCGTGAAATTATATATTTTTTCTTAAATGAGACATTGTGTTAATAAATTACATTTATTATATTGCGTAATCTTAATTCATAATCATTTAATTTAGGTATATGGGGGATACACGATCGACAGTTAAATCTGCGACAAGCCTTGTACGATGTGCTAACTCAAGATAACCGAAGGAATTCATTCTACAGAAGGTGGAGATGGCTGGAAAGCAAGTCGAATTTACAATCTGAACTAGTACTGACAGAGGACGAATGGGAAAAGGAATGGAAAAGTGTTATTGATCTCGCTTCGGCCACTCCAAGACCAAATACGTAAGGGTTTATATTGTTTTAGGTATATTTGAAAAGTTCAATGTATTTTTTAAAGCTTGTTCAGAGATTTGAGGTTTTATAAACACTGCAAATAAAGTTTTATTTGTAGTGAAGGCAACCCTGGGTGCAACGAACAAGTGTATGAGAGTCTCGAGTGTATTCATGTCTACGCATTGGCGCAGGTTCTTCGCCGACCTATTATCGTTGTAGCTGATACGGTGCTACGGAATGCCAACGGAGAAGAATTAGCACCGATTCCTTTCGGTGGCGTTTATTTGCCGTTGGAGTTTAGTCCAGATCAATGTCATCGGTACGTTTTGAGATAACTATACTTAATTAAGTTAGTGTTGTTTGAAGATATGTTTATGATGTTTTATTTGATAAATTTACGGATAAAATTTTGAAAACTAATGATATGATATTTTAGAGGTCCGTTGGTGTTATCGTACGATGCTTCACACTTCTCAGCTCTTGTAGCGATGCGGCAGACTAATTCTAATTATTTACAAAGTGAGCAAAGTATTATAGATTGTAGTTCATTGAATGTAGTTTCAAAATACATTTTAGTACGTTTTAATTTTAAATATTTATTTTAGCCGTACCGATCATCGACCGATTTCGTAATTTATTACCAGTGCACTTTGCTGTCGATCCAGGACCAGAGTTTACATGGTAAGTTTAGGTAGAATACAATATTTGTTGTTCTTCAGCATTAGTTTATAATTTTTATTTTATGAAAAATAATTTTTGACAGACTTTATGCCGTATTTTAGGTGGAGAGACGGTAAAGACCAAGACATAGCCTTCAAGCTGGAATCAGAACAAACTGACGACCGAATGCTAGAACTGATGGGCACCTACATGGACATTGTCAAGATGGATCTGAGAAGAGGAAGCATCAAGAAGTCCCTACCTTTTGTCGGAGAAACTGAATTTGCACCATCAATACCATTGAAGTTGATGGCGATAGCCTCAGGGAAGAACGACTCTCACAGGCATCGCTTCTTCAACGAACTGCGACAACACTTCAGATGGCTGACCAAGAAGTCTAAGAGAAAGTCGTCTAAGGCCAGGTTCTCGGCCAACGAACTCAGACAGTCGAATTGTGTGTTGGCAGTGCTGCTACACAACTACTCACATCAACATATTGAGAAGATGTTTGAGAACTACCTGGTGGGGGTCAGGGAAAGGTACGAAAGGTACAAGAAGGTACCTTCAAGTGTCATAATACCCAAGAACAGACTGAGTAGATCATTCTCGTCTTCTAGTGTACATCTCAGCTGTCTGAATTGCAAAAGGGTAAGTTCGTTTTCGAAAATTTTGAAACATTGATAGTTTTATTTGTTGTATAAAATGGGGTTACAGCTTTGCTTATAGCTTTAACTTTGGGACACGTACTGCAATATATTGTACTTAACTTTTGACCAACTATGAATGAAACTGTGTATAAGAACTACAGGGTTTAAAAGAACTTATACGATTAAGTAGGGGTTTATGACGCTAATAAATATTTGAAAACACAAAACCGCTGTTTTTGAAAGATTACTTTATACTAAAACGATTGTAAAGTTTGGTGCATTAAAGATGGTAACGGATTACGATACTTAACGGATTGTTTTTAGCACGCCGCTTCCTTATCGACCACTTTCCTCTGTTCCGACTGTTTTGAAGATCAGAAGCGAGAAATGGCGTCGTTAGGATCCTCGTCTTCACCTCAATCTCAGACTTCGACTGGCAATTCATCGTTCGAACGCTGTTCACATTCGAATGACTCTGCCTACTGTTCCAAGTCTTCTACGATGCCAGCTCTGTCAGATAATCTAGAGGAATCTAGTGGACTGATGAACGAGAGGATCGACTTTGAAGGCGGTTCTTATCAAATTTCATCCATGTCAATGTCACCGAGGAGCCCAACAAGTCCGAGTTTTGTTAGGGAAAGCCCTGTTAAGGTTACGGTGAAAGAGTACGGAGATTACGGTAGCTACGCGAGAGACAAAGGAAGTAGAGACTACAGTAGTGATTACGGTAGCTATCGTCAACGAGCTCCAAGCCGGGACTACGGTACTCGGGAAGTGAACAAAGCTTACGGTAATCGGGATGTTGCTAGAGATTACGGTAACAGAGCTTCTATTAAAGAGTACGGCAACCGTGAACTTACGAGAGACTACGGTAATAGAGAGGTTGTCAGGGATTACGGTATGAGAGATTCTAAGAAGGATTACGGTAACCGAGATTATCAGGACTACACCATATACCATACGCCAACCTCACCTATTACAAAGTACCGTAACCACTACGATGACTCCGTTTACTACACTCCACGGCATGAGATTCAACCGAGATTTAATCACAGTAATCAGGGCGACAATCTGATGGAACGATTCAACAGTATGTCTATAAAGTCTCGACCAAGACCGAACAACTTTGACGTTGGCAGATACAACATGAGGAGAGACCACTCTATCGACCGTACCCCTGTCTTCTCTCCAGTTCCACGATATGTCAGTCCGAACACTCCACTGGCTCCAGAATTGGCTCCACGGATGATCTACGGTCAGAGTGAGGTTGTGACACAGCATTGAGTTGGCGTGGTATGTTTTCGCTGATTTTGAGTAATATATGTAGACTTTATTTAAAGGAAGGTTTTCATCATTTTGGTTTTATTTTTGCTGTTTCTATTTACTTTTTCTACTAGTGTAATATTATGTCATTTTACATTAGAATTTACTGTTTACATGTTACCTTAAGCTAGAAGAAGCATGTCGTTTAAGGTAGTTTTAGTAATATTTGAGAAAAACATTTTCCAAGTAGCGTAACATGCAGCTTAGAATGACACATTCCGTGTATTAAAACCTTTTCGGAAGTGTAATATAACGTGAATATTGTCGTGATTTCAGAAGAACCAAGCACCAAACATACCCATTTCTCTCGAACTCACCATGTATAATATAAAGCTGAATGGAGGCTGATTGTCATTAGGAATATTATGTTGTGTATGTTACTCTAACAAAAACATTTTGAGATGGGACCCAGGGACGTCGCTACAGATTTTCTCTAGGGGAGGGGGTACTCCCCTCCCCCTCCCCCAAACGACGTCTCTGATGGGACCTATATATCTCGAAAGCTCTATGCCAAAATCGATCTTGGTTTAAATGTCCTCCCATGTAAGTGAACCCATTAGAACGTTTTGGTAGTTTTCGATGGTAGTTGAAGATCGTATCATGGTATCTTTCCATGGTACCTTGCCATGATAGTTGAAGGTATCATGGTAATGTTATTCTGTAGATATATATTTTTTCGACCGGTCAGAAGGTCTTTTTTGTAAACACTATTTCGTCTGTCTTTGCGTCTGTTTCTCGCTTTCCCGTTGTCTCTCTTCCGAGTGAATTAATTGTAAATCGAGGTATTTTGTAAGTTATATTGCAGTTGTTATCTTTGTTTTCTTTTGTAAATTGCGATTAATGTTTAGGAGATTTGCATATTAGAGTTGATCAATAAATTTTTATTACTAACGGCAAGGTGACTGTACAGATAGTTTTGTATTGTACATGTCATATTATAACAAATAGTAGCTATTATTAAGGTTAAGGTAAAACTCTGAAAATGAAAGTAATTTGTTAATGTTATGGATGTCGCTTACTAAAACAACATTAAAAGAAGCGGAAACCACACATTGTGTCCTTTTGAGATTATGACATACGAAGCGGAAACACTATGGTTTATATGACAGTAAAACACTACGTGACGGTAAAATATGGATGTGACAGTAAAATAATTGTAAAAGAAAACTGTTATAATCGAGGAATTGTAGTTTTGAAATGTCTGATAACGAACGATAAGACCATAATACGATTTGAGCGCCCACAAAAGGCTTAAAATATTATTCAATGGCCTCAGGGGTTTTGCTGAATTGTCACAGTTCGATGACAATATTATATGTTTTATAAGGAAAAACATATTCATAATGCTTTTAGTTGTATTTTATGGTAGTTTACTGTATTTCTTTGCTGTTTTATGTACGAAGAGGTACTGTAATATGTGTTCTATTTAAGGTATCTTGTGGTACGTGGGTTGATAATCTTTTAAAAACCGGAATGACATGGAATAATGTTTAAATTACTTAATTGTGGGATTATTGTTACTTTGGGATGGTACAACATCACTCTCTCAAAGATTAACTATAACAATGGCATATGTTGATGTAAATTTTTATGTATGTTTAGATGTTCGTAATATGACATTGTTTAATTATCAGTTAGTTGAAAGTATAATTTTCTGTATTTAAAAGTATTGTAATTGATTTTTCTGTCTTATAAGAATTTGAAAACTAAGTTAATGGTGTATATACAAGTAAAAATATACAATACTGCATTATGTTACATTAGATGGATTCCTATAGGTATGTTTTGAAACTACAGTAGTCTGAGCACATGTTACTTTACGTATATCTTGTTGTAATGTACATGTTTACAAATGCAGCTTAAGCGTACGACGAACACTGTAAAATGCAAATTATTAATTACATGACTCCGCTGTTTGTGTCTGCTTTTACTATGACATTCCAGGGCTCAACATTGCTTTAATATATTATTTTATGTTGTTGCATTAATTTACTAATAATAGTTTAGGAGTTACTATTATCTTATGATCATATCACTTGCGATTACTTGTTTGTGACAAAGTTTAGGTAACATGTATAAGAACATGATTCTGTTATGACATATTTGAGTGACATAAACGTGTCATTATGTATGTATTATGTAGTGAAAGTGTTGTTGTCGTATGTGTGACCTTCTTGCGCATTTACTCTGGTCGTGTGTAATGATGACACATATAGGTAGTCTTTATCACAATGTTACTTTTACATGATATTTTGGTATGTTTCTGACATTACATTTTGATGAAATACTAACATATAACATATGCGTAGTAGTAAAACACTTTACACTACATACGATAGTTAATGCTGAAACTCAATCTTATCACAGTTATTTAGTCATGTTGTTCTTGTATGTGGTGTAGTCTATGATACTTGTTGTGATATTTACAATTCAAATGATTGTTTACCGAACATTTATACATTACCATGGTCTGCTGTCGTATCTTGGCGTCTGCAGTAAATGCTTTTAATAATGTAACTGTTAATCTGTAACTAGCAATTACATATAACGGATAGGTAACAACTGTGTCTACATGTTGTTTACTATATGCTACTGTTTCTTGATAACGCGTTACGTAGGTTATCTTACTAAAAGTTATTTGGCTTACTATATCTATTATATTGTATCTTATAGTACGATACATATAACAAGGTAATGAGTTACTTTAAGTACTTATTTCGACTCATAGTATTATATTGATGTTGTTTACCTTGTTGATTCAACTGTATACTTGTATATATCCTTGTTGTTTATATCACGGCACTATTGTGCATTGATTACTCGGTATGATGCTATGAATTCTGGGTAATACGTAACTTTACTCTATGAAAATATTATTCATGAAGACTCATTTACATTTACTGCTAAGTAAATAGCGACTATTATAGCTCACTAACATGTCATATATCTGACCATAGCCAACTTCTTGAGTGACGTTTGTACTACAGTAAAAACGAAAAACTTTGGTAGTTCAGTAGTTTTACTATAAAAAGTTTAATATAAATAGTTTTCTTATGATTATTTTAAGGTTACTGTAATTTTACATATGTTTCTTTTGGATTATTGTAGCTTTTTATATATATACTAACATTAACAACCACATATTTCATTAATTGATGGTCTTCATATATTGATATCACTCATACTCGATATTCAGTTTACAATACATAGTATCCTATTTTTACCTTGATATAAGTTAATGTTAACATAACTTTTGCTGTTTTCATTTTAAAATTAGCCGGCCAAAACTCGAAACTCAGCAATTTGATAGTAGAAGACAGTAAAAGTAGATGTTTTAAAGTAATTATAGTAGTATTAAGACCTCTGAATGAGCATTGTCTCTTTACTTTGGGGTATTATCTTAAAGTCTGTCTGAAACATTTTTTGGTGGATGGAAGGAAAGTTTTTGCAGTTATTTTATAAATTTTAGATCAATTTTTCCCCTAAACTTTTTTCTTAGGTATGGGTTTTACTGTACGACGTACTACAGTAAATTGTGGCGTGTGTCGCTGTAAATTGCAATTGGCTATATCTTAAGATGTTGATTGTCCTAGAACTTTTGAAATAAAAAACTTCCAGAATTACAAATTGATGTTGTAAGTATCTAGAACAACTTTAATGGTCGTTTCTCAAAATGGCTGACGTAATTGTGCTGATAAGGCTTCTGATAGCGTTACCTTTATTTCGAAGTCCTCACACGTATGTCATCGTTAATGTTCCATTCCTGTTTTTATTGTATTTTACTTTGACTTTGTGGAAAGCAATGCCGTTTCAAATACTTTTTAAATTTTATATTGGTTTTTTAAAAAAGGTTTAAAACAGCTGCACTGTGCAATGTAAACAAGCGATTGCACCGTGCAATCAAATATTTTATTTTTTTTAAAAATATTTCGAAATTTCGACATAACTTTCCAACTTTGTCTATAGTTACTGCATTGTCTATCTATATTTTACATTTTTTAAAATTTTAAGACCGGTCAGAAAGTTTATAGAACTTTTATGCCACTTTTACAAATACCGATTGCACAGTGCAGAACTGCCACTTCCTTTGACATAATATTTTAAAAAGTAAATATTAGTGTTTTCTACGTCTTTACCTACCTATGCCTTGCCACAACAACATACCATGGTAAGTTTTCTTTTGAGGATTGATGAATATGCAATGATTGTCCATACCATGAATAGATACTTGCGTACGTACTATGTTCGTACTATTTCCCTATTCATTTTAATTTACGTTTGATACGATAGTTTTTTTGGAAGATACGATACCTCTTTAACGTGTTTAATGAAGTTCTGCGTGAAGATACGAAGATGTATAATCAAATTTTACGTGAAGATACGATGCACTGTCGTATATAGAGTATATAATTATGTTACCGTGCAATTATTTTATAAGTAAATGTAGTATAATATCTATTTCATCTTTTTCAGTGGGTATACGATGAAGTCGGTCATACTGGTACTGAGTTTTGTTGGATTTGCGTTAGGTATGTTGAGTTTACATTATAGTAGCTTGGTAGCATATCATTTATCGATTAGTTATAAAATGAAGTTTTTAAAAAAGTAGACATCTTTATATATTCATACATAGTTACAATGGTGTATATATAGTAATGTAAAAGTTATTTTACTTTGTAAACAAAGTTTCTTCAGCCGCCCCAGCCAGCCAAAGCCAAGACCTTCAGTCCAAGATCGACGCCATGGAGACACACATTCAGAATCTGGAGAAGATTCTGCTACAAAGTCGTCAGCCCGCTTCTTTGCCAGAATCACAGATGCTCGCTCAACGCCCGACTCGCGCCCTCGCCTTTCAGCCAATGAAAAGAATGGTGGCTTGGCAGCCAATGAAGCGGTCCAACAGTCTACTGGTACCCGAATACAGTAAGGAACAAGGTAAGGAACCTTTACATGATATTGAAATAATAAACTATAAGAAGTTTTAAGTCGATTATACTGCAGTAGGTATAGCAACATTGATAGGCCATTTTATAATTTCAAAATCAGTTTTCCAATGTCGAAAACTGAAGAACTATATAATAGTATAACTTTTATAAATTACAGTAATCCGAGCGGTGGAAGAACAGCTTTTGGAGATTTTGCGAGCCGGCGAGACCCTGGGCGCGAACGCGGAAGAAGTTCTGAGCGATTTGCGACGAAAGAACGGCCAAGTAATGTAACTACTGCTTGTACAATCATAACTACACTTTTACATTACTCTACTATACTTTTACTTTCTAATAAATATTATCTCGTTGTACATCAATATTTTACTGTAGGATACTGTAAATTACTGTACATACTAAAATATCTCATAAATATTTTATAATAGATCACGTAACAACAGTTTACTGTGTTAGTCACACAATCTACTATGCTAAATACCTTGAGTACATAGTTATAGTTAGTTATATTGATGTAGATGGCCTTCTCGTGGTTGTCATGGTGACATACGTGGTCATGTTGAGTGCGAGTGACCACTGCAGACTCTCGAATGGACACTGCCGAGACTGTTGCTATGGCTGAAGATGGGGAATCGACCGGTCGATCCCGCCGGAAATCTCCGATCGAGCAAGAGATACGATTCCAAGGCGATGGTAACAGTGATAAGAACAGTATATACGAGATGCTGGGAGAGGACGATGACATTATCGTGTTTACTCCGAAGTAAGCCACGTGGTAATTTTAAATTTACTATGTTATTTATATGGTTTTTAAAATTATGTTGTTGTATCTGCGTATATTGTTATCTTAGTATCATGGTTAATCATACTGGTACAGAAGGTATACTGTAATCTCTCATACTGTAATCTTTTTAGAATTGGAGCCTTTGGAGCCCCTCAATGTCGCTGTACCACCGCGGTAATCGCTCTTCTGGCCATAATCTTTGGCCTGGTCTTCTCGACCAGTGGCCTTTGTATCTTGGTATTCTTCGTAGAAACAGAGCCTACTTTACTGCCACTTGGCATAACACTCTCGGGGCTCGGTATCATTATGTTTGTGGTGGGAGGACTGATGTGGTGCAGTGAGTTTATGTGCAATAACTGTCTCAAGAAGGCCTATGTCAAGATCAAAGAGGCGCCGCTTAAGAATGCTATCGAACGACGGAGTCGGATGGCGTCACGGTGAGATTCTCAGGGATAGGGGATTTTGAGTAGTCATATTTGAATACACGAAGGATTATAAAGTCAAAATAGACTTTAAATTTTTAAAAAGTAATGTTGTCTTAGTCGATGTGTAAGGAAGTACATATACAGTTATCAGTTTTACTTTCAGATCAACTCAACGAACTGGCTCACGACTCTCGACTGCTACCAAAACTAGCCTTCAATCTGGAGTGTCTATCAGGACAACATCAACACGATACTAAATTTATTACGTACATATTGACTATCTTACATATATTACTATACCTCTAACACTGTAACAAAAGTTATCGGAATGAACTTATAAAGTGTCCATTAAAGTAATGTAGTTTAAGAGCTTTTACATTAAACTGAAATATATAAGATATTTGAATAAGATTACATCATTTTCTAAAGTTATAGATGTATATTACTTATGCTTAGGTAGTACTTTTATACCTAAAATAGTGTGTAATACGATGATAATATTCTTATGACAAACTAGATATGATTTAAATGTTATTCTACAAGTTTGTCGCTTATAAACGGCCGTTTTACCTAGGTTTATATAGGTTTATTTGCACATTTTGGTGGGATTCTCACAGGTATATTATCCATCTGCTTGGTATCTTGTAATCGAATCTACGAAAGCGCGCTCTCGACCAGTCTCGAGAGTGGCCAAGCATTATTTTGAGATTTACCGCCAAAACGTGGTCATAATAATCGGGGTTATCTAATTTCATGGTAGAAATGGGTTAAGTCTAGGTATATATTGGTATGCTATATACATAAGTTGATACGTTTGTGTAGATGTTCCAAATTTCAAAATCTTTCCTTGTAAGATAAGCTCTTTGTCTTGTTATTCACTACTCAAAAACAACACTATCTTTTACTTTCTAGTTACAATATACATCTATAGCTACAAGATGTACAATATTATTGTAGTATTCGAAAGCTGTTATGCAAATTTCCCACGTGACGTAACCTACCACAATATAATGCTATTCCCAGCCTTTCAAGGCTTTAATTAGTCTTATTTCCTTCGATTGAATCAGGTTGTTTATGGCCACTATAATAATATTCACCATGGCGACCAGAGAGACCTTTCTTTGATCTCCCGGAACACGGCCGGAAGGAGAAGATATCCGTGTGTAGGAAAGGTGTAAGGGCGGGTTCGTGTTGGCAAAACTTGGCTGTTTTTTAGTTCAGAAGGGGTGAACAGAGAGCAGCATCTCTGATTAACAAGGTGAATATCAGAGATAATATTCACCTTGTTTTATACTATTATTGCTTTCTTTTTAATTTTAAATATATTATTTCAAGTCTAATATCTCTGGTACTTTAGAAATATATCTAATGATAACATCCCTTCAAAGATTGATCGACATTTGAATATTATTGTTGGTCGATCGCCTTGACCCGAGAGCGCGACTAATCCGTTCTTAATATTAAACCCTGAGGGCTTCGGTTGTAAACACGGTAAAGAGTCTCGACTCTGTTTCGATTAGCTTTTCAGATAATTTGAATTCAGATGACTGCTTCCTCTAATTCGTTGCCTTCTGATTCCTTCGAGGAGATACGACAAGGAGTTGCGAAGACACGACGATGCTGGATGAGTAAGGTTATAGTTAAGGTTTTGAATAGCTTTAGGAAGGCAACTTTTGGGATTTGTCTTATATTTATGAATTAAAAAAATTTTTTTTGTTGTGCAAAGAATATGCCACTGCACTGTGCAGTGTCTTTCAAAGTTCACACTGCCAAAATTAGTATAATTTTAGACCATGTAAAGTAATTTATTGTTTCTTTTTATGATTTTAATTCTGTGTCTACTATTTTACTTACATTTTTATAAAATTCAAATTTTTACCAAGTATTTTATTTTTTGCACCGTGCAAAGCCTTAAACTTCAAAACTTTTGATATTTGTGGTAAAAGACAAGTTTCATGAAGTAAAAGATGATATGTTTGAAACGAGTCAAACGTTTACGACTTTTCAGAACGAAACTCACGCTGAGACTGTAGAATAGTGACAGCCGGCTGCTTGTAAACCGAATCTTGATATTTCTTTCTTTTACACTTTGATACTTTACTTTCCTTACTTACTCTACTTTATTGAGGGGTTTTATAGTCTGAAAAGTTGTTTGACTATCTTTGTTCAAGTTTCTTTTTAATTTTATACCTAATTATTTAGTTAGTCAAGCTAAAAATTCTTTTTTATGATATTGTTATAGGTAATGTTATTCAACTAGCAATATTAACTGTTGTGAGTTAACATTTAGATTTCATAAGTACCTATTAATAGTGTAGTTGCCGTGTAAATGTTATGGCGTTTCCTAAAACGAGTTGTCGTAGGCCGGTCATAAAGTAATCGGCTTTTATGGCTTCGGCCAGGTGCAAGATTAAGGCCGAACGGACTGTTTGATCAGCCAATATTTACTTTTTCAGTCACAAAATGACCACGAACATATATAAAATGTACTTGGGTCACATACCTACAAAAAGTAACGCGTTATGGTGTGGGTATAACGTGAGTTATAAGGCAATAGCGTGGGTATAGCGTGAATTATATCATTATAACTTGGGTTGACATGTCTTTGTATACCTGATCTTCCCTGTTTAAAAATGAGGTTTTTTTATTTTTTTTTTATTAGTGAGTATAATAATAATCTGTAATAAACAAAGCTTCAAGATATCCTTGCAACACAATGCCAAAAAAACGCGGTAAAATCGAAGATTTGAAGTTTATATTAGCTTGTCTAAAAAGTTCTGAGCCAACACTTTTTTTCGAAAACAAAACCGACAAAAGTGATGGAAAGAATAATATAAAATATAAAAATATGGACAGTAACCTACTATTGTTAGTTGTTGTTTTAAGTATATTCATTGTTTTAATAAATATGTACATATGACTAAAATAATGAGTCCGGAGACTTTTTACGCACCCTGTATTAATTAAAAAGAGAATTTTTAAAATACGTCAAAGATTGAATTAATTTGAACTTTTTAAAATTGTTTTTGGCTCAGAATTTTCTGGACGACTCACATAATAGCTAACAATGAAGCATTTGGCCTTTTTACCATAGTAAATCTTTAATGTTTAGAACGCATAAAAACAGGCAAATCAATTAGAAAATGTCAGTTCATTATAAATGTCAGTTCTTAATAAAATGTCATTTTACCTTGAAAAACAGAAGTGGCTCACCTTTGTCCCATTATGACATGTTGCACTTGGTGGCGTGAAATCGGTGAGCTGGTGTTTGTTTATGCGACCACCTTGTCGCGCGTCTTGAGATTTCCGGTGGAGCGACTTTAAAACAGTTTAAACGCGATTTACTCTGACTGTAACTGAGTGTTTGTTATAATTACAGCTTCTTCCGAGTAATTACCATCCTCGATTGGTATGATGGGTTTACTCCGTAGATTGCGTCGTATCGGAGATATGTGATCGGTTACCATCACTTGATATTACCGTATGGGCTTTACTCTCTGATCATGGTTTATATTGTTTTAGGTTTTGGTGAATCCATTAGTTCTTTCGCTTTTTTTGGTGAATTAATTATTTATTTTTTTCTGATTTGAGGATCTATTATATTATAGTAGGTTTACAAAGGTTTAAATTGACATTTTCATTTGTTTTTAAGCTTTTCTATCTACTTTTTGACCAAAAACCTTTACATCGTACCTTGCCAAACACACGAACACACACATATACGATGTGTATAACAAAGCCTGCAAGAGTAATGTATTCTGTGAGTAATTGTACGCCTTGTAATTGTGCGAAATTCACAGTCGAATGATTTGTCGCCTGAGGGCATTTGTCCATTCCCTCCGGAAGCGCCTTCTTTCCCGCTGCACGGTGCATTGCTTTTAAGACAAAGCGGCGAGGATGGCCTCACCTTGACTCCCATTCTCTCATTACGTAAAGCATGTCATATTATATTATACATCCCGAATCAAAACGGCATTCAGAAGGCGTTTGTGGGAGGGGGGGGGGGGCTTTAATTTTGAAATTTGGTTATTAGAACTTGAAAATAGTTGATTATACTCTGCGGATAAGGTAGTGTTTTTACTTTTATGACCACTGTCTCCAAACTTACAGTGATTTACTTGCTTTTTAGTCAAACTGTTACCTATATTAATATAATCCTAATTTAAATTTTTAATGTGTTTTTTAGTCATTATTCCCCATTTCATAACATATTTTATAATGTCATACCATCAAATTTACATCATAATGTCATAGAAAGCAGCTTCAAATGTCAACCCCAAATTAGCCACGGTTTCCCCTGAGGCAATTCCCGTCCTTTATGAAACATAACAAAGGTGCTGGGCCGGTTATTCGAATACAATTTAATTATCGAGAATTCACGAACTCAGTTTTTGTTAAAAGTTTTGTTTTTAACTAATTAAACCCTCCAGAATCGCCCTCCGCTGCGTTGATTTAAAATCCTTTTAACGCGTACAACAAAGTAGTCATTCCAGTAATGACACCTACATCGAGACGGACATTCATTTAGCTGAACGTTTCACACACTTTTAAGCCCATTACGTTGCCATCTTTTGACTTTTGGACCGTTTTCTTATATTACACTTGAACATACTTTATGTTACGAGGGATGACATTGATTGTAGCTTTAGACTTTTACTGCTACTTCTTAATGTAAAATAACTCTTTTTATCGTGTTGTTATCTCTTTCAGTTCTCTTTACAGCTCTATCTCTTATTTTACTAATTTATACACTTTTATTCGATGTTACACTTGCCATAAATTGATGCTTTAACGAGGTAAATTAGGTTTTTGCGCCAATTCTAGATTATTTTTACCTCAGAATAACATCAAATGACATTTTTTGTCTTGTTTCATACCTATAGAGCCAGTTTCCACCCATTTTAATCGTGTTTTACTGGTGTCAACACCTTTTTCCGATAGTAATATCTTTGAATTACCTTGCTTTTTGTCCCGACTAAACCCTCCCATTACCGCATAAGGTGACACTTGATGACCAGCTTTCACTGTCATAACGTTTCATCGCAATTTTCGCGCGTTTTAACGAATATTATCTCGTGTGAGTCACCTTCACCTTGTTTTAGACTTTAATTTCAGAAATTCTTGCCATTTTCGACCGGTAAAATGCGGCCAAAGGGCCTGAACTTGAGGCTACTACTTGTGTTGCCGTACATGCTCTTAATCGCGACAGGAAGTGATGTGTTTTGTGGAAATCTGACCGTCTTCAAACAGAAATGGTTCTCCAAAGATGCTCAAACTCTCGCGGCTCAGAAGGCCAACGACCTAAAGCAATGTCTGGATGCCTGCTGTGCCATACAAGGTAAGATTACATGTTTACGACACTCTAATGTTGGCATTAGCGCCGACGAAAACAGAAATCTTTTGGAAAAAGTGAAATTTTGTGAAATTTGAGATTATAATGTAGGGGAGAAAGACTTGTTGCGACAGTTTTTTGTCGAGTCAACTGTTGCTCTTCTTCAGGGAATTGATGGAATTCTGTAAAATGATGTCTTCCTGAACCAAAAACGAGATTACAGACATTTGTAGCTAATGAAAAATATTCTTAATATGTGGATCTATGCCCTTCTTTTTCATATTGCGGTATATTCATAGAAAAAGCTTAATTTTAACGGTTTTAGTGTGCAATGCCCTCACTTTTATGGGGTTTCTGGGTAATTCGTCCTCGGTTCCGGCTGCCAATTGTGTCCTCTTCCAATGTTCGGACAATTGCGTGGCTGTAGATGAACATGAAGCCGCTGAAGGAGTTATCAGTGTTCAGATCAAGCGGAAACCAGAGGTTATCAGTCAGAAGGTAAGTCTTTACATTAAGTTTGTTATTTTGACTAAAACAATGTCTTTTCGAATTCTAAAAGTTGGAACGGTCTAAAAGGCACCTATTATGTTCTGACATGGTTTTATGTGTGTTACAAGGTAGAGTCTACTTTGTTTTTGAACAGAAAATGTCTACAATAGACTGTTAATCGAGTTAGGGTTTACAAAACTGATGTTAATGTAGTTTTTCTCTCTGTACTCTCTCTTTATTTTACCACATCTCGCTAATTAGGTATAGTGAAAGTAACGGCTAGCCCTAAGTAAGTAGATTGTAAAGGTTCAAAGAGCGTAAACAGAAGAAGGGAACAATCTTCTACAATATTAATATAGAACAAGTCTAACCAATATGGCCAGAAAAGTTAGACAAAAAGCTGAAACTTTTTAAAATTTTTTTAAACCTTTAGATTCACTTTTATTTGTTTTGGCAAGAAATCTTTCTTTTAATGGTATAGTACAATATCTAATCGTAAGCCTTAGTAGTACCAGTTTAGTCTAGTTTTTGATAGTCGGGTGTGGTATTGCTTAGCAGGACACCAGTGCTAGCACTCACAACTCCGATCAGCCCTAGAAATCCGAATCCGAACTGTTCTATGATAAGAACTGAGAATGTTGGAGCAGCTGCTCTGACAAAGGCTATGGCCGAGTTGGCTAGGCCAAGGATCAGGCCCTATAAGGATGGTTTTAGTATTGGATTTGAAGAGACTAATACTGTATATGAAAGGATAACTTGCTTACCTGCTGTTCGCTCTTGATCCGTGTAGTCATCATGGAATCAGACGCGTTGTTGACAAAGGTAATGGTCTGGATCAAGATGAACAGGAGGGGGAAGATGAGCCAGAAGAACTTGAGGTACATGAAGCCACTGTAGCACAGCACCTGAAAGTATAGTTGGAATCAGAAACTATATACTTCAGCTCTTATAACTTTTGTGATTATTTAAGATTAGTGACAATGTTCTTGTATATTAGATTATAGTATCTTACCGCTGCGATAGCACTGTACTTGATCAGCTGGTTCTCCTTGAAGAACTTGGACAGCACCATCTGGCCGATGGAGTTGGCAAACATGATTCCCATGCCGATCTCCAATTGCATAAAGGAATCTTGGGTTTGTGTCATTCCAAAAGTGTTTATCAGATGGAGCTGAAGGATATTATCTTACTGTTACCATTAAAGTAGATAGCGTAATACTGGTCCTACTTTTAAAATGGCAAGAGCTTTATTTGGCTTACCTGTAGAGTACCAAAGATAACATAAGCAGGACAAGTGACTAGTAGTTTGGTGAGGAAGAGGTTTCTTAACACTGGATCCTTCATGATAATATCGACGCCAGAGCCTAAGGGCTTCTTTTCTTTTGGGTCTTCTGATTCTTCTGGCTGAAATATTAACTTTGTTACACAGGAATAGGTTTGTTACATAGCAAAACATACTACTTTAGCATGAGAAATCCAAAAATTTTGTTTTTCTATGGTATTGTAACGTAGTAGGTACAGTATACTTACATGAGCATCCCTGACAGTTAAAAGTAGAGGCAGGGTAAGGACACAGATGGCAGCTCCCATTAAGAGAGGGCCAGATTGGCCTAGTATCAAGGTTGACAACTTTGTGATAATTGGTGTTAAGACAAAGCCGGCTCCTAAAATACGCTTACTGTAACCTTGCTTAAAACATCTTGACCTATCAGCTAAAGCATCAACCTTTATTTGTATTTTAAGTTATCTTATTTGAGTTTAACTTGAATTATGATACTGTTTAGTACTGTTATATCATTTTAATCTAGTAATGTAATGTTAGTCACCTTTGATAGTAATCTTACCAAATGAAAGGCCGAGCTTAGAGAAGGCTGACGTCCTTTCTGGGCCTGGCTTGGTCGAGTGAGCTATGGCTGTTTGGAAGGCCTGATGACCCACCATTAAGATACCAAAAGATTGAGATACGATGATTAGGAAAAGTCCCTGAAATTATATTGTTTTAGGTATTAATTAGCTTTGGTATGACATTCTTTCTTTGTCTCATAAGTTAGTCCTCTCTAACTGTATCAATTTAAGATTATACTACATAACTAATATATTACACTTCAAACCGGTGTAAAAGCAATGTTGTGTTACTGTAACATACCTGAGATATAGCCAAGAAGAAGCAGGACGCCGCCGTGCTCAAGAAGGTTATTATAAGTGCAAGTTTGAGGCCTAGTTTGGAGACTAGTACTCCGATCAGAGGGGTACCAATCAGTTGCAGTCCAATAAAGTATGTCTTCACATAACCTTGATGTAGGTCGGAGACATGCACACTCTTGCACATGTACCCGAAGGTTGACATCTGCACGAACTGGACGGCATTTAACAGCGAGGATAGACAATATAGTACTAGTAACTGGGACATCCCTGGAATTTCGGTTAAGGTAGTTGTTGGAGGGATTGGGTATTATGATAGTTAAGGAAATGACACGATAAAACGTATTTCAACCATTTTAAGACTTTACTTGAAATACAATACCTACAACAACATGGTAAATCCAAAAAGTATATAATTAGATCCGGAAAATAAGGTCAGATCTAACAAAATGGCAAAAACTTTCCCCATGTTAGACTGTTCAAACAAGTCTAGGCCCCTTTTTTCAAAAATATGCCATGAGAAAGGGCTCATAATTATTTGAACACCCTAATAACCTTTGACAATATATTTCAAAGTATTTTTCAAACTTTGAAATGCAAATGTTATTGTCTCTAAAAACAAGAGTTGAGAAGAGAGCGAGTGATAAGAAAAGGCACATTATCAGCCAACATACCAAGTTACAAGAGTAAAGAAAGTAAAGCGACGGTTCCTCAATTAGACTGGCTCTTCTCTCTCAAACACAACATAGGGGCTCGAAACATAACACAAACCACAAAGTATACGGGAAAAGTTTTCTGTTTACCCTATGATCACATAGGTTGGTCTTGTATGTTGCATTAGTTATCTACTATATCTTAAACTCAATATAATAACCTATATATCAAATTCTACTGATATGTAAATGTATTTTCAATTTCAGGATGAACCAAATGACCCAACAACAACACAAGATACCACAGTGGCTTTTACTACGTCTATTGTTGAAGATACAACGACAGAAGAGACTACTATAGCATCTACAGTACAAACAACAGAAGATACGACGACAATACTGTCTCTAGATGCTATTTCATCTCAAGATACGACAATGTTACCATCAGAAGATTCGAACACATTAGGCTCAGATGGTCAGCAGTCCAATCGCTCTTTTAATGGTACAGTAAACTCGACTAATGGTAAAGCATACTCGGTTACTGTACCATCAACCCGAAGATCATATACAACCACGACCATAGTAACATCGACCACATTTACTCAGTCATTTATGACAAAAGCGGCGATAGCACCAGTCTGGTCGGTGGGACTCGGCCTGGTACTACTGGTCGTGTGTGTGGGACTGAACATTACCGCGGTGACGTTGTATCTATGTTACAGAAGGAAGAACGTTAGGAGGAGGGATCCGCCTGTGAATACGATAAAGACATCTACTCTACATGCCTTTCCTCCACAGCAACATCATGGGCCTGTCATGCATTCCACCATGGCATGATGGTCGTACGTTAGATGTACTGTATTGCATGATGATCGTATGTTGGACGTACTGTAATGTTTACGGTACTTGAACTACACTTACTGCACTGTACATTGTGTGGTTATATGAGGCGTTCTAACTTACTATGGTCATCGTATGTCGAATAAGAACATAATTACAGTATACTGTGACTTAGCCTATAAATCTACCGTAATGTACGTTATGTATGGTTGATTTATAGGCTATATACTAAATATATGATACAAATATAGCCATGATGGACCTTATTTTAGATCGTTTACTGTATGTACGAAACATATATGGCTATACGACGAAGGTAGATGCGGTGGTATAGAAAATGTTACTCTGTTATATGTGATATGTATGATATTATTATTGTTTAGTTTATTAGGTCGATCTGTTAGTTTTTTCGCTTATTTCAATATACGGTAAGGTAAGAGTTGCGAAATAATTAATGGATTCTATTGATATTGCCTTTGTATATCTTCTTTTACATTATTGTATGCTTTACATTACTGTATTACTGTTTATAGTTACACTTTACTTTGTCACATTATTATCACTACAAATTTATTGTTATTATGTCTTTATCAGTCTCGTAATCTTTTTAATACTGATTCACCTACATATTACACTAACCTTACTCACTTACTATGTTGTTGTAGGATACGATGTCTTTCGTGCGAACATACGGGTATCTTGTCTGTTACCACACCCTCGATCTCATTATATTGTACATGTTTGTCGGAATAAAGCGTTTATTACTCTCGTGATTTGCATAATTTCCTGAGGCGATCGATTCCTTCCTTTGTTTCTTATCAGTTGGGGGGGGGGCATTAGCGACGTGTAATCGAATATTGGGCAAGATATTCAATAGTGTTGGTGTGCCACGGGTTTGTTTTTAGATTAATCGACATCTATATGTATGTACATTGTCGTATATGTATGTTTCGGTATTTTATCATATATATGGGTTTACTGAGGTATAAAGCGATTTAAATTGGGACAAAAGTTCTCGGACAAACTGCACGGTGCAGTTTTTGAATTTTAAAATGAATTTTACTTCTAGAGGTTACTGAGTATTTAAATATGTTACTATAGTATCATAGAACAATACAGTGCCAATAATATTATAGTACCATCCTATTGTCATATTACAGAGTTTGTTTACTATAGAAAACACGTCATTCTGACTGACGTCTTGTCATCGTATCTTTAATATGGTCGTATGTTTGCATAACATCGCCGTACTTAGCCGTGGTATCTTCGCTCAGTCAATTCAAATTCAAATATAAAATACGGATTTCGGGGAATTAAATTGTTCAGAAAATAGGTCACGATGGTGCAGTAGCCTTTATCTGGGGAAAGTCAGCCATTTCAATTATTATTTATCGGAAACAAAGCCCTGAGGGCGTGGGGCAATCGATAATTGGGGCCGAGTGCGCCCCTTTTGCCTCAGGGCACGGCCCTTTTTCGGCCTTTAATCCAATCTTTCCGCGCTCTGGACTGGCCTGCTTTTTAAACTGGGTTTGGATGGGTTACTGACTATTACTTTTACTGTTACCTCATGGTACGTTGTACGATACTACAGTATATACTGTATTTTACAGAAATTTGCATAAAAAGTCGATAATGTGACATTTGTTTGGAGTTCAAGTGTAAATATGCTAATTTCATGGCAGTTTGAGTTAGTGTTGTGGAATGTAGCTTCCAAATGTGTTACTTTATTAGGTTTGTATTGGTATTTGGGTTATATATTTGCATTTGTTTACAATTATATTATCATATATCGATTACACGTTTTACGAGATGTATCCTTGTAAAATACGTCAAAAACAGTGTAAATACAAAGTAAATACGAGGTAAATTACAGAGTGATGCGCGACAGATGGCCGACTATGACTACTTGATCAAGTTTCTGGCGTTGGGCGACTCTGGAGTCGGCAAAACATCTTTCTTGGTGGGTTAATGTAATTTATGAATGGTACTATAAGTTTGTAATGGTTTCTAAATTTTTTTTATTTTACACTTATCTTTGTCATACAAGTGATGATTATCTGTAATTTCGTAATTTTTTGCTTTAAAAATTTTTAAATTGCACGGTGCAGTTTCTAATGACTGCACGGTGCAATAAATTCTAAAAACTTTGAAATTATCACAAAATAAATAATGTATTCACCTTCGTATGTTGCAGCATCGTTACACGGACAACACCTTTACGGGTCAGTTCATTTCCACCGTGGGGATCGACTTCAAGGAGAAGAAGGTAGTCTACAAGAGTGCCCGAGGCGGCTTCGGAGGTCGCGGCCAAAGGGTGCTGCTTCAGCTATGGGACACGGCCGGCCAGGAACGGTAGGTGAAGGAACGATGGAGTGATTCTGGGTTTAGATTCCGATCGTTGACTACGGCCTTTTTCCGCGACGCTATGGGCTTCATCCTGATCTTTGACATCACCAACGAACAGTCCTTCCTCAACATCAGGGATTGGCTGTCGCAGCTCAAGGTAAGTGATATTAGTTGTATGTTGTACATTTTGAAGTTGTACTGTGCAGGTGACGGTTATATGTTTAAAGTATGCATTAATATTGCATTTAGATGATCTTTTTTACATTTACATGTTGTAGTAGAGGTCTTAGATGTAAAAGTTTGTGCGCCATTAGTGTTTCACATCTTGAGATGTTTTAAACCTTTTTATAAAAGTGTAAAGGAGAGTCTGATGCATTAAGAATGTCCTCAAACCATTCCCCCTTAATTATCCCTTTACTTATTTATGGAATTATTTATGATGGTAACATGCCGAATAACTTAATTTTCTCTACTTTATACCATCTCAATTCTACTTTTAATTCTTAGGTTTTATATGTATTGAAGTGATTTATGAAATCAATAACTGTGTCAAAAATTAAAAAATCGATGACGGAATCTCAAACTTTAAGCCATGAACTATTATACAACATCCTATTCCAGATCCATGCCTACTGCGAGACCCCTGACATAATTCTCTGCGGCAACAAAGCCGATCTCGAGAACCGTCGCCAAGTCTCGACAGCCCGCGCCAAGCAGCTAGCCGACCAGCTGGGCCTACCCTACTTCGAGGCCTCGGCCTGCACGTCGATGAATGTGGAGAAGTCGGTGGACTGTCTGCTCGACATGGTGATGCAGAGGATTCAGATGTCGGTGGACGGCGACAACCTCCCCACCGAGTACCTGGGTGCCGGCAATCGGATTCAGGTCGAGGAAGAGGGTACTCAAGGTGGAATCGGCCAAACTTACTGCAGTAACTGCTAATCTTTCTTCAGGACGACTGCCTTAGAAATGTAGAGTGTAGTCACTTTGGTACAAACTCAACTTAAAAGGTACTTTATGGTGTAGTCTTCTCAACATAGATAACAACTTGTTATACCTACAACAACATAAACCTACTTAACATTTCTCTTAAAATATGGTCTACAGTAACCCGTAGTTACAGTAGTGACAGTCTCCTCGACCTTCTTTCAACTTTCTCTGCCTCTCTGTCCGCTCCTATCGTTTCTTTCAAGTTTTCGTGGTGGGACCCGTCTCCGAAAACCGACTGCTCTCTCGTATTCCTCTTTCCTCCGACTGAAATACTTATCAAACGCTCTATTTAATCGAATAAATTTATTTAACTATCACAGTTACCGTAACATCACAGCTATCATCACATACGACCCGTCGTTAGCGTTTAAATGTAAATTTAGAAGAAAGTGTTGTTAGATATATTACAATAGACCGTGTAAAAGCCAAATTACCGTATGATTAGTTAAGAAAGTTACGGTAACAATAAATATGCTGATATAAAACCAAAATTAGAGATACAATAGTATTTACAACATACGTTAAAAGATACGATATGTATTAGCTACCATCCCCAAACGGCAAGTATACTATGTTATTTTCTCCTCTGACACCCATTTTACATCAGAAAGGTCAAGTTATTGTATATGCTTATATAATAATCACTTTCAAAGTGTCCATGATATGTAAATGTCATTGTATCAAAGTTAACATACGGATACCTTCTGAATGATATAGTAACATGCTATCAAACCGGTAATGCAGGCAACATGTGTTTGTTTCGAAGTGAATACGACTTGAATATCATACATTGTAGTAGAGCCAAACCCGCTGGGATAGAGAATATTATCCTTAACATGCAGATACTCAACTCGTCGCTTCTTATTTGGTCCTTTTGGTACGACTAAAACAGATTTCATAGCATCAATAACACGTTAATGAAGAATAAACAACTTATATTTTAGTCCACAACAATTAATATACGATCTTGTCATACTTACCTCGTAGCCATGTCGATTTAAAAAGTATACTACGACCATGGGAGCTATAGAGGTAGCTGGCTTCATTACAAAAGCATTCAAGCTGAATATTAACGATGACATTCTGCTTCTAAAAAATATAAAAAGATAAATACAACATCACCTTCAGTAAAATTCATATCAGTAATAAGTTAAGTACTCACCAAAACTAATACTATACTTAACTCAAGCCAAACTCAAAACTTCAACATAACAAAGCACCTTCCAAACTTACTTTCTGGCATTGCGAGTAGTATCATCCTCAATAAACTCGGCTAAAAGAATGTTAAACAATGGTGCAATTGAGTGTACCATTACACTGTCAATCAGCATGAAGAACATGATGACATACGAACTCCATGATATCGTATACATGAAGGATGATAAGATGGAGAAGACAAATGATAACATCATTACTCTGTAAACTCCCAATCTGACCAGTAGAGTTTCGTTTGCTATCACTAGAATCTAAAATGTTATGATTATAGTAATAACATATAACTGTAATATATATAGTTTATATGTAATACGTGAAACCATTAAATTTTAAATTATAAGAATATAACATTACATTAAAAGTTTTCTAACATAAGTCTTCAAACAGACCAACCTGAGGCAATAAAGTGCAAACAGCAAAGAAGATACTGATCTGCCACGATCCCTTCCTCAGAATCCTTTGTGGAATCAGAAGATCCGTCGCAATCGAAGCAAAATTCAGATGAGCTACACTTCTGATCGTGTGGACAAAGTTGGTGAAGACAATACGCTGAAAGTCGGGAGCCTTGAGAAGTTCTCCAGTCAGCGTTAACACACTTCTGAAGCCCATCTTCTTCTTCTCATCTTCATCTTCTTCCAACAACGTTTCTCTGTCCTTTTCTTTAGTTGTTGAACTTAATCGACCGGTAATAAAGAAGCAAATCATTGTTAAGATAGCCACTACCACACAAATGGTTTGGAATGTACCAAAGTCCTAAAATACAAAAGATTTACATTGTTTTAGGTAGTATAAATAAGACATTTAATAAAAAATGTAAAAATTATTCACAAGTTTGACATAATTAGTCAACAAATTGCAAATAACTTACATCCACGCTGTGAGAAAACTTCTCTGTGATCATGATAATGTTCACACTGCATAATATAGCCAACTGAGAGTATTTCAGACCTTGAACTCGTCTTCTGTGTTCCCGAGTCGATTCTGTAAACAAAGCTCCCCATGCAACTCCAACACAACTAAAACAGTTCAGTTAAAAGCTTTAAAAATGCCATAGAGTACATTGGACCCAACTTAAATCCAACCTTTGTTACCTAAAAACGAAAATATAAATCAAAATTTACCTGTAAAAAGCGTCGTAAAGAAATAAAGCCACAATCAGATGTAGCCCTTCAATGTACGGTGGTGAGGTTGACGTTTTCCTCCATGGAAACCACAATATCAAGAAGGATAAGCTCATCAACGGCCCAAAGTAAGTGAATATCTTGGCTCTACTCTTCATCCATCCATTAGAAAGATCTTGAATATACCCAAACAACGGATCGTTGATAGCATTCCACACCAAAAACAACAACTGAGCAATGTTGAACCAATACTCGTTGACATGAAACACGTTGAGGAAGACCTTGACGTAGTAAAACATGAACAGAACTTGCATTAAACTGAGGCCAAATTGCCCAGTAAATAAGGCCAAGTTGGAAGATCTTCTGGACATCTTGAATATATTGTTTTGACCAACTATGGTATGTTATGTTCAGTAAATATCCATGTCAACGCATTTGTTTTATTTTATTTTCCAAAATCCAACAAGAATAAGGTAAAGACTTGACGCGGCTTTAACAATTGTGCCAAGTGTTTCTTTTTCAGCAAATTCATAAAATTTGAAGTTTTTCTCCGACTTTTTCATGAAATTGGAGAAAATATGACGTTTTTGGGAATGATCAACATATTTTTACAAATTCACAGCAAAAATATGCAAATTAAAGTGTCAATCTTCGTTGGAAAACCAGAAAACCCGACATTCAACTGATTTGGTGGTCTAGGATCCGGTTGGTTGGACGTCGTCATGATCGAATACATCGTTGTCGCCGTCATTGTGGGCATCATCCTGTGGTGGTTCTTCAATAAGGTAGGTAAGGCGAGTGTGACTAAACTGGCTTTTTAGAAAGACAGTCAGATTTCGATTGGCTACGAGGTGAATTCTGTCCGACAAGCGAGCATGGCGGTAAAGTTTTGAGTACTCTTCTCTTGTGTATGTTATAACCAAGGTAATTGTTGTGTTTTAGGAGAAGAAGCCCTCGGAGACCACGGGTGGTGCTTCTGAGTCTGCTCCCGACGGTAGTAATATCTCCCCGAATCCGTAAGTTCGAGGCTTTGAAATATTGCTTTTAATAGAAGTTCGTAGTTAATTAAGGAAGACAGGATGAAAAGAGATTGTTTAATTTATGGGTTAAAACAAAATTATAGGCAAAAATCTTTTTTATAACGTTTTAATTGATTTATATTGTCTATGACTTTGATTTAGAACGTCGGACAAGAAGCACAAGCACCGTCACAAGCACCATAAGCACAAGAGTGGAAACAAAGGTAACTTGAAGTTTAAAATATTTGTATTTTATTAAGGCACTAGAAGGAGATTAGTTGAATGAACTTATTCTCTTAAACATTATATGTTGTAGTAATTACATTTATTTTCAGTTTCAAAGAACAAGAAGACCAAGAAGAGCGCAGCGCCAGATGGAACCACTCCACCACCGTCCTCCTAGTCCTACCAGTGCACTTGCTGTTTGACTGATTAAACGATATAAACTTGAAAACGAATGTTTTGGTTTAAGTGATATGATTAGTGATGGTTTTGAATCTTTATTAATATTCTAAATGAGAACATCGTTGGTCTGAGCTTCACTCGTGTCTTCAGAAGTGGTTACGACGATCGGAATCTCAGTTACCCGTTTGGATTCTGATGAAGTCGATGGCAATGGTACTACCTTTGGTTTGATTCTGCTTTTGGTACCAGTTGGTACTATTTTGTGGACTTTGGTCTTGTCTCTCGGCTTTGTGTCTTCTAGAGATCGAGGTGTAGGTGTTATAGATGAAGGTTGTTGATTACCTTCAGTAGATCGTGGAGATTCTTGAACTTCTGATGGTTTGGAAGAGACAGTGGAAGGTTCTCCTTCAGTATTTTCTGATTTATCATCGTTTTTACTCTCTGTTTCTTGTAAAATGACTGTAGAAGAAGTAGTATCTGTTGGTTTATCGTTATCTTTACGTAGCTTTTCATCCGATTTCTTAGATGAAAGTTTCCCATCCTTTGTAGCCTCTTTAACATTATTTTGGGAGTTGTGATTACTAGGATTCTGAAGGTTTTCTTGAGAACATTCGTCCACGAATCTAACTCTGGCTTGAATCGATCCGTCTCGACCGGTCGATATCCTGACGCTGTGCGAGCTGCTGTCATCGTCCTTATCACTGTCATCTCGTTGATACTGGAAAGCTCCATTCTCGTACGAACCTCTCCTGTCGAACCCATGCTTCAGAGCATCGGCATAAGTGGGCGGAGCTTCGATCACGCTGACTCCTGCCTCAGGCAATAAATAGAAACGTCTATCGCCTACGGTATGAACAGAAGGACTCAACCCTATCTGATTACTGTTGCTACTGTTCTGCGAGTCTTCTGTCGTCGTGTCTCCTCGATGTGTACATGTTAACATGAGTTTTCGTCGGTTTAATCCCACAGCCAAAGCGATCATGGCTGACAAGGTTAATATGATCCCAGCCAGACTCAGCACGATGGCCATCAACATGGCCACATCGTTCTCCTTCTCCATGTTGAGCAGCGGGTTTATCTCGCAGATCTCGTCGCTCTGATCGCCGCAGTTGTCTACACCGTCGCATCTTAATGAATCGCTGATACAGCGTGAGTTCTCACAATGAAACTCGAATCTTCCAGGGCATGAAGCTGTGGCCCAGCGGTAGAACAAGCTGTAAGTTAGCTGAACGTCTGAAAATATTTTTTCACGTTTTTAGTGTATGCAGACTGCAGAAGAAAGGGCGCAGCCGAAAACAAAAATAAAATATTAAAATTTTGGAACTTTAGGTAGATTTCAACCTTTTGTAATGAAACTTAGAAGGGTTTAAAAATTTTATATTTTATATTGTTATACGGTGTTGTACTCACCAGAGCTGATGTGCAGAAGTCCGTTGAGTCTAATATAGAAGGCGGGATGTGGATGTTGATCATTCACCAGACTCACAGGATATTTCCTGTTTGATCCCGTTCTGAAATTCATTGATTCGAGACTCAGGATCACGGGAGAAGTTGAGTGAAGCCCTTTTCTGATCTCCAGCTTAAGATCTTTGGCTTCGTTTGGCTCAAACTTGTCGATTTTTAGGTATACTTGGTCGAAGACTTGGGCGAATGATGGTAATCGACCCACAATCCAGATGCAATCCACGTACTTTCCGACCAGTTCCGACTTATTAGCCAAATTGATCTGGCCGCCAAAGCTTTCACGGATTTGATCGCAATCTAAAACAAGGTTGGTTTAGGGTTGGAATGTGTACAGGTATGTTATTATAGGTTGTGTTTGGAGGAAAATGAAGATATTGGATAGAGAATTAAAGAAAATAATATTTAAACATCAGGCAACGGTAGCATCACCACAAACATCAAAAACTCAACTTCTTCCTCATGGATAACATTCTCGAAACACTTCTCTACTCTCATATAGCTAATCGTAAGATAACTTACTTTCACTTGGCAGATTCCTCCAATCCGTGAACTCCTTGACAAACTCGAACCTTGCTCTGAAGCCGACGAGATGAGTGAAGCTCCCGGATACAAAAAGAATTGTCAGTTTGGGTCCGTTGGATAAGATGGCCGGAGGGCGTCGATGGGTGTTCTGGGAGTTGAAGAGTTCAGTCTCGTCTGAGTCGAAGATCCTGAGACTGCTTTGGTAATCGACCAGGAAGTCATCGAAGATGAGTTTCACCTTGCCCCACTCGTTCTTGTTCTCGATCGTATAGTTCTTGATCATGTGGCGGGGGTAGGCTTCGGGGTATCGAGGAGACGAGATCATGTGGTCGAAGCTGAAGTTATCCTTGTATTCGGTGTTTCCTGAAAGTAATAGGGGTAACATAGGTTGAATTTAATATTACTAATGTTATTTAAGACAATAACTACTAAGTATCTAGTCGTATAACTTACTATGAACGCTGATTTGGATAGGAAAGAGTCGTAGCAGGTAGTTGAAGAGTTGATTCGAGTTGTCGATGTTCCTCATTACCAGATGTATTGTCAGAGAGTGACTGGTGCTGTTGTAGACACGTTTCTCCGGCCAATTCCAGGCTGATATCTTCTTGTAGTTAGGCCGATCAGCTGCTCTGTAAACATCAGCTCGTTCTTCTATGAAATCCATCACGAAGCAGGGATCAGCCATCGCTGAGGTTGGGTCATCACACCGCGACACCTAAAGCAATATTGTGATAAGTAGGTATCAAAGTTTTGAGTTGATGACATTATTATGAAAAAGTGATTTGAGTGACAATCATAAATTGAGAAACAATCTATAATATTATATAGACTCACCTTCTCTACCTGAAATTGAGTAAAGTAAGGTCGAACTGAGTCCAGCTCGATACTGACAAAACAATCAGCACAAGCTTCCAACCTCAAAGTGCATTGAACTGCCTGGTACCCGATGGACTGTAGGGCTCTAAACGGGATGGTACCATTCTCTCCGATGTCGATCTCTGCCTTTTCTGTGGGTTCGGCTAGTATGGCGACGTGTTGTTGATTTGGGGGTGGAGTTCGAAGTTCAGTCCCTGTCCATTCAGCTGCTGGGACATCGGATTGACATAGCCAGAAGGTCTTGGGCTCTTGAGATATGATGTCATTTGAAGGGGATTCTGTTGGTTTTGTAAGGAATTCGGTCGTTGAGGATTCTGTAGATGTAGATGTCTCTTTGATAGTCTGGTCGATTGGGTCTGATTTGGGGCTGTTGGCTGAACTCTGCTCAATGGCATGTATACCCACGTCATTCAAAGCTGTAACGTCTGGTACTCTATTAGACTCGTCATCTTCGTCGCTCAGTTTAGTAGATATACCTGGCAGATCATCCTTAACAGCCGAGCAAAAGACCGTGACAATTAGAAGGAGCGCGGCCAGAAGGGTGGCCATATTAGCGCCTCATCTGAAGCAAGTTTTAATTGAATATTCAGAGGCCGGGAAGAAGCTCTTCAACCTTGTTCAAGAGCCTTTCGCTGTTTCACTTCAAAACCCACGGAAGTGCACTAGAGGACTGCAACTGCACTGGCGGGTATCCATAGAAACAGATCGCCAGATTTACAATCAAGGTAACACTTTACTCTACCGAGGCCGTCGCCCTTATATTGCCTTGCGAGCCACGCCGAAGCTCATTTGATATTCATTACACCTGGATAAATGTTTCAGAATGTACATTCCTTTCACTTTACATTTGTTTCAGTTTGGCTGGACTGAAGGGATTAAACATTCCAGACAACATTCAGGTATTTAAGGCAATCAACTGCTTGTTTACTTCAATTACCATGGCTATTTTTGTTTATTTTCTGTCAAAACATGTCAAAAAAGATGAAAGATTAATAAAATAATGCTTTTAATACCTAAAAATAACTTATTTTGTGCTTTCTAAACGTTTAAATATGTTAATATTATCATTGCAACAGTTTGCAAGGCAAAAGGCAGTTAGCCCGATGCGGGGCTCGAACCCGCGACAGCCAGATTAAGAGTCTGGTGCTCTACCGACTGAGCTAACCGGGCACACCTGGTTCGATCAAAAATAACATAAAGTGACAAAGGGAGAAGAGTTTATTTATTCTTTGGAAAAACACATGTTTAGCGATGATAACGACGCATTGGAGGGTATGGATCGCCTGAAAGTAAAGTTAGTCTCACCTAATGTTATGTTATCTTTACACCGAAAGATCAGCTTTTGCACCAAAAAATAAAAATTTGCATTTTTAAAATAAAATTTGTACAAATCACTTTTATAAACAAAAAGATTAATTTTTAAATAAAAAAATTAATTAAATCTATTTTTTATAACTATAGTAACGTTTTTGTATATATTGTAAAGTTGTATCCATCTGACCTTTTGACCGACTCCACCTGAAATACAGTATACCTGAAAACGTCAACAAGATTACTTATCAAAGTGTAATTCTATTAATATTCTTATCACCAATGACCCCGCCTAAGGAACGGCTACAAAAACATCTGATTGTAAATTACTCCACTTTACACTAATTTGTTTTACATCTTCATTGTTACTGTAACGTGTTTTTTTCAGTAAATGATGTAGTGTACGTTACACTAATAACCTTTTGATTGAACTAAATTAGGTCACAAATAAGGCTAGTCTATGTTTTTGGGTCTTAAACTGAATCTCATGGCTCTCTGTACTATGCGATTAGGGACAAGTATTAGTACCAATGACTTTTTTGGTACTAATATCTTCTGATAAATAGGCAAACTACCATTTTATCAGAAAAAGCTTCCATTTATAACGTAAACGCAAATAACTTCAAGAAAATTCTGCCCCAATGTCAAACTTCTTCACACTTTTGTTCGTGACGCTTAATGTCATTTCTGATGTCACCTATGTTCAGATATAATCCATAACACCTTGTCTTCCCACACAGTATCAAATTACACTCAATTTAAGCTGTCTTTCGCTCTGAACTCATACCATTGACTATCTTCTCTCCCTCACTGGCATTTGAACTACCTGCTAAATCAATATAGGACCACTCATTCAATCAGACATATCCTACACAGTTTACTGAAGCAAGTCTATATAGTTTACCTAAACTATTCAGTTCAAGTTTTAGGGGCTGTCCACACCTTTTATCTCACCACTCTTGACAACACCTGTACTTTCCTATACCTATAGCCTGCTATACCTATACTAGAACGTTCTTCAAGACGCCCTATATCCTTTCAACTCATCTACCACACAAACCTATCTACCCCCTTAGGAAAGAAGATGGGCCAAGCTACATGGATAGTCCAACAACATTTTACCATGTAATTCGACAAACTCATAGAGTCTTTGCTTGACAGCCATCATGTCAGGGTAGGTGTAGACAGCCCTCCTGTCAATGTTATTACACCCAAAATCAAGGTAACTGATCAGAACAGAGTTCAACGTCTTCTCGACTTCAGATGAATCGTTCTGTTCTTGGCTACAGATACTCTCACAAGTTTGTAAGAAAGTAGTAACCTGGGGATTACTGTAACACCCAGCCAAGTCACCCTTCTCCAGCAACATCAGCGACGCCAGCAACGCCAGTTGCTGGTCGTCCATCTGAAGTCGCTGGAAGTACCGTGTGACCTGTAAGAAGTCGTCTACTAAAACCGGAGAGAATCCTAGAGAATCTAGCTTCACGATAGATACGATATCGCCTTCTGAAACGCTTCTTTTGGTCACGGTACGTTGAGCTACATCAACTCGAGTGAACAGATCTAGAAGCTCAACGTCCAGACGGGCGTAGCATTGCTTCATGATGTACACTTTGGATAGCTGAAACGTTCAAAATAATTTAATAACAATTTTACATTACTGTAAAAAAGATACTATCATAGAAGGATATGCATGTTTAACATGTTACATATGCATCTTACACTAAAAAAAGTTCGGTCATAGAAACATACAAGTACTACGAGAATAAAAAAAGTCCCTTACCTGCTCGATTCCCTCTACCGTGGAGCAGAATCTGATGCACCTGTTGAACATCGTGACCAGCAGTGTAGCCGTTTGTTCTCCCAGGTCCTTGTACTTGAAGTCCTCCCCCAACGCCAGTTCTGTCACCAAACACTGATAATAGTTCTTGGCCAGTCCGTTCATCAGATTTTCGGATTCTGAAGTCAACGGATAGATTCCGATGAATTCAGAATCCGAGAGATGACGTTCGACCTCACGACACTGACGGTTCCGCTCAATCAGTTCTCGCTTGGCCTTGCGTTCGGCTGGCTCCATTACTACTGAAATGGAAGGTTATATAATACTAAAATTGTCTATAATACTATTACAGTGGGTTTACTATAACATATTTTACCTCCTACAGACCGACATTGCCCGCCTGGCACTGTATAAAGTGTTACAGTACAAACAGCTAGATTAATATAATGTTTAGACAACTCACAATCAGTCTTCATGACAGTCAAACACTTGGTATAACGGCACTTCTGGCACTTGACTCTGGCCTCCTTGTTGATGACACAGTTCCCTTGATTCTTGCACGAGTACTCTATCTTGTTCTGCACGGTACGACGGAAGAAGCCCTTGCAGCCTTCGCAGGTGATAGCCTGGTAGTGGATGCCAGTAGCCTGATCTCCACACACCTGACAGATGCCCTTCTGCTTGGGACTCAACTCTTTGGACATAACCATTTTACAAGCCTGTAATAAAGTTTACAATGTCGCTGCCGGATAGTAAAGCGGCGAGTGTTTTCAGATTACATCTGTTTTATGATACGCATGGTGGTATTACATGGTATGTAGGAAAAGTTGCTTATCATTGTGTTAAAAAATAATATATATTACTGTAGTTAATAATGATATTTCAAAGTCTTAAAACAAAATTATTGAACAAGGTTTTACGGTATACGATACATCAGTTATTTAAAAATATAATTGAACTTACAAGTGAAGTTATACGGTAAGGTACAAATGAATTACTGTAGGGACAGTAATATGATAGTATGAACGTCTTAAGCGGTAGCTGTAAACTTTAAAACAGTAAAACTGCCTGAAAACAAAAATAATTTACATAAGTTAAGTAATAGCCTATATAACCAATAACCTCACGCAACGTACGCAACTATATAATTAAGATAAAGCAAAATTAAACAGTACTATTGCCACGATAGTGGTACGGCTATAATTTTTAAAGTGAAAAACTGTATATACATAATATGGAAGAACCTTATAACTCTTAAAAATGACTTTAATGTTGACTAAAACATGATGTTTCTTGTAACAAAGCATCTTATTATTCTATATAAAATAAAGTCGTCACAACCATTTCTAACCACCTATAATACTACCTCCAAAAGCCCTAGTAATCCTACAAAACACAGCCAAACTAATACGAAACTTATGCAATTACAGTACCATATCCAAGTGAATCGACGCAATATATAGAAGACCCCCTCCCCTCGAGAATGCAAATACCTATGAATGCGACATTCTCGCTAGCTGAGGTCATCTTGTTGCGTAATTCGAGGCGGTCCACCTGATGTGCCTGACCCCAGTCTCGGCGTCTGTTCGTCGAGAGTGCCATTTATAGTTTGAGGACACTTTCGAATCCCGCCAAAATTTTGAAAATGGCAAGGTTTTACAAATTATAAAGAAATTTTGTTGAAAGAGTGCGATAAGCAGAGAAAATCTTGTGATTCTTAGCTGACAATCTACCTACTGTAACGTCATTTAAAGGCCATCGAAGGCTCGTTAAAGTCAACAAGTTTGATTTGACTTTTTCTTTGCTAAAACTGAGATAAATGTTTTTTAAATACAGTAAGAGATTGATCTAATATACTGTGGTCAAGTCACTTTAGTTCTACACAGTAATATTTATGTATTAATGTGCGATAGTTTGCAGTGCTTATCATAGTGTCATATACTGTATTTACTTTAAAATGCTCTCTTAAATTCATATTGTTACTGTAGTAATAGTTTTGTTATTTACAATATACATTCCGTTACATAAAGTGACGTCATTTTCGAAACCCAGTAAACTGTAGTTTGCAATTGTCGCTTTAACAATTCCGAAGAACTTAAAAGGACTTGCAAGTTACTGCAACAGTTGAAGGTCATTGTACTTTCGAAATGACTTACAATTACTTTTAAACTACTTTCTGATTCACAACTGATACTCAGTGTACGTTGAAAGTGATAAGTTGTTCAGTATGCTTTAAGAATAATCACAAACGTTTATTTTTCAATAATTTTTAAAATCTTTAAATGAGAAAGTTAAATTTTTTACGGTAAACTGTGACTTGAAGTAATCTATCACTATAATTTTTCATTTTTATTGGTATTATATATAAGTAATGTAAGTATAACAACATTAAATTGCTATGCCCTTGAAAAGTTCAAAATCGAAACAGCTGCCTTAATTTGCATAAATTTTGAAAAGATACCATCCTCTGTCTTCGTATGTCATATCGAATTGGCTCAAAAATTAAAAAACTACTGATAAGAGATGAGAAAACGTTACACTTTCGACTATGTAAACAAGAATGTGTACAGTAAACAAAACATTACTTCACTTTTTGTGAATTACTGTGACCTACTGTAATGTAAACCGCAAAAACTTATCACATAGAATCATAAAGCAGTATTTGTTACTGTAGCTAAAGTATACAGCTGAACGTTTAAAATTGAACCAACGTACTAAATAGTACTGCAACAACATATTTATTCACCAGTACGATTATTACAACAATGTGAGGTAATGTAAAATTAATGTGAATATGATTATAATATTAAGTTAACATGCAAGAGGTATGACAATGTAACCGTTATTGTAGCTTATTAGTAGGAATTAGTATGTGATTGATAAGAAAAGACACTGATCTGTTCGAAAAGTAAGTAAAACAATAAAAATTAGCACTTGAAACAACAAAAATAATAAAATTCTACTTAAATATTGACCAAATATTATAAAGTTAAGTAGATAACAAGATACGATAAAGTAACGTGACAGAGAATACTGTAACCCATATTACAGTAACATTGCAGAGTAAGACAACTGTTACTTCTTGACCTGAGCTCCTGCCACTTTAGTCTGGAGCTGTTTGAAGAGTTGAGCGACCAAAAGAGCCTGGAATTAAGAGATTAGGACACCTGTCTACTATAATATAATACCGTCTACTATAATATACCTTGAATAGAACACCCCTACCACAATATACCTATAATAGCTCACCTGTGGAGTCGAGAATACCAATATCTCATGTCGCTTCCGGTGAAGCTCAAGATGTCCGCCAGTACCGTGCACAAGTTCGCATTGTTGTAGCTCGATGGCTTCTATCTGCTTCAGGGTTTGTTGGCTGATAACTGATACTCCCCAGTCATTTACTCCCAGATAGACTGGCGAAGTCCCAAAAGGAGGCTAAAACAATATTGTTTTACTCATTTCAGATAAATTTGAGAATTTTAATGGCCTTTATTTTTTAATTACTGTAGGTATACTGTAACATGAATTTATGTTTTTTACCTTTTACAGTCAGAATTTTATGTTAACGTAAACGTTATTATTACTGTAGAAACTATAAATTTCCAAAATAGTATTTGAATCCGTACAATATCTTAATTTAGCTATAAGCGACATATAATTACATGGTAGGGCTTCATGATGGCTAATATGACATTGTTGCTCTTACTTAGGGTAATGGCTAATTACTTATTTTATACGACGTATTACTTTGATTACTTTTTGCATAAATTATACATATTCATCATAGCTTCTCTTACTATTCTTAGTTCTACTATATATGTTTCACTATGATATGTTGTAATACTTAAACGTAGCTGTTAAAACCTTGTAAACGTAGCAATTAAGTACTCTGCCATTATTAAAATTACTATTTTTAGGTAGTAACTTTACTTTTTTACAATTACAGCGGCAACAGATTGCATGTCATTGCATATATCTTGTTATTTACATAGTAAAACAACATTTACTCTGACATTCTGATCATAGTATTATTACTGTCCTATATTCTGCTTTGGTTTAAAGTAATATAAGTTGTTTTAGACCCAATTGTATAGTATCTTATTGTTAGAAAAAGTACATTACTCATACTATTAGGTAAGATTACCTATAGCTTAACATACATAAGCTCAGTATAACTTACTTTACTGTGTGACATGACAGCCTTGAAGAAGGTGCACCCATACACATTCAGCTTCCAACATAACTGTAGAAAGTTGAATTGTAATTGCTGATAGGTGGTGGCTGTCAGTTGAGAGTGGGCATCCTTCAGCTTTGACACCAACTTCTGGAAAGCACGGTCACTTTCCGTGGGTATTAAATGTTTCGGCATACACGCGGAGACGGCGGTAAAACTGAAACATGTCAAATGTAAGTCACAGTATAAGTGGCAATATACTACAATTGGCAATAGTATCAAAAGTCTTTAGAATAACCATTTATGCCTTCGGTCACTATTTCTATAAAATTTTTATGAATTTTTTGACCAATATTTTAACTATGAACTTTTCGATCAACAAAAATGACCTTTATCCTCACAATCTCCATTATCATCCTCTTTGTGTATGACAATTTCCTTCTCTCTAAACAGCTAAAACGTTCCTTTCTAATTATATTATCCATGTTGGGATTTGTTTCCGCCCTTTAACAATACATTCTCTAATGTGGGATTACTTTCGAGAGACATCAAAAACATCTGCCAACATGTTCTTCTCGGCATAACACTTTGTTAACGCTAATTAGCACTCGAAGTTATTGATATTACTGCCAGCTGGTTGCTTTATCATTTCTTTCTGTTTCTTATAATTTCTTGTGGATTCTCGAAGTATTTTAGGTAATAACTTATGGTTTTAATCATTCTTGTCTCTTATACTTTGTCATAAAATCTTGTCGTTGAAGTCAAGATCGTATCTTTCAAAATAAGACTAAAATCAAGTACTTTTCTTAAGGCAATTATGTGTTTAGTACTAAATAGTATCGTAAAGTATTGTTTTCAAGTCAGCGCATCCATTATCTGAATACGAATACTTAACTAACGCCAGATTCAAAACAAAAACATGAATAATATGTGGGCATTAATCACATCCTCTCCAATTTCCGTCCCTAACGTGCCTTTTTACCCGCAACGTTCCATCTCTTTGATTACAATGTGCTCATCGTTCCGTGGTTTAGGTCTAAAGGTCCGAATATTTTTGAAAGAGTTACAGAGTTATTTGCCATATGTCATCAAAGTCTTTGAATTCTATTGTCGCAATTATCATAAAGTCTAATATTATGATACCTTTGCCATGAATGTTGTTATAGCTCCCTACAAAGTCATCACAACCCGTGTTCTGCATAGTAAACGCGCGTTCCGTCGTATGTTTGGTCTATTGTCCGTGTTGTAATTGTCTTTGCCCGTTTCCGGCGGTTTTGGCACCTTTTCGAGGCGCCGTTTAGCGGCCAAATCTTTTTGAAAAAGAAGAACATTCCGCCGCAAATTCAATTCCCACCAGTTTTTGGTGGAAGAGTGTCCACTCCAATTCCGGGATCATCAGAAGGTGCTTATGACCTTCTACATAAGGGCTTCCCCGCCTTCTATTACAAAGAATGGCCAAGAGGCGGCTCGACAGGCCCCGCCCCCTTTTCGAGTGCTTAAGTGTACCATTTTAAGACTGGTAATATTTAAATTTGATTTTAAGTGGCTTTTTTGTATAAAGCAGCTAAAATATGTTTCATCTATAAATATTGTAAACTAAAGGTGTTGATGTTGCGCGGTTTAGTGTAATAGGTCATTCTGGTTAATTGCACGGTAAAAATAACGTAAATTACAAGCCTAGACTTTGTTATAAAACCTTTAAAATTTTTATATTTTTCAGTGTTAACAAATAGCTTAGTTATTTGAAGAACTAAAACTATTTTTGTTCAAACTTTGAAAGATTCATCTACCGTTAATAATGTGGCCATCTATGTTTTACTCTAAACTCTTTAAAACCGTGACTTTTACTCTTATCCTTAACATAATGCCAACTCAAAATCTCTCTTAAAACACTTGTCCCTCTAACCATTACTAACCTTTAATCTAAAACACCATAATTGCATCTAAAACAATATTGTAAACTTGGTTCGGCCCTTCAGAAGGCTAATCGACAAACATTTACGGCTTATTACACTGTCGCTTATCTCTAATGCCTTTTCCGATTATCAACACGGTCCTTTTTGTAATATCCCTGATCTGAGGTCACTCTCGAGACGGCAGAGGCGGTTGTGAATACAAATGAGGCATACGGCTTATGTCGCCGCAAATGCCTCCGGAGTGTGACAAATATTTTTTGAAGTTACTGAGTGATGGGCCATGTGTATTGGACATTACTTAAACCACGTACTCTTGCTTTGTTGTTTTTTGGGCTGTGCGTTGGGGTTATTGGCTTGTTTTATATGATTTACTTGGTCTTTTGAGTTGTTTTAATTATTTATTTGAGTTTAGTGTCTTTTTTTCATCTGAACTGTTATAATATTGTACATAACGTAACCTTTAGTTCTTTCCTCTATATTGATTTGGGTATTAATTAATTGTTTTAGATGATTTACTTTAGCCTTTTAAGTTTTTTTCTAATCTATAAACTGTGATAATATTGTACATAAAGTAATCTTTAATACATACCCCCTACATTACACTGTCAAGCCCCTCGTTGTAACCTAAAACAACGTAAAAACACCAAATATTCTCCTTAACTCTCGATCCCAAGTCTATTTTCGATTGCTCTCGCAACAACATTGTCGTATGTTTGCCCGCTGTCATGTTGCATTTAATATCTGTTCAATATTGTAAAATAACTCCGTGGCTTCCCCTTTTTTCGGAATCCAATTTCCAGCGATTTCCATTCCCGGCTGGCTAAACTCCGCTCTTTTATCCCAAAGGGGTACCGCTAATTGTGGACCAGATATCCCTTGTTTACCTGGCTAATTATCCCGATCTTCTAATTGGGGCTTCTAATTAACGGCTCAATATGGGCACGGTACTTGACCTTGTGCACGAGTATTTGTTTAGGCTCTTCAGATACTGTAGATTAAACTGTGTTTTTTAATTAGTCTGTTATTGTTTTAGCTGATTTAGAGTGGTGCGGGTAGTCTAACTGGTTTAGAGTGATATGGGTAGTCTAACTCGTTTAGAGTGGTATAAGTAAGACAAGGCTGGGTAAAGCTAGGGTAGAACAGTGGTAAGACTAGGTTAGGGCTAAGCAAAGTTAAGGTGAAGCAGCTGTAAGGCTAGTTTAAGGCTAAGGAAGCTACTACGCGGCCTGCAAGCTTCTTACTATGCGAAACGTACCCTGCCTACCCTCAGGACAAAAACAATTTTTAACTTTTTAAAAATACAGTAGATAAAGACGAGCTGAAACTGGAGCCCTGACCTTTTAACTGACCATATTGAAATTAGCGCCCTCCGGCTGTCTTTAATTGCTGGGATTCCCACGAGTTCTAAACTTTCTGGGCGACCCTCCTCGGTCCTTAATTAGCCAGCGGTCTATTGAAAGCGCGCCTTTGCCCTCTGACCCGCCCATTGTTCCGAATATTGGCCCCGATTTCATACGGAAGTATATATAAATCAAGGGACATACGAGGTGTGAAGGGCCTCAAGTACGTATTCCAGATGACCATATTGTTCCAGGCTATGCGGTTATAAACTATTTTGTGGTGGGTGTTAATGTTTTATGGTTTAGATATGTATGAATTTGTAACACTTGCTATATTATAGTAGGTTACTTTGGTAATTTGAGCAAATTTTTGTTATTATTTTAATATTTTTTTTATTTTATATTTTACTATGTATATTTCACCATCATACAAATTACTATAATATTCATAACATTAAGATACTAAGTCACCTTACTCTAAAACCCTTCATCATATCCTACTACTCCGTACCTTCTAAACTCATGTTCATACTGACAATAAAAAGCATGTCTATCTCATACATCGTATCTGCACCTTACACACCCTCTTATTTACTGTCACGTAAATTGGGTTGATTATGCGTTACGTATCACGCATATATTATACATGCCTTCTCAGCCCCCTATGTCGAATATATAATGATACACTTACTCCATGTTATTCCCGAGTTGTTGGCCGAAACGCAATCGTAGTATGATGGCGGCCATCTTGATCGTGTCTTTCTCTTTGGCCGGGTATAAGCCAGTCAGGAATTGGGATTCGGCTTCACCGTACAGCAGTTTCACGGCTTCTGAAGAGCGACAGACCTAAAATAAAGAATATTATTACGTGTTTGCATTAAATATGCTGTTATAGGTGTAATATTTCATATTGTACATCGATTTTTATAAATTTGGTAATGTTACAGTACATTACTACACCTCCCCCCCCCCCCCCCTAGTGTATTAGGTTCTTAACATCACCCTTCTATACCCATATCAACTATGATACAACGTTAACATGCCCCGACTATCATACATAGATTGATTGACAGAGTAGATTAGTGTAATGTAATCGCGACTATTCAAACATGGGCTCCAGATGCCTATGATGACAATGTATTTTGGCGCCCGTTCTAATCCTCTCGAGACTTGTCGCGAGCATTATATTATCCATGTTCGGGCATAATACCATCATTCGTTTGCAGGGGCATGGTTCCAAAATGGACATAAACTTGGCAACCTATCTTCTGGCCGTGTCGACGCTGCTCACGTTACATTTGGGTAAGAGTTACCGCTATTATACTTTCTTTGATCTGTTTAGAGTTGTATTCTGGTCTAGCTATACAATAATTTGCCTAGTGTCTACCGTATCTTACAAAAGTAAATTAAGAATTTAACTTTAACTGTAGTAGTAACACCGTTTTACCATTTCACTACCTTCCTATCTTGCCTTCGAAACCTTTGACAACCTAATACCTATACCTAAAAGTCGAAACCCTCTAAGTGTATTAAGTAGGTTCATTCACTCGGAAAGAAAGTTTCTTCCGGTCGAATCGGAGCACTTCCTGTCCAGTAATCTTTTGTTTGTCTAAGTATTCGGGAGGTAGAGGTGTTCGAATGTCAGCTATGGATATGGTGACATATTACATTACATAATAGGTTCATATATTAGGTATTAAACCTAATATACGGACCTACTGACTGTAACTTGGAAAGACATAAAGAAGGTACTTGAATATAAATGAATAGATAACAACTTCTAATCTTAATTTCTAAATACAGTACCTTTTCAGTATCGTCCCTAGAATGTATTCAATGTGACCGACACGGTGCCTGGTATTCTCCAGAAGAGACAGAACGACACGTTCAGAAATGTCAAAATGGTCTGATCGACCCCACACCTTGTTTGAATGCCAGCCATACCCACTGTATATACAGCTACTATCGACAAGGCGTGTCTAATGGTATGTTTTCACTATTTCACATATTTTATAATACAGTTTTTTAAAAGCTTAAATTATATTTTTTCCATAAAAATATGAATATCTTTGACGCGATTCTTAAGACCAACTTTTTTTATCAACTACAGTTAAGCCTTAACATTATTTTTGATTAAAACAATATTATTCAAGACTAAACGAGTGCCATTTCCTATTATCCAAACCTAAAACAGTGCTATTTCTAAGTAGTGTTCTCGCAGTGTCCGCTGGCATGTTTTATAGGCCCTGGGGGGATGCGGCGGGGTTTAATTAAAATGCGGCTCAAACTAAGCCTAAGAATTGGTTTTAATCTGTCAACAAAGACGGCCGAAGATAAGCATAATTAGTGTGGAGGTAACACTGACATCCCCACTTCGTTTGGCAGTCAAATTGAAACGACATAAAGTTGCCGTTTTGAATACGACACGCAAAAATTAGCTGTCGTAAGTGATACAATGAATTCTAGGCCGTTTTAAACGGTTTTGCTCTTGAACTTTGAGCTGAATTGATAAAAAATGTCTATATTAAATTAACTTTTTTGCATTAGCCAAAAAAATTAAAATTTCAAGCAATCTATAATTAAAACACTAGATACGTAATATGACAATCATTGCAAAAACACTTAAGACTCTTTTTAACAACACAACTTTTCAGTAATCACCGTGACTGAGCGGAGATGTGGCGTAGAAGCTGACATTCTCGGCTGCACTTTATACAAAAGTTCTCGAAAACGAATGAAGCGACACTTTCTGGACTCCAGCCAGAAGACTGGTCAGAAAAGACGCGACACTGACACTTTATTTGTAGAAGTGTGTACAGAAGGATGCGAGGGAGACGGCTGCCTGAACTCTGCCTTCAGTTCGGCCGCTTCTGCACTGTTAACGGGTCTTCTAGTGCTGTTCCTCGTTTGATCGTCCACAAAACTATATTGTTCACTAACTCAGGTCACGTCATTTTTAGTCATTTACCGCTTTTATTAAGCTTGTCACAAGTATTTAAGTAACCTACAGCCGTGTAGCTATAGACTGTCTGATCTTGTTGATAAGGTCTAGTATAATATAATGTTTGAACCTTCTTAACTATGATATTTGTAAAACTTAGTCTACAGTATTAATTCTGTCTAACTTTCTTCTTTCCCATTCTTTCTGACAACAAAGTCTATTATATTACCCACCTGTTCCCTTTCCCTGTGTACAGTCGTTTTCCCACAGAAATTTAAATAAATCACATAAAAAGGTATTGTGAGCAAAGTATCTACAGTAAAAACATAAAGAATACAAGTTCAAATACTTACCAGATCTCTTTCATCGCCCAGAAGAGTTCGAGCATCTCTTTTGAAATAAAGCCGAGGCTTCTCGGCCGCGCCCGAGGTTTGCTGCAGGTCGCCCCACTTCACGAGGTATTCAGGCCATTTCTCTTTGTGGGTCTTGATCTTCATGTCCGCTTTTAGTTGGAGGCCTAAAATACTATGTTTATTATGGAAATTTAGAATGTTTGAAGGTCGATTTTACTTTTTTTTATGTTAGATTCAAATTTAGGTAACATTTTTTGGTTCAAAAAAAGATTTTTTTTAAATTTGTTTGTAAAATGAGCATTCAAACTTGTAATTCAGTTTGTTTACATCCTAATTGCAAAATAAGAGTTAAACAGTATTATAAACATAATCTAGAAGTAACTTGGTGTTGGTTAATGTGAAAACAACTTACTCAGGCTTTCTGAAGCGATCCAGAGGGCAAATACCTTTTCGGCTTTGGCGATCAGTCCTTCCTCCTTGATCACACTGTCCCTCAACTGGCCCGCTGTCGCTGTAGTAGGTGTGCATTTGACTTGAAGGCTGTTTCGACCAATGAAGCTGACCTCCACCTTCTCAGGTCGCAACGAAAAGTTATGCAAAAGATTGGCAATGTGGTGCCATTGGGACTTGGGGTTGGTTTCACAGAATTCTAGGCAATATTCGAGAGCTGTCTTGCCGTGGTTGTCTTTCTTGTTCACCCTGAGTTTGCTGTGACTGAGCATCACTTCTACCAGGTATAGGTGACCGTTTCGAGCTGCAAAGTGTAAAGCTGTAGCACCTGTTTTGTTGGCAGCATTCACGTTTGTTAGGGGGTGGAGCATCAACACTTCACAGGCTTTGAATTGGTTGTAGAAGGTGCCGTAATGGAGAGGAGTCCAGGAATCTGAATCTGTTTGATTCGGATCGTGGCCTTGGTCCAGAAGTTCTCTGAAAAGGTCAGGGATGACTTGATTTCTATGTTTTCTTTAAACGTATTGGAAACTGTCATATTTGAAAAGTTTTTACAAAAAACCTTTTTTAAAACTAAAATGCCGTTTATGTAAGTTTTCCATAAAAATAAAATTTTTTATATTATTCATGGTTTGTGTATCGAAATGTCATCTCAACTTACTGCACACGCAGATGGTCGCCGTGGTAGGCGGCCGAATGCAGTGGAAACATCTGCTCGAAGGGATCGGCCGTCGCATCGCTAGCCTGACACTCACCGGCCTTGTCCGAGCGATCCTTGACGAAGTAGACGGGTGCCTGAAGAGCGATATTGAGATGATCGAGTGGCAAAAGACAAAGGAATATGCATGGGATTACCGTAATCCACTCAAGAAAATCTCGGAAAAATTTCCATAAAAGGAGTAGGGTGGGTTAGAAATGGTCATAATACCAATATTGCTGGTTAACATAGTGTTTTTTAAAATATATAGACTTTCAAAGGTTATCTACATTATCTTTCCAATACTATACAACAATGACTAGCTATTTTACACCTTTAACGTAATATAAACTTCAAAGATTACCACACTACTCATGAAATGACACTTATTTGCCTGTTTTCCCAGACAAGAAGTGACGTCTCGTGATAATGACGTCATGATGACGTATTTTTGTGCCTCTTACCGTTCGTTTCATGGCTTCATTCAGGATTCCAAATACCGGGTTGATAACTGCTTTTTCGTACTTCTCCTTTAACAACATCAAGGCTCTGGCATTGTTGGCCTTCTCGACTTCCTCGTCCAACTCTACACATCTTCTGACGTCTGCATCTTCACGACGGTGGAGTTTTAGCTGTCTGAAGAAAGTAGTTTTTGGTAAAATTGAAATTTTAGTTAATAATATTACATTTCTTCAAATATTTACATTACTTTGTTTTAATACTCAACATAATATCAATGAAAGTAACAATAATATTGTTGTAATAAAAACAAAGCTGCCTCTTAAACTACAGAACCATAAATGCCAACCACCCAAACCGTAAAAAACATCTGATAAAGTTGTAAAAAGCACCGTAATATTGAGAGAGAATACCTTAACCTTACTTTTTACATACTGTTTTGAAGTTCTGAGAGTAGGCAGGAGAATGCACACAACATCGTATTCTGTCTTTGGCTGCTCTTTTTCTGAACAAATCTGACAGAAACTCCGGATTCGAACATTGTTGTTGTTCCAGCCACCTGAAATCACGTTAATGTCATAAATTTAATGGAAAAGGTAAACAATATCACACAGTTAAAAAATTTTACTATTATATATAGCGTCATCCCCACTGCCCTAAGAGTTGTATAACGTAAAGAAGCATTGTAAAATAACAGAAAAAGTAACATCTTGATAGGTACAATGTAGCACTTACTCTCCCAAACTGGCGATGAATATACTGGTTTGTCTGTCCAGAAACTTGTCGCCATTAATCGACAAATTCAAAAGTTCTGCCAAATTGTAGAATTTGAACTTCTCTGTCTCCATAAACTTTGTCACCTCCTCCAAAACGGGAGCACAAACAAGTCTGGAGGGTGGAGACGATGATGAACTGGGACCGTGGAGCCACATTGGGACTGGCACAGCACGTTGAGCTAATGCACTTGAATAATGTTATCTTTAGCCAAATAATAAAACAAAATACTAAATAAAATTATTTAAACATTATTACTGCACAGTAATAAGCATCGTGCAGACCTTCAAAACATTTTTAAAGTAATAACATAAACAATACGATCAGTAAAACACAATTACCTATCAACCATAGCAACAGACTTCAAAGCCAATTTCAAATAGTGTCCGGCTTCAGTAGATACAGGCACCAAACGATTACCGTCCTTCTGAAGCAGAAGGTCGAAGTGTTCTGGAGCTTGGAAACACTTGAAATCAGATGCCGCTGTCTGTTTGAGGCGGAGAACGGCCACAAACATCTAAACGAGAATCACGTCGACGGTGGAGAGAAAAGAGCGCGCGACTGATTCTGTGTTCACCCCCCCTGCCCTAAGGGCTGATCGAGAGAAGAAAAGACAAGAACCACACCCAAATCGGGTGCAAATCGAGGGTGAATGTCTGAAGCCGAGATAACCTACAAAAATAACTTTATCAGATGACAGATGGGATTGTTGTTGTCACACAAATCGACCAACCTTCGGTCAAAACCCAGCCAAAGCCTCGGTTTTCTGGAGAAAGTCCTTAATTTCGTTATCAATCGATGGAGAAAAGACGAGAGAGCACGAGACAGCGAGAGACTGCCAGACGAAAAATCTGATTAGCGAGAAAGAACAGTGATAAAGAGCTCGACAGACGTGATAACAGCGACCACGCCCTGATAAACAAAACTTTTCTGCTGCAAGTTAAGTGACGAAGAAGACTTCGAAGTAGGTATCAGAAGAAAGAGATGCGAAAGAACCAGAACACAACGAAATTCAAATTAGAATTGTCGACAAAAACAGAAAACGGTCAAAAGTGGTCGATAGAGGGTCAGGAACGAGGAGAACAAACATTGACAAAAGAGGTTTCCATCGATGATCGGAAGTGCGCTCGATCGACAAGAATTCGTTTTCGAACGTTTCAAACCAAGCAAAAACTGTCGAAATGAATTCGAAATTGGGTGGAGCTCGGAAAAGGGTCAACAATGATATCACAACATCAATTTTGTCATTATTAAAAGTGAGAGGTCAGCAAAACAATGTCATTCCCCAAACTCTGCCTTCAGCAATCCAAACATTAAAAAAAAAGTAATTTTAACTGAAAAATTAAATTATTAAAAAAAACAACAAGTTTGCCAGTTCCTGCCTCAAATGACAGTTTCAAAGCAAATAATATGGCAAGCTTATGAAGGAGAGATAACCGTATCAAAGAATATCGCCGGAAGTGGTGAGTAACAATAAACCTTAATTAAAGTGTTTTGAAACCAACCAAACCTTGTTAACTCCAATGACCAGATACTTTCAAGTCTAGAATGCCGAAGAAAAATCAACAAAACTTAAAAAACAAAGTACTGTAACATTACAGTATACAAAAATACTCTCTGGTACACTGTAATAACGTATAAAAACCAAATATCAGATGAAAGCATACTATTATATAACATATAAAAACGATGTTAACAATATTTATTATGAGCTTTCGATAAACAATATAAGTATAAACAATACAAACAATGTAATGTATGAATAACAATGGCAGTAATACAATGTAACACTGATAAAATGTAATTCCGTATTTATGCAACACCGTGGTAAGATTTAGCGATAATATCTAAGGCATGTTTGAGTTTGCGGTCGTCCTTCAGATCACGGTATATCTCCTGTAGCAGCTTTCGGATGTTGGTAATGGCACGGTCTCCTTTTTTGTTCGCTGCCAAATCCTGAAAGGATAACTTATCATCTAGATGTCAAAGAAGTTACAAAACAATAATAACTTTAAAGTTACATTGTTATATTTCTACTGTATTAAACTCTGTTACCTTGCATGCCAATTCGATGATTTTTTTGGGTGTAAAGTTAAAGTAGTGTTTGACTTGCTCAGGTGTCATTTCTCTGTACAATCGATCCAAATCTCTGTATAACATATAGACAGATGCTGCTTTGTACATTGGTTTCACAATTCCCACCAATTCACCATAATACGCATCGCTGAAGCTGTTCTTTCGTACGTTTCCAACTTTTGTTCTCATCACTGAAAATCAGTTATTTTTGTTAAATCTACTCATAAGAGATAAAACACTGGCTTTGTGCATAGATTCTATTGCTGTTTTCAATCAATACTCTCAATGTAGAGATATGGTTATCAAAAAAACTAAATTAGCAACTCCATTCGTTATAAGAAAAACCTAATAATATCACTTACTGTTAATAAAGTCAAAGTCGCTGAATCCTTTTCCAATTTGTTGAATCTCTTCCTCAACAACAGCTATATTGCTGGGTCCTAAATTCAGAAATTCCTTTTCTTGCTCGAGTCTTCTGTGCCCGTTAGCCATTTCCTAAACCATCAAATTGAATTCAAATTGTGCTACATTTTTTTAATAAAAATTACAAATTGATAGTTATGCTACTTAACAAAATCTTTTAAAAATTATTTACCTCCGGGCTCAGATAAAAATCGTCCTCCTGAAGCTTGAGCATAAGCGATGGCTCAGTAATCTTAACAAACAGTTCAGGATGCTTTTTGATAATACTTTGCAAAGCTGAGTCGTCTTTTCCGTACTCCAGCACCGGTGGGTTCTGTTTACTGTAAGGTTCGGCACTCAGAGAGTAGAAACCAGAAGCCTCCTCCACCGTGTACTGCTTCTTGATGTCCAGATCCGTGTTGAAGCTCTCGTTGTTCATGTCCTTGTTGAATTGTACCTTATAGATAGATGGCTTCTTCCATTGTTCCGCCAGCCACCAGTCTGCAGACAAAGGTCTCTTTAGTCTGTCCGATTCTGTAAGCACGATGCAAAGCTTGCCGATCGTTGGCCGGATTCCAATCTACATCGAAAATGACCACCCGGTTGGCTCCAATCAAGTTCATTCCCGCTGACCCAGACTGAATAGACACCATAAGTAATCTTAAGCGCCGCTTATTTTTGTCATTAAAGTCGGCCTGCACTCGGGTACGGTACTCGGCTCCTTTGTCGGCACCGTAGATTCGCTGAAATTAAAGGCATCAAAATTACAAAGCTTTAAAATATCATAATCTGACAGTAACCCTTTAGGCATTTAACATAACTCACAGCAAAGTCGTGTCCCTCAGTCCATTGAAAGTCTCGCGAATTTAGTACACCGTCAAGATGTCTGTCTGCTTTCCAATTGCGTCCCATTTTCGTCAACATTCGTGTCAACATAGCTATCGTATCTTGAGAACGAATGAATACGATCCTAAATAATTATAACTTTAGTTTTAAACTTCATATTACCGTTAAAAAATAAAAGTATTATACTTAATATTCAGTTCTAGAATCAGTAGGTAGTTCAACATGACATAAAAGCTATAAGTGCATTCAATTAATGTTATTTGTCCGTTAAAGTGTAAAAACTAACGTTTTATCACCACGTTTTTCGGCTTCCTTGAGTAGTTCTACCACAAACATCATCTTAGAACTCTCAGCGACAATTTCTTGAAAAATGCCAAAATTCTTTTTCGATGCCAACTTCTTATGCCACCCTGTTGTAGAAGTTAGGCGTTTCTAAAAAATAAATCATGTTTATACTCCAACATACTCAAAGAATCATAATTTAACCAAAAAAATAATTTTTTCTTTAAATAACCCTACCTCAACATCCCCACTTCTGACATCCAACAGCGCTGGATGTGTCTAGCATCTGTACATTTCGTAGTAATTAGCCAGTAAAACAGTTTTGGCCACCAGTTCGGTCAACGAGAGCCCTGATTTATCAACACTCTTCAAGAATCCTGGTAATACTCGATTTGTGTTTGTGACAATGTCAAGTAGACAGCATATTCGTGCTTCGGAGGTATCTGGTCCTCCAAAAACTCCATTCCTCTATACTATAATAAAATATTTAATATACTATGAGTATAACGTTATAAAAAGTGTAACAGGGTTATAGAGGTACCTACATGAAGAACTCCTCTCATTCGCTCTTTCAGAATGCAAATTCTTTCGAATCTCAGCTTCTTGGCTTCAATACTAGCGTCGACACAAGATCCACTTTTGATTGGTTCCTCAAATAACTTTTCAAATGCTTTAAAACTTCCAAGAGCTCCAGCACGTACTAACTCGACCAGATTAAACACTAAAAAGTACTATTACAACTATTTTTACTCTATTATCACAAAGTAAAACAAAAAACAGCTCAATAAGTGTCTTACTTACTTTCTTTGAAGTTGTTTTGCATCGGAGTTCCTGTGACAGCCACTTTGAGGTTAGTTTTGATTTGAGACAAGGCTCTGAAGATCTGAGTATTCTGGTTTTTGGCGATGTGCGCTTCATCACAAATCAGAAAAGTTGGCCCTGAAGACATTTATTTTACAAACACATAAAATTTTGAAAGGTTAACAGAGTTAATAATTTGTTGAAATAATCTGATGGAACGTACCATTTCCACTCAAATAGCCAAGGTGATCGACTTGCAGCCCTTTGAACAAGTCGTATCCCATGATAACAACACTCGGCTTATCATCCTTGTACCAGCGACGCAACTTTTCATGCCGTTTTGCTTTTGAGTCACTACTTTCGATCAGACTTACCTGTAAAAATAATTTTTAAACCATAACACACAAGTATATTAACTCACTATACTTGTTCCCTCAACTTACAGAAAATGTTTCCTGACCCTTAGGCAGCCACTTGACAAACTCTTCTTTCCAATTGTGAATCACACTCAACGGAGATACGATCACAACGTTCTTGACGTGATGCTTCAGCTTCTCGTGTAATGTCATCATGTACAGGAACGAGATACACACCATGGTCTTTCCCAAACCCATGCAATGTCCAAGGATAACCCCTTGATGCTTCTGGTCGCCAATGTGATTAATCAGCATCTTGTACATAAAAGACAAGGCTTCCGCTTGATGGTACCTGAGTTTGCAACGAATATGTTCGGGAGCTTCTAATCTGAATCCTTCGTATTCGTCAAGGCACATCAATTTGACCACAGGCAGTCCTTTGGCTGTAAGAAATTAAATATAACATAAAACAACGAAAAAGGATTAGAAAACATAAGCCCTACAACAATATTATATTAGAAAGCTCTAGTTATTTCGTCAAATATAAAATCTTCAAAACACTTAAATCATGATGACGATTCACCCTCCAAAAACGCCAATTTAACTATCAAAAACAATTTAATCGTTATAGAATGAATAACCAGTAAGACAATATAGCAATAAAAGATTATATTAAGAATCCCGACCTTCAGCTTCGTAAATGTCGTCCACAAACTGCACTCCCTCCACCTTGCCATCTCTGACTGCCAGCCGTCTCCGGTTCTGAATCTCTTGTTCTTCATTCGAAACGGCTTCCAGATTTAACTTCTGCTTCTTGGCTCTTCTGGTTTCTGAGCATTCTGATTCTGTGTCAAACTTCCTTTTCCGTGACATTTCCACATTCACGTCCTCATCGGATGACACTGTCACTACTTCTGGAGCCCTAAAAGATCAAATTGAATAGCAAGCATATTTACATTCAATAATCATAATTGAAGATATGAGATATTAGTTTAGCCTTACTTCTTCTCTTCAAAGAACTGTGCCAACTCTGGAAGTTCTTTCTTTACTCCCGTTGGTTCGTCGTCCACAACAATAACATCATCATCAATATATTGATCATCTACTTCAAACTCTCTATCCTTTTGCGCCAAAAGTCTTGACGTCTCCGACTGGTCGTTGAAATCACTATCAGTTTCGTCATTTTCAATTTCCTTTCCTACTATGGATTCGCCATCAAACAGATCTCTTAGACTTAGAGTTCTATCGACCGGTCGAACTGATTCTGCTTCTCTTGCTACATGTTCTGCTTGTGCTTCCTTTCCATTGTCTTCTGCAGAACTTGACGCTTCTTCCACCTTCGGTTCAATGGACTTTTCTACAGTATCCTCATGTTGTAAAGTTTCTGAATTCGTAGCGTCAGCGTTCGTATGTTCATGTATATCCATTTGCTCATCTCGACCGACATCTTCATTACCCACATCTTGATCTTTATTTACAAGCTCGGTTTCTTCTTCTTTAACTACAACACTTGTTTTTTGAATAGCTTCTGCCTCTTTTTTAACGTTATTTTGATCAGCATTGTTACCTAAAACAAATAATTGTTTATTCCAAATTAAAAAATTATAAAACGTTATTATTATGTTCAACTAGCGTTATCCAAACCAAACTTACCTGAATCTTCTTTTTTCAAAAATTGCAGCAGAGAAGCGTGATCTGTAAATATTGGTTGAATCGGTGGAATCACTTCTTCTTCCTGTTGGTTCACAACTTCTTCTGCTGGCGGTTCCGAGTATAAATATTGGTATGAATTCGACGGTAAGCTACCGTAAGAATTGTGGTAGGAATTACCGAACAAACTCATCGGATTCAGAGGTTCCAATACCTAAAAAAAGGTAAAATGGATTTATCAACGGCATCTTATAATTAGTCCAAATTAATGCATATCTTTAAAAAATTTTAAATTGTATTACTATAAAACAATTATTGTGTAACTTACCCTTTCTTCGACTTGCTTTTCCTGACTTTCCACACTCAGATCCTTGATACCTTCCCTGACTTCAGTTACTGCCACTTTTTGACTTGGTGTTTCTTCTGCCACTTCTTCCTCATCCGAATCATCCCCATAAAGGCTTTCTTCCGAGTCGAATTCTTCTTCATCGTCAAAATCCATTTCTTCATCAGGTTCAGTATTAAACAAAGCCAGGGTTTCAGGTGAGACTTGTGTATTCTGTGTATCATTAGACAGTAATAGATTAGAGCTTGGATTCTCAACCTGGGCTTCTGAAGCCTTTGAAGCTGCGATACCTACTAATGATTTATCCAACCGTTTTTCCGTCGTTACAACATTTTCCAAGTCTTCATTTACTTTTTGTGTAATTTCAATGCAGTTACCAATAACTTCTGAATCTATTTGTTTTTCAACAGTTTCTGTAGCTAAGACAGCTTCATTCACCTCAATATCATTAGACTGTTCTACTTCTTTTTGTCTTTGAACTTGATTTTCTGAAGACTTTAGAATCCCATCATTATTATTTAAAGACAAATTGTCACCTCCTTCAAGACTTGTCTTATTCACATCATTTAACAGCGATTCCACCACTTCACTGACTTCTTTTTGACCAGTTACAGAAGTATTTCCATTGAGGACATCAATATGTCGTCCTGAAATCGAAGAATCAACCTCAAGATCGCTAGAGACTTCCATCGGTGATTCATCAGCTTCAACCATCGTGGGTAATCGTGTAGAATGCTTGAAATTCATGTTCTTCAACTTTGTAATTCTTCCTCTAGTGACTCGTCTGTCCTAAAAAAGCAAGGTTTTACTAGAAACAGCATTTACTTATTTATTTACTTTACATTATTATAAAAGTTTAAATCGAATGCTCATCAATAATAACATCCTTTTCTACTTTCAGGTCCTTGAACTTACTCTTTTATCTAAACATTTCAGCAATCGATTGGACTGACTGATACTCTCCAACGCCAATGTCCTAGTCTTTTGAATATCATCTGTGTTGTGTAGGTTTTGTAATTCCTGAATATGTTTTATAAATTAAACCTCCAATATGTGAGTAAGACAATTTAAAGTAGCGACAAGAATGATGTCAATTATAAAAAAATAAGAGCTAATATTTAACAACTATTGTTAAGCTTATAAACTAAATCAATTCATAGAGAATAAAAATAAGTGACTTACCAGTTTGACTTCCCTGATATACCAGTTGATTTGTCCCAACGATCGTTCAATTTTACTCAACGAAGTTGGCGGAGGTTCGTCAGACTCTGTGTCCACTTCACTTTCTGCTAGGTTATTGTCATCTCGATCCGCACTTTCCATCCTAAAACTTTAACTGACTTCAAAACACAAAAGTAAGATCAAAATACGAAACGATAAGACGACATCAACTTAATTTAGATATCAAAACCCTTTGTACAGCCTAGAATATAATTTGCAAGAGATTAATCGTTCAGAAAATACCTAAAATCTTCCGATTTCCAAAAATAAATTAATTTGAACGAAAAATTGTAAAACAAAATTTTGTATTTTCCAAAAATAGTGTCACAGTGACACTAATAAAAACATAAAATTCATTGAAGATTAGTAAAAAAAACAATGTTTATGGTACCTCATACTGTATATAAACTATTCCTTTCCTTTCTGTTATTTTACTATAGGTTTGTCATATTTCATGACATATTTTCTGAACAATTTTTCTCGAATTTCAAATTTTTGTTTTCTTTCGAAATTTTGAAATCGCGGCAATGTTTGTGTCGCAGGACCAACTAAACGCTGTGCTGCCAAGGGTTTTAAGCATATCAATTTATTGAAAAAAAACAAAAATATTAAAGTAAGAACTATTATTTGAGTGTAAAAACGTTTATTCACGACATATTAAAGTCGAATGTCACTGATATCGATGCAGGTTGAAGGGTTATTGTCAGTGTTTTCGGTCTTCTCGTTGGCGGTCTCCATAAACCAGAGTTCATCTTCTTCATTGAACTCTACGGCCGTTTCGACTCCAGAAGTTTCGTTACTTGATTCGATGAAGTTGTCGCCACTGTATTCGAAGGAGCAGTCGTCGTCGAAGGCGGTTATGATTTCGGAAAATGACAATGGTTTTGTACCTGAAACCGTGTACATTTAAAACGTACTTCATATGTTATTGTCAAATATTATTTAAATATCTCTTTATAATTTGACTTACTTTCCCAACTGGAGTCAGTAGCACTTTCATCGTTATTTGTGTTATCCTTTACTTCCTCGACACTACTATGTTCCGAGCTACTAAACGATGACTCTGATGATTCGGAATCCTTTCTTTTTTCCAACTTTCCACTACAGGTGGAACAAGGAATACTACTTGAGATGGACGACAAGGACGAAGCGACAGTAGAATCCAGCAAATACTCTGAGCACATCGAGCTCAGGTCTTCGAAGGTAACTACTAGTTCGGACAAGTCAAAAGTTCCTGATACGGCTGTCGCGCAATCATCGGTATCCACTTCGACTGAAAAGATTGAGAGTTTTGCAAAGTTCAATATTTTTTATTTAATTTTTTAAATAAAAAATATTACGAATAAATGAAAATCAAAATATGTTCAAAACAATAACAATATTAGTGGTAGGACAGACAAGTTTATGTTTATAATGTCATATTTAAAGATTACCTTCTGACATTATCATCAAACACACCCAAACCGACCGCTTTTGATGCAACAATTGAAATGAAAGAAGCTTGGAAGTGGTCGAATATTGAAATAGCTGTTTTGCATTACTACTTTGACTAATTTGGGTAGGGTAAATATATTTCTAATCTTTTAAAGCTTTCTAAGAGGTGAAGAGCAGCCTAACATCCCCAATTTTTTAAATAATTTTAAAGGCGGATTTAATTAATTATCTTGCTGCTTTAAATTTATTTTTTATGTAATCATGGTGTAAATAGCAACATAAAATGCTGATAAAAGTAAGTCAAAATGTGTGATCATAACCTCTATGACATGTCTTACTTTGTGTTGGGAGGTGAGGTGAGGGCGGCCGAACAAGTGGTCAGACTTTTAAATCTCTTTGATCGCACATTCCCTCGGCACGGATTTCTGGCCAAATCCGCTAAAAATAAAAAGAAATTATTGAGGAGCTCGAGGGCTTTAAATTGGAAAACTCTCCAAAAGGCATCGGAGGTGGAGTTTATGGGCCGAGCACGATGCACAGAGTATTGTTCGTATGTTTGGTCATCGGCGGTAAGTGCCCGTTTTGAATTTTCTAATTTTTGGATTTAAATATTGTCGAAATTGGGAAAATAGTGGCATATTTGGGAAAATATTTTTATAAGTTAAGATGAAATTAACAAAAAATGTCTTATAAGTGACATAAACTTAAATAGTTACATATTTTCACAGCTAAAATGATGGCGAAGATACCATTATTATTAATTCAAGGTTAATTTAAGTGTTGTCAGGCATGGTGTCGGCTTCTGATGATGAAGAACGTCTGATGGTCGACATATTTCGTGGCTACAATTCCCTGATCCAGCCAGTTAAGAACCTGAACGATACGCCTATTATCGTGAGGATAGCCTTGCAATTGGTGTTGTTAATCAATGTGGTAAGTAATCAATTAAGTATTTTGAGCTAACATTTAATTTTTAAATAATAGTATGATACGTATGACAAACATATTGATAATTCAAAATTCAGGACGAGAAAGATCAAATTATGCATACAAATGTCTGGCTAACTTTGGTAAGTTTTACTATTTTAATCTTAAATTCAATTTATTTTTATATTTCTTGGCAAATATTTTAAGTTTTTAACTGACATTACTTATTGTAATTTATTTTTTAGAAATGGAAGGACTTCCAAATGAAATGGAACCCTGTAAACTATGGTGGAATCAAACAAATCAGAGTAAACCCTGACAAAGTTTGGCTACCTGATATTGTACTATTTAACAAGTAAGAGCCGTCCCAGTGATAAAAACCTTATCGCATTATAATTTTCTGCTATTTGAAGGACTATATCAAAGTATTACTCAACTACAAGTTTATTTTCATTCTTTTCAGTGCTGACGGTAACTACGAAGTGTCATTTATGTGTAATGTTGTGATAGAGAACAACGGCGACATGTTGTGGGTACCTCCTGCCATCTACAAAAGTTCTTGCATTATTGGTATGGTTTTGTATGCCTCCGTCATACTTTTTTAATTTTTATGAACTTGTTATTAGTTTACCTTACTATAGTAAATTTGAAAGTACAACTATATTAGTTTAGACGTGGAGTACTTTCCATTCGACGAACAGACCTGTCACCTTATCTTTGGCTCATGGACAGTAAGTTTAATATAGTGATCAGGGCCGGGCGGGGACTTTTAGTCTGGGGACGGGGGTCGAAAAAATCGGCAAGGTTTCGAAATTTTTTTTCTGGGAGGGTAGTGATTACCTTTCACTTCTTTAGTACAACGAAAACGAGATCAAGTTGGAATTTGAACAAGCAGAATGGATCGATCTGTCTGAATATGCTCCTAGTTCTATTTGGGATGTCATGGATGCCCCAGCTTCATTAGTCACTCACAGAAGTCGAATCGAGTTCCAATTGAAGATACGGTAAGTTACGTCATGATTATCATCAAATCTCGTAAATTATTGAAGTTTGAAAAAAACACCAAACGTAATGCAAATTGTAGGCGTAAAACATTATTCTACACGGTCGTACTTATCATCCCGACTGTTCTGATGGCCTTCCTGAGTATGGCTGTATTCTTCTTGCCTACAGACTCCGGAGAGAAGATGACATTAACCATCTCCGTGTTGCTGTCTATTGTCGTATTTTTACTTCTGGTCTCCAAGATTCTACCTCCAACTTCATCTACTATTCCTCTGATGGCCAAATACCTACTGCTCACGTTTGTTCTCAACGTTATCACTATCCTTGTCACAGTAATCATCATCAACGTCTATTTCCGTGGCCCTACAACCCATCGAATGCCAAAATGGGTCAAAGTGGTGTTCTTAAAGGTGAGATTTTATTTTAAGTACCACCCTGGTATGCTCGTTTTTACTCTCAATATGTTTAGGTCATGCCCAGATTCCTATGTATGAAACGGCCAAAACCAGCGATGCAAAAGATGATGAATAACAAAGAAATGAGGAATGGACTCATGACATTGCCTGGTATTGGCGACTTCGCAGTAAATCCTTCACATCATCATCCCCACTGTCCATCTTCTGATATGCCGAGGTTTGTAATCTTTACTCTTATATTATCATTGTCTCACCAATAACACTAACTTTAGTAATCGCCCCAAGTACGAAGTGTCCCATGAAGACCAGATCAAGAATCTTGACCCCACAACTGCCGCTTTTTATCCTCTAACTCCCGACGCCATTAGAGCCATTGATGCTGTAGAATTCATCACAGATCACTTGAAAAAGGACGAAGAATATAAAATGGTAAGAATACTTCAAATGCCATTCCTAAATTTAAGAAAAGTCAAATAATTAATGTCATTTTAGCATCGCGACGACTGGAAATACGTGGCCATGGTAATAGACAGATTCCTATTATACGTATTCTTTGGCGTGACATTAGGTGGAACACTAGGTATTCTTTTATCAGCTCCATACGTTTTCCATTCTGTGGACCAACAGTATCAGTTGGACAGGCTAACTGCTCTGTACAAAGCCGGTAGACAAGATTAGTGGTATTAGATAATAAATATGTTTAACCCAATCGACACACACTATACTCTCTGTTGCAAAACCCCATATTATTCTCAAACACTTCAAATTAGAATGTTTCAAAAACAGATGTAATATGAAAACCCCATCTTTACATTATTAAAGTAACAACTTTATTGATAACAATAACACCCAAAAAAATTTACTGCTTTCCGGCGGCCTTTCTTAATTTTCCCAATTCCAAACGGATGGCTCTGTTTCTGAGTTGCTTTACACGGGAAACCTTGAAGCGTTCGAAGTCATTCAAACCGGCACGCTGAAAAATGATCAAATTAAACAATGTAAGATAAAAACTATTAATAAAAAACAAGCAAAAGATAGTAGCATTTCAATGGATACGTATTCAAATATAAATCCTCCTTCTATCCTTGGCAAAAAGTAAAACATGTATAAGATAATGTTTAGTTAACTTACAACTTGTCTCTTTTGGAGTTTTTGTGCCCAGTTGGTCTCAGCCCACTTCTCGTTGATATTGGCTTCATCGAAAGCGGCCTTGACTCCCTTAGTGCGTTGTCCAACACGAACTGGAACTCTGAATTTCGTGAGATGGAGATCTTTGAAGTTTCTGACTCCACGGACTACTCCTGATGATGGACCATCGAGCAAAGCCTAAAGAAATATAATTTACTCAAAACATACACAATTTAGAAGTCTCTCAATTAAAACGAACTGCAAATTTAAGATCCTTTAGTATAACATAAAATAATTTTAAAAATATTCAAGACGAAAGTTAACGATATAAGTTTACAATTTTTCCTTCGTTTTATACCTAAACACAGAAACAATAATAATAAAACTTACTTTGTTACCATCGACGACATCAACGATAACGGCGAGCTTTCCTTGGTCTTTGCCCTTGGCGATGAAGACGACGCGTCCAAGTTCGACGTATTTGTTGTAAATTGGCATACTTGGCCTTAAAATAACTGTAAAATCACATGTAACAATTTTAACATCACACACAACACGCAAAATGTACTTAAAACACTAAAACTTGTAAAAAACCAAAATTTGTTGAGAAAATATTTTTTCCGAAAAATAAAAGGAATAAAGAAACCCACTGTAATTTTCGTTGCGAGACTTAGCTTTGGCCTTATGTTTTTCGAGAAATAGTTTTCGCGAGAAGTAGCAGTGCTCTATGTGATTTTTACAAATAAAAAATAAAAATTGTATTAAAAGTTTTTATTATTAAATTTATACAATATAAAAAATTCGAATCATGTCGATTTATTATTTTTCAAAACTTTGGAGAGCAGTCGATTTTCCTTTGTCGTTCTTCAATAATGAGTCAAGAAATCACGTTGGTTGCACAAGATCCAGATTTACTCAACTTTCAAATGGATTATAATGTAAGTTACTCTATTAAAATGTCTTTTTTGCTTTTATAACTTGTTTTCAAAGTGCATTATACTGTAAATTACGACATAGTATAAGTTTTTTTACTTCAATGTTTTTTAGCTGATTGTCACATACATTCATCCATATTGCCTGGACAACAAACTGAGAGTTGGCGACCGGTTGAGTCAAGTTGATGGTACTAAAGTCAGCTCTATTCACGATCTGCCTGATCACGTTATCTGTCGTGTTCATTTTAAAACTACAAGGTAATGGAGGTGCTCCTACGATTATATGTTTCTCTTTTTGCACGATACTTACCTATTTTTCATAGTTTTTGAAATGGCATTAGGTATAATATAGAACTGGTCTTAGTCTAATCTCTTCTACTGTAACTTTTGTACTTTAAGGTTAATATTTCTACGTGAATCGACCGAGAAATCGCCATTAAAAGAAGGCAAAGAAGGGAAGAAAAGTCAACAAGACGATGCGAGCAAGCTGGTTGTACCGAGTAATACGTTGACCAGTACTACCTTGACATTTGACATTCATTCCAACAAAAGTGCTCGGTTTGGATTGGTACGTTTTCTTAGTTTAGACATCTATTAGCTGTATCGTCGAGATATTTGCAAAAAATTTTGAACCTTATTTAAAAAACTGGTATTTTATTTATTTTTTTTCCCATATGGTGCAATTTTAAAAAATATTTAGTTTATAATAGTAATCTTTAAGGTTTTGAAAGAGAAGAAGTCGTCAGTGTATGTTTACCGTACTGCCAACTGTAGTTTGAGTTGCTTTTATTTCTACGCTGGCGACAGAATCGTTGAAGTCAATGGAACCAAACTGGAAGGTGTCGATCACGCCAAGAAAGTATTTGCTAAAGTAAGTTTGCATTAACCTTACCTTTGTTTTTATTTTTTTCAAAAATAATGCCAGGTATGAAGTAGAGCTGTCCTCGTAAAGTATTGTATGGGGCAAAAAGGTGTTATGCATGTCATATTGCATAGTTAATGATATTTTATAGGCGTTCGAATCTACAAAACCGATCAAGATCACTTTGGAGCGAACTGAAGGTCTCGATGATATGCTGGCTCTGTCCTCGATTGTGGTAGAATCAGATGACAAGAAGACGATCACAAAAGATTGAAATTTTGATCAATAAATAAGATATTTACACTTGTTTTTACTTTTTTTGACTGTATGAGTGAACTTTTTCTCGTTGGAAGAAAGACTTGACACATGACTCTGATGTCTTCACCAAGTTATCGTTAAAAGATACGGTTTTACTGTGAAGTAAAACGTGTTTAATTTAAATATGCGAATAACTTCATAGTACGTACGAATATCCATTATGCAAAGGCTAAACTCGGCCATGACATGAATCACAATGTCTCACTTATCTACTACAATATTCTGTCGGCGATGATTTAAATTAGTATTTGCTATTCTAGACACGAATTGTTTTTGCTCGCAGATATTAGTGTTATTGCTATGTCTAATGTGATGGTATGCTAGCATTGTTTTTCCTTTAATGTATGGTGTTTGAGGCCAAGTTAAGGTATAATTGGCCAAGGCTACTATTACATTTGAATAATTTTATATTTTTCCGAGTTTTAAGATCGTTTTGCTGCATATTGGTTTAGGTATTATATATTTGTGTATGTTCGAAATTGTGTTACTGTTTAAAAAACTGTTTAACTTTTGTTACATTTAAAGTTTTTAGAATTTTTTTTGGTAGTTTACTGTGAGCAATGTTATGTAACGTAGTACTTTTTCCTATATATACATATAATATAAATATTTAGTACCACCGAACACCAGGTCAAGTATTATAAATCAGGGTTTGTGAGAGAGCTAGTCATTGTTGTTGAAAACATTTCGTGCGGCAAACAAAGTTTTGAATTTCCTATGTTTTCCCATGGTCGACATTATTCTTTACAGGACAATGACCACCTTGTTTTTGGTCGGTCTATTTTCATAGTTTAGGGCTTTTCATACTCTATTTTGAATATTTTATGAGTATAACTAATGTCTTCAAATCAAACAATTTTGATTTGAAATAATCTGATAAAATAACATATAATAACTAGTGCTTAGTGAATGGTTAGATCGGGGTAGCTTGCTCAAGATGCTTAGTGTTTTGAAACTTAATTCTTGACCTTGTTTTAGACTAACTTTTTGATATTATCCTTAATTATACAGTTCAGACACCAGTCTCATATCGTGCCTGAAGTAATTGTAGACTATTAAAAGTCTATTATTGTGCGTCATTACCATATGACCCGGACAAACAATTCTAATATTATATCCCAAGTTTTATAAAGTGAAAATCTCAATCAGCTGAGCAAACATTCACAGGATCCAGGTCACGGCCAAGGGGTTAACTCACCTCGAAAGCGATATGGTTAGCACATTAACTTATTTGTCTATTATTTAAAGATTGTAACACTTTTTACTCTGTATTAAGCATGTAATTCAGTCGTTATACAAGGTGAGGCTTCACCAGACTTTGTTGAGGTCATGCTTGGCTCGTTTTGCATATAAACATTAAATAATATTGACGTATTAACTTACTTCGGAAACGGTATGGCCAGGGCCGGGCGGGGACTTTTGGTCTGGGGGCAGGGGTCCAAAAATCCACAGGGGGGACCACGTTCAAATTTTTTCGAAAATTTTTTTTCTGGGGGGGCTACCCCCCCCCCGTCCCCCCCCTCGCGTCCGGCCCTGGGTATGTTTATTTGATTTGCCATTCCCAACAAAGGCATTGTAAAGAAAGTTTTTGTTTGTTTTTCAAAAATTTTCGAAAAACAAACAAAATTGGAATTCTATTTCGGAAGTTTTAAGTCATCGTATTCTGTCATCACGTGCTGTGGCCACATGTGGGTAAAGTGATCTGAGGTAAACTAAAATAAGGTATTTGAATTAGGAAATGCGGAAGTTGATACTTTATTAATATTGTAGATTATCCGGTATCTTGAATAAAGAATGTTTAAGTTTTATAACTTTTGGTCATCATTTTGACAAACAAACGAAATTATCAGGGTTTTCATCTGGGATGGGGTTTTAGAAATAAGGAAGGAAATGAGACATGACGATTTCTATAAAACATGGCTTATTTTTACTATGTATAATACAGGGCGGGAAAAGTTGGTAGAAAATTGGTCAGCTTTTGAAATATATTATTCTAGACTTTTGAATTTCTCAAACTGTAGCATTTTTAAAGCATAAACTGTATTTTAATACTAAAACTTATTTTTGTCTCTACTTTTTGTACTATCTAGCTCTTTACAATACAATGTCTAGAATAGGTTTTTAAATTTGAGTTATTTTATAGAAAGTAATGTGGTTATGACAACACAATTGTGGCTGAGTTCCGCTGATTAAATTTATTGATCTACTCTTTGTGCTTATGAATCCGAAAATTGTGTTATCGTCGTATTACCAGGAAGTCTTGGGTATTCGCGGAAAAACAAGTCAGGACTACGTACAACTTCAGGATGATATTTGTTTTTGTTTCTCTCATTTGAATATCAAGCTTGTTCTATTATAACTTTTCAATCTTGTCTTACATGGTTTACATGACAGTAACGTAGATAACGGTATAACAGTTGCCTTACTGTAAAAGGTGAGAATTTAAAATATTTTTGAATTTCAAATATTTCAAGGCTTTAAATAGTCTTTAACATGTATGATACTATTCCCAGCGTGGCATGACGAATGGGCAGTGGTCACGGTCTTCTCGAGTTACAGCGCTGTCACTTTGCTTTACCGCATTAATTGTTCATTTCGTTTCGAAGAAAGGGCGTTGGAAGGTCGGCCGAGCCTCAGGGCATGGACAAATTAAAGGCTGAGTTTCATGGCGGAAGCTGGCCGGTTACTGTAACTTAATTGCTTGTTAACAATTACATTTAATTGAAGTCTTGTCACCAGCGAGCTCTTGTCACTCGAGGCATTATATGTTTGCTCAATCTCTACTCTCGAACATCTTGGACAACATTTTATACAACTTGTCGCATTATTACTTTTGTGTTTACAACATAACACATATATATTATGCGGACCTGTTGTAGTAGATATTATCGATGTATTTGGAAGTAAAATATTATGCTATTTGGACATATATGATGTATAATATTGTGATATATAGATGTGGGTGTACATAAGATGGTTTTGTAACATAATGATACGTTGTTGGCAATACATATGGTTGTTATGTTACTTTGTAATTATATATTGTAAATTTAGATGGTTATCGCACGGTAATTAATATTTTTGTGTCTTTCGTTATTATATGTAGTTTATCATGTCAGATTCTGTATATTCTTATGTCAATTGCGTGTCAAAATTACAATTACAGTCTGTTATACATGACGTTAGAACTATATTATATGTTTTAAGACGTTGACTCTGTATGACATACAATATATTTTGTCATATTCTTGTGATACGCTGTTACTGGCTATATTCATGATTATTAGGTCTTGATACACCTTCGTTACTATGTTGTTTTACATGAAGTGTTACAATATTGGTATTATTTTATGTAACATACGTGGTTATATTGCTTAGCATTATATTGTAGTAGATGATCGCAATACATCTGACATGAATTGACGTTATTTCAATATTTCAAAATATTTTTTAAATGCGTGTATTTAACAAATTTGCTTCTCCAAAGATACGTTTATATATTGTTGTAGATGTACTCTCCCTTAAATATGCGACGTGTCCTCCCGGAAGTGCCTAAGGTAAGAAACGTGCGGAATGTGCTATTCATCGTTCCTCGAACGTTCCTTTGTTTGTTTTTTCGAAACTTTGGAAGACAGAAGATTACTGTAACATTCTCTAGTTTATTCATAGACAAAAACAACTTTCTGCACTAAGTGGCATTCTTCCATTACCTACAACAACATGCTACATTTGACTGTGTTTTTATTGTTGTTTAGAATAGATATAGAGATTTTTATCGTTAAAAATAGATTTTTATAAATTGTAAAAACATATCAATAGTATAAACTTACTTTGACGTTGATATACCAACGTATAATGTTATTTATAACAACATATGACATTAAAATCCAATTTCTGAGCTTACTCCATGTTACTTTTGCAATAACAATTTCATTATATTCCTAATATCGGAAAGCCATAAACGTTTTTACTCTGTAATTTCCATATATATGTTTTAGGGCGAAATGCAAATGTTGTCCCCGCAATGTCACAGTGTCATTCTGAATCGCAAGATCTACGATTTGAGGAACGAGGAGTTTGGGTGAGTCCAGTTTATATAAGTGTTGAAATTAAGTTGAAAATAGTCTATTTACTATATTATTCTAACAAGAATAACCATCACATCTACTGTAATACAGGTCACAATATTTCTTATCAATATATTATAATAATATCTTTTAAAAAGTTGTAGGCCAGTATAAAGCTCTTATTTACCTTTAGTGACAGCCGTCTAATGACCATTGTTATTATTTTGCGTCTTAAACCCCTGAGGCGAAGTGATGAGTAAACATAGTGCTGGTCACTTCGAAATTAAAAACAAACAAGTTTGGGCGTGTTAAGAAAGGGATATTATGTTACAATATAGCAAATTTGCACATTTTTTGGTTTTGGAAAGTCAAAAATATTTAGTCGTATTTTAGGTTTTTCTTATTTAATTTTAAAGTGATAAAACACTAAAAGTTGGGATTGATTTAAGTGTTTTACAGACTTAATAAGTGCATTTACAGACCTGATAAGTAATGTAAAATACATTGTTTTTTACCCTATATATGTATTTTTCTGTGTAATATATCACAGAAAAGAAATGACTTCCGATGTTACTAATTGTCGTGGTATAACAAATAGGAGTCTATTACATCTTGTTTGCAATACATCTTGTAACGTTTGCTGTGCTTATCTACTTGTTTGGGTATGATTTAGACTATTTTGAAAATAAATCATGTTTAAATAGACTTGATCTCACCATGCAAACATGTATTACAAAGTTTAGTATTTTACTTTTTCTTAAGTTCAACACTAAACATAGTAGCTATGTATCATGAAAATGTTTATTATTGTATTTATATTTGTAGACCTAATACAATTATCTAATATTGTATTACTAACGGTAGATCCTTGACCACCTCTGATAGCAATACGACTTGTTGTGTTATTTGATAGGATATAAAAATAGTACAAATCATATCTGAACACTGGCATTAGCAGATGGTCTTCGGTCAGCTGTTGTCTCGATTTCGAACATTTTTAAAATTCCGCTTTCAAAGCTTTTTATATATCTATGTGTACGTTTGGCTGACCTTACACTGCCCTTGGTTACTTGTTACAAGCCTTGTTTTGAAATCTTTTAAGTGTTTCATAAGATGGTCAGTTCAACTGTTCTTATATTAGTACATAAGTAATATTATACAATATTACTTTAGCTGACTTCATGATATTTTTTATAACTCGTTGTGTTGTTAACAATAATGTAATTGGTCTTATTGTTTTATTGGCATTATTGTCAGCAGTTTTATATTTATTTTTAAGTAACGCCACGTAACCTAGTTAAATTAGCAATATAATATGTCATGTTATACACTGTTAAACCAGTTGCTTGTAATTGAATTACTCTTTAAGCTATCTTTAACTCCATCGTATGCTATTTCGATTGCGTGCTAAATTTAAGGAAGTGGGACCATCTTTAAGTAGCTTCATATATAGGATAGTACATAGAGTATGATGTAGTATGTACTGCAAGAACAAAGAGCTTGCAGATTAGTATATACTAGACTCGTATTAGAAACAGTATGTTATCCATGGCTTGACGATAGGTCAAAGAATCATATCGTATTTTGTTGTTGCGAAACGTTTCTCGAAACTATAATACAGCTGTTGGTTGTTGATTTATGTTAATGTTGGTGGTATTTGATGTTTAATTGACATGTTTGTGTTTACTTTTGGTGGTAGGTACTCAAGTGATGGACAGAGAGGGTGGTAGGTGTTCTTGTTTCTTATTTTTGATTTTTAAAACTTCATATATAAAAATGGCAGTTGGTCTAGAACGAACCAATCTATTGGTCTATTTCAAGGTTTTACGGCCGCTTATCTGGGTTCTGTTGGGTTTATTCAGATCTGATTTAGAGGCACCTTTACTGTTTGATTAGATTGTATACGATTCTTAGAAGTTTAAAATTTTATGAATTGCAAGCCTTGGTTTTAGCAGCTTTTGTCCATTTTTTGCTATAAGTCTGACATACTACAAAGTCTTGAGTTATAGTTTTTGAAAGAAAAAGTAATTTAATAACTTGGCTTTAACTGAATTATTGTTTTAGTTCAAAGACTGTCTACTATGACTTAACAAATGCCAAACTTATTTGTATATGTTTTGCTAAGCCTTATCTTACAAGGGTGATTTAAAATTTTTTTACTTATGAAGTTTTTATTCTTATGATAAAAGGTTTTGAAACTTGCTTGTTGAATCCAAAATATTGCACTAACGATAGTAAACTTGTTTTTGAATATTTTATATTGTCACCATCTTTCGCCATCTGTGGGACACAACTCTATTTCTTCCAAGTTTATGTTGTGCCGAAGCCTTGGAGTGAAGCCGGAGATGCAATAAACAACTCACTTTCTAATTATCTCCGTCTTATACCACGGTAATTGTTTCTTATACCACAATACTCGATTCCTGTTATGATGCGACAATGGCTCATATATGGTGGTACTTCCTTGTAAAACAATATTGTCATCTTTTGTCTATTTAAGTACATCTTTAAAGGTAATGATATAGATGATCAATCTTATATTAATATTTTATTTTTACTTTAAATTAACTTTTACGTATAGTGTAATATAGCAAATACTTCATTGTAATATAGAATGCTAATTGGCCGCAGTAACTGTTCCTTGTCAGCTATCAATTAGGCGACAGGTCAGAGAGAGGCGGCCTTTCCCTTTGCCTCAGGGTCCATTTGGAATGATCTGGATATCAGTTGACCGAGGGGACAACTATTTCGTAAAGTCATCGCGGTTCGTCTTCTTCATTACAATTTATGTGCGGGTAAATAGTAACAGGCCCAAGGGGGGGATCAAGGGAAGATATTACTTCAGGTGTTGTTGTTTTCCCGATTGATAAACAACTTTATACTTGGTATTATCCGGGATGTTTTGGTATTTCGTATACTTAAATCAAATGGTTTTGGAGGGTTTATCGTTACTTTGATATGATATACACATTGGTTATATTAATATGGTTCTTGTCTTCTATATGTTCTTCGTCGTATCCTTATATGATTCAACCGTAGTATCTTGCAAAAGTGATCTTTAAGTAGCGGGGTCTTCGACAGTAAAAGCACATTGTACTATAACTAGGAAACTGTTTTCATGTGGTGACATGAGATATGTTTGTTGTGATATGTACACGTGAGCGTGAGAGAACAGGAAACACCTGTCTGGGGCATTGTTCCATCATCTTTTCTGACATAAACATGATCTACCGCCTCGTCCTCTAGCACCAAACATTAATGTCGTCGTGCAGGTTCGATTAACAGTTGACTAATGACTACGTACTTGCAGGTCCTATTAGAGTATTAGTATAATATAGTATCAAATAGTATGATACTATCTTACTATGGGTACCAATAGTACCATGATGTATATGTTACAATTGCAGACACATAACATACGACAGAGTTGTTGTGAGGGGCTCCTTGTTTATGTCTCATAAGTGTTATTCAATTTGGTTCACTTAATGCCTTAGGGGTTTAAGTTGAGAATATTTCGAAAAGATACGATGAATGGGCGTACTCGGACATGGGGTTCTTGGATTAGGTATTGTCTAACGTGCTATTGTATGTTAAGGCTTTGTTTTCGGTTGGGTACTCTGGGAATTGCACTATAAACTTATAAGATACCACACGAGTTACTTTACTTCTAAAGCATCAAGTTCATTACTTTGAGTGGAAAGATGAGTCGTCTATGTATTTAGTTTAATATAGGATATACCATAAGATAGACTTTATAGAGTAGGTAAATGTGCTATAAGTTTCACGTCCAAGATACCACGTCTTAAACATCACAGATTACCGAGTTTACTCTGCTGTAATTTACTTGGCGTTTCACGGTCGGACAAGCAGCACGTAGATACGTTTATGTGGATTTATTTGCGGGAATTGCTTCGTATGTTCGCTTTAATTTAAAATTTTGAGATGTCAGAGTACATATTTGGGTGGTCAGTCATGTCGCTGTCGCACATACTAAATATAAATTTTTGAACTCGCTTTTACATTTGTTGTTTTTGAGCTGTATGGTGGTATGTTTTGAGCTTGTAGGTGATAGTGGAGCTTGTTTTATATTTTAAGATATATTGATGTGGACCTTGGTAGAACATTGTAAAGTATCTTCTTTAAAACGTTATAGCACATTGTATATTTGACAAGTTGTATAAAGATGATACTATGTTTACAAAGAAGATATTACTCAAATTAAAACACCTCTTGTCATATTGCCATACTTTAATAGTGGTATCATAAACGATATATAATTTTATATTCCTGATTGATATTCCTCACTTAATATCATTATATCTCTTCTTTTATTGCTTAATATCTTATCCTTATCTCCTACATCCATCTATTGGCCATAATGGCCGAGTGATTTGTCGGCCCAAAAGTTTATTTTCTGGCTTCATAATTCCCTTCCGAGGCCGCGAACTTGATGCCTGAGGCGCTTCCTCTCTTTATCTTTGTTTATTCATCCCCAAATCTTATTTGTGTCATCAGACGTTGCGGCTTTTAATTATACGAGACGGGGCTGGGGCAGATTATGCCATTATATTATATTACACTCTGCCAACTTCGCCAATGGAATTGCTTTGTTTCAGAGCCATGAAGCAACCGCTGCGATCGCAGTCGTTCCGGCATCGGCCCAGGCCACAATACGAGAATCTGAAGCGATTTGCGTTGGAGGGCGAGATGGGAGGGCAACAGCGACGCAAAAGTACACCCACTGTCAGCCGGAGGGGATCGTTGCAAAGGTAATTTTATGCTTTTAAAAGTTTTTAAATTTGATTTATAACACAAGAAAGCCTCTTTTCTTTATAAATTGCTTGTTAGAAACTACTATAATAAGATCTATTTCAATTTAACTTTTAAAAAACAGCCTTTTTAATACCTAAAATGCTAAAAGTTTAAAGAAAAATTGAGCATTCCTTCCTTGTAAACCACTAAAATTGAGCTCAACCCCAAAACTACAGAAATTGAAGCCATTTGCAGAATTTAAATACCAAATCCGAGCAATTAGTAAACATTTAAAAGGATACGAAACATAGCCCATTACACATCACCGCTATTTAAAGCCGCTGGTTTAACGCATCTCCTGAGGGCCTTTTATTAGGCAAGAGGGGATGTTCATCTTGTTCCGGCCACAGTAAATCTCTGGACTCGCAGTTTTTCCTTCGGCCAAGACAAAGGAAAAAGTTTTTAATTGCTGTTAAAGCGATGGCCTCGGGGCTTTAACCAATTTTTCGAGTTTTGTAGTACGATAAAGTGCTAGGAGGTAGACGGAGGCATGCTAAGTATGAAGGTATTGGTATCAAGTTATTATGGAGTTCATATTACAGTAGAGGTGTCAGTTATCGTATAATGATAGAAAAAGGAAATTGTCAATTTTAAAGTTATGTTATGATGTGTATTTAGTAGTAAATGTTTCAATTTCACGCTTATTTGGTTAGTTTACTGTGAAAGTGGCATAATTCATAAAGGAACACTTTGCCCTATATTTTAGTCAACAAAAGTTACCATTAAATTTCAAAAATCGTGTTAAAACTAGACTTTTTTCATTTACCTTTGCCATCCTTTATATAATATACCATAAGTAGTAGATTCTAATATAAAACGTTTAATATCCCCCTTTTCAGGCCACGTCTGGAGCCACTGGTACGAACAGACGTGTGGCCGGAGCCCAAGCAGATGAGCGAGATCGAAGAGCGGTTTCTGAAGCTGCCGGATTCAGATGACTACACTCGCGTCAGACAGTTCAACATCGATGCCAAGGGCGCAGTCGTGTCCCGAGGCGATTCCTTCCGTCGCAAAAGGGGTAGTTCTCAACTGAAGGGGGAGAACTCCCCCTCCCCCTTCCCCCAGTACGAGAATGAGCAACAACAACTGTCGAGGAGTGCGTCGGTCGGAAGCTCGGAGAACTCATCGACCAAACCCTTGACCAACAACAACTCTGATCAAGATGAAGAAGCCACCACCTCACATCCCATGTACAAAGTAAGGCCTTGAGCTTGTTTGGTTTGAAGAAATGTCAAAAAAAGATAAAATTATTTTTAAAATTAAAAAAATCTTTGATCATTCTCGGCCGCAACTCGCCGAATTTATTTCGCAGTCTGCGTCACTCTGTAACTCTTGCACTAACCATAAATACGGAATTATTCATGTGACATTAAGGATGCACGTAATAATGTACTATTTTCAGATATACGTTCTAGGCCAGACTGGATCAGGCAAAAGTTCATTGATTAGCCAGTTTATCACTTCTGAGTACAAGAATGCGTTCGCTGATGAAATAGGTAAGTAATCAGTCATACCAAGACAAACATTGTCCGATTGTTGTTTTAGAATGTTTCTTTGACTTTTGAAACATGGAACAGTTGTTTCGGTTACTGTAATGTGTTTATGATCTTTAAAAAACAAATATTAGGCTTAGTTTTATCAGTTTTAGGCTAGCTTTTACTACTTTTAGGCTTAATTTTAGTAGTTATTAGGCTTAACGTACAACTTAAAACATGAAGTAAGTATTGTTTTCAGAAGACTACGAGAATACGGTGTCGATCAGTATCGGCGGCCAGGAAAGCGATCTCATCTTCTTCGAAGCCGATCCCACTATTGGCGACGAATGGCTACATGAGCCAGTAGATGCATACCTACTAGTCTACAGCATCGACAAGAAGAGCAGCTTCAAGTTGATCGTGAAGACTCTGGAGATGCTCAGACAACAAAGATGTCAGATCCCGATCATTCTGGCTGGGAACAAGATCGATTTGGAGAGGAAGAGGACTGTACTACGACAAGGTACGGTAACTTGTTATTGGAGGGACTTTTTTATTCAGAAGTTTATAAAATGGTCTTGTAAGGTCCAGAATTCTGTGGAATTCGCATAATATTTTTTCATTTCTCTTTATTTCTTGACCGAACTAGCTATTGTGTTACATTATCAAAGTAGGTACCTAAACTAACATCAAACTTTAGTATAAGGGCCTTACACTGTAGCAGCTTTACCTCGGGTTTCTTCCGCTGAATCACAGTTTGATTGTGATTGATGAACAATGTGTTCGAAGTGTAATCGCCCTAATCCCGTTATCCACATCCGGCATGTGGGCCTTTTAAAACATGTCGTTTTATGACTTGCGTCACGGCCATAAATCAGTTTATGTTGTTAAACATGTTGTTTTAGAACCCCTTTTAGTGCGAAACATGTCGCTTTTAGACTGTAATAACATTATAATCGTGTTTAACATAGTTATATTATGGTAGGCCGTTTGAAGGTCACTTTGCAATAGTGACTTTATTTTTATGGATTACCTTTAAACTGTAATGCTAAACCTGTCTATAAATGACGATTCTGTAGATACGTGGAATTTAATGTGACTTCTTGTCAATCTTCAATTAAAATTATACTATAATATCAAATTTGTTTCAGAAGTCAAAGGAGTTGGTTCCACGTTTTCTGTAGCACACTTCGAGATCTCTGTAGCCTTGAACCACGATGTAGATGACCTATTAGTTGGAATTGTGGCAGAAATCAAAGAAGTCGACCGAAAGTCAGCCCGAGAAGACGATGAGAACAGACCTGTACTTGTAAGTCCAAGTATTATATGTTATGTTGTAATCAGGCAATGAATATTTATTTTAAAGTGCTTTTTACTAGAATTTTATATTTTATATTACAATTGAACTCTTAACTGAACTATATTGTTCCAGATCCGATCAGAATCCGTTCACATCGACGAGCCTGAGTTCAAAGCTGCGATTCGTCGCTTTTCCCAACGGAAAAAGAAACAGATGGGAGCGACATCTATGATCGACCTGGAGGGCTCCAAGTGCACCAACTTGAGTCCCATCAACCTGATCGAAAGGTTCCGACGGTGGAGGAAGGATTCTAAAATATAAACCTTCTCTCTTCTTGTTACCTTCTGCAATACCTACAAACACTACCTGATTCTAAAAGAGTACGGTAACTACAGAAACTTACATTTTAACTAAAAGCTATGTTATCTACAAAAGTAACTATAGTAACTTCGCAAACATGCTACGTTCCAGCAGGATATTACACTACGTTCATCTGCCCTTCAGAAGTCAGGATACAGAATCCGAAAACATTTGAATTGCCTTGATTCTGATTAATTAATTCTGGATTTCGATTACAAATGCTTCTATTTATATTTAAAATATATTATCCACTCAATGAGCTTACAATACAAAAGCAAGAATACTAGGATGGCATCTTACTGTATCAATATTACTGTACCTAATCAATAATATACTTGTAGTCTCAACAATATTCTGTTTAAACACACGACGATTGCTCACTTTTTTTTATAAATTTGTTAATTATTATCAGAATAATAAACTTTTACATAAATAAATAACCTAAGGCAATAATTGAATTCGAATGTTAAAAAAATAATGATGAAATTCAAAATGTTAATATTTAGAATAAATTTTGTAAAAGATATGACGTAAACTTCTGTTGGTACTGTAACAAATCAATAGTTGCAACGTTGCAATAGTCAATATTTGAAATAATGACTGTTTTTCTGCTTCTCTACCGTCTTTCTTTTCCATACTATTTCTCCGTCATATTGACACCAAAAATAAAAAAAAATTTTAATTGTCAAATCCCCTTTTATAATCCAGGTATTCAAAAACCCTTCCTTTTTATTCGCAAAAATGGCTCGTCATCATGACATCTTTTCTGGACGTGCTTTTCCCGCGTTTTTTCTGCGACAAAATTTTGTTTGCGAAATTAATTCCCAAGATTTCGGAATAAATTTGTTAAATTTAGGTTAAATTATTTGATGGACGTTTGTTTCATCCAACAATAATGAATAACTCGTCTAACGGGCTCTCCAGCGACGAGGCCAAGTCGCTCGCTCCTGCTGGTGTCATTTGCAGATTGAAGAAGTTATGTGATCTCTTCGAACATTCCCATAAAGTAGGTTTAAAATTCTTCGTTAAAATTGTCTTAAACGAACGGTTTTAAAGAGATTTTATGTGAATATTATTATGATTTTTACCTAAATTGTTGTTACCTAAAATAATGTTAAACATGTATATTTTGGTAAATTGTCTACTTTCAGGACTTTCTTTTTTTGAAACCCGAAGAATGCACTCAAAAAGCAAGCATTTGAAATAATAAATCGTCTTGATGTTCTCCACAAAAGCGTATACAGCACTCTGAACACAACCAAGACTTCTTTCCGGAAAAACAAAGAACGAGCTTTGGTAAGTCTAAACCTTTTTTTACTATTTATGTGTTTAGGAACCGATCCGGGCCTCTTCAGCTGCTTCTACTTCGACTCAAAACGAGAGTCTTGTGAATGGTGTTGACGAGGTATCAGCAAATGGGCATGGTGAGATTATGGAACAGGATTACATTACAGTCGAAGACTCACAGACAACAACACAAGCAAATGGAGATGGAAGGCGATCAAATAGAACAGAGCAAGCCCAAGTTGATGAGCACGAAGAAGAAGCCTTGCCTTCGACTTCTCTTTCTACTAGAAGTTCAGTTAGGAAGGCTTCTACTGCTGCCAAGGAGCGGATCGTGAAGATGGGAATTCAGAAAGCGTCGGAAAAGAAGATTCTGAAGGTCGTCGACATTGAAACTGCGAAAAAGAAAGTGAGTCTTCCACCCGAGTTTAGTATGTTCAATCAAAATTGTCTTATCTTAATATGTCCCGAAGATCAGTATTTTTTCATGAACCGTTGTTAAATTTTGTTGTTAATAAATATTGCAAATATTTCCGGTTATTGGGTTATATAAAGCATGGTAAATTTGGAAGTCAGAAGCTTTTTTATGACAAAATAACCGGCTTTATTGATAGTTTCTGGTGATCTAAAGCAACTTTTTGTCTGTCTTTTTAAAAAACATGATTTCAGCAAGATTATAAAAGCTTTTTATTAATTTTATTATAAAATTTATATTTTTTCTACAAACTAAAATATTCTTTTGATAGGAAACTGAAAATGAAGCTGACTGGCATAAAGGAGTTGAGAATCTCTTAGCTGATATTCCTGTAGATAACTCTGATGCTGAAGAAAGTGCTGAAGACGAAGAGAATCACAAAGAATTGGGAGCTTCTGACCTATCAGATCATCCAGAAGATTTCGAAAAGAAGAAGAAACAAAAGTCAAAGAAGGCTGAGAAGCCGAATCTATCTGATGTTGTTGATTTGAGTTCAGACGACGATATTCCACTGGTCAGAAGAGGACAAAGGAAAGGACAGAGAATGGATTTGGACGATAGCGATGAGGAAGAACAATCTCCAAAGAAGGCCTCGAACAAGAAAAAGAAAAATGCTATAACTTCAGAAGACGAAGGCGACGACGATGATGATGAAGAAGAGGATTTGGATGAAGAAGAATCAGAATCTGATGATGACTCTGAAGAATCTGCATTTGGCGAGGATGAAGTGAGTTTTGTATTTTTTAAACTTTATTATGATAGACATTTATTATTTACAACAAGTTTGTGAAGAAAAATTATATTTAAATAGGTAACATATTTTCTTTCTATGTTGATACTGATAAATTACAGGAGTTGGAAGAGCTTTTACGTCCAAGGCCAAGAAGTGACGACGAAGACGTCGACAGTGAGAGCGGAAGGCCTCAGCGACGCTCCAGAAGACTGGCTAAATCTCAAGATGTCAAAGAGCAGAAGACCGCAAGTTTTAATGCGTAAGTTTTCAAATTTGAACTTCACAGTACGTAGTTTAATGAGGTATAAATTTGAATTTACAGAAGAAAACGAAAGAGACCTGCTTCGTCTGACAGCAGCAGCGATGATCTGTTTGACAGAGACGATGAAGCCAGAAAAAATGAAAGTCAGGAGTCGGTTGTAAGTCGTAAAGCAAATGTTTGTAAACTATTTTAAATTTTAGTTTTTTACATATTTTTTGTTGTTTTATACCTAAAACTTTGATTTTAGATTCAAAAGCTTAACCCATTAGAAGATAAAAAGCGTAAGAGGAGACGACGAGTCATTGTGGACACAGATGAAGAGCTAGAAGAAGATGAAGAAGACCAAAAAGATGATGAAGCAGATGTGAAGAAGAAGAAGGAAAAGGCCAAGAAGGGACGATTGTGCAAAGACACGAGAGAAGCAGAGAAAGAAGAGAGGGAGAGGGTGAAGAGGTTGGCAGAGAAGCAGAAGGACTTCAATGGCATTGTTATCAGTGAAGATCCGGAAACTTTGGGGAAGTGTCAAGGTGGAGGTAATTTGAGTTATGATGACCGTATCTACTTTAAATTCGATTCTGCAGCTGTATTTGACAATAAATTGGCATAAATAATATATTTAACATTTCAGTTGTCGCTGGTCCAGTTCAAAAGATAATGTTGGACGATGACAGGGATTCGGAAGATTCTCAACCAGTCCAAGTCCCTCCAGAGTTGGTCAGGGTTCTAAAACAACATCAAGCTATGGGGATCAAGTTCTTGTACGATCTCACAATTGAAGATTTGAAGCGAGTTGAACTTCCGGGGGGTGGTGGAATCTTGGCTCATTGTATGGGGTTGGGTAAGACACTTCAAGTGATTGCCTTCTTGTACACGATTCTAAGTCATCCCAAGATTAACAAGGTCGTCAGGAAGGCAATGGTGGTTGTGCCTAAGAATGTGGTAATCAACTGGCAACAAGAGTTCGAGAAATGGGTATTCGAAAATGGTTTGGGAGGTATTGATGTAAGTTTTGACTTATTACAGATAAAAATCAGAGATTTGGCGTATGCCTTTTCTTGCAGTCAAATAGGCATGTCATACATTTCTTTTTACAGATTGTTGCCGTTGATGGCGAAAAAGACATGGAACGTCGGTATCAGATGCTTCAAAACTGGCAGAAGACGAAGTGTCCGGCTGTCTTGATCATCGGATACGAAATGTATCGCATATTGGTAACAGATCCATTCACTTCGAACAAAAAAGGACAAAAACCTAAGCCAACTCCGGCCCGAAGACTCCACAAAAAGTTGTTGAGCAAGCTACAAGAGCTTCTTCAGGATCCAGGACCAGAAATTGTGGTATGCGACGAAGGCCACAAGCTGAAGAATGACGAAAGCAAACAGAGTATCGCGATGTCAGGGTTGAAGACTAGGAGAAGAGTGTGCCTAACTGGCACTCCGATGCAGAACAACCTTATTGAGTGTAAGTTTCTCAATTATAATATGGAGAGCTGATTTGAAATACTGTATTTGATTTCGAAGTTAAAGTAATAATAATATAAATTCAGATCACTGCATGGTGAACTTTGTCAAACCCGGGCTTTTGGGAACCAAGAAGGAGTTCACAGAGAGATTTGTTAACGTCATCAAAGCTGGTCAGACGAATGATGCTTCTGTCGATGAAATCCTGGCCATGAAACGTCGTTGTCACGTGCTTCATCAGAAGTTGCAGAAGGTCGTGGATCGTCAGGATTACCGTGTTCTAACCCAATTTATTCCGCCGAAACAAGAGTACATTATCCATATCAGACTAACAGAAAAGCAGATTCAGCTTTATCGTGCTTACGTATCTCTCACGATGTCAGACAGGCAAACACTCCACAAGCGACATCTTTCCGACTATCATACCCTCAGCAGAATCTGGACGCATCCCTATCAGCTAGTGGCCAACTCGAACAAGAAGTTGGCCAAGGAGGACGATGATGATTCGTTCATCGACGACGACAGCGATGACAGTGAAGAAGTGAGTAGGCCGGCTAGAAGAAGGAACGCCGATGCCATGGAAGAAGCAGTAGATGAGGAAGAATTCACAATTCCTTTGTATTGGTACGACGAGTTGGGTATTATGGAAGATGGGGACAAGGATAACTTTGCCTTGAGTAACAAACTGATTGTTCTGCAAGATATCATCAAGGCTTGTGAACAGATCGGCGACAAGTTGTTGATCTTCAGTCAGTCCTTGGAGAGTTTGTCCTTGATCAAGTACATGTTGGAGACACTGGACGAGAAGTGGTTTGAGGGACACGAACCCTTGCTACAGAGAAACAACGAGAAGTGGGGATGGGACCTTGGCAAGGACTTCTTTGTAAGTTTATATTCTTATTGATAAAAGGCTCCTTTTATTAAAAATGACAGTTTATTTAATCATTTTTTACAGATTATTTCGGGTAAAGTGAACGCCGAAGATCGTGAACGTGTTCAGAAGCGATTCAACGATTCCACAAAGCCTCGGGCTCGAGTGTGTTTGATTTCTACAAAGGCTGGATCTTTGGGAACGAACATGGTCGCTGCCAATCGTGTAGTAGTCTTCGACGCTTGCTGGAATCCTTCTCACGATACTCAGGCTTTGTTCAGAGCTTACAGATACGGACAGACGAAGCCAGTCTATGTCTACAGGTTAGTAGCTGATGGCACGATGGAAGATGTAATCTACAAACGACAAGTCACTAAGGATTCTACAGCTCTTCGAGTAGTCGATGAGAAGCAGGTCAAGAGCTGGTTCAAAAAGAGTGATTTGGCTGAGCTGTATCACTTGGATATTCATGAATATCGACCTGATCTGAAGAGAGCTCTCAATCCACCAAAAGATCGAGTACTTGGAGACATCATCATTAATCGACCGGAGACTATCTACAACTATGAGGAGAGAGACACCTTGTTGAAACATGTTGTGGAAGAAGTTCTCACTGACAGGGTGAGTTTCTGTTTTAAATAATGTAACGCATTTTCTTATCTTATATTGGTATTATAAATGTAAACGATTTATTATGTAAATTAAGCCTTCATTTTTGATATTATTGTAGGAACGTCGAGCTGCGTGGTTGGAGTACGAGAAGGACAGATCTGGTCCTCGTTTGGTGCAGAACGTCAGCGGACTTCAAATGCAACATTCTGAACGCGAGTTCCTGATTGGTAAGTCTCTTCCGCCGTTTAAAACGAATTTGTACTTAAATCACTTTAAAAAATTGGTTATTAATGTGATATCGTTTCAGAAATGGCAAGATTCGTTAATAACCAGATCAACCGGAACCAAGTTATGATCGATCCTTTGAGCAGCGCCTTAGGAAAGCAACTCATGGACCACGGCTGCGAGTATCAGCAATGTATGGGGCTTCAGATCTTGTACATGGGCTTCCAAGAGCTGATTGGGAAAGCGCCCGCTCAGGTCAAACAAGAGTACCCCGAGCTGGTGGATCCTGTCAAGTTTGTCATGGATTGCTATTTGGTAGGTGTCACTTAATATGATAATGTCACAATATTCTGGGCATTGTTTTGCGTTTTTCATACTGAGTAAGTAAATAAAACAATTTTGCACGGTTTAATGTTATGTTTGGGCAGTTTTGCATATATTAATTTTGATGTTTAGTCGCATCCTCCAAAGAACGCGTATGAGCTGACGATGTTGGATTGTCGAAACAAGTTCAAAGATCTCCATCGCAAATATTCTCATTTGAACCAGCTGAAGACTAGCTTCAACTTCTTGGCCCGGTTGAGTTACCTATTGACTGATTACGTGGCTGCTCCAGCACCACCTGCCCCGATTACCATTTAATGTCACAAGTATATTGTTGTATAAAAGTGAACTACTGATCTCTCATATGTTTACCTTATATTATATCTTTGATTAATGTTGTCATATTAATAAAAAAAACGCTATAATTCAAGACTTTTCGTTATTAAGCTAACTCAACTTATATTTTTACAAAGAACATCCATGGGAGCGCTCAGAGTTTGGTCAATATTTTTATGAACAGGTCATGTACTTTGTGCAAAATACTGAAGGTTCCTGACTATATTAGAAACGATTGTAAAGTAAGTTTAGGTATACGTTCGATCATATTGAGAATCAATTTGTTTTATTACGTATAATACTCGAAATTTGACAATACTCAGTTACGATGCTATAATACAATTGTGCTGTGACACCGGATAATGCGTCATGTTAATATAGAAGTAAAGGCTCTAAATTGGTTCGGAAGGCAGTACCCATTTGCCCTCCGGGTTCATGCATTTGAAATGTTGTAAGACACCCAGTTAGTTAGTGGCTGTGACAGCCGGAACAAACATTATATATATTGCAACAACAAGACTAATAACTAAAATAAGGTTAAACAATCTCAGAGATTACGAAAGTCTCCTCCAAAGACACAGAGGTTAGTAACATCAGTTTACATTGGACCTGAGGCATAGTTAAGAGAGCACCGTTAATAAATGGCTATCAGAATTCATGTTAGACATCAGACAAGCTCCACGACCACACTAGCCGAAGGTCGTCCAGTCGTTTGGTTCTGTTACCTGATTTGTCGTGGCAGGCCGACAGGTAATGGTTGGACTTGGACCAGTACGTCCCGAATAACCTCGTGATCAGTTTATCGCAAAACACCTGTAATATATGTAATATTAACAAAATTACGACAGAAAAGTTCAAGATATGCATGCTAATTATCAAATTAAACTCCCAATCAGTTCAGTCAAAAAAGTGCATTCATTTTGTTAGAAGAGAAAATATCATATAAACGTACATCAACATTGTCATTGACTCTCTCGGAACACGTCCCCGTCCCATTATTACACGTAGCGTGACAATCAAAGTATTTACAGTCGTCATCCTTCTTACACTTCCTTGACGTGAGTATCCTGTTAAGTCGAGATTCTGTGTACAACATGTCCGAATCCATCACGACAAACCTAAAACAACATCAATAAATCCCAAAACTACCAAGTTAGCGACATTATAAATTACCTTAAAATAAAAATATACTAAAATACGTGAAAATCTTGTCAATATAATACTTAAAAAACATATGAAACCATACCTTTTGGGGTAATTCGCAGACAAACCCAAGTTTTCAAATTTGACGTCGCACCACTGAAGCGGTTCATTCAGAAACTCGTAGAACAACTTCAGAGTTCCCATCAGATGGACTAGGATCTTGGCCTTCAACCCCATGTAGTAGCCTTTCATCTTGAATGGCAACAAAGAGTCGACAGCATAGAAATGACCACAATTCCCTTGGACCTTGGTAGTAACTCTGGAAAGCGGCAGTAACTTGAAGGTAATAAACTCGTCCTGGTCTAGTAAAGTCCACAAACTGTCCCTATCTGCTTGGGAGAGTTGAGGTTCGGTCTTCTTCTGATCGTAGCCATTCCACAGATGTTTCATTAGATGATTTCGGTAGTTTTCCGGCCAATCAAAGCCTATCCTTTCGTTAACCAGCTTTACTATCTGAAACGGTCATGCTCAGTTTTTTTAAATTCATTTGCTTTACATATAAAAAGCTAACTTACAGTCTTAACAAGTTCCTCTTCGTCAATTCCAGGACCCAGAAGTTCGAACTGACTAAACGTGTCTTTGGTCGATTTTAGTACCAAATTCTGTGAACCAGACGTTATTTTTAGTACCACTTTGTTGGCCCCTGTCTGTAAGTCGCTTAGGGTCCAGTTCCGTTTGTTACAAATGGTCGGACATAGATCGCCACTCAATTTATGGTTAGCATAATCTTCGCATAGCGATGTTAGTATGTTCTGTCCTCTAAAATTATTTTTAAAATTGTCTCAAACTACAAAACATAAGCACAATTAGTTTATAAAACAATTTTTACCCCTAAATTAAATTTTTAAAAGAATAATATACTCTTTTACATCCTTAAAGCTAAAAGTATAAAATTTAGGTAACAACTTACCGGTTTTGCGCAGTTTTTGGTATAAGTACGTCGGATGCCACTTTGTTAGAGCCAGTTGGGAAAGCTAAACACAAAATAAAACAAAGTATTCTAACTCACCAAATATCAGCGCACAGACAAACAGTAATGCTGTCATGACGAGGCAAAACCGACCGAGATTCGAAGACAATATTATGCTGCAACACGAATCATTCCTAAAATATTCAAATTTACAAAAAAAAAAATTTTTACGGGAAATGCCAAATGACTTTCTTTTCGATTTTTGTCCCGATTTTAGCGGCAATTAATCACCTGAGGGCGTGTCAACAACAATTAACAATATATTTCCCCAAAACGTTTCAAAACTATACAATAATATTCGTATTAGGCTAAAGAACGTAGATCTGAAGTCGAATCTTATCGTTAAAACCTTTAATGATCATGTACAGCTCAAAACATGAAAAACAAGGAAAATATTTCAAAAATCGAAGACAAAAACAAGGAACAAGAATCCGTGAATCAAACTACTACAAGATAACATCAATGAAAAATGACCGGCGATGAGTCAAAAACAACTAACGACATTATTCACAATACATTTATCGCCGCCTAATTTCCTCAGACAATTAGAAATCAAGCAGAAAGCTTTGTTATCTAAAAACTTGGTGAATCACAAATAATAGTAAAACAATATTTCCAACTTTTGTAAAGTATCTTAAATTGTTTTCCATGTTAAAATGTCATATATCATTGTTCGAACTTGAATAAAACCCCATAAAAATTGACCCCAGCTGAGCAAACACACTGTTTTCTGACAATCAATGTACATCACAATTGTTGTCAATCTTGCACTAAAGAATAACACAAAAACAAGTGACTTACTTAGAAGACACGCAACAGCAGAGGTCGATCAAGGCTTCGTCCAATGCCTCGTCGCCTTCCTCGTCCGTCGAATCCACTCGATTGTTGGCAACATTGTTATAGCGCATCGCCCTCTCCGCTTCTCTACCGTCTCCGTCAAAGCCACTTCCTCTCCTGGATCAGTTTATGGTCGCAATTTCAGTGTTTGTTACTATGTTGAGGAAGGAATTGGCCCCGACACCCGTCTGGCCAGTTTGGATCCGGATCAGTCGAAAAAAGAATTATTTCCCGGCTTTTTGAAGCAGAATGCCAACGATTTGTCTTTCGTGGCGAGAGGCGGGTTAGATGTTGTCAAAGAGAAGAATTGAATCAGAAGCAAGGCTTTCTGCATGAAACCGCTTAAAAATAGGTGTAAAATAAAACCTCAACACAATGTCTGTTAAAGTTTATTTGAAATGTGTAAAAAAATTACAGTTTAAAGCAGCTGATCAATTAGCTGTATCTTGTTATTTATTGTTATTCGAATTGATAAGGCGATCAACTTGCAAGACACCCTTGAACACATTCAATAAGACACCTTTAAACGGAAAAGTAAGTTCTTTGTCTGGTGTTACTTTCGATTAGTTTGATGATTGATAACACATGAGAAGACAATAATCAAAAGACTCTTCCAAAAGGTAAGTCATGACCTTACATCGCTCCAACAGTCTGTCGTATCTCTGCGATGACTATCAGTTATATCACTCGCTACAGCTCAAGACTCATCTGAAGCGCTCGAATATCTGCAACGATGACAAAGAGGTGAGTGAAGGATTTGAAGTGAAGAGGCTATGAGGATGTTGAGGTTATAGAAGGCAGTCTAATGTTCGAAGCATGATTTAGGACAATTTTTGTGCATAACCGTATATAATAATGACATTATATTCAGTTTTAAATTTGTTTTTCAGAATTTTTGTAATTTTATTTTAATATTCTAATTTTGTTACCTAAAATATTTAAACAAAACTTTTAGAAGTCGGAAGTGTCGTCGACGTGGATCGAAGAGACGTTCAAAAAGTATGAATGCATAAAATACATTCCGGACCCCTTATCAGACCGGTAAGCCTAAAAGAGCCTTAGGGTATTATTTTAGATGTGGCTGCGGGAGACCAAGTTCCCATCACTCTCAACTGGCCTTAAGTCGGTTCACGCTTTCCATGGTAAAGCCGGTCGATAAAACTCCGCAGAAATGGTCGATAAAAGAGCACAACCAGTCACTGCCAACAGATGCCTACGGCACAATCGAGTTCCAGGTAATTTACATAGTATGATTGGCTGTGTAAGACTATAAAAGGTGGTTATTATAACATTTTAGGGTGGTATGCATCCTCACAAAGCTCAGTATGTTCGTCTATCATTTGATTCGAATCCAGCTGACGTCTTTCATCTGATGGAGAAGGTGTGGAAGCTAAAAAGACCACGACTGGTGATTACTATTCATGGAGGATCAGCCAACTTTGAGTAGGTATTAAATGTTAGATTAAGTAACAAGACTATATAAATATCCAAATGTTTTTTAAATTACAGTATGCCCGATCGTCTGGGTCAGCTGTTTCGAGAAGGTCTTCTGAAGGCGGCCGAGACTACAGGAGCGTGGATAATAACATCTGGAATGGACCGTGGAGTAGTCCGTCACGTGGCCAAGGCTCTGGACGAAGCTGGGATCTCTGCCAGAATGAGATCGCGACTTGTGACTATTGGGATCGCACCGTGGGGAGTGCTACGGAAGAGGGAGAAGTTCATCGGCCGCGACGCTCACGTTCAGTACGATCGACTGTGCCTGTTCAAGTCGAAAGGAAAGTACTCAGCCTTGAACGACAGACACACCTACTTCTTGTTGGCTGATAATGGTACTGTTGGGAGACCTGGTGCTGACATCTTTCTGAGGAAACGGTTGGAAGAGTATCTGGCTAAGAATGGCACATTTGGAACTATCAGGGCTAGAAAGATACCTATCTTGTGTGTGGCTTTGGAAGGAGGGATCAACACGCTTAATAGTATACAACAATATCTTACAAGGTAATGGAAGTAGTATTATATATAATATGTTTTTTTTTGCCAAATTACATGCTAATATTACAGTAATCCCCCTATACCTACGATAATATGTGAAGGAAGTGGTCGAATATCGAATCTCTTGGCTTTTATCTATAACAATATCAGTGATGATGGGTATGTCTTTTTATAAATGAATAATTCCATTCTCTTTGCATTACTATAATATACCTTTAGTTTATTATAATCTTCAGATTTTTGTCCGCAGACTGCCGCGACAAGTTATACGATGGAGTCGCTGAATTGATGGGACATGACACTCAACTGGTCGATGAAGTGGTCGATAAAATACTAAACTGTGCCAAACTCAAGGGATTGGTATGTTTACTTTACAGTATGATTAATGAACTGAGTAGATTACAGTATTCAGAAGTAGCGAGAACGATCACATCGACGCCGACCAGACGATTCTGAAGGCGCTACTGAAGGGACAGAACTTGAGTCCGGCGGAACAGGTGGGTAACAGTACCCCTGGATACTGTAACTTACAAAAAATAGCTTTTTAGCTTTTTAACAGAACGCTATGATAATATTAGGTTGTTTACTTAATTCTGCGCCCTTTTTCAAAGCAAATTTGTGGGTAAGAGGGCGCAGAATTATGTGAACAACCTAATATAAGACTAAAACAATATCATAGTTGTTTTTGATGTCTTTGGTAATATTTTAGCTCTCTCTAACGTTAGTTTGGAACAGAGTTGACATAGCCAGGTCAGAAGTGTTTACAGAAGACCAAGACTGGCAGATGAAGCATCTCCACAACGTTTTAATGGATGCTCTGATTCTGAATCGTGTTGAATTTGTGAAGTTATTATTGGAAAAAGGAGTCTCCATCAAACACTTCCTCAACATCGACACTCTGGAGCAACTTTACAACTCTGTGAGCACGTTTACTGTATCTTTTGTACACATAAAGTATATTTTCTAACGGTAATTTCAATGTAGGATTGTTGTATTGTGTTTTGTTAATTAAAATACAACAATATCATAGTAAAATTATTATAAGATACCGACACTTTATGAAAAGCACTCAAATAATGTTATTGTAGGACCCTACAGCCTTAAATGCATTGAGTCACTTAATCGACGACAACTCGGCTTCTCGGACAGACGAAATTACCATCCCTGACATAGCTGACGTCATTGAGAAGTTGATGGGAAACGCTTTTAGGTGCCGTTACAGTAGCCGTGCCTTCAAGCAGTTATACGAAAAGTGTAAAGGAAGAAGAGGCAAGGCTCATTTGTCCAAGATCGAGAGTCTCCACATCAAGTTACTGCCCAGCAAATCCATGGACAGTTTTGTGGTAAGGCATTTTCTGATTCTACACACTTTTTGACCGACGTACCATAACTTTTAGGACATACTGTAACATTTATAATATACTAATAAAACTACTACCTACTAGATTAAATAGTATCATCTACAGTACCAATTATAGCGAAAACAAGAAGATGAAGTGGAGTTTCCTTTCGTCCATCCCTTCAACGATCTCTTCCTCTGGGCCGTTCTGACTCGACGGCATCAGATGGCACGCTTCCTGTGGTTGTATGGTGAACATGGCATGGCAAAGGCTCTAATAGCGATACGTCTATATAAGACGATGAGCAGGGAGGTGGCATACGACTACACCGAGGTTGAGGCGAGCAATCAGCTGCGAGAGTTTGCTGAGTATGTCATTTTGATTTTAAAGCTTGTATAGTAACATAGTCTTTATCAACTCTAAAGGTAATGTTAAGTATGTTTTTAGAGATTTCAAAGAATGTTCGTTGGAGCTTCTGGATCATTGTCATGATCAAGATGACATTCGGACGATGCGACTTCTGACGGCTGAACTGCCAGCGTGGGGACACCATACTTGTCTGTCATTGGCTGTTATGGCCAATAACAAACGTTTTCTGGCACATCCATGGTATGTTACAGTACAATAGATATTAATTGTTGCTTTTTATCAACGTTATATGTTCTAATCTCTAACATAATGTAAAATATATATATTAACTTACGCATATTGTCTATATAAAATAACATCGATCAATTCCAGCTGTCAAGTACTGCTGGCAGACCTGTGGCACGGTGGACTCCGCTTCAGAAGGTAGGTTCGAGGGTCAATTTGAATTTGTGATCTTCAGATGTTCAGTCAGAGTAACATCAAAGTGATCGCGGCCGTCGTCTTCCCTCCGGTCATTCTGCTACTCGACTTCAAGACTCCAGAACAAAAGAAGAATCAGAGGAAGAACTCCCTGATAACGACGGAGGAGGAGCTGAACGACTATAAGCACGGCAGCAAGTCGTCGCTTCACAACTTTCAACGCAATTCTGTAGGTATTGTTTCAGGTTGAATATAACTTTAAATCTTTGATATGTGTCAGTTTGGTATTGTGGTTACTATAACATTTTAGTGGTTCAAACTTCGGAAATCGTCGAGAACGTTCAGTAAACGAGGGTCGACTGACAACGACGTTGTCAACGTGAATAACCGTGAAGGACGTGCTCTGACTGTGATTGAAGAAAGCCGAAGAGACAATAGGTTTGTACGACGTAACAATGTACGTTTTTAAATGATTTTATACATTTATTATGTTGATTACTATTTTTGATTTATCTTTAAAGGTTGTTTAACATAATATCAGCTATACCTATATGTAAGCTCAAGTATAATATAAGTAAAAAACCTTACATTAATTCGACTTCAGAGTATTCTGAAGACGTTGTCGTCAGCGTGGAGCAAGTTCCGTCTCTTCTACGGAGCTCCGATCACATCGTTTTGGATATGGACGTTGTCGTTCTGCCTGTTCTTGTTAACGTTCTGCTACGTTCTGCTGATCGAGTTTCCTCTCCAACCATCGTACACTGAATGGGGACTTCTGGCTTATGTGGTTGGGCTAGGATTGGAGCATTTCAGAAAGGTCGGTTTTAATATTTTTACTTTAAATAATATATTTAAAAAATGTAAAATAGCTTGTTAGTCAGTAATTTTAATCCTAAAATAACCCTATTTTTTAATGTATGAAATTTACATATTCTTGTGATTCTGTCAATATTATCATCAGATGGATAGTTTTAGCTTCTGGTGTTAGAATCTTCGAATTTGATCGAAAAGGTGAAGGTCTTCTACACTCGCTACTGGAACATCTTGACCACGATAGCTGTGATGACATTTCTGATTGGATTCTACTTCCGTTTCGACCGTGACCGGCTACACACTCATTCTCGAGTGATTCTGGCGTCAAACTCTGTTCTCTGGCATATGAAGTTGTTCGACTTTCTGAGTGTTCATCCTCGCCTCGGCCCTTACATTACCATGGCAGGGAAGATGGTATTAGCCATGTCGTATATCATCATCATGCTACTGGTGACCTTGATGGCATTCGGAGTGGCACGGCAGTCGATCACGTTCCCACACGAAAAGTGGGGGTGGATTCTGGTGAGGAACATCTTCTACAAGCCTTACTTCATGTTGTATGGGGAGGTGTACGCGGGAGAGATAGACACTTGTGGAGATGAAGGGACCAACTGTGTGCCTGGAGGGTGGATACCTCCAGTTTTGATGACGATCTTCTTGTTGGTGGCCAATATTCTCTTGATCAATATGTTGATTGCTATCTTTAAGTGAGTGGAATTAATGTTTTTGTGGGTTTCTGATGAAATTTAGTACTGTTTTTGCATATTAGTATACTGTAGAATAAGATATAGAATAAGATTTATATGTCAACACGTGTATACTGTACTATTCCATTAAATTAATTAATATACGATACGTTATATCAGAGATTAATGTTACAGTAACATCTTCAACGTGACGAATGCCATGTCCCAACAAGTATGGATGTTCCAAAGGTACCAACAAGTGCTAGAATACGAAAGTACACCCATAATACCGCCGCCGTTTACTCCGTTTGTCCATGTTCTACTATTCTGTAAATATCTGAAACAAAGGTTATGTGGAAGGCAAAGGACATACCGAGGTTACAGTAACAACGCCGAGTTTTCTATTAGTAAGACCTTACAATATGTGAACAAACTTGTATTATAGGGGGAGGGGGGTTGATGTTATAACTATGATCAAATGTAGCTGTCGTGACGTATAATACTAATACTGTAGTATAATAATGAACCTAATAAGTCCAGTAATACTGTACTTCAGAAGTATATTTTGACGAAGCTGACTTGAAGCGGCTACACGACTTCGAAGAAGATTGTTTGGATGATTTGTCGAGACGGAAGTTCAACTGTGCTCTACTATCACATAAACATCTACAGAGCTCGCTAGAGATGTCAAACAAGCTGAACGAGCTGGCTGAGGAGAACTTCTCTCTTAAGAACAAGATGGAGAAGCTGAGCAGACATCTGGAGGTGATCGTGAACTGCCAGAACAAACTCATGACAATGTTGGAAGGGGAGAAGGTGGAGGAGAAGGCACTGATCGTTAGGACTGGGTTCGGTAAGTGTTTTACAGTAGGTAATTATGATTAAGGATAGTGATATTTGATGTAAACTGGGCATAAGTTAAGAGAAAATGTGCATAATTGTCAATATTAACATAATATAACACTTATATATCATAAAATAATGGAATCCAATAAAACTACCGTACCGCATGACGTGTACCGTATCCTACAGAACGCTCCTCCCAAAAGCCCCGCCCAAAAGCCGAGATACCTCCGATCGCTCAAGTCGAGCCTTCTGTAGCTTCATCTACCGTAGTCCTTCCTACAATATCCGTTCATACTGTAGCTCTGTCTTCGCTTGGCCTAGTCCAGACAAGAGATTCTGTATCTCTTTCTGAAGACTTGGACCAGATGGAAGCTTCGACTGGTCAAACTGTCACATTTCGAACGTCAACTTCTACACGAACGCCACGAGCTCTGAGGGCATCGACCGGTCGATCGAGCAGCTCATCTTCGACTTCTTCAGCCGGTTCTAACTTCTTTTGATATATTTGCATAAATTATGGTAATAACTAATAAACCACTAGCGTTTGACATTAAATTCTTATTTCTAAACTAGTATTTATTCTCCTAAGCTAATCAGCCCCTTCGGCGTCTGGCCTTGATGACATTTGGGGCCACGTACTCGATGGACACCTTCTCTCGCGTGTTCTCCGGAGTACTAGGGTTCTCCCAGTTGGTGGTGTCACTAATGTCCTCGATCTTCACGTGGTACCGGTCTCTCTTCGACTTTCTCTTGTTCGTGAGCTGTCTGGTACCCTCTTCTCGGCCCGAGTCTTCTTTGGTACTCTTTTCTTGTGTCTGGTCCTCAATTCTGGCACTTTCTTCTCTCCCAACTGGTTCATCTAGAGCAGTTAGACCTCGGTACTGTCTTGATCTTTTGGCACTCTTTCTGGGTTTTTGGTTGGTACTGTTTCTTTTCTGTTTGGTACTGTTTCTTTTCTTTTTGGTACTATTTTTTGAAAAGTGAGGTACCGATTTCTCATTGGGCAACATTGGCAGTGACGTGGTCGAAGGGTTTCTAAAATTATGTTAATATAGATGACATGTTGATGGTTAATATTAAAAGAAACCTCATTTTACGTCCAAAACACTGAAATATGCCCGATAACTCCAACTTCAAAGTGTAGATAACTCAAGTTCAAATCCTATGACAATAAAAAAAGTCGCAGTATTTCACTTTTGGCCGATTGGGTTCCATCTGAATGTCTTTTTGAAAGGAGTACCATTACTTTGGAGCACTTCCAGGAAGCCGCGGTTCTCTTGTAAATCCATATACAAGGTGGAGTCGCCGTTGTCGCCGAGGTTGCTCGTCAATTGTTCAAAGTTTTGGACAAAAGCTTCTGTCATTTCACTGAAACTCTCCATTTCGACCGGAATCCGTACAAGTGTGTGGGCAAAATGACTTATTTTGTGAAAAAATTTAAGAGTTTTTGCAAAGTGATACTTTTAATTATAATTTCGATTTAAATTTGTTTAAAATTTGAAAACTTTAAAATTTTTGCGTATTTTATGCTTTTGGCTTATTTTAAAAGTTATGTAATTACGGTCCAAATATGGCACTCATAATTGCACTAAACACATAACAAGCGAAGATGACATACGATGAAGCGACAACTCCAGGTATGACTCAACTGACAGCTGTTACGTGCTTGAAACTTTTAAAAGTAGTGCCAACTGCTCACTCTTTAATAGTAAAACTTAGTTTTTTGTGACTTTGTTTAACGTCGCTGGGCTTGCGGGTCGCTTTTACTGTCTTTTACATTACTGTTTTACAGTTGGAAGGTTGTTTTATTGCAACTTTCGGTTATTATAACACTCTTTACAGCCTTCGCATTCTTTTAAATTGTTTTTTAATAGCTTTTTGGGCTTTTCGGGAAAGATTTTGGGTGTTTTAGATTTATTTTGGTCTTATATAATTTATATACGAACATTTTCTATTTTAACTTTACATGTATATATAAAAACATTGATATCTTATATATATATGCAGTAATATCTTTTATTTTTTTCCTTTTCAGACGATGACCAACCCTCTGGAAGGTCACTTTCGTATCTTCATCTTGATACTAACCACATGGGGACTGTCAGCCTTATTTGCCAACATCCTATCAGTGCCGTTTAACGTGATATGTATGACTGAAGGAAAGTATCGCTGGGAAGACTTCAGTATTGATCTTGGTACTGGTGAGTCCATTTTCATTATTGTAATGTCAATAGTTTAAATATCTTTTTACTATTATAAATTACTGTAATATTCACAGTAACGTCATTTATACATGTTACAGTAAACTGTATGTTACAAATAAATCTTACCTTCAGATGTCTTCACGAGAATTGACTGGGATCCCCCGAAGACCACCGAACGTCTCAGTGCACCAGACGTACCAGATGTGCCAAGTTTCTGGCCAGATGTGGAGATTCCTGGAATCAGAGTACCAACTCCAGGTTTCAATTGGCAAGGGCTGAGGTTGGCACGACAACATCCCGACCTGTTCCTGAGGCTGCTCCAGAAGGTGACCAAAGAAGTCAGCTACAGAGCAGCCGTCAGGTTGGGAGAGGCTCTTGACCCCAGGGATATTGACTTCAGAAGGTTTTTGAACGGTAAGTTTACTGTAATATAGGTTTTTGAACGGTATGGGTATTGTAATGGAGGTTTCTGAACGGTAAATGTACTGTAATGTGATCATAACGTTGTTGTCTGATATGTAGGTCTACAATTATATTTCAGGCTTCAATCTAACCGAATACGAGCCGGGTGTCGTGTTCAAGGTAAAGCGTTACGTAGTCGATCGTATCCAATCGCTACAACGTGACATTGAAGTGATCGACACTCACGGTCGACGACTTTCAAAGTGGAACAACGTGACTATAGAGGTGAGTAACGTCAGAACATAACTTTTTAATCAAAATACTGTATTATATACTTACAGTAATCCACTTTTAGGACGTTAAACTGCAAAACATAACGTGGAACGGTGTTATCAATGGCAGAGTCAGAATCCAGGAAAAGGCTCCAGATTACGTCTACAGTAGCTGGCAGAAGATCTGGCTGTACGCGGCAGCCGGTTTTGGTACTATTCTTACTGTAGGACCGTTCAGTAAAGTGTTTGACAAGTGGGGCTGCAGGTAAGATGATATGTTAAGATGATGGTGTGAGCTGCAATATTATGTTAACGTTGATAGTATTTGTAGTTTATGTAATAAATTTAAAAAAAAAGAAATATTAGGTTGTTTACTTAATTCTGCGCCCTCTCTTTTTACATTCTAAACTATATTTTTTTAGGAAAACAGTTACAGTAGCAGCCCTGATATCTACCGTAGCCACCTTCTCCATCCCCATCGCGGCTTCTATAGGCTACTTTGCATTCACGATAGTACGAGTGCTACAAGGCGTAGGCTTTGCTGTAGTCTTTCCTACTGTAGGTATCGTAACCTCGAGTTGGGCAGCTTTGAACGAGAACGGTCTATTCAATGGTGTACTCACTTCTTTTACTGCGGTAATTTGTGTTATATTATGTATGATAATTGATAGTTAAGCTTACATTGTTAATGTCTTTGGTATGTTCTTTGATATTATCTTCCTTGTAGTGATAATAAGTAATATCTTATCAATACATTTCACAACAGTTTACTTTCAGATAGCTGTACTAATCACGATGCCATTGTCAGGCATCGTATGTCATCTTAGTTGTTGGTCATGGTCGTATTTCCTTCACGCAGTAATTACTCTGGTGTTTACTATTGTTTGGTGGTGTTGTTACAGGTTGGTTTTTGAATTTACTTTTCAGAGTACTATGAAAACTAGGTAACATTATATAAATATGTATTGAAGAAGCATAAGTTTGTATGTAAAGTAATACACAAACTTTACAGAGATTCACCATCAGACAGTGAAGCCGTCTCGATGAGTGAATTGAGGAGGATTCAGGACGGTAAGATCACCGACTTCAGGCTCAAACACAGTAAGGTGAGTACCTTTGGAACAACTATTGTTACTGTAGAGCAACTACGGTTACAGTATTAAACTTTTTATTTATTTTTGAGTATCATATCAGCTGATGCTTTAGGTACCATACAAAGCGATTCATACAGACACAGCTGTTTGGGCCGTCTGGGTCGCGGCTACTGGAAAGTTGTTCACTATCGTCATTCTTCTCTTCTACTTGCCTATCTACATTCACAAGGTAATACTACTTCTCACCTTGAAAAAAACATTGGGTTACTGTAACTTTTTTCTCTGAGAATGTCAGAAGCTACTTTTACTGTTGTACCTCAGGATTTTTCACCGATCAAAGCGGTATATGACGATAGTACACTCCCTTTCTACTGATCCCTGGTTAGAGCCGCCTCCTTCCTTTCAATTTAAAATTTTTTAATTTCAGAACTTTGCGTACCAACTAATCAAGGTTGGCCTGGTCTTGGCCGTACCAGCTTTCCTTCAGTTCGGGCTAAAGTTGGGATCAGGCCTGGCCAGCGACGCCTTAAAGCAGAAGAGCGAGACCACCAAGGTCAAGCTGTTCAATAGTCTGGCCTTCTTTGTCGCGGCTCTTCTTTTCATCTTTGCCGCCTTTGTCCAATCTACTGAGCTGGACGTGGTTACTGTAGTTGTTATATCACTCGCTTTTATCGTGCTTGGCTTCGACGCTGCCGGATTCTACAAGAGTTCGCCTGTGATTGGAAGACAGTACGCTTACTACATCAACTTGTACATACAGGTATGGTTAACATCCTAATCTTATTACTTAAAATTATTTGTACTGTAAAAGCATTAATATATATATATATCATTTGTTAAATGGGCCTTGTTTTAGGCAATTGCTGGATTTGCGATATTGCTATCGCCATTGTTGGTCCAAGTACTAGCCCCAACTACCAGTCTGGCTGAGTGGATTCTAGTCTTCTGCACGATCGTGGTGCTTCTGGCAGTTAGCGGAATCTTCTTTGCTCTAAAAGGATCAGGGGTTCACTGTCTCTTCACCGAAAACAATCAACTCCCAGCCAACAGCAAAGAGCTCAAGGAACTGAACAAATAATTAAGCTCTGGATAATGTAATGTAAAGTAGGTCTACGGTGCTCTACTTAAAGAAATAATTAAGCCTTATGTTACTCTACATTATACAAAACCACCTCAAAACATTGTAGACCTACTGTAGTTTCGTTGTTTATGTTACGATCATTAAAACATTACTTTAAGCCAGTTTACATCAAACTACTCTGTAAAAACATATCGAAAGTCGCTTCAAAATACGAAAAAGTAGTGTTAGAAGAGTCGTTCATTCATTAAAATTAACGAGGGACCAGCTTAATTATGTATAAATAAATAACAATATATACACTGAGATCTCACACATCGAACGCCCCCACCCCCACCACCGTGTTCTTCTTGGAGAAGCTGAAGTCGAGCGGTGAGGTTCGTTTGGTAGGATACGTGAACATGTTAAAGCCTTCTGGATTCAGTCGTTGTTCAGGTGTCATCATTTCCGACCCGTACGAAGTCACTTGGTCGAAGTTGTAGAAGCTGACAGCGTGTTCCGGACTGCCGATCACAAACACAGAACCGTCCTTGGAGAAGGTAATGGGGACTTGAAAGGGGATGGGGGGACCTTCCTGAGAACAAAGCAACTTTTGCTGGCCCAGATCCCACACATTCATCAGACCATCCGTACTCACTGATATTATGTACCGCCCATCGGGTGATACCTACAATATTTTGTAAAAATTTATAAAATTGCTCGTACATATAGTTTAAAGGCTAGATACCAGCTTATCAAAGCCCACAAACTTAAAATCATTACCAAAATTAAAAAATAAGCCAAAAACTCACTTTTACTGTATGAACCGGAGCCTTGTGCCCGCTGAACTTTCGAACACAAGCTGCATTAAGAACATCCCATACATATACATCATGGTCGTCACTCCCTCCCACAACGTAGTTACAATTAGGATGAAAGTCAAGTCCAGTGACGTCCTCCTGAGCTGAACAGAAGATACGAACTGGTATGTTCTTCTCGGATGAGTATAACGACACCAACTTCGACGCCGTACTTACTGCAAAGTAGAATCCTCTGGAACAGAACAAAGACCTCAGCACTGGAGCATCCATTCTGTAGACCAACAGATTGCGACGCATTTCGATACTCCACAATCTGACCGTTTCATCTCTCGACCCGCTCAGCAACAGTCGACGATCGGGAGAGTAGCTCAGAGAATAAACTGGTCCCAAGTGTCCCTAAAACAAATAAAACAAGAATAATATAACATTCGAGTCGTTTCAAAGCCAATTAGGAAAATCAAACACCTACTGTGAATTCCACGACTTCATCCTTGGAATTGTGGTCGAATATCTCCTCCGTCAGCTCTGTCTCCGCTTCAAGGTCTACTTGTTCCAACTCGGACGATGACTTTAGAAGAGGGAGTCCTTTCTGGTTCAAAGAATGAACTTGTATTGACGAATTTCCGTAGCCAATTGATAGCATTTCACAATTTTCTGTCAAAGCTGCTGAACATACACCTCCAGGAGCATTCAGAATCGTATACAAGCACACAGAAGGCGGGTTCTCAGGTCCAATTTTCACCTTAAATTATGTTCTTACTATGATATTTTATATTACTTTGTATTGGCCATGAAACATAATGAGTACTAAAAATGTAAAAGAACAGTGTATGGACTACCTTTTTACTCATTTCTTTAGCCTGAGCCCTCCGTTCGTTGAGAACACTTTCAGGTAAAGGCGGCATCGGAATCCGATCAGCTGGAGGAGCATTGCCATCTTTCTTCTTGGCATCCTTGAAATCTTTATTTTTCCGTTTCTTATCAGTTAAACCTGGCACTCCCTCGTCCCGATTTGTCCCGAAGAACATCTAAATCTTGTTTAAGGTCCCAGAACACTCAAAAATTATCTAAAGGTAAAGACCGATGAGATCAAACACAGCAAAACTTTGAAAATATTTATCAATTTAAACATAACAACGTTTTAGAGTTGTAAACCCAAGAGAACATTGATAATGGGCTCGTAGTGACAATTTGAGATCCTTAGTCCACTGACCAAGTAATACATCGGTTTATGAGTTCCATGCGTGATAGTTGGACTTCTTGTTGCCCAGAAGCTGGTTGGCCCCGTTGTAGCTGCCAGGAACGTAGCTGCTCAACTGACTCTGAGTGGGCTGTCCAACGGGACGATCCTTGTTCCCATTCGATTGTCCGTACTTCTCCGGCTGGTTGTAAGCCTTCTGCTGCTGATTGAGCCGGCTGTCTTGGTCGTCAACAGATTGCTGTTGGAAGACCGGTGGAGGCGGCATCTTCTGATGGTTGATCATGTACGAGTACTGCATCTGGGGGAATGGAACTTGGAACTGCTAAAACAAAACAAACAATAAGTATACAGATAAAAAGTAAACGAATATGCCATTTTAACTATATAATAGAATATATATTAGTTTTAAAAAACGCACCGTAAACATGTTGTTGAGCGGATTCTGTTGTGGAACAAACTGGGATCCGGAAAGATTGTTCACTGCGGGAGCAAAGCCAGGTGGAGGGCCTAGCTGGCTGTTAGCGTTCATACTCTGCGAGTTGTTGTCCAGCATGGGCTGTCTCTGCTGGCTTTGGTTTAGCGAGGTGTTCTGAGCTTGAGAACCATTACCATTGTTCTGAGAGTTAGTGTTCAACGGGTACTTGACATCGGAGTAGTAGTCGCTCCTCTGGTGACCAGGCTGTTGCTGGTTCTGCTGGTGGTGGCTCTGAACTGCTGGCATAGGGCCGGCCGATGTAACAGTCAGAGCTGGCATCAGACCAAGAGGATTGAAGTCCATCTGGCCAAGTGGAGTATATTGATACTAAAAACAGAATACGCATTAAAACGACAAAACTTACGGGATTGTACATTCCCATGTAACCGAAGTTTGGATAAGGAATCTGCGGCACCGGAGGCATATATTGTTGTTGTTGCTGTTGGTGGCTCTGATTCGACTGGCTAGTCTGCGACGCTGGAATGTTGCTTTGAGTAAGCGAGGAACCGGATTGAGATTGAGTAGTCTGTGGCTTGACTGGAGATGGTTGAGCACCATTGGCACGAACATCTTGAGTCTGGGGATAGTTCATAGTGCTAGTCTCCGAGAAAGAAAGATTGGAAACACGGGAAGCGTTCGACTGCTGTGGTTGACGAGTTTGTGCTGGAGAGTGGTTGTACTGATTGATAATGTTTTGGGCAACTCTGTGTGCTGCGCAATCCCCGAGGGATGCAGGAACAGCAGGCTGAAAACAAAATTGTCAAATAATTTTCGTAAAAATATTATTAAATTATATAAATTCCATTAAAAGTAAAGTAATATACCTCTTGTGTCTTTGCCACTGGCTCTGGCTGTCTTTGAATATCGACATTAGAATTTTCTCTGGCCAAATCATTTCCAGCAAAATCGAAAACAACGTCAGCTTGAGGAACCTCAGAAGCGCATTCGTACTTAGGAGTAACAGCGTCTTTAGAACCGTGCGACGATCCCAATCCAAGATCATTCTTCAACTGGTCGGTCAGACTTTCCTTAACGGAATCCTGTGACACTGGAGTTGGTGGATTTGGAGAGAAAGGCTTCTGCGGCTTCGCCGGAGACTTGAGAGATTCTGCTGTGATAGATTTGGCTGGAGATTGCACGGGTTCAGGCTCGGCCGCCGGAGACGGTGTTCTGTACCTAAAATACGCAGTTAATAGGTTTCTTGTAAAAAACAAAAAAAAATCAACCGCTAAAAGTAAAAACGGCCACTTACTCTTCAACATCAATTGGCTTCTGCTGTTCAACAACCTTTGGTGTTTCTTTTTTGTTCCCGCGAGCTGCTACGGCGGCAAAACTCATTGGACCAGCTGCGCAAGCAGGCTGTGATGGTGGTGGTTGTTGTACAACTTCCGGAACCGGCTGAGATGCTGGTTCAGCATCTGTTCTTTCAAATACTCTGGGACCAACTTTCTAAACAAAGACAATTTAAACCAGAACAATCCAAATGACAAAACCCCTAAAAAGCAACAAAAAATAGTATGACTCACCCAGCTGTCGTCGTTATCATCTTTCTTGCTTTTGAAGGATCTGTCACCTTGAAGCCTAGGCTTACGTTGCGCAAAGGGCTTGTTCTCGACGCCTTTGGCGATTTCTCTGCTGAATTTTGTGGGTTTTGGAGCATCTGAATTGCCATTCTGGGGACGCGGCCCTCGTTTGAATTCTGAAATACGAAAATTTATTACCTAAAAATAATCAATCGCTAAGCATTGCGTAGTAACAAGCAAAACCTTTAAAAAGTCAAACTTACGTCCATTACGAATCTGTAGTTTCTTCTCTTCCTCGGCCTTCTTCTTGTCCTTCTTGCTCCTCTGTTGAACCCATGTGTCCAAGTTACTGCTTTCAAGGATCTTATTGACAGCTTCCTGCACGTCGTTGTTCGAATCGTACAGAGCAATCTCTGCCTGTTCAACTGTACATTTAGTCGCTTCAACAATCTGAAAACAAAAAATTTGTTTACATCAATCAAAAATTGTGCCTGAAAACAAAAGATCGTCTAAAATGCAAATAAATTGTTTTTAAAGCACATTTAGCCACAAAAGTAAGTAGAAACTCAGACATATTATTTAGGTGTACCGTAACTTACTCTGTCGATGACTGTTTCACTGTGATGAGCCGATCGGCCCGAAACTTTGGTGTTTCTGCTCATCTGAACTAAAACAATATCAATATTAATAAATTAAACGTTTAAGTAACAATTTACAACTTTAAATTTACATCAGAGCAGTAAATACAAAACTAACAAAGCGAAAAGTTTAATATCAACCTAATAACGCCTAATACAAGCAAAACATGTCAATAACACTATTCCCATTTCACCCATACCCCGGAGATATGATATTACAATAAATGAATCAAAAATTTTGGAAAAACAACAATTGAGCGCTTTGCCCGAATTTTGTAATCAAGAAAAGAAGGTTTTCGAACGTTTCCGAACAGTCCACCCTCTACTCGATACCAATACCCCAAAAGTTAGACCCCAAGTAAATTAGCACATATCTACTCAATTACATAACGAACACCTATGTCAACACCTTTTTGGACATCAAAAGGTGATCGGCGGCGGACAAACATGATTAAAAAAACAGGGAGTTGAGGTCGATATCAAGAATTTCGCGCCAGAACAACGCGCCCCTGATTCTTGGCATTCCGTCGCAGGCCGAAATATATTTGAGGAAAATATACTCGACCTTGAAAGGAAAGACCTTTGCCGCGCACCAGTATCGATCTCATGCTGTTCTCTCTCGTCGGCTGATTAATCTACGTGACTCATATTCATTTCCTTGCCTTTGGGCGTTTTGATTTTATTTATTTTTTCGAATCGTACCACTTTATAAACGTTTGTGCTTTCAGATGGACTTCTACGGCGGATATAATAATGGTGCTCTCGAGTATGGTATGTTTTTCTTTGTTGTTGATTTTATTTTTAGTTTTATAACGATTTGTTTTACAAAAGTAGGTTATCTTTGAAAAAGTTGTTTGAAATGTTACCTAAATTTTTAAATTTAGGTATGAAATATTGTGTTTTTTAGATATGTACAGCCGAGTCAGGATGAGCAGTTCCAGAGTAAGGAACGCTTTGTTCCCTGACTTTCCCACCGAACCAATCGAAGATTCACCGTCGTTCTTGGATCAGTTGGCTGGACCGTCTTTGGAAGCTCAGAATGCTGTGATTGACTTTCTGAATGCTCCAGACGAAATGGAAAGATTGGGACATGCAATTGGGGAGTGCATTAGGAACTTGGGTAGCCGTGATGCCAACCTTATTCTTAGTGGATTAAGTAACATCTACAGCCTGGCCCAACGTCCAGGGATCGCAGAACAAATGGCAGCCGATGAGGAATTATTAAAGGCGCTGATTAAAACACTAAAGTGAGTGGTTAGGTTGAATTGTACTTTACATTTTAGTTATGATGATGAGGAGATTCAAGCGAATGCTCTGAAGGCATTGGCCGCTCTTTCGGCTTCAGCTCCAGCTCGAATTTGCATATTCAGAAGTGGCGGGATTCCAGCATTGGTTCGTATGTTGGGGAGTCGAGACGAAGCTGTGGGAAGATACGCTGTACAGACACTACACAAACTTTTACAATACGTAGAGCCTGCCAAAGACGAGATTATAGCTGAGCGTGGTCTAGAAGCATTCGTTCCTTTGCTACTGGATTCCAACGTCAAGGTTCAAGCTCTTGTAGCAGATTGTTGCTACTACTTATTGTTTGAGAGACCTATTTGCAAGGAAAGGTTTTATCAACTTAACGGAAATGAGTTGTTGTTGAGGATTCTGGATACTCGCTATGACTATTTGAAGGTTATCTACCCCGTGTTACGATGCCTCAATTGTGTCAGCACGGAGCCGAAAAACAAGGAGCAGCTTGTTGAGATTGGTAGGACCGCAGCTTCAGTTTTTACAGTTTGTTAACAAACGGTTTTTGGAAGTAAATCCATTTGTTGATAACACAATGTAAAATATGTGATTTCAGGCACTTTGGATGCTCTACATCAATATCTGCACAAGATAAACGATCCCAAATGGAAGCTTACACTCTTGAACACAATAAGAAATTTGTCAGATGCAGCTACGACCGTTGATACATTGAGTGGGTTGGTTCGCGACCTCCTTGGTATGTTGAAACACACATCGGATGATATCACTGTCAGCTGTATCTGTGGCATTCTTTCTAATCTCACTTGTAATAACATAAACAACAAGAAGACCGCCACTTTGAGTGGAGGGATCGAGATCCTAGTAGCTGTTGGGGGAGCCTTCTCTCATATCGAGGATGTAACTGAACCTACCTTGTGTACGATCAGACATTGTACGATTCGTCATGATCTTGCCGACCAAGCTCAGTCAGAATTGTGTCATCTGACTCACGGTCTCCAGATCATTCTTTGTTTGTTGGCTACGAGAAGGCCTCCAATAGTGAAGGCGGCGTTGGGCGTGGCTAGAAACTGTGCCATTAGAGAATCGAACAGAAGAGCGCTTCTGATGGAACGAACGCCAACTCGAGATGGGGTGGTGAATGTTGCGATTGAGGTTTTGTTACACTCTGGAGATGAGTTGACTAGGGAGTTCGACGCTCTGACAGAGGGAGTGTCACTTCTGGAGTTGGTGGAGACTACCGTGTCTTTGCTTCATCAGCTGACGAAGGAGGTAGAGATAGCTGAAGCATTATACACTAGACAGGATATTATGATGATATTGGTGTCTCTGATCAGCATTGACAAGATCAACCAGGCTGAAGAATGCCTTGTGCTGAGAGAGGTCATGGGCATTTTCTATCACATCACTAAAACAGCTGAAGGGGCTAGAGTTCTGGAGCACAGTGGCGCCGTTCCTTACATCTCTTTTGCTTACAGATCCAAAGATCACGCAGTTGGTAAGTTTAGGTATCTTTTTGTTGATTTATCATATATGCCACAAGATTTACTTTTTTCTTATAGTAACATACGCAAAAGCCATCCTCCGCCAATTGGGTATGGAGGAGCGACCTCTGCCTGGATATCAACATAACTCCCACAGTTCGACCGATACATTGGGATCGAATGGTCGCATAGTACAGCAAGAGTATATAGGGCATGGTGGATGCATCAATGAAGGACTGGAGCCTGAATTGTTCCAGGAGATGTATTCTCCAACCTTGGGGGAGATGCGACATGATCACATCGAAGGTCATCATGGCAACTCCTGGTTTGATACAGATGTTTAAAACTCAAGATTAACTAGCAATATTCAGATATTCTTTATTAAGCTTTTACTTACGCAGTTTACATATTTTTATACCGCAACTTGTACAACTAACGATAATTAGATGCCTTACCTCGCTTTTTTCGCTAATAAACTATATTGTACATTAATTACTAGTCAAATTCGTATAAAAAGTGAAGAACACAAGTTAAAATATTCTACTTTTTGTTAATTTTCGAAAGAAAAAGTTTTGACGAGAAAGATTTTATCGTAGGCGTTTGAGCGTATAAAAACGGCTGCGACGTGCGTCCTAAAGGAAAAATATTTTTATTCCCAAATCTCGACAATTTATTGTTTTTGGGCACAAAAATGGTTCAACTAGAACCATCCATCGTAAATATAAATGAAGTAGACTTTGTTACCAAATCTGGCTTCTCTACAGCTGTTCTGACATTAAATTCAGAGCTTGGGAAGGTTTGTGCTGTCAGAAAATGCGACGACAAGTAAGTGATCTTATTATTTATTTGTTTTTGGTCGTTTTATATTGTGTTTTTATTGGTTTCTTTGCAGAGCCGTTGAGAGAAAGTTCTACATTGTGGAGTTTTACAATGTTGTCAATCTTCCCGCCATGTTTGTGGAAGTACAGTTTTCGTTTGTTGATATTATCATAGAAACAGCTGTTTGGGTAAATCAGAAAGTATTGTTGGGTTGTAACAATGGCTCTGTGCTTCTAGTGTCGCCTTTTGAAACAAAATATAAGGTAAGTTATCTTAATTGTATAGTTTATTGTTTAGAGATTTCCATTAGCGGTTTCTGGAGTCATAGCGTCGGCGGCATTGTCGGTTACACAAGTTGTGGTGGCTACAGAATCTAGCGAACTTAAATTTCTGGAATTTGACAAGGATGACCAAATGGAAGTCAAGAAGACCGTTGTTCTGAATTCTGATCAAAGGGTTACAGCTCTGGCGATGTCCCCAAAGAGATCGTTATTGGCTGTTGGATTGGTCAATTCTTTGATTTTCTTGAACATTGAGACCAATAAACAGAACTTTGTCCATGTTCCAGCTCATAACAACAAGAACACTGTTGTGTGGTCTTTGGTGTTTTTGTAAGTTTTAAATCGTTTTTTAATTAGAAAACAAGTTAAAATGTTAACATTTGTTACCTATTTTAGGGATGAGTTATTGTTCAGTGGCGATTCTAGAGGAAAAGTGACGATCTACAACGCAAACTCTTTCGGAGTTATTAAAGTATGACTCTTTACATTTACAAATCATTTTTATTATATTAAGGTAGTAACTTTAATTATTATGTCAAGCAAATTTTGAGTTTGCAGTTTCTATTGATGTTTGCATTTTTAGATCGTTCAAACGCACGAGACAGATGTATTGTCCTTGTGCACTGATGGTGAGAACGTGTTTGCATCTGGAGTCGACTACAGAATCCAAGTGTTAAAGAGCACAGCATCTGTTAATGTATGTTTTACCTCATTCTTACGATTAATAATTAATAAAAAAAGTTTTTAAAAGTTAGTTGTTAACAATTTTTATACAAATTTTGTATATTTTAGGCTAGATCTGATTGGAATACAGTAGGGCAGAGAATAATTCACAAGAACGATGTGACATCTATGGTGGCATTAGGGTCATGGTTAATATCTGGTGGGGCTGAACACGAAATACTCATCTCGAATGCTCGGTTTCATTTTTATTATGCTAAAGAAAAGGTAACTTTTAAAAATATTTATTTTCTTAGCGACAAATTGTAATAATTTTGAATTTTAGGATTCAATACTTGTAAGATTAAAAATAATTTTTAGAGTTTGGTGCAAAGCAATCAGACCCATTTGTTGAACACTCAACTACAAGCAGTTGAGTTGTGGAAGTTACACTCGTCTATGTCGGGTGCTTCGTGCTTTGGAAACTCTTTTGTATTCAGCAAGGATTCTCTACAAGCACCGTCACGACTTCTGAAGCTGGCTACACCGAAAAGTGCCATTATTTTTGATTCTTCTGCAGCTCCAGACTTTAAACACGTTGTTTTGTACACTTCAGAAGGCTTGTTGATTTACTCCGTGAATGAAGCCAAAGACACCGTAAAAGTGGAGAGGATTCTTCGAGTGAAATCAGAAGAAATTGGAAATGTTACGGCTTTGGCAGCTTTCAAAAGTGGAGTTTATGTAACCAGAGGAAACTTGGAGGTCGTCAAGATCAGTTACAAAACGAAGAAAGTCGAGAATGTGGCTCTGGCTGGTATGTTTTAATTTTTGAGCTATTATAATATTGTTTTGATAGTAATTTTTTTACTTTATCGAATGTTATTATAGACGGCGCTGCCATTGTTAGAAAGTTGACGACCGATTCTGAAGGCAAAGTTCTGGCTGGAATTGATACTCGATGTCAAGTTTTCAAAGTGGATTTGAAACCCAAGACTGACTGTGATGTAAGTAATATATTATACTCTCTTATGTTGTTTATGAGTTTATGACATTTTTTCCTAAAATCAATTTTACATTTTTTCTAATTAAACACTTCAAAGACAAGTTTAATATACTTTACCATTTCAGGAGAGGATAGTCTACTTACCATGCAAAGATGTTGTGTCCGACCTTGTTTTACTGGGTAAAGCTCACAAAACCCTATTGGCACTAACGCCGGGAACAGAAACAAAACTTCGATTGATTGATTCAGACGGCGAGAAGGCCAGGATTCTGAAGTTGTCTTCTATTTTTGAGGATCACGTTAGAGAGATTTGTTGTGGGCTATCTGAATGTTCAGATGATTGTGTTGTGCTGAGTGGAAGTCATGGTAACATCGCGATCCTGGATGGTCTTTCTCAGGTAATTACTACAATATTTAAACTTCGTAAGAATCTAAATTGTTTTGCTTACCACTTTAGAGAATTTTAATAGGCTGGCAATTTTTATTCATTTTTAACCAAGCCATTTGTGTTTTATAAAATAATTGACGTAGTATCATAAGATGTTATTGTGGACTTAAACCTAAAAACGAGATGAGGGTGCTTTCGTACGTGTGAATTCAAGTATTTTTTTAGAAAAAACACAATTTACAATTGGTCCAGCGATGTCCGGACTCCACAAAAGAAGGGGAAGAGCACAAGTTACGGTATCCGACCCAACAAGACGTCTACTGGGGCACCGATATAAAGGAATCTAAGGCTGTTGTACTGTGCAACCACCACTCGAACGCCCTTCCCTCCAGGGCACCCTTCAAAATCAGGAGATACGGCCGTGTCTAACCTAATACCAAGTTATTGTTACTGTTTTTGTTGATTTACATTGTTATTGTTTCGAAATGAACTGTTTTCTTCACACTCCATTTCACAGACACGAAAACAGGATACGTTCTTTCGTATCAAGTTATGATAATGTTTGGGATGGAAAGGAAGTTAGGCGAAGCCAGCACTTTGCTCATTCCTTCAAGACTTCCGAAAGGACGCGAGTTTTCAAATTCTGGTCTAAACCTTATTAGGCGGTTAAGGCATGTGCAGAAGAAGCAGCCCCGGACATCTCTCAATCATATGGCCAACTTCTTTTATTTACAGTCCGCTCCTGTACTTTAACTCGATTTGGCTGGTTTTATTTGTTTTCGAAATAAGGTGACATTACTTAGGATAACGTGGTAATTACAATTATAACATTAAACGGGATCTGGTTTTTAAAGAAACTTTGCATATGACAACAACAGTCAAAATCGCGGTACCTTGCTGTACAAAAAATATTTTTAATTTTTCAGGATACAGTACTAAAAACAATGATAACGCGGTGAATACGATCTTGTTTTACTTGGTAAATGACTACCGACAACTTTTACGATGCTGCGACCCGCGACAATTATATTCTGCACAGTGTTTTTGTTTCACTCATCGTGCACCGCACAAGAATGTAGGAACGGAACGACGGAGCGGATAGTAGCGACAGAAAGAAAGGAAGGATACCTAACATCATATGGGTACCCGTTACCGTACCAAGCAGGAGCATCGTGCAAATACGAGTTAGAAGCACCTCCAGACGTTGCTTTGGTGATAAAACTGGAGCTGATAGAGCTGGACTTGACCGAGAAGTACTATCACACCAACCAGTGCTTGTGGGACTACCTCATCTTCGTGGTATTCGACCGAGATGGCAAACAACACGTCAGTCAACGGTACTGTGGAAGGCCTCAGAAGCTGCCAACTCTCGACACGATGCAGTGCAAGTTGCAGATCATATTCGTTTCAAACGAACAGTCACGACACGATCATGAACACAGGGGATTCAAGATAAAGTACATGTTCCTACCTGAAGGTAAGTATCTCAGAACTACTGTAGCAAAGCTCTCGAATGCTTTAATATTGGCGTTCTTTAGTTGCCTAGCACAAATTATTTTACTTTCAGCGGAAATCGGAGCTCCCCAAAGTATCTACCATGACCCAGATGGTCGATTCCGAAGAGAGTGTGGTGGATCGTCATTACCTAATGAAATAACCGGTGAAATCACAAATCCTGGCTTTCCGTTAACGTACCCAAGGAACATCACGTGCTACTGGTTGATACGAGTGCCTGCTGGTCAGAGAATCTACATACGATTAACTCATTTACAACTGTCTACTACCGTCGGTAAGATTTATTCATAGCTATCTTGTTATCACACTTTATTATAAAATCTAATAGTACATGCTCATGTTATCTCCCATTTATCATATTTTACTTCATCACATCTTTTTATATGTCTCTTATAAAGAAAATTGTAGCTGAGTGTGACCGTGCATCTCTGGCAATCATCGACGGCTACAGACACGATCTGTCGCGGAAACAACGACCTAAAATGAGTAATTCTGGCAGTGAAGAAGTCAGATTCTGCGGAAGTCATTTGTACTACAATGAAGAAGGCATGAAGTCGTATCTGTCCAACAGTAATCGTGTGGTCATACGGTAAGGCCTATTTGACATAACACTCTACTTTCTTATGACAATGTTAAGACATACTGTTTTACAAATTTACTTTCAGCTTCAACAGCATGGACTATCCATCGATGGAACAACAACAAAAGTATCACGACGAAGGCACTCCGATTGGATTCAAGATTCTATGGACAGAAGTACACTCTCTCGTGGCTACAGAAGCCATATACGATGAAGCCGAGAATCCAGAATGCAAGGGATTCACTTGCAAAGGAGGCTCCTTCTGCATCGACGATGGACAGAACATTTGTGCAGAACGTACTCGGTTGTGCATCAACGAAACTCTCAGATGTAATGGAGTATCAAATTGTGCCGAAAACGATGACAGCGACGAGGAACTGTGTAAGTCATAAAGAGTTTAAAAAACCAATTTTAACTTCACTATTACACTAACATTATACCATCAACTTCTCTTTAGGTTACACCGAACGTGCTTTCATTTACGGCGGTGCTCTGGGAGTACTGAGTATCTTGTCATTAACAACATGTCTGATGCTCAAGTGTTGTCGCAGCAACAACAAGACCATGACTGCTGACAGAGTAATAGACACCAGAAGACCCAGAATGCCACCAAGAGGAGAACCAATAAGGACAGTGGATGTGAAGAGAGTGTCGCAGAGAGACAAAGACGAGTGTTCCAGATCTCGGAACGGCTCAGAAATGGTAGTCTGGCAGATAGCGTCCCCACATCCAGAACGATACTCAATGGACCCGAGCCTTCGAACTGATATTCCCATTGGCAGGGCTCTAGTGTAATATACAGTAGCTGAATGTAATCACAATTTTATTATTTTGAATATTTAGTAATTTTACTTACTGGTCTATTTAAAAAAACCTTAATAACAATTGTCACAGAAGGGACATGATATTCATTGTATGATAATGGGAGAAATTAAATATCTGAATATTTAAATTAAACTATTCAGTTTACAAAACATGAATGTTATTTACTTTATATGTGTATTTTCTTACATCTTGTTCATCTTTAAACAGTTTTTCGTCAACTCCCATCTCTAAATTCATGTAAATTTTGGCGAAAAACCATGTCAATAGTCAGTAAAACTTGCTCAACGAATAGAATCTTAATATTATCACCTAATAAACTAACTAAAGATGTAGATGACGCTACTTTCCTCAATCACCTACAAAACCTCAATATTTTCACTAGACATGAGAAACGGGCCGGGCTTCGGGCCCGATCGGGCCCGTTTTTTGAATATTTTTTTCCCGCCAGGTCCATATCTCAAAAACGATAAGAGATATCAAAATTTTAAGATTATTTACAGTAGTCAGGACCATTCAAAACATGGAAGTAGAAAAAGTTTCAGACCAATTCGACCGGTCGAAAAAAAGCGCGGGAAAAAATATTCAAAAAAGGGGCCCGTTTCTCATGTCTAATTTTCACTCCAAAAGTCGAAAACGAGAAAAGTCTTCTCGTTTTCGAGAAAATGTTTCCGTTCGAGACCCGAAAAATAAAATAAATTATTTTACGCTGACGCGGCTCAACTTTTGTGCCGTACAACACTAATATCGAGTAGTGGAGAGTGTCAGAAAGGATCAATAATGTCCGACTTTTCGGATTGGTACAATGGGATTCCCCAGATCACACGTTACTGGTTCACAGCGGCCACAGTGGTTCCGCTACTGGGCAGAATCGGCCTTCTGCCGGCGCATCTGATGTATTTGGACTGGACTTTATTCTGGGAACACTTTCAGGTAAGTGTTACTTTTTTTTGTATTATTTCTTAGATCTGGCGACCTGTCACAGCCTTCATATATTACCCAATAACGCCTCAGACCGGATTTCATTGGTTGTTAACGATATACTTCTTGTACACGTACTCAAAGAGTATCGAGACGAGTTTATTCAGTCAGAGGCCTGCTGACTATGTTTTCATGTTGTTCTTCAGCTGGGTTTGTTCTGTGGTAAGTGATTTTTGATTAGACGTCATTTAAGCATATTAGCTTTGAGTTTAAGAACTAAACCATAGTTTTGTTACCTAAATTAATTTGTTGCTTTTAGATGATTGGGTTTGGTTTTGGAATGTACTTTTTGTTAGAGCCAATGGTACTGAGTGTGTTGTATAACTGGTGTCAGTTCAACAAAGATGCTATTGTGTCTTTTTGGTTTGGAACCAAGTTTAAGGCTGTTTACCTTCCGTGGGTATTGGTCGCTTTCAACATGATCTTGAGGTATGTTGTTTTAGGCATTTTAGAAGGTGTTAGTACTTTAGTCTTTCAAAAACAGATTACCTCAATTGAAGGTATGGTAGAACTAACATTACTTGTTTTAGAGGCGGTGGACTGAACGAGATCGCCGGTATTATCATTGGCCATGCTTACTACTTCTTGGCAGTACAATATCCAGCTGAACGAGGCACAGCGCCATTGATTAGTACACCACAGTTCCTATACCGATGGTTCCCAAATGTACAGGGTGGAATGGGAGGCTTTGGACAGCCAGCTAGCCGACCAGCAGCTGCCAACAACCAGCAAGCTCCAGCAGCAGCACGACGTCAAGGTGCCTTCTGGGGTCAAGGTCAAGCTGTCGGCAACTAATTTATTCAATTTTTTATTAATAAATCTTATTTGAAATTTTTGTTGTGTTGGAATTTAAGAATCATATGGCCCTCCATTTGGTGAAAGTCAGTTTAAACATCGAATAAATAGAAATCTAACTATTATAATGCCGCACTATAATGTTTCCATTTATTTTCCCACTTGAGGCATTAGCTTTTTGATTTTTTTTGTTTTTACAATGCTCTCTATATTAGCTAAACGTCTTTCTCCAAGAAATTCAATAAAAAATCAAAAGCGATAGACGGAAAAATTATTGAAGCCGATATTCTACAAAAGCTGTCATCGTGACATCGATTTATTGGAAATATTGTTGCGCATATATTATTAGTAACATATAATGCGCGTTAGCTTGCTGTGATAAATTATTTTTATAATATTAGCATTTAAGCAAAACGGGCAGGGAAACGTCGTCGTGACCCTTTTTGTAGATTTTTAAACCGCCGATTTCTTTTTTTTGCGAAAAATTTATTTGAAACAACTGCTTTTTCAAGGATAATTATCTCTTGTTGGATTTATAAAAACGTAGTATGTTTTAGATGGCAGACTTTAAAGTAGGAGATCTAGTATGGGCCAAGATGCGCGGCTTTCCTCACTGGCCAGCTCAGGTATGTTGTCTCTTGCTTTACTTCATGTGTTTAGATATCGAAAATTCCGAATCAACACAATGGAAAGTATTCAGTCTTCTTTTTCGGTACTCATGAATCTGCTTTTGTGAAAGTAGCAGATTTATTTGATTATTACGAGAACTTGAGTACTTATGGCATTTCACGGAAACTGAATGGCTTCCAGAAGGCGATGGACGAAATAAAAGAAGCGGCGAAGAAGAAGAGCAAGAAGGTTCAGAAGAAGGAAAATGTTAACTCGGCTCCACGACAGCAGAGGAATCGGATTCCGAACAGATTGATATCCAACGAGGACTTTGTGGTACCTCAGCCGAAAAAGATAAAGGGAGAAGGGAAGTCGGATAAGTTAGAGAGTAACTCAGCCAGTATCAACAACTCTCCCAGGAAGAGGACAGACAGTGCTAGTTCTACAGAGAGGTCTAGGAAACGGATCAGTTATTCAGAGCGATTTGGCGTTGATTTGTCTGACATTGAATCCACATACCCAAATGTAAGTTTAGACTAACATGATTGTTTTATTGCTGTACATTTTACTGTTTTAAAAGTTTTAATTTAAACAGTTTGTCTAAACTTATGCATGAAGTACAGGGGGTATATATTTATTAAATTTTAATTTTTAGGTACGAAATAACTTTTTTGCTGGCATGCCAATGTTTGAAGGGCTGGAAAGTGAACAATCGGAAGACGAGATAGCCAAATTGTTTGGCGGAAGAAAAAGAAGAAGGACAAGATCAAAGTTATTTGATGATTACTGTTTGCCTGGTATCGGAAAGTCTCCTAGGGATCGATCTGGCTCTTTCTCTTCAACTAACGGTCGAACTAGGTAATGTTCTGGATAAACACTTTAGATGTTTTATAGGTTGATGTCAAATTACATTGGGCAAATCATGAGTCATTTAATTATTTTGATGGTTTAGGTTGATTAGTGGTTTCTCTGACACATTTGACGACATTGAGTTTAATCCAAATGTTTTATTTAATGCCATCGATGACCTGCCAAGTGAAGAATCTGACCGTGCCATTACACCAGAAGCTCCCACCGCAATGCCATTACAAGAAAAGAAATGTTATTCATGTGGCTGTCTATGTGAAGTTTGGAAAAGGAAGTACAAGTGAGTTTAGCAAGTTTTAATATTTTGGGTAACAGTTCAAACGATTTTGACGTTTTAGGTAAAAAATTATGAAGTTTGTATAAATTACTTTACTTTTTATATAGAACGTAAATTTGTTTTAAGATGTACGAATCGAGACTGTAATCGATGGAATGGTGTAGTAGAAGCTCCTTCAATGAAGCCGGCTTCGATCCATCCGTTGGCCTTCAATTGGGACAAAAGCTACCTGGATGACATTCCAATGTCAGACTCGTCTGACAAGGAGTTGAAGAAGCCTAATTTGTCGTTGGACCCAACTCTGGGCACAGAGATGGCAGTAGATCAGATCTCCAAGATCAAGCAAGAGTTGATGACCGAGATCGAGGAAAGTGTCTCAGCTGCTCCAACTCCAATCCCCGAGCCAAGTCCAGTGGACAGGTCAGATGCTTTGTTGAGTAGTGCTATGTCCAGTACCATGTTCGAGTTCAATGAACCACTACCACCACAAAGAGAGCCTCCGAAAGATATATCCAGCATAATAACACAACAACAAAAAACACGAATCCAGAATCAGGAGACTTCTGGAATTCGAATGGAACAGTACGAACCCCACAAGAGGATGATCCGACCAGGAAACAGGAGCAGGGCGTAAGTTTCTATACCTTTGACAATTTAACGTTTTCAATGTCACAAATTTGTTTTTAATTATGTAAACATTGATATGACCAACTTATCGTTTTACAATATTCTTGAAGTAAGTTTTGAGATTTAGTTACCATTACACGCATTTTTCAAAACGTAACTTTTAGAAAGGTAGAAAAGACTCCGCCAGTGTCGAGCAATGGAGTACGGTACTGTTACTTTTGTCCAGGACAAGTACGACCTCAGATGTGTGGTGGTAACAAGCATAGATGGAGATGTGTAGATAAAAAGTGTAGGAAGTGGTATGGCTGGGTCAAGAGCAGCGACGAGATTCCCCGGGACTTGGGAAAGAAAGGCCGATGGAAGGATTTGGTGATTCGGGTACAGAGCTCTCAAAATGAATTCGAAGATCGTCTGGCTAGCGACATGATTCAGAAGAATGGTGATCAGGTTAGTGTTGAAGTTATGGAAAAAGTTTAGAATAAACATTGTAAACGTTATTGTCGATCTTATATTGAAATGAGTAACTTATAGGATTCATATGGACCCGACGAAGAGCGAGGTCGTGTGAAACGAAGATACCGCAGATGTAAACCTCAACCATGGAGGGACATATCGCCGTTGACTGTCAAGGAGTCTTACTATGAGCCATCCTGCATGGAGCAGCGACCGCGATGGTGGATTCAGGAACGAAAGAAGGCTGACTTTTCTCCAGAACGAGAGTTCGGAGTGGATGTTCTGGATGCTGCTGCATCGTTCAGACTAATTGCTAACTCAATGTTAACTGCGGCCAATACAAAAACAGACGAATATGGTTCTGTAAATGGTAAGTTGTTGCCTTGAGAAATGAAACTATCTACTTGTACTATTTATGTAGTTGTTTATTGTATAGCTTGTAATAACATGGTATGAAAAAATGCAAATTGTAACTTTATAGTTACTATATTTTAGGTGCCTTAGACCTGTTGATGGACTCGTTGATGTCGTCGCTCGGCCCTCTAATGACTATAGCCAAACAAATACCAGGCATCAATTTGCCTGACGACACTGTACAAAAAGTTTGGAATGCGACGTCGCTCCACACACCGATGTTTTAGTTGCCAAAATTGTATAAAGTTGTTGATTTTCACATTTTATTTGTTTTCATTAAAAATTACCGTCGGTTAACAGACTTTAAGAAGTATTTTTAACTGGATCAACCTAGGCTTCAGAAAATGTGTGGCTTTTAATGACACTTTTAGATCTATGTTTAAAAGCAATTGATTAACGGTCTATTAGATTAACGGTGAATTAAGAAACGAAACATAAATACATTTTAAAAATTGTATCATTGTGTAGGATTGTTTAGCAACTCCTACAATTGGCATAACTACAAACAAGTGTTTTTACAGATAATGAGGTTTCCTCGCAGATTTTTGCGCTCAATCAATAGTGGCACTTTGTTATATAACGGTAAACTTGACTCGCAAATGTTATTCGAGTCAGCTTTTTCTCTTGCTCTGTAAATCTGCAAAAAAAGAACATTGGTTTGTATTTCTCAGAATCGCTGTAATTTTATAATGTCTACAGCAATGTCTGAGGACAAACGACCGTGTCCTGACATTGGGTCACCATCTTCATCTACAATTCCGTTAGTTAATCCACTATCTTCTGCTGCGACAACGGAAAATGGACACTTTAACAACACGCCTGCTTCCGCTGACAACAAGTCTTCTAAAGACATAAACAGCACGAGCCAACGTCCTCTGACCATGTATGCACCCAAATGTTTCGTGAAATTACCCGATCGAGATCAAAGGAACGATATCCGCGCGAGCAAGGACAATATCACAGATTATCGACCCAAGGAAAACCTTCAATCCAGCTATTCTCACGGATACGAAGTCGGTCAGAAGACGAACGTTAGTTCACAGCAACAGTTAAAGCCGTCTTCGAATGGAGATAAACCTTTGGGAGACAATGGTAAGTTCATTTACTTCGTTTATTTATTTTATATCTCTTTCGTCTTTAATAGCTTTAATGTTTCTTATGGTTTTCAGAATTTGCGGGTACAAACGGAAAGTCATCTAAGAATGGTAACGCCAGTATGCCGCCTCCCAAAATCAAACCTTCTCCAAAAGTAAGTTTTGTTACCTATTTTGTCATTTAATTTTAGTCCAAAATTCAGAAGCCCAGCTCATCACAACAAGAACGCCCAGTGAATAAAGGGTCTAATCCGTCGCCAAAAAGGCCTCTTACTAACACAACAGCTACATATCAGAAGGCCCGATTTCCGTCGCCATCCAACTCCTCATCCTCGCATAATAACTATGGCCATCATGTGCAACAATACGGACCGCCTTCGGGTTACGTTGTGCGGTCTTCTCCTTCAAATAACCAAATGTACACCGTGCAACAACGAGGACCCCCGGCAGTGCGGGCACAACCTCCAGGGTCGACAAAACCTCAGGTTATCATCCAACCACAAGGTAACGTATCAACTTCTCAACAGCATCACTTCATAATCCAAACGCCACAAGATCAGTATCCCCACCGAGCGGGTGCTACAGTCCAGCGTGCATATCCCTCAGCTAATTCTGGGCCTCCAGTCTCTGTTGCTGGCCAACAGCACCAACAACAAGTTGTGATCCAGTTCCATCATCCTCCTTTAAACGACAATCAAAGGGTGTTGATCCACCAACATCAACCGGTCGAAAGGCGTGTAATGACATCAGCTCCGTATCCAACTTCAGCGTCTCAGCCTCATTCTTCTCAGCAGTCATCTTCTCAGATGCCAGAGGGTGTTTCAGAAAGGGATCTGATTCACAGTAGACAAATGAAACCGATGCCGCCCAAGATACCACAGCCCGTGAAACCTGATGATATCTACAACGAGATGTCCTCTCATCCAGACTTGATGGCATTGCCGGATTCTTTTAACACGATACTCGACCAGATTCACTCCTCTGGAGCAGCGCCGAAGGATCTTTACAAGATATTGAAGCGACAGTTTAAGTTCTTGGTTTACGTAAGTTAATTGTTTTCACTTTTTAAGTTTAATTTCTTTACTTTTCAGAAACTTCTGTATTTGAGCATAATTTGTTGTTTGAATCATTTTACAGACAAAATTAATAGTGTTGTTGCAGGAAAACGAATGTTATCAAGAAGAGCTCAGATCGTCTCAGAGGAAACTATTGAAGCTCTCACGAGACAAGAACTTTTTGTTGGATCGGTTATTGGCCCACGAGATCGTCGACTCTGACGACCAAGTGAATCCTGGAGAAGAATCAGACGCCGATTCAGAGGCCACGATTGACATTAAACCAAAGCCAAAGAAGTAAGTTGTTTGTTAGAGCTGTTTCATAACAGGAAAGCTCTTAACCTCGTAATATATTTTATTTATATTGTGTTATGGTTTTTGAGGCTAAATTTATTTTCAGGAAGAAGTCGAGCAAGAAGCGACCAAATCCGTCAAGTGAAGCCGGACCAGCTACGAAAAAGTTGAAAGACAATGGAGACTTTGCCAGCGATGGTACGTTATCTTTATCTTTTAAATTTAGGTAATATCCTGCATGGGTAATCATTGTTTGATTTCAGACGGAGATTCAAAGCCTCCCAGCCGCGCCCAGAACTCACGCATGTCTCCGGCTAGTGTTAGGACAGACTTTTCTTCAATGAAAGTAAGTTTTCATATTAATTTTGTAAATTTAGGTACCTAAATTAATATGAATGACCTTTGTTTGCTTTATCCTTTTTCTATCTGCATTTAATGAGGAATACAAAGAATTTTATTAATTATATTATTAACTATTTATATCTTTAAAAACGCGTCGCTTTCAGCCCGAGCACGGTGCAGACGAACAACAGTTCCCATCCGGCTCATCAACCCCATTAACTCAAACCCCAGTTAAAAGCAGCAGCAATGTTCAACCAGTCGATTCTCAGCATTAACAAAGGCAGACCTGATCTCTCTCAGTTTCCTGAATCGGGTAAGGGTGTCTCGCGACACCCGTCTTTCAGTTTTCTCATCTTTACTGACCTCTATCTTGTATATCTTCTTCGGCGGCTCTAGGCTGCCCTACTTGTACAGTATTACGCTTAAATTAACTTGCAATTCTTGTTTCTAACCCTTTTTTTAACATTCATAATATATTAAGTGATAAATATAGATAATGTCTATGTTCCAATATGAAAAGACTTGTTTGAAGGGTTTAAACACGGTAAAAGTGATGTTTTCCAAAAGAATTTTGAATTTATAACATCTGGAATGTTAAAAACTAAAAGTTGTCGTTTTATTCTACATCGTATTTCTATCACGAAGTTTTAAAAATGTTGTAGTTTTAACATCGGCCGAATATCTTGAAGGCATGCATTGTCGACATGACCTGATGGATGTGAGGCCGGAGGGATTCTGGCGGGGTAATATGGGTTTTAAACAAAGGAAATAACTGACATTTGATCAACTTCTGATGTCGGGTGAAGTCCGTTTGTCTGAGGTGAGTAATTTGATGAGGTGTGTGAAGATTGGCCAAGGCTCGTGATATCAGATGGTTTAGGATGTGAGGCTAAAAATGTTTTAATTAAGCGAGCCTGGAAAATAAAAAATAAAAATAGCAAAAGTAAAGACTAATCATACATGCTGAATATGAATTTGCTTACTTTCGTATAATCGCAAGATACAATATCGTATGCAAATCTGGGTAGTTGAAAGGCCAATAAGGGTGTGTAACCGTCGACCAAACACAATATATTTTGCATACAAGGCCCGGTTCCTTTCGACATCTCGATGCAGATACCATAGCTCTCCCACAACATCTCTCTGACTTCTGAATCACAAAGCTTGGCTACCATTCCGTCCACAAATGAGTCTCTGGTTACACCTTCAGGTACTGTAACTTGAGGATTATCGTCGAGGAATTTGTCGACAAGACCAACCACTGGAATCCCGCCTTCTTCTGGATTCAGAATCAGTCGGCGACGGTTCAGGTTTCCAATATTGGCAATGCATCTCTGGAATGTGGTTCATATTACTTGCCAGAACTAGACAAACATACATACTAGCATTCAGATGACGTTTTTTTACCTGGTAGAACAACTCTTCCAACAGAGGCAGGTAATCGACCATCAACAACAAGTTCTGGCTTTGGAAGGCGGCTCTCTTGGCGTCAATGAAGCCGACCAGCATCATATACTTGAACAGATGCTTCATGTCGCCACTGGTCCCTTGGCTGAGTCTGGTTTGCAATACCTTCATCACGGTTTGTCTGCTTTTCTGACGTTGCGTTGACTTTTCCTAAAACTAGATTATGAACACACTTAAACCATCTGTATATTGAAGCACATTTTAACAATACAGTAGCTTTCACATCTGTCTTGTCAGCTAAAAAATTGAGTAAAACTCTACTAAATTTACAAAACAATTGTCAAAATAAACATACGATATCTTCTTCGGTAATGACAGTATCGTTAACTTCGGTCGTGGCCGATATTACGGTATTGTTTCCAGAAAAGGTGACATTCCCTGACACGTTGTCAGTTTCTCCAAAATATTCATCTAGAGTTCGGTTTCTGGCATCAACTCGGACCATCTAAAAACACTTTTAAAAAACATTCTTACTTAACGTATATATCATCAATAATTAACATATATAATACTAAACTAAAGTTAAAAGATGGCCCAGATCTCTTATATTATCAAGTTTATTGATTACTAATTACACCTAAAGTGTACATCCCAAGGTAGGGAAACATCAGACTTACAAATATAAAGGTACAAAAGGGACGCGACCGCGTCCCAGACGTTCACACGTTATTCTCCCCGATTTAGATCGGGCCTTTAGGGTCCACCCAAGTGGGCGGTCCCTTTACTCTAACAGCAAAATAGAGAAGTAATGTTCATTGACTTACCAGCTTTGGTGCGATTTTCTTCTTGAAGTAGTCAGATTGTAATGCTGGTGTGTCAGCTTTTCTCTTTGTTCCGGCAACTGGATTGGCTGAAGTGCTCGGCTTTGATGATTCCACAAAACTCGAGATGCGAGTCTGAACTGTGAGATCTCTGAAACAATCGTCTTGGGTTGCAAGTTAATGTAAAAGTATCATTTGAGAAATTCAAGCTCAGACTTACAAATCAGTGTTCTTTTTAGGTTTACTCATTTCAATTACTCCGCGGTGGCTGAACTTGTCCAGCACTTCCATCAACTTCTGAAGTCAATAATATTAATCAAGGACTTTGAATAAATCATAAATACTATTTTATTCCTAGAAAGAAAACCCAAAAGAAAAAGTAAGAAAATACGATATAACACTTGCCTTCTGAATCGCTTCAATGATCTCGGTTTCGTCCAAGAAGTAGACGTACTCTTTTGTAGGATGAACATTGACATCCATTCTGGCTGGATTAACCTAAATATTACACACATTTAGCCTATAACTAACAACACAGTAATGATAGATGTTACTGCTATTATAATATACACACTGCAGTAACCCCTAATAACTAAACCAACATACTTTCATAGAGATATGCATGAAAGCACAGTACGAGTCCTTGGAAGAGAACGTGAGGTCGATGCCACTCTTGAGTTTATTGCAACTGACACTTCTGTTGTTGATGAATATCTGAAACAGTCGTTGCTTCTGTTGGCGTGCTGCAATAGCTTTCGATGTGAACGATGACAATGGATGTGCCATGCAAATGTCAGCTTCGAACTGGAGTCTGTCATCTTTTACAGTAAAATCGAACAGTTCTTTGGTTACTGTAGGATTGCACATTCTGATGACAGCATGCCTGTCGCCGTTCCCTGTGGATCGAAACGATCCTTTCCCATCGTGCCTGACTACTGAAAACGCTACACTTCTGAAAGGAAAAATTGTACTATTAACGACATAACAACGCCGTGTTTTACAATTACCTTCAAAAATACTATCACAATTTGATAATTCAAGGAGATACTATACTATAATACAATAAAGTAAACATACGGAAAGTTGACAGAATATTTGGAGACCAAACTGATTATTTGAACAGCTTCATCTTGAGGATGCTTGAATGTCGCACGACGATGAGGATAGGAAGAAAACAGTTTTTCTACTGTAATTTGAGTACCCAGTAAACCAGCAGCCGGTTTGCACTCTGTAGTTGGCTTACAATCTGTAAAGTAACTGCATTTTTATATAAAGCGTGACATCTTGTAAAAGATACTGTTCTTCCAACTACATAACACAAACTTTAACAATGCATTACTGTAGTAATACTCACTTTCATACGAACATGTCCAAGCATGTGTAGCTGACTGTGTCTTCGAAGTAACCTGGACCTTGGCCATGCACGACAATGAAGCCAGGGCCTCGCCTCTGAAGCCGAAAGTCGCCATTCTCTGAAGATCTCCGATCGTCTCCAGCTTGGAAGTGGCAAACCTCTCACAGACATTGACATAGTCTTCTTGCCTGATCCCTTTCCCATTGTCCTTTACCTTGATCAGATCCAGCCCACCGTTCTTGATTGTCACCGTAATCTCTGTAGCTCCAGCATCCAAACAGTTCTCCATCATCTCTTTCACAGCATTCACAGGCCGAACCACGACTTCGCCGGCAGCGATCTTGTTCACTACATCGTCAGACAAAATTATGATCGGTTTTGGGTCATCAATAGTCATCTAAAACGGTTGTGATATTGCACAAAACTTAAAATAAATATTATTTTCATACATAAATGTATACTTTTTGCAAATTAAACTATATTTTTTGACCTAATAAGACATTAACAAGGTATAAGAGTGAATAACATACAAGTGTCACCATTTGTAAAAGATACCGTAACCCTTTATTCCCTTAATTAAGTATTTATCACAGTTTAGATATGTTAGTTATAAGTAATGTCACTGTAGGTAAGTTAACTGCAGAAGGCCTGAACCACTTCTTTTTTAGCCAATTCTTTTTCGTCAGTTATTTTGGCCATTGTGAGCCAGTTGTACAAAGTTGGTATTCCTGTGATCTTCAACTGAGCTTTGAAAGGATTTGAGTTGTCTTTCCAGCTGAAAGTAAAGAATAACAATCGTATAAACTTGACCCAGGTTACATGTAAATTAATATTAATCATCAGCACAAAAATAAAACTTACTAATCACGACCACCAACATCGCACACCACAGCCTCAAAAGATCCGCTGATTTCTTTCAATGTATTCTCAACATTGTCGTCAGCTACAATGCATGTTATTGTTGTTAAAACAGTGTAAACTTACACTTCCTACAATCCGGACACCAATTAGAACCATCTACTTTAGCTCCTCTGAAGTACACGATCACCTTTTCCTTCATACAGTCATTGACGTGCTTGTTCAAGGCTTCGAACCCTTGTACAACTGTGTATGGCATTATAACCTGAACAAAATACTCTTAATCTTACATTTTACTATTATATATTGTGATATATACAGTAAGAACTGAAAACAAACTTCAAATTCCATAAATATAAATCAAAATTTATTCAAACTCAACAATCATCAACAATAAACAACCTTAATCCCTCCACAACACCTTCACCTGGTCAGTTCTGTACCTCTGAGTGTAGGTACAGTCTTCTACAGGTGTGAACTGCTTGAACTTAAACATCTCGTAACCGGCTTGAGCTATCATGGCTCCATTATCTATACAGAACCTCTCATCTGTCGCAAACAACTTGGCTCCTCGTTCTTCACACATGATCCTCATCATCTCTTGCAGTCGCTCGTTACATCCAACACCTCCAACAATCAAGACTTCACTCGCATTATTCTGAGCCATAGCTCGTTCCGTGATCTCCACTAACATACAGAAGATCGTTTCCTGAAAATGGCAATTGAAAAAATATTACCTTACACCACTATAAAAAAACTATAATTAAATAAATGTCTAAAATTATGTACAACCACATACCTGCAAAGTGAAACACAAATCTTCAGGAGTGTATTTCCCCTCAGCCAGCCATTTGGGAGTGTTCTTCTCAATGCTAGACAATATTCCACTCATAGATATGTCCATTCCTTTCACAGTGTAAGGCAGATCAGCCAGCTTCGTTCCTTTCTTGGCCATCTGTTCGATGTTATAACCAGGACTAGGATCATTCGACAATTTTAAAACTCTAGCAAACCTGTCGAGGCAATTTCCGACCGCCACATCCAAAGTTTCTCCAAAGATAGAGTAACATTGATTCAGATATGATATGACTTGAGTGTTGCCTCCACTAACATACAGTATCACTGGATTCTCGGCCCCAGTCACCAATCTTCCCATCTCAATATGGCCAACACAATGATTTACCGGTATGATAGGCTTGTCCCAAAGCTGAGCCAATGTCCTAGCTGTTATACAACCAACTTGTAGTGGAGCTCCCATTCCTGGTCCTCTGGTGTAGGCAATGGCATCTAGTTCTTTCACCGGGTCCTAAAGATAAACAATATCATGTAAATCCTCAGCCTCACTATTACTGGTATCACACACTACAACTTCACGTTTAAGTTTTCCTAAAACGAAAAGAATAATCAAAAAACATACCTTAATCTTTGCCTGACCCAAAGCCTCCTGAACAAGAATGTGAGCTACAGAACGGTGGTGGACAGCCGTTTCCGTTGGCCGAAACCCTTCTCCTGGAGGTGCATTGAATGTTCTTCTTGGGTTACTTAAGGTTTCCCCATCTCTAATTATGCCCACACCAATTTTGTTGGCTGAGCTCTCGATTCCCAGAATGCAAACCATCAAAAATATAATTTACAAAATTTTGTAAATTATTTTGGCGCGTTAACAGTTTCTCTCAGGTGTCAAGTCTTTCTTTTATTTATTTTACATCTTTTGACAAAATTCTGTCAAAAATATAGTATTATAAGTACGTTTGTGGTACACATTCAGTGATATTTTAATTTTAAATGTAGTGTTTATATAAATTAACAAAAAACTTTATTCAAAGTAAAATTGTATGTAAACAACGTTATACGGCGTTATACTTCGACTTTGATACCGTATGAAGTTGAGTAATGCCAAAGTACATGCATTATCGATGAGGTTTCTTTCATTGGATTTTGTCAATCACGTATTACTTTACCATTAGGCAGCATTAGAATTAAACCTAAAATTATAATTTGATTTTAAGACATTGATAACTCACCATGGTTTCCATTAGGCGAAGTAAGGGGATTTCCTTGGGGGTAGGGTTGGTCAGGTATTCCTTTGTTAAAATTAAATTATTTGTAAGAAGTCACTTACGATATTCTGGTGTATCTTGTGTTTGGTAAAATGGTATTTGATTCAGTGACAATGCGATGTTTGATGGATAATGTACTTTACATTGGCATAACACTGTAAAGATAACTGCATTTGTAAATACTAATTATTATGGTAAAACTGTTAAGTACGTTTTATAAAGTTATACTTACGTGAAATATAAAAAAGAAATATGATCGTACAGCCGGCTGTCATCTTTGTTTGTTTTCAGATGCTCCATGAGACTTTATTTGGAGCGATAGAAGTGAACGATGAAGACTATTTATATTATTATATTGTGGATAAATGTTCTTTGACGACGCATCAGTTAAAGCTGGATGTTAACACAACAAAACATTGTTTTTGGTATAACTTGCAATACGTTTACATCTTTAACGTCACGTTTGGCAATATCTTCAGATTTGACTTAAGAAAAAAGGTAACAGTTTATAAGTTTTTTTAAATTCTACAACTTAATTTTTTATTGTATTGAGTATAGTAAGCAAGATTTTTTTCGTAGTTTAACGGTCGTTGTAACGGTATGCCAACCTTTGTAGACAACAGAATACTGTGTTTGTTAAATATGTGTAATTTGGTTTTTCTTTTTCATATTTTATTTCTTTCAGCACATTGACTGCTTTTACCTTTCCAGCAACATGCAGTTGCCATGTCAATCGTCATGTAGTAATCTCTTGAAGGAGGTTGAAGGTCATGAGTATCGGTACAATATCTTAGAACCGGAGTATCATCAAATTATGTCAATTTTGAAGAGTACTAATGAGTTTCCTGCGATGTTGTCGACGTTGTACTACGGTTATGCCATTTCAGTTGTCGGTGAGGGTACAGACATTTACAAAGTCGATCAAGATGGCCTAAAACAAAAAAAGTTTAAAAAGAAAGTGGTTCAGGCAGGTTATTTTTCAAATAATACATGAGTTTGTGACGAAGTAATTGCAGAAATAGGATACGATATTCGAATTAGAGGTATTTTTAACAGTATTTTTGTATTTTAGGTATCTTGTGGCAATGGCCATATAATTATGTTATGTTCTGACAACTCTGTCTACTGTTCTGGTATGGGAAGTAGAGGCGAGCTGGGACAAGAACAGATTGTACCACATTCAGACGAGCCCTTACTGGTGCCGATTCCATTTGAAGATGATAATGAGAAGATCATTAAAGTGAGGGCGGGCGGATGGCACAATGTGGTGCTGACTGACGCTGGTAACGTATACACATGGGGGTTGAACGACCAGGATCAATGTCGCCATGGAAGTCAGGTGGGTTATATCACCGTCACTTTAGTTTGTCGTACTGTAATTTCTTTAAAAATGCTGGTAGGATACTGTAGAATTGGTTCTAGCGCGGGTTTTAAAACAGTTAATAAGGCCATGTGTAGTATTGTACAGAGGCCATGTGTATTGAAAGGTACGGTAGCTGAGACATTTTAGGTTACAATACAAAAGATGCCTTGTTTTGTGGAGCTTCAGAAGCGGGTTCATGATATCGGAGCAGATCAGAAGTCTACCTTTATTACTTACGTCTAAGACTTATGGTGTTGTGACTACCCAGAGTGAATACTTCTAATATATTAACGTTCACGTTGCAGTTACAAGCTTTACTATTCTTTTCTATAGGGGAGTCAGTGCATTTGTCAACAAGTTTGAGGAATTTTAATTGTAATTGATATTGGAATTGTTATTTATGTTTTTGTATGCTTTTGTTCGCTTCCTTTATCAGTTGGAAGATTGTATTATCAAACTACATTCTCCATGAATATGCGACATTACAATGACATTTAACGGTGTAATTCGAAAGACGAGAAAAGAATTTTTATACGATGCTTCAGAATCCTACCGTTAAACGTGAGGCAGATCAGAAGTCGACGATCTCCGTGGAGGGTTTCTGAAGCGGCTATTGATAAGGAAGTACCTAATTCCATTATCAGTTGCATATATAGCGTGCTCTTTTCCTCTTTCCTTGCAACTGTGCCCACGTGCCTCGAACGATGGGTGTATTCAAGCTGTTGTTGTTGCTGTATCTGGCTTCTGGAGTCAATACCTACACTCCGTTGCCAGCTCCGTTCACGGAGGAATGTGTGGTGGAGAAGGGCAAGAACCTGTACGATCCGGCCAACGCCAATCAGATCAAGTGGTCAGTTTGTGTTTCAATGAAATGAAACTTTGTTTTTGGTAATTGGGTTTTGATAAGATCTTCAGGGGTACTGTAAAAACTATGTCCAGTTACAAATTGTACAATTTAGAAATTTATTTTGAAGTTTTAACAGTTAACAATCTAAACGCATATTATAAATCTTACCGCTAGGTTTAGAATCGGTACCACTTACTTTTTTTTAAAGTGGTTTAGTATAAATGCGGCACTTCGTTATCACTTTTAATGTAAAAAACTTAAAATTTGCACTTTAAGGTACACCGTGGACTTAGATGCACCACCAGAAACCCACTTCAAACAAATCGCTCAAGAGTACAAGCAAGAGATCCGAGACTTGATCCAAGTCATCAAGGACCTTATTGTCCCAGTTGTACCAGTAGCTTTGGAGATTGTAGACATTTTGTTCAAAGATCTCATGAAATGGATCCCGGAACCTTACAACTCTGAGATCGTCGTAAGTTTCTTCACTATATACGCTTGACTAGATATACATATCGCTTCGTATAGACAACTCTCGTCAATAGCATTGCAGTAAACTTACTTTTGTCAGGGTGTGGCCAATGTAACTGGTCTTCCAATCGGAGAAGTGGTACTGTACAACGTGTTCTATGAAGTCTTCACGGTATGTACATCGATTGTAGCTCAACAGCCAAACGGTCGTCTGATTCACGCCAGAAACCTTGACTTCGGACTGTTCTTGGGATGGAATCCGGAGCTACATGAGTGGTCCATCTCCACCGTGCTTCGGAAAATGATCGTGAACATAAACTGGATTAAGGATGGTATGTTTATATTGTCGTTGAGTAGAAATGATTACACAATTCGAATCATGTTAGTTTTTACACAGCATTATATGGTAGTATGACTAGGTAATATTAACATAAATGTTTAGGAAAACTCCTCTTCAAGACCAACAACTTCGCCGGATTTGTTGGAGCTTACAATGGACTGAAGCCTAACAAGTTTACGGTAACTGCCAATGAGAGATTCATGCCTGCCGGTGGACTCTATGGTATGTTACGGTATGTGCTTGGACTGGATAAGGAATCCAACTGGATGACATGGCACGTCAGACAGGTTTTGGAGAAGGCTGATAGTAAGTAGCTACTGTGAATACCTTATACTGTAATTAAATAGCAATATAATAAGGTGCTTCTAGAAATATTCTTTAGATACAAAACAATGTAAAAGCTTACATTATTGTAGGTTACGATGAAGCCAAGCAGTTGTTGTCAACCCAGACCATTATGTCGCCAGTCTACTATATTCTTGGTGGAGCCAAGCCTTTCGAAGCCTCGATTATCACCAGATCCATCAACGAAACTGACATTCTCACTGAAATGGATCCAAACGACCCTCAGGGCTGGTACCTACTTCAGACAAACTACGATCCTGGAACTGAGGTGAGTAAAGTATAATATAGTCGACATACCTACTGTTGCGCTACTGTGTTTAGTTACATAACATTGTCACTTTCAGCCAATCTTCATCGACGACCGTGACGCTCCAGGTAACCATTGTATGGGTGTGTTGGGCCAACGTGGAGTCAGCTTCAAGGGCATCTACAATGTTTTGTCGTCTCAAACGTCGCTCAACAAGTTGACTACTTATACAGGTATTTAGCTTATCCTTGAGCTAGTTAGGTCAAAAATGCATAGATGTTACTTTTTTAGCTAATACTTTCATTTTTGATGATTATCACTTATTTATTTTTCAATTTTTGTATTACTTCTTCAGTAACAAAACTTTTGTTTCAGTACTCATGGAAGTGCACAGTGGACAGTTTGAAACCCATCTACAGAAATGCCCCGGTTACTGTTGGGGATGGTAAAACGAGGCATGTGGTTTATATAACGGACTAATTACACTATTTTATTGTTCATTAAAGTTGTCTTAACGCAATAAACATTATTATTATACTGTCAGAACCTCATAAAAACGAAAAATTGCATTATTTTTAGAAATTCAAATTGTGCTCTACCTAAAACACGTCAATATCAATTTCAAAGTTAAAAAAGATTAAAATCAGATTAAAAACAAATCAGAATAAGATTATATGGACAAAACTTCAAAATTGCAAAGCAAGCAAGAAGGCAAAATCAGTCAAGGAATATAAAAAAATTGACAGCAATGACACGATTTCTGTAAAATAATTCTTGGCAAGATTTTTCCGAAGTTTTCCTTGCCATTTTCACTGCATCCGAATTGTAACAATGAATCTGACGGCTTTGAATAGTGATCAGCTGGCGCAGCAGTTCTTCTGCCAAGTTGAAGAAACTGTGGCCGCGGTTTCGGTTGATAAACGAGATCCATGGCCATCTGCTCCAACCGCGTACTTCAACAGTAAGTTGTTTGGTCATTTTGAAATTATATTGACATTTTATTTAGTTTTTAAGAACTAATAATGTGGCAAATTTATTTTATTTTTGTTTTGTTTTTAAAGAAAACAAGGATTTTAATAGTATTACCTAAAATAACTATTCTAGTCGAAACTCTTTACAAAGGCAACTTCGGCAATGTTTCTCTGGTTCAAACTAAAATCAATCATGCTTTGAGTGGAGTAGACGTGAAGAAGTGTATATTGAAGTCTATAAACTTGTCCAAACAGTTCTACAATATTATTCAGAAAAGTCACAATTCTGATGTTGATCAGAAGACTGTCTCCAGAATCTCACGGCTCTTGCGGCGGACTGTGATGGACTTGTATGTCATTGGAAAGTAAGTTCTTGCGTTTTTATTCAATTTTTGTTGTTTTAGGTGCAGACATCAGAATATTATTCACGCTCATTCTGTCTTCATGAACGATGGGAATCTAATGATTTCGATGCCGAGGTTCCATGTCTTATACGATCTAGTGGATGAGTTTCGACAATTGGCCAAAAATGAGGTAATTTTGGGGAAAGGGACTATGTTATCTGTGCTCTTAATTTACTTATAAGAAGTATACTTATGGTCAACTTATTGAATCTCTTTATAATTGTAATTTTTTAAAAATTTTTGCAAAAAAATATTCTAATTTTTGTATTTTAGCCGATGCCAATGACAATAATTGCTCCGATTATTCGACAGATTTGTCGCGGATTAGATCACCTTCAACATATTGGTATTATTCATCGTGACGTTCAGCCGAACAATGTTCTTCTGACTCGGAACGGCACTGTGAAACTATGCCACTTTGGTCAATCCAAGGTTTTGACTACGAAGCAACAATTACACGGGTGTAAAACGCCTGTGGGCAAAGAGGAATTCATGTGCGCGGAAAAGGTACTTTAAGCGCAATATTGATAATAATTATTTATCTTAAAAGTCGACTTTACGTCTTTTATACGAGCACTTACTAAGTTATGTGATTTTAGTTAAGTAACTTGGTTGCGGCAGGGTTAGAGAACTGTCGGTCTTATGGGTATTCGGCTGATATCTGGTCTCTGGGAGTAATGGTACTGTCTATGATTAGTTACTTCCCGAATGAACGACATCATCGTCTTCATCGCAACTTTGCGTTGATTATGGAGGAAGAACAAGCTACGTTTATGTGGTTGACAGCTGAAATGGTGGTATGTTTTATAGTATGCATTCTGATATTTATACTACAAATGATGTAAAACATAGTTAGGCTTTAACATTTGTGAGTGATGACGGTTTATATGATATATTATATTATAAAGGTCGTGATTAACAGTAACCTTTCAGCAACTCCGGGCACGACTTCTGAAGAGCGGAGGCAATGAATTGAAGTCGTTTCTGAGTAACTGCCTCCTGAATCCAGATGGAAAGAAACGTCCAACGGCTTCTGAATTAGTTAATCATCCTAAACTACTGAAGTGGTGCTCTGAGAGTATTGAAAAGGACAAGGCCGTAATCAAGAAGCTACTCATTGATAAGGTCGACTTTGCCAACAAAATGAAGATTCAGAGGGACGGAATGAACTTTGACTATCTGGAGTGTGTAGGTTAACATTTATGTTGGTATTATTACTGCGTTGTTTTTATTGATAACACTTCACAAGATGGCTATAAATGCTTATTTATGATTTAGAAGGACATTCCGGCCGAATTTTATTGGAACGATGACTGGAAAACTCATGATTCTGAATGCTACACATTACGAATTTCTAAACGGACTTCAGAATTGATAAAGTAAGCATTATTAACTGTTTATGTCACTTTAGCTATGTTTACATTATTTTATGGTGTTGTAAAACAATATTGTTTACAGAACAGACTTCCAGTACTACAACCCCGATGCTCTGTTGTCGGCGCTGTACAAACTGGTGGAATCTGAAGTGATTTGCTTTGGTGACGTGATCCCGATCCGGAATCTGGTCGATGAAGCGACGTTTGATTTGATTAGAAGGCTCAGAGAAAGCGACAGAGATCAGGTCGAAGCCATAGGTAACAAGACTTTTTGATTTGGATACTGTGTTCTTATATTTGTAGGTATTGTGATGATTCTATTATGTAAGCTTATATAGTGTGAGGCATTTAGAATAACTAATGATTTGTATACAATCTTGTAATGCTATTTTAATTAATGTTATTGTAGTGACTGAATACGAACCTTTGATGGCATCTGATGTACTGAACAAGTTAGTTCTCACGGTAGGATTTGGAACATTGTCAACGAGCGACGAAGTGGTAACCAGAGATTCCTTCAATATTTACTAATCATCAATTTTATAACTTTTAATCTTGTACAATTCATTACAACATTGCTCTGTCTACCTCAACATATATTTTGTGAACTCTTGTTTATATTATATTGTTCATTTTGTATATTAAAGCTTGTAACAACTCGTAGGGTTAGCCATGTTATAAATGAATCTATTTACTTTATCTACTTTCCCATCCAGTCTTAACCCAATTTGTTGTCATCAATAACATGGGTTTGTTTTGCGGTTGCAATTAAGTGTGAAACCGGCTTCAGATCGGCGGGAATCTGGTTGCGCGGCATTCCTTTGAAGTGATTGAGAATGAAAGTGAATAAGGTGAGAAGTGATTGTTCGCGTCGCCGAAATTGGTGTCATCTTAAGCCTCGAACTGCCATTTTCTCTTCGACGGGTCAGGTCAAATTCCTTAAGGAGAGGCGAGAGTTGGATAAATGTTCGGCGAAAAGGTGGGGCTGATCGTTCCAAAAGCTTATCTCAGCCATCTCGAGACTCTGCGGCATCCCAACAATCTCGGCGATACCCATTCTCGCGACTCTCGACGTATCTGGGCAAGGTAATAAATCGTATAATGAAGCCGTTCATCGGGCTCTGCTTCTTGGTTGGCACGGTGACGGCCTCGCTGTTCTGTCCCTACACCGTCTATCCTTCGAACCAAAATGAAATGGGTAAGTTCTGCTAAGTAAAAATTTAGATTATACTTGCTATGCCGAGTAACATGAAGTATATAGCAATTAAAACCTTATCAAAACACCTTTAAAGCTATTTTTTAGTCACGGCCACAATTCAGGCCAAGCAGATGACTGAAAACAGTCTGTACTACCGTATCACTGACAACGAATCCGATCCCAGCTACAAGAGACTGTCACCTCACTTCAAGTTGATGACAGTCAGAGACAACAACGAGTGTCCCTTCCGTGGTTGTATGGTCGAACTAAGTCCAGCTGAGCCAAAGAACCACCAGACTAGACTGTACCAGACCAGTGTCATCGGGAAGATGATCCCTCCAGGATTCTTCTCGATGGACGTCAGCCAGCGATTGTACTGTGTTCTGACAGAAGGCGACTGTGGAGCTACCGTACCACTGTATCGTCACTACAAAGTAACGCCTCAGGGAATCTGTAAGTGAACTGAAGTCAGGCCTTCGTTCTTTTAAAATTGTACTAAGCAGCACTTTATCCATAATTGTAACAGCTTTACTAATATCTATTTATATACGTTTATGTCACCATTTGCAGTCCACGCCTACACAGTCGACCCATCCGACGTGATTGAAGGCTACATCAAAGAATCCACTCCATTGTGCTACGTATGGGCCAGAAACAAGGCTACTGTCGCCCACGACAAGCCTACTGTCATACCATCGTTGGAGAAAATTATACCTAAAATACGGTTTGTAAGTCACGAAAAAGAGTTTGACGCCAACAGCCAAGAAGACAACACACTACTGGACATCGACGAGCTCTGTGCTCACGACAACAGAAAGAGCTCGGACAGCTCGATGAAGGAACTTCTGGAGTTCTACAACAACAAGGAAGGCGCCGACAAGGATCATCTCTACACCGTGAAGAGGAAGGTCAACGGCTACAAGAAACAGGTAGGTACAGTCCTTTGCAGAAGATTGGGATTTGATATTACAGTAGACATGTAGTGTTTTTCTAAAGTTTATAATATGATGACATTGATCATGTGTTATATAAAACTGTGCTTGCCCTTGTAATATGTCATATTCAGAAAGTTTTGGGCAAGATCGTGACGGATGTCAAGAAGTCTGGTTGCAAGTGTTTGGTACAGTTGGCTGAAATGAAGTTCCAAGCTGCTGGAGGACTACGTAGGTTTACACATCAAGGGAATTAAATTTAGATATAATATTTATCATATACACATAAATAATGGCTCGATATGTCTGTAAGTCATCGTATTTCAGCCGGACTGGACCATAAATTGGCCAGAGAACAGATCGAGCCCCCGACCCTGAACCAGTACTTTTTGACCGGAGAACGGTACTACTGTGCACCACAACAAGGAGAATGTGGAGCTACGGTGCCACTCAGGAAATGGTACAACTTTGGTGAAGCTGGTACGTTTTTATGTTATCATAGACTAGTCTTGCCAAGTTTTTAAGCTTTAAAGGAAGCTTATTGTCATAAGCATAGACACCTCAACATACTATGTCATAATCTGCATAGTAGACACAGTAATAGCATTTTCATTTCCAGACTCCATAATCACGGCCGATTCCGAAGTCGCACCAGCCATGACTGGGCCGTTCCCAGGCGACGTTCTGTGCTGGATCTGGCCACAAGAGTATCGTCAGGACTCTACAGAGTACGAGGTGGAAGAAGAAGGCCTTCAGCCAGTAAAAGTACCTCAGAAGAAACAGAAGAAGGTGGAATCTGAGAGTGAGAGCGAGGAATCAGAGATCCAAGGCTCTGGATCCGGAGAGGAAACGTCTTCTGAAGAGAGCAGCGACAAGTCAGTGCTACACTTCGAAAGCGAATAAATACAACCAGGTCTCATAATAACTAATAATAATAAACAATATCAACTTTCTCTAGTCATATAGTCAATCACATTTACAATCGGCGATGTTTCAAACTCAGTTTAGGTCTAGTTTATAGGTCTAAAAGTTTTCGCGTCGAGACCAATGATTAAGTAATCTTTAGTATAAAATCAACACAAATATCAATATCAAAAAGTATCAATACAGTATGCAAAACTATTTACAAGACAAGACTCTCAGACTAGGTCCTTTTATTCAGTGTAATATGATTATGTTCGCGTACGGCCTTGTACCATTTCAGTGCATACACAATCTCCTTCGAGGTAGCACATTGACAGTGCGGAACGACGAACAGTCAGCTCGGGAAGTTCGGTCCACTTGCACGCTCGCAGATCGAATCGCTCACATCGAGTGGTTGTGCCATTGCCATCGTAGCCACCAGCTACGTAGATCTGGTCACGGAGTTCGGAGATGCCAAAGTTTGATCTAAATATTTCAATTTACGACTAGTACAGTACTTTAGTGCAGTAAACATAGCTTTGGTGCAGTATTAAGGTCATTGTTATAGTAAAATAAGCACACATACCTAGAACTGTTCATGGGCGGCAGGTTGTGCCAGACGCCTTCACGTGGATCCACGTACTCAGCAGTCGATAGACGAATCCGACCAGTGAATCCGCCCACGGCAATCAGAATTCCGTGGGTACTGATGCCACAGACCCCGCTTCTCTTCATTTTCATCTTTCGGCCGAGATTGCTCCACTTGTTGGCTTCAGAATCGTACCACTCCACCGTCTGATGACAACTGTGTCCGTCGAAGCCTCCAATCGCGTAGACTTTATCACTGTGCAGTGCTACGTGACAGTCGCTTCTGCAAATCGAAACTTAAGTTTTTAGATAATATACCAATTATACAATGCCTTTAGTTATTCTTGACCCTTACTAGTATATGTTTTGAACAGTATTATTATATAAATATAAATCAAGCTTAAGACAGCAAGTTACTCATACCTAATAAAGTTCATGCGAGCACCTGGCGACCACAGATTCATTTCCGTATTCAGAATCTCTGTAGAATGAAGTCGAGTTCTGTTGTTGTAGCCACCGACAGCGATAATGTGATTCTGATCAAGACGACAAGCACTCACGTAGCATCGCTTCTCGTTCATGAAGGCGTGGGAATTGTCCTCCCATTTCTGAAGTTTGCATAAATTCAATTACAATATTTCGTCTTGTTCAGTTAAATAATGTAAGCAACTCTCAACGATCATTCCGTAACTACTGTAGTTATTGAAGGTAGCTCCAATAACTGCAAACCTAAAACCCTCACCTTCCTGCCCAAGTCGTATACACAAGACCCTTCGTAGTAATTCTCTCCGTCGAATCCTCCGATGACGTACAATTTCTTGCGAGCATCGTCGGGAACGACTTCATGATAAGATCGTGGCGTCGGAAGGCCGAGAAGGTGATCAGCCGGCTCCAGCCATCGCTCTTCATACGAATCGAAGACTTCAGCTTGAGATGTAGGACCTTCGGCCGCCCATCCACCCAGCACGGCCAAGACAGAGTACGGTACTCGATTCTGGGGCTGAGTGAAGAACGGAGCACCAGTAGAGTCAGTCAGATCGTCCAGGTTCGAGCCCAGACTCGTCGAGGAACTCAAAGAGTCTGAGACTTCCTGCAAAGATTGATGTTACAATACAGTAAGCTTCTATTACATAAAAAGGAGCAAAGCAAAACTTTAAAAAATGAAAAAGAAGAACAATGTTGATATCAAATTCGAAAACATCATCAACAACACACAGTTCGTACTTACCGTGTTCATATCAACCAGCATCTGAGAAGACTCAACCAGACCCCTCTCCTTCTTCTTGTGGCGACACCAGCCCTTCAGAGCTTCTACTTCTTCATGCTTCGAGATGTTCGGCCGACCTTTCAGAAGTCGCTGAAACTCTGGCGGATTCAACAACCGGTAAGTGTTGTTCTTGATGATCTGATAGGTAAAAGCTTCGACCTTCTTCCACAGAATTTCGTACGCTTCCTTGTGTTGTTTACCTAAAATATGATACTCATATAGTTCAATAGACAATATAATAATTTTACTATTATATTCTGTGTGAATAGTCATTGTAAAATCTTTAAAAATTGCCATTTTTCATAAAAAATATAAATTCCCATTTGAAACTTACCAATCCGATGAGCAACCAGTACGTAAGTTAGTGGACACGCGCTGTCGACCAAGTTCCTGGCGATGACGTTGATGATTTTGGGAGCTTGCAAGAACACGGCCAAGTCAAACATGTCCAAGGCCAAGTCCAGCTCGCGACGGAACCATCCCTTCTTGAAGTCGCCGTCCTTGCAACGATGCATAATCGACGCCAGAAAAGCGACCAACGTGCGATGAGTATGTCGTAGTAGGACAACGTGACCTTCCGTGGCCTCAAGACTGTGACCGTAGAAGGCACGGCGAAGCATCTGACTGAACGTGCTTACCAGAGCACGGTTTACTCCAATCTGAAAGTAGGATTACCATCACATACAGAAAAGTTACAATAGATGTTCATACACATATTACAGTACTTCAACATTACAATAGTACCACCTTAATATATACAACAGTACTATATAAACATTAAAATACCTTTTTGCCTTCGAGAGTCTCGATGATTCCGTCAGAATGCACAAATGCCATATCTACAGCAACTCCACGCACTTTCAGATCCAGAAGTGTCTTTGTGTCGCCACTCTTCTGAAGTCGAGTGAAGCAAGGTTGCGGCAGTTCGGAAGGAGTCTCAGCAACTTCGAGTTGCGCGGATTCTGGAACACTGTCAATGGTCGATCGGATACATCGTTCCAAACGCTTCTGAATCCGTTCACTGAATATATCGGGCTGAAAGTGGCAATAATTTTATAAAGTAAATAGATATGCCATAAAACATACAGTTGCAAATTACAATACCTAATGTACAGTAACCTACCTCGTCCTGTTGCAATCTTTGTTTCTTTCTCTCTGGAGATACTTCTTTTAGAGTATCGTGTTGTACTTCATACCATTCTCCAAAACAGTCGTATGTGTCGAAAAAAGGCTGTAGCTGATAGCGTGATGAAGATGATATCGCAGTAGAACTCCGACGACGACTTACAGCACTTCTACAATCGCCCATAGGTACGGTATATTCAGATCTACAGCAATAATATTAAGAAAAAGTTACAAACATATTGTTACATCAATGTTATCAACATCAAATAAAAGAGTTGTAGCAACAAAGTATACCTACTAAGTATCTCCTACCACAACAACATTGCATCAACACAAACTTACGGTAGAGCAAGACAATGACGAGCTGTAGCTGTTGATGCAAACGATACTTTAGCGACCAAGATAAGGAAAAGGAACACCCGCACGAATCGATCGACTTACTCCCGAATGATTTAATGCAAAAAAGAATGCCATTTCCACAAGTCGGCCAGAAACCGGTTTCCATGCACTTTACAGACAACGTATTACATCGTTCGATGACGTATACTAAATTTTAAGGCTTTATGACACTAATAAAATATTTTACTTGACTTACCAATCCACATGTTCCACTGAAAGCATTGTTGCAACTAATTCTAGCTTTTCTAGCTACAAGTTGAAAAAAGCATAAGATAACACAAGCCTGTATTATTGAATCCCTCCAGAGACACAGATTCTTGTCGCGCAACTTTAAATTTTTGGATTTTTTTCTTTCAACGTAAAATTTTTTGCAAACTGCGCGTTTCTAACTGCAAACTGCGCCCAAATTTAAATTTCTTAAACTCTTTTTTTGCCAAAACTTTTGATCTCCTTTCTTCTCCTTTTACCTCTGTATGTTTTTACAGTATGTCTCACAACACATCATTTAAAAATAGCACACACAAGGTATGTTATAAATTTAAAGCTTAATATGGCTTTTAGGCATTGGACAAGAAGCTGAACGACCTTGTTGTAGACTTCTACAATGTTTCTCTCGCTTACTCTGATCACTCCATGAATGCCGCCAGCTCTTTGGAAGAATACTTTAGAGTAAGGAATAGCGACTGTCGAGATGATCTACAAGTTCGAGCTGTTCAGGATCTGAACGACATTCAAGCGACGCTTCGGAAGACCGTATCTAAAATGACCAAAGCTATAGATAATCTGAAGGCAATGAAGACTCTGGGAGAATGCGACAATTCTGATTCCAAACTGAACAATAAGATAGCTAAAGCCAACGTTGTCTGTAATCTGTTGTTCAAACAGATGACAGAAGACTTCAAAGTGAAGTGCGAACTTCTGGAGAAAGCTCCTTTGGCGTTTGATGCAGAAGGCTTGATGTTCGTAGCATATTGGAGGGAATCTTTTCGTACGATACAATCATTTGTTGACGATATTTATGCTCTCACATTCTGACTTGTCTTGTAGGCTTATCCTAAAAATAAACATTATTTTAGTTATTTTGAGCAACAGTTGACTCCATCTTACTCTTTGGTCAACTCTTTCTCCGACCAATTTGTGCAAAGACTGGTTTCGGATAAATAAAACGTTATTCAAAAAGTGGAAGTAAATCGTTATTTTGGGTGGATATCACTGATAAATTAGTCGTTTGTTCTGCTGAGATATTGCTTTATACTTGGAATGGGGGATTCTGTTTGTTTTTATATGTTTAATGTATAAATTATGTTATATTTTTAAGAACTTTAACTTATTCAATATTTGTTTTGAAACTTTTAATTCATGACTAATTTTAGAAGGATAACATGGAGGGAATTCCTCGAGTGTTAATGTTGGTGCCGGATATAAAACTTCCAGAAGGTCCCAACTTTATTGATCAAGCTCATCGGATAAAGAATGTAAGTCGATGTTATCAAAAATATATATTGAAATGTTTAGTATATTGCACAGCATTACCAAAACAACCCAGAGAACTTCAACGAAGCTGTAAACGAGTTGGATGCGCTTAGGAACGTGAGTTTTAAAGATGTTTGTTACCTGAATTTAGTGTGTTTTACTAGGATATGACGAGCAAAGGACGATCTTGGTGTTGAAGCGGTATTTTGCACAGCTGATGATGATGAAGAACAGATTTCCAATGGAGTTGGATGGAGAAGCTTCTATTGAGTTTTCATGGTATGTTGTCTATGGTTGTGTCTATCATAGTAACTGTTTTACAGCTAGGTAAATGTTGCTCATATTACATCTTGGCAAATTTCAGGCAAGACAAATGTTCCAATAACTTGCCAGTGGTTTTGTCAGACATTTCTTTCGAGATCTGTTGTGTTATGTTCAATATTGGCACTCTTCATGCTCAAATAGCTGGTAGCCAGTTGAGGACGGAAGTCGATGTATGTGTTTATTTGGCGCTAGAACAAATGCGGTTTTTGGACATTTGCGGATCTGCGGTTTTTAGACACTTGCGGATTTTGGACATTTGCGGATTTTTTAAAGGTTTTTTTTTATTTTTTAGTTAATTTATTTGTATTATGGTACTAAATTGTACTAAAGTTTGAATTGGTACGGTTTCAACATAACAGTACCATTTTGGGCTTTTAGTACTATTTAGTACCAAAAATATAAAAACAGTACCGATTAAAAATTTAGTACTATTTAACATTAGGAAATATTAAGACAGTGCCAATTTAAACTTTAGTACCATTTACTACCATACTACAACTGAATTAACTAAAAAATAAAAAAAACCCCTTTAAAAAATCCGAAAATGTCCAAAATCCGCAAGTGTCCAAAAACAGAAGATCCGCAAGTGTCTAAAAACCGCAGATCCGCAAATGTCCAAAAACCGCATTTGTCCTAGCGCCGTTTATTTTTGTACTGATACTTTACAGTTTTTACAATGGTATATTTTTATGATTTTCAGACGATAAAAGTTGCATTTGACCACTTCCGCGCAGCTTCTTGGCCGTTTATTTACCTTCGAGATGAGCTAAAGGCGTCGAGGTTGGGCATCGTCGACTTCAGTTCAGATGCCTTAACATTCTATGCTAATGTTATGTTGGTAAGTTTATTCAAATGTTTTTTTTTAGTTTTAGGTCACTAAAATACTCGTATTCTGTGTTATTGTAAAGTATCAAACTGAATTAAGTTTATCTTTAGGCTCAAGCTCACGAATGTTTGCTGGAAAAGTCGCTGATCGGTCATAGTATGGCACTAGTATCGGCCAAATTAGCATTGAGAATATCAGATATCTACAGTAGCTGTGCTCATGTCATCCAAGGTGATGCTAGTGCAGACAAGGACCTTGCTCTGATCAAAATATCTTCATCAAGGTCTAAGCAATGGTTGAGTTTGTGTAATGTCAAGACCAATTTGTATGCTGCTATCTGTGCTTTTTTCCGCGGTAACCATTTTGACGAGGAAAAGCAGTACGGTAAAGGGTAAGTATGTTTTGTTACATTAAGGTTAGTTTAGTGCGATATAGCATAGTTTGATCATCTTTTAATATTCTGATTATTTTAGAGTGTCGTGCTATGCTTATGGACTTGAAAGGTCAAAACAAGCTTTGGCATTTGCTGAAAAGGACAAAAGAGATGGTCTGATCCAAGCTGCTGTCTTTGTGTTGGAGATTATGACCCAAAAGTAGGTATTAGGTTTCTTTTGTAAAGTGCCAGGCTTATTTTTATAAAATAATACGATAATTGACATAATTAAAAAATATTTTGTTGTTTTAGGGAAGCCAATTCACGAAAGGAAAACGATTTTATTTACCATGAACGGACCCCAGCCTATGCTGATGTTGGAGAATTCAAAACATCTCATGAATTGGTGTCCCCAACTTCGTACGATCCCTTGGACAAATCGCTGGCAGGAGAAGACTTGTTCAAGCAGTTACTGCCCACCACAGTAATCACCATCTTGTCGATGTACGAAGAAAGAAAGGCACAGCTAAAGAGAGATGTCCAAAAGAAGATCGAAGGCAAGGATTCTGAGTTGGAAGAGTTTCTGACAACGCTGAGAATGGATCGTCTGAATCTGGATCAGCCTTACGAATCCTACAGACTTCCAGATGCTTTGTTGACATACTGCAACGAGATGGCCAGCAACCCCTCAGCCATTCCTGATGTCAACTTGAAGTTCCACGAGGTGGCGACAAAGTCGGCTGAAGCCGAATGTAAATTGGCAGAGTTGACGAACAGGTTGAACACTATTACAGCAAAGGAGCTGGTAAGAACTTTGTAAAAATCTGATTACGTAGTTTCATACTTTATTCACTTTCTTTTGTAAAGTATTGTTCATGTTATGTCAAATATCAGTGTATATGAAACTAACCAACATATTATTACAGACTGATACCGATGGCTACAAAGCGATCGTGAAAAAAGTCAAGAATTTGAGTGAACATCAATCTGTAGCCAAGAAGAACAACCAAGAGCTACAAACTGGCTTTGATGCCACGACAGACAACCTCAAGTTGCTCACCAAGCCTATTAATGAACTCACGAACATGTTGTGCGACGAGTTTTTTGATCCAGGTATGGTAGATTTTACGGTTTATATTAATAAAAATATGTTATTTGGGGGTGTGCTTTATCTTTCTAATCAATTGTAATATTATCAATACAGTGTTACCATTAACCTTTTTAGTGGATACCCCAGAAGGCAAAGAACTGAAGCGCATGTTAGACAAGGTGGATGAGATGCAGAAGCAAAGACGAAAGCTGACAGAAGACCTTAAGGATGCTTTGAACAGAGATGACATTACCCCTCAGGCTCTGATCGACCCCTACGTTCAGCCAGAAGTGTTGATCGAGAAGCAGATCAAGAAGCACGACCAGAAGGTGGAGCTGATCAACCAGAATATGACGGCACAACCTGTCATCATGAAGGCCGTTGTTCACGCCAATGCCGCGTTTGATGAGATTGGACAGAAAATTGCGAAAAGGGAAGAAAAGTAAGGCTTTTGGCTGTTTATGTAATGTTCTTTTAACGTTAAATTACAATTATATTATTCAGGAAGTCCACAGAATCCGTCAAACTTTTGGCCGCCTACGAGAGCTACAAGGAGATCGTGAAACAAACAAACGCTGCCATTGAGTTCTATTCGCAGTTGTTTGTCATCATCCAGAAGCTGAGCGACTCCATTAAGAATATTGAGGATGCTAGTAAGTGTATACACAAAGATTCTATTATATTGTTGTGTCAATTGGTTTGTACGCATTGTGTAGGAGGTATGAGTACAACTCTGTATATTCAGATACCAGATTCCACAAAGAAGCGATGGACCGAAAGAAAGCGGCCGAAGAACGGGAACGGCAGGCTGTCGCGGCAAAACAAGCAGCCGATGCCATGGCTGAGTTCGGCTTTGCAGCACCAGGTCCAGTCAAGCCTGTAGCTGGAGGTAAAATTGAACCAGAAGGACCGAGAGGTAAGATAAGGTTAAAGACAGATCAAAAAATACTTTACCAAGTGTTGGTAACTTATAATTTGTAATTATTGTCTCAGTAATTGGGGAACTAATGTTGTTCTGTATATATGTAACTCCTCTTTCAGGTCGGAAAACGCTGGAAGACTACTTGAACCACTTTAGCGGTATGGCAGGCCTTCCACCCAAGCAGCCTCAAGCACCGTACTCCCAGTTTCCATCGTCCCCTTATGCCGTTCCATTCAGCGCAGCTCCAGCAGCACCACACAACCCATCTGCAGTTGGTCCTTACAATCCTCCTTCTGGTACTCCTATGGCACCATACCACGCAGCTCCAGTTGCATCCTACAACGCCCTGGCGCCACATGGTGCTCCTTCAATATCACCATACGGTAACCTACCAGCTGCTCCGCTTAGCTCATCATCAGCTACTCCATATGGTACTTCATCAGCTTCGGTTCCATTCAACAGCCTTACTGGTGCACCGTACAATCTGATGCCAGCTTCACCATACAGTAAACCGTCATCAGTACCTCAAAACCCATCTTCTGGAGCACCTTTGGGTGCACCATATAGTTCACAATCGGCTTCTCCATATGGTGCCAATCCAAGTGTACCATACAATCCAGCAGCTACTTACAGTAGACCTTCAGTAGCAGCTTATAATGGGACGTCAGTAAATTCGTACGTTCCATCCTCTGTTGGTACAAATGGAGCACCGTTCAACACGTCATCAGCTGCACCATCAGGAGCTCCATACAATGTACTACCATCAGCAACATCTTATAATGGACCACCTGCTGGTACCAATGGTGTTCCTTCTTCAACACCACGTAACGCTCCATCTCCATATAATGGACCAATTGCACCATCTCCAGCACTTTCTTTTAGTGCACCATCAGCTCCACATAATCTTCCCAGTAGTAGCACGGCTACACAGTTTATGCCTCAGGCTTCGATGCCCTATAATCCACTACCGAACGCTCAGTTTCCTCGTCCTGGAGCATCGCCTCTCAACGGATCTTCTGCTTCACCGTGGCATCAAGGCCTGTCTTCTTACTCCCAACCTTTCCAACCACAGAACCCCGGTAACCCCAAAAACAGTCTAATCTAACCTACAGTCATATCAGATACAGTAAATTAAGATGTTTTCTCTCCCTTACATGTATCGTTATAAGATACTACTTATCAACATCAATGTATCGTTAAGACACGGTAGCGCCTACTCTAATGTATGGTATCATTTACTTTAAGATACGGTGGATGTGTATTTACATAACTTATTTTGTCATCTTCACAATAAATAGCTATTTATTACAATCATTTCACAATAATAATGTTACTTTACAGTATAGTTAATCTCCAATATTATTCGAAACCAATCTCGATTCTGAAGTTCTTGGTGGGCTCGTTCTGTGAAGTGCGGAAGACTTGAGCATGTTGGAAGGCCTGGTCCCCCTCGCCGCCTCTCAGATTCACAGACAGTTCAACGTGATCGGCTCCTTCGAGGTCGTCGGTCTCCAGAATCCCATCGTCGTCAATCATTTGGCACAGATTCCCTCCGCAGAGTGTAGCGTTCGCTTTTCCGTTCTGGAACAGTGAGATTGGACCGAGGTTAAGAGACAGCTTCTTGGGAACGGCATCTCCAAAGTTGATTCTCCACGAGAGGTCGGCAGACTTGGTTCCTTCCTTGCGACAGATGTACACCATCTTCCAGTCGCTCTCGGTCTTCCTCTGGATATGTTCTCCTTGGTTTAGGTAGGAGAAGAAGCCAGTCGTCTCTTCTTCGTTGTTCTTGGGACGGTGGTAAACATCATTCACCACATCGTACTCGAGTCTGTAACCCAATTAATTATAAGCATATTAAACATGGACTAATAATGTTATTATTGTACTAAATTCATTACACAGTACTATATTATTAAATGACAGTCTCACGATGAGAAAACAAATTAATCGGAGAAGGGGTTTTGTACACTACAGTAGCTTCTTTTCTAGTACAACATAACTACGGTATGCAATTGTACATAAACTACAAAATGATTTAATTTTAAGAACTTTTATGAAAAACAACATCTGAACAAACATTTTAGTGGAGACCCCAGAACAAAGATTAATAAAGGATTTTGAAAAGAAGTCAAACTCACACAAACTTCTTGGCCTCCTTTTCGGCGTCGCTGAGGTTGATTTCGACCGGTCGATGAGGTTCGTTGGTCTCCATTCTAGCCAGTTTCCAGGCCAGTCCACCACTCTTGCGGCCTTCTTCGCCACCGTCCCTCAAATTGAGCTTCGGATTCAGGAACTGGATACACTCGCGTAGCTGACGACGTCGCAACTCTTCCCGACGTTCGGCCGGCAAATCCTTTTGAAGGCGCTGATTCAACTTCTATATAAACACTAATTACCATAACCATGACAACCTACCGTGAGACAATTCAGAAGGACCGGCTCCCGCACCATTCTCCGCCTCTTCAGCGTAGCCTTGTGGTGGAATGTGTAGCGCCAAGTCACGTCCTGAACATGATCCTTCGCTATGCCAAATACGTACTTGAACTCCTTGTTCCAACCCTGGAAATGTAGGTCGTTCAGCTTGTTTACATCATAGTAAATGTGTAATTACTTTAATCATAACTTAGCCACGGTCTTTTTAAATCTTAATAAATTCGGAAAATAAAATAATAGCAAATTTCAGAGATTTATGTGTCTATATTACCTTACCTTTTCATATAACAATGGTCGGTCGATGACATTCTCACATGGATCGAGATGAATCCAGTTCTTGCTTTCAGGATCGTATATCTCCACCCAAACATGGTCCTCAGTACTTATCACATACCGGGTTTCGAGACCCACAGCGCGACAAAACAAAGCAAAACAGTTGGCCCACTCTCCACAGCGACCTTCTCGAGTCTCGATTAGTGTAGCCGGGTTGTTGAAGCGGGCGAAGCGGCACTTCTGGTTACAACTGGTACAGTTGAACACCTCTACTTTGTCTGCACCGCGTTGGCGTTCGTCCGCAGATGGTGGGGAGTCACCTAAAATCGGATACTTGATTATAATGCAAAAAATTATACTTGGCTGTAGGTATAATATTTTTTTATGATTCAAAACAACCTATAGTGTAATAACCATTTAAAATGATATAAACGTAAAAGTCTTTAAAGACGGTAGATTTATAAAACATACCAATAAAAGTTGTCTTTTTCTTGCAACACTCCGGCTGGTCCAGCCACCTGAAGAAGTCATCGTGGAACCACTTCATCAAGTTTTTAGCTAACAGAGCTTCCTTTACTTTACCATCAACCTTGGACTGCTCTTTCAACTTATCCAAAGGTATCACTGACAAGGCCAAGGTCTGAGTGATCTCGTCTTCGTACTCTTTCACTCTGTCCACCACTGACACAATGTGATTGTGTAGGAACTGTCGCTCCAAGTGGTTCGCTTTTCGAGGATTAGGCTTCTCTGAAGCGGCAGCGACCGGTCGGTAGTTCTGTTGAATTATAGACTCAACTCTTCTGATGTCAGCACCTTGAACTCGACCAACTTCTTTTCCAGCCAAAAACAGTACGAACGTTGGCATCGCTCGTACTGAGTGCATTTGAGAGACCACTAAAACATGAATAATATAAGAAAAGAACTTACTATTGCAATAATCTACATTCACTTTGACAAACACAGCATCTTTGTACTGATTTGAAAGTTGCTCGAAATGCGGAGCTACCATTCGACATGGTCCACACCTGAAAAGACATAAGATAATATAAAACATCATCCGCAAATGTTGTCATTAAAATAATAAATGCAAATTGCTTAATTTATCATATTAAGACATTTTCTTGCATATATTAAACATTAAGAAACACATGACGTTTCTCCATAAAACAAGATTTTAGATAATCATTCTTTGAAATCGTACCAATCTGCGTAGAAGTCAACCACCAACAACTTGTTCTGGCCAGCCTTCTGTTGAATCGCCGGCCATTCTCCATCGTGATTCACATGTTCGACCACCATTGTGCCCGTAAAACTTGATACACGTCTCCAGAATCTTTTATTTTTATTTATTTTATAGTTAAAACAGAATGCCAAGCAATCTTTGGCTTATTTTGTTTTCGTGGTGGGACTCAGCCGTTGTGTAAACTGTTTATGTTATCAATGTTTAAACTGATTGTTTGCTGATATCACAGATTAATATTGTGTGGTATATAACTGAAACTGTGCAAACACTTGAATCGTTGTAAAAAAGTTGAATTCGCTGCCTCTTCGGGTATAACGAACGAGTTATGGAGTTGTGTTGTCGCAAACCAAGTGATTTGATGAAGTATTGAGAGCGACGGAGCAAAAAACAGTTTTATTTTTGATGTTGATGGATCAAAACACGAAGAGAGGCCGGGGTCGTTCTGTTTAGATATTGTGTTAGGTCTAGTTGTGATAAGGAATGTCATTTCAACGGCGACAAGCGATGTCGTGTTAACATAATAAAAGCATGGTACGTTGATGTAGATCTAGCCCGGTGTTTGCTCTGCTGGCCTCTCCTTTTCCGATATCACGTGAGCAACGTGTCCGGGTGCTCTTTAAAGATTTCGGCGACAAACTCACTCCCGAAACACTTTTTATCAGTTGTTCTTTGTTCGCGGCTCTGTAAGTTACTGTTCTCCCGTCGAACCTGGGTTTTGCGGTAATTATTGGGTAAATTACATGTTCATTTGGGGGAGGTTTGACATTGGACAACAGAAAGTTTGACACAAGGTCTCCTCTGATATTGTAGTAGATTGGGGGTCTATCGCGATGGTATTCGATTATCATAAGCATCACATGGTCTTATTTACGTCTATGTTTGGCGATTACAGTAACCGTTTTCTTCCTTTTTATTTTTCGATTTTTGGGCAAGGTGTACCATTCATGTTGTAATTGCACCATTAGTACCATTCGTATAATACAACAATATTATGAACTTTTAACTATACTGTCGACAAGTTACTATAGCTTTTGTTACCTTTACCTTTAAAATTTGACAAAAACATATAAACAGTAGCACTAATAGTACTACTTTCAGATCAAGCTGGGTACTGTAACATCAAACTTCTAATCAAAACGGATACTGTAACTTTAATCACATTATTTTGTCAATTTTAAATCAATTTAAATGACCGACAAGGACTTTATCGGAGTGCCTGGTACCAGTTCATTTGTACCATCTTCCGATCCGGTACCATTCACATTGGACGATTGGTGTGCACCAGTTTGGAACAACGACGAGACCAATGGGTCCAAGAGCCTTCAGGTCCAGACTGAGCCCATGACCAGCAAACAGGTAACTAGTACTCTTTGGAAGACCGCTTCCAGGTCTGGTACTGTGTAGTATCGTGCTTAACTTCAGGACGATTCTCCCCAATTAAGTCCCAAAATACAGATTTCAGTACTGAAGCAGCCGGAGGAACAGCACCGTGCTCGGTATCTTTCCGAGGGATCGCGTGGTGCTATCAAGGACAGGAGTGGTACCTCACATTGTACCATTAAAGTTGGTCCTTTTTTATTTTTTAAAGCATATAGCACCATCTTATAACAATAGTACTATCTGGTGTAATATAGTACCATCTATGCTAATGAGTACTTAGATAAAGCCAATCTGTATAACAGAACAGTACCACTAAGTACCAGCTTGTTCTAGTTGGACGGTTACTATCGCCCCACCAGAGTCGAGATATATGCGGCGAATGGTACTGGTGCTTTGTCGCCGCACCAGTTCTACAAACTGATCCCAGTGTCGGGCAAGTCGGCGACAACCACACCGTGCAAGCAGGTGGTCGGGCACGACGGCATCGACTGCCTCGAGGTAATGCTGCGACCCGAGAACGACATGACTGCTGTGTAGGTTACTGTAGCAAGCACGATCTGGTAATATTACTGTAATTTCGAAAGTACAACATCTTTTTGGAAAAAATATAGTAGTCAAGGTTACTGTAACCTTTTGTTAAGTTTTTAATGTATACTGTATATTATCAGCTGTACTTTTAAAAAACACGGTTACTGTAACATTGTTTTAGTTTGGACTGTATTGGCATTTTGAAGATATGTTCGTATAACAATCGGCAGCGACGACAGCGACGCACGACTACAGCGGATTCGGGAGAGAATCTGAATTCGATTTCCACCAGAATCTGCTTCAGAGCTTTTGTTACAGTAGCCCAGGACCAGATTCAGATTATAAAGACGTTTACAGAACCCATTCGATGCGGTAAGTCTTTTGCACTGTGCAAAAACATATTTTTATAGCGTTGCACTGTGCAGACATCTTTGAATTCTCATTTTTGCCACTGCACCGTGCAAAGTAATTGTTTTTCTTGCACTGTGCAAAGCAATTATTTTTTGCACCGTGCAGTTGCAAAGCATTTGCTATTGTTTTGTTTTGGGGATTGCACGGTGCAATGCTTCTTTCCTTTCAAATTGTCGCTCTTCCAATTTCTTTGCACTGTGCAAGGTCTAACCACAATCTTTGCTACACTTGTTGTCGCTCATCACATTTGTCGCAATTTGTTTGTCGCTCTTTCTTTTCCTTGTTCAAGAAAAACAGAAAGAATGAATGACAAAAAACAATTGGCGACAAAGCCGTTCTTCACTGTGCGATCAGTGAAAGAAGGCGACAAAGCTTGCGAAAACCTTGTGTTCCTTCTGTTGTCGCGAACTTTGCCAGGAGTCCGCGATTTTTGTTTAGAGACAAACGATTCTTGACTGAATGATTTGCGACAATGTTGTCGCATAGGTTCTTTTGGTTTTTGGACGACATGTCGCATCATTTGGCTTTTTTGAATCTTTGGCGACAAACTCTTTCGGTGTGAATTTGTCGCGACAATTTTGTCGCGGGTCTTCTTTGAGGCGTGTCGCAGTTTGTCGCTCAAATTCAATAGGGATTTGTCGCAACAATTTTGTCGCAGGCCTTCTTGCGACCTGATCAATTCTTCACATTTACGGCGACATGTTGCACAGTTGTGCGAGTCTTGGAAGAAGCGACAACTTTTTTTGCTTGAAGGGTTTGCGACCGTGTTGTCGCAAACTTTTGACTTGAAGTTTGTCGCGACATCTTGTTTGATTGATCTTCATGAGAGCTGCGACAAATCTTTCTTCTGTTTCTTTGCACTGTGCATACTCTTTTTTTGCTGTGCTTGCATTGTGCAAGCCATTCTCTTGTAGTTCTTGCACGGTGCATTCTTTTTGGCCATGTCTTGAGGCTGCACTGTGCAGTTTTGCTTCTTTTTGTTTTTGGTTTGCACAGTGCAGCGTTAATGATTGCACGGTGCATTATTGTTTAGTCTGTGCAGTTTAAAGTTTAATGAAATAAAACATTTTAAATTAAAATTTGAATTTTAGTGCAACAATTGGGAGTGCCGGAAGTGCTGAAGATGTCGCTGAGCAAAGCCCAGGCTTCTGGAGGGCAGGAAATGTTTATAATCGGCAGAAACTTTGACCGTAACACTACCGTACTCTTCCGGGAGTACACTGACTGTGAGTTCTTCGATTACTGTATTTATGAAGTTCTTCTACTACTGTAATTTACCGTAACTTTCTTATTATAAACCCTTTAGCCGGAACATTGTCGTGGAATGCAGAAGCCGAGATCCAGAAGCCCTACTTCCACCAGTGCCACATCGTATGTCTGGTACCAGAGTATCCAAACAAGTTCAGAGGGAGTACTGTATCGGTTACTGTAAAATGTGGCCAGAAGTTTAGTCATCCTAACACTTTCGAGTACCTGGCTTGTGGTAAGATTACTGTAGTATACTGTAATGTAGCATGACTTCTTACTGTAACATCTCTATCACAACTTTATCTTACTATATCAGCTTTCTTTCTTACTGTAATCCTACTGTATTTTAGAAGAACAAGAAGACGAATGGTGTCCTCCAGGATCGCCGCGACCTTCCATCAAACGGCCTTATTACCAGCGGCCGAATCAGTGGGAGAACAACATGTACGACATGCCCTACTTCGAGTACGAGATGAACAACAGCGGGTACTACGGTAACTACGACGAAGCGACAGATCAGTCCAAGAAACCGCGCGAAATGTAGATACGGTTACAGTATTATACCTGTAGTGGAGTGTAGATACTGTATTGTATCATATCTGTAGTAGAATGCAGATACTGTATATAGTATCGTATCTATAGTACAATTTAGATACTGTATAGTATCATACTTATATTATATCATGTATTATCGCACTATATTGTATCTGTATCACACGTATAGTATATCATAGACATACCATATCTTATGTTACTACAGATGTACTGTACTCACTTATACAGCCTTGTTATTGTTAGATTACTGTAACGTGTTACCTAAAATATTAAATTTCTAATAAAGTTTGTAATAGCAGTCTTTCCACTAAAGAATTTGACAAAATCGCAAACCCCAATTTGGAGGAATCGCTGTCGCGCCCGGAATCGGGGGACGTCGCGCGACATTCAGCGAGTCGTGCGACATTCGCTTGCACCCTGCGACATCGAAAGGGGAATCGCAATGTCGCAAGGTGCAAGATCTCGCGACAAGTTGTCGCATCGCGGTTTAAAGGGCGATGCGACAGCATGTCGCGATTGTCACAACGCTCAAGCCACCACTGTGTTCAATGGAAGGTTTGCGACAAGATTTTTTTGACTGTCGCAAGTCCCCTGACTCCTGCGACAACCGACCAGTGCGACAATTGGGGGCTTGCACTGTGCATTCTTTCTCTTATCGTTTGGGGTTGCAAGCAATCGCGGGGGAATCTGTACGGCGCAGTAGAATAAAAAAGGGCGCGATTTTCCCAGGGACTGCACTGTGCAGTTGTGTAATTCTTTAGTGGAATGACTGATATATGGTGGTGAGATGCTTATATTGCAGTAGATTGTTTCAATGTGGATTTCGAGTTCAAAACAGTATTTAAAATTTTGAATTTTAAATTCTCGCCAAATTGTGGTGGTTTGGCATTCTGTTGCAAATGGTTGTTTTGCGTGGGTTTGAGTGTTACTACATTACTACAGTGCTCTTACAAGGCAGAGTGTGCTATTACACTAAAGCCAAGGTACGAAATACTCTGGTTACTGTAGGTTTGCAGAGCTTAAAACTTTTTTTTTAATTTCAAAACTTTTTTAAATTTAAAGATTTCGAACTTTGAAACAGGACTTCTGACCTCAGGAACCTGTAAATGAAAGTTTGTCGCGATACCTAAAGCTACTTAAAGCATTACTGCCGTTTCTGATCGCAACTCGTTTGTTCTGATGAGATTAGCAGCGATGAGTAATGTCGTTGTATCTTTATTGCAGAATTCGTATCTTGAGTTCATGTTACAGTAAGAGCATCTAACAGCGAGAATGATAAGGTGGTAACACTACATATAGATAAGGTGATAGTACTATATATAAACATATAATACTGTGATAATACTAAACATAAGCACATAATGGTACTATATGCAGGTGATAGCAGTACAATATGAACACTTAAGTTACAGTAAGCTCTAGAAAGCAATGGTACTAAATCACTAAAAGCTATAACTGGACTGGTCCAAAAGTTCCTAGAAATATCAAAAAGACATAATATTAGAGATGGTTCTACAGACTTTTCGACCAGGAAGCAGAGATTACGGTAATAAGATTAAAGTAACAGTAAGATCATTTAAATTACAATAACTTACACAGTAACCAGGTTATTGTAATATTAAAGTAATATGTTAAGTATGATATTATGAATAAGATATTATATTAGATGTTATAGTAGATATTATGGTAGATATCAAGAAATATAAGATATTACAGTAGATATTACGCTATGCAATGCTGATATGCTGAATTCGATCGTTTGTTCTATGGTCGCGACACTGGCGACATCAATGTTGCTATAGTAGTGTTGATATCGCGACAACTTGTATTTGTCGCACTCACTGTTCCGAGACGACTGTGCTGTGCCCGTGAAGACCGATCACGACGAATTCACCGTCGCTGGTTACACGCATTCTCTCTGTGATTTCAACTTCGAATTCGATACTCTGATGCCCTGAGGCCAGTTCCAGCGATGGCAGCGGCTTCTCCAGCAACAATTGAGAATCTTGTACGGAAGCGACGTGAACGTGCATTACTACCCAAAATAGTACAGTTAGAGGTGGTTACAGTACGATATGCAAGTTACAGTAATATATGTAGTCCTACAGTAAGTCACAATAAAATATATAATAAAATTCTACAGTAACCTACAGTATAGTCGCAGAAACATAAACTTACTTCGAGTCTGACGCTACCATCGAAGGAGTTGTAGCAGTCTACAGTAATATACAGTATCTTGTTCTGCTCCTTGACTGAGTTCATTTGGAAGCCAAGAGCTGGCTTTGTGGTACCAGATGGACCATCTTCCTTCATCCAGACTCTGGAGCCAACGGAGCGTGGCGTTAGGATCTTGTCGCTGGCTTCCTTGAGCAGTGGAGCGTTGGCAAAGTCGATACGAAGAAACTCTTTGAAGCCATCTTTCAACGCTGCAATTACGGTAATTACTTGAGTAAAGCTGTCAACAACTCTCACTATGTTTTCATTTTAAAATCATTTTAAAATGACTTAAATTTAAAATGTTTACATGTCATTGCAGCGACAAACTACAAAACCTCTTTAAGTTAAACAAAAACTTCCTTAAAACTACAGTATCTACAGTAATATACTCACCAGAACAGCACGGTTTGATCAACTGTTCGACGACGTTCTTGGGCACCTTGGACGACGTTCTCCGTAGCAACTTCTTGCTTGGAGCCTTGGCTTGTGGCCCCATCTGTACCGTCGCCTGAATGATGTCGTCGTTTTGAAAGTCTGGTCGATCTGTCAGAAGGTGTGGTCGGTCATCCGAGCTGACCGAACTTCCACTCGACGTACTCGAAGCTCGCGACCTCTGGCCTGGCTTCAGATCCACGATGTCGACAAATGAATCCGTGGATTCTTCCGCACTCATGGCTTCGGCTTCTGTGGCCAATCGTCGCGCAAACGATCGCAGGAAAGTGTTGGCCCAGAGCTGCGACGAGGTGACTGGGGTCGTGGGCTTGCCATCGCGGAGTCGACGGCCGTTCGACGAATATCTGAAACGACTGACTTCAGATTGGTCTCTTGTTATTGCCCCCTCAGACAGTTCCGCATTAGAGCGACTTAAAATAACTTCTGCCATTCCTTAATTAACCTATAAATAACCAAAAGTCTGCGCAGCGTTCGAAATATTTCGAAATTTTTAAAATTTAAAAGCTTTTAAAAGTTGCAAAATATTTAAAAATTTATATTACACTGGTTTGGCTACCCAAAAATAAATTTATATTAACCATAGTAAAACTATCTCACAGCAAAGTATCTTATATAAGCCATAGTGACATAATTTTATATTAACTATATTAATAGCAACCCATGTAAAACGTGTTTAATATAGTTTGGATGGTTAATATAGTAACTATATGAAATTACCGTGCAGTAACTTTACAGCGTTTGCAAGTAAAAGTTTACAAAGTAAAGTATAGAATTTCAAATTATTTTAGGTAATAAACTCTGCAAAAGATCGCGCCACGCCTAAAACTGGCGACAAACCGCAGTCTAGCCAAAAAAAGCAAAAGAAGAATGAAGCGATCCGAAACAAGATGGATAACATCGATCGGAAACGGAGATTAGGCTTACGTGATCTTAGGCTTAGTCCGGAGCTCCATCAGCTGGGGTCGCTTGGGGTTGGCCGTGAGCAGGTCGGCCTCGATGTTAATGGGATGAATCATGGTTAATGTGGAGTTACTGGAGTTGCAATGAGCCGCGCCAGCTTTTAAAGGGCGTGGGAGAGGGGCGGTGCTTCTGCTGGGGGGTGTAACATTCATCGCATTCCTGCACGATGACGTAGCGGAGTTATTAACCTTGAGGTTAACGTTCGACTAACGTGTTCCTCTTGCCCTAATTACCACACCCAACTCGTTTCTGAACGAACATTTCCAGCTTTTTGTTTCCAATTTTGGAAATTGCACAAAGCGACCTGTCGATTGCGCAATCGCGGTTTCGGCCGCGGTAAACAACAGTTAATCCCTGGTTCCTCAGCACATATGACACAATGTTCATAGTGGCATTACACGACCGTGCTTTGATCTTTGATACTGTGCTCGGATGCCAAACTCAACATAACACAACAAACCGTAGTATTAGAAAAGGTTGACATGGTAAACACGGTTGTAAATACGATGATCTCAGTATCAAAGAACAGAACATAACATAACAAAGATCTTAGATTTTATAGTTCACTGTAAAATGACGTTACTCTTTGTCCAACTTACATTACTAATGGCAGTTTAGCAATTTTACTGTGTTTTACTTACAGTACAGCTCAGAATATACCAAACTATAGTTTTGTTACATACCAAACAAAACTATGTTTTTCCTGATTAGAGTTCTAAGAAAAGAATTCCGAATCAGAGAAGCGGCCAAAAAGAATATGATATATCTCAAGTCACGTTATTACAACATACCATCACAAACTCGACAAATATTTTGCAAATAATGACATATCAAAACAGGAAATAGTTCAAAATAAAAGACTGTTCAATTTATGATAGTGCCAAATGAAACGATATTTTTTAACTATACAAAGCTCCAAACCCCATCTACAAGACTTTGAAATGTATTTATTACCTAATCCTTAAAAACCTATCTTTGTCATCGCTTTCTCAGACTTTCGTATTGTTTATTGATCTTATCACTGTAAGAATTCGGTGATCGTAGCATAATGATCAAGCATTTCGAAGCACAGTAATGTAAGTTTGCCGTCAGAGTAAACAAGAGTGCGTCCAAAATACACGACAAACCACAACGGGGTCTTCAACAAACTTACCACAACAACATGGTCGTATCTCCTTCAGCTATCAGAGACCAAAGCGAGAACAAGAATAGCGCCGACTTCTATTTTTAGAACCAACGATCTATAAGATGTTGTTATTAATCATGAGCGATGTGCAAGATCATTACAAGCACCACATTCCTCGCGGCTCATAAGTACAGTAACCATTTCTGGGCCAACTAATGACTTTGACTTTATCGTAATGTTTAGATTTCAAAGTGAAACTTAAAATTAAAATCGCTATGATTAGCTATTGTATCCATTGTATTAACATTTAAGTTACGATGTTACAACTAGAAATGTAAATATTTTTTTGTGTTATCAAGTCATCAAATTCAGGGAAAACTGTAGCCTCAGATGGCTGAAGAATCCAGTTGCGCTTGATTACAAATCTTTCCAAACCGTTTATTTTGAAATCAATTGTTATCACACAATACAAACTACCGTATCACCTTTAACTACTCCCAAACTACAAGTTAACCTTTGCAGTAACCACCGTGTTTTTTCATCGTGCTGTACTTGAAAATCTTGCGCAGACTTCGGCAACTTTGCTCGCCAGATACGAACATGTCGCGTCGCAGTAAACGGCTCCAATTTGCTTCACCATAAATACGATATTTACTTGGCTTCCTCAACAAACTTTACAACTTGTTTGTTCCCCGCGAGTACAAGTCTTTCACAATGTAGCTATAAAAAGATCGCTCGAATATTCTTAGCACCTGTTGTTTTTGTTTTGTAAGTCAATTTCTGCTCGGTTAAGCGACGTCACATTTCGCAAAAGTTAGAATCCAAACTACACCGTCCCAATTGTAATTCGCGCAAATGCTATTATGTCGCTACGTTTATGTTTCGTGCTCTCCATTTGATCTACTACAAAACACATCAATCATTTGCAGATCTAATTCATCGAGTTTAGGCTAGTTCCACATTAAAACTTTCCCTACGTCATGCTTCCCAGTTTTAAAAGAGTTCGACCAGGGTCTTAAAAGCAGTCGAAAACATGACAAAACATTCTTTACACTTTTATTATTGTGAAAACAATCTCACGCTTCATAAAATGTGATGGTTTTGGTCTTTTGTAATTATTGTAACTTCACATAAAAACAATTATCGGTTCCTGTTTAAGTTTAAGGAGTTTAGAACACAAGACACCTCCGAAAACACTTTTTCATTTAATTTTGCCATCCTTAAATCTTACTATAAAGCTGTGTTTTCATACCTTATAACAGTAAGAGGAAAAATTTTCTAGTTAGTATATATATTTTTATGTTATAGTGAGTATATCCATTTCTAGCTTGTTTACTTAAACTTTCAAAGATAAAAAACTATTAATAACCCTTATAAAAAACGATATTAATCTCGCCCCAACGTTTAGCGAATGCCGATTAGAAAACTCCGTGCGACACGGTACACACTTGTATTATGTCGCAAACGCAGCTTCGCTAAACATAAGCTACCTTTAGAGTACAAACTTAAGACCAGCGTGAGATCAAAACATCGGCAAGCTACTATAATACGCCTTTCTGTGATTCTGCCAGATTAAAACCCATTAAACATTATCTTAAGCTCTAAAACAGATGAATAAAACCCAAAAACAATTTTTTTCAATATTTATCAAACTTTGCCAACAAAAAACAACTCCAAAATCCGTAAAACGTTTATCCATAACTTAAAAACCGTGAATCTTACAGTTTTCTTCTTTCACGATGCCCACCTTGCACAAGAAGTCCTTGATGTTCTGTCGCTGATCTCCAGTCAATTGGATAACCTCTCCATACTCTGGATGTTCCACGATCGTTCCGTTACACGAGTATTCCTAAATCCATAATATAAAAAAGAAATCAACTTACTTTCTTCAAGTACCGCACAATCTTCTTTAAATCGTAAGATGGGTCGATACCTTGAACCGTTGTGATCGACTTTCTGCCAGTTCTTTGTTGAATTCTTATATGGCAGAATCCCTGACGGGTTCCTTCTTCTTCCTCAAGCTGCTCAAAGGCATCTAAAAGCAAAAAGTGAAGTTACAAAAAATAAAAAAAAGAAAAAACCTATAAAATAAGAAAAAAAGACAACATATACCTATAAAAAACACTATTTTGATAATAAATAATAAAATTTACCTTTTGGCTTGTTCAAGTTATGAATATTCGTGCTCATATTGAAGTAAACTGGCTGAATATACCAATATTATCCTTCAACAAAACGCACAATTTTCCTGATGTAATTTTTTGGGTTAAAACAGAACGCCAAAAACCCACTGAAACTCAGGGAAAAACGCGTGTTTGACAATACAATTTCTTGTTTTTTTTCTGGAGGAAAAGCTGTACTGCGATGTAAAATAAAGAGAACGATGAAAACAGCGAAAAATAATCGATTTTTAGCTACTTTGATATACATATTATATTATAGTAGTTTTATTTTACTCGTTACATTTCTGTTTTTTTATGGGTACAAGTTGCTTTGAAAATAGCTATTTTAAAATTGTACTATATAATTAGACTAGCCTATTTTGGCCTATTATTTGTTTATAATTTATGTTTAAAGTACTTATTTACATTGTGTTAGAAGCCTGGCAGATGTATTATGTTTTCCCGTAAGTTTATGTTATGCAATAGATATTTATTTATAATTATAGCACATTTACATATATTACACACCAGTTTTGTGATACCCGTGATGTCTGTTTTGGCAAGAGAACTTGAAGGAGTTGCTTATAAAGGAACACCGTTCCTGTGATAGGTAGATAAGGGAGGTGGAGGACATGAAGGAGGCGGTGGAGGTGCTACAAAGGAAGGAGGTCGAAGTCGCGACCTACTCAGTGAGTGAGGGAAGGCATTGGTCGCATATGGAGAGGCATAAGTTGAGGTATAGGCACAGTTGTGACATTTATTGGGCAGAAGGACCAGACTGGAGTAGTAATCGGTGGCGGGGTAATTAATGAGGTCAGGTCTTCCTTGTGGTAGGGCGCTGACGTAGCGCTGACAAGTTCCCGTGTTCATATTATTCATGGTGTTATCCATTAAGTCGCTGATCGACTCGGGCTTGTCATAGATGATTGAGCCTGAGAACGAGGATGAGCCTCCATATAAGGGCATTCGGCTGTTCTTGGGGGTGGATTTCGCTTTTTTGGAGCAGCACATCATCTTGACGCATACGGTAACCAGCAATACGGTGACCAGCAGCAAAGCGCCGATTAGGATGCTGAGCACGGGGAGATTATTCAAATTTTGTCGGGCCAAAGTCAGAAGGGTGTTTTGACAGTCGAGTACCTGAAATTAGGGGCAGGTGTGAAGGCCGCAAAAAGAGCTCTCGAGAGACAAATAAAATAATCCTTACCGCCTTGTCCAGCCCCATTCCAGCCATCTGCTCGGGTCCATCGCATCGGGCCATGTTTGGGCTGTTGTGTCGCGAAATCAGATTGCGTAACACACCAGTCCACGAGCAATTGCAGTACCAGGGATTTGTGGAAAGGTCGACAGCTGAGAGGCGGCTCAAGTTGAGAACGTCAACATTCCAGTGCTTGATCCCATTCCCCGAGAGATTCAGAATTTGCAGTTTGGAGCAGTTTGAAATGGCCGTAGGCGAGATAAGATGGAGTTGTCGACAGCCGGAGATGGTCAGACTGTTCAAGGCACAGAGTCCATGAAAGGCGTCGTCTTTTATCTGGGTGAGACTGTTCATGTGAGTAATGGTTAACGACTTGAGCGTGGCCAGCTCCAGGAAGTCGAGCGACTCCAGAGCGTTCATTGGATTATTCGATAGGGATAATTCCTCCAACGCCGGGACGTAAGGCCATTGTTCGCGGGGTGCAGATGTTAACTACAACGAAAACAATAAAATGAGGGACATTTGATTACCTTATTCGCTGACAGATCTAGCGACTTGAGCTGTCGCAAGCCTGTGAAGGCCCCCATTTCCATGTTGCGCAACCGATTCCATGCCAATTCCAGAATGACTAGTTGGTTCTGACTGGAGAAAACGCCGTATGAGATCTAAAGGATAACAGAATGAGGCCGACGTCGTCATAATTACCTTTTCTAATTGATTGTGACTCAAATTGAGCGTCTCGATTTGGGTGAGGTCGAGAAAAAGACTGGGCGACACCTTTTTCAGCTTATTAAAGCTGAGGTCAAGCGTCTTAACGTGTTCTAATCCTGCGAACACCATGGAGTCGAGCTCGAGCAGTTCGTTCTTAGACAAGTTGAGATGCCGTAACTCCTGTATATGCACAAAAACCTGGGGTTGCAGCGATTTGATGACATTTTGTGACAAGTCCAAGGTCTGAAATGATCGATTATATCATGTCCAAATTCAGAAGCGCGTAAATCAAAACGTTGGGTCGTAAAAATGGTCGTAAATTCATGAACGGTGAACCCTACCTCTAGTTTTACGAGCCCTGCGAATAGAGTCCGATCGAGATCGCTGAGGCGATTACGGCTCAGCCTGAGGGTCCGCAGATTCTGGAGCTGGTCGAAGGCTTCGTTGTCAAGTTTGGAGATGTTGTTGCCGGAGAGATCCAGCTCTTCAAGATCTGAAACACGATTACTACTTTTACGGCCGGGGATTGTCGCAAAAACGCCAGAAACGAGGACTTTACGAAAGAAAAATGAGAAGATTAAGGAGAACATACCCTCGTAGATTCTGAGTGTCATGGCATCAGGCTCGGTAACGGCACAATCAATCAGATGTAATCTGCGGAGTTCCGGATTCAGGAACATGGGGATGGAGCCGAGGTTGACGTTCCGACATGCGACGTCTTTATTGTCATCGTGACATACGCATCCGGGCGGACAGGATGTTCTGATGAAGGGTAAAATGTGCATCAGCCACACTAATAGCAGCCCATAACCCTTGGGCATGGCTGAAACGAAAAAACAAGGTTATTACACGGATGGAGAACAAATGCAAATAAAACGAGCGCTTCAGGAAGCCGAATTTATGAAACGGAGTAGTCGTAGCGATGCCGTCGAGATCAGGGCTTTTGGAAACGAGTGCGGACAGGCCGCTCCCGCGCGGATTAACTCATCTCCATCCATCCCCGGCTTCGTTTTTTGGGCTTCCGGGCATGGACGGCAGAAATGGCCTCTTCACACGTCTCCACAGGGGATAAACTCCCGAATCTGGAGTCGAAACTCTCCAGGGGAACAACAAAACGGGCGATCCGCTTTTCGCCGAGCCAAGTCAACTTGAGGAATGACCGAACATGCGCGAAGGGGCGGGGTAACCTTTGTCCAATTCGCCTGTCCCTGCTGGAAACACGATCAGACATGAACCGGGCCCAAAACTAGCTGCAACCTGACACCTTGTCAGTTTGTTGTGAGCCGCGTTATAATTTAATTACTACCTACAATACGATGGCTATTAAGAGGCGTGCAAGCTGCCATTTCGGACTAAACTTGGCATGGGCGTTTTTGGGATAATGGCAGGAAAGGGTTTAAAAATAGTGTTTTTTTTTCAGAAATGCTTTTAATTTATGAGAAAAACATTTTTTAAGACTGTCATAAAATAAATATGCCGTAATTATGGTTTCTATAGTATAACAGCCTATGTAAAGTATAATTGTTTAAAAAGGTCTTTTCGGTGGTAGACTAGAGTATAGATGAAGTATTGTTCAAGTCGCCGGCTTCAGTGAGTTAAAAAAAGTTGTTACAGTATAAATAAAAAATATTTTCAAAAACATCTCTACTATGAAATGTTGTGACAAAAAGCGAATATTAATATTCCAGTATACTATTAAGTTGTTTTGGCCGAATCAAGAACCAGGAGTAATTTAGAATTCAATTGGATGGTCATTCTACTGAAAACTAAAAAAACATTTGCCGCAATTGCATAACTGGCCGAGTCCATAAAACGGCCTAAGGGGTAATTTCCCGAAATTAAAATCGATGCTAATTTGGGCGGGGTGGTGTGTTTTACATTGGAAATGCATTCCAAGGAGAGGTAACCGCCTCATAAACCGATTAAAACGGGCCACGCCAGGCCTGGGCCAGATTAGATTAACGCAAATAAACGCGACGAACCCAGTAAGACTCGAAACTTATTAATCCAATCAGTCGCTTCTCATTCCTTATCTGTCACAATCACCAGGGGATCAAAGGGACCCGCCCCGTTGACTGACAAATGAGGGGTTTCCGTTTCCGCGACCAGCTCAAGGGCGTCGCTGACGAACTTACAACAACATTTCGAAAAGGTTGTTGAAGTTTGTCTTGTATGGTAATTTGCGACAATAAATCTCAAAAAAATTCAAGGAGAAGATTCAAAAATGTTTAAAGACATTAAACTGGCTATTTTAAAAAGAGTAATATTTGAAAAGCATTTTAACATCATAAACAGCGTAAAACAACTTTGTCGCAACAGAGGATTTAAAGTTGTCTTGTTATGACAAGCGACGAACAGACGTCTAAACCATGAGGACAGGACATGCGGGGCCTAATTTGGTTATAAGCGTGCTTATTACCCCTCCCATCCCCTAATTATCGGCAGCTGAAGGGTAACCCTCCAAGAGGCCTCTCGTCCTCATCAAAAACGCATTATGATGCGCGGCCGAAAACTCAATCAAGTTGGGCTTGATGGAATTAGCGTTTACAGAGCCGGCCCCACCTTCGCGCTCTTCGAGTATCGGGGAAGGGCCAATAAAGGCAACAATGGAGAACATCTTGAAGAATGCGTGTTGACCCCGCTCAACCGGTTGCGGCCAACAAACGAGAGCCATTTGTCGCCAGAATCGAGGAAGCGGTCGAGGCAATAGGGCGGAAATGAGAGTGGACACGTCCTCTGCCCCCGTCCCCGCCTCACCCACGCCCCCACCCCCGATCCCGCCCGAAAATTAATTGTCAAGTAGGTCTGTCATAAACAAATCAAATTATTGTGTTTCTCCTATAAACTCGTTACCATGCTAATCATATGCAATTACTTAATGTCTACTTAAGTAATTAGGTGTGAGATGTCACATACAAGTGTAGTAACAGTCATGGATCCTCAAAGTTCTCGATTTCTAAGATGTAAAGGATGACAATAAAGTGTTTGTAACCCAAGACGAGGAACGGGATGTTAACTAATAATATTAATTAAAGAGTAATACAATCCCTGAGTATTAAGGATAATAATCCCGGGATACCCATTAATAACTACAATATGCCAAAAATTTATTCAAATTTAAAATTACTCAAATGGACATCCATCGGGTACCAGCTTGTGGCTCTTAATGGCCGTGCTCAATGATCGTACTGCGCCTTGCATCTCCCAGGACTTGTAGCATCCTTGAGTTGAGGTCGCGTTGAGTTGTTGTTGTATGGGGGTTGTAGCACCTCCCAAGAACACATTCAGTCGCTTCATTTGTTCTATCGCCATTCTGGTCATCTTCAACGGGACTCTGGCTTGTTGGTCATCTACTGACACGGTTACAGTATGATCGGCCATCAACAGCGACACACGGTGCCACTCTCGAGCACACATTGCAAGGTCTAGCTTCTTCTCCAACGCTACACCGTGCTGGCGAAGACTGATGCGGAAGGTCAGCTAAACATAATTTCAAAGTAATGCTTACAAACTTAAACAATAAGACGAAGAAGGTATAATATAGTAATTTATATAAGTTTTGATGTAAAATGATTGACTTACATCTCCATCTTCGATCAGTAGTGCAACATGATTCTCGTGGTGATTAGCTTGCTCTGGATTGAACAAACCGATCAGAAGCGCTTTCTTTGTTTCCGTAGTCTTCACATTCACCCCAATATTGATTTCTGGCTTCGTACTGAATCTCAGGAGTGGCTCTAAAAGCAAATACCAATATACACATATTACAATCACTATTCAAAATTATATATTTAACACATAAGTTACAAAATATAAGCGAAAAAAAAGAAAGCTGTCAAATAACCTTACCGAACATCATGTAGCCTCCGTTATGAAGGTAGTCAGCATCAAACGACTTGACACATCCAACAATGTCACGACTAGCCAATGACAGATCGTGAGTGACACCGTTCACGGTGAAGTCGCGCAGACATCCCTCGAAGGTGGGGATGGTGATGTTGAACTGTCTTCTGTGCTTCGAAATGAAGCCTCCCACGAACATCCGCTTCTTCATGACCTTCGGGTTGGGAACGTCGTTCATCTGTTCAGCTGGGTGTTCATCTACTTGTATCGTCAAGATGCGACCCTGCTTTGAGAGTTGGATGTAGTGCCACTCGTCGTCGTTCACCTTCTGATGCTTGTAGTAGATCTTGCGAGGCTGACGATGTCCCTTGATTTCGAGGGCCAAGAAGCCTCTGTAGGTATAGAGGTAAAAGTAGCGATTGAATTGTTTGTAGTTGGCCCATGCCCATACGATACCATGCCTTTGTTTGGTCTTGATGTCGAATTTGAGGTCGAAGGTGTCGTAGTCGGGGTATGGCTTCTGGAAGTTGATTCTGGCGTGGGAGGAGGAGGTGATGCCAAATCTGTAGCCTTGCTTGTGATAGGTGTCCTGGGAGTTGTCTTCTACATTGTAGCAGGTATCATGACGTACTAAAAACAGTATGCTTTGTAATATAAAGGTAACACAACTAAACCTGTTGTTTTTAATAATTCATACAATCTTCGACGTGACATATAGAGTGCATGACGTCAACAAATTGGGATAAGAGGCACTTGTGATGCTACTTACGTTTTGGTTTTTCGACTACTAGTACTTGTTTGGAATGTCGCCGTTCGTGTCCTCGGGGCTCGACTTCATCTTCTCCATCTGCACAAAGGAATAAGCATTAAGGGAAACAAAGGGTAACAAGCCTCCAAAACTAAACTTACCGGTCGGAATTTCAATCTTCTGGGCAAAGTCGCACACGCCTAGACTGGACTGATGTTCTTCAGGTACTATGGAGAACTTCCTGGAAGAATATTAGACATAGTAAGCCAGATCATTGAAAACAATATAAGTAAATAGAATTAAAATACCTTGTTTTAAAATAATAGAACTTAATATTGTTGTAAGTTAAATAAATACTTACTTATAATCAACAAAGAAGTTGGACAAGCATCCAATCAAGGCTTCAGAAGTGCCTTCACTGGTGGGAGGATCGTTGCCTTGAGAAGGCAGACCACCAAGGTTCAAAGCTGCTGAATCTGATCCAATCGAGCCAGTGTCATCGAGAACAACTGTCACGACATCGTGGTCATCAACACGTACAACAACTCTAAAAATGTAAAAATAATTTAAAGTTACACAATAATTTATGCTGGAACATGACAATATAAAAAAGATCCCTTACTGTCCGTTGCCTCTGGCCAAAAAGACGGAATGTGGCTGAGCATCGTCGTATGTCTGTTCCGACTTGAGTGTAGCACTCTCACCGTTCTCGGTTTGTAACTGTACCACCAACTGACCTTGTACAAGGTAAATGGCAATGTAAGAGTCTTCCACAGACCTCTTGCTTCGTTCTGCAGTGCTGATATCACCCGACTGGTACAACAAGATGGCGTCTGCTTGTTTGCTTCTGAAGTTAAAGGACAAACTGGAGTCTTTACCCAAAGTGAAGCCCTTGGCCAACAAATAGCCTGGCTTACTGAAGCCAACAACATGGTCGTTTGGAGTGAGACGTTGGTCGGAGAATGTGCATCCGGCTTCTTTCCTCTGCGACCTGACCGGATGATCGAGGTCAAGTTCGTTGACTTGAGTAGGTCGAATCGACTGAATACACCCGAAGAACCCTTGGAACTGAATGCCATCAGCATCGAACACCGACTTGTGGAAGTCTGGAGGTACTCCACCAACGTAGTGATCGTTGTTCTGGATCTGTAGCACCAAACTGTCTTCACCGTCAACCTTGGAAGACACCTTGTCTTGGCCGTTTCCTTCATCAACATGTAGGTATACCTCTTTGTCCTTTCTGATCGTTCTAACCTTGTGGGCACGCCCATCAGCGTACGAGTTGAGTGATGATCTAAGGGTGACCACAGCTGTACCGCCAATTCTAGCCTTGACAACGACATGACCGTTCTCGAGCTGAATCGCCAAGAAATCCTTGGATTCTGGACTTCCGCGGAAATACAGTAACCCGTTCTTAGAGTAGGCACTGAACACGACCACGATCATAGTGTTGGCACGCTCCGTCATCGGCATTCTGATCTGAGCGAAGCCATTTCTGAACATGTGACCACTCGAAGCTGATGTCGGTACTCCAGCTGCACCTTCACATCGTCCATTAGAAGCATCGAACACCCACAACGGCACGTTGACTCCGTCCACGACCATCTCTCCCAGAATACCACGGAACTTGTTGGTGCCGAAGCCGAGCTCTTCTGTAACCTGAGGTTCAGAATGGCCAACGTAGATCTTTGTGTAGCCGGGGTTAGTGTTCAGGTACAGATCATCGTTCACATCTGGCTCTCCCACTGTGATCTCAGTTGGTTCGTCAACGTTCTTGGCTTCTTCACCGTTCACGGCCTGCTTCAAGACTACAGAAGCCTTGATGGAGTTTCCGATTCTGTTGACTTCAATGTGATACCACGTGAGACGGTCTGATGCCGGAATGTAGACAATGTTCCTCTTGATGATGGCTGCATCTCTGCGGCCTGCTCCAATGTCCCAGTGAATGTAGATCTTCTTGGCCTTCAATTCAACTGCCAGGTATTCACGGTTTTGCTGAAAAATGAATAATAATATGGAAAGTTGGGTAAAACAAAGTAAAGTTAGATATTCCGATGACAAACTTACAGTTCTGGTTCCTTTGGTTGCAGTGAAGAAGATCAAAGAATCTGGAGATTCCAACGCTGGACGATATTTCAGACTGATGGTGTTTGTAGGCGACGGACTCATTGGAGAAATGTATTCTCGGCTACAGTCTCTCTCTTCGTCTGACTTCACAGCGATTTTGATCTGAAAAGACGTTTACGTAATATTTTTTGAAATTTATGTTTACGTCAATTAATTAGTAAGATATATTCTAAAGTGACGAACCTTCGATGCCTTCTCTCTGGCCTCGTTAATCTTCTCCTTTAAAACATTCAGGTTGCGTTTAATATCCGTGATCTGACCTTCGTGAGCAGCGGATCGTTCTCTGACCTCGGCCAACTTCTCAGCCATCGACGAGATTGTTCCGGCAACACTTGACACTAAAATTAAATTTTGAACGCACCATATCATCATAAGCATTCATACAACAAAAAAATATAACAAAAATTACGACACAGCTAAATGTTACATGCAATATTATTGTACCCATATACTATAAATAGTTGTTAAATACTACACACAAGAGGACACTTACCATTGGCAATACTCTCTCTGATCTTGGCCACGTCAATGTTACCGACAGATTGAACTCGATCATTCAAAGAATCTACATCGTCAAACAAGCTTCCCAATCTAGCTTCAGTATCCTGCACGGTCTTCTGAGCTCTCTCGATGTTCTTGTTGACAGTGTCGACTCTCTCGTGATGGTCGTCGAACAACTCTTGATCTCTCCTGATCTTGGTGATGTTACTATCAACGTCAATTCCGAACGAATCTAGTTTGTTTAGCATCTCGTTCAGCTTCTGATTGTTCTCCACTACATAGTCGTCCTTGATCTGATTGTCGAAAACTGATCGTTGGAGTTCATCGTTCTGCTTCAGCGTCTTCTGAGCTTCCGTGACAATGGATTCAGCGTTAGAAGGATCAACTAATTGTCTGGCAGCTTCAGCGTCTTCAATGGCCTTTGCAGCTGCTCGGCTAGCGTTCTTCATGGCTTCAGCAATCTCTTTGTAGGCAGTAGAAGCAGCCAAAGCCGGGGTGGAGAAGGTCTTGGTATCTGAGAATTGTTGCTTCAACTTCATGGCTTCCAGATCCAAATCACTGGCACGCTTCTGAGCTTCGTAGAGCTTGTCATTGTAATCCTTAAGAGCTTGAGAAGTGTCGTCTAGAATGTCGTTCAACTGTTCTTTTACCTCCTTCAGTTCAGGCAACTGCTTCGACTCGATCTCTTGATGATCATCGTACATTTGCTTACTCAATCTCTTCAAAGTCTCCACATTCAGGCGGGCTTGCTCCAACTTCTCTTCTGATTCCTTCTTGTACACGTTGATGTTGTTTACAATGTTGTTCAAATCGTCCAGCCTGCTTTGCACATATGTAGTCAAACTTCTAGCATCAAAAGCCTTGGCTCTTCCCTGTTCCCAGATGGTGTTGCGGTATTCCTTGACTAGCTTTTGGAATCTGTCTGACGAGGTCTTGGCGGCCTCATAGATGTTCTCATCCAACTTCTTGGACAGAATCTCCTTGAGTAAGGCGTCTGCATCCTCAGCGTTTTGTTTCGCATAGTTGTACTTCTTGTCTATCTCTTGAGCACGATCTTTGACAACACCAAGATACTTCTCGGCTTCTGTCTTCAGGTAATGTGTAGCTGGCAGATTCTTTGCCTGATCGAAAGATTTTGTAAACTGGGACAGCTGTTGGTGTACTTGGTTCACTTCTTGGTTGGTGTTATAGATGGTCTTCCTAATGTCGGCCAAATCTTGTTTGATCTTTTCCAATTTCTCTGAAGAATCCGCGTTCTTTTCGTTCAGGAGCTTGAATTCCTGATCGACAAGTCCAGCTTGCTTTAGATGGCGATTCTCTTCGTTGAATCCGGTCAGAAGGTTTTGGGCTTCAGATTCGGATGTTTTTATGGTGTCCAGAAGCTCGTTCAAAGCTAAAATAAAATTCTTTGAAGAACTTGTTTTTGTATTAATTATGTTCGGAACAACTTTTTTTTGTGACATTTCGTTATTTTTTGATCGGAATGCAACAAATAAAGAGATGTTTCATGAAATTTCAATTAATTTCACAACAATATTGCACTATATTGTGATAAAATAGGTTCTTGTTTTTCTGTACTCTAATATTTTTACAAGTGTAAATAAAAGTTGTCAACTTTGTGATTTATCTTACTCTTTGCTGTGTTTTGAATCCGAGTTAACCTTTTGCGCGGAAGCGGCTTCACATCGGCTATGTCTCCAACTGAAGCTAGCTGGTCTTCCATGTAGTCCTCCAGCTTCATCAGGTCTTTGTAGCATCCTTGATCACACGCTGAAATGTTTTATTTATTGTTTTTTTACAATTGATAATGTTAACGTAATTTGGCTACCTGATCATTTTGTTTTAGAAATTATTTTTTAGGTACGATATTGTTTATCAAGGCAAATGTGGCTCTTTTCAGGTAAGTTTGTTTTTTAATTGCAGGTATAACTTACAGCTACAAACTCCGTTCATGAAGGCGTTTCTTGGACTACAAACTGAGCAATCTCTTCCTTCCACTCCGTTTTGACATTGGCATTGCCCAGTGGTGTTATGACATACATGGTGAACACTGCCGTGTGGGTGGCAAGAACATTCTTTACATGAGCCTCCAGGCAGACTGGGCTGACCGTAGAAGCCAGGCAGACATTGTTCACAATACTGTCCGGTGTAGCCGGGCTTACAAGATTCACAAATGTAGTCGTTGCCATCTGGAGTTAGTCTACAACTTTTTGAGAAGGAGTTTTCCAGAGATGGACAAGCACACTTCTTGCAGGATTCTGAATCTCCACGTTTGGCATTGCCGTAGTAGCCAGCTTTACAGAGTTCGCAGTGTTCGCCGAAGGTGTTATGCTCACAACCTTCACATCGACCGGTGTTGGGGTCGCACCGGTGAGAATGGCCGTGGCAAGCACATTTTGTAACTTTACCCAAAAGCTCTATGTCATCGGGTGTGTTCAAGTCAGGTCCTGTTGTGTAGTATCCAGGGGCTGGATTCTGGCACGACAAACCAACGTACTGTTCCGGACAGTCTCCACACTGTTCTACTCCAATTGCGACGGCTTCGGAATCGGTTTCTGAGGCTTCCACGGCGATGTCGAGAGAGACTTCACTCAACGAGATTGTGTCGAGTGTGGTTACAGCTGTGTAGGTACCTCTAACATATACTCCTTGCACGTTCTGGAGGGCGATCATCAACTGTTTTCGAGTTACTGGGATCTGAGGAGTGATTCTGTTACGCCAATCTGATTCGTGGAGCTTCACCTTGTACTTGCCATCCAAAGAGATCTCTACTGGGACGTGTTCAAGTTCGAGGCGGGTGTTACCAACGAGTAGAACTTGAGGATATGTGTAGAAATACCTCGGCTCTGGGGGAACGTTGACGAAGCCGCGGTTGTTGTCGTCGGTTTGAAGTCTGAATCGCAAGAAGCCATTGTATGAAGCCGTACGATCACCGAGGAATTGTTCGTTCAAAGGCCAGTACAGTGGAGTATGGTTGGTGGGATAGGAGTTGTAATTGAGAGGTTGGGACTTGAGGACAAAGATGTTGTATTTGCGATTGTAGTAGTCGAAGGGATGGTTGAAAGTGACTTTCCTTTCCGGGGCATACACTTGGGACCAAACTCGGTTGGATTGGACACAGAAGTTGGTACGGTTGAAGCAGAAGCACTTCGTGCAGCCGAGAGGGTTACTCTTGTCGAGACTGAACGAGTTGGCTTCGCATTGGTCACACTTGAGGCCGGTTACGTGCTTCTGAAGTCGAGGTATTATGAATTATGGTTATTGACATAGCGATGGTAAACAGCAGTCAATGATCGCTTTACTTGACATTATTTTTTGTATGCCGAAATGAAATACGCTAAAAAATTAAACCACTTACCTTGCATTGGCATTGTCCATCGTTACTGCACAAACAGTCATCACCTTGACATTCGGTAGGCTCGGTACCAGCTACATTACAGCTACACTTCTCGCAGTTCGGGAAATTGAAGTAGCCAGGTTCACAGCGATCACACTGATGACCAACGTAGCCAGGCTTACATTTACATTGTCCATTACGAGCGTCACATTCAAATCCATCAGCTCCAATTCCATTACAGCTACACAGTTCACAGCCCTTCAGGGGATCGTAGTTCCATGCGTTGTTGGTACAAGATTCACAGACTTCGCCCACGGTGTTTGGAGGACATACACATTCTCCAGTTACTGAGTCACACACTTGCCCTGGGGCTGGGCACACTTGGCATTCTGAAGTCAATGATTGTAAGGTTAACGCAGTGACAAAGGTACTGGTATCTTAATGAGATGTAGACGACATAAGCTAAAGTAAGTTGAGAACCTACGTTTACATCCGTCGTTGTCCAATCCGAAGTGATTTGGAGCACATTTGTCGCACTTGAGACCAGTTACTCCAGGCTTACATCTACATTGTCCACTGACCAGGTCACAAGTGTTGTCTTCTGACCCAATGCCATTACATTCACAATCCTGACAGCCAGTTCCCGAGGTGATATTGAAGTAGCCGGGAACACACTCTTCACACTTACTGCCTTGCACATACGCTTGGCATTGGCATTCTCCGGTGACATTGTGACAGACATTCTGTTCGATGGAGCCGAAAGCGTTACACTCACAGAATCTGCAGCCATTCTCACCGAAGTCGTAGTAGCCAGAAGAACAGCGATCACACTGTTTCCCATATACACCGTGCTTACAGAGACATTGTCCTGAACTCTCGTCGCAGTTCTCGCCGTTGGCACCAATGGGACTACAATTACAAGGTGGGCAGTAGTTCTCGACGTCACCGTGACCAGGCAGGCATCTATCACACTTCTGACCTGTATAGCCTTCTACACATTCGCAGACGCCCGTCTCGACGTTACATTGGGAAGATACCGAGCCCAAGGAGTGACATTCACATGGGTAACAGGCATGACGAAGGGCTGATCCCCAGTGGTTCTCTTCACAGACTTCACAGTGTTCCCCAGCTGTGTTGTGGGTACAGCGAAGGCAGACGCCGGTGGTACGATCACAGTTGCCGATCTCCATAGGATCTACGTTTCCGTGACATTCGCAAGGCTTACAGGTCCCGTTAGGAGCAGCCGGCTCGCCAAAGTAGCCTTCAGCACATCTGAAATTTAATGGTGGTAAGTCACCCTGCCTTACGCAACTTTTTGTAAATATCCTTACACTAATGGAAAACTTTGCAATTGTAGAAAAGACTTACTGTTGACACTGATTTCCATCGTATCCAGTAGCACAGGTAGTACAAACAAGCTTGTCGCCTTCTGCAACTGCACCATCTTGTAGTAGTTCAGCCAACACACAAGAAGGGGAGTGGGAGTTTTCTACAGTAGGACACGCACAAGGCTGACAAGCTCCTTCGAGGCCTCCCAGTGCTGGGTTACCGTAATATCCTGGAAGACAGTGCTCACACTGAGTACCAGTGGTGTTGTGAAGACAGTTGATACAGTGACCGGTGTAGGGATCACATTGGTCGGTGTGGTCTTGACAGTTACACTTCTCACATACTCCATCTTGGATACGGTTGTTTACACGGCGGAAGCCAACATCACAGGCCTGAAAGGGTAATATATTATAAGGTGGACAAAAAATACATTAAGGTATACGTTGAGAGTTAAATGTTAAAGTATACTATAATAATACATAAGGTATAGTACCACACTTAAGGTATACGTTGAGAGTTAAATGTTAAAGTATACTATAATAATACATAAGTTATAGTACCACACTTACCTCACAGCTGGAGCCATGGAAGTTTGGTGGGCATTCACAAACTTCTACTGGATGACGTTGTACCAGTTGGGAAGTGTAGCCATCTTCTTGACTTCGGCTTCCAGCTGCCTCGGCCGTCTCGAGTTTGAAGCCGGAGATACTGTAATTGTTTGTTTTTATGAAAACTGCCAAAATATATTCAATTTTAAGCTTTATTTATCTTAAAAACAACGTTTTTAATGTTAATTGTATACCTATTCCTACATAGTCTGCTATCATATGGCGATACATATGCGATGATGAGCTAACTTATTATATGTTTGTATGACGACAATTCATCATCACGTAAGCCAGAATAAGTCATCGACAGTAACCCGACCTGCGACATAGGTCATCTTGTAGAGATACGATCGACCCGACATACGATATGACGTCGTGGTAACCGAACACGACAATGTTCAGACATTACATAACAGAATGTAACTCTACACAGCGACTCGTAACTCTACACATACGAGTTATAACTCACTCTAATAACCTAATGGAGTTAAATTCGATCCGCCCTCAGGGCGTTTGGTCGGTTTATCGGGTCGAAAAGAGTCAGTATTGGAATGAAATTAGCTATGTGGTGGTGCTATTTAGTACTGTATCTTTTCGTATGTTCTCAAGCTCAGATGGCTACAGATGACGAGGCACGGGCCGTGCCACTTAAGAGGATTCTAAATCAAGAATTCGGAAGAAGGGTGGGTTTTTCCAATATTAAAGGACCAGTTCGCCCATTCAAATATCATTGGCATTCTGTCGCAAAAAGCGTTGAAAATCAAACAATTTCAATCAAAATCATTTTTCTCAAAAAACGTGAGTGGGTATGAATTCTCCAATTTGGGACCGGCCTGCTCAGGTTTTTTGCGAAAAAAATAAACGTCAAATTTTTGCGACAGAATGCCAATGATATTTGAATGGGCGAACTGGTCCTTTAAGCAGCATATTTCCACAGTTTTAGTCTATGGGTACTGTAACATACGTTAATCCGGATTAAAATAAGATGCTTATTGTGAATACGGTAATCCACGCTTGATTACTGTAAAATTTTCTTTTAGTTATTTGACTCACGCCAAGATGACATATTGGGGAACAATTTCGTCCGGCATCTCCGCCTTCTGAATCACCTCACGACGAAGCGGCGAAAGAATCTCGAACGCAGAATTTGAATAAATAAGGGTCGGACTGTTAGTATCACAGAATTACAGTAAATATTTACTATTCAACTCATGGTATTAAATTAATAGTTCTATGTTGACATAGACATCGTTAAAAGTTTTAGATAACCCTATATTGTTATGAACAAAAGGAACCTATTTCTTCCAATATTTTATGATCTTGGTACTAAGAGTTTAGTACCAAGATCATGATACAGTTTAAGGTTAAGATTAAATTACCTGCTCTCAACCTGGTCTTGGTGGTATCTCGCTCGCACTTTGAAGACATTAACGTTGGCCAAGACTTCCATGAATTCTGATTTGCGAATAGGCTGTAGGGTTTGGGAATCGTACCATCCTACTTCTTTGAAGGGTACTGTAACACTGATGTTTTCTCTTGGGAAGAAGTTGAGCCGAGTATGATACTCGATCTTTCTGCCATTTCCCTGAACTATGTTTGTACGCTTTGTATTCAAGTATACAGTACTATAACATACAGTACTTTGTTTTCAAACTGTTATGGTGATAGTGTTGTTATCATCGTAACAGTCGGTAATAATATAATAAGTTTGCTTACCTCAAGGGTAACATCAGACAATGAGTACGGGTGTCCTCCTCGGTTGCTGGGCACGTAGTACACAAAGTAGTGCAGGTTGGAGCCATAGCTAGGTAACAAACTGCCAGTGTACGCCTTAGGGGCATTGAAATAGGCCAAGTGATGTTGTGTTTGAGGATGATGATCTGAGTTGAAGATGAGGAGTTCTGATGACTTTGAAGTCAGAGGTTCACCGACGGTGCTTCTGGCATCGGTCAAGGTCCAGTTACTCAACTCGCTGATCTGAAAACGAAGTTGTTTGTCTATAGTATATCTATATTAACATGAACAACTTCAAGATATTAGTTATGTTGTTGAAAACATATTAATCATGTTGTAAATGGAACAATGTCATACATGTTGTGTTTGTAGAGACTAATTACATAATCTCTCAAACATACTGTGACGTAACTGTATTTACTTACCTGACTTGTTCGCCACTTCTGTTCGCGACATTCCGAGCTTTTTCCGAAGCAGAAACATTCTTGACAGCCGTGTGGGTTGTCCTTGGACAAATAGATGGTACCAGCCTTACAACGGTCGCAGAACTCGCCTTCAACGTTCTTCTTACACAAACAGTTGGTCTCTTCACAGGTCTCAAAGTTCAGAGAACCAGCTTGGTTACAGGGACAACGGTCACAGACGGGGTAGTTTCTGAAGCCAGGAGCACAACGATCACAACGACGCCCTCCGAAGCCAGGCTTACAGATACAGCTTCCAGGCTTCTAAAAATGGTAATTTAAGACAAATATAATAATATTAAGAGCTTTAAACTAAAAAAATCAATACCTATAAAATTAATAAAGCGATAACAACAAGATAAGTTGTTGAAGTACTTAAAAGTAAGTATTCAACCACTTACAAGATCTTCAGTAGCCGAAGTTTGGTCTGGGGCACATTCATTGTGTTCGGAACCAACTGGGTCGCAGTCACAAGGTCGACAAGCATCTGGACGATAGTGAGATACGTTTGCTGGTCGGTAGTACTCCTTCTTACAACGCTCGCAGTTGATTCCTTCTGTGTTGTGCTGGAAAAAATATTACATTACTATTGAGAAACAAAGGTATAATATTATAAAAACAACATGTTTTTAGCTCTAAATGACATTTAAAGGTTGTTAGGTTACAGTAAGCCAGTAATAAGTATGAACTTCATGATATCTTTCTCAATACTAGTACGATGTTTACCTGACAATCCACACAAGTTCCACCACCTTCATATCGACCCTCAGGTGTTACACTGAGCTTCTTCTCCTCAACTTCTGGGTCGTAAACACAATCTTTGGCGTGGTCGAAGCACTGACACTCTAAAACAATATTTTAAAACATTTTTACAGTTTGTCAGGTATTCTTGGTGTAACAGCACTTACTTTCACAGACGTGAGGCTCATTGTGAGTTCCCTTTTTGAAGGGTAACTGATTGAACAGTGGACAACATCTGTCGCAGTTGTCGCCGCAAGTATTGTGCACACATTCACATCGGAATTGCTGAAATTTGTTAGATAATTGATGGTTTACATAGTAAAAAAAGTAACATAAGATACTCATACTGTCCATACAGTATAAGTAGTGTAATATCAAACCCACCCCTTGAGCTCCAGGAGCGCAACTTTTAGCGTGACCAGAACAAATACATTGCCCTCCGATACTGATGTCAGAGATACTGTAGAAGTACCGTCTCGTGACAGACTGGTCCAACTTCTCGTTCTTCTTGTTGATGATCATGATGTCAGCGTTCATCGTCCTCAAACTCAGTAGCCGCAGTCTGACGTAACGTGCTCTTGTGAACTGTTGTAGCTCATCAGAAGGATGATCAGCACTTGGACGACCAGTAACCAGCGATGTGTAGATCTCTCCCCTCTCCATGGGGTCAAGTCTCGAGAACTGAGAAGTACAGATGACTTCAGTGTCTGTAGCGTACCGTGGCACCCCAACACTGGCTGGTACTCCAAACTCACGCATACATTCAGCATCGTGCCGGGCGTAGTACTGCCAGGGCGTGTAGTTGACGCCATCCAAAGATCGCTCCAATACCCAAGTGCCAGGTCGAGGAGAGATACCAGACTTCACCACAACATAGGCTACTTGGTACTCCTGTCGCATGTCCAGTGTGATGTTCACCTTCTCGTAAGCAAGGCCATTAGCCAGACTGGGACTCTGCCACCACAGCCAGGTACCATCAATGGCATTGTCAATAGGATGGTTCTTCTTGGCCACATTGGCATCACAGGTTTCACATTGAGGACTGAGAAGATAGACGTGCTCTGTCAGCTTACAGTACTCTTCCGGACCGTGATGGCCACAAGTTGAAGTGGCTTTGATGACTGAATGTTTGGCCAAGTTAAACACATCAGGGAACAGGCCTTTCTCTAAAATATGCTAATTTATAAAAGGTTTTTAGTTTTTAGTGATCTTTTAAAAAATTTAAAAAAAAATTAAATTCAAATTTAAAAATTAAATTTAACGATTTTGTAAATTTGTGGCATACCTCCTGATCCAGACGAGAATTCTTGATAGTTTGGGTATTCTTGCGATGTCCCAGGTCCGAAGACCAGGATCAGGAGGAGGATAAGCCTCCTCATAAACCTGAAAACCGAAGTAAAGACAATGTTATGCAACCTTCAAAGACCGCAATTATAATAATTATTACGCATTTAATTGCACTTTAATACAAATCCAGATAAAACACGAAACGACTGATAAAACAGGCCAAAACGCGAAAATGGCCAAGTCATTTTTTACTGCACAGATCGTGGAAGAATGGAGGGGTCACAGTTTGCAAAGGGCGTGTATTTAAATAAGGTAGGCCAAGATACCTAGCCTTTTTCGCTAATGTTTGCAGATCAGAAAGTGCACTCCAAGTGAGAAGAAACCTTTCAAGGCCGTCCGTTCAGTAGGCGAGGGCAGCAAACGGGCGGTTCCATCATTATTCGCACCGATGCCGTCGCTTCTTATCGCAGCGCCCATCTCTGCCAATTTGTGGTTGATAAGACCTTTGATCTGCATGGTTTCTACATTATGTTAGACATCATGTTATACATCATCCACCTATTAACATTCGTCACTAAATCCACCATTAAATATTAAAGATGTGTTAATTTAGGCGTACTATTTTGAAAATTTAATGTCATTTAAAAATTACAAAAGAATTAATGTATCCACCTGATACCAAAAGGCTCATGAACAATATATTATTCATAACACACCATTCTAACCCATCTTCCCCCTATTACCGTCCATTTCTTCCGAAAGAAACGGTGGGTGAATCAGAATTGTAACTAAAAAGTCGCCAATGTTTATCAGTTTATCATTTCATCTCCCCGAAATGTTTGTTGTAAATAAAGTCTCCAGATTCTGCAGAGAGGTTTTTTGTTTTAACAATAAAATGAACTATCAGATCAGACAAGATTTAATGTTTTCGACCTTTAAAACTAACAATAGTCAAAGACAAATAGACAAAGAAGTATACACCTAAAATACTGCAACAGTATGGCTTTGACATAAAGATAATAACAGTTTGATCACAATATATTAAACCTTGATGTATCTCTTGAACTTATTTCTAGTAAATTTCATAATGACACATTTGAGAATTCATGAATAATATACGTTATTTTATTCTGGTTTCGACTTGTTTCCAAACCGTTTTTAAAAAACCGTTTTGTTTCTTTTGACATTTTGTTTGCGTGTCAAGACTTCTTTTTGTGTCAACTCTCCCTTAAAAAATAATTTGTAAAATATTTTTAAATATTTTGTGATAAAAATAAAATCTATTACAAAATCCGTATTTTAGCCTGGAAAATGCTGTTACGGGCCCTTCAAAGACGTCTAAGTTGTCGGTTTTACAGTCAAGAAGCATTTGATGAGAAAGTGTTGGAGGTAACAACTATGATCATTGTTTCATCTGTTTAGGGATGGGTTAAAAAGTCGATTCGAACCGGGAAAATCACGTTTATGCATGTATATGATGGAAGAGCGAATGGCACAGTGCAGGCAGTAGTACCAAAAGAAGTTGGACGTAATTTTAAAGTTGGCAGTGCTGTCAGAGTGAAAGGAAGATGGGTGAAGAGCCAAGGAGCTCAACAATCTCACGAACTTCTGGCTTCTGAAGTTGAAAAAATGGCTAAAGATCAAGATATGGTAGGGAATCTTTACTTTATGTTATCTATTTAGGTTTCTCGAACAGAATTGGAAGATCTACGAGCTAATCCAGAAGCGAGGTTTACTATACCTGAGTTCGCAGCTGTCTTGAAGACAAGATCAAGGTTGAATCATGCAACTCACATGTTCTTTGAGGTAATTTTTTAATTCTTATTTTTGTAAAACTGTCTCACAATCTTTCGTTATTTAAACTAGAATTAACTGGTTCTTGGTTTAGGACACCGATTATTATTTGATTGATACTCCATTGTTAACATTAAACGAATGTGAAGGTGCTGGGGAAGTCTTTAATGTCGTGACCGATGAGGATAAACAATTTTTTGGAGAGAGGAATGTGTTTCTGCCAGTATCCGCTCAATTGCATCTTGAATCTCTGATTTGGTAATTTGTTTATAGTTTAACTTTATAGTAAAGGACAGTTTAGAGCTTGCAACATGATTTCACCTGCAAGATTCTAAAGCAATATTTTAGGCAACATTTTTAATTTTAGTGGCCTTCCGAACGTTTATACATTAGGGACAGCATTCAGAGCCGAGAAATGTATGTCTTCAAAGCATTTATCCGAATTCAGAATGTTGGAAGCAGAATCCGCTTTTGTTGACAATCTAGACAGGCTGTGTGACATTGTGGAATGTTATGTTAGGTATATCATGGAGAAATCACGAGAATGGAAGTCAGACTTTGAGCAATTTAAAGACGGAGAGGTAAAAAATTATTTTGTTTGCTAACCAGAATAGTTGTGTACTATTTTTACTCGTTTACTATATAGAGTTATTGAATATTAAATTTTTCTGTTCAGTGTTTATGTGACAGTGACTACAGCCGACCATTCCCTAGGATAACATATAATGAAGCGGTTGATATATTGACAAAGAAAGGGAATGTCTTGTCTCAGAGGTTAAGTAAGAAGAACGAACTTGAACTCGTGGAGATAATGGAAGGTCCATTGTTCGTACAAAGGTACCCGGCCGAACAGAAACCGTTCTACATGAGGGTCAACGATCAAAATCAGGTATGATAGTACTTCGAGACGTTCTGTTGCGATTTGATATAGCATGACATATAAAACTGCATTGATTTATCTACGTTTATACTATCAAAGTTCTTGCTATGAATAGCAACCAAAAATTTCAGGCAGAATGCTTTGACCTATTAGCCCCAGTTGTCGGAGAACTGGCTGGTGGAAGTATCAGAGAGTATGACAAGGATGCTTTGAGCAAGAGGTTACCTAAACAAGACCTTGAGTGGTATCTCAACCTCAGGTCTAACTCTTATCCACGTTCCGGAGGCTTTGGACTGGGAATGGAACGATTTATGCAATCTCTCTTTGGCATCCACAACATCAAGGATACTGTAGCGTTCCCTCGCTGGTACAAACACTGTAAATGTTAGACTTGTTATTTTTAGTTAGGATAATAAAGTTGTTAATTTTAGTTTGGTAATGGTGCCAAAAAAGGTTGATTCCAGAATGTTATACTTATGTGTTACTGGTCGTGCTGGTTTCTACTGGGTGTTTGGAAAGGATTTGATGATAGTTTTATTTTAGGTTATTGTTTTATAAACTATGGTGAAGGTAAAACATAGGTAAGTTATATCTTTGTTTCCCGTTTATTGAATAAAATTTAATTTAGTTTGATTTTTAGTTAAAAACCGTATTTCAGGTATTTGCTGGCTGAAGTCATCTACCAAGATCCGTTGACAAAGAACCTAGCTACAGATGTGGACATTCACCGTGCCATCCTTCACAGTGTGGGCATGCTTCATGGTGATCTTGGCCATGCTTCGACACAATCTTCTCTCCAGGTCAAAGTGTGCGACTTCATCTTCTCAGTAGTGGTGTTACGAGTCGCTGCTGATGCCTTGGGTTACGTAGCTTCAGCAATTCCATTTGTCGTGAACGTTGGGAACAGTGACGCCATTCTGAGAGTGTTATTCCAAGGTGAGTCACGCATTAGCATAATCAGGGAATGAGACAATCACAATAAAAAGGTTGTTTTATTGATCGTCTCGAGCTTTGGCTCTACTTTTTAAGAGCTAGAAACAGCTTTTGGCGGTAATTCAAGGTTTTAAATTTGTTTTTGAATAATAAAAGATTTTTTATCAAATCATTATTAAAAAACGTCATAGAGCATGATATTTAAATGTTTGATTTGAAAAATTATTATTATTTCCTTAACTATAAAAGTACTAGTCAATGAGAAAGAGGTATTAGCTGTAGCTAAATTGATAATTTATATTGTTTTAAAGGTAGCTCGATGCGGACCGTGGAGAAGAAGCTGATTCAATTCAATCTGAAGTTATTTTACGCCAAACTGAGAAGGAGACCTGACAGTGGTAAGGATTACTAAAAGCGAATCGTGGAGATTCTCTCGATCTCCGTATTTACTTTCTCTGTAAAACCATTTTCCCACACCTTTACTCTTATGTCATGAATGTTATAAGGGGTTTGGGATAGAAATCGTACTATTTCTCTCGTTTCTAACACAGCTTTCACTTTTTAACGTTTAAGAGCTTTAAATTTACGTCAGTACAAAAGTTTTTTAAATAATTTTTCTATTAATAAGATAAAACGTTTTGTCTAATTTAAAAAAATCATAGGTCCAACAATTTTGAACAGATCTTAATAAGAAATGATTTTCGTAAAATTATAATATGCATGTTGTTACAAAACATGTTTTTGTGATTTTCGTAACGAAACTTCCATTTTAGCCGAGTCATCAGCCCTAAGGACAGCGATCGCCCGAGTGACCGGCTCCAACGTCTCCCACATAAAACTCTAACACAAGATGAATGTCCTTTTTATAAACTATTTTCGAACGGTGTTGATCTCTGAAGGGGCAGAACAGTTGTCGGTCAGGTCTCGAAAAGAACGGAAAGCATTGTGCGCGTCTCGAGTGACTCATTACCTGCTTCTATCTCCATATAAAATTAGCTCCACTTAATTGGGCTGACTCAAACGATGCGCGAGCCAAGAAGATGCCTTTATTAAGATCGTGGGCTTATTTGTTAAGATTAAGGGTCTTAATCTGCGTCTTACATTAAATATTACCTTTAAAACGCGTTTTTCTTTGAAGAAATACCAAGCTTTGGAGCATTTCTTAACTAGAAATGTGTCTTACCTGAAGATTGTTGCCAATATAAACACGTTCTACCCTAGAAAAGTTGTTGCCTCGTGTTTTTTGTTCACTTTTTATATACATTTGGAAATAAAACATCGCTGACCCACAATTTGTTTACAGCACTTCAATCACTCACTCCATTATATAAAACATTCCCCCGATTCCCAAGTTTAGATATTTTCGTGCTTTCTCCCCAAAATAGAATAAGCTAACTTCACGTTTAGGAATGTCGAGGAACATTTCTCTGGACTGGGTTCTGCCTGTCCTCACCATCTTATTGTTGTATCTTCACATACAGCCCATTCAGACGGCTGGAAACGCGTCAGAACGGCGACTAACGGGCGGAAATGTATGCACAACATTCGAAAAGTGAGTCTCGTATAATTTTTGAATAAATTAGAATTTTTTATGATCAAAGGAATTCGGAGAACGTTCATTTGAACAAAAGAGCTATGAACAATGTTGTTTTTTGAGAGAAAAACAACAAAATTGTTATCTAAAATTATACGAAAAAAACATTCCTTAAAGTTTTCGTTATCAAAATTAAAAATATGGTTTCAATAGTCAAAGACTTACCTTTAATAGTCAAGCCTTATCCACTATAATGTAAATTTAAGAGTTCTAAAGCCCACTCTCGAGAAATACACTCAAGAAGTGCTATTGGAGACCTACGTGACCTGTGGCGATCCATTCCAAGGATTCAAATGCAAAGAGCGAAAGTTAGTTATTTTTGTCAATGACACATTTTTAGGACAAAATCTTGCTAATCATAAACAAAATTTTGTTGATAACACATTTTATGGATAAAGCTTTGTTGATGACTGTTTTTCTGGACGAGATTTTTTTATGAGTTCTGTTCTATACAACGTTTTACAGATGACGCCTTTTTTATACAAACGTAATTTTGTAATTTCAGAAAAGGCCAAAGAATCTCGTACAAATCGGTACCAAAAGAGCAGCTGGTAGTGGTAGAGAAGTGCTGTGATGGTTACCGTGAGATCGAGAACAAGACTTGTATCGCTTCGTGTGATCCACCATGTAAAAAAGGATACTGTGTAGCGCCAAACCAATGTCAATGTTTCGATGGCTATGGTGGCGACACTTGTTCAGCCAGTAAGCAATTAGTATAAACAAACCTTGGCAACTGCCTTTTGCAACACATTGTTTGGGAAAATAGCATTTAACTAGAGTTTGTCACTATTTTACAACAGCAAATATAACATTTAATTATACCAAAGTAACCTTCTCTTTTACAGAATGTCCATTTGGAATGTGGGGTAGGAACTGTCGCGAGAAATGTGAATGTGAGAACGGAGCTGGCTGTGACCCAGCTAATGGAAAGTGTTTGTGTTCTCCAGGTAATAGTTAAAAGCTTTATTATTGACGTTTAGGACATTATGTTGTCTCGGTGTATACGATGACTAAATTATGATTTAGGATTTACTGGAGAGCGATGTGAAGATACATGCCCAGAGGGAAAGTTTGGGGCTGAATGTGCTGGAGAATGTTTGTGTCAGAACGGTGGAAAGTGCAATCACGTTGACGGGACCTGCGATTGTCCTAGTGGTTACATTGGCAAGCATTGTCTTACGAAATGCGATAAGGTAGGTGTAGTTTGAATGAATTGAACATTATTTGTATAAACATCTTCTTTACTGCAATATTGATAACCTTGCCTTTTGTACCTATTACATATTTGTATTGTATTTTAGGAGCATCCAGAAGAAGGATGTACATTCGAATGTGGATGTCAGAACGATGGAGAGTGTAACTCAAGAACTGGACATTGTACATGTCCTCCGGGCTTTACTGGTGATATTTGTCAAACTAAGTGTTCTGAGGGAAGGTATGGACAAGATTGTGCCAAGAAGTGTGATTGTATGAACGAAAATGGCTGTGATCCAGTAACCGGAAAGTGTATCTGCATTGGATTTGCTGGAGATCAGTGTAGAACACCGTGCCAGAGAGATTACTATGGTCTTGAGGTAGGGTTTCTAATAATATCGTAATATTAATGAGTCTCTTAATGTTAATGTATGATTGAATTGTAGGCCTTTAATGAAGTTGTTTTAAATGTTAATCAGTTTGTGATTTAGTGTTCTGAGAAGTGTGAATGTGGCTACGGAGCTCACTGTCATCCTAAAAATGGCACTTGTGTTTGTAGCCAGGGCTTCAGAGGGGCTGATTGTAGCGAGAAAGTGTGTAAAGACGACAAATTTGGGTTTAACTGTGAACATACGTGTACCTGTAAGATGGATAACACCGAATTGTGAGTTTTCAAAATATTTTTATTCGAATTTTGTTTGAAGACTTTATTTATTTTACTTTTACCTTCAGATGCCACCCAGTAACCGGCTTCTGTCAATGTAAGCCTGGCTTCACTGGCCTTACGTGCGACCATTACTGTCCGATCGGAAAGTTTGGGAAGGACTGTAAACAAGAATGCGACTGTAACTTTGCCGAAGGCGCTGCCTGTGACTCTGTAACCGGCTCTTGTCTTTGCCCTCCTGGATATACTGGTTCTAAATGTACCGAAAAGTGCTCTACCGGTCTCTATGGCCCTAATTGCGATAGCAACTGCGATTGTCAACATGATTCTGTGTGCGACTTCAGATTGGGAATGTGCAACTGTACGACTGGATTCAGAGGGCCATCGTGCTCGCTTCAGTGCTGGGCGGGCACGGCTTCGGATCAGTGCAGAAGCTGCGACTGTCACAACGATGCTGGTTGTGATTCGTCGACCGGTAAATGTATTTGTGGAGCTGGCTGGACTGGCGAGAAGTGCGACAGACCTTGTGCCAACGGGTACTACGGACTGAACTGCCAACACAAATGCAAGTGTGTGCACGGAGAGTGCGACAAACTTAATGGACAGTGCAAATGCGACAAGGGATATTATGGTATGTTTGGTGGTATACTATTTTTATCTTTATAGTTATTTTAATATTTTTTATTTTGTAGGGAGGTATTGCACTTGATATTTCTTATCATAGCCAAAAGGTTGTTACCACATTTCAAATTTTGAAAAAATTTTGTTGAAATTTTTAAAATTTTGTCAATTTATAGGAGAAGCATGCGCTAGCAGGTGCGGCAACAACCAATGGGGAGAACAATGTGAAAATGAATGTGATTGCTCAGGGTATGGCACTTGTGATCAACAGACGGGCAAGTGTGCCTGTAAAGATGGTAGAAGTGGTACGAAATGCGAAGACGGTGAGTAACCCAGACTTGTTTACACTGGTGAATGTTTAAGCTGTTTGGAAAGCGAATTAAAAGCGAAAACAAGATTGTTTACTGATGAGTAATATCGGTTTCTTAATGTCTGAACAACTCATAATCGAATTTAGACATTAGAAAAACTCTTTAAATTTAAATAACTGTAACAATCTAAAGTAAAAACAGACAAAAATTTAACATGCTTTGTTACAGTATGCCCTACGGGCCGTTTTGGACCAGGATGTACTGAAGAGTGCCCCAAATGTGGAGATGGGGCTGGTTGTGACCCAGTGACTGGTACTTGTTTGTCGTGCCCAGATGGCTACAAAGGCGACAACTGTGAGCAAACATGTTCTACTGGATATTGGGGAACGAATTGCGAGAACAAGTGTAAATGTGGTGATGTAGATGGCTGTAGTCACGTGGATGGTACTTGTCAATGTCCTTTGGGCAAGATGGGGGCTTACTGCGATCAAGGTAAGGGATAACTGTACTATATATTTGCTTACATTATATATATTGAGGTAGATATGTTTTAATTATAAGTTTGCTTTATATTATTGCAGGTGGAAATATAATGTAAATCAACAAATTGTTTTAGAATGCCCTGAAGGCAAGTGGGGCAAGAACTGTGTCCATGATTGTGTGAAATGCGTAAATGGCGGCAAATGTTCGTCAAAGGATGGTGAATGTAAATGTCCTCCAGGCTTCGAAGGAAAGTTTTGTGAACGACAATGTCAACAAGGCTTCTGGGGACCATCGTGCTCAAAGACCTGTAACTGTCAGTCCAATAAAAAGTTCTGCAACTCAATTACCGGACAGTGTCACTGTGCTGCTGGTATGTTTTTCTATGTTAGTATTTACAAGGAAAGTACCCAACCTGCAACTCTCAGAATTAGCTCAAAATTTTTATACGGATTCTTTGTAGCACCATTAGCACATATAAAAAATCTTAGCTTGCGGTTTTAAGTTTGAAATTTAATATATTTAAATTTTCCGCTAATTTGGCAAATTTGGCATTGTGTTGCAAGCACTTTTTTTGATGTTCCAGATAAGATAGGCTTACAAATTTAAAATTGCAGGTTCATTTAAAGCTTTTCTATCAGTATATCAAAGAAAAATAGTTAAAAATCAAAAATTGACAAAGTTAAAAGCTTGCAACACCATGCCAATTTGGCGGGAAATTCAAAACGAGATTTTTTGATCTCGGTTTTCTCAAGGCTGGCCGCAAACCGCAACTTAGAATTTTACATAAGGTCTTACATTTACATGATCTTTCAATAGAAAAAATTTAAACGAAATCTGAGCGTTGCAGGTCGGGTACCTTAATTGTTAGCTACACTAATCCTTTAGTTTTTGCATCATTATCTGTGATATTGTTTTACCTATTACTTTAGGTTTCTTTGGCGACACCTGTGAAAGCGAGTGTGCTTCTGGATTCTGGGGCGAAGACTGTGCCAATACTTGTAAGTGTAGACAAGGAACGTCGACTTGTCAGACTCTGACTGGAATATGTGAATGCAGCTCTGGGTATATTGGAGAGTTCTGCGAAAAGAGTAAGTAATAGTATTCGAACCACTAAAATACAGTTTGTGATAATATGATAGCAACTTTACTACGTCATTCATTTGTTTTAGCTTGTGCTCCTGGATTGTACGGTAAGGACTGTAAGAAGACCTGCGGCAAATGTGGAGAAAATGAGGTTTGCGACCCAGTTCACGGATGTTGTTCTCCAGATGAAGATGGTTTCTGTGGTGTAGCTTGTAAGTCTTCCAATCGAATGTCATAGTTTAATAATTTTTATATTATTATTGTTAAAATGTAAATTTTGTTACTCTGCTTACGTTATTATAATCCTTGATATTCAGATGCGGAACAAAAGCGACTGATGAGTTCGTCGACAAAGAAAATTGGCTTCTCAGTGATCATGTTGATCCTGATCGTCGTCTTTTTGAGTCTGATGGTGTTCTACTACAGAAGAAAGTACGCCAAGAGAAAGGAGGTCTTCATGCCAACAGTAAAGTACGATCCTGATGCTGAGGAGGACCTTGACAACAGAGTCTTCAACCCCAGCTTCTATTCTCAAGTTCAGACACAGAATGACGACCTCGCGGAAGTCGATGACTTGGCCCAAATGAAGGGCCAGACAATGAATCGGCCCAAAAAGCCAGAAAGTGAGTGAATTATTTCTTATTTTAGGCAATATATTAATGTAATATTATAGTAAAGCAAAATAATATGATTATAATAAGACGTAAAGTGATATTGAGTACATTCTATCTACTTATGTTTAGATGAATACCACGCTCTGGGTGCTGAAATGCCAGGCCCATCCCAACAAGACCAAAACCAGTACGAGTCCATTCCCTCGCCACCTATCAGGACTGCCAACCAAGTCAGACCGGCTCCTAGATCCTCGAATCCAATCAGCTTCGACAATCCGAATCTGGGTACGAAGCCTTTACTGTCGTCGGATGACAGTAGCGACGCTTAGTGGTGGTATTGGCTTCTGTTGTGTTAAGCACGGCACACTCTAACAATGTTATGCACTCCCTTTTCCTTGGTTTGGTGATAAGACTTACATTTTTGATTCAGTACGTGTAATCATGGCTATGGCTTACTTAATAGAGGGCTGTTTTGGGCAGGGTACAAAAAATAAAGGGACTCACTCAGCTATATTGAGGATGGTGTTTAATTTTGTCATGAAAATTAATAATTGAATTTTGAAATATTTTTCGAGAACTTTTGGTGACTGATCCCCCACCCTGCCCTAACACCCCTCCAGTTTTGATTTTGCTCACTTTCTATTTCTTTTTGATTTCCGCTTTTAACCGCAATTCAGCCAGATTCCAACGATTTCTGATCCGAATGCCATTTCAGATACCGACTATTCAAAACAAATTTAAATGGACAAACTTTTACAGACGGGTACCCTGTTGGTAGTGTTATCTCCTCAATAGTATAATGTATTTATCTAGCATACTGTAATATTGTTAAGACTGTGTTAATATACCGTATCATTGTTGATAGTAATAAGTTGTAAATTTTATATATTGTTTGCAAATTACATATTCAGATATACTTTTAATAATAAATTGTTTTATATTACTGTTTTGGAGTTTTTTTCAAAAGTCTTACGAAAAAACCTTTTATGGTAGAAATATAAACTGTAAAAATAAATAGAAATGCCAAAAAAGTGGAGAGATTAACACACGATATTGTAGAAAAATAGGATTTTGTCAAATACTTAGGCTTCACAACGAAATATGTTGATGCAAATTGTTTGGCATTCTGTTAAATTCTGATGGAAAATAATTTTAAAATAAATTTTTCAACCTTTTTCTTTGTTCAAGGTCTAATCAAGGCAAAAGGAAATGTTTCCACAAGTCTAAAAGTATTTATTCTCTAGTTAAAATGAGTTATTTTGTTATGCTTTGGCAGTTAACGTTTTGTTATTTGAATGATACAATTATAAACAGTAAATGACTGGTCTGATACATAAAGTTGTGCTGTGACAAGGAATAATTAGTACAGGAAAAGTATAAGCAGTTAACAGTTTGTTTGTTGAGAGTTGTTTTTGGTTGTTTACGTCGAAATTATCAGGAAAACTGTTCGAATGGTCTCATCGTCGTCTTTTCGCTTTATATGATTCTAAATTAGATTTCAACTTTTCACGAAGATTTTATGTTTAATCGCATTTTTGTTTCAAGACTTTGATTGGGGTTTTTTTTTAATTTGCCGAGGGTAGAAGTAGATGAATAAGTGACGTATATTTTAATAAATGTAATTTAAAATTATGTTACATTCATGCTAATTTTAGATAATGAAAGCGAAACGAGTAAAGAAAGGTCACAGAAAGGTGTATCGGGCCAAAGTAGTTATGGTTGGAGATTCTGGAGTTGGGAAGACGAGTATTCTGTTGAGATACGATGGCCAAGGGTTCACAAGTTGTTTGAGTCAGACTTTAGGAGCATCGTTTATATCTTCGAAAATGTAAGTTGGCATAAGTTTATAAAGTAGTTTTTAGGTTTACAATTAGCACTAGTAGATACTAATATTGTACTTTATAGACGTTGTAACGACAGCGATGTAGAGCTGAACATCTGGGACACTGCGGGACAAGAGAGATTCAGATCAATGGTATGTTAGTCATTGAAATATTTCAATATTTAGACTCCACTTTACCTCAGGAACACAACAGCAGCAATACTGGTGTACGACATTACAAGATATGAAACTTTCAGGAATCTGGCTTCTTGGGACCGAGGTATGTTTTTGTTATATTATTATAGGCATAGAAATCGAATGTTTTAAAAGTATTGCCGCTTTGTTTTGTGTAAACATATAAATGTGATAAAATAAGGATTTATTTTAATTTTTCATATTTAGAGTTGGAACTTCACGCCCCCACAGAAGTAAAACGTTTTTTAATGGCCAACAAGTCTGATCTGGACGAATGTCGTGTGATTTCGAGTGAAGAAGGTCGAGAGTTTGCTGAGAAGATCAACGCTACATATCTGGAGACATCGGCGATGAACGGCAGAGGAATTGAGTCTGGGATGAGAGGCATTGCTGAAATGTTGTTGAAGGAATGCGAAGAGAACGGTGAAGAAAAGGCGTCAGAAGTGGCCAGCCAAGACGACAGTGAACAGAGGGATCGACGGCGTTTTTGTTGTAGTATCATGTAGGACTATGTTGTTTATTTATCATTCTAAAGTCTCAATCTCGAGCTTTGCAAAGCTTTAAACCATCTTTATTAACAGGTCTACCGAATATATCGGCTTCACATTATAATAAGCACGCCTTAATGATAATACTATCAATGAGATATTGGCTGAACGAGTATTGTTCTAAATGTTCAGAGTCTATAATGTTACTTTACTTTTATTTTTAATGGCTTCATACCTCTATTATAATGTCACGATAGAGCGGTGCGGGTGTCAGAACTCACTTTTTGAATAAATATGACAATAAAAGTTAGAGTTTCTTACCTTAACATAGACGTATAAGACGTTCTTTATCTCAAATCTTGTTCTTAGATCAAGCCAATTTAATCAGACTAATATACCTTTATGTTATTGAATTTAGAATGACCTCCAGACTACGTCCAATCATCGGACCCTCGATTCTGAATTCAGATCTGTCAATTTTGTACGAGGAATGCAAGAATCTGCTGGCTTCTGGAGCCGACCAGATTCATTTGGACGTAATGGATGGTCATTTTGTACCCAATTTGACATTTGGTCATCCCGTTGTTGATTGTCTTCGCAAAAAACTAGGACCAGAACCTGTAAGAATAATATTATTTATCATAACTTCAATATGAAATTAATGTTTATATTGATTATTTACTATTTTATGAATGCAACGCACAAATTTTAGTACTTTGACATGCACTTAATGGTATCAAACCCTGCCCAATGGCTGGTTCCAATGAAGGAAGCTGGTGCCAACCAGTACACTTTTCATTACGAAGCTTTGAGCGACGACCAAGCTGTTTACAATCTTATCAAAGAGATCAAGGCTCTTGGCCTTGATGCCAGCATGGCTATTAAACCCAAGACTGACGTAAGATACAGTAATCTGATGCATTTCATCTTTAGGTAGTCAAAATGTGGCCATTTGCCAAAGACCTTCACAACGTTCTCGTGATGACGGTGGAGCCAGGCTTCGGAGGTCAGAAGTTCATGTCAGATCAGTTGGAGAAGGTCAAGAAGTTGAGGACGGAGTTCCCCGACCTTATCATTCAAGTTGATGGCGGAGTGAGTTTGGATAATGTGTCAAGTTGTGCTCTGGCTGGTGCCAACTCAATCGTGTCTGGTACTGGGATCATCAGACAGCCGGACCGAGCTGTAGCCATCTCTCAGATGAAACAGAAAGTGGTCAAAGGCCTCGAGGCATTTAATTAGTGATTATTAGGTAGTTCGGCGATTATACGATAACTGGTTCTTAGAGGAATTTGTTATTGTTACCTCTAGACACCACTACTGGTAGAGAACATTTATATCAAATTTCACTTATTCAGATTTATATTCTTGCCGTTAGTCGTAATTAGCTGTTTATATCATAAAGTACATAGTTATATTATAGTATAATATGTCTTTTTAATGTGATGTTATACTGGACATCCAGCTTCACCATAATCTGACACGCTTTTGTTGAAATACATTAAGTGGTCGGCGACATTGTAGTGGATGTAGGCTGAGTTACTGTAAAATGATTGGCGTTTGTATGGTTAAATAACGTATAAAATTAATATTTAAATGCATATTTATATAATTACTATACCTGCACGACCTATCTTCGTTCAAAGGTGTGTTGGTGCATATCCTGTACATGTTGTACAGGTAACCACTGTTTGTCATCTCTCCCGGATACCATATCTCGGTCCCATGATGGTAAGGACCGTGATTATAGAGACTGGAACACTGTCTACTAAACAGTGACTCGTAGCAGTACGGTAGATGTGCTACGATGTCATAACGATGAATCAGACGCCACGATCGAGGCACTAGTTCATCATGCCCTGTAGCATAGTCCATATTACCTACTCGAGGCTGGCCGAATGTTATGAGAGAGATACGATCCGATGTTATCGTTCTGTTGTGGTTGTGGGCGAACAAAGAACTTGTTAATGACGCTAGAGCCCCGCCAAGGGAGTGACCGGTAAATAAGAAATGGGCTTTGGGCAGGGTCTAAAATGAGATGGATTATTAAGATTTAAAGCGACTTTCAAGAAATGTAATCCAACAGTATATTGTTATCTTACTGTACCTTTGTCAAGTTACTCAGCTTTTGTCCGAATCCCTGCTTCCAAATAGTCTTCAGAGCAATGTAGAAGTACCTCTGGACAGAACCGCCAGAGGGAAAGGACTTTTTGGGTGCTGACATCGTCTCTACTAACTCTGTGATCAACTGTAGCCGGGTCTGTGTTCCTCGCACCGCAGTAACTACTATGGTCTCATTGTAAGCGATATAGGCCCAGCACTGAACACTCAACATTCGTTAGCATATTATCTACCCACCTGATTGTACGTCGAATCACACGCCACTTTGGTTTGTATAGCCATTTGAAGACCGTGCTTCTGAATACATTTGGAGGGATCATTTGCATAAGCAGCTGCAGCAAAGTCTAGTGCGAAGTCGGCTAGCCGGTCGTCGTACGAAGTGGCAGAAGCTATGGAGATAAGAAACGAAAATGATAAATATCTGAGCATTACAGCGATAAGACTAGACCTCTTTTAAGTGCGACAACTGTCTCTCCCCTTTCAAACACTAATTAAGCATTATTAAGAATAAGGCAGTGTTAATGTATGCTACAAATACCCAAAAACAAAACCCAGCATCATTTGGTTTGGAATGCACTCCGCAGTTTCTTATTGTAAGCCATTTACAATAAGAAATCTTTAATAACAACATTCAAATATCATCCTCTAAAACAATATAAACTTTATTCAACGTGACACCTGATCAACAAGACCCGCAGCTATTGTACGACCGTTTACTCGTAGACTGACCCGACCTAACGTCTTGGACTTGGCGAAGGGCTCCACACAGACGGGGTGTTCCATGACTAGATCTATCACTGCACTCATTCCCTTTGTTATCACTCTGAAAGAATACACCATTATAGTTGTTTCCAGTACTATATATATATTATTACAATAAGTTAGATCAGTTTTCTCCACTCACCTCGGATTCAACTTGATCACTTCTCCAGTTTGCTTATTCACGATGCTCTTCAACTTCAGCACCGTGCATGGTACTCTAAGAGCGTGAGAATGCAGCTCGGCCTTACTTCCCTTCAACAATGGTAAGGCATTTTCAAACAGTACCAGTTTGACCACCAAGAACTTGGCTGGAATGAGTAATTCACTTCCTCCGCGACAAATAATCATGCCAGGAGTTACGGAGTCTGGTTCGAAAGTTCCTGCCAATGTTACAAGAACGTTCTCTCCGGCAAAACAGACGTCTGATATTGATGTGTACTGTTGGTGGTCTGCTCCTTTGTCAGACGAATTTATCGCTGAAGATCAGTTACATTATACATCTTCACTATACGATTCATCATGTTAAGTTATTATAATATTATAGATTTTAAAACAGCTCAAAAAGCGCATTAGAGATAAACACTTACACTTTACTGTTGCTTGTTCACAATTCGGCATGATATAAACCTTGGCACCAGCATCCACGAATCCACTTTCAATCTTTCCTTGTAAAACCACTGAATTACCGGTCGATTTGTAGACATCGTTGATGATGACTCTCATTGGTTTGTCTTCGGCTCGTGGTGGAGGATTCAAGTGATCTAAAGAACAAAATGCTCAAACATATATTAACATACCCAATACTTCTACCAAACAGTCTCCTTTGTACCATGCCATCAGTGGATGATCTGGAGCCGGCTTATTGTTCAAATTGACTCCATCAAAAGCACTTAAGGGAACGAACTGGATATTGTTGAAGCCGGCATTCTTCTTTAAAAACAGATTCAAGACCTCCTTTATCTCCTTGAACCGTTCTTCACTCCAATCCACAGCATCCATCTTGTTCAAGGCTACTACAATCTGTTGCACTCCCAACGATCTAAGCAATAAGGCATGTTCTCGAGTTTGTCCTCCAAGATCAAAGCCTGTTTCAAATTCTCCTTTAGAAGCATTCACAACCAACAAAGCGGCATCAGCTTGAGCTGCTCCTGTAATCATGTTGGGGATGAAGTCTTTGTGACCTGGAGCATCCAAGATGTTGAACCTGCGATGAGGAGTGTTGAAGTTGGCATGAGCAATGTCCATTGTAACTCCGCGGATTCTTTCTTCTTCCGTTTCGTCCAAAATCCAAGCGAAAGCGAAGGAAGCCTTTCCTGACCTCAGAGATTGTTGTTTGTAGCCTCTCATCGACTTTTCGTCAACATTGCCAAGCTGTAAATGTAATATTATTCATAAAAAATGTCTAAAAGTATAAATAGTTTGTTCGTAAAAACCTACCAAGTACAACGAGTGACCGACCAAAGTACTTTTTCCAGCATCTACATGACCAGCGATGACCAAACTGATAGTGTCCATGTCAGAAGCTGGCCGTTCCCGAGGCCTAAACAATAAATCATAAACATGGAATAAAACTTAACCTTTTATCCTCAGAAGAACAAATTACCCACATTTAAAATATAAACGTAATCCTTAAACTTACTTGTAAACAGGCTGTGTACCTAAAGCAACATCCAAAACATTCAGCTTCTGGGCACTGGCATTAGGTGTCATTCTAAGAGGACTTTTAGAAGCCTCTCTTGTCGTCTTCTGAGTAGATATCTTCAGGTTCTCAACAGCTGGTAAGGCTGGTTTCTTCTGTGGAGGTGAAGTATGAACAACTCGAGGTTGTTGTACCTTCTGTTGTGCTACTGGCTTTGGGGCTGGTTTTTTGACATTCTTGTTGTTCTTCGGCTTGAAACTGACTAAAAACAACAGCTATAAACATACGAATCCATATTATTAACAGTAATGCTTCCATAAATGGCTTACCGCCTTAAAAATATGAAAATAATCCATTAACTTACCATCATCCATGCCAAACATATCGTCATCGTCTCCATAGTCATCTGAATAATCGTCTTCTTCTTCTACAATAGGTTTCTCTGATTGACATTGACTACTGACCCGACTTCTATGGTAGATGAATTGAGCTGAAAAACAAGTTATAGAGAGTTTCAATGTAATTGAAAGTAAACCTAAAAGATAGAAGCACGTTATAAAATTCAACTTACAAGTGCTTGGCGACATAGGAACTTCGTCTTCAAAAGATTTCCCGTAATAATCTCGGTCTTCATCTTCCAACAACTCTAAACAATATTAATTAATATATTTCCGACAATTACTACCTAAAATACGTAAAATACTTACCGTCTTCAATATTTATGTTCTTAACAAACCGATGTCTCGACATGTTTGTGATAGAAACGAAGCAACAATAAATATGATACCTAAACAGCGAAAACATAAAAAATAAAAAACATTTTGCGTCCAGAAAACACGTCGCGGTGACTTAAGAAAAACGGAACTTAACGAATAGGTTTTGATCCAAGTCTTTTCAATTAAGACTATTTAATTGTGTGAAAGGTCAATAAGTAAGATATTGTTTGTTAAAAATAGTTGACATTTGTCAGCTATGACATGTTTTTCGGTTATTTATTTATGGAAACAACTTCCTATGGAACTCCTTCAGCGTTCGTTTTTCTGATGTAAGAGCTAGATTTTCGAGGGAATGCGCTAATTTTAATTCTGAATTAAAAAAGCATAGGTTATGTAGTTTGGCGCCATCGCCTCCTGTCATTTTGTGCAGTTTGTGTCGATTTTAAGGTTCACCTCAACGTTTTAGATGAACCTCGTTTTTCTCGACTTTTTCGAGTTTGTTACAGTTATTCTGAAGGCTTATTAGAGACTCTGGTATGATTAATGGTATTAGTAATCGCTGCAATGTTTGTTTTTGTGTTTCATAAAGATTTTGATCATTGATATTATTGTTATGGACTGGAGAGGTGTTTGTTGTTGATTTACCCTTCTTTTTATGAGAAGAACTACCTAAAAACTAGGTGTTTGGTGTTAATTGGATTGAATCGTATTGTAATTGTGTCTTTAAAACTTGGTTTGTGTTGTTTGACAGGTTTGAAGATCTGAAATGCATAGGTTAATATTAGGATAAAACAATAAAAATCTGAAGTTTATTATAATACCTTGTTATAACACAACTACTGTAAAATCTCTGATTTATTAGATAAACTAGTTACAGAAATAAATATTGTCCTTGTGGTCATTGAGAAAGTCGATTGGTGTATTGTAGTTGATTGTGTTGTTTGTTCTGTGTCGAGAGTCTCGAGACATATAAGAGAAGGGGTGGAAAGAGAATGGGCTGTTCTGTTCTGTATCTCGATCATGCCATCTCTAAGGTCACCGCTCTTTCTTCCAGTTTCTTCTTTTATTCTAATTTCGATGTTGTAAAAGGTCTTTCTCTGAATTTTCTTATATTATCATAGACTCTTCGCACGTTATTATCGACTGTGCTTTTGCTTTTTATTTACATTACTGTAAAAATGGCGCATTATTTTCATTACAGTGTATTTTTTGAAAGTTGTAAACAATTACTGTGAAAGTTATTTTATTATTATTGTTAATATGATGTTCTGATGTTGCATTGACCTTTCTTAGTTTGTGTCGCAGTAAATTAACCGGATTTATTTACAGAATTATGTCAGAAGCTGTGGCCGACATCGCTGTGGTCGGATTGGCCGTTATGGGCCAGAACCTTATCTTAAACATCAACGACCATGGCTTTGTATGTTGTGCGTTCAACAGAACCGTCTCGAAGGTGGACGACTTCTTGAACAATGAAGCCAAGGGCACCAAGATCGTTGGAGCTCACTCAATTCAGGAGATGTGCAAGTAAGTATGACTTGTAAGACAGTTTCTTTGTTTTTTATGTTAGAGTTGTCACTTGTGTTGCTGACTGAAAAAACAATATGATTTTTTGTCATTTTTAGACTGTTGAAGCGTCCGAGAAGAATCGTCTTGTTGGTAAAGGCTGGAGCTGCTGTTCAAGGTATGATTGACAGCATCCTTCCTCATTTGGAGAAGGGCGACATCCTCATTGACGGTGGAAACAGCGAATACCATGATTCTAACGTAGGCAATTGTTACCTAAAATAGTATCTTTTATGTTTTGTCATCTAAACATGATTTATCATCTAAATTTGAACCGCTTTTGTCGTGGTTGATAATTTTTGATTTATTGTTTGTGCAAGAATATAACTGATAACAATTCCAGAGACGCTACAAAGAGTTGGCCGCTAAAGGAATCCACTTCGTTGGATGTGGAGTCAGTGGTGGAGAAGAAGGAGCCAGATATGGACCATCGCTCATGCCTGGTGGTGCCCCAGAAGCCTGGCCACATTTGAAATCCATCTTCCAGTCTGTAGCTGCCAAGTCTGGCAATGAGCCATGTTGTGATTGGGTAAGGAAACCTATTGAAACTTGCGCTGCTAACAAAGTTTAATGTCAAAATGAATGTTTTGAGCAAACATTTGTGTTTTATTGTTAAATATAATGAAATTTAGGTAGGAGAAGCTGGAGCAGGTCACTTTGTCAAGATGGTACACAACGGAATTGAGTACGCTGACATGCAGCTGATCGCTGAAGCTTACGATCTCTTGAGAATCGGATGTGGCCTCAACTACGACGAGTTGGCTGATGTCTTTGACCAGTGGAACAAGGGCGATTTGGATTCCTATCTAATCGAGATTACGGCTCAAATCTTCAGGTATCGTGACGAGAAAGGAGAGCCAGTTCTGCCAAAGATCAAGGACACCGCCGGCCAAAAGGGAACTGGAAAGTGGACTGGAGTCGCTGCTTTGGACTACGGAGTACCAGTTACACTAGTTGGTGAGTTGGAATAAGATATAATTAGCTTCATTAATAAGTTACACATAATCTGAGATTTGAGCGATGAGATTAGGGAACGTTTTGGAATAACCATATGTTTTTGATGTAAATTTGTTTACGTTATATTCAACTTTTCAGCCGAAGCTGTCTTTGCCAGATTCCTGTCATCAATCAAAGATCAACGTATGTTGGCATCAGATGTTCTCGCAGATGGTTCAGAATTCAAATTCCAAGTAAAAGACAAGAAGGCCTTTATCAACCAGGTCGGAAAAGCTTTGTACGCTTCCAAAGTGGTCTGTTATGCCCAAGGATTTATGTTGTTGACACAAGCTTCCAAGGAATTCGACTGGAAACTGAACTTCGGTGCCATCTCTCTGATGTGGAGAGGTGGATGCATCATCAGGTCTAAATTCTTGGGAAAAATCAAGGAAGCTTACGACAAGAACCCCAACTTGACCAACTTGTTGTTGGACGACTTCTTCGTCAAGGTCATGAACGAATCCAAGGTATGTTAGCGACAAACTTGATAATTTTTTTATTTTTATATTTTACCCTGTAGATTTATTTACTGTTACACCTATATTTCAGGAATCAATGGCCGAAGTGCTTAAAACCGCCATCGACCTCCAGCTGGACACTCCAGTCTTTTCGGCCGCTTTGGGCTTCTACAACGGCTACAAACGCAAGGTTCTCCCAGCTAACCTGATCCAAGCTCAGCGAGACTACTTCGGTGCCCATACCTATGAATTGTTGTCCAATCCGGGTACCTTTGTCCACACCAACTGGACAGGAAAGGGTGGCCGTGTCACTTCCAACACCTACAACGCATGATTCACATTCTACTGTTTTCTAGCAGGTATTACTGTCTACAACAAGAGTTAATTAGTGATATTATAAGATTTCTTTTCAATTTTACGAAAATAAACAAAATTATACTTTATGAGTTGTGTTCGTGGTGGGATGCATTTATTTTATGTTTTCAAAGTTCATGAATCATAATTACTGTAAGGTTAATATAGGTAATATTAGCAATCACACCTAATTGGAGTAGTCGAGTTCGAACCAAGTTATGACATTTTCCTGGTTCATACCTACTAAATGTCCTTCTGAATCAAAACTAACGCCAATTAGGTTTGCATTCTGGTCAAACAGCTTCCGACTAGTCGATATGTCGTACCCAACTACAGAATCCCTGCCGAGAAACACGTAGATGTTGCCATTTCTACAGTACTGACTTCCCTCGACTCTACAATCTAACCGGTCGATTATCTGCCCGTTGCGGTCGAGTAGTTTTACGCCGCCATCAGCCGAAGATACGACCACGAACTTATCGTTGGCCCAGTCAAACACGTCAATGCCATCGGGATCGTAGCCTACTGGAGTTGTGGTCAGATTCTCCGGATCGACCAGTAAAATGGCACCAGTTTCGGCTGAAAATAGAGGTATGGTCAACTTGTGTTACATGGTAAGTAGAGAAAACCAGTATAAACCTTATTATTGAATCAATAAGTTAACCCTTACTCGCTACGAACGACTGAAACCGGTCGAGAGTCGAATCGACCGCGCTCACTTTCATCGCCGAACTGTTGGACCGTCGCATGCTTCTGGGAAGGTCACTGACGTTGACTGGAGCACTTTTGATGACTTCTAGTCCAGCTGCTTGTAGATTTAGTACCACCAAACGACCGTCCATCGCGGTCGATAGTATCAGTTTGGGCGATATGAACTTGAGACTTGTGATGGCCTGGATGTGCATCTGATCTGACGTCCAGACAACTTCATCGCCGACTATAACATTCACCGTTCCAGTCGCTGTTCCTACAACTACCTAAAATAATGTCATGTTATCTTACTCTTATGAGCTAACTAAGGCTTTCTTTCAGTTATAAGATGACATTACCTGTTTTTGGGTACCAAAGACAACTTGAGAAGGACAACTGTCTAACGCGATCCAAGTTGTTTTAGTTGGTTCCCACAGCAGTAATCGGCCAGAATGTAAGCACCAGTTGTCATGAAGTCGCTCTCCGTAGAGTACACATAGTCGTTTGTCGTGGCTACACTTGATACTGTGAAATGGTATGTCTTCCAACTAAAACAACACATTTTAATAAAAAGTAAAACATCCATTACCTAAACTATATTAACATTGAGAAATTACCATTTCAACTTTAAATGTCTTAACCACCTCCAAGTGTACCATCTTATCGTCGTGGTACCCATCCAGTTCTTCAAACAACTGTTTTTCCTTTCCGATCTGCTGTAACTGTTCGACTACAGTATCCACAACATGCTCACTCAGTCGTATCTGTCGTGCTGATACGATCCTCTCCTCGTCCTTCTGAGTTTGAGTTTGTTTGGAAGGCTGTACCATTGGGTCGGTACCATTTTCAATATACTTGATGACTTCTGTTTGGCACGTTCCATCTGTCGCGACTTTCTTCGTAAGGCTGGTTACAATACTAACAGGTTTTGATGAAAAAATTTGCATATTTAGGAAAGAAAACTATAAAATAGGTTGCTTGGCAACAATGTGAGTATGTGTGTGTATGCGTCTTATAGTAACTCTACAGTAATACACCATTGGCTAAAGATGACAAAAACTTTCATTCTTATCAGTAGCTGCCACCCCGCTTAACACTTATCAGTGGTTAACATCCCGGACTGACAATCGAGAGATAATGTTGTGATAGAAGCTCAGTGATTAATAACATGTTTGTTGTGACCTCTTTTCCGGATTGCGATCCATCGCTGCGTTGGCATTGTGTCCCATAAGCGACGAGAAGGTCGTCTTCTCCATTATTTTACCTTGACACGTCGCGAGATCGGCGTCTGCGAGGATTATGTTGTTTGTGGTGGTCGCCGTCCTTTTCCTGTCAGGTAAGCTTTTACATTCAGTTTTTTGAGACAATAGAGTACTAATTTCAATTTAGAAATAGTAAGTCATTTTATTGACAGTACTTTAACGAGATTTTACTGAAATTAAAATTTTAAATCTTCTTCCTAGTGCGATTTCGAACTCGCAAATCAAAAAACTGCCAGAACTGTTTACTTTATGATATTTGGAGCAAAACTAACTTGATTCAAGACCTTAAACTTGTATATTACAGATGTGGTGGCAGAAACAGCGGTCGGAAAGAAGAAAGCCGAGGACAAGATCCCGGTGATCGAACTCCGAGGCGAGGGAAAACCTATGAGTGCCGCCCAGATTAGGCAATTGGAAGAGATCAGCAATGGAGGGCCACTAGATATCAAGGTAACACAATATTAGAACAAAAAACACCTTTTAAAATGGCAAAAAACTGAAAGTTAATGCTTGAGTATAATATAAAACAATCACAAGACAGCCTAAATTCCTCAAAATTACTTATAACATACGGATTTTAGATAGAAAAGACTTGGCGTCCAGCCAAATGTCCTCGAGAAGCCCAGCGCCTCGACTTTGTCACTTTCCATTACAAGGGATTCCTGGAAGATGGCAAGAAGTACCATCAGACCTACGGAAGTGGTCCCATTACCATTCAGCTGGGAACCGGAATGGCTATGCCTGGACTAGACAAAGGCCTGAGAGGAATGTGCGATCAAGAACTCCGCAAGATCAACGTTCCCTTCAGATTGAGCCGCAAAGCCAAGAGCAAGGTCTGGAAGCAAATCCCGAACGACGAACATTGGCTGTCGTTCAACATCGAGATGCTGGAGGTGAAAGAATGGAATCTGGAGCGACAATTCAAGTACCTCGACATGAACGAAGACGGATACATCACCGAGAACGATGTAAGATCTAAGGTTTCTACCGAATTTCCCAGCAATATTTTGTAAAACGTCAAAATGTCACAAAATAGAAGAAATGTCACATATCGATTTATTTTAATTTCGTTTTTAGGCGATTAAATTCCTGGACAACCAGAAGCGAATGTACGGTAAAAGCTGGAAGAACGAGGACATTGACAATGTTCTGGCAGCCCGTTACTACGTAAAATATTTTGACGTCGACGGCGATACCAAAGTATCTCAAGAAGAGTTCACAGAGATCATGAACCGCGACATCAAGGAGATGGAGAGCAAGGCTGTCGCTTTGTCCAACGACAAGAACAGACCCAAGGGAAAGCGACGAGACCCTGGGGTCGCCTGGATTCTGGACTTCAACAACGATGGCATTGTGAGCTACGAGGAGAACGACTCCGCTGATGTTGTTCTACAATCAGATCCGAAGCGATTGCCTCAAAAGGGTCACAAGGAGGAGTTATGAAGCCCTACAGTAATAAATATTTATTTACATCAACAGGAGTCTTGATTGTAGGTATAAGTGGCGTTCACAGGAACGTATTATATACTGGTACAACATACTGTAATATACTGTAAAGTAACAGAGAAAGTAGGAAATGAGCAGGCGTCAACCAGTAGACGTTCAAGGTGTCTATTCTGAAAGTCCCATTATATTGCGTTAAAATCAACTCTGAAAGCTGTAATATATAATAGGCAATGAAATACCTGTTAATGTTGTAGGCAAACATGACCCAGTTATATACGGTAACCAAAGGCTTTGTTGTAAATACAAAAGTGAAAACCAATAACCACAATAAGAGAATACATGCCATCATAATTGATAGTGTGCGTATAACAGGTATCTTTAAGTATAATGTAACCATTTTGTGTATGTTATAGTAGTACAGGCAAATGGCTAGCGGGCTCCACAGTATCACGAATAGTTTTGTGTTATCTGACAATCTTGGTACTATAAAGATTGTGCTTAAGTAGATTTATAACATACGATAGTCGTTTGCCGTGAGTAAACAATGGAACGTGCTTAGCCATGATCTTTGTTTGAGTACCACGGGTACGAGTCCGTGAACTGATGTGTACCATTCTTGTGATCCTATGGACTGGCATAATGAAGTATTATTAAAGAATGTATTTACAAATATCGTTTACAATAGCTAGTAATAGATAACATTACAGTAACATTACATACCACGGTGTTATCCATACTTACTTGATGTTCAGAAATCCAAAACACAGCTTCAATAATGTGATCTACGTGCTTTTCCCTCTTAATAAGTTCACTCTTCCTATGAACGACATCATTTTCGTACTCAACAAAGAACAGTATCAATGCTAACAGCACCCATACAGTACTCAGTAGTATGTAGCGTTTCAGCATAGTACGACAAGTAGACAACATACTGCTACGCGATGGTCATTCTCTCGAACAACTAGTTTTTGGAGTGACACCTGTTATCAAAACCAAATGACCTCAGGCCATTTGAACATGACAGAGACAATGGGCGGGTGATACCACCGTGATTAATTGGTTATATTAGCCTTTGGAGTGGGTAGTGGTTCAAATAGTCGAGAGTTAAAACAATTTGTAATTACATAGACCTTCCCCTGTTGCCTATAACAAGAGTTTACATTTTGCTGACATAAATATAAAATACTGTACAACAGAAGAATACTGTAACATTAAAAGTTGGTAATACTTTATTACACTAATTAACCGTCAATATGTACAAAAATCAACTTCTCGATATTATCATAGCTCAATTTTCTTTTTCACAACAAATAGAGTCTTGTAGATATTCTCGTAGTGTAACTTGAAGACTCTGATCTTGTTCTTGATCACATACAACCCATATGGAATAAAGGCCTTGCCGAATGACGACAATTGCAACGCCATTATTATCGGAAACTCTTCGAATTCCTCAAAGACTGAAAACAAAATGTCATACCTTCATGACACGCTTACTAATAACATAATATACTTGATGAAAAATTAGATTTGAATATTAATTTAGCTGTCACAACTTCGTAAACCTACAGGTGAACTTGAACTCGTTGACATTCGTGTAGTCTATGCTTTTGAATGTGCTTCCGAGATTCCATGACGGTCTTGTACCAGAATTACGAGTTACATAGTAGTAAAACAAATTGAATTTGCCCTAAACGACGAGAACATGATGATCTTGTAAAGAAACTAGATTATATAGTAAAATTGCCAATGGCTTGATGTTTAATGTACTAACACCTTTCGTGTCAATCCCTAGTAAAACAATCTTAATTCAGTGTCATCAGGGCCGGGCGCGAGGGGGGGACGGAGGGTACCCCCCCCCCAGAAAAAAATTTTTGAAAAAGGTTCCCCCTGTTAATTTTCGGAAAAAAAAATTTTGCAAAAAATCGGCACAGGTAGCTCCTGTGCCGATTTTTTGGACCCCTGTCCCCAGACCAAAAGTCCCCGCCCGGCCCTGAATGTCATAACTGCTACAGCCATCTAAATTACAGTTATGAACGTAAACGTACCTATTCGTCCAAAAATACTTACCTCTTTATGCCCGTTCGTCCTCACTTCCGTGGTTACAGTAACTTCTCGGTCAATAAACTTTACAGTACCCTCAATAGACAACAACAACAGATGACTTTGGGTGTCCGTAGTTTGTAAAAAGTCCATCTGATTCCAGTTTATGACATGATCGTTGCTCAGCTTCTTCTGTGTTATCATCTTTTCCACAAAAGCTTTCTTCTTCTTACTGTAAGCAAGTTCTGGACGATCGTTACTGTCACAGAAAGTATTACTTACCAATTGTCTCTCGTAACACCTGTAGAGGTTGAGGATTTTCTGGTTTTGGAAGCTCTAGAATATATAAAACTATTAAAGATATTAATTTGTAATTATATTATTTGAACAACCTAATATATTATATGATAGTACTTAAAGATTACAATTAACTGTTGCAAAACACAACATTCAGAACCAACTTACTGTCCTCGACGTACTGATAAGCACCTGATGGATGAAGCTGTGGCATAACAACGTTAACCAGATGTTCCAAGTCATTCGATTGATATTCCTGTATTTTCGTTATAAGTCCCGTTACCGTGGTATATATACACATGTCTACATCCTGTAGGTCTCTCAAGTTATGTTCTAACTCAGCGGCAAAGAAATCGTCTGGTGGAGGATCAAGGCCGGACATTCTGTAAGAATAATTTGTAGGTATAGACAGCTCATTAAAATTACAAATCTATCCAGGTTTATCATACTGATCTATAAAATAAATAAATAATTTTTAAAAAACTTTAAAAATTGAGTATTTGTCACCCAAAAGTACTGACCATCGTAAAATGACATTATCAGATAACGCAAGCCGTCACAACAGCAGCCCAGCAAACCGATCGACATCCCTGGCTAGAAATTAAATTTATTTGCGACAAAAACACGACAATTTGGAGTATTTACAATCCCGAAGAGCTCTTGAAGCAGCGAAAGCCCTTTTGTGGATCTGTTCCAGGTCAAGCAGCCATGTATAATGTATTTTTTGTGTTTGTCCATCCATTCAGCTGACCGCTGCGATCAGACGAGGCGCCCTCGCGAGGAATGCGATGTCTAATCACTCATATCTTCTCCATGACATCAGCCCGTCGCTCTTTGCTGGCGATGAAACTTCATTTGGCGTTGCTGGCAGTCGCCGTTCTCGCCCAGGAACGGTGTCCGCCGCTGTTCGGCGAGACCGAGTGCCCGTTAAAGTACAAGTGTGAGATCAGTACGTGCAAAGACGAGAAAGGAGTGCCGGCACCTCCTGATTGTTCAAAGGTAACTTCCGAGACCGTATATCCTGAAATAAAACCAGACAATCGTCTGTCGTGTACAAAGTGTAATATTTGACTTAAGAATACTCAAAAACTAACTTAAATTTTAGCATAACAATTTTGTTTGTATAAAAACTTACAAAACCAGTTTTAGATAACATGTGGGCCAGATGCCAGGTGCTTCGAAGGCCGTTGCTGGCCAGTAGAAGGTCTACCATGTGGCCGAAACGTTCTTGTAGCTGAAAACACAGCCAGATCCATTACCAGTTCATGTGGTCGACGTGGTATTTGTTTGAACGGAAGATGCTCCATTGACAGTAAGTAGACATCCACTTAAAATACGCTTTTCAAAAACTTAAAATAATAAATAAAAACGTTAGAGAAGTTAAATCAAGCTGTTAATAAACAAACAATGCCAATTTTTAAAAGAATCATAATCTTTGAATAAGAATAAAAACCGCTTACTTCCAGAATGTGCCGAAGTGTTATGCAATGAAGGAGAGTTGTGTCGCGATGGAAAATGCACTAAGCTGGTCGGTAGCTTCTGTTTGACAGTATTCGATTGTGGGCCAGAACCTGGAATGGAATGTTTGAGGAACCAATGTGTCAGGACGGATCCATTAGTCGGCGCCGAAGGCTTGGCCAAGATCGATTGTGATCCAGACGAAACGCTACAGGGACATGAATGTGTCAAAAAACGAAGTAAATCACAAATTACAGCGTTAAACCTAACATAAACTAGTATATGAATTATCCTCACGATATAAAGTTACTAACTTACATATTACACTGCAGGTTGCGAAGAGATTGTGTGCGAAGCCGGGTTCGCTTGTTCGAACGGAGCCTGTCTTCCGATGTTAGGCGCCGACTGCTCCCAATCGACATGTCCTCGAGGTTTACTCTGTAAAAAGAACGTTTGTGTAGAAGATACGTGTAAAGACAAATGTCCAGTAGAACATGCTTGTATCAATGGAGAATGTAGGCACCTACAAGGTATCCTATGTCGAGAAACATGTCCATCGCCTTTCGCTTGTATAAATGGACAATGCGTCAAAAATGGTAGGTTATGTTGCCTATAGAGTAACATTTTACAACTGATAAACCACTTTTTTAAATTCCTATTTGAAATTAAAAATTTTCAAAAATTGGTTTTAGAATGCGCGCGAAAGGTGTGCCAACTTGGAGAACGCTGCGAAAACGGGATTTGCATACGGATCGAAGGTAATTTGTGCTCGAATCCAATGCGGGATTGTGGGGAATCGTTCGACTGCTACAAGTCAGCGTGCCGAGATAAAATACATCCAATCGCCGGAAGTACGATGCCAGATACGGTGGCGTAACCAACCTGTAGCCTAATAAAGTCAAAGTCTATACAAAGACGGTTTATTTAACTATATTGTAATCGAGTTTCCTATTGTTTCTCGGGCTGTTTTTCGGCCGGCTTCTCGAGTTCGACAACTTTGTAGCCGGAGGTAATGGGAGCGTCGCGGAAGGCGGGGAAAGTTTCCCAAGGAGTATCCAGGTCAAACTTTCTAAATTCTTGGGCCAATTCTGATGGCTCGTACACAATTCTTCGCAGTTCTGGGTCGTACCGGACCTAAATGTATAATTTAACAAATCTTATGTTTGCTGTTAACTTTCATTACGTCAAACATGTTTTTCACCTTAATTTAGCCCGTTACAGTTAAAAGCGTAAGTTTTCAACTTAAAAGTCAACTCACTTCAGTATATCCAGATAATGGGAAATCTTTTCTGAATGGATGACCTTCGAAACCGTAATCAGTCAAGATACGACGCAAGTCAGGATGGTTATTAAACCAGACTCCGTACATGTCGTAGATCTCACGTTCGTACCACTCGGCTCCACTGAAGACTGAGCAAATGGATTCGATCGGCTCCACTTCATCAGTATAAGTGCGAACTCGGATTCTGGAGTTGAAGCGAATCGACTGAAGACCGTAAACAACTTCGAAACGATTCTCACGGGTCGGAACGTCAACTCCACAAGCAAAAATGAAGTTGGTGAATTGAGCTGAGTGATGACCCTTCAAGAAGGCCATGACTGGGATGACTCCAGAAGGATGAATCAGAAGTTCGAGTTCATCAGCAGCAGCAAACTGCACACGTTGAATAAACTTCGGAAGAGATTTTGCAACGTATTTACCAAACTCCGTCAGTCGGTCCACTTTCTTCTGGTCAATATGGAATTTTGTACCTAAAACGTTAAAATAAGATTAAGAACAAACTTGGAAATAAGTTTATGTCAACAAGAAGTGGCATTGAATTAACACAAATCAGCAATTCAAGTAAATTAAACTAATTCCTTACCTTCCTTCAACTTCTTGTTTCCTTCGTCTGGCTGTGGTTCGTAGGTAACAGTACTGGCAAGGCGACCAGCAGTTAATAATCTGCTCTTTGGAACCGCTGCTGCTAACTTAAAAGCGCCTCGCAGCATCTAAACCAAAATAATTAATATTATTAAAATCTCAATAAAGTTCTGAAAACGATAATTAATCTTTTCAAACATCTCAGGGAAATCCCAGTACTTTAACAACATTCTGACACTTTATCGTTTATCAAATTAGCAATGCTTCTTCACAATACCAACCGTATCATTAAAACAAAACAAAATAAGATCAATATTGTGATTTCCATCTGATTTATTAGTCTTCTTCTTTAACTCTTGAAGTGTAGCGTAGTCGACTATTTGATTTCTAATTGGCTCCAACAACTTTAACAAGCCAGCTCGCAAAGCACTCTTGTTGAATTCAGAAAGAGCGTGAAACCTCAACAATGAACAAACGGCAGTATAATAGGCACAAGCAGCTTCAACATCTGAATACGAAGCACGTAGAAGATCACCGTAAAAATAAGAAATCTCCTTCTTGAACACGTTGTCTTCACCAGCACTTAACGATAACCGGTAGTAATCAACAAGAAGTGCTACAGTTTGAGGTTCAAACTTCAGTTCAACTTTGTTATCCATTATCAGAAAATAAAGCCGTTTGATCAGTAAATATCTTCCAATACCATCAAATGCAAACAGCAATCCCTTCCAACAATTTATGATATGTCCTCGAAAATCCCAGAACTGATCATGATTCATTAATTTGATTAAATCCATCAAAAATTCCTGAAATCATAAGAACACAGATATGAGTTGAACGAAAGGTTTAACAATACTTAAGCAACGTTCACTCCTAAAATCAAAAACACAATAAAACAACCTTACTTCATAATCTTGAACAATATGTCTATTAAAGGAATTCTTCTCCAAACCATCAATTAAAGCTTCTATCGTCAAAAAGACGTTGTTTCCATAGTTAATATCAAAAGTCGGATATTCAATCAGCTGGTGAAATAATTGTAAAGAACAATTAAACAAATACCGGTTAGAAAATACAATTGGCACAGAAGCTTCATCAAACAAATGCGTCTTCAATAATCGAGCAACGTTTTCCGAAGTGTTCAGACACTTTTCAGAAAAAATGGGTTGGAAGCTAGAAGAATTCAAAAATAACTTTAGTTCTACATCCTGACCATTAACAACTCTTCCTAATAAATCTGCCAACTTTAACCAGGATTCCGAAGGTGTAGCCATCTTGACATCACGAACATCTCCATCAGTTTTGACGATATTTTAGAAAAAGAAATTTTATATCGGCCGCGAACTGCAGCTTAAATTGGCGACATCCTATACGATTGAAGTAACTAAAAAGCGGCATTAAAATTTCTAGAAGAAGACGGATTTTACACTTGGATACAAGATTTTAAACTTTTTTTTTGTAATTCGTTAATAAAAAATAGGGTTGGACGAAAGTTTAAGCTTTGTTTTAGAAATAACGATTAAATTAACTTGAGGGAGGAATTTGAGTCATTTTTAATCATTTAGTCTATTACTTTGCGTGCTGTTGATTTCATATTATGTTATAAATCTTTTATATGCATTTTTTCAGGATGATAGACCACAAATATCGTATGCGGATCTGTATGTTGTACGACTTTAAGCAAGGAAAGAGTGCCGTAGAATCTCATCGTACAATCGCTAAAGTTTTCGGCAAAGATGCTTACTCTTACAGTCAATGCTTGCGATGGTTCAAGAAGTTCAAAGATGGGGACGAGTCTTTGGAAGACCAGGAACACATTAGACGCTCAGAAGGCTGGGACAAGGACCAGACATTAGACGAAGAAGGTCCTGGAACGACTACATCTGTTTTGGAAACGTCAATTGGGAAAAAGGGCTCTAGTAAAAGCACGACCAAGGAACGTAGAGAAATCAGGAAGCCGAAGAAAACTATACAGAAGCCACGCACACAAGCTCTGCAACTTGATGAACAATTTCGTGCCTTTATAGAAGCTGCTCTGCGACAGGGAGGTCTGGAATCAGAGCAACAAGTTCCTCAAAATGAATAAGAATCGTAATTAGGTATAGTTAAAGTTCGTTGAATATGGGTATACAGTGGGCTAGGTTAGTTTTGTATTTTAGTCTTGTATGTAAATATGCGTATTGTAAGGCACTTTCCTAGCCTACTATACTGTCTTTATATTTTTGTACCTTTCCAATGTTTACAATCAAATGTATAGTCAAGTTTCCAATACAAACTGTTCAATAATTATTATTAACAAATGTGCTATACAATAAATAAACAACATGATTTCATGACCATTACATACTGTATTAATTCTTGATACAACAAGATCTATACCCTGATTAAATGCGATCACAGTCCAGTAAACGCTATAGTTCCGTTTTCTGAGGTAGTCCGATACCCATTGCTCGTCGGAATTCGTCCACTTCGAAGATGGCCGACGAATAACGGCCGAAACTTTGAATTAAGGCGACAACTTCGTTCCTAAAACAAAAGGTTAGTAGTATACGTGGTGAACGATCATGTACAATTGTAATCATTTTTTGATTAATCAATTTTTTAAATAATGATGACATTACCTTGACAACTTGAACGGAACTGTCGCACGACCACTAAGCACCGAGCGTGTTTCCGAGTGTGGAAGATCAGAAAACAGAATCTTCAGAGCCGTACCCATACCGTGAGTTTGCAGTTTGCCCCATAACCGGCACTTGTCACATCCCACACAATCCATTATCCTTGATATGTTAACGAAATGTTGTCTAAACTCCTCTCGAAGCAACCTCGCCTGCGATTCTACACCCTAAACAAAAACAAATTGAAAAAAGTAGTCATAATTATTTAATAAAGTTTCTTACACGCATATGTCTAAAATATAAAGATGAAATCACAAAAAACTAACCTTGAAGAGCTTTGTCTCATCAAAATGACTTTCATATTGTTCACAAATGGCAATCAATGCCTTCATAGCTTCTTTGGTCTTCATATCTTCCTAAAGAAAGTATTTTTAAAAAAAAATTACAAAATCAAGTAGAAAATGTTTTTACACTAATCATGATTGGCAACGCATATAAAGTACGAATTATACTTACTTCCTCATTTCCAGTGTAAAACAGTTCAGCCTGAAGATACGGTGCGGCTTTTACTATCGCTCTGAGCTCTAACAGATACACAAAGTAAACGTTCATTAGTCGTTCTGGCCCTTCTGTTCCCCATTTGTCGCCAAACCTGTTCTTGAACATTTCAATATTTCTAAACCAAGTGCCTGACCCAAAACCGCCAACGGCAGGCTTGTAATTATAGGAAGCTATAGATACTGTGATTGCTGAGTGAAGGCCTGAGATTAATTTGTAGAATACTCGCTTTTCCAAACACATGCCCGTAGGGGTGGGATGAAGTAAGAAGTCCTTGTCGAACCGTGGATCAGGCTTGAAACAGTTTTCCCTGTAGATACTCATCCACACCTTCTGCGCGGACTGTCCTTTATATCCAGTGTAACGTTCTGGATTCTTCAACAGATTTACATAATGTAAATCATTTGAGTCGTCGTCTAGAAGACACATTAAATTAATTATCGTCAACACAAACGTGTAATCAGATAATTTAATACAGTAAGACACTTTAAATATTTAAATACTTAGTTACTTTTCCTTTTATTTACAAACTATTCACAATGACTTACCTTCAACGTCGCAAAACCGATCGCTGGAATCTTCAAAGTCTTCCATATCAGCTAATTGAGCTTTGTCAGTATCAGATAATGATCGATCTAGTGGATCAAATTGATTAGAAGGCACGCAAGGAGCATCCACTTCCTCTTCTCCTACCTGAAACATTGTTTTTAAAAATACAATGTAAACATAATATAATACTTTTTAAAGAATTATATTTAAGAAAATCGTTGTAACTCACAATTGACACAAAAGAAGAAGGTCTCCTGAGCGCTTCTGGCACTTCTTCATCACAATGTTCTATACCACACTCCCGCGAAGAACATTCTCGTTCATCTGGCCAAAAAGGACATGGCCTTTCCATATTAACCTAAACCAATAAAATAAAAAAATATATAAACATACCTTGTAAAACTTGAAAAAGTCACTTTGCAGCAGCTTCTGTATTAGTCCATAAACTTTATGATTGTTAAAGTAGTCTAAACTGCTATATCTATTGTTACAAGGCCCCACAGCCTCATCGCTTTTACAGAACCATGGATAGTCTTGAGTAAACTGAGCTCGAGAGTCGAGTAAAACAATAAAAAACACACATCCCGCGAGTGACCATCTGATGGTCACCATCAGGGCTCTGAAAATGAACACTGTAGGCGATTCTCAGCAAACAAAACCGCGGAAATAAACATTCATAACATTTCCCGCTCCTCGAAACGCGCAATATATTTATGAAACGTGTTGCTTTCAAATCTGACGTCAGCTTGTAAGTCTGAGCGAACAATCGTCCAGCCAAGTAGTGATAATAAGATTGTGACCGAGTTGAAACGGTCCGTCTGGATCGAGACATTGTGGAAAACGGGTCAATCAGATGAAGTGCGTTTCGAAAATTATAGATAATATAAATTGAAACAAAAGAATCTCAAGTTACACATAAAACACTTTTATTCAATTTTACAGCATAAATTATTCATTATTCTGAGTAAAATGTTCTCCAAATTGTAAAACGAATAAAATCTATTTCATTTTTTGTTTTATAAAAGACCTCGCGCTGACAAGGTTTCTAGACGTTTTCCCGAAAAAATAATTTATTTTTTTATTTTTTGGGGAAGATGTTTCGAAGACTGATTCCGCGAAATCCGGCGCTTATTACACGATGTACTCACACAATAAAGACGGATAATCATGTAGCCGAGTTTCCGTAAGTTAATTTACTACTTGTTTTGCTATTTTAGGTGATCTCGCCCATTTTTTCGGCCTTTTATTACGAAAACCGCATGAATTTCTCGTATTTTTTTGTGTTAGGTCGTAAAAGAGCCATTTTGCACTAAAATAGATAAAACTATGAATTATTAAATGGTTTTAGACTTTCGTATCCCGAGTTTTTACATTCGCCGGTACAAAATCGTCGAGTCGCGTTGTACGAGAAGCTGGTTAGGGCTGATATGCTGGAAAGGCGATTGAATGTAGATGTGCCAGAGTTTTATGTTGGTTCAGTTTTGGCTGTAACTTCGTCAGATCCTAACATGAACAATAGACAAAACAGATTTTTGGGTATTTGTGTTCGACGTCACAAAACAGGCCTTCATCACACATTTACTCTCAGGAACGTTGTTAATGGGTTAGGTAAGAAGTAAACAAAACAAACTTTGACTAAAACTTTTGTGTTTCTAGTTTAAGAGTCTTTTAAAAGAGCTGACACAGGTGTAAAATTTTTTATTTACATTTTAATTTTAGGTGTTGAAGTGATGTACGACCTTTACAATCCTACAATTCGCAAAATTGAGACAATCAAGTTGGAGAGAAGGCTGGACGACGATCTTTCCTACTTAATTGACGCTCTCCCAGAATACAGTACTTTTGACTTTAACCTGGAGCCTATTTCTCATCCGGTTGGCACTCCAGTCCCAATCAATCCGTTAAAGGTGAAACTGCGACCTCCTCCATGGTCACAACGTTGGGATATGATTCCCTTTAATGGTATTGAGAATGCATGGGAAATGGCTACACCGAGAGCGAAACGAAAGGTTAAAAGGACCAGAGTTAACGACTACTTCCAATACGACCTGCTCTGGCAGTACAGAAGAGAAGGTCAAGATCTCGAGAATGAATTGAGGATCCAAGATGAAATTAGGGAGTTCGAGGAAGACAGACAAAGCAAGGGAGCCACCAAGAGAAAGATTCTCCGCTCTGCTGCTTCTGCACTTTAGGATTGTTCTGTTTTTGTTGAATAAATTTTTGTTATATCAAAGTGCTGCTTTTATTGGTATGTTACCGTAACAGAATGTATCTATGAAATTGGATATTATATAGAAACGTTGTTCATGGTTACCGCAATATATATTCGTAGATTTAATTTAAAAACGTGCTATTTGTGTATTATGAGCTAAAACAATATTTGTACAAAAAGTTTAGAAGTCTGCTTTTTTGTGTTCTGGTCCCGTGATTTCGGTAAATGATGCCGGCTTATCAGTAGCTTGGAAACAGAAGAATATGTTAGCCTGAAAAAGAGCATATATTTCATATAACTTACCTTTCTGTTACATGTTATTAATGATGGCAAAGCAAATTCTATGATAAAACTTACTAAAACCAGAATACCAGCTGTCAAGTAGAAGATAGCATGCCACTGCGTAGCGTTGGTTTCATCGTGCACAAAAATGGCTACCAGAGCAGGCGCGATGAAGAACACGCTACACTTGATAAATTGTGTAAATGCAATCACAAACTCTGCGTATTGCCTATAAAAAGGTTCAGTCGGTAAAGAGTATGTATAACATTTGGAACGTGTTTTCAAAATTTTAAAGCACGATGAAGGAATTACCTTGAGACTAGAGATCCACATTTGTAAAAGCCGCCACAGTTGAATCCCAAAGCAGCGTGAACTCCGCCAAACAAGATAGCTGCCAACATGGGCATACTAGCTGGGGCAAAACATAGGTAAACGTAGATGGCAGCCGGTGTCAGTACAGCTACAGAATTGAAAAACCACATCTTCTTGCGTTCTGGAAGGCACCTAAAAGTGTAATTAAAACCTTTAGAAAATCAGAATATATACTGGTACAATCTTAACATAAGGCGAGTAATTACTTGGTAATTTTCTTATAAGCTGTTTTTCAGTTACTGCAGTAAGATACTTACTTGCAAGTGTCCGAAAAGTAACCACATACGAGTTTGACGGGGATGTGCGACAGAGATCCAAGTGCTCCAACTATGCCAGTTTCTGTAGTCGAAAAACCGAGGACTTTCTTGGTATAGGTGGGCGCATAAATGAACAAGAAAAATCCAGAAAATAGGTCAGCAAAGGCATTCACCCACACTGCCCACACCACTTTGTCTTTGCAGATGGCCTGAAACATTAAATAGTAAGTGGAGTTGTAAGTAATATAATAGTTAGTTGACAAGATCTTGACAGTTTGGTAAAATTTCAAATGAAGTTACTTTGTACGGAATGTAGCCAGAGTGGTTCTTGTGCGCTTCCGACTTGTCCATGTGAATGATTGACAATTCTTTTTTGCTCACAAACTTGTTGTTCTGGGGATCATCGGTGTAGAAGATGGCCCACAATGTGAACAAGAACATGCCCAGTATCGCGTGAGAGTAATGTACCCATGGCCATCCCCATGATGAGTCACAAATCTAAACTTACAGTAATTCAAAACCTTATTATCAATAAAAATAACTCTGTTATCAGTAGTATAACGCAAAACTATAATACATTAATAGAAGACCTTGTAATGGTCAAAAAATAGAAACTCACATATCCAGCTACAATGTTGGTCAGTGAGTTCGACAAAGGTGCAAAACAGGTTAACAGTGCCAAGAACTTGGCGTTTTCACGTAGCGACGCCCACCGTGAACAGATGACACCGACAACGGCAAAGTCGCAAGCATAAGCGATACCCTGGATTTGTACTATTAGAATGAGCTAACAGATACCTACTTGTACAACTCTAGCTGCTAGCAGCCAGTAGAAGCCCCATTCGATGGCTGGTGGGATCACGGCCGTAGCGAATGCCGAGAGTATTCCTGTCGTCAGGAATACGTACTGTGCTCCAATCTTAGTACAGGCGTAGCTGAAGGGGAAGGTGGCTATCATACTGGCGATGGACACAGTCCATTGGATCATTGTCTTCTCAGTTTGCGAGTAAAAGTGCAGCGGGTTGGCTGGATTCTGAAACATTTTGTCAGTCAACTGTGTTTTCTAAGTGATATGGTACTGGTAGTTATTAACATTGTAATCTTTGCAGCTTACCGTGGAATTGCTGTTTTTGCCAGGATCCATACAAACGATGGTGAAGTTGATGGTGACCATATTCGAGAACACAGAAGTCAGACATGCCGTAGCCAAACACAGGATAAACCAACGGAAGTAGTCGCCCAACATGGCCGAAGATGGCAATTACCCAACTGAAAAACGATTGGACATATCGCTTTAAAGTGCAATAAACAGCGAGTAATAAAAGGAACTGACAATAAAGGTCACCTCCTGTTTGGGAAACAAGATACGACCATCTAGAGACAATGATACACTGACCTACGGACGTCAACAGAAGGAGCTGGTGGAAGACATGTCAGTAGTCTTTTATGGTTAACAAAGTATTATTTCATATATGAGTTATACGTTACGTTAAAGCCTCTTTAAGGTTATCTACAGCTTTTTTGTCTCGATAACTAACTCATTAACACTTGAAAAAGTATTTTATCTCAAAGTTAACAATCGCCAAACTCGGTGACGTTTGATCTTTGTGTTCTCTGCAACTTTTAAAAATTACTACAGAGTTTGCTATTTAGAAATGTAAAAGATCAGTCTGTTTACCACACCTAATATATAAACATTGTCTTGAAAACAAATGGAATCAGATCAAAATAACCCGCTGAACCGCCGATCGCGAGTCGCTTAACGTTCCCCGAGATTTACATTATAATGCGGTAACTCGCTTCTGATATTACATGTCATAGTGTTTGTCGCGCTAAAATACAAACTATTTGGTTGGAACTTTCTTCTGCTATCATAGTTTGTATTGTTTAACTTTTTAATCTTATTGTTCTGATCATTGTTGATTATTACAAAACTTTAGTTATTTTTAAAAATATTTTAAAATATTCACAAAAATATTTTTTAAAATTTTTTGTTGGATTTTAAAATATTTTTATAAAAGGAATGTCAAGTGCAATCGTATGTTCAAATGAACATTGTTTACTTGCAACATTATGCCAAGAACTTTTGAAATTTCTGGCAAATCATTCATGAACAAAATTTAAAAAACAATGTTGATGGATTGGAAATACACGTAAATCAAAATGTGCATTTATCTATGCCAAACACTTTATAAACCTTTTGAAGACGATAAAAACTTTATGACTAAAATATCACTACCTGAACATCCACCGTACCCCTGTGTACAACCATCTGTCAAACTGTATATAAACACATATGAAGAATCTTTTGTCGCCCCTAATTTGGCCGGTAACTTATTTACAGTACGCCACTAAAGAACCCTTAAAAAACGTGTTTACAACAAATAAAAGTCCATAGTCCTCTCGTCTTCTGTCGCCGCTTGGCCAATGTTTTCGGCCCAGTCCAGGCCGTGTGATTTATCTGCAAAACATCTTGGATAAAGCATAAACAAATTAGAGCTGGCGAATAGTATATGTACTGCAAAGTACATTGTACACGCGTGCACATATACGTATATGTAGGTGCAGCTCGTGTACTTTGGCAAACAACAAGATGCATGAACGAGATAGCTTGAATGTTTTTTTATAGAGCTTGGGGTTCATTGTCTTTTCTGACCGTTTAGATAAGAGTGTTTCATCTTTTTAAAGGTAAAACAGAATGAGAATGACATTTCTTACTACGATAGGGGGTATTCAACACTACAATAGCATATTCAAATCGAATAATGGTAATATTAGAAAGCACTATTCTGTCTATTTCACCTAGCATTTTGATAGCTACTGGCATAGTTTCTTTCTGTAGTGCTTAAAATCTTATTTAATGTATTGTTTATTAATATTGTTTATTACTTTTACTGTGTTACACACGGTACACGCTCAATTATTTGACTCTGAAAGTTCTGGAGAAGAGCTAGAAGATCTTTCTTTCTACACTTCTGAAGCCAATTCTATCTTTGAACCGACTACTCCAAACATACCAACAAGTTTTCTTTTAAATGTTTTAAATTCATTAGCCAAAAATGATACTGATAGTAATAAAAAATGTTAATATGTTAAAAGATGTCGCCCAGACGTTCCTTACTACAAGCGATGTTGCTAATAATTCTATTGTCGCAACAAAAGTAAAGAGCGAACGTAGTAAAAAGGTAGAAAAAGATGTCAAACTCAGTAAAAAAGCTTGGAAATCTGTGAAAAGAGATGAGGATCACATTGAAAAAGGACTACTGAATACACGGAAAGCTACAAAACAAAAGGAGTTGGAGGAAGGTACAGAAGAAATGGGTAGGAAGGCTTTAGCAATATTTCGTCTACTATCGTACTTACAATCATTTTTAACTACAATTTGTTTATGAATTACATAGTATAAACACTACTTTCTTCAGACGATATTGAAGTAGAATCCTCAAACAATCCTCGTCTAAGATCCTTTGCCAACTGGGCCCAAGATAGTTGGAATGGCAAGGATACATTTGAAGTCGACTTGTACACAATTGATGATAATCTACTAATAGGCAATCTTACACTCGGATCTCCACCCACAACTGTCCGTGTAACTTTTGATACAACTACCTTCACCACTTGGGTAACAGGGTATCATTGTGTTTACAATAATGGAGTAACGTGCTTTGCCCAGATGCACAAGTACGACCCTACCTTGTCCTATACAGCAAGGTACTTGAATAGAACAATGGAGCTAGATTACGGAGATGCTACGGCCAAAGGGGAATATGTCCAAGAGCTGATGGTGGTATGTTTTTAGTTGCGATGGAAAGCTGGGTTACTTTTGAATATTATCTTATAATTATAGAAAACTGGATTAGGTGGTACTGTTTTCGTATCACCATTTATGTTATAAAACAGTAAATAACATTTATTTAACAGTTAATATTATTTTAGTTTGGCAACGAAATGTCATCGTCGTTTCCCATGTTTTGTAATATTGGTGTCGCCAACCGGTTGGACACATTTTTCAGAGTAGGTTTAATTTATCTGTTTTACATATTTAGTCTCATACTAATATTATGAAAATATGTTCCTAACTTAATATGTTGGTCATCCACAACACTTTAACTTACAATAATTAATCTTAGGACGTGTTAGCAGATGGTGTTGTTGGCTTGGCCCTGCCATTTAACAATCAAACCGGCTTCATTCAGTTTTTGCCATGCTCAGATATTCAGACAACCGGTGTTTACAGTATGGTTGAACTCAGTACTAAACACGCCAATTGATATTGTAGCAGGTACCATAACTTTTGGAAGAATCGATAAGAGACATTGTACTAAAGTGTTCGGCGTGGCTAAAGTTGGAGGACAACCATTGTGGGGAGTGAAAGTATGTTTACAGTGAATGTATTAAAATATAAATAGTCAATTATTTTTAAGGTCAATTTGCATTAATCAATTAGATTTGTGTTATAAAAGAAAATGTTTATAATAACATTCAATATAGATCAGAAACGTCACCTTAAACGGCTACTTCATTCAAAGAAACATAAATGCCATATTAGACATGAGTAGTTCCCACATTTTTGCGCCTTCTGAAGCCATGGTGAAGATCAGAAAAGTGTTAAAAACAAATGATACTCAAAGAATACCGTGCAAAACGTACTTGAAGATGATATTGCACGTTAATCACACTGAGTTAGTAATGAAGAACGGCAATCTAATGTCAGTAGAAGACAAGAAGAAATACTGTTCTTTAGACGTGAGAGAAAGTGTGTACGATCAAGACGTCTGGATTCTGGGAGCTGTGTTTTTCAGAAGATTCTGCGTGGTTCACAACTACTTGAGTCATTTGGTTGGGTTTGCAGATCACTTGGAATAGAGTATACTATAATACTATGAAGAGCTTTGTGTACTTATTATACTATCTTATTTATTAAAATATTAATCATTTAGAGATTACTATCTGAAACGTTTAAAACTTTTGTGTTTATATGAAATCAGTCATGGAAGAATTGAAAAACACAGTTACATTCTCTGTTGCAACTATACATCTTGTTATCGCCATGTTCTGCTCGACATTTTTGATTACAGTCGTGAAGTTCGCCTTCAATTCCACATTATTTACATTTTACTTTTAAATTGACGCGTACGTAACTACTAAACAACACTTTAAAGTTAGTAATTACTTTACTGTTAAAAGTTTTTTTCTTAACTTACAATCTGCGAAGTTAATAACATCATCAATAACAGAATTTTGATTAATTTGATCAATATCCTCTATTCTCTTTCTATCTACTCCAGTAAATAAACTAATATCATTGTTGTAATTTACATGTTTTGGTGTTTCAGTAGTAGTAATCACAGGTTTTTCTCTAATACTAAATGAGAATACAGTAACCATTAAGTAGGTAATCATAAAGTAGTAGCAAAGCCGGTGGAACATTGCAATCGAAACGGTATTTTAATCGAATTCAAATAACTCTGGGGAATTTAAACTTTTGGTTTGTAGGCGAAATGTTTGCACAAATGACATCCGATTGACATCATGACTAATAAGGTTAATTTTAGCAAACACTCGAAATGTCACAAAGCAGTACTGTAATAGCGTGTGCAACCAGGTTTTACAGTAGAAAGTTGTGTAAAGCAGAAAGATTGACTTGTTATACACCAAACAATTACCATTTGAAAGCAGTTACAAAATGTTATTTTACATTTATATTACATTAGCCCAGTAGTTCATTCTCAATAGATCTCAATTCCTTTTGTACAGATGCCAGTTCAGCTAGTCGAGGTAACAGATTGCTCATCGTATTTCTGGCTTGTTTTACCACCATCGGCTCGAAGATACCAAATGGTGCAAACGGTCGTTCTGATTTACTGGTCGTATTCGTTATTTCAAAAACATCTTCTTTAATGTCGACCCTAAAAGTTGAAACCTATCCAATTTTAAAACTTGTTGTTCACATGTTCAAGAAGATAAATCTAACCTATAGATACAACTTGATGCAAAACCTAACCGACAGCTTTAAAGTTTCATACCCAAAAAAACTAAAATTTACCGTTTTGTAGGCTCAATTTCCCTGTTATCAACGCTTAAGGCACTGGCAGTCGAGAACCCGATGATATTTCTGAAAATAACTCTGTAAAAAACTGAAAATCATATCAACACCAATAGAAAATTAAACACTTACTTTGATTTGGACATAAGCAAACGATATTGATCCAGTCCACCTTCAACTGCTTTCATCAAGTTCATGTAATCGTTCATAAGGTGTATCCTCCTCAAAGCGAGCTGATTCTTGTGTTGAACCGTCATCTGAATAAGGCTTTGCTTACAAACAGTATCATAGCTACACAGAGACGTCGCTACGGTTTTTCTCTTAGGGGGAGTCACCCCGAACCACCCCCCCCCCCCACCCCAAACGACGTCCCTGCAGCTACATATAAATTACACTTATTAATATTTAAATAAAAAGCTCACAAAATCATCTAATTGTAAGTATTTTTTGGCAATTTCACAGGTAGTTATTGGTAGGTAAGCAACCATTAAACATGTAAAGCCCGTCTGAATTAACTTATTGTTTATTCGCTTTGTTAAACATGTTCAACAACTCAAACGGTTTATGTACAGCTACCATCAGTCCGTTCTTGTTCAAGGCAGTGCTCCGGTCTTGGTAGAGTAGAAGTTGTCCTTCCAGATCCATCAGTTTCCCATTGGCCGCTCTCATCAAAGCATCAGCAGCACAGACGTCCCATTTCTTGATGGCCGTCGTGTGCACGTAGAAAGCTGAATTCAAAAAAGATTAGCATAGTAATTAAAAACAGAGTTTTAAGTAAAATAAACCAAGTTAATCCTTAAAAAACATTCAAAACAATTAGCATATTACCGGTACAACGTGTCGACCTTACCTGCTGTTCCATTCAAAACACGTAACGTTTTGTAGCCGGCTCCACCAGCCGGTTCTACCGTATATTCTCCGCCAAATGCACTTTCGGCAATTTCTTTTACTTTTCCAGTATGAGATCTAAATGAGATATATTACTCATGCCAATTAAAACTTTTAAAACGCAACTTTTTCAAAACGGATGTGGAAAACAATAAAAACAAATTAATAGTTCAAAAACCTATGACATACCGAGAAACGACAATTTTCTTGCCAGTTTTGTCTAGAGGAGGTACAGTAATATTATTACCCGCTGAGTCCACAAGCCCGTATCCAGTTAAACCAAATACTGCATGATTGAAGAAAGGTCTGTTTATAGCACCAAAAATAGGTTCTCCGTCCAATGTGATACACGCCATTACGGTAACGTACTCCAAAAGACCTTCTGAAACCAACTTTTTTATAAAAAACGCAAAACATAGACAACTTCCTATATAAAATACACAAAAAAATAATATCCGCAACAACAAGAAGTTGTTACTCTTATAGTATACCACAACACACCATAACCTTCAACTTACCCGTAAATTCTTGAGTAGCATCTAAAGGATCAATCCAAATTCCCAATCTGTTCAGGTCGTACTTTCTTTGAGGCATACTCTTGATGGCATTTCGAATGTTCAACCACAAGTTATAGTTGTCGTCCTTATACTTTTCCACCTCTTTTTCGGAAAGTTCATCTTCTTTCTCTTCAGATACGACCTTAATCAGCGGAAAGCGCTTCAGTAAATCCGATATCAAATGGTTGGATACCAAATCTGCTTTTGTTAACAACTCTGCCTTCCCCACGTCCGTGTTGCCTTTTTCTCTGATATTCAGCTGATTCTCCTCGTAGACTTTCTTCACTGCATTTCCACCCATCTCCACGGCCAAAGCTGCATACCTACAACACGTTTTACGCGTTAAAAGTAAAAATAAAACTTTAAAAATTGATTCAAACTCCGTAAGTAATTTCCTGAACATAAAAAACCAAATTTAAAACATACCCAATAACATCAACAAGATCAACTTCAAATTCAGGCATCTGATCGTCGTACTTGAACCATATCAAGTATATTAAATACACAAAGAACAAGGCAACCAACATGCCAAACGTGTTTCGCACATTTAACCGTATCATCTAAAACAGTATAATTAAATCTTATCAATTACTTTTGTACTACTTTATTTTAAAATTACCTTGCAATTTTCAGACCCGCTCCACATATTGTGTGTCAAACAAAAACTTACTTTGCAATGATCAGATAATCCTTTTATAACGTGGAAACCAGTAGTAACTTATTAGCATCCGCCGCTTTCCCATTTACATCTTGATTGCACGCTATTATTCAGCGATTTTATATTAAAAAAGTAAAAAAATGTAATTTACCGAAAAAATATTCAATATGTCAATTTCTGAATATTTTTTGGTTTTTCCGAAAATCAACAGAAAGGGCGCAGTCTGCTAACACAAAAATAATATTATTGAGGTAAAATATTTTATTTTTTAGCTTGGTTTTGTTTTTTATATCTTTACTCTGCAAATTATATTTGATATTCTATTTAACGTTTTATTTCTTACAAATTTTCAATTTCAAAGTTTTATTTTTTTGCAATTTTAAGTTGATAAACAATGTCAGCCGATACGGAAAATGAAGTCGAGGCTAAGAAAGCCAAACTGGACACAGAAGAGAAAGATGTTGAACACACAGAAGAAGCCAGTGGAACGGAAACCAAGTTAATGGAGCTCCCGAGGAAGAAGTTCTACAGACAAAGAGCTCATGCCAATCCATTATCTGACAGAGAAATGTTTCATCCAGCTACTCCAGAAACGTAAGTTGGTGCCCAAATGTGGCATTTTCTTTGTTTTATTATTTATTCTTAAATTGTTAACGAATTTTTCAAACTTCAGAATGGATTGGAAGGAATTCTTTGGAGAACAATACACTGGAGACGCTTCTAAAGTAGTTAATGCAGATATTGGTTGTGGATACGGCGGGCTATTGTTCAAGCTGTCCGAAGTTTTTCCTGACGAATTTTCAGTTGGCTACGAGATAAGGCACAAAGTAGGTAGATAAATTTTAATTTTGAAATTTAATTTTTAGGTTAGTAAGTACGTTCAAGACAAGATTACTGCCCTAAGACACAATGAACCCGGAAAGTACCAGAATGTGTGTTGTATCAGGACTAATGCCATGAGGTTCTTGTCACATTTCTTCCGAAAGGGTCAGCTCTCAAGGATGTTCTTCTTGTATCCAGATCCACATTTCAAGAAGAGTAAACATAAGTGGAGGATCATCTCGCTTCCTTTGATCTCTGAATACGCCTACTTGATGAAGACTGGCGGTATGTTTCATATATCGTACCTTTAGTAATTATAAAATTTAGTTTTTTAAAATTTCATTATTTTAGGCATGCTCTATACAGTCACTGATGTGCTCCAGTACCACGAATGGGTGTTGGAGAACTTTGCGGCCACGAAGTTGTTTGAGAAGATTCCTGATGAAGAGTTGAAAGAAGATCCTATTTTCCAGTTTATATTCGATTCATCAGAAGAGGGCAAAAAAGTGTCCAGGAATGAAGGCAGCAAATACCACGCCATTTACAGGAGAACCAACTTGGATCCTGCATTTGAACCCAATTTCAACAAGAAAGAGGAAGTGCATTCTGACACTGAAGAAACAGAAGATAAAGCTGAAGAAGCGTCAGCAAACGAAGAAGAGCCGGCCAAGGATAACTAAATTGTTGTAACTGTTACGTTTTGTTTGTTAATAAATAATGTTGTTGAACTCTTAGTAGACGTTGTCACAATTTGTTAAAGCAAGATATTTATTCCACCAAATGATACAGGCGATTAAGCTCGCTTGAGGTTATAATGCACTTGAAAATAAAGCAATGCTGCTACAAAATAATAAATTAGTCAGGTTGAACTCCAGCCTGATTCATGAGGTCGGTGATGCTCTTTTCCAGTTCGTCCACTCGCCTGGACACATCGTCAATTCTCGATATAATCTTGTTAGACATGTTCTCGAACTGGTTTTGTGTGGTTTTCAAAATATTGTGTACCTAAAGCAGTGAAAATCAGTTCAGTAAACTAATTTAATAACGTATTCCGATTATTATTAGGTGATTGCGAAATTATCCCGCCAATTTTTCAAAAATTTTTTTAAAATTCTGGATTGTTCTAGAAATTTCTGTTGTCAACCTATATAAAGAGATGTCCAAGCACTAAAAAATATTGCATGTTCAAGCTTTCTGTTGTTTACGGTGGTTCAAGAAATCAAGGTAAAACATGGTCATGTTAGGGCAATGTTGCTTCGCAACTTCCGTGAGAACGGCAACGCAACAAGAGCGACGAAGGAAATATGCACTGATGTAGGGCCTGTTGTCTCTTACGACACCACAAAAGTTTGTCTCCACATGTTCAAAAACGGTGACTTTGACATGTCCGAAAAGTTCTATATGGTAGACCATCAGCGTTGAAGAAACCCCACCTTCTGAAGCTAATCGAAGAAGACCCCAGACGAACTATTACTCATTTGACTGTAGAGGTTCAATGTGATCCTTCTTCCTTATTAATTAGACTTCAGACCCTTGGAAGATCATGGAAATATGGCCAAGAGGTTCCACATGATTTCAAGTGCGACCAGCTGAAACGCTAAGTGAAAGTTGCACTTATTTGTTGATGTTCCCAAGGACCTTTGCATGATTTGACAATTTGGTTACTGGGGACGAGGAGTGGGTACTGTATATTAATCACACCAAGAAGAAACAATGGTTTGGACGTGGAGAAAAGGGTGGATCAACTCCAAAACCTGGTCTTCACCAACTGGAGGAGGTGACCAGCGTTAGCTGGAACTCAACAAGTATTGTGTACTGGGAAATGGTATCACATAAAACTACGATTCCTGTGGATGTCTACTGTAGAAAAATTAAATCTGTTGCCGCTGCATTTCATGGTAAAAAAGACCGGGTCTTCTTCATTCATGACAATGCTCGCACCTATGTGACAATGTTGACCCAACACAAGCTGAAAAGTTTCGGCTGGACTGAGATGCCAAATGCGCTGTACTCCACTGATGTTGTGCCTTCAGATTATAATATGTTCCACTTTCTTCAAAACCATCTGAATGCAATACGCTTTGACAACCGAGACGACCTCAAGCGATGGTGGACTAACTTTTTCAATTCTAAAACTCCAGGTTTCTACAGAAGTTGAATCCAAATGATGCCGAAGGGATGGCAACAGGTTGTTGATAATAATGACACATATATTTGTTAATTAGTTGTTGTTGTTTTTTTTTAATATTAAATTTTGGTAAAAACAAAAATTGGCGGGATAATTTCGCAATCATCTAATAAAAAACGGTTTAAATTTTAACTTACAAACTCGCTAAGATCATCATTAGTGTTAATGGCGCTTTTATTAACGCCTTCGGTCAAAGTAACGTCGTCTTTGTTGTCGGTCATCTAAAGCAATTAAGAAATGCCAAACACAAGAATGTCAAATTATAGGATGGTTAAATTACCGTGTGAACAAAACAAACAACTAGGGATTATAAAGCTTTATTTGTTATTAAATAAATAATCTACACAAGCAACAGACTATTCCTGTTCTTTTTTGGCTAGCTTCTGGAAGTGTGCCGCAGCTTCAGCGCTTGTGGGAGCTGTTCTCGGAGACGCTAAAGTCGTGTTATTAGTTAATATATTACAAATAGTTATTAGTTAATATATTAAAAAAATAATAATATTAAAAGTTATGTCATTTATAATAGAAAGTAGAACTTACTTCCACCATCTTTCTTTATCAAGTTTCCAAAGAAATTGGCTAGCGGAGAGGGTTGAGCCTGATTAGCCGGGTTGGCTATTGCTTGCGAGTTCGCATCCCTCTTCGGGGACATAGGACTTTCGGAGAGGACCTTGGCAAACCTATGCAAAAAGTTCTGCTCATCTTCGCACTCGACCAGCTTTTCCCTCGCCGAGATTGGTAGTTCTTCTCCAGTCGATTCGAAGGGCTGATCCGCGTCTTTTAGCATTTCTTTTTCGCCTTCCAGTTTGTTCATTGTGTCCCAGCCGGACGGTATGAAGATACTCGTTTCATCCACAATATAAGCCGGTTTGCTAAATGGCACTCCGTACACACGATGAGCAATGTACTTCCTCAACAAAGCAGTGTTGGTTTCTGTCTTTGCAGAAGTATAGAACTGAAAATTGTCAAATAAAAATGACATATAAAAAAGTAAGCCGTCGGAAGTAAACTTGAAAATGTATACAAAATTGTAAGAGTAAATATATGAAAAGCCTATGAAAACTTACCAACGCAGCTCCTCGACTCAGACAAAACTTTCGTAGCTGATAATGTAGTCGTCCTGCATCCTCAGCATTTGATAGCCTTTTCTCATCACATTGAGTCAACACTACAATGACAGCAGCACCACAATTTCGTGTTAAGACGCCTCTTTCAAGCTCCAGAATCTCAGTCCTGAACTCTGTGTTGTCTATGTACATGCTTTCGGCTGGTTCAACGTATTCTTGCCAGAATCTCACTTCTAAATCACATAAAACCAACAATAAAGTTACTTACGAGCTGCTTGTGCCTCCTTTATCTGATCTTCACTGTAATTTTGCTTGATGGTTTCCTCTGCAGTGTTATATAAAGACTCAAGTGATTCGAATATCTTGGAAGGGTTAGACGCTGATGCACAGAGAACGATGATCAACTTTGACAACTGTTTTGGAAAGGCGAACTCAAACAAGACAGTAGATTGTTCTGAACCATCACAGATCCAGACTGGGAGATTCATAGAATCATGAGCACCAAACGGAGCCGTCGAGCTGGTAATCTGGTACGCCTGTCGATTATCTTCATTAGCGTGAACTGTTAAGAAGTTGTATTCGAAAACAGAAGGCACTGGAACGCGATCAATACCAATCATACGCGCTACAAGACTCGACTTTCCACATCCGTTGTTACCTAAATTAAACCGTAAATATTTAAAAATATATAAGCAAATCCATAAGGTGAATAAAATTACCCAGTATGATAGCTCCACCTTCAATAGCTTTGCTCGATTCTGAACTCACATCTTCCAAGATTTGTGTCCTAAAATTAAATATGAATTGAAAAGGACAATAAATTACCAGATCTTCTCCTCTTCTTGTTCAGCCGTTTTCTGAACATTGTGGAACTCGTTCAAAATCATTACGCGTTACTCTAGAAATAAGAGTTGAAAACAAAAACAATTTAAGGCTTGCAACGGAACGCCAAGACCTGATTCACTCTTCGAAAATATAAAAAAGGAGGGTAACCGAGCTCTCAAAAGTAATTCAATCTGTATTAATTTATTCTTCAGTAAACAATGAACAGAAATAATGACAACCGGCTACAGATTACTTTCCTGCCGTCGCTTCGGCCGCTCTTCTCAACGCAGCACGCTTTCCAACCATAGCCGTGAATCCAGATTTAATCGCAGTCACAGAACATTGACTGTTACATACGTTACACTTCAAGAAGAACAATCTCGTATCCTTAGTAAGTTCGGTATCCGAAGACCGGCACGTATGGCATGTAACATATTCCTCTAAAACAAAATCAACATTATTGAGCTACATAAGACACAAAAACAAAGTAAAAGCATTGGTACTTACTAATGTATTTTCTAAGAACAGATTCAAAGTGCTTCTGCTGGAATCGGCCTTTTACAATTAAACATTGATTACCATCGATAGAACCCCTAAAGAATCAATAATTGTACAAAAATATAATTTTCATAAAAAATATGAATCTAAATTGTAAAATAAGTTGAAATTTTAAACTCACGTTGTTCCCAATTCAGCAAGTAAAAAGTTCAGCACGTGTTTGGGCTGTCTTTTAAGAAGACGACAAATCTCAGCAAAATTGGTGAAAGCAGTCTTCTTGGATCCGGCTCTGGCAACTTGAGGAGGCTTCATGACAAACTTCTTCTTCTCTCCAGCAACCATATCAGGGTTCCTTTCTCTCATAATGTCAAAAACAAGATCCAACAACTGCTCATAAGTGTAGTCTGGCCATTCTCCTTTAGCATCAATCAAGTTGCTACGACCTACTCCTGGAGCAACTTCTTCGGCCTAAAATCAAAAAAAAGTAAGCTGATTCGTAAAGCAAAGTACATTTGCAAAGCTACTTTTAAAAAACAAAAATAAACTAACCTGTCCGTCAACATCTTCCAGAAGCTTGGCGTCCTTGGCTTTGGACTTCTTAGCTGGAAGAATAAGCTCTTCAGCTCCGTCAACTTCATTCAAAACAACTTTTGGCTTTTTGGTCTTCTTCTTCTTGCCAGTCAAATCGAGAGCCTAAAGATAATAATAAAAAATACACATTTGACATACCAACTCATCTTCAGCCATATTGAGGTCGTTTTAAACAATAAAAACCCTGAAAAATAAGAAATTATTAAAAAACATAACAAAATTAGAGCATAGTTTAAGTCCAGTCAAATAATTAACTCAATATACCTAAACTAATTTTAATACAATCTCTAAACAAATCTAAAAAAATGTTTTTTATTTTTTACAGAATGATGTAAGATATTTTCTTGGCTTCCTGATTTTCTATAACATTTTCGCGTCGGAACCGAACATTGAATGCTCCGGGGAAAAGACAAGTTTAAGTTTGGTTATTCATCAAAATTAATTTTGCAAAAACAAAGGAACCCTAGCTAATCAAACAATAGAAAAGTACTATATTTTAATGTATATACAGATGATAACTTTTTTATTTGACAAATTTTACATTTGACTTTCAATGAGATGCACTATCGTTTTTGGGCCGCGTGAAGGTTATTTTTAGCTGCGACCTTTGTACTGGATGTTTTTAAAAATACTTTTTGAAACTTCGAATTTTTAAAGTATTAATATTTTCAGAGATAATGGCGGCTGAAACGGAAGATTCTCAGCCATTGTCCGAAAACGATGTAAGTTATTATGTTTAGGTGACAGTTTACAATAATTAATTAAAATTTGATATATATGCCTTGATTTTAACGTTTTAGGAAAATGCATCACCATTGGTGAATTTTGAAACTTTGAGTGAATATGTTACTTGTGTAGTGTCAGTTCTTCTTAACGAACCAAACTCGGAACTAATCTCAGAAGCTTTGGACAATGCCAAAACAGTTTTGGAAAAGTTTATTGCTGATTCTCAAGTACCTATTTTGGCCATCGACAAATGTGTTAGGCGAAGCGACGATGGAACAGAGGAGGTTTCCGTTCTTTATACAGCTTTGATTGAGATGCATTATCGAAAAGATCACGTATCGACTATCATTTTTGTGAAGAAAGGCCAATGTGTGACAACCGACTCTCCAATTCAAGATCAAGTACTTTTGTCTTCGTAAGTTTGAACCTCATGGTAACATCTGTGTTTAGAATGGACAGTGCAGATCCTTATGGATCGACATGTGCCCAAATTGGACGAGTATTGGCCCCGTACTTCAAGTCGATTAACAAGGATAACAGACGTAACGAACGAGAAGGCGACAAGTTGGTACCTGCTGTCGAGAAAGGTCTGAATGAAGTTGAAGTGGCTTTGGTTCATCTGAAGCAGAACATCGAGATTCCAGACGTTGATTTGATTGTGCATCCAAAAGTTCAAGCTATTGTTGACGCGGCTAAAGAAGCTGGACGAAAGCCGGCCGTTTCAGACATTGGAGACGATTTGAACGATGCCAACTTTTTGAACACTCTACAATCCGGTGTTACTCATTGGACCATGGACATTTTGAAGGTTACCAAGATGGACCGGAATCCAGAGTCGGGCACTGCGCTTCAAGAAGTTGCATTTTGGCTGAATCTAGAAGGCGCGTTGAAGAAGATTCAAGCTCAAAGAGAAAGCGACGGTGTTTGTCTGACGATTGACATTCTCAAACATGCCAAGAGATTCCATGCGACAGCTTCGTTCGATGAAAACACACATCTGAAGGAACGAATGACTACAGCTTCCGACTACAACTCGTTCATGAGAGATCTTCCACTGAACGACCTGATGAGTGCTAACAGTTTTGTTGACATTTTGAAGGCGTTGACCAACATCTTTGCTGGTTTGAGGAAGATCAGGAACACTAAATACCCAAATAACCGAGCTTTTGCTTTTCTTCAAGCTTTGTCTAGAGATTCAACTACTCAAATTTTAAAAGTAAGATGTTTTGCTTTTTAGATTTATTATATTTTAGAGTTGAAATAAAACTTTGTTAATTTTTACTTTGTTTTAGGTATTGCAAGCTTATCGCTTATTGAACATTCCACAAGATGAATTCGAAAGTATTTACAAGAAGTGCTTTGAAGTTTTGAGCAAATGGGAGACCGAGTACGAGAAAGTACATCAAATTATGAGGGAACAAAAGAAAAAGGATCCAGAATCTTTGAAGAACCTGTCAGCCATCAAAGGAACAAACCTCCGTCACAAAGTGTTGGAGAAGCGGATTGAGAACATCAAGGAATTCAGAAGACAGCACGAGAGACTGAACAATGTCATCGCTAGAGTAATTCGGGTTTCTAATGCTGGCGGATCTAGTGATGGTAACGATTCTATTCGAGAGATCAATGTCGCTTACGACACCGTGAAGGGAGTTGACTGTTTGGACTTGTCAGTTGAAGGTGACATGAACTGGGCTAGTGCTACTCGTTACTATCATGAGAGGATTGGCAAGGTTGAGGCAGCTTTGGCACAGAAGTTCAGAGAACAATTGGAGTCGTCAAGATCGGCCGAAGAGATGTTCAAGGTGTTTTCTCGCTTCAATCCTTTGTTCTTCAGTAGCAAGATAAAAGGAGAAATGAAGGATTACCAGAACAAGTTGATCGAGAGGGTAAAGGAAGACATTCAAGAGTTGCACAAGGCTTTTGATGATCAAGAGAATATCAGAAATGCCACTGAAGCTTGTGTTAACAATGGAATGCCAGATGTGTCGAGTAGAATCTTGTGGAACAAGCAGATTCTGCGACAATTGGATTGCTGTATGAAGCGTGTTGTTGATGTACTTGGTTCTGAATGGGCATCTCACAGAGAAGGTAAGCAACTTCTTAATTTGTTTTTTTTTTGTATACTTTTTTGATTTGGACATTTATCTTAATTAAAATGTTGTTTTAGGTGTTGAGCTGAAGAAAGAGGATGAACGCTTCCGACAAAAGCTGAACACCGATATTCTACTGGAACAATGGATAAACTTGCTTCAGGACAAGAACATTTCGGCCAATACTAGGATGTTTTTGGTCGATAAGCAACAGAAGGACGGAAAACAGTTGCTGCATCTTAAAGTCAACTTCTCGACTGATCTTTTCGAGTTATGCAAAGGTGTCAGAACGATGAAATCTATGAATTCCAGAGCTCCATTCAAGCTTCTTAATGTAGCCCATCACATTATCAATATCTATCCTTTCGCTATTTCCTTGATTCAATCTGTTCGCAACTACGAGAGTACTAATGCTATGGTAGCTTCACAGCCAGGAGCTGAAATGTTGGTAGCCAACTTCAAGAAGGATCTTCACAAATTGTTTATCGAAGTAAGTTTGGGATAGTTATATCAAGTATGATATGTTTAGATTGCTGGTCAAGTGTGGGATTCATACAAAACAGAAGCTTTGGTGAACAAGGTTGCGGATTCTGTTGTCAACTACCAGGAGAAGGTATACGAGTTGCTTGGAATTCTGTCGAACATTGACAAGGACGTACGACAATTGGACACTTGTCCTTATAATGCCAAGGAAATTGGCAAGATTCTTGGATCAATTCAGAACAACGTTGATCTGCTGTCTTACGGTAGCTTTTCGAATCAAGTGTTTTGGATGGAAAAGTTGGACAAACAGGTTAGTTATAGAGTGTAGATAGCTTTAATAGCTTGAAACCTTATAGATTGAAGAAAAGCTGGCTGCCAGAGTTGAGGACGCCGTTGCTCACTGGGTACGGTACTTGAAGATTAACCCAGAAGACATTGAAGAGCAATGGGAAGGCGAGATCACGCCTATCAAGTTGTCGCTACGTATATCTTCTCAGTGTATGAATGTCAATCCATCTATCGAACATGCTCACGTCAGTTTGACGAACCAACTCTTCCAATGGCACGGTGTAGTCACAAAACAGCCTAGAGTTGTCGCAAACAGGCATCAGGTAGGTATTGATTTAAGGCGTTCACTTGATATTTAATTTGTCTTTAATTAATAAAGTTATTTTTATTTGTATTTTGTAGCCGACGATGAAGCAGAAGCAAGAGAACACAACCTACAAATCGTGTTTGTTGAAAATGCCAAACGGCAAGAAGATTCTGTACGAAGCCTACAAAGTGATTCATGATGTCATGGGAAGAGTGTCTAGCTACGTGAACGAATGGGTTAGATACCAAGTATTGTGGGATCTTCAGGCTGACAAGATCAACGAGAAGGTTGAAAACGATTTGGACAAGTGGATCAAGGTTTTGGTGGAGATTCGCGATATCAGAAAGAAGTTGGACGACACCCAGGCCAAAGGAATGTGTGCCTTCCCGATTCACGTTGATGTCAGCGAAGTTCAAAGCAAAGTACTAAGCAAGTACGAGTTCTGGCAGAAGGAGATTCAACAACGCTTTGTTTCTGTGTTGGGAGATGCTATGATAACATTCTACAACGAGATTTCCAAGATCAGACCAGAGCTGGAAAGCCAATCTTTAGATTCTGTTACTTCGGATGCTATCGCTTTGATTACTACGGTACAGGGATTGAGGAAGAGGATCGACGTTAACGATGCCATTGTTAACAAGTTCAAGTTGGGCGAGCAGATTGTGGTATCTCAACGTCATCAACTACCTCATTCATGGGTTTATGCAGAACACGTGGCTGGAGAATGGAGTGCTTTGTTGGAATTGCTGAACAGAAAGAACACTGCTATTCAGTCTAGAGTAAGTTTGTCGAAAGCTAATCTGTTTTACCTGAGAATTGGTTAAATATTTTTATTATTTCAGGTAGCCAATCTTCAACAACGTATAAAAGAAGAAGACGAGATCGTCGAGAAACATGTTGTTGACGTTCTTAACGAATGGGACAAGTCAAAGCCGACTTACGGAGAAAGAAAGCCAAGAGATGCTCTACAAGTATTGGGATCGTTTGAAGAGAGGTTCTTGAAGGTACGAGAAGACAGAGAGAACATGGTCAGAGCTAAGAATGCCTTGGACATTACCGACAATCTGAGAATTGGAAATCAAGTGTCAAAGCTGGACATTGCTATCGAAGAGCTGAATGATTTGAGAAGTAAGCGGATGGCTTTTATTCAAATTCAATTTTAACGTTTTTTCTATTTATTATATTAATTTAGGTGCTTGGAATGCTTTGAATCCTCTGTACGACCAAATCGAGGAGTTGAAGGAGAAGAGCTGGTTGATTGTTCAGCCAAGAAAGATACGACAAGTCATTGAAGAATTGATGATTTCACTGAAGAAGCTGCCATCACAATTCCGTTCATATGAATCTTATGAACAAACAAAGAGAATGTTAGAAAATTACTCTCGAGTAAGTTGATTTCAAGGTGAAAGTCAACAAAAAACTCAAGAATCAAAAAAATTTTGGAATAAAAATGTCAACAGTTATCTAGAAAAAACATATGTGCAACATATAACAACATGATGCAAAGTTAATCCTTTCAGATGAATCCAATGATCACCGAACTGCGTTCCGAAGCTCTGAAAGACCGCCACTGGGAGAAACTGATCCGCGAGTTGCGTGTGAATTGGAATCTGAACGAACTGACTTTAGGCCAAGTCTGGGAGGCGGATCTGTTGCGACACGAAACGGTCGTACGCCAAATATTACTCGTCGCTCAAGGCGAGTTGGCGTTGGAAGTGTTCCTGAAGCAAGTGAAAGACTTTTGGCAGGGATATGTGGTCGAATTGGTGAACTATCAAAACAAGACGAGTCTTATCAGAGGCTGGGACGATTTGTTCAATAAATTGAAAGAACACATCAATTCTTTGACAGCTATGAAGCTGTCGCCCTACTACAAAGAATTTGAGGAGGATGCCTTGTCGTGGGAAGACCGTCTCAACAAGATCAACTCTCTGTTTGATGTTTGGATTGATGTACAAAGACGCTGGGTATACCTGGAAGGCTTGTTCTCGGGTTCTGCCGACATTGCTACACTTTTGCCAATGGAATCCAGCAAGTTCTCTGGAGTTTCAAACGAGTTCTTGGCTTTGATGAGGAAAGTCAGCGCCAGCCCACGGATTCTGGAAGTCGTTCATTTCCAAGTAAGATCTTTTTATTTTGAAATTTTAAAGACTTTCTGATATTAACATGATGTATAATATTGTTTACAGGGTGTACAAAGACTTTTGGAACGATTGGCTGAGATCTTGGCCAAAATTCAAAAAGCGTTGGGAGAGTACCTGGAAAGAGAACGGTCCTCGTTCCCTCGATTCTACTTTGTTGGTGATGAAGATTTACTTGAAATCATGGGTAATTCTAAGGATATGATGAGGATTCAGAAGCATCTCAAGAAGATGTTTGCTGGCATCATGACAGTCGACTTCAACGAGGAAACTCGACAGATCTTGTCATTGGTGAGCCGAGAAGGAGAGAACGTACAATTGGAGACCCCGGTCGACTTGAACACTCATCCTAGAATTGACGAATGGTTGAGGGAGTTGGAGAATGAAATGAAAAGAACATTGGCCAAACTGTTGCACCGTGCTGTCGACGCCTTCAGTAAATTCGATGTGACTGCGCTTAAGGCTGAAGACTACATGCAGTGGCTGGATACTTACCCGGTAAGATCTTTAACCATTACAATTAAGGTATAATTTTACTTTTTCATATTATATTGTTTTAGGCTCAAGTTGTTTCTATCGCTGCCGACATTTGGTGGTCTACAACAATCGAATCGGTGTTGTCTAGTGGAAAGAAGTTAGACGATGTATTGGGTAATGTTGAAGGTACATTGGCCTTGCTGTCCGAGTCAGTATTGTGTGATCAACCACCAATCAGAAGAAAAAAAATTGAAAATTTGGTAGGTTTTGAAGCTGAATTAGATATTGTTTTAGAGTTGTTGTAAAGGTTTATAAATAAATATTTCAGATTACGGAATTTGTTCACAAACGTGACGTAACCCGTAAACTGGTGAAACTTGGAGTTAGCAACAACACTGACTTCCACTGGCTACAAGTGATGAGATTCTACTTCGACAACAAGCAGATCAACGACCCCACAAAGTGTTGTATCATCAGAATTGCCAACGCTCAATTTTACTACGGATTCGAGTATTTGGGTATCCAAGAGCGGCTGGTTCAAACTCCATTAACTGACAGATGTTTCTTGACCATGACACAAGCTTTGCATTCTCGTTACGGTGGCTCTCCATTTGGTCCCGCTGGTACAGGAAAAACAGAGTCAGTCAAGGCTCTGGGTCATCAGTTGGGTCGATTTGTGTTGGTGTTTAACTGCGACGAAACTTTCGATTTCCAAGTAAGTTTTGCCAAAAGATGTTTGTATACTTTACTTTAGGCTGTTGGTCGTATCTTGGTGGGTCTATGTCAAGTCGGTGCTTGGGGTTGTTTTGACGAGTTCAATCGGCTGGAAGAAAGAATGTTGTCTGCTGTTTCACAACAGATCCAGACTATTCAAGAAGCCGTCAGAGCTGGAGGTCAGATGTCAGTGAACTTGGTCGGAAAGAACTTGAATGTAAATTCTAACATGGCCATATTCATCACGATGAATCCTGGATATTCTGGAAGGTCCAACTTGCCTGACAACTTGAAACAATTGTTCAGATCGTTGGCTATGACACAACCTGACAGAAATCTAATTGCCGAAGTTATGTTATTTTCACAAGGTTTTAGTACCGCGGAGGTTTTGGCCAAGAAGATCGTTCCATTATTCATGTAAGTATCACAACAATGAAGTGTTTGTATGAGTCTTTGATTAAAATAATTAAAAACATTTCAGTTTATGCAAAGAACAGTTGTCCAACCAATCTCACTACGACTTCGGTCTTCGTGCTTTGAAGTACGTGTTGGTATCTGCTGGTAACATAAAACGAGAAGAGCTACAAACTGCAAAGGGAGCTCAAGAAACCGACTCTCAGATTGCCGAACAAAGAATTCTTATTCAATCAGTTTGTGATACATTGATTCCAAAATTGGTCAGTGAAGACATTACGTTGTTGTCTTCTCTGCTTCAAGATGTGTTCCCTGATGTGTCCTACAAACCAAAAGAAAATCAAGCGTAAGTTCATTTTGATGATTTCTCATGTAATGTTTAGCTGAATTTTACAGTTGTTATTTACCTGATTTTTACAAATTGTTCTTATAGATTACGTGGGGAAATCGCCAAAGTTTGCGACAAATTGTTCTTGTCGTATTCTGAAGTCGCTGGACAAAATGGTCACTTGTGGTTGGAGAAGGTGATGCAGCTGTATCAAATCACCAATCTCAATCACGGTTTAATGTTGGTGGGTGCAAGTGGATGTGGTAAGACATTGGCCTGGAAAGTGTTGTTGAAGGCGTTGGAGAACTACGAGAAGGTCGAGGGAGTAGCTCACGTCATCGATGCTAAAGCTATGTCGAAGGATTCGTTGTACGGTGTTTTAGATGCCAATACTCGAGAATGGACAGATGGTTTGTTCACTCACATCATCAGAAAGTAAGTTATTGTAGCTGATTACTGATAATTGTTTAGAATCATCGACAACATTCGAGGAGAGGCTGACAAAAGACAGTGGATCATCTTCGACGGAGACGTGGATCCTGAATGGGTTGAGAATCTGAACTCTGTTCTTGATGACAACAAACTGCTGACGCTGCCAAACGGAGAACGTCTTTCAATCCCACCAAACGTCCGTATCATTTTCGAAGTGTCTGATTTGAAGTATGCTACACTGGCTACGGTATCTCGTTGTGGAATGATTTGGTTCAGTGAGGACGTTGTAACAGCTGATATGCTCTTTGAGAACTACCTTGCTCGTCTCAAGAATCTGCCACTGACAGCTGATGCCAAGAACTCGAACGACGACCTGTTGGCCACATGTACAAGTACTTCTGAACAAAAGGCTTCTGGAGACATGATGCAGGCCAGTATGGCTGGTGGAGCTGTGTCGACGACTGGATTGGAGGCTTCTTCTGCTTCTATGTCTGTGTCGTCGGTATCCTTGTTCACAACATCGGCTACAACTGCACCGTCGAGCAATTCAGTCCAGAATCAGAAGGCCCTTTACATTCAGAACGTCTGTTCACTGGCTTTATCTGATCACTTCAATGCCAATGGATTGATACCTCTGTCTTTGAATTTCTCAATGGAAAACGTGGAGCACATTATGGAAGTGACAAAACAACGCCTTCTGTTGGCCTTCTTCTCTATGATGAACTACTCAGTTAGACAAATCATCAACTACTGTGAATTACATCAAGACTTCCCGTTGCATGATGATCAGGTACAAAGCTATGTCAACAGAGCCATGTTGGTCAACTTGGTTTGGTCGCTGTCTGGAGATGGCAAGTGGAGATGTCGCCAGAAGTTGTCCAACTTTGTCCGTGACTCAACAACAATCATGTTGCCACCAAATGATCAGCAACCGATTATCGACTACGAAGTTGTTATTGAGAACGGTGAGGTGCAGTGGGCACAGTGGGCTAGGAAGGTACCAAAGCTTGAGATCGATGCCAACAGGGTGGCTTCTGGAGATGTTGTTGTACCAACAATGGACACTGTACGTCACGAGCTGTTGCTGAACACGTGGTTGAGTGAAAGAAAACCTTTGGTATTGTGTGGTCCGCCAGGTTCTGGTAAAACAATGACATTGCTGTCAGCTTTAAGGTAGGTATTTAGGAATATATTTTGTACACTAAAGTAAAATTAATTTTCCAATTAATGTTTTGTAGATCTCAGCCGGACATGGATGTTATCAACGTCAACTTCTCGTCATCTACAACTCCTGAGCTTCTTCTGAAGACCTTTGATCATTACTGTGAGTACAGAAGAACACCGAATGGCCTGGTCTTGGCTCCAGTCCAGATTGGCCGATGGCTGGTCATCTTCTGCGATGAAATCAACTTACCAACTCCCGACAAGTACGGTACTCAACGAGTCATCTCTTTCTTGAGGCAACTAGTTTCCCAAAACGGATTCTACCGACCAAGCGACCAGCAATGGATTTCGTTGGAAAGAATCCAGTTCGTTGGTGCTTGTAACCCTCCAACTGATCCAGGACGTCACCCACTCTCGGAACGATTCCTCAGACATGTTCCAGTCGTTTATGTTGATTACCCTGGTCGCTCTTCTCTTGTTCAGATTTACGGTACCTTTATCAGAGCTGTGCTTCGTATCTTCGGACATCTGTTTACATATGCTGAAGCCATCACTGACGCTATGGTCGAAGTTTATTTGAAGTCGCAAGAACGTTTTACTCAAGACGACCAACCTCACTATGTCTACTCACCTCGTGAACTATCAAGATGGGTTCGTGGAATTAGTGAAGCCATCGCTCCTTTGGATACGCTGGAGTTAACTGATTTGATCAGGTTGTGGGCTCATGAAGCTCTACGGTTGTTCCAAGACAGGTTGGTGTACGATGAAGAACGGAAGTGGACAGACGAGCTGGTTGATGAAGTTGCTGGAAAGTACTTTGGCTCAGTCATCAACATCACGGAAACTCTACAAAGACCACTGTTGTACTCGTGCTGGTTGACAAGAAACTACATGCCAGTTACAAGGGAAGAACTTCAGAAGTACGTGGAAGCGAGAATCAGAAACTTCTGCGAAGAAGAGTTGGACGTCAAGTTGGTACTCTTCGACCAGATGTTGGATCACATTTTGAGGATTGACCGAATCTACAGACAGCCTCAGGGACATCTCTTGTTGATTGGTGTTTCTGGAGCTGGGAAGACCACTTTGTCAAGATTCGTGGCTTGGTTGAATGGATTGTCTGTCTTCCAACTGAAGGTAAGCTATGGAAGTTTGACTTGTATATCTTATTTAAGGTCCACTCGAAATACACTGGAGCTGACTTTGACGAAGACATCAGACATGTTCTTCGTCGTGCTGGTTGTAAGGGAGAGAAGATCTGCTTCATCATGGACGAGTCGAACATGTTGGATACTGGATTCTTGGAAAGACTGAACACACTATTGGCCAATGGAGAAGTTCCTGGCCTGTTTGAAGGCGACGAGTTCACAACCTTGATGAACCAAGTCAAGGAGAATGCTCAACGTCAAAACTTGATGTTGGATTCTAATGATGAATTGTACAAGTTCTTCACTAATCAAGTAAGCAGTATATTTAGTTGTATTAATATTGATTTAGGTTATCCGTAATCTGCACGTCGTGTTTACTATGAACCCGTCTGGAGATGGCCTCAAAGAAAGAGCTGCGACTTCACCTGCTTTGTTCAACAGATGCGTATTGAATTGGTTCGGAGATTGGGATAATTCTTCGTTGTACCAAGTTGGTGTTCAGTTGACCCAAACAATTGACATGACTCGACCTGAATATGTTCCACCAATGGCTATGAACCGCTGTTGCGAGTTGGTTTCTGAGCCTATCGAGTACCATCATTCAGTAATTAATGCGTTCGTTCACATCCACAACACCGTCAGAAAGATCAACGAAACAGAAGGCAAGAAGGGACACCAAGTCATGGCTCTGACTCCCAGACACTTCCTCGACTTCATCCAGCACTACATCAGGTTGTTCAAGGAGAAGCGAGAAGAACTCGAGGAAGAACAACGACATCTTGACATTGGATTACAAAAGATCAGCGAGACTGAAGAACAAGTTCAAGAGCTACAGACTTCGTTGACGAGTAAGAGTAAAGACCTCGAGGAGAAGAATCACGCTGCCAACACTAAACTACAACAGATGGTCGAGAATCAGAATAAGGCCGAGAACGAAAAGATATTGTCAGAAAGGTTACGGAAGGAACTAGCGGCAGATTTGGTACAGATCGAAAAGAAGAAGGAAGAAGTCGGTACTGACCTTGCTCAAGTAGAACCAGCTGTGGAGGAAGCCAAACAAGCTGTGAAAGGAATCAAGAAACAACAATTGTCAGAATTGAGAAGTATGCAGTCTCCGCCTGCTGTTGTCAAGTTGGCTTTGGAGTCGATTTGTATTCTGCTGGGAGAAGACCCTAACATTGATTGGAAGGGAATCAGAACAGCTATGGTCAAAGATGATTTCATCCCTCGAATTCTTCAATTCGATTCTGAAAATGTCAGACCAGAAATCTTGGCCGCTGCACAGAAATATGCCAAACATCCAGATTTCCACTTTGAAAAGGTGAGTTTCTTCTAATCTTTTTATCTTTTTAACGATTGAATGTGTACTTGATGTTGTTTTAGGTGAACCGTGCTTCTGTTGCTTGTGGACCAATGGTAAAATGGGTAAAGGCACAGATCTTGTACTCAGACATGCTCGGAAAGGTAGAGCCATTGAGAAATGAGTTGATCAGATTAGAAAATGATGCCAAAACAAAGACCCAGAAGTGCGACGAGTTGGAGAAAGTAATCACAGAATTGGAACAGTCGATCGCTTCGTATAAGGACGAGTACGCCAAACTGATCGCTCAAGCCGAATCCATCAAGTCAGACCTGGCTTTGGTACAAGAAAAGGTTCAACGTTCCATCCAGTTGCTCAAGTCGTTGAGAGCCGAACGCGACAGATGGCAGAACGGATGCGACAACTTCAGTCAGCAGATGGATACGTTAGTTGGAGATGCTGTTGTATCTGCTGCCTTCTTGTCGTATGCTGGTTACTACGATCAACAACTCCGATCAGTGCTTTTCCATCGCTGGATCACCCATTTGGAAGCTGGAGAGATCAAGTACAGAAACGAAATCGCCCGGATTGAGTACTTGTCGACCGTCGACGAACGCTTGGAATGGACCAACAACGGAATGCCAAAGGACGATCTGTGTATGGAGAACTCGATAATGATCAAACGCTTCAACAGGTTCCCTCTGATCATCGACCCGAGTGGGCAAGCCATCGAGTTCATGCAGAAACAGTACGGAGGAAAGGGCAGCAACTTCCAAACTACTTCATTTTTGGATCCAGCCTTTAGGTAGGACTTACTTCTGTGATAAAGTGAAATGATTATTGTTTTAACTTAATTTTTTGTTTTAGAAAGACTTTGGAATCAGCGCTTCGGTTTGGAACGATCCTGTTGGTCAAAGATGTTGAGAACTACGATCCCATCTTGAATCCTGTGCTGAACCGGGAAATCAAACACACAGCTGGTCGAGTTTTGATCACCATTGGAGATCAGGACATTGATTTGTCTCCCGCCTTCAAGGTCTTCTTGGTTACTCGTGATTCTTCGGTAAATTTTTATCTTTGTGTTTTGCTGTTTATATTTTTATTTAATTGTATTAAAAATCTTTTTTTCAGGTCAACTTCCCACCAGATGTTTGTTCTCGAGTTACTTTTGTCAACTTTACCATCACAAGAACTAGCTTGGAAACCCAATGCCTCCACCAAGTACTCAGAAGTGAACGTCCTGACATTGATAAGAAAAGGAACGATCTGCTCAAGTTGCAAGGAGAGTTTGCCGTCCGACTTCGACAGTTGGAGAAGGCGTTGTTGGGAGCCTTGAACGAGTCCAAAGGAAAGATTCTAGACGACAATTCGGTGATCACAACCTTGGAGAAGCTGAAGAGTGAAGCCAGCGAAGTGTCGAGAAAAGCGGCCGAGACTGATGTTGTTATGGCTGAAGTCGAAAAGGTGTCAGCCCAGTATTCCAAGTTGGCATTAAGTTGTTCATTGATCTATTTGAGCTTGTACCATCTCCACGAAGTCCACTTCTTGTACAGATACTCGTTGGACTTCCTTTTGGATATCTTTACGTCGGTTCTTAGCTCTCCAGAGCTTAAAGATGCTAAAGAACCTGCAGCTCGCCTCAACATTATCATCAACAACTTGTTCCAGGTAAGAATTTTTCATGTTTTGTTAAATTCTAAATTATTAAGAGTACGTTTTTGAAAATATCCTTGTAGTTGTCGAGTAAATAAAGGTTTCATTTTTAGGTATCGTACCGCCGTGTGTCGCAAGGAATGTTGCATAACGACAAGTCCATGTTTGCCTTGTTGTTGTTGAGAATCTATTTGAAGTGCTTCAAACACGAAAACGCCTACGAAGCCTACTTTGATCACATTCTTCTGAAGGCCGATCTCTTCACTACAGATGCTTCAAAGAAGACTTTGGAGCAGGCTTCGGCTATTCAGATTCCAGGAGTACATGAAAAGCACGCTCTCTCTTTGCTGGCATTGTCTCAGCTGCCAGACTTTAAGAATATTGTGGACAAGTGTTCTTCTAATAAGGAGCTGGAACAGTTCATGAACGCTGACAAACCGGAACTTGACGTGCCTGTATTGTGGGACGATTCTACACAAGATGGAATCGTGGTTTCTTTCAACGAACTTCTTGTTATCCATGCTCTGAGACCTGACAGATTGCTGGCTTCGCTCCACATTCTCATCTCCACCGTGTTTGGCACTGACTTTATGCAGCAGGACAAGGTCATGGACTTAGGATCCATTCTCGAGACTGAGGTATGTTTGGTTGATTACAACTTTATTTTTAAAGATTACATTCTTTTTTACTGTTAATCTTTTACAGGTGAATTGCAAGACTCCCGTCCTATTGTGTTCCACAACAGGTCACGATGCTTCTGGTCAAGTTGAAGACCTGGCCTTGAATATGAATAAACAAGTGACTTCGATTGCCATCGGTTCAGCCGAAGGTTTCCAACAAGCCGAACAAGCTCTGGAATCTTCAGGAAAGTCAGGAAGATGGATTTTGTTGAAGAACGTGCATCTGGCCCCAACATGGTTGAATCAGATCGAAAAGAGACTTCAGAATCTGAAACCTCATCCACAATTCAGAATTCTAATGACAGCCGAAATCAATCCAAAACTACCAGCCACTATTATTCAGGTAAGACCTCCGTCTCACTTCATATTTTGACTATGTTTTCAGGCTTCTCACGTTCTTGTCTTCGAACCAGCGTCTGGACTAAAGGCCAATTTGTTGAGATCAGTATCTTCAATTCCGGCCGGCAGAATCTCCAAGTCTCCAGCCGAAAGAAGCCGTCTCTACTTCTTGATCTGCTGGTTCCATGCTTTGGTTCAAGAAAGACTTCGCTATCAACCACTTGGCTGGGCTAATTCGTACGAATTCTCGGATTCTGACCTTCGAGTGGCTTGCGACACTCTCGATTTTGCTTTGGATTCCATCGCTCAAAACAGGTCCAATGTGTCGCCAGAAAAGCTGCCATGGTTGGCACTGCGTACATTGCTTTCACAATGTATTTATGGTGGTAAAATCGACAATAAATTTGATCAGGTATGTGTTTTGACTGATGAATTGCTTGGTTGATACTCTTGTAAATTCATTTTAAAATTTTTAGACTTTGCTTGACTGTTTCTTGGACAAATTGTTCACGCCAAAACTTTTTGACCACGATCATGTTTTGATCAACGACATTGATGGCAAAGCATCACGTCTCACTGTTCCTGAAGAAACCAACAAGGACGCCGTTATGGTTTGGATGCATAACATCAAGTCGGCACAGATGCCTAACTGGATTGGCCTTCCAAACAACGCCGAAAAGGTTCTGTTAACAGTCAGAGGACAGGAACTGTTGAGGAACATGCTGAAGATGTCTGATGATGAGTTGGCTTACGCCGATGGAGACGATGACAAGGCTGCCGCCCCATCGTGGCTCGCTCAGTTGTCAGAACTGGCTCAAAGATGGTTGTCATTGTTACCCAAGCAAGTCACCAAATTCAAGAGGACCAAAGAGAACATCAAGGATCCGTTGTTCAGGTTCTTCGAAAGAGAAGTCACCACCGGCAGCAACTTGCTTCAGACAGTTCGTCACGACCTAGAAGACTTGGTAGCTTGTGCCAGAGGGGAACAGAAACAAGACAACCGAATCAGAGCGGTCGCCAACGCTTTGAACAAAGGAGCCGTTCCACAACTATGGACTAGATATACAGTACCATTGTCTGTCACCGCTGCAGAATGGATTAAGGACTTTGAACAGAGAATCGTTCAGTTGGTCAAGTTCAGCGAATCTACTTGTTTGAGGGATGAACCCGTCTGGCTTGGTGGATTATTCTCTCCAGAAGCCTACATCACAGCTACAAGACAATTAATTGCCCAAACCAACGGATGGTCGTTGGAACAGCTCAACATGCATGTATCTGTTGGATCTAATGCTCCAGCTGACAGATTTACAATATCAGGTAAGGTTTCAATATACAACCGATTTCGTATGGCTCTTCTCCATTACTTAATTTAATTTTAAAGGAATGGAAATTGTTGGTGCTGAATGCAAGTCAGGAAACTCCGTCAGCCTTATTGATGATGTTCAAAGCAGCGTCGGAGAACTGCATTTCTCATGGAAACTCGAAAGCAACAAAGTTGAAACTATCAGTTTGCCAGTATACCTGTACTCAAATCGCCGCAACCTGCTTTTCACAATCAATCTACACCCAGAAAACTTTCAGAAGTCATTGCTTTACGAAAGAGGAGTTTGTGTATTCAGTAATGTCACTTTATCTTAATTATTGTTGGTTTTAGCTTTTGCTAAGTTATTGTTCTAATGATAAGTAACACTAATAAAATATTATACGTAAGATAAACTAAATATGAAAATAAATTATTACTGTAAAACTAAACTCAAAAACCACCTAACCCCAAAAAAAAAAAAAGAAAATTTACAACTTTATCCATCCCCTATTCATAGTTAATTTTTTTAAATTCCAACCGAATATTCTAAAACAAAGTATTTAGAGTAAATGTCAGAATAATAACTTAAAACTTCATATAATCCAAAGATATAAAACAAAAACAATTTACCGCCAAACAAATCAACAACTTATATAAAAATAATGTTCTTAAGCGATGGAGCTGGCGTTGGCGGCAATACGGGGCCAGATATCGGCACACTCCTTGGCAACTGGTCCAGTGATAGCACTGCCTTTCATTTCACCTTTGTTATTAACAATTACTCCAGCGTTGTCTTCGAAGTAGATGAAGGTACCGTCTTTCCTTCTGAAGATCTTTCTTTGTCTGATGACCACAGCTTGAAGTACTGAAAACACAAATTTTAACATCAATCAAACTTTTTCAGATAATATAAAGATTTTTCAAACGACAAAACGTGTATTTTTGTCTTTCAAAGCTATAAAATTTTTTTAACTTTTAAAAAATATTTAAAAAGTATCCCAAAAGCTGTTAAAATTACCTTAGAATCCAAAAATAACATAAACTTATACTGTGATATAAACTAGTTGCTAACATATTTTAGCAGTCATCCATATAAAACTTCTAAAAACCAACACAAATAAAAGCGATCACTTACCCTTCTTTCTCAACTCTGGCTTTCCCTTTTTGCACGAGGCAACGAACATGTCTCCAACACCAGCACTTGGAAGTCGGTTCAAGCGACCACGGATTCCGTATACAGCAATGACGAACAAGTTCTTGGCTCCGGTGTTGTCGGCACAGTTGATGACGGCCCCGACTGGCAAACCCAGAGAGATTCTGAATTTGGCTCCGGAAGCTCCTCCACGTCCTCTCTTTGACATTGTGATCTACCCTGGAAACGACAAAAATAACAAAACAATTTTGTTGAAAAATATCGCAAGTCGAGTACAATAACACGAAACCAGGTCTATAAAAAAACATTCATTTAAAACTTCCAAATCTAAACAAAAATCAACATAGATACATCTAAGAACACTACAACCATAAAAATGACACAACGATCAAATACGAATTAAAACCCAGTTATAAATACGAAACAATTTTAATTATTCTTCGAATTTTTAGAAAAAGTAAAAATATTTTGGCCTTTTTCATCAGTGAAACGAAAAGCCAGACGAGAGAGAGATGATACGCAGTGGTTCACGAAAAGGCGGGCGCTTTGAAGCCGAAATAAAGAAAACGTTTTTCGGGATGAAGGAAGACTGTTTCATGTTCTATTTTTAGCTTTTAAATATAAAAAACTAGTGAAAAGACATTAAAAAATTAGGAATAAATTGTTTTAGGTATTTTAAAAGTGTTTTTTGTCATATTTCTTAGAATTTGGAGTAGTAACTCTGGGTTGAAACTGCGAAAATAGGTGAAAATATAGCAATCTTCTTTACGGTTACTATTAGCTTATCAGAAGAGTTACGAGTATTGTTTAAAATGTACTTTATGTCCCTGACATTCAAAATTTGACTTTTATGAATAATATATTTATTATACTCGACAGGAAAATAAAGTGATCTGTATGTACAAACAGATTGAGCAGCTATCACCGGACTCATGAGGAGGAGGAATGGGAGGAAAGGATACTCTATTGATATGATGAATCGTGTTGCATTGTGTGTTTTCGGCGTCGCACCGAATCGACCGAAGTCAGGTCGGAATCGCGGTCGTTGTTGCTTGGCCGTCGCTGAAGTTGGCTTCGCATCAGCTCGGCGAGTGACCCGATCTCTCGTTGGATGTCCGAAAGCTGATGCTCCACCGAAGTCATGCGGACGGCCAGGCCTTCTTGGATGCTGTGGATGTCGTGGATCATTTCGTGTGTGTTGGAGGTGGTCTGAAAGTGATTTGCGAATTTCCAAAAAAATGATTAAATACCAAATAATCTTACACATCCTACCAAAGCATTGAATTTAACTTACCTTGGCTACATCGCCCAACGATACCGAGTTCTCAGCCAGCTTTCTCTGGTCTCTCTTCACTTTACGCAATCTATAATTAGGTATTAAAATTGAAAATAGATAACCTACGCGTAGATTGCTACCAAGAATTTGCGTTGATGGTGTCGTATTTTGTAGGGGTCGATCTTTTCGACCAGTCGACGGTACTTGTAGATCAGCCAGGTCTCTCGCAAAACATTGGCAGCCGCGTGTTTCAACTGAAAATGACATTATTAGACGAAATTACAACTTTATATTACTCTTGGCTCATTGATGTAATTTCATGTTATTGGGTCTAAAATTGTAAATATACAATAAGTTCTTACCTGTTTGGTCAGTTGAGTGTCCATCATGAAGTTATGGACATGTTTCTCTGCTCTAGTCAACTCCAGTTTCCTAGCTATTACAGCAACAACCATTGAAGAGGTACATGTACCCAAGACTCCTGTGATTACGGCCATACCTCGACCACAGTATGTGTTCGGAACAATGTCACCTAAAGCAATACAATTTAAATTGGTATCAAAAAAGTTCATTGGTATCATACTTAGTAGTAGATACTTAGTAGTAGTAGATGAATATACCCAAAGTTATTATGACTTATCCAGAGGTTAACCAAAGTAAAGTTGAATAAACTCACCGTATCCTACGCTCAAGAAAGTGATAGCAATGAACCACAATGAGTTCAGATAGTTCTGATGCTTGAGAGCGTGCATGCTGATGGGAGGATCTCCAGCATGGTGACGTTCGCACTGACGTAGAATCCACGCTACCATTACCCACATGGAGGCAGTGAACACCAGTAGCATCGTACCTAAAATTGAATTTAAAAATGCCGTATTGTATTGAGAATGCACTCGGATCACAAAATATTTCGTTGATGAATCTCTTGATATACGACATATAACCTTGTTCCTTTTTTATTTTGTATAGCAGATAAAACAACATACCTGGACAAATTGTCATCAAAGTCTTCAAAATAAATCTGGAGTTGAAGTTGACACGATTCAACCCAGCTATACTTCTACTAGAAGCATCAGTGAATAATCTACTGTGCAGTAACATCACTCTGAATATCCAGTAGATACGAAAAAACATTGGAATCGACAGAGCGACGTCCAACGACACCCAGGTGGAAGTTACAGTAATCCCATCGCTGTGTACCGTAGTCCAAAGGAAGTCCCAGTTCAATGGCACAGGACATATTGCACATACGACCAGTTCCACCGCTATCTGGAGGCATCGCTCCCACGTCAACGCAATTCTCCAGTCTTCGGCCGAGTTGGCGTTCATGAACAGCTGAAGTGACATCGTAATATTAATATTCTAATTATTTTACGTGACACTATAGATTTAGCGGTAATTGGGTAAAACTTGGTACTATAACATACCTGAACTTCATGTAAGTGAAATTTGATGACCAACAGAACCAAGATCAACGTGCTCAACAAGATGATTGTCTTGAACATGATACTCAAGATGGAATCCTTCTCGTAGACATGGGCGGCTGACAATTCGTTCTCAATCACCATCATAACTGAAACATAAACATAATATTATAGTATTATTTTCACATCATTTTAAAATAACAACGACAATAAAGAACATTTTGAAATTATTTCTTTAAAGGCTGTAAAATTAGCTTTAAATATTTGTGTGCAATAAGAATAGCTGACTTACCAATGCCGATAACAGCGAAAAGTAAAGCATAATCACTGGTAGCCCGTCGTACTTCGTATAAATATTGTCGTTTGATCAGCCTACCACCTCTGAAATCAAATATTTACTGCTGATTTACCTCTTTATCACAGCTACAAGTCGTATAAAATAACTGCGCAAAGGCACACAGGCTGCGTTAATTTAGGACGCAGAATGCCGATTTCAACGTAAAATTAAAATTTCTGAAAAATCGGAGGGAAAAATGGATATGATTTTGAATTACGAAATTACTATTATGATATAAATTATTGTAACTTACTTTTCAGTTTCTTTGACCAACGGTGTTTTGGAATCGTCAGCATTTCTCTGCCCTTCCAGATCGTCGCTCAACACTGACAACGACTTCTTGGACTGTTGTTCACCTGAAAACAACGTAAGTTATACATTTCGCAGTAATTTTATTATTTTACTTTAAATTCATTTTATTTACTGTAGTATTACAGTATTGGCTCTACAATGTTACCTAATTTAGTTTAAAAAAGTGATTTACTTGTTGTCTTACAAGGATTACTTTTTTCGCTCAGTATTTTGCTGTCTTTGAGCCAGTCTAAGGCGTTAGGTCCTAGGATTCTTCTCAGGATGGCTGTTTGTTTGTGAGGATTAAGTAATGTCATCGAACAGCGGCGATGACTGGGACATCCAGATAGACTAGCTGACCCTCCAGCATGTGTATGAATAGAACTCAGAATCCCAGCTTGGTCGTGATGATAGGAAATGGGAAATCCGTTAGTGGAGCCAGTAGGACTGATGCCTTCGAAGCCTTGAGGAAGATGGAGTTGTCGGTTGTTGAAGGCGGATTCACTTTGGCTTCGTTGTTTGGTGATACAGAGATGCCAGCGACTAGGATCTCTTGCTGAGCCGGCTGATAGAAGCATTGAAGGCGGTACAAAGCCATTAGCTTTCAAAGAGCCGGCTCCATTCCCACTAACTGCTCCAGGCACAGGCAATGTGGCAGTCGGACGCCACAATGACGATGAATTCGAGTTACGAAGCGACGAGGCAGAGGAAGAGATGTCGAATTTGATTTTGGAGTTGTTTTCATAGCTCACGCACGAGTGGAGAGGCTCCAGAATACTGGGCCGAGTCACTGCATCCGTGACATCAGACTGAGCTGTGGATGGTGCACGTTGGAAGCCGCGACGTCTGGTGGAGCCTGAAGAACTGAACATCTTGGTGGTGTTTGGGGAGCAGCTCCCCTTCCGCTCCACCGTGGGCGAATGAGAAGTCATTAATCGGCTGGGAGTCCGGGAAAGCCCGCTGTTTTCGTATCGCGGAGATTGAGAACATTGGGAACCTGTGCTCGGGTGTCGCGAATGTGGGAGCAGGGCCGAGGTGGTCAAGGTGGGGCTGGGCGATCGGGAGGAGCATTCTTCGGCGATGGAGTCCTGCTTCAGCATGGAGGCGGCGGTTCGCTCGCGACGTCGCGCCGTCTGCCTGATACCCGACATTGTGGCCAGAAGCTCGGAATCAGGGGAACGCTGCGACGAGTTGGTCGGGGAAAGTTGAGCCGCGCTGAGACCAGTCGGACGGCGAGGTGGCGATGACTGATTCCGCATTCAGTCCATTTAAATAGTGTTCATCTGGAAACTAAGCGCGAATATAGCTAACCGACGGGGATAAACGAGCACGATTTCAGTGTTTTGGGGTAGAGTGTAATGCTTGCTTCGATGCACTCTATTTGCCATTTGATTAGGTCACAACAGACGGCCCAAAACTTTTGTGGTTTAAAGACGGAAAGTAGACGCTTATAAGTAGTCGAATGTGGCTGGTACACTATGCCAAAACGAGAAAGAGAACGTTTTGGCCGGATTTTAAGCACTAATTTGATCGTAAAATGTTAAAAAGATTGACAAAACATCTGCGACACATTATCCAGCTGTAAACTAAATACTCTTACAAAGTATAATCTAGATACGATGTAAAGACTAATGACATATTACACATTGTAAACCAAATGGAAAGGAGTGTTTCTCATTGCATACAGTCATCTAAATCAATATAATCCACTACGTCACCTAATCCGCAAGAATATCAGATATTAATTTACCAACTTAGTACGTACAAACCTAATAAGCACCAATCCTGATCCCGGAAAAAACAAGACGACTCCTCACCGTGGGAAAGTAAAAAGTTCACAGTAGAGATTATGTAACCGAGATGAGTGAGAATAAAGAGTCCCCGGCTGCCCGTTCCGCGCGTGTTAATTGAAAATAGGCCCCGAGGACATGGCCAAGTAACAAAAAGCCGCCCGAATGTGACCGTTCCCGGCAAAACAAATAATTAATCTGTCAGTCAGAACTGGCACAGGTAATGTCGGAAACGGCTTTCGCTCCCCGAAGCCGGATTCAGGTAACTTCTACTGTTTAATAGTCGTTGCCAGGACAACTTGAGGCTTTAATCCCCGTAATTATTTCGGCGTAGTAATCGCCGTACAAAAGATTACCGTATCAGTTACCCAAAGTCATTTGGGGATCTCGAGTGTCGAGCCATGTTGTTGTTGTTGGCTAATCTTATTTGGAAAATGGTAGTTTTTGAAGGTAAATCACATCAAAATGAATTCAAAATAACCTTTTAAACTGTATTTACTCAAGTTATACTAGTCTGTCACTAATTACAGTTTTTTGATAGGTACTGGGTTGTAAACTTATGTTACCTAAACCTGAACCTTTGAAACAAACCCCTAATTCAGCTCTAATAACTATGACAATTACAATTTAAACCCTACTTCTGAACTCATTATGTCACTCAAAGTACAGTAACCGATCTTACCGTTCTCTGGCAGAATCACGACATCAGATTCTTTCCGTGGCCGTCCCAGACTGTCTTTCCGCTTCACAAACTCTCCACAAATGACCTGAGGGGCTATCGGCGGAGTCGCAGTACTGAACTTGGACAAAGCTTCTCGTGCTGAATAACAAAAGCGTTAATAATATTATAGTTAACCGCGTTATCACAAAGTAAATAAATACGACTAACACTAAATAGCCTGCTTTTTGCAATAACCTGCTCGATACAATGGTCTTTGTCTAACAATACTGTAGACTTACCCAGATTCTGATTCCGCTGAAGCGAACCCGGCGAGTTGCTGTTACTGGAGGCGAGAAGTGTCTTGAATCCCGGCATGGTGCCATTTACCCGCATCAAATTAAGTGTAACCTGACCGACGTCGCCATTTGAGTCGAACGAGGATTGGGGCGATCTGCCCCCGAGGTTGGGGGGCCTTGTGCCTCCTGAAGACAAACCTAAACAGTTATTGTTAGCGACATGGGCAACAGACTGTAAGGGCCGAATTTGTAGTTGTGACTGACTGGCACATCTGGAGTACAAGGCCTTGACCGTGGCCCTATGGCCGAACTGGCACTCAGCCGACGCGGAGGTAACTCGTACTCGCGAGGCTCGAGCAGCATCAGCGTGGAGCCAGTACGAAGCTGCTGGAGCGAGTTGGACGTGGATGCCATGTTGTTTTAGGAAGGGCTCCGAGTGTTTTTGACTGCTTTGCTTGCTTTACAATCTTTAAATGAAACAACTACACTTTGGGCACGCGATTACCAAACGCAGTAACAAAGGTTTACACTGGTGTGTTACTACAAGGTAAAATGTAAGTCGTGCAAAGAGTGTAAAAACGGATTAAAAGTAATTTTAATATCTACCGATGTAAAACTCTATTTACGACCTTAAACATGAAAATCTTTCTTAAAAGTTATAAATACTGCTTTTTACTAATCTTAATCCCAAATTAACAATTACATATGGTATTTACAGTAATTGTTATGGTGACTATTGTAAAATGTCATTGTTTGGCTAGCTAATAATAACAATGTCATCGGTAATAAAAGAGTGGTTGAAAATAACAAAAATTTTTAAAAAACAACGAGTAACCCAAAGTAATGGTGCGAAGTACCGTAGCAGTCAAAAAGCACCTGGATTAGGCCCAAAAGTGTTCGGAAATCAGAAGAGCGGCCGATGACGCGGCCGCACTTCTTTAATTCAATCATGGCATCTCTCGACTCTCCGCGCCCTCAGGTCGTAAACTGAACTCAAATTAAAGTCAGAAGCGACTTAATTGCCTCTGGCTGTAACGTCTCCTAACTTATCCCTGACTCACGCGGATTACACTTACCGTCGTTGCCCGAGAAACCGTAGCCTCCGGGCATGGGGCCTTTGCTCGTGTCGCCCGAACAGAACCCCGCTCGTCGCGTTCGTCGCCCGTGATCTCGTCGCACCTTAAAGTAATGTCAAATGTTGTTTTTATTGAAATTTCAAAAAATTTGTTAAAATATTTTTGAATTTTTTTAAATTTAAAAATTTAAATTTTCAAAATTTGAATTTTTGTTTTGTGACATTTCGGCATCGACTTCCGTGACCTGCTCGCAACCTTGAATTTGTGTCATAAATTATGTCAAACGCATGTTTACATTGGCCGTATCTGTTGACATTGTTACCGCATGACTTCCTACCCCATCTACAAACAACCCCCATAACGGAATGTAAGACGAGTTTGTTGCTCTTTCTCGGTCATTAATTCTTCATGAGGTCATAAAAGCATGCCCAAAATAAAAATGCCAAACTCGCCGTGTGAATTGCGCATAACATAAACAACAACAAACAGTAATTCCCATTTTTGGTTCTAAATCGACTGTTTTGGTCAACAAATACAGAGAATTCGCCAATTTCAAAATGCTAAGTGAAGTCATGTTTAGCAGAAAAATCACTAACATTGGCTTCCCTTGCTGCACTACCTCAGTCAGACGTAAGATGTTTTTGTAAACTATACTATAATACCGAAAATGGCACAAAGGGGCTTCTACGCACTATTGGACCACGCCAGTAAACTGCCATAAAAAAGTAAAAAAAAAGTAAATCAAAGGCCGGGAAATCTGTTTCCAATCAAATTGGGCCAAGACGACGGCCAAAAAACACTCCGAACAATACTCAAAATGTCACAAAACGAAATTAGCCGGCTGTCAGCTAATGTCAGATGTATTTTCATCTGAAAATGTCAAATTTCAACAAGCATGCCTCGAGGGCATTCAAATGCAAATTACCTGCTCCTCGATGTTGCTGCACGAGTTGGAGAAGACGGCCTCCTCACAGCTCTTGAGGCGGTCATCGAAGCTCTGGTGGAAGGCGGCTGGCGACAAGGACCACAAGTGCTTCCGGCCTCGGGCGTCGACATCCAGCAGCTGGTCCTGGCCTAAATGAGAATCAGTACAGTCGGGAGCGGAGTCTAGCGAGATCTTGGGCCGCATCATCTTCTTGGCCATGTTTAAGCGCTGGTCATGCTCAACAGAGAGCCATACTGCCCTCGGGGGTTTTGTGCTGGAATCGCTGCAATCCGCCATAGCCGAGATCAAATTAATTCAGGGGGCGCGACAGGAATGGCTGGCCGTAATCGAACACCGCCAAACGAGAAATGACATATGTGATATAGACTGGTCCCACACCCATAAGTGTCCTCAAAGTGCGGCACCGGTGGGAAACGACTGTAAATGGAATGTGTTGACCAGGTTTTATTAGCTTCGTTCCGGGCCCTTTTCGACCTCATAAACCCCCTCAAGGGGAACGGCGTTTCCCGCCCGGAAAAGGAGAGATTAGAGGGATCTCTTACGGATCTCTTGGCCGTCAAGAATGCCGCAAGTGATAGCTGTTTTTCCGACAAATAGGGTTTGAACCCGAAAACAAAATGTGCCACTATATCATCCAGCAATTTATCAATTTGTTTTCGGTGTCAACGACAACAACGTTTCCGTACTCCAGAAAACAAGCCCTAATTGCAGGACGTTTGTTTTTGTAACAGGAAACGACCGCCCCGGCTGTCAGTGGCTGTAATCCCACAATAATCCCCCAGGTAAGGTCGTGCTGATTGGTGATTAATAGCGAGTCTTCTGGAACATCGTAAAAGACATGTGTAGCCGCATAAAAAGATGATGGGTCCCAGATGCCCCACTTATCTTATAGTAGAGGTAAGAGGGACAGGCGTCGACCTGCTGCCCCATCAATCTCCCCGCCCGATCAGCTCCCAACACGCAATTGTTGGGCCGCTTATCTTTTCCTTGGGCTGTTCGAAGTGCCTCTTCTCTCGCCCTCAGGCCGACCGGCCCATTGTTGCGCGACCTCCAAATTGGGCCAAAAAAGAGCTTACTATGTTTGTCTAGTCCAGCCGGCCATGTTTTGCTCGTCTTAGTCTTAATTCGATTAATCTCCTTTAAACGCATATGATCGCTGTCCAACGACCGCTTCGACACTAGCGGACTGGCCTGGTACAGGTCCAAGTCGTTGATTACCCAACTCGATCCGCCGACACAGTTCTCGGGGAGTTCCCTGCAAAGCATATTGTTGTAGTCATAGAGAAGTATACATTAGTTTGAAAAGCGTAATTTATAGTTCAAAAGCCATTATTCAGTTATGAAGCTACAAAACAATTTTGAACACCATAGCAATTTATATGATATTACAAGTAATGTTTTTTTAAGTTTTGATGCATCAAACCCTACAAAAACTAAATTTAGTCCAGAAATAATAAAAACAACTTTTGATTCTGGAGTTTGCGTCACCAGAAGCTGCAAAACAGAAATTTGAGTAAAGTTCATTCTACCGTAGTCCAGCACAACAAGATGTTAACTGTTTTCACTTACTACTACATCAATAACGGCTATCTACTTACATTTCTCACAGTATATGGCCCACGGAAACAGGCCTTGGGCATAGTAAAATCAGATCGGAACTTACGTGGTCTCGCGCCACTGTGCCCAACGGTCGTGCGAGTCGGTGTGAAGGTTGGAGAGGAGCACATATTGGTTAACCTAAAGAAAGAAAGCTGTTTCCGCTAATTTGACACCCGCTTATTATGATACGCTTATTTGGGGGCCTACTTTCAGGGAGGAGTGTCGTTTGGGCCATGGCAGTGACTGGCTAGCCAGCCAGTCCGATGCAGTCTTCTCGTCTGTCATCTTTTCGGTAGCCGCATCTGAAGCCCTTAAAACAATTAAGCCGTGTTAAGGGACGTGTCACGCGCACAGTAAATAATTGGTTTTGGCTAATTCGAAAGAAACCCCTGCCTTTACCTGCCACGTAATCTCATCCCTACGATAATATATTACACTTCAAGACATTTCTAGTTACATTTGCAACCGCTTAACATTAAGATAATTTGTTTACAATAAGCATTTGTGGTAACAATAAGACTTGCAATAAGTAGTAAGGCCCTATTATAGTATTTAAAACTTATAGCGTATTATTTTAAATGACAGTAATCATACTAAATTAGTACTCAAAAGACCCAAACCCATCAAAATAGCATAAACCCATTACGAAAGTCATAAAACTACCTAAAAACCTCTACTACAAGGTCAGAATGGCCCAGAGACGGCTTGAGATGCATCAGATGGACGGCTACGCTCATTGCGCCACATTAAATCGGAACTCTTTGTGTTTACATCCTCGTCCCAAACCCAATACTAACGTGGTTCCTAAGTAAATCACCGGATAAACACAGACGGAAAGTTAATTTGGATTGGCGCCAAAACAGATGATAACAACCCAGGACTACTATGTGCACAATACAACAACACAGCTACGTAGTAATGCCCAGAGTAGTGTATTATATGTAACATACTGCTCATGTTATTGTATCTACCCCTAATTACTGCCATTTAAAGGAATTGTAAGCACATATCTAACTAATCTACATTGTCATAATCACTTAGGCAATGGTATTCAAAACATATCACATAGGTAAGGCAACATAGTAATAGCATTGTATAATAATACCCATGAGTAGGTTTGTCGAGCACCTGTTTACTTCCCCAAAATAAATTGTATTACTACCGACATGATGGTGGTTGTTTCTTTGCTCTCGAATTACTTAATTAGTAGAAGATACGACATACTATGTAATTAATGTAGCAATTTATTCTTTGTTAATAACTTAAAATTATATTATACAAGAGATCACCAAATAGAATAGTTAGTAAGCTAATTACAGTAGGGAGAGGACTGTTTAACAAGTTACAGTAAGACAGTGCAACTCACAAGATTACAGTGATATAGCGATATACTACAGTAATACTTACAGTTACGGTATAAACACTAAATAACTACAGTACTACTTAAATAATTACAGTACCACTTAAATAACTACAGTAATCATAAATAATTACAGTACTCTTAAATACAAGGCATGGAATCAGAAATCCTGGGAATCCGAGAGACTTTTGGGCCGCTGATTTCGTCGTTTGGCCAAGGCAGAGGAATTGACAGGACACAAAGGCATCGCTTGGTTTTTACCCATTACAGCTTTGAAGGTGCGGTCGATGTTCTTCTGAAAATAACATGTCTTGCACAATGTAGTTACATCCAATTCACGTTTTTTACAACTTGTGACAACGTTTAAGCCAAGAAGGTATTGAGATAGTTGTCGTAGTGATTACATAACTCAAGATGTTACTTGAAAGTAATATAAAAAGACTGAACATAACACAATATTACTTATCCGAAAAAATACTCTCTCTTATTACCTAAACCAATTATTCATACACAACTTACTTTCACTTGTTCCACATCCAGTTTGTACTCCAAATCTTTGGTCGGCTGGCCGCCCTGATTGAGCCAAGGATGGATGACAATCTCTTTGGCACTGATCCGCCGTCCTGGATCAACGTGCAGCATTCTCATAACCAGATCCTTGGCCAAGTCCGATATCTTACTCCAATGAGGCCCTGACATGGTGAACTTTCCCTCTCCAACTCTCTGAAGAATCTTCGAAGGCTCGTCCGAGGCGCTTGTGAGGAAAGGCGTTTCTCTGTAACATAACACAATAAATGGCAAAAATAGTTTAAAAACCAACTATTAGACACTATCTTCAATAATATACTGTAAGATAACTACTTACCCGCTCAACATGGCAAAAAGCAGTACTCCCAACGACCACACGTCACAACTCATGTCGTATCCTTGTCGTTTCAACACTTCTGGAGCCACAAACTGGGCAGTGTAACATGGCGTCATAAGCATGCCATTCTCCGATCGTAGCAACTTGGCAAACCCAAAGTCAATTAGTCTGATATCATCAACATTGGTCGAGTCCTTCTTCACAAACATTATATTCTGAGGCTTCAGGTCACGGTGCACTACCTTAAAAGCGTTGAACATAATCATTTTAGGCTTAGAAGTACACATAACTTTATATTAACATAATATGTGTAAAACATAGATAATTCACAAAATAATAGTTTCAATGACATAACGTACCATGTTTCCGTGAAGATACGCTAATACCGTAGCCAATGTCTTCATGATTTCAGCCACCTTCCTCTCGTTCAGCTTGTTGTTGATGATGTGATCCAACAACTCTCCTCCTCTACATAGTTCTTGCACCATATACACATGACTTTCATCTTCGTACACCGCGTACAGGTCGATTATGTTGTTGAAGTGACTATGCCTCAACAGAATGTCAACTTCCTCAACTGGGTTCCGCTTCTGTTTGTCAATGATCTGTAAATAGGTACTGTAACATATAAAATAACTAGTTATGAAAATATTTAAAGTAATCTATTAATAATCAAATAGCTGCAATCTAAAAATAGCTACAGAAGTCAACACAAATACAGTGATATATAAACAAAAACCTCAAAATACAAACATCTTGATCAACAAATATTTTAAAATTCCAATAACCACTACCCTCATCTGCATTATATCAGATCGATTTGCATTGATGAACTTACTTTGACAGCGTACTCGTTGTTAGTGGCCTTCTGAATGCATCGTTTGCAGGAACTGTAAGCTCCCACTCCGATCTGCTCCTTTACTTCGTATTCCTGATGGAAACTTCCTTTCGTGGTCAAAGCCTGGCTGATAATACGGTTCGTTATCTGAGATTCTGGTGCCTTCGTATTCTCACAGTTCTCCTTGTCCAAGATATGTGTAGCAACAAAACTGAAGCCTCTAAACAGTTCGTGAGCTGTCGTAGAAGCTGGGACAGCAGGGGAATCTAGAAATAAGTACATAATATAACCATATTATTAAAGGAATTGCAATACATAACCTTATTTGTCCACAATACAAAATCACCAATAAACCTAAAACAAGATATTAGTTCTTGTAAATCTACAAAAAACTTACCTCTCGCTGACTTCTTTGTGTATTCTGAATCAAAGTAGAAAGTGGCGTCAGAAGTTATTGTGGGCTGGAAGGGAGGTTGGATCTCGCGGTTATACAGCTTTTTCCAGTCGATGGTTTGGAAGAAGTTGTGATTCTTGATGTTCTCCAATCCACTGTTACCGTAGCCCAGCCGATTCTCGGGTACCCGTTTGAAAAGTGCCCTCAGAAGAGATTGTGCTTCTCGACTCAAGAAGGTTGGCATAGCTAATTTTGACCTAAAGCAGATTAAAGAATATATTGTAATAGTACCATTACTTTTCATTGTAAGAGTTATCACTGAAGACAATTGTTAATCAAAAAGTAAACGACATACCTCAGTATCTTTTTCATCGTATCTTGTCTGTCATCTCCTTGGAACGGCAATCGACCAGTCAGCATCTCGAACATCAGAACTCCCAAACTCCACCAATCGGCTACAGCAGTGTGTCCATTCCGATTCACAACTTCTGGAGCCATATATTCGATCGTGCCACAGAAACTGTAAGTTTTGGTTTCAAAATCTAACGATTCTTTGCACAATCCAAAGTCCGTTATATTGACATGACCACATTCGTCCAATAAAATGCTGAAATAAAGGAATCATACACAAAAAACTCATCAAAGAAAATAAATATCAAATAACACAACGGTAATGTTTTGTTACCTATAATGTAAAAAAGTATCGAAAACTTACTTTTCTGGTTTCAGATCTCGATAAACAATGCCAAGACTGTGAAGATGCCCAATAGCTAGTACAAGTTCAGCCAGATAAAACTTGACGTCTTCTTCAGTAAACATGACTTCTTTCGACAATCGAGTGAACAGATCTCCTCCTCGCAAGAAACTCAGAATCAGATACAGTTTTCCTTCGGTTTGAAACGCTAAACTCGGAATAGAAACAAGATATAATAAAACTCACCATAGTGTAGCTGCACGATGAAAGGATGGTTAATTTGTGCTAAAATATTCCGCTCCAATTTGGTTCTGACACGATCATTTACTGAAAATTCAGGAAAGCAAGTTTTAAGTAACAAATTTTAAAATTACCTTTCAAGGTGGCTTTCTTCAACACCTTCATGGCGTACAAAGTCCCAACATTAGAACCACTGGTCTTTCGGCATAAAAATACTTTTCCGAACGATCCTTGGCCAAGAATGTGAAGTAACTCAAACTGTGAGGCATTCGGCCGCTCTGATCCCTCTTCCGTGAAGTCCTTTACTTCGTATTCTGTGTCCAGCTCTTTGATTGTGTCGACTGTAGAGTTTGTATCCAGGGTTCCATTGCCACTATCGTCCAATTCTTCTTCGGCGCCAGAAGAATTTGGCGATTTTGTCTGTTTGTTAGCCTGAAATTTCAATCAAATAACGAAATGTTTGTAAAATCAAGTGTAAAACATCCTTCACAATATTCGATGTCTAAATAAAACTGTGAAACTATTAAAATACATATATATAACATTAATTTAGTCACTTACTCCATAAAAACAAAGGCTCTTCAGTTTGAAACCCATTTTTTAATTTTATTTCAAATAATTTTCAAAAAATAATTTTTAGCGCGAAATCCGGAAGAGCCGGAGGCAAACACAAAAGGCAGCTTTTCAAATTGTATTTTATCTCTGAATGGTAGTGCGATTTGAATAATTACGCTACCGGAAGAGTTCATGACGCAGTTTATAATATTAGACCGACCTTGTTTTAGACTAATTTTGTGAAATCAGATCAATGATAACGTTTGAAAGGTCAATCCTTCTGTTTTATGTGAATTTTTAGAATTAGAAAGGTAAATGTTTAGTTCTCTTATACTTTTTCTCAACTGTAATTATTAAGTCTCAGTTTTAACCAGATTATACTGGTCTGATCCAAAAAATATAATAATAAACATGTCTTATTTAAGGGACAACTCCAAAAACTTTTTGACTAACTTATTAAGACGTTATAACGCGTTACCCTTACTTACCCGTGCCGTGTTCTTGCTGCTGTTCCCAAAACAATTAATTTGTTTGTGTGTTCGGGCAATGGGCGACATCTGAAAACGTTTGAAAACAGTCCGGATCAGCTTCATCGAAGCACACTGACAGAAAACACAAACAGGGGATAATTGAAATACAAAGCCGATTAAACCATTCATAGTTTTATTAAGCACCACATAGTTCACTTTTAACAGATTATTATAATATTGATTACGCTTACTTCTACCATAACATTGGAAGTGATTACAACAACATGGGTTTACAATAGTTGTTACGATACTACTGATAGAGATAGGTACCCAAACTATTATATATCTTACTATAAAAATGTTATAATAAAGGTAAAATAAATACGAAACAGTGCTACAACACCTATCTTACACTTCTGGAGGTCTTCTTCGTGAATTTGTACGGTCGATTGGCCAGTTCTGGAGCCGCGGTATTAAAGTTCTGGGCCAACGGCATCTTCGACACCTGAAAATGGCCAAATTTAAGACTGATGTTATATGAAACAAGCACAAAGTGCACGACGAACATGTTCTAGAAGATACGAACATGTCTGAAAAGGTTCGTTAGCTCTTAAACATTAATCAAAGTGCATTCCAATTCGAATAAAAGATATTAAATTGTAAAAGTCAATGAATTATGCAAAATTCCCTTCTTTTTTACGGCCAAAAGGCGAAAAAAGCCTGCGGGCAATTGAGGGCGCAGTCCGGGTCCAAGTCGAATTCAGAATTCCTTTTTCAGGGATTCTTACACAAATATCGTCTAGAATTACGCCATAAAGCTCATGCACCAGACACAATTAAGTACCGTAAGCTCTGGACAAATATTATACATGAGATACTCTAATATACGATAAAGAATAATGTACAACAATTCTACTGTGATTTCAATGTTATTGTTGATTATACAAATTTATGGAAAAAAATAAAAAGTAGTTAACATTGTCGGTTTTGTCATGATTTTTATCCTTCCTGTTTATTGTAAATTCGTGTAACGGATAAAGAAGTCTGATAAAAAATGGTTCATACCGACAAAAAATACATTACAACAATGAAAACATGATGAGGACGAAATATGAAAAAATTTTTTTTTAGTTTTCAGTCAAGTGTCTTACCCAGAAGTTTGAATTCCTTGTTTCTTTTGTAAAAAGACGGGTGACTACTATTGATTGGTTTTTAGGATTTCGAGCGAACGAAGTGTCACAAAATTATTTTTATTTTTCCTTTAGACTCAAGAAAATTTTGCGCGGCATTGTTTTAGAATTAAACCTTTTTACAATATGTTTCAAGTATATAATGTAATCTTAAATTTTTAATTATAAAACTGTTTTTCATGTTTATATTACTGGCTAAGTCAATTGATTAACTTCAACGAATTTAAACTTGTTGTTTGTAGTACTGTGTGACTCATCTTTATAATATTTTTAGATTTAGTGGGTTAATCATGGGGAGAAAGAGGAACAAGAAACAACTCAATCATAACCAACCGAAGAAGCGGAGACTTTCTGGTGGACAGAAGATTAACCTTGTAGTATTAGATGAGACAAATAGTGACGACGATGTTTATGAAGATGCGGAGCCTGATATGGCACTGCTAGATGATAGCTGTGACAACAATGGGAGTAACAAACAAGGATTTTCTGGCTCTGTTGCTCAGTCAGAAGTCGTTTCTGGAGCTTCAGGAATTGTTACGAAGGAAGAAACCCCCGATTCTGGATGTTATAGTGAAGAAAGGGTGCTTGTTCAAGTTGCATCTACTAGCAAAGTTACTGTTAGGGATGAAAAAAGTAGTTTACAACGAAGTGAGACCGATGTTATCGTGTTGAGCGACGATGAAGAGGAACAACCTTTCTTTGAAGCGATTTCCTATGAGCGTGAAGACGAACAAGTGCTACAGAATAAACCTACATTAGACCAGTCAATATTTGAGAGGATAGAGGAGTACAAGAACAGGTTTCCAAAGGCCTTTGAACATTTTGAATACCAAATTAATCGGCATTTTCTCGACAATGTTCAGGTATGATATGTTTATGCTTTTATTCTTGTTTTAGAAAGATATGACATTCTGGTGGAAGATGGAGGTGCGAAGGAATTTATTGAATGCTATAAAACAAGGCTATCCTGATGCAAATCTTGTTGTAGTTGGGTCTACAGTTAACGGGTGTGGGTCAGTGACTTCAGATATGGATTTGTGTTGTATTATCAAGGATAATGCTGGTTCTGCTTGTTATGAAAGAGTGTAAGGAGACTAATCTATTTACATTTTAAATTTTAGTATTATTTTGCAAACTATTTACGCAAATTGTCTTGTTTTTCAATTTAATTTTTTCAGATTTGCTATGAAATGTCTTCGCAAGATCCAAAAGATGCTGTTCCGAAATAGAAATTATGTTAAGCTGGACAAAGTTCAGGTTATTAATGCAAAGGTGAGTAACTTTCATTGTTTTTAATGCAAATTCTTTCGATCTTACTATAAATGACATTTCAGGTACCAATCCTTCGGATTACCTTCCAATACCCTTACCAAAACTTGGAAGTCGACTTAAATGTGAACAACACAGCTGGAATTAACAACTCTCACTTGTTGCACTATTATTCACGGTACGAGTTTTCTGCCTTATAATTACCTTAAATTTTAGGATTGACGACAGATTACCTTCATTATGTTTATTGGTAAAGCATTGGGCCAAGAGTAATGGGATTGGGGAAGCTATGAATGGGACGTTCAACAGCTACTCGTTGATTCTTCTGTGTATCCACTTCTTGCAGAAGGCTGTGCAACCTCCAATATTACCTAATCTTCAAGAATGTTTTGTCGACAAGTTTAGGTATACAGAGAATGTGGGGGCTTTGATGATGTTCGAAGACTTACCACCGAACTACCCTGACCCAAAACTCAACACAAGCACGGTGGGAGAGTTGTTGATCGCTTTCTTTGATTACTACTCTAAGTTTGACTTTGAAAACTGGGCCATATCAATCAAAAGAGGGGACGTCTTTCCAAGGTAAGGTTTCAAATGATTTGGTTTTGTAGTTTTGCTGTATTTGTAGGCGATTTTTTACGGAAAGTAAACTATTCAATATGTTACAGAAATACTTTGGCTATGAACAATCATAGGTACAAGATGTATATCGAGGAACCATACGATTCCATGAACACGGCTAGATGTGTAACACAAGATGCCAACTTCGAAAAGATAGTTACATGCTTCAGGGAAGGCAGAGAAGCTTTTCTTGGAAAATACCGGCCTAATCTAAAGAGGATCAAAATAGGAAAAATCTTCGGGTGTAGTGATTGATCAGACAACTCTGATCTAAATTGACAATGAAAAGACGTGATTGTTACTGTTATACGTTTGTCTTTCTCTTATATGGTTGTTAAGAACTAACTAAATAAATACACCACACAGAAATTGGCGATATTGTTGTACATTAAAAGGTTTGACCCTTATTATCTTCTTGTCTGATTAATCAAATCTATTTGTAATCACAGACGGACTCGTTATAAGAACTGATACTTTGTAGATGGCTAAGAATGTGAACGATATGAGTTATAAGAAGGTGGATGTCGATGCGTTGGACCCAGATAAGAGAAAGGAAGAATATCAGCCTGATTATCTTTGTCAAGGCCCAGGAAACGGGCCAAACGAAGAAACAGTCAAGAAGCTGCTACAGTCCAGCAAACACCTAGAAGCCCTGAAAGCTGTGTTAGAAGATCCTCCACTGAACTCTAACGATCAGGTAATCATTAACTTATCATAGCCTATTCTACTATTTATATCGTCTCTTCTAGGCACTGAAAAACAAAGTATCTACCCTTGTTCTTAACGTGCTCACAAACTTCAAAACGTCCGAGATCGACGGTGCCGTGAAGACATTGGACTCAGATCAAGTAGCTCTTCTGATAAGATATGTTTACAAAGGAATGGAGCTATTGGTCGATTCTCAGACTAGCCAGATTCTTTGTGCATGGCACGCTCAGCTTTTCAGCGTTGGAGGATACGGTATTATAACTCAGGTATTGACAGCAAGAAACCGGCTTTAATCTCGCAATCTGTATTTGAATTATTTATGTCAATTTGGTATCATAAAACACTAAACTATATTTCGGCTGCTCCAAATACTGTTATAGCTAACTAAAGCTTCAGCTTATACTTGAGCAAATTGTTGATTTCATTTTGAATTCCATAACTGATTTTGCGATATGTAGAAGTAGAAAGACCACACTGGACATTGCCAGGGAGATTAAGTAATGACTTATACTCATTCCAATATCCAACCAGCTTCCATCGTCTTTCAAGTTGAAAAAGAAGACCTAAAAATTATTGTAATGTAACAGTACTAATAAGAGGCATTCTTCTACCATTAGTATTATTTTATATTTAGTGTAATATTATGTTAAATTGATTAACTTACCATAGCCATCATGTCTGAAATCATCATAAGCAGTACACCGAGTCGAGGAAGCTTGTTTTCTTGATTGTGGAGCACAACAGCCAGCCCAAATGCAAGTTGTAATAGAGGAATAGCTACCTTAAGTATTAGAAGGAAGGCCATCAGGAAAGGCGAGAACGTGTTGATGAAGTTCTTGGTGGAAGTCGGGTTGAATCCGTTCAACGAAGCAAGATTTCCCGTTCCGAAGAAGGCTACTTCTATGAGGATGATCAACAACATGGCGCGTTGCCATTCCTGTCGCTGGAAGGGTCCGAGAGTCTTTACATCAACATCGAACAGCCCTTTCTTGGTATTCTTCGTCGTTTGTTCGATACTCAATGTCAAAAATTTGAAGTCGTTGAGGTTGCAGTATTCTAACCTGACGTAGCACAGCAGCAAGGCCATGAACATTAACAAGAAGACACATTCGTATGCCATAGAGAGTAAGCAGTACACCATGAAGGTAGATGACAACCAGCCCACGAATCTATCAATTAAGGTCGTGTTTATCGTGAACGGAAGACAGAATCCAACAAAAAGAAGAGTCCACGATGAGATTCGGCATAACAACGTCTACAAAGGACATAATAATAAAAAATTATATCGTTAACAAATTTACTATGACTAATATGTAAAAACCTTACCAAATAGGGCTCCAGCATGTTGATTCCAGATACCATAAGCAGTAGCAAAGTAATGACATTAAAATTCTTGCGACTGTTTTCGTTTGCATATTGTTTACGGTAGTAATCGACTCCTACAGCGCAGATTATGGGCGATGTTATGACTAGAGAATGTATTGGTATGTTTCCTACAGGAGGTAATAGTGGGAAAATGGCTAGTAAAACACAAGCTCCCGACCAGATTTTTGACCTGAAACAAAAAAGTACTGTAACAATAAATGAAATTTAGAAAATAAAAAGAAACTAACGAAAAACATACCAGATTTTAGGCAGTGACGACATATAATGTGGGAACGGTGCTATGAATAACAACATTAAAGTTACAACTGATCGTTCGTAGAAAGCCGATACGGTAATCACGATGTATACGATGGAAATAGCGAGCGACACAATCATTTGAAGATACATCTGTTTAAAGTCCTTTAAGTGAGTCAATACTTGTTGTAGAGTAAGGCCGTGGCTGTTCCAGATTAATGAAATGACGTAAGTAGGCAGCAAGTAGAAGCAGGCGTGAATGACTGACCATTTGTGTATTATAGATATCAATATTTCTAATACAAAAAATGCTACGAACCACTTGTTTGGTTTAAAGGTTGTCGTATCACGGAAGGCACCCCTGAAAACAGAAATTTAGGTAACAAAATGTCATACTATAGTACTAAAAGTAAATTATTTAAAATAACTACTTACCACCTCATAAAAGTGTACAGTAAGACAATCCAGGTCATGAACAATGTAGCTATAGCCATGCCCAAGGTAGTTCTGTTGTAACGATGAAAGTAGTACAATCCCTCCCTGACTCTAGGTATCCATTCCAGACACACTTGAGAAGCAGCGTCGTATCTTTTGCTCTTGATCAAGGCAGAGACAGTATCATGAACCTTGTTAAGAACAGACGCCTTGAACTGATCGTACTCCTTGAACAGTAGCTTGAAAGAGTTCTCCAGCTTTTCAGTCCTCTTGATTCCGAACTGCTCAACCATCTGCTTCAGATTGGTACATGCGATATTACACTTGAGTTTGGAAGGGAAGTTGAGGAAGTTCAATGGCACAATACCCAAACTATTGACCGGAATGGGTACACCGAGTACTGACGAGATCAAGGGAGTTATGTCAACCTGGTTGATCTCTTCTTTGAGTGGTAGCGAGGTGACTCCATTACCCCATACTACAAAAGGTGTCAGCACTTCATCGTCAGTTCCACTTCCGTGAGATCCCCAGTCTGTCATGCCGTGATCGGCTGTGAAGACGTATGTCGTTCTGCAATTATGAATGTAATTTCAAATTGAAAGACAAATAAGATGGATAACAACATTAACTTACTTTTTGTCAGGGAATATCTTCTCCATCGCTTCGACAACTTCTTTAATGCCTTCATCAACAATTCTGATGTTATCCTTGTACTCTTCTGAATTCGGCTTTTTTCCGTGCCCATTTGTATCCAACCCAAGTAAATGTAAGAAGAAGATTGTCTTGTCGGTATGTATAGCAGAACTATTGGTGTTGAACAAGTTCTAAACAACGCCAAACATTACAAATATCAACCTTAACATAAAATCGGAGCTCAAATCAAAATATAACAGCAATAAAATGCTCAGAAACGTACTTTAATCTTGTCAAAGACCCACTTGTCCAGATACGAAGCATCGTCTCTAGAAAAGTCTTCTTCTTCTGGAGAATACCAGAACGTTTCAGCGTGAGGAATCTTGTCGCCAAACATTGGCACGATATCTGGACTGCCAAACAAGAAAGACTTCTTCGACTGGTTGAATACACTGTCAAAAGCTACTGGATTTTGAGTCCAACCCTTGGTCACAGCACTCACATCTTCGTATATTCCAGCCAACATGGCTACATGACCCGGACGTGATTCTGTGGGCACATGGCTGACCGACACTCCAAACACACACTATAACATACGATTGTTATTCAGTAACATATTATTTTCTTAAAAAGTTTAAAACTTAATTTTTTAATTCATTACTGTAACGCTTACTTTGTTGTTCCTGATAAGAGAGTGAAGGAACGGCGACTTCTGGGGATTCTCGTAGAAAGTTCGTGATCTCAAGCCATCTAAAGCAATACAAATCAAAAGAAAACCTCTTTACCTGCTGAGAACACGACTACTCTTTTAGAGGTCACATCAGACTTAACGAATTCCTGTGATTTGGCCCCAGGAACAATCGGAGAATCGTAGTAGATATCGAAGATAGAGTACACTAACACAAGGTGGACAACAACTCCTAATAGGAAAAACAAAAAACTACCGCTCGGCATAATTACACAGCATTTTATGTGGTTTTTGGGCCAATTTATGCAAAGTTGGCCAATTTTTCTATTTATTTTTTGTTTTGCGGAATGCCACGTTGTCTAATTTACCGCGAAAAGACAATGTTTGAATAAAAAGTTTGGAAAAAATTTAAATTTTTTAGTTTTGTTGTAAATTTATTAGATCTCGGAAAAAGATTTTCTTGTGATTTATATTGTGAAAGCCATAATATTAAAACAGTTTTTTGTCAGTATATAGTTCAATTTGACAAGTTGCAGCTGTTTCCTCCTATTGAGACCAAAATGGAAGTGCCAGAAAAGAAGATCAAGGTGGACTTTTTCAAGGAATTGACATCGTTGCAAGGATTCGAATTCAGAGAAGTTTTAGGATCGCTTACTAATTCAAAGGTACGTTTTTTAAGTTTAAATTAATACAAAAAGTTTTTCTCAGAGTTATGTGTTCCATAATGTCTTTTACCGTCTATATATCGGACTATGTAGATCTATATAATGATTTCAGTCTATTTTCCTTCTTTGCCACAATGTAGAAGAAGATAAACCTGGGGTGTTGTTGTTGAACAAGTTGGCTTTCACTGAAGACGGAGAACAACTGAACGAGTTGATCAAGAACGCGAAAGTCAATCGGTTGAGTGATAATGACATATACGGCAACTTCGAGGTTACCCCGTCAGATAAATTTAACGGTAATTCATAGTTTATTACTCGTTTGGTTTATTGTTAATATGTGATTTGTATTGAAGTTTATTTGTTTTAATATTCATATTTTTAACCATTTTTAAGTGCTCAAGTCTACTTTGATCTACCCGGCGACAGATAGACACATCGACAAGTATCGCCTTCGAACTGTTTGTTACATTACTGAGTCAGCTGATGATTACAAGGAGATTACACTCAAGTTTATCAAGGAAAAGGCGTTTGGATGTGACGTGAGTACTTTAATGTATTTATATTTTTGATAACACAAGATAGAATTGGTTACTATAATGTATACTTTATATTATTTTAGTGGGTGTACAACATTTTGGATGGAAAGAAAGAGCAGGATCAAGTATTGTACAAAGACATGAATCCGGATACCGGCTTTATTTTGTTAAAGGATCTCAAATGGGATGGTAAGACCGTTGAGGAGATGTACTACCAAGCTATCGTGATAAGACGTGATCTCAAGTCTGTCAGGTAAGTGTTCTCCCTAATTAAAAAAGGTTGTCTCAGAATTTGGTTACTTAATATCGTTATTGTATGTAAATTATGTTGTTGTAGAGACCTTACTGACAAAGAACTTCCTCTTTTGACAAATATACTTGAGAGTGCATCAAAAGCTATTCAAGAGCAACATGGTGTGACTCAAGAGAAGTTGTTTGCCTACTTCCATTACCAGCCTAGCTACTACCATCTACATGTTCATTTCCGGTCTACCAGATCTGACACTAACCTCACTAACATTCCCTTGGCGGAAGTTATTAACAACATAAAAATCTGGCCAGACTTTTACCAAAAAGCTTCATTGGGATTCAATATTAAGGAAGGAGAACCCTTGCACCAAATGTATCTCGAAGCAGGACGTCTGTAATCATTGATTTAACCTAGTTTTTAGGTTTGATTAATATTGTTAAAGTTGACTTATTGTTGAGTAAATATTCGTTTATTGGAATGAAGTAACATACTTGAATATCTCTTAAATACAAACCGGACAATATTATAATACATATTAGATCACAGCGATTAAGTACAAATAAGGTGGCTTAACGTGCCCACAAGTACAATGTCAAGCCGAATATTAACAACAGAGCGATGCAGAAGATTGACAACAACACCTTCTTCTGCCTGGCCTTGTTCTGGTAATGCAAAGCCTGTTGGACGTTCGTATGGCCTTGACTGACGTGAATACTGGCATGTTCAACATTAGCCTCGATACTGTCCACCATGTCACCCTGTTCGTGGACGATGCGCGACAAGTCTTTGAAGATCTGGTTAACATCGCTGATGTCCTGCTCCAGCTGGTTCAACGCTTCTTTTCTTTCTCTCAGCTCTGCCAAATTGGCGCGACGTTGTTCTTGGATCTGCATCTGTTGTAGAGGATCCACTCCATGTTGATCTTGGTGGGACAATTCCTCGTCTTCTTGGGTAACCGTACGGATTTGAGCCTTCTCCTTTGTCGCTGCTCTTCTTTGAGCCACTTGAAGACGGTTCAGGACGGTCATATACTCATTGACTAGTCGTTCCCGAGAGACACGGTATTGTCTCTGAAAAATTTTTTGTTAATATGGTGCGAATTATATTCTCTAAACAAAAGAAACATTTTATATCAACATCTTACATGTTCGTTTGACACAGACACCAGTTCTTTCAGTTGAGCACTAGTCCTCTTGGAGAGAACATTACTTCCATGTACAAGATCATTGAGAAGATCGTTCAAATGGTTATCATCGTCAGGTCCTCCAATTCGCTCGACCAAACGTTCCAATTCGGTCACTAAAGACAAAATATTGTAGTAAAACGTAAATCAGAACGCAGCACATGATTTTTAGTGTTACCATACACACAAGAACTAAGGAAAACGTACCATTATTTCCCAAAGATCTGACATTCTCGGTTACCTGCTGCAGCAAGGTGTCAGGAGATGAAAAGCTCATTTCAATGTTTATAACAGTTGATATGAGCTCGACAAATCAATTTCCGAAAATCCGGTTTTATTTTTTCAAAACATTGTGGTAAAGGAAAGTCTTGACACATTGAGTCAAGAGTTACTCTTTTTAGATTAATCTTAAGTTAGCGTAATGCCACAAGTAATTTTACCGCCAATGAATAATATTTGAAATTATTTCATAAATTATTTCATTTTTTGTCGGATTTTATCGTAGACGAGAATATAAACGTGATGGTAAGTGTTAACTAGTAGATTATGTTGTTTTAGTTAAAACGTAGAGCCCCATCAAAGTCTCCGAAGGCAACTCACAATGCCGCAGATGGGAAACGGCCGAATTACAACGGAGAGGTTACTGTAAGTCTTGCAATTTACTTGTAATTGTTGGTTTAGCCATTGAGAACTCGGAATCAGTTAAGTTTTGGAGAAGACAATGATTCTGACGATGAATCCACGGAGATGAGTCGCCGTGAACATGAAGAGATGATGAGGAAGGTCCTGACAAGGCCGTTTCGTGTTCCTATTGATGGATACAAGGGTCAGTTATAAATTTGTATCATTTAATATTAACTTTTGACGTTTCTTATATCGATATTGGTTTAGGAGCTCCAACAAATCGAGCGCTTGGTGTGAGAAGATCAGGAGCTAAGGTATCGCTGTACGATCCTTATGAGGAGAACGCACTAGTTTTGTACATTCCGTCTGAACTTAGTGCCCAAGAAAAGCTTGGCTTGGACAATAAGTTGAGGAAGGTGCATGTTGTAGTAGATCCGAGTCTTTCATCAGTTCTCCGTCCTCATCAACGTGAAGGAGTCAAGTTCATGTATGATTGTGTGACCGGGAAGATTATTGAAGGATATCATGGATGTATTATGGCCGACGAAATGGGTCTTGGGAAGACTTTGCAGTGTATTGCTTTGATGTGGACATTGTTGGTATGTTAAGATCGTTAAAATTGGGTGTCTGAAGTTTGATTTAAAATGGAATCTGTTCTAAACTTTGTCCTTTGATAAAATTGATCTTTTTACTGATTTGGAGTCCGCATTCTAACTTTATCATTGCAAACTTATGATTTATGGCATTTTAGAGACAGAGTCCAGATGCGGGTCCAGAAATCAACAAGGCCGTGGTCGTTTGTCCGAGCAGTTTGGTGAAGAATTGGGACAAGGAGATTGCCAAATGGCTAGGAGGTCGAGTCAATTCGTTACCTATTGACTTCGGGAAGAAAGATGAAATTATCAGACATTTAGGTAATAATTCATTTATGCTTTTGAGTGGAAACTGTTGTATTGATCTTATAACTCGTATTCATATGTTTGATCGCTTCAGAAACCTTCATTAATCAGCTGGGAAAACGTGTGGCTACTCCTGTAATCATCATATCTTATGAGACGTTGAGAGGCTATATTAATATCCTTAACAAACAGGACATTGGACTGGTGATTTGTGACGAGGTAAGTTGTTTTACTTTTTAAATATGTTATCTAAGACATCTTTCAGCACTTTATAACTTGCTTTTAGGGACATCGGTTGAAGAACAGTGACAATCAAACGTACCAAGCTCTGACTAGTTTGCAGTGCACCAAACGAGTCTTGATTTCTGGTACTCCGATTCAGAACGATCTTCTAGAATATTACAGGTAACTAAATTGTTTTCGTCTAAAATGACGTTTTATGCAAATGTATATTATAAAATGGGTTTTTTATACCTAAATGTGTACATTTTATACGTGGGTATTGAATTTTAACATTATTTTATAGCTTGGTCAACTTTGTGAACCCTGGAATGTTGGGAACAGCTCAGGAGTTCAAAAAGAAGTTTGAGAATCCGATTCTGAGAGGTCGAGATGCCAGTGCTACAGAGGATCATCAGAAGGTGGGAGAGGAGAAGCTACAAGAGATGGTAGCTTTGGTCAACAAGTGTATCATCAGAAGAACGTCTGCTTTGCTCACCAAGTATCTGCCTGTAAGACGTTATTTTACTTTATTAACTAACTTTTTTCATAATTTCGCTTTTGTGATTTTTCATACTGTAACTTTCGTGTTTTCAGATAAAATATGAGATCATAATCTGCTCCAAGATGACCAAGTTCCAAGAAAAGTTGTACAAACAGATAATCAGTGGAAAGGGAAAGGATGTCTGCAACGATGCTTCCAAAAATGGTCTTACTGGTACTGCTCTTGCCTTGGTGACGAGTCTGAAGAAGTTGTGCAATCATCCACATCTTATCTATGACAAAGTCATCCAAGGCGAAGTCGGTTTCCAAGGTAAGCTTACTTTATAGGCTTGTTTTGATTTGCAATCTGTTTGAACTATGAGTTTTGATTATATTACATATTGATGGCATGTAGTAACTGATATAGTAATGTAATATACTTGAAGGTTGCAAAGAGATCTACCCCGACCATTACCTGAAGCGACCATTGGATCCAGTTTTCTCGGGCAAGATGCGGATTCTGGATCTGTTGTTGGCAGTGACCAGACACGACACCAATGACAAGTTTGTCGTCGTATCTAACTACACTCAGACGATCGACGCTATTGCTGAGGTAGGTATTAAGCATGAAGTTTTAAAAATTTATGAAGTTAGTATATCAATCAATATTAATTGTTTAAGCTGTGCAATCTTCGCCGATATCAGTACGTTAGACTCGATGGAAGTATGTCAATCAAGCAGAGAGCCAAGATTGTGGAGAAGTTCAACGATCCTATTGTAAGTTTGGTGGTGTTATAGATGCTGCTATGGACCGTTATATTCTGGGTTTTTACTGTTTTTTATTGGCGTATTTTATCAATAGCTATCAATTCTATTATTCAGGCTCCTGAGTTCATTTTCTTACTGTCTTCGAAAGCTGGTGGTTGTGGCTTGAACTTGATTGGAGCCAACCGACTGGTTATGTTTGACCCGGACTGGAATCCAGCCAACGACGACCAAGCGATGGCTAGAGTGTGGAGAGATGGGCAGAAGAAGAACTGCTTCATTTACAGATTACTCGCGGTCAGTGTTATTTCTTAACATATTACTTTTATGAATTTATTTTATTAACACGGAAAAGCTTTTCAAATTATCTCAAAACTGTTTTACTGAACTTTGTTCTAGACCGGCACGATTGAAGAGAAGATCTTCCAACGTCAGACCCACAAGAAGGCCTTATCATCGTGTGTTGTGGACGAGGAAGAGAACGTGGCGAGACATTTCTCCATCGACCAGTTGAAGACCTTGTTCGAGTACAATGACACAGCAGCCAGCGATACTCACGAGAAGATCAAGTGTCAGCGATGTCTCGCAGGCAGGGAGATCGCTGATCCACCTCCAGATTCCGACACCAACTCTGACTTGGCCCACTGGTTCCACGTGGAGAAAGATGCCAGGAAGGTGCCAGATCATGTAGTCAGAAGGATCCACGATCCGGAGACCATCTCGTTCTTGTTCTACCAAAAGTCTCATGAGCAACATCGCCTGAGGGCAGAAGAGAAGCAGGAGAAGGAAGACGAGGACTATAATCCAGAAGAAGAGACTTCAGAAGCTGGGGAGTTTGACGATTAATGTATCATTCTTCGTTCAGATATTATTCTTTTGCTTCACTTACGGGTCATTCGGTATATTGTTATAGAAAGGAATTGCTTAATACACCAAGATACGATGACATTTATATTTTTAGGTATTTGATCTTTTTAATTTCATATTTTTGTTAATATGGTGCTTGTGCTACTTACGTGTGCAATACATACTGTCATGTCCTCTAACCCTTGTTTTGCTACGGCTATTAAATGTGTATACTGTAACTTGTGGTTTTGTTTTAAAGTTTGTTGCTTGCTTCGTATTTCATTATTATAAGTTTATGCTTTGCAAAATATTGCGGTAATTTATTAAATGCAACTGTTTTACAATGTCATATAAGGTGCAGAAAGCTACGAATCTTTTAGTGTCGGCGTTGCTTTTTATGTTTATCTTGATGTTGTGTTACGAAAAAATATAGCTAATTGTGTGATCGTTAGGATATGCTCAATCTAATTTTAGTTATGTTACAGTAATCTTCTTTAGGCGATATTCAAATTCGGGCGTCAGATGGTATCGCAGTGTGAAGTTAATGCGGTTATTTAAGTTTGCGACCTTGACTGACTGAGTTTTGTTCACGATCAGCACGGAAAGGAAACGCGGTTTTGGCGCGTATTTTAACAAAATGGTGGCATTGGGGGCGGTTTTGGCTTTGTAAGTTGTTTTTGAAAGATTGTAAATAATGATTTTACTATTTATATAATGTTAGGTTAACTTAAATCCTTTTTTAGGTCACTGGTAGCTTCAACATCTTCGTATCTTGTCCTCAATACCACGATAGCTAAGCAGACTTCAGAATGCGTGAATGTTAACTGTAACCTCCCGATTGTGAATCTGACTGTATATGATGACAATACCGTCTCTTCTTATCAACTTGTGTCAGTTGAGGGAGAGATTTCAAATCTGGCTGTTCCCGTATCTCACAGTAATGTAAAGGTTAAATTTGATACTACATCCTATGATCGGCGCTACAAACAACTACTTAGATCTTGCGGAACCACTATTACTGTAAGTTTACTGTATGTAGCAGTTCTTATGTTACACTACCTGTCTAGTTGCTGATAAGGTATGATAATTAAGAGAAAATTAAAATATTGTTGGCTGATATAATGACAATTTGATTTTAGAGCAATGTAACGGATTCAGAAGTCACCGTTCCAGTAGCTAAATGTTACACGGTAACTGCAAACGTCGTTCACCGACCGGACTGGGAGCATTTATGGGTAAGACCAAGCTTGAAAATGCAAAAACTTTCTTTACAGAACAGTAAATTGTGGTGGGTGTTACTGCCTACTGTGGTATCACTGGTCGGATTACTCTTGGCTCTTCTTGGTTGCTGGATTCAGAAGCGCAAGGTCAAGTCGTTCAAGGTCTTGTTCGAAGAACATCTGATTCAGACGGCTTCAAGTCAAGCATGAACCTATCTTAATGTAACATATCATTCTACATGATCTCAGCTTTCACCTTGGTACCTTTATTTAATATCTTACATTAATTAGTTTTCATCAATAGTTATTAGTATCTAAAACATTTCTTATTATATTAATCATGATATGTAGTACTATATTATCTATTATTACTTAATCTAATAAATGACAATATTCAATGTATCGTTTTTGTAAAGTAATGTCTTGAATACAACTGGATTACCTGTTATCTTCGTTGAATTATTGTTTTAAGCAACCTATATGAATGGTTTCCTTTTAAAAATTGTTTATGTTATTATTATACATCAGTGATTCTATCGTGTACAAAGTTGGTGGCAAAACAGTTACACTGACAAGCCCTAAAGAACTGATTTAATCCGGTGAAAGTTAATTGTACAGGTCATATGAGAGACGAACAAGTTTCCATTTGACTCTGGCATCTCCTTCTGTTCTTTATTTCGGGTAACTGATGGTCGCGCACTCTTTCTTCTCTCAAACAAACAAAGACCCTAAATCCTGGGGTTTATGGGTTTCCAGCATGTGTAATATCACATTTTTTAACTCGTAATATTCGTGTTACTACTTCACGCGTCTTATTATAAGTGTTTATTGTGTTTTAGGCTTAGTTTTTGATCTAAAACTTGTATTTCCTGTTACAAACCTTTATATTTAGGCCTGAATTCTTGTAAACACATTGACTTTCAACTCTTTTGAACTTTTTGAGACTTGGAGAAGTGAAAATAGGTTCGTCTATCTCAAAACTAGGGTTTCTTCGTAATTTTACATTACTCTGCTCAGTATCTATCTATAATATGATGATGTAGATGTCTATATTCTTATAGATATCACTATAGAGCGTAGTATCCGAACTCCGTATCTCTCTCCTTCCATAATTGAATAGCAATGGCGGAGATGGCTGATTAAGAGCCTCGGCACCTCTGATCCGGCTTTCCCCCTCCCTCCAGCCGGATCAGCCCAAAACTAGTTGTGGGTTCCGCTTTCCTCTGCCGCTTTCCCTTTTCCGACTTCCACGCCCTCCGGGTAACAACCTTTCGACTCCGCCATCCTGAACATGATTTGACGTCGCCGCTTCCAGCCTTTACTACTGCTTTGTTCGGTACTTGACTTCGTTATGTGATTTTTATATTAGGATTACTAGATCTTCTGATTCTGATGTTAAGGATAAGTAAAGTAGGGTTCAGTTGTTATGGGTAGACGAATAGCTTGTTAATAATCGTCTTTTAAGATCGCAGAATTGTTGAAGGCGTATTTTATGCTTGTTTTTGTAGTTAATTACAGAGTTATAAGATTGAGGGAAGGTCTGATAGTCTATTCAAACTATAATTTTGATGAAGATGGTCACTTATTTTGATATAAGTTGATCAAGCTTCTTAGAACTTCTTTTAGGATTCCTAACATTTTGCTAATTCTAAACAAAAAACCTGAAAGGCAATGAAAGTTGGGTTAAAATGTCTTATATAAAATTATTATCTAAAACAATATCTTCTATTTCACCAAAAAAGCCTGAACCTCTAGGTCTAAGTCGTCTAATTGTAAGACTGTTTCATAAACCTGAAGACCACAGCAGCCTATACCTTTCCAAACCAGCTTCTTCCCCCAACTGAGTCGCGACAGCCATGAATTCCAAATGAGGTGGGCGGCTGACCGTCGGTGGGGCTGCGGTGACCGTGCGCGAGGCTCCAGAAGCGGGGTCATGTTGTGAACGCGTTGGCCTGACCTGACGGCTGTTTGCCTCCCCCTCCCCCTCCCTCCCTCCCTGCCCTGCTCCCCCCCCGCGATGGGCCAAGAGTTGAGTTCTCGAGAGGATCCCCCTCCTCCGCTTTCTTTGGATCAAGAGCGAGATCGTCCGCCCCCGAGAAATCCCCTCAGGGGCCGTAGGAGGGAGGACGGGCTTAGGAGACAAGTATATTATTTTAGAGGGATCAGCCTGCTGATTCTCTCCAACCTCATTCTGCCTGCGGGCACGGTCCATGCTCGGGTTTCTGAAATTATTGTCCTTTCGAGGTTGACATCTCTAGGTTAGGATGTGGTTGGACTGCCATTCTTTTTGATGCCTTCATTCCTTAATTTTCTTTTAAACTCTTTTATACCTAAAATATTTCGAATTTTATGACTCAAAGTGGTGGCCTTTGCCTCAGACAAGCCTACTTTGCATATTATACCTACGGATGGTTTGTCATCAGAGTCGTACACTGCGTACTTCTTTTCAGTTCCATACTATCAGATCGGGGTTATGGAATGTAAAGAAGTATGTAGTGTTTTCTGATATTATTACTCGCTTATATTATAACTATTCTTCATTTACTTATAACTGATTATTTAAATTCTTACTATTGAATCGACTTTGTTTACTTGGACACAACTTTACTTCAAAGCTTGCAATGTGAGATACTATACGTACTAAATTATAATTACTAGGCGTATAGCAGTTTTTAACTTTGACCATCGACTACATAATGCTACAAATACTCTTTTTATGTTACATCGCACAACAGAAGACCAGAAGGTAAGTCAGTTTCTATGAATTTAATGTGTTTTAATGGAAGCCTTATGTATGTATAATAGTTGGCTGAACTTTTTACAATTTTTTTTAATAACAACTGAAAATTCATAATTAGACATTAGCCTGGCATATTTTCCGATGTAGACTAACCCGCGACCAGTAGGCTAACCTATAGGCTCATTTTATATTCCCTACTGTATTAAATATTGTTTTAGTTTGTTTTTATAACTTTGGCACATATTTAAAGTTTTTTTTCATAATTTGAGTTTCAGCAATAGGTACTTTTTCCACTTCTAAAGACTAGCCATTTCATAGAAATTTAGGTTTAAATACTTTCCAACACAATAAAAGTAATGGTTCGTCTATCTCTCAGCTCTCAAACCAAAAGAAAGTCGAACATAAACAATATAGAGAATCCTGAGAGTTGGTCTGGTTAACAAGGTTTAGTTTAACTTTACATTAAGCAAAATGAACATAATATTATGCAAAATCACTAAAATAATATGTTAACTATAACCGAGTTTTGACGATTTATAAGAAAGCTTTTTCACAATTGCAGAAACTTAGTTTACAGAATTCGATTATAAATTCATTTCAGGGCATTGTATGTTTCGAAGAGGGATTATGGGAACATGTCGCCGTAAGTGAAGGAATGTCCTTATTTCTTCGCATAATTTATTTTACACTTCAAGGCTTCCGCCATAACTTTGTGTACTTCACAACAGTACTTTCAATTTGGGATATTTACATTGTAACCATTGTTTTACATTTGTTATGGTTACGTTGAGGTTGATGACTTTTTTTCTTGCGTTAAGGACAGGTTTAGGCTGATCCAGTATCTTCTTTGTTGTTGTAATCTTTTAAACATTGATATTTTGATATGTGGTTCTGGTTCTACATTAGCCTAAAACAGAGTTTACATTACAGTGGAACCTGTGTATAAAAAATCGCTAGGGGATTTAAAAGTTGTTCGTTATAAAAAGGTTTCATTATAAAGAGGTTCCACTGTACTTTAAACCATGTACCATTGTTATGTCACAGAAGCTCCTTACCTCCGCAGTAGTGTAATCATAGGATAAAAAGTGTAATGATCGTCATATAAACAGTAACCGTAGTAAAAGAGCCGCTGAACGGCTTCGCCTTACAATTAATCTCGTATTTTAGTTTGGGGAATTAATTGCGTCGCTTTAATTACTCCAGAATCCGGCCGTTTCGTTTGTCAAGAGTTGGTTTATTTTGTTTCAATGAAGCCGTCGGCCCCAGAATCCCTCGCTGCGGGAGGAACCCAAAACACACACTTCACAAACGCAATTCTGGAGTCGGCTTCGGTTCACTTTGGCAGGACAATCAGCCTGCGGCCGTTTCCTTCGAATTTCCCTTTCCGACAGTTCGCCACGATGACCGTTTTTGTGGATGGGTTTACTTTAATTGCCGCTCAGGTGTGTACCACCTTGTAGCCATAGACCGGCGTAATATAAGTTATGTAGAGACCTAAGGGCATGAAATTTGCATAAATGAACTATGATCGAATGTTCGCGACGTTTACGTAGAATAATGTAAAGTGAAATATAAATATCTAAAGTAGTAAACGTCTGGGTACATTTATACACTACTACATGCGATAAGTAATTGTATTCTTGCTTTTTATAAATAGATACCAGCTTCGTATTCAAAAGTACTCGTGCTTTGTCACGTGCTCTCTCAGCATGGTTTAGACATCCTTTAAAATAAAAATAGTATTAAGACACAAAGTTACTATGACCGACATATTAGTAGGTATTGTATTTAAATAGTAACTTACTGCAATATGGGACGTTGTCTATTCTGAAACGTTTTGAATACAAATTTAGGTGACAAGTGACAGCCGGCGGTTTTCGTATATTCAAATGAGTCATTTCGCGGATGTTGCAATTATAGAATAAATATTATTCTTAAACCGATAGCTATGTGTCGAGCACAAAAGTCCTCGGACTAGCTTCCTTATCCTTTTTATAAGTCCAAAATTATATTGTTATAGCTCTTTTGTATAAAAATCTACAAAACAGCGGAATAATGTAAAACATCTGAAACATATCTTCGTATGTTACCAACCTTACTACTATCCTGATTGTGTTACATCTTCTCCTTCTTGGTTCAATAGTAATTGTCTGCCCTCCAGCTGAGATTTGTTTATGCTGTATCGAGTCCGTCGTGACTTGTTGACCTTAGCAACCTGACATTCCCTCAGGCCGAAGAGTGGCGGTCATCTAATTTGGTGACTCAGTCAGCTGTAAAGTGTAGGAGTAACCGCAGGGCTTCATTTAATCTTCTCGGGGATATGTCTGTTACTTATGCCAACAATTCCATTTTATTGTTTTGGCCTCAGGGCCTCTGGAATCCTTCAGAACACGAGTTTGCATCCTTGTTTTAGGCTTGTTTTTAGCGGTCGAGGGTTCCTTCACAATATTTACATCGTTCTGCATACTCAGGATTAAGACGATTACGATATTAATGTAGATTTAGAAGCTTGGAACGACCGTATTAAAGGTTCAAGAGGGCAGAACGGTCCAAGAACGACCTATCCTCTTAAATGTGATAGTAGAATCCAAACAGTTTTGCTTGCACGATGAAACCTGCTTCAGAGTAAAATATATGTTGCCGTTCCAAGCCCGTTCGTCATCGTGTTGCCATAAAAGACGAATGTCGGCATGTTTTTGAGTTCCGCGAATCACGGCTATTAATATTTGAAATTAATGCCCGCAGGCGTTTTTACATCTTTTTCGAATCCATCCAGCCGAGAATGGGAATACAGAATGACTGAGCAGTCTGTAATTGTTCACAAGTCCCTGTTTACTCTGTTATCAACCGGTTGTAATTGGCCTCAGGCACGGCAGACGCCTTGTTTTGCTCAATATTGTTTTTGGATCGCCTGCTAGATCTTCCTTCTATTTTGAACCGAAATTAATGTAAAAAGAGGAGACATGGTCAGATATTCACCTACTTTAAGATTCTGTGTAGATTTGTTTGATAATCATCTTGCTTTTGATACCTACATTAAGTTTTGTGTATTTTTAGATTTAAACCTTGTTTTTGTACTACTATAATATATAATAAGCAGGGACAGGGGAGCGTAAGTCATTTTTTAAAAGGTTCAAAAAGTAATAACTGACATTCCTTTTAAGATTAATCCCAAAGTTCCCAGAATCTAGGATGCACGATGTGTTCAGTCCAAATTAAATCAAATCCTATGCACTTTTTGACTAAACCAGTAACTATTGTTTACTGGTCTTTTAACGACATTAATCTAAAACTTAATTTTCGCGCTTTTTTAAAGTAAAAAATATTTTTAAAAACTTTATCTTTAGGTAATATTTTGTTTATTTTTTGTAAAAACGTCTCAAAATTGAGTTATTTGCAAAATGTCATAAACTTGAGCCTTTAAACTATGTTGTTTTGCACATTTCGAGCATATTATATTAACTTGGCAATAAAATATAGTTTTTTTTGAAATTTCGAGGGTTCTTGACATTGTGTTAAAGGTAAACAATTTGCTTATCTTCAAAGTTACAGCTAGGTTTTGTAAAATATTATTCTGGCCTTTTATTTCTGTTGCATTTTCTGGTTTTATTGTTCATTTTGTAAATTTCGGTATTATTAGGTTGTTCAAATAGTTTTGTGCCCCTAACTCCGAAAATTTGCTTTGAAAGGAGGCCCAGAATGAGTTGAACAACCTAATAAAAATATTTTAAAACCGTTATTAAACCTTGAAATTTAAAAATGTTTGTAATTGATCTTTGAAATTTTACTTGGTCAAAAAGTTTGTATCCATGTCATTTCCCTTACTTTCTGCTCCATTTCGAACGAACCCAATATTTAAGTTGGCCTCACAACTGTCGATAACATTATTTTTTGCAGAAAACTCTAGCAATACTTCTATTTGTCACAATTTATTTTATGTCTCTGCCCGGCTGTCTGGTAACTTTGCTCCGAACGTTAAAAGGTCGATATTCCAATTGGAAACCGAAACAGAATGTTGTGAATGGCTGGCTATTGTCTAACACAACGTGGTGTTGGCATCTCCTTGAAACAGCGTCATCTCCGTCGTGTTATGAGTTTCGGGGAGGGCCGTGCAAACAAAGTGGCTATTTATTTTGCTAATCCTGGGGGGCGGCTGCCTCATGCCCTTTAACGGAATCCATGTTGTTAACAACAAAAATTTTAAGATTGCCGATTTCTGATTCGAGACACGCCTGCCAGCCTCGAAAGCAGGGCCCACTTGCTCGCCCTTCCTGATTTTCTCTTAATTATTTCACCTAATTGATGACATCACACTAACATACCAACATATCCGTTCGAAACTATCCAATCTAGAACAATATATTTTATGGCCCTGCTTTCCGGTGGTCGGCCGACATTCCGTCTACTTTTATTTGGTGTTTTCATATTATATTTTCCAGAGTTTGCGGGTGATTTCGGCACTTTGGGACCTTTTTCCAATAAATATATTAATTTAGATGGCCTAAGCATTCTTTAGTCTTCCAAATCCCAAGTTTTAACCTTAAAATCCCTTTCCACTTGTTATGTTGTTATAGACGTGTACTGTTATTGTAAGCGGAGTTGCGTGATTGATGTCTTTCTGCAGAGATTGTTGCTTGAGGCGCTTAAGTGTGATTGACACAGACATAAACTGATTTGTTCTGAGTGGATTATATGCAGTAGCCGGGGAGTGGATTTGTTTTCGGTATTGGGGCCATGTGAATATATACTTGTACCCCAGGGACTCCATCACTTTGCCCAACTTTTTCTCTCTCGTCCAATTTATTTAGTCATGGCACATCCCCAAAACCCGGAGGGCAGGTTACTCAAGTTCAGTCAGACGAGTAATTGCGAGGTCATACATGTCATCATAGCAACGTTATCATAGACGTTTCTTGTTGAGTTTTAATAGTGTATTGGAGGCTGGAAAGGCGGAGGTTTAGAATGTGATATTATCTATGCAAAGTAGCTATGTCTTTTGCAAATCTCCATTTTTAACTTGCATTTTGTGTTTGTTTACATGCTCTATGTAAAGTTTCGCGTGAATTATCTTTTCTTTAAATTTGTTTTGAAAAATTAATGCCGTTTTAATTTTAAAATGGAAATTTTTAACTTTAAATCTCAATTTTTTAATTCGAAACTCAATAAAACTTACAGTAACCTAGTTGCAGGACCGTGACCTTCACATCAGTTGGCATGGTCGAATTGGCAATCACTTGAAGAGCCTGAAATGCGATCTGTCGCTTTCATTCCGACCTTGTTCCTCTTGTTGTTCATCTACAGCGACTCTCTCCAAACAGATCTCTCGGCTCCAATCTTCCCACTTTACAGTGCCCTCTTCTTACCACCCTCCAACATCAGCGGTAAACTATTATTATGCTCCTGAAATACTTTTTATTTTTATAACGTTTATATTAACCATGTCAGAGTTCTTTCCAAAGTTTTCGTTTTTTTCTTCTAAGAAGTAGAATTTATAAAAGAATGTGTGAAAGATTACTTTATGTTTCAGAAGAAGATGATCATCGAGAATACCTCGCCACCATGGAGTCCATCAGGCCAATTCTGGACGTTGCCATGTTCGATGCCTACCGATATTACCTACAAGGCTGGGCCCCAGGGCCTGAGGAATGGCTCCATATTAAGGAGGCTCCAATCAAAGGATGTGACGATCAAAAAGAGGCCGCCTGGGCGACATTAGCGGCTTATCAGTGGACTAATGGGTCAGGGGTGAGTAGCCATATTTGATATTGTTTTAGATATCTGAAACAGATTTTCAAACAAAAATGAGTGCAAGTACTTTGTTTCCAGCTAGATCTTGCCTTTGGTCCGGCTTGTGATTACGTATTGGCCAGTGTTGGTCGAATCCTTGGTTTCTTCAAGGTCCCGATGTTCACCAACGCCGGATTCAGCGAATATTTCAATCAGAAGAGCGACTTCCCAGTCACCAGGGTTGGTCCTCTACAAGTAAGTCTCCCAATTTGGCCATTTCTTCTGCAAACAAACAATAATTAGGGGAAAATACTATTTTTTGTCCGGCTTCTAAAAATAGGTCATTTGAAAGACAGAATTCTGGGAAATACGTCACTTAAATGGCGGTATTCCAAGAAATATGTCATTGGGATGACTGATTTCTAAGAAATAGGTCATAGGGTTGACAGGATTCTAAGAAATATGACATAAAAATGACGAAATTCCAAGAAATACGTCATTTAAATGACGGTTTTTCTAGAATTTTTGCTTTCAATGACCGAATATATGGAAAATGAAATTATCTACAGATTTTTGTAATAACATGTTCAGGATCACATCGTCCGGCTATTTGGGCAATTGGCCAATCAGTTTGAGTGGAAGAGGCCATCGTTCCTCTACGAAAAGAGCTTCTGGGAATCTGAATTCTTGGAAGGTGGATTCTGCAAGATTCTTGGAAATGTATGTTAATATAAAAGGGCATAACGCCAGAAATAATATTAGCTTTAGTTTAAGTTTATAGGCAATGTTTTAAAATTGATGTTTAGGAATTTAAATTTGTGTTATCTCTTTCTTGTACACCAATATATTGGCCAATATGTTATGTTAGGTGTTTGGGTAAGACAATATATAGGTCAATGTTTTGGATAATCTTTACATTTCACCATGTCATTTTAAAATCTTCGGAAAATAATCTTTTTGTTATGGAAGGTGAATCACTTGAGAGATTTGCAATAAAACGCTTTTATATCTCTTCCAAGTGTAACATCGAGACAGATGGCGGCCGAGAAGGTGAAATGTTACCCAATTTCGCAGATATTATTGTTTTATGTCAACTCGAATAACAATCTAAGATTTTAAAAGCTTTAAAAAGAAATTCATAATGTAGAACAATATATTGCTTTTGAATAATTAAGAACATCTAAACCAATGAAATCTAAAGCAACATCAAGCAAATAATGTAAAACAACAAAATTACATTTGCATTGTAGGGCATGTACGCTTACACAGTGGAGAGAAGATGGAATTTGACGATAAAAGCGCAATTGTTGGAGCCGGCTGAAGAACAACATTATAGTAGAGAGCACTACAAACAGCTCCTGATGGAGAACATTGGCAACAACTTCGGAGGTAAGGGAAGAGTTGAATCAGGGTTAATTCGGATACTTTTCGAATTTATTTCCGCTGTTTTTGGGGGAGAGGAGATCTTTTTCTTCAGAGAGGATATATATGTTAACATACATGCTCTACTGGCCGGTAGAACATTTATGTTGCGTTTTCTGTTGATGTGTTGTTAAAACTTAAAAGTTTATCTTTTTAAAATGATTTTTAACATTTTTTATCATTACGATTGAAGCTTTACCTCATTTCTTATGTTTTACAGCAATATTTACATTGCTGTAAATGTGTTTTACTCTGATCTTCGGCCGTCTCTAAATGCCAATCTCCAGATATAATACCTCTATAATATTATTAGAAGCTTTATTATGACCATAATATCCCCACAACAGTATCTTAACATAACAATATCTGTAATAGCAGCTATTTCAACATGTTATTACTACCTCATCTTACTATGGCTTTGCCTGCAGAATGAAACGCTCACAAGAACACATGTAATTATGTCGATCATTAAAATACCAGGCTTTAAAGTACTAACTAACCTAATATACTGTGGTATGTTTGGTGCCAAGTATCACAGTTAAGTACTGCAAGATATATCATGAGTCTTACCTTAGTGTGGCTTATAACCTACTACTCATACCTCGTAGTGTTGTTCCGAACCCCTCATATCTCGAAATGTTCGCGCAACTTTGTTCACAATTGGCAGCCACTTTGAATTGATTGGAGCCAGCCGGTTGCTCCGAGGGGCGACTGACGTCAAAATCCGGAGTTAACAGGTTCTCTTGGTGTGATTCCATTGGCCAGAGTTAATCCACGAGAAAGCGAAGCCGACCGGCCCCACTCTCGGCATTATGAAGCCGGTTGCGTGTCCTTTTGTCCCACCTATTACAAGTTATTATTAAAACTGAATTAAACATTCGGTCGCACCTTTTTATGCTAATTATTCCCTGGGGGGACGAGGCCGGAGAAGTTATCTGAAGTGTCGAGTTTGTAAATTGAGTCTCTATTAGGTTGGGCCGAAAAAACGCGGCTTCTAAAACTTTTTACGGTACGATTTGGGCTTGCAACTTTACACTTGGGATGACACTCTGTAGGAGGGCGGGGTGAAGTTTTAGCCCTAACCTTAGCTTCTCGTGGGGTAGGGAAGGTTTTCTGATTTTAAGGCTGATTTTTTAAACTGCTTTAAGGTTAGATTTTGTGAAAAGGTTAATTTTTTGAGCAAGACTTATTGAAAAAACTTTTTTTTCTTCAAAATTCGACCAAAACTAAGATGAGTTTTGTTTTTTGAAAATTACCCCTGCCCCCATCTGAAGCACGGCCCGACCTTATCGTGGTATGCACGCAGGTAGAGGTAATTACTTGGCCATACTCATTTCGTGCTCGAGAGATGTAATTGCCTCTCTCGAGGCCAAAGCCGATCTTCTCCATGACTATAGACAATGTTTATTTGTTTGTTGTGGTTTAGACAACTCATCGCGGCGATGAGTCGTGGGCTTTGGGCGACGAAAGCGCGGTTTCCTAAAATAAGCCACCGGCCTTGCGGCACTCTTACCTGGATTAGATCTAATCTCTTTAGCTGTTTTCGGCCCTGAGGAGGAAGACCTTGGCCAAGGTGCCATCGGGCCCTCAGGGGCAAAACGAAGCGTGGATTGTGAATTTGTGGGGAGCAGAAGTGTCGTTCTCTTCTCCTCTCGTTTCTTAATTTATTGTTGCCATAAAGTCGTTTAGATCGTTGCTTAATGTAGAGAGTTCGGCTATGCCAAATGTCAGATGTTTGGCTGTCTGATGGTTGTCGCTTCACGCATCGTATGCTTCTGATTCTATGGATGCTCATGTTGGTCATGCAACTGTTGGCTGTTGGGACTGAGTCGTTGGCTACAAAACATACTCAACGTAGTCGTTCTGGGTCTACAAAGAACGGTACTCAACCTCTACAGCGCCGTACTCAACATACACAGAGTCGTACTCAACTTTCACACAATTATGTCGAGCCAGCAAAGCATGCTCAACCTTTGAACGGTGATACTCACTATTCACAGCATTATACTGAAATTAGACGTGCTCAACCCCCACGTACTCAACTCCCTCACCGGCATATCCAACATACTCACGTGTCGCTTCAACGTCGCCATCTTGAAGCGCATGACAGTGCACACTCGAGAGGTCGGAAGAAGATTGAAGTGTCTCCGGCACGACCCATCTACCTTCTCTTTCCGTTGCCCGTCGTCCAGAACAAGGCCCTCAACCCGTTTGGCATTACTATCGACTTGGCTCAGCCCGTGGTCGATATCGCGGTAGAGGAGGTGTATCGACGACAGATCGTGCAACCAGGCTCGCTACACATACATTTCGAGGACTCACGACTCTCCGACGCTCACGGTCCGAATGTAGCCATTAATCATCTGGTGAACAATGAGCTGGACTGCATTATAGGTAGGTTAATATGGGTTTGTAGACATTTTGGGTAGGGTAATATTGTGTTTTACATTTTATTTGTGATGAAAAAATGTTTATGGGGACAGAAGTAATGTCAAAATTCAGTTTTTTAGTTAGAAACGAAGAATTGTTCGATTAGGTACTAAATTGGTCAGAAAGTAAGTAGAAAAGGTGTTATAATATGGCAATATTACAAAAAGTATAAACTTCTTTGACATTTCAAATACGTTTATAATGAATTTTGGCCATTCAAACTACAAATTGGCTCTTTATGACCTTGTGATACCTCCAGAAGCTGATGATTTTAATGTCATATTAAGGTTCCTTTCCTCTTTATATTGCTACACAGCCCTTTCCTTGTCCGTTCGAGGCCACGTAGCGGAAATTGACAAAATTGTTTTGGATTAAGTTTGTTTATGGTTAATAATTAATGTGGATTTCGAGTTGGATTAGGAGTTTCAGAACAAGATACGATACTTGGTGTGTGGTAACAGAGTACTTCTGCTTGTAGATTCATACCCAATTTCGTATTAATTTATAATGTCGTGTGGGTAAGATATTCGCAAGAGATTAATGATGTTATCCACTAATCTAGGCCACATTACTTTGTTGAAATTTCAAAAATTTAAAAAGAAATAGTTGGGTCAAAAAGTAGATAGAACACATCAAAGACTTACTGAGCGGGATTCTAGGAACTTTTCGACCAATTTTGAGTTGTTTATTTTTTACAACTTTACATTGCGACAAAATTAATGGACTTAATACAATATTAACCACGTTTTATCTCTAAACCTATAGTATTTTAGGCTATGGATTTGTCTATGCTTTGGCACCAGTGGCTCGGATGTCACCGTACTGGCACGATGCTGACAGTGACGGCATTCCTGTCATCACATCGACCGGTCTCACCTCAAACCTCGACAACCGTAACGAGTACGCTCTGATGACCAGGATCTCGTCGCCGTACAAAGTAGTACGGAACTGCGTGATGAAGTTGTTCTTCCAGATGAACTGGCGCAACTCGTTCTACCTCTTCCACGAGAGTCGCCACAACAACAATGACATCTCGATTCCATACGGCGAATGTTACCTTCTGATGACGTCGATTCACGTTGAGTTGAGTGTGCTGTTCCCCAACGACCACAACTACTTTATGTTCAACGAGAACAGGATGAGCAAGGACGAGATCGAGGAGAAGCTCAAGTACGCCAGCATGACCAGCAGTGGTAAGGTTAAGGGAGCACGGTGACGGTCACGGTTACGCTTTCGAGTTTATTTTTGTATTCCAACGTCCGAGAGATGCAGGGTTTTTAGTATTCAGGGAGCTTCTGGAGTCTCATTCAAAGGTTTTATTATTCTGGAGTTTTACTCCAATGTTTGCATATGATTACGGCCATCTCTACTGAGTAAGGCCTCACGTTGGGTTGTCTTGCATCAAATCATGCATAGCTAAGTCTGCTTCGTTTTGTTTTTCCTTTGCTTTGATTTAAACTCTAAAGCAGTACTACGAGATTAGCTTAACATTCTACTTGGTACAACAACTATATGAAGTAAAAGTTACTTCATATAGTTGTTGTACTTGTGGTATGTTCAGCTAATCTCATTGGTACTGGGGTATTTTGTTAAATTGATATTAGTGGAGGGGTATTAGTAAAATGTATTCTTGTATTGTTATTGTACCAAGTGGTAGTCAGAAGGCACGTTATGTTGTAGTCGATGCTACTATCATCGAATAACTTCAAGCCGCTTTCTGAAAATGTAAACTAGACTGTGTTTGTGCGTCTGCAAAGCGGATTACTCGCATTATTTGTATTCAAATTGAGCAGGATTCAATATTTGAATGAGTATACAATCCCGAATGCAATTTACAGCACGCAATTCATGCTCGAATCTGTTCGGCCGAAATGTGGCAGTTCTATTAGGTTAGGCCGCGCATTACGATTAGGTTAATTATGTTTTTTATTTAATCGCCACACTTTAATGGCTAGCCGGCTGTCAGAAAGAAACTGTACTTTAAAGGCGATTCGGTTGGCATTCAGCGGTCAAAAAGTGCGTGGAACCGGCTTGTGTTGGGTCTTTGGCTTTGTATATATTATAATAAGGCCGTGCACTTCCAGAACTGTCACGTGTTTGATTTACCGTAGAGATTTACAGAGTAGACTTGTCGTCGTCGGGCACGGGCGGCCCTAACTTTGTTGTTTTGAGCCGGAAATATTTGTTTAGTGATTTTTCTATTTACCCTCGGGCCCTGAGCGTGATCGGAATCGAAAATAGCCTGAGGGAATTCTGCCGGCGGAAGCCTGGAGGATATGGAGGGCTTGGTTTGTTACCAATGAACTGGAAAAGGCCCTGTCGGCTGGCGGGAAAAGAGAAAAGACCGGTATTGAGGGGGAAGGTCCCCCGTCCCTTCTCTCCTCGCCGTTCACTTCGATCGGCAAGAATCTGATTGTTCGGGCCTTTTTGGTCTTGTAATATCGGCGTTTTGTAGCGGGCCTTGTGATATGTAATGTATCGCACGAGACAACTTGTTTTTGGCTCTTTAATGAGCTTTTGAGGCCGGTTAATAGGGAGCCTGGAAGCTGTTTGCAAAGTCTTGAAGCCTTTAATAAAGAGAGGGGGAGCGGGTGAGTGTTGTGATAGAGGGTATTATTTCAAAGGAATTTTGAGGATTTTTGGGGTTTTTCTTGAACTGGCAGGAACGGTGTGATAGTCTGGGGTAAGCGTTAAACATTTTTAAACAAAAATTATTAGAAAAGTTGATTCTTGAAGTAGCAAAAACGAAAGTCCCGGGGAAGCGTTTTGATCTCTAATAAATCTTTTTGCAGACAAAATAAAATGTTTTTTGAAGCGATGGCTGTTGGTTTGTGAGAAAGGTTAAATAGTTTTGAGACTTGTTATGTTTGGAAAAACTCTCAAAGCCGGTAACAACCTTGAAGCCGACGAGTCTTGGAGCTGTTTTACAGATTTTGGAAGTAATTTTGTGTGTTTTTGGTCGAATTAAGCTGTTTTGAAGGCAGGTTTTAAAGTTTTCCGAGCAAAAGCGATGGGTTTGTTAAGGTAGTTTCAAGCTAGCTGTTTGTTTGAAGCGGTTTGTTTGTCTTTGGCTATGATCTGGTGGCGGTTTTGCACGAAAGATTTCCCTTCAAAGAATGACTCGAAACCCCTAAACCCGGAGGCAAAAATAATGTAAACCGAGATTAGGAGGGGCTGTTGTGCTTAATCTAATTGTTAAGCAGTAGTAATAGACTTAAGTTGGGGAGTGCACCTTGAAACCATATTGTTTTGGGATGCGGGGTGGGCCTCAAACCCTTTTTATTTGAATTCTTGGCCCGAGTGCTGTTCCATTTTTGGCGCCTTTGGTTTTTGTGGACTGCAAATTATGCCGCGGGCATCTCCGTGTACCGGCCCTGAGGCTAAAGGTTGGGGAGAAGCGGGTAATAAAGGCCCATACCGTAGTAGTAGGTTTAATTTAGGGATCTCGGGACATAAGACAATTAAGCCAGACCGCCTCAGGGCCGCACCCTGCCGGTACGTGTTTGCGTAAGAAGGGGGAAATTGAAAAAATAATTCTGTGGCACTGTTTAGGGATGCAAAAGTCTTCCAGATTCCACCGGCTCGATCCCGTTAACGTGCGGCGCCATTCTTCTGTCCCGGTTTGTGGCCATTTTTCTTTTTTTCCACCCCAAATTCTTCCGTATTTTTTGTTTTGGCGCGGTTCCGTCACTTTTCTGTGGCTCCGGGGGTGGAAGGCTCCAACCGTTTTGTCAGCGGAAAGTAGACTAAGGATGTCCTGGCCACACCGCTGCCGGCCACAATCTCCATTCGGAATATAAGGCATAGACGTTTGCCCATATTATAACTAATGCAAGTTAAATAAATGATTGTCGACCCGTTCCCGCTTCATTTCCTGTCCCTGCCCCTTTCTAATTAGACGTTTTTGGGCGAGTTTGCTTTTGTTTGTGGAAGGTGCAACTCTGGGCATATTAGAGCGGGCCAAGAATAACACGCCTCCCTCCCCACCTGGCTGGCTCGCTCCAGATTTTATCAGATGAGGCAGCGACCTGAGTTTTACCATTTCGAGTTCCCGTGTCTCCTCTCGCCGTGCGTTTCGTCGAGACTTATTGTTTTGTTTTCCGGTGTTTTAACGAACAGCAGCAGCAACCCTGGGTTCCTGTTGTCGTAGCCTGGAGCCACAACTAAGGGAGACTGCCTTTGCCACTCCGACACCATCAGACTCTTCTGGAATCGGGTCGCGGGCGACCATCGCCCCACCCGCTCTTCTACAACCAATGGTCACGTAGAAGCCGTCTACCTTCTCCCCTCAGGTTCATGTACTTTCCAGTGGTCGGTGGGTTCTGCCGACCGTGCCTCCTCCTTCTCCTCTTCTTCTACATAGTTCGACCGGTCGACCCCCAACTCTACACGACCCGGTCGCTCGTCAGGGCAGGAAGAACATGGCCCTTCGACGTGCTCGTCGTTCTGCCCGAGAAAGAGTCCGAGAACGACAAATTCGGCCTCACCATCGACAAAGCCCGACCGGTCATAGAGATCGCGGTGGAAGATGTGGTTCGGATGGGGATTCAGCCTCAGAATTGGGTCAAGCTCGACTACAAGGACTCCAGGTTCTGGGAAGACCCCACCTTAGCCGAACGACACGCTGCCACCGCCGTGATCAACGCACATTGTGCTGGTCGATTGGATGCGGTAATTGGGTTTGCTGATGAGTATTCATTAGCTACAGTAGCCAAGATCTCAGCCGGCTTCAACAAAGGCATTCCCATCATCACAACCACCGGTCTCAACTCGGCCCTCGGGGCCAAAAAGAGTTTTCCCTTTCTGTCGCGGATTCAGGGATCGTACCAGCAGATGGCCGACTCCATCTATCAGCTGATCGCCTACCACGGTGTAGACGCCAACTCGACCAGTCTCAACTACAAGAACTTTGTGTTCATGTACCACGACAAGCGACGGGCCGTCAATCGGATGATCATCGCGAACGGCGATGCCAATGAGGAGACGCCCTCCAGTCACTGTTACTTCACGGTGTACGCGATCAAGATGTTCTTCATGGAGAACAGCCCCTACTTCAAGCAGTCCTGGAAGACGCAGGCTTCTCACGTCGCTTTCGATGAGGGAATCCCTCATTCCAAGACAGATATAAAGGAATGGCTCAAATTGGCCGCTAATGCGTCAAACGGTAAGAAATGGCATACTAATTCTCTTGCTTAAGGTCTTATCGTGGCACGTGGTAGTCTTCAGATAATATTTGAAATGTCATTTTCTTGACATTAAAATGAATTGATTCTACAAACATGGGGTCGGACAATGGTCTTGTCTATGTCTACGGAGTGTCACAAAGGTCTTGTCTATGTCTATATTACGTTGTCTAATGTTGTCTTGGATGTGCAATTACTAACCTGATTTACAAGGTCACACTAGTACAGCTTATTTATGTTGACGAACTGCACTTACACTTAGACCCACTAACTTTGAAAACCGAAACCTTGTTGTTGTTGCTGCTTTGCTAACCGTATTTGTCATTGCTGTCGTAACAGGGACTGTAGCCGACTGTAATCACAAACAAATCGTTTCAAAAGTTTTTTCAATTAAAACGCCGCCCCGGAATCCAATCAAAATTTTTCTTTACAACATTATAACAGACGCGCTTTAATTTTTACTATCAATAGAGCCGTTTGCAAGAAGACAAATGCACTCTCGACTCTGGAGTTTGCAGGGAAAAGGGAACGCTTGCAGCGACTCGCCATCTCTCCGGGGACGATGAGACGGGGCTACGACAACTCGTTTCCGCCGTTAAAGACATAAAGGATGAGGCGATTGAAAGGAGGTCGTGATTGGACCGCCAAGTTAGGCCGCGAAAACAGAATTGGGACGGCCAAGAGAGCAGCGATCCCACGCAGGAAGTGCCATCATCAATGTCTTCTCGCCTTTTCTGACTTTTCGGCGAGTTTTCCACTCTTTCGCCCTTCTGGCACGGCCCCACGAATCTTGCTTTAATACTGTTTTACGACTTCGTGGCTTCTCTCTCTACCGTCGGACACTCCAACTTACCCTACCACGTCCTCATGGTCCGCGGTCATGCACAGCTGATTCCCCAATGCTCAATCACCTCGCATTAGTGCTGCTTTCGCTGAGCACTGGTACCATATTGGGCGACAATCAGACGGCGGTAGCCACCCGTCTCCCTCGACGTCGCTACTCCCAGCCTCGCTTCCCTCTCGACGTCGTCGTCGGGCTACCGGAGCAGGAGGGGAATCGCCTTCGGAATCCGTTCCGTCTCACCATCGGCAAGTCTCAGCCCGTGTTCGACGTCGCCGTTGAAGACATCTACACCAAACGACAGCTTCTACCGTCAGATTCACTCAGAATCACGTACGAAGACACCAAGCTGAGCGATGCCGTTGGTCCTCAGAAATTCGTCGACCGCTACTGCTCGCGTACGGTGGATGCGGTGATGGGGCTGGCGTATGTGTTCTCTTTGGCTCCAGTAGCTCGAATGAGTCAGTACTGGGAGCAAGGCGTGCCCGTCTTCACCACCAGTGCCATGGTCGACGAGTTAGGAGATCGTCAGGCGTTCCCTCTTCTCACACGGCTTATGGGCACGTACAGAACGTTGGCTCGGATGGTGCTGCGCATCGTGGAGGAGTTCCAATGGAGACAGTTCCACTTCTTCTTCAACGACCAGGCCGTGCACGGCTCCAGCCAGGGACGGTCGGAGTGTTTCTTCTCGCTGAACGCCATCAAGAACGTCTTCAACAACGAGGACCACATCAAGTGGACGGTGGAGATGTTCAGCGAGCAGACCGCCGACCGCGCCCGCTTCCGGATCCTGCTACAGAAGGCGTCGATGCTGACGAACAGTACGTAACCGGATATGGTTGTTTACTTTGGCGCTTTATTGGTTTTATAACAAATCTTTGTCTGGCTATGTACAACAACACATGCATTTAACTGTCCCGTACAACTTTAACTTAATGTCAACATAACAGAGTTTGAGCGGAAAAACAATCCTCCCCTCCCCCCCCTCTGCCTCCAAATTTCATTAAATTTGCAAGGTGCCTGTTGGTCTCATGAGGACTAGCGACTGCTGACAAGCTAACATAACACTGTTCAGTGGTTGTGTTAGTACTTGAGTGATCCCGATAGTACTTTAATTTTAAAATCAAATTTAAATGATTTTAAAACTTTCAAAATAATAATTTAAATGTGCACTTTTAATCTTCCATGCTCTAATATGACCTTGTTTCAGTGATTATACTATGTGCCAGTCCGGACACAGTACGCGAGATCATGCTGTCAGCTCACGACCTGGGAATGGCGACGTCAGGTGAGTATGTGTTCATCAACATTGACGTCTCGACCGGTTCCCACGCCGAGAAGCCCTGGATTCGGACCAACGACACCAACTCTCCAGAGAATGAAAAGGCCAAAGAGGCCTACAAAGCCCTTAAGACCATCTCTTTGAGGAGAAGCGACCTCGACGAGTACAAGAACTTTGAATCTCGGGTCAAAGAGAGAGCTGAGAAGAAGTACAACTACTCGGCCAAGACCGGCAAGGAGTATGAAGTGAGTGTGCTACTTTTTTATATTGTAGTAGTGATTAATTGTTATTGTTTCTATTTCTTTGTATTTCAGATGAACAACTTCATCAGCGCCTTCTACGACGCCGTCCTTCTCTATGCCATCGCCTTAAACGAAACCCTGGCAGAAGGTCTCGACCCTCGGAACGGTCGGAACATCACGTCCAAGATGTGGAACCGCACTTTCGTCGGAATCACGGGCAATGTCTCCATCGACCAGAACGGCGACCGATACTCGGACTACTCACTGCTGGACCTGGATCCGAAGCAGAACAAGTTCGTGGAGGTGGCCTACTACTCGGGTGCGTCGAATGAACTCAAGCAGATGACTGACTTCCATTGGGTCGGAGGTCAGCCACCTAAGGACTCCCCAATCTGTGGCTGGGACAAGTCCAAGTGTCCCAAAGGGCTGTCGTTCCATCAGATCTTGTTGATGATAGCTGGAGGAGTGATATTCATCCTTCTGGCGTTGTTCTTCTGGCTTTACAGGTGAGTTGGGGTGGTGAGGCGTCTGAAAATTGGTGTTTTAGGTAACAATAACATTATAACTGTCAACTACATTCCTTACGTCTATTATTATATTGTAATACATCTATAATATTATTTTACATTTAAAACCATGTTATTTAACATTTATTAAACACTATTTAACACTCATACATTCTTTCTTTAGACGTTACCGCTTGGAAGCCGAACTAGCGGCCATGAGCTGGAAGATTCGCTGGGAAGAACTGGACGGTGATGAGATGAAGAAGGAGAAGAAGCGGAAACAACAACGGTCACGGAAGGCCGACGTCTACAGTCCTGTAGAACAAACTGAAGCCTTGTTACGATCCAATTCTAGGTCTTCAATCGGCAGTGACAAAGTGAGTAAACACTGAAAATAGGGATAGTTGAAGTTAAGCGTTTTGTTTTAATATTATCATAAAAACACTATAAAACATATTTTGTTACCTTTTTGTGCCTTCAAGAAATGTTTTCGCTGAAAATTTAAATTAGTGTGGGAGCAGCTCGGATACTATAGTGTTGCAGCCTGCGCGCAATTTTATGATAAAGATAAAAAATACTCAAAATAATAATAATTGAAGCTATTTTATGATTAACATATAGGTAACATCACAATTAAATTTTTCTTGTTTTACTAATCTTCAATCTTACAAACTCAACAAAAACTAATTTACATGAATAACCTTAGTAACTGAAAAACATACCACAATCTCACAGTCGTTTCAGAGAAGCTCATCGTCCGGTGCTACACGCAAGATCTCGGCAATTATCGACCGGAAGTTCAGTGTTTTCACGAGGAAAAAGTCGTCGCCGTTGGAGAACAACAGGAACATGGAGAACAATCACACGGGATTTCCTCAGATCGACGAGGAACGCAACATATCATCTCCTTCTAACTCCAACTCCACCAAGAAGAAGACCAGCACCGAGGAGGACTTCGACGTTAACACCAAGAAGTCCGTCTCATTGAGGAATCGCAAGTTCTCCTTCGGGGCTTTTAGTATGAAGGTAGGTCTTAACAAGCATGTTTTCTTGAGTAATCTTTATATTATTCACATTTTTATACGTTAAGTTTATTGAAAGTTCATTTTACTAGTATTTCTGTCAATTTGATTCATATTAACCATGGTCTGTTCAGTCAGGAGGATCGGTGGAGACGATTCAGATGCAAAACAATGCTCAAATCTTCACCAAGACCGCTCAGTACCGTGGCCAGATGGTCGCCGTCAAGATGCTACGAATCAACCTGCCGAAGATCGAGTTCGACCGTCGAACTCTTCTGGAGTTTAAGACCATCAAAGACCTTCAGCATGAACATATTACTCGGTTCTTCGGTGCTTGTATCGACCCTCCCAACACCTGTATTGTGACAGAATACTGCCCCAAGGGGTCGTTGGAGGATATTCTGGAGAACGAGAAGATCAAGCTGGACAATATGATGAAGTACTCGTTGTTGCACGATCTGGTCAAGGGCATGTACTTCCTTCACAACAGCGACATCAAGTCGCACGGTAAACTCAAGACCTCGAACTGTGTGGTGGACTCGAGGTTCGTGCTCAAGGTCACGGACTTTGGCTTGACCAAGTTCAGAGCTTTGGAAGAAGTGACGCCAGAAGAACGAGAAACCCACGCCTTCTCCAGAAGTACGTTTGTTAGTTATATACTTTGAAATGCAATATTATATACTTTTTATCTATAACAACAAGGTGATTTACTTACACTAACATTAAAAGATAAAGTTGACCTAACATTATATTTATGACGTAAAAAAGCAGAGTAAGTTAACATATTACTTGCAGAACAACTCTGGACAGCTCCAGAACTTCTCCGTGAAGGTAACCACCCAGAGAACGGTACTCCGAAGGGTGATGTATACAGTTTCGCCTTGATTCTGCACGAAATGGTCTTCAGAAAGGGCGCCTTCTATCGTGGAGATGACGAGTTCCCTGATCCTCAAGGTATGTCATCTACTTTTGAGTCAAAATCAAACTCAATATAAGCATAACTGTAAAGTCATACTAGAATATCATACTATAAAACCGTACTATAATATACGATACTATAATATCAGAAGGTAGTACTGCTTGACATCAATTTAACTTTACCACTTCAGAGATTCTGGAGCGCGTGAAGAGGAAACCGCTTTGTGAGGACGATTGGTATCGACCGGTCACAACAGAAGACATGATGGAAGACGAAGGCAACAACAACGACGACACTCGCAAGTTGGTCGATCTGATGATCAACTGCTGGAGCGAGAATCCCCACGATCGGCCGGAGTTCAGCGTGATCCGTAAAATTGTACATACTTTAAACAAGTAAGTGCTCATGACATGTTTTAGTAGGTGATACTTTGCTGCAAAACCGTATCTTGTAGATATACAGTTGTTAACATAGTGTTATACAAATTAACCTTTTTACATTGCAGAGAGAACGAAACCTCGAATCTGGTGGACAACTTGCTGAAGCGTATGGAACAGTATGCCACCAACTTGGAAGGTCTAGTAGAGGAACGAACTCAGGAATACCTGGCCGAGAAGAAGAAGGTCGAGGAGCTGCTACATCAACTTCTGCCCCCAACTGTAGCCGACCAGCTGATGTCAGGGCGAAGTGTTCAGCCAGAGACATACGATTGTGTCACCATCTACTTCTCTGACATCGTGGGCTTCACTTCACTGTCTTCGGCTTCCACTGCTATGCAGGTAGGTCAGAGGGAACAAACAGTAAAATGACCATAGTCTTATTGTACCTTAGAATTGGTTAGGTTATAAACATATCTTTAGCTTACTTTTTGCATGTTTTCTCGTCAAAACTATTTTTTTGTTTTAGGTAGTTACTCTTCTCAACGATCTATACCTGGCATTTGACGGTGTCGTCGACAACTTCAAGGTCTATAAAGTCGAAACTATCGGTAAGTAATGTTGCATGACATATGATTAGGGGCCAGTTACTCGTTGTATATTTTAGGTATACCTTTCTCACTTATACAATTTAATTAACTTGAAAAAACTGCTGACCTTACTGTTTAGGAGACGCTTACATGGTGGTATCTGGTCTACCTGAACGTCGTGAAGATCATGCTTCTCAGATCGGTCAGATGTCGCTGGCTTTGCTGCACAAGGTCAAGACGTTCACCATCAAACATCGACCAGGAGAGCAGCTCAAGCTCAGAATCGGAATGCATTCAGGTTCGTCTTAACACTTGAATACTGTAGCATTATGGCTCCAGGACTGTTTATGTATATTTATAAATTATACAAGAGTTTTAGAGTCTTTATAAGCAATTGTCAGTAGTTTTGATATGGGTAACATAATTATAGCCTAATGAATATTGGTTTCAGGTTCGGTCGCGGCCGGTGTTGTGGGCTCTAAAATGCCACGGTACTGTCTGTTTGGGGATACTGTAAACACGTCGAGCAGAATGGAATCGAACGGATTGCGTAGGTTTATTATCATTTTTCATCTTCTAATTGACCTTACTTTGGTCAAAAAGTGGAAAGAATGTTATTTGAACGTTTTGCCATTTTTTATTAAACATTCTTATGAGTTTAAAATTTAAAAAAAAAACTAAATACTGATTGAAAAGAGATGTATTACTGTCCCCGTTTCAGCTCTACGTATCCACGTTTCGTCCGACACGAAGGACATTCTAAGTCAAGATCCCGACTTCCGCCTGGAGCTGCGCGGAGAGGTCGAGATGAAAGGCAAAGGGAAACAGACCACCTACTGGCTCAAGGGCTACAAGGACGTCAATATACCGGACTTTGGTCCCGAATACCGGTAATCTGGTCCTCGGTTTCTGTCGTGTTCAGGGAGTGTTTGGAGGGCTTACATCTACCATAATGTTGTACCTCTAACCGTACATACTCACGTATATTCAACAACATACACGTACTGCATCATGTGTAATAGATGACATTACTTGAATGTAGATATACTAGTACATATAGGTCGTATGAGGCCACTTACCACAAGATGTATAACCAAGTATATGCAAAGCCGACCCCTCCAAATACCTTGTTTTAACTTAACAAAAGTCTCAGACACGGGTCTCAATTGTTTGTTTGTTAAGATTGCTCTTTCTCGCCTATATTAACTGATGTCAAGACACGCATTTGTTCTCCCATGAAATCCATATATATGTTTATATCAGCGGAGAAAACTAGCAGAATTGCCCGGTCCAACACTTATCCAAACGGGTGTTTTTCTTTTATCCATTTATCATATTTATTTTTAAAGAACAACAAATAAATCTCTATTCGATCAGCGAGTACCTTATTTTACTTTGCTGCCTGAGTACTTTACTTCAAGCTTTCTGATTTTAAAATCAAATTCTTTTCAAAAAATATGAAATGAAGGAACATCAACCTAACTCACGGTAAGAGACGACCAACTAATGCAATAACAATTTATTTTCATTCTTGGCAATTTGATTTGTTCAGGCAAAATTTACAATTGATATAAAATATTATTCGACTAATTATAGTCGGTAAATGAAAAGCTACGAAATAAAACGTTGGAATTATGTACTTGGAACCCGTAAATTGAAGTAAATTCTTAAATACATCATATCACAGCAATGGAATCGGCATACGATTACGGTCGGTGGTATCTGAAAGTAGGGTTATTACTTAACCGAGTTTAACAAACTACTGTGACGTCGTTTTACTGTTAAGTTGAGAAACTGATAACGTAATAACTGCTTGTTTACGGGTTGTAGCTTCATAGTTTGGTCAATAAGTGCATGGAATACAAGTCGATAAACAGATTCGTATTTCAATGCTTTTAATCATTGAACAAAATGAAAAGAAGAAAAAGAATTTTAAAAAATAAAAAAAACATTACCTGGTGAACATCTTGCTCTCCTCGTGGACGGGCATCTCCGTGGCCTTGAAGTCATTCAGCTCCTTCCTTATCAGAGCCTTCTCAGACGGCGTCAGCCTCGTCCACGGTTTGTCGCCCTTCCTGTCGTACATCTCGGCTTCGGTGACCTCGACGTAATCGTTGAACTTGATGATCTGTTTGTCTTTCAATTCTTGAACAGTTGGGCGAAAACTTAGCTGAAAAGGTTTTAATTAAACGCTGTTTACACCCTATCTATTTCGAATGTATTGCTACGTAATTCTATTGATTCTAATCTGAGAGCAAAGTGCACATTAAACAAATATTTTGGACATATCCTCAATAACAAATTAAGTATTAACGCTAACATACGTCAACTCAGGGCATTATTTAGCCAAAGAACTCGGTACAATATGCATTTTACATTGCTCAGTAAAATAAGTATACTTTTTTGAAATTACGAAGACAATTTTCTTAACTAAGATAATATTACAATAGCTCAAAACAAACAATCCACAGGTGATGATCACACTCAGACATGTAGTCTACACAAACAAGAGTGCTCACCTTACGGAGTAACATCTTTCGGGTTTCTTCCATAGACCGACGAGAGATGGTCTCGGCCTGCTGATCCTTGAGGATGTTCCGCTGCTCCAATTCCTTAGCCAGCGGCCGTTCGGATAGTTTCCTGCAATAAAATTGGTGAAGAAACTAAACAGCACGAGTGTTGGTCAAGTTAACCCAAGTAAAAAGACGACCTTGCGCATCCACAGTCACAAACCTCGCCCCAATAAATTTCGTCGTTTTCAGACCAAAATGGAATTGACAAGACCAAACCGCGACCGAAAATAAGCAAAGAGAAACAAATTAATTTGTCTTAACAGTACAAAAACTATCTATAGAGCGATACCGTATGTTTTACTTTAGAGCAATATCGTATTTTATATCCTTTAATGAAGTCCTACAATATACCTAGAAACTGTAAAATTGTACCTAAATTAACCTTAATTCAAAAGTAGCTTAACAAAGATAACTTAAACAGTTCAAAACCTCAGCTTCTCAAGACTAAACTAAATGAAACGTTTCGGCTTTAGGCATATAACTCCCGTGTTATGATGATAAAGCCCCCGGAACTTATGAAACCAGTACAAGGATTCAATTTCAATAAACACTTCCTTGAACTCTGTTTCCCCTCCCGGCTGACCAATTCATTACGAGTGTCGGCATACTTGCTTTTCCTCCCCATCAAATACAAAATATGTCAGCTGCACTCATTTTTCGCATTCCTTCGGCCGTGCTGTCACTATAACACCAACAAACGTCGCCAATCACATAAAAAGCCATTGTTTACGTATGCATAACATGTATAATGATAACCTCCATATCATATAAAATATGATACTTTGGTATTCGGTCAAAAAGTCCCTAGATATACATGGAACAAGTTTTTACAAAATCCAAACCTATTTGTTATACCCAAAGAACCCCCAATTCTGCACAAAAATACAAAGTTTTTGAGGAAAAACAAAATTACTGAACCTTATAGAGGCAATGCACTTCCCCAAATACTTTCCCAAAACACGACATTAATATTAAAATGTTCCCAAGACTTGTAATTCATTCCCCAAATAATCATCAGATAAGACATCCCCACCCACCTTTCCAGTTTGATCGAAGCTCGATGCATCAACTTCTTTCGCTCCGCCGATGTCTGATCAGGAATGTCATCGACTGGAGCCGGCACGTCCAGCTTCAACGCCATCGTGTCACGGCGTCGCACTTTGGCGGCGAATTTGTCTAAATTGAAGTAATTCAAGTTTTTTTTTAATTTTGAAATTATGCATATTTCATCACAACGTCATTCTATTCTCATTGTCTACAGATTCTGTTTTTGCAAGAACTTCCAAAAATAAAACAAAGAATTCAGAAGCATACAAAAAATCTAAAAAATCCAAAAGAACGACAAAAATGCAAAAAGTCACGTAAACTCTGACAAAACAAACGTACTGTCTTTGAATTCCTCGTCGCTGTCTTCTGAAGAGCTGTCGTCGACTTCTGGAGACCTTCTTGATGCAATTACTTTGTTTGTCGACCTGGCCGTGTCCCATGGACTCTGGTAGCCTTGATCGTCTTGGTGTGCATTCTCGTCGTCTTCTACCTCCTCCTCGTCCACATCACTCTTCTGATCTTCATCGTCGTCCTCCAAACTCGATGACTTTATTCTTCTTGGTTGTCCTGGTCGTCTTAGTACCGGTCGTTTCGGTTGAGCACGTAGATCCGGCTCCGAAGCCTCAACTTCCTCAAAGACAGGTACAGTTCTTATCAAGGTGAAGTTCATGACGGCATCTGGAGCCTCCACCACGGAGTCGTCAAAATCAGCTGGGTTGAGATTGTTGTGCTGGGGAGAGGCCAATCGAACGGGTGATTTGGTGTCCTCTGGCTGGGTCTGGAACGAGATAGTGCATTATAGTCGTATAAACAGCTGTTTCGAACGCTTTGAGAGCTCACACATTAAGGATTTTAGCAGAGAAATGAATAAATTAACAGCAAAACGTTTGTTTTCCCTTCCAAATTCAATAAAAGACACATGTAATCCAATATAAAACATCGAAATTGAATAAAACGTATCAAAACAAAAGTTTTGAAGAAGAACGTGTTATTAATATCGTGTTGACTTACCACTTGAATGTCAGGAACACATGAAAGAGAAACGGAAACCGCCGAGAGCGGCCGAGTTTGGCTCGAGATCGGGATGAGAGACTGTTCGGATCCGCTGATTGGGGCTGAAAATACAAAAGAGCATGACGCAAACAGAGATCCGCCCTAACAAACTCAAACAAACAAACCCGAGTTCAAAGTTTTGTTACCTAAAAAAGCTTATCATGTTTACCTACTAACTTCCTCACAAATTTTGTAATCCAAAAATTTATTTATTACCTAAAAACGATAACTTTCCAACTTCTCGCCTAAAACAGCTTATTAGCTTTGTGGACTAAAGCAGCTCATTACTCCGTGATGTGCCTAATATCTTACCTGATAGAGGCAAGTCCAAGTTGTTACGACTTCCGTTGTTACTCCGGCTGAGGCTCACATCTGACGTTTTGCTGAAAAGATTTTTGATATATATTGTCCTACTCGAGACAGACAAAGACAGTCTTTAAAATTCGATACTAGATAAATAAATTGCAAAATCGGTGCAAGACTGTGTCAAAACTTTCGCTAACAACATTGCAACAAACGGGAAGGCAAGAAAAATGTTACCTAATGTTTTAGCCAAAGTTTCGACAATAAATTCTTGAAAAATTAAAAATATTACATGTAAGATAATAAAGAATAATGTTCTACAATCAGACTAACTTTAAACCACTTCAAATAATAAATGAAGAAACGAAATCTGAGTTAACTCACCTTTTGCGTGACCGTCTCCATTTCCACGGCTTCAGAATCCGAAGCCAGAACTTGCTGGTCTTGACTGATACTCGAAACGCCCGTTGTCTGTAAGGACTGTGAACCCTGAAATCACAGCTAGATGAAAAAAGTAATAGCAAGGTCATTTCTGCTCTTCTTTTCTCACAAATATTCAAAATTTAGGTATTAAAAGTTTAAAATACAAATAATATTCACTATGTAATCTACTAAATGCATTTTGACCAAATTTTAAAATTAAAATAAAAAAATAAAATTTTAGGTAACAAATAAGCGAAACCTACTTTGAACCAGAATTATCATGTTCAGGCCGCATCGCGCGACATCCGTAGCAACGTCGCTTCCTCCTGAAAACACAAAGATTACTCTGGCACACGAAAACAATAACAGAACAACCGGTAAAAACAAAACTGACACGAAACCAGCAAGCAAAAACGGGACTAAATCAACAAAAGGTAGAAACGGACATTAACTAAACATGAGAAACAGCCATATTATTCAGAACAACAAATCCACGGGCCTGAGGGCTCAAATGGGGACAAAACGGGAAGCTCGCGTTCCCTTATCTTAAGACACCAGACGCGTTCAGGCAGTCAGTCACTCGAGGGCTCAGGGAAGAAATTGGCGCCGATCGTTCGGCTTTCGCCCCTCCGTCAAGGCCAAAGGAAGGAACGCGACAAAACTTGTCTCCGTCCCACCAAAATGTGGCCAATCAATTACTTGTGGGCCAATGTTGTTTTATGCAACATACAATTATGTTCGTATGTCACTTATAATATCGTGAAAAGTTTAGTATAGGTAGAGTAATATGCCAGCTGTAATATGAATAGTACAGCTACGATCATAATATATCAACGTTCCTTATCATTTACAATATAATGCTAAAACAGCTTTTAAAATAGAATTAAAATGTTCGAAAATAAACAAAACTCAAATCATTTCGAACATTTAATTCCTCAACAGTATGACTTCAGTATTATATTAGTATAAAAGTTCGCGGTTCTATTTGTAGAGCGAGAACTCGCTGATGTACTCCACCACCTCGTCTACTGTACAATATCGTACCGAGTGTCCATGACGAACGGCATTCCTAATACGCGTGCTGCTCAAATTGTTGGGGAAGGTCTCGTCTTGAACGAGAATCACATTAGCCACGTGGTCCTTGGGGACTGACAAGCCCTGAAGTGTCTTCCTGGCATCGCCTCCAACCCGTTGCAGACATATCACACCATATTGGGTAAAGATGTGCGATAAATCTTCCGATTTCCACAAGTTTTCGCCTACAACAATCAGCTCTGGTTTATCAACTATAAGCAAAATTAGCTAAACTCCCCACCTCATCTTAAATAGTCATACCACTATTGTAAGTATAAAAAAACTAAAACAGACTGAAGAGTTAAATCGCCTATAATAACGCTAAAAATGCTACCTTAACAAGTCTTAACAGTCCCTAAAGTACTGTCTTTAACAAAATTAAACTATTCCGTGCAAATCTCAATTAAAAAGGTTGAAATTCCTTTTTACTACATATTAATATCTAAAATAAATAGCCTAATACATCTTATCATCATCTAAACCACAATCAAAAGCGTACCAGACTCTAGTATTCGCGCAAATGAGTCAACAAAATCTTCTCCGCATAATAGAATCATCCGCACGTCGGTTCCATATTTATCTTGTAGCACTTGATGGTGATGTTCAAGAACCACTCGGGTTCGTGTCCAATTTGTTTGACTACATTCCCAACCATCAGCTCTTAACCAGTCCGACCCTTTCACGGCCAACTCGCACATTCGCAGTCGATGTGGAGCACTGATCAGTTCGCTTTTCCCATACCTGTCTCCAACTGGGCTCAAGATACCTTCCAGTACGTGACATTTATATTCTTGTTGAAGCACATCCCGAGCTCGCTCAAACATTCGCAAATGCATAAAGGTAGGAGGATTGAAGGATCCACACGCTAACAAAGCCACATTGGCGCCTCTCCATCGTTGAACCATAATTCTGAATAAAAACAGGCAATAAAATAAGTGCAATAGTCAAAAACTTGATAAAACCTCAGTATAATATTGAAACTCTTTAAAAATAAAACGATAAAACTTCGTATTTAAAATAAGAAGCATGCATGATAAGGTTCTATATAGAAAGTTCGTGACGAAGCCTGTTTCAAACGGTTTTCAGTTCAAAAACCCGAATTTTATCAAAAAAATAATAAAACATTTTTATTTTTTTAGTCCCAGAGCGAAAACATTTCTGTTCATCACACGACCGCAGCGACGGAGAGATGGAGCGAGAACAAACTGGGTGACGAAGCCGCTTTTTTGGTGGTATATCTACTCGAATGTAGCCAATCAACTGTACAACATTATTTTTATAATATTCAGGGGATTTCCGGGGTTTTGGACGCTTAATATTCCGTGAATATTGTGATTTTGGCTGGAATTCCGTTTCGAAATCTTAAAATTAAACAAAAAACAAAACATGAAATCTTAAAATTTTCAGCTAATGGCCGCGAGTTCATCATCCCGTGCAGGAAACAATGGGGGCAAGAAGACGTGTCAGTTCAAACTGGTTCTGCTGGGTGAATCTGCTGTCGGTAAGTTATTTTATTAGCGTTTTACTCTTTTAGGCATTCAACAAAAGTTCTAATTGGAGAATCTTTAGTCTTTGTTATGTCAATTGATTGTTTTACTTTAAATTTGCTTTTGCAAATTTTATGTGCTGTTAGCAATAATAATGTCGTTTTAATTAAACGGATGGCAATATTAATAATGTATTTACATTATAGGAAAGTCGTCATTGGTGCTAAGGTTTGTTAAAGGACAGTTTCACGAATACCAGGAGTCAACGATTGGAGCTGCATTTTTAACTCAGACCATATCAGTAGATGATAATACTGTTGTGAAGTTTGAGATCTGGGACACAGCCGGCCAAGAGAGGTACCATTCTTTGGCTCCCATGTACTACAGAGGTGCTCAAGCTGCTATTGTTGTATACGACATTACTAATCAGGTAAGTTCTTAATATTTTTGGGGAGTTGGTCTTATAAACGTGTATAAGTACTTGTTCTGCAGGAATGCTATATTTTTTGAGAACTTGGCGTGAAAAGCACTTGTATTGATTGTTATTTTACTTTTTCTTGAAAAGTTCAATAGAAAACTTATTTTTCTAGGAATCTTTCGCCAAAGCCAAAAATTGGGTGAAAGAATTGCAAAGACAAGCCAATCCCAACATTGTGATCGCTTTGTCAGGAAACAAGGCCGATCTAGCCGCGAAGAGAGTGGTCGAATATGAGGTTTGTTTATTTTGGTTTGATCTGAACTTCTGTGTTTAGGAGGCACAAGCATACGCCGAAGATAATGGACTTTTATTTATGGAAACTTCAGCCAAATCGTCGATGAACGTTCAAGATATTTTCTTAGCCATCGGTAAGGTCTTACATTGAATTTGAATCAATGACGTTTAGAATTGTTATGTCAAGGCGGTTTTTATGATAAGACTTGTTTTTTAAGGTATTAAAAATTTGGTTTTCGTTAGACATGAAAAATAACTTACTATGTTAGATGGGTAGTTTTGATTTAAGGTTAATATTGTATTGGAAATTAATTTTGACGTAGTTTACATTTTATAAAGGTACTTTTTATACATTTTCTTACCTATTAACGGGTTTCTATTTCGAACACTAGGTCAAACACGTCTTAAATCGAAAATTAGACGAAGAGGATTAAATCATTTGAATTTACATAGTTTTGCTTTGAATTTAATATTTCAGCGCGGAAACTGCCTAAAAACGAAGGAGGAGGCGGCCCAGCTGGACGTGGCCACGGCGGCGTGAATATAAGCGACGAACCCGCCCAAACCAATAAGACGTCTTGCTGTTCTAAAGCTTGAGTAAATAATTAATTGTACACTTTGGTGAACTTGGTGATAAACTGGGCTTTGCAAAGTTCGTGACTCCGGAAAGTAAAGTATTCTAATCAACCGATATCCAGTTTGTTCGTCTCAATGGTTAATTTATTTTTTATCTTACAATCACTCATTCTTAAATCCAGTCAAGTCAGTGCGGAGTCTCTATTTATTTGTAGCGATGTTGTGCTTTTATGTGAATTATAATTGTGGATAATTAAAACTGATAAAACCTGAATTCTGTGTGCTTCATTTCATAAATGGTTAACAATCCTTTTTCATATGATTAAGGGCCTGGCTAGACTTCTACGCTTTGGTGAAGGGTTTTACAAAATGCTTTTAATATGTAACAGAAATTACTGCTTAATTTTCTGGCATTTTATTTATTAAGCTAACTTTTTGCGTTACTTTTTAGACTGGGAAGATGGATATACCTTGCGGAACCATTCCCAATGAGAGCCCGAGTAAGTAGTGCACCATAGCTTTTTACGTTGTTTTTGATTTATTTTATCACAATGATGAAATGGTTTTCAAACAATACAAACAAACAAGTGTTTGACAGTAAGACAAGAAAAGCAATAACGGCTGTTAACTGTAGGCATTGCATCGTCACGGTTGTTAGCAGAAGCCAACTTCTTGAAAGAGAATCCGATAGAAGACTGCGAAGCGTTTCCACAATTTGATGACATTATGAAATGGACGGCCGTGGTAAGAGGCCCTAAAGGCAGTTACTACGAAGGAGGTACCTTCTTTTTTGAAATGCATTTCTCCAAGGATTACCCTCACATTCCTCCACTAGTAAGCTTCCCTAAACCTGACCTGACTTTGTTTAGTTGGTGTTCTTGACCAGGATTTATCACCCTCGGATCAATGTGAAAGGAGAGATCGACCTTCCCATGCTTAACCAGCTCACGTGGAATCCGTGTGGTACTGTAGGCGACGTGTTGAAGGGCGTGAGAGCGCTGCTGATGGAGAAGATCGAAGAGGACGACGATAAACAAGAAGAAACGATAGCTCGTGAGTGGACCAAGCGTTTCGCATGCTGACCCCTCCAGCGGCTGTTCAGTTACTCTCTTTATGTGATAATCTGATAAGAAGCGGGTAATTTGTCAATGTCAATAAATGTGTTTTTTATTTATATATTACGTAACAGTTCAATAGGACACTTTGGTTGGTGGTGGACGAGCGACGTAGGAGGTGTAGTAGCGGAAGATCCAGTCTTGCCATCTGGTAGGGAGGTACGATAGAGGAGTGAATTGGAAGGTGGAGTCGTAGCCAATCTGGTAGCGGCCGCGAGGGAGGACGGAGGTCAAAGCGTTGTAGTAGGCATCAACTACCAAATGAGCTCCAGGCTTGCACTTGTACTCGAGGTAGCCAGTGATGATTTGTTGAGCTGAAAACGATTATATTACAGTACAGTTGACGTCAAATACAGTAAACATTGGATGAAAAACACTTAAAAAGTTAAAGAAGAATACAACTTTAACATTCCCCTTTTTACAACTCGTTATCTAATCAGAAAACGTGAGTGTAAAACAAAAAATGTGATGGAATAACATCTGATTGCGAAAGGAAAAGATAAGGTTATATTACAATCGGTTGTCTTTTAAAGATCACTTTGGTTTACACTGAATCTCCAGAAGTGATTGGTGATTGATTTCACAACAACAAGATCGCTCTAAGCTGTTATTACAAAATTTGAAGATATTGTGATACCCAATGTTGTGAAATAGATTAAAAGACCCAGTTTTAGGGTTTCACGATCTAATCTCAATATGTAACACTTACACCACTTGTAGTACTCTTCTCCATACTCGTCCTTCACAGACTGTGGAGTACGGTCCCACACGCGAGCACTGTCGTCCAAAGAGGCCTGAGGGTTGGCCTGAGGGGTCTTGAAGAATCCTGGTTCCAAAACACAGACCTTGATTCCCCATTGGCAGAGTTCAGAGCGGATGATGTCGCTGTAAGCACCAACAGCCATCTTGGACACACTGTAGGGGCCGATCGTGGGCATGGCGACCTTTCCGGTGATGGAGGTGACATTCACGATACGTCCCTTGGTGCGCTTGATCAAGTGTCTGAAGGCATGGGTGGTTCTGATCACGCCGAGAGCGTTAACCTCCCAGAATCTTTGGTAGACGGCTGGAGTCTGCCAGTCGTCCCAGCCTCTCATGTCACCGATTCCAGCATTGTTCACCAAACCCCAAAGTCCTGCAAAATAACAGTTGAAATGACTGATAGTATACTGTTGTACCGAAAATTTCGTTAACGCAGTTAAGAAAACAACGTCAATTTGAAGTATTATTGAAGATCACTACCATCAAGGAAACATATTGGTTTACTGTAATTGTAAAACTAAATTTATAATGGCCCTAAAGTAACCTAGCTACATAAAGAGTACGGTAATTGAAGTAATTCTTACCTTTGTACCCGTTCTCAGCAATCTTTCCCTCCACGAATTCACGGGCTTTGTTGACGGATTCGTCACTGCGCACGTCAAGAGTGAAGGTCTCCAGAAGTTGGTCTCCTCCGGGGATCTTCTTGGCTTCATCACGGAGCCCCTTTTCTCCCTGCAAACACACGTTATTATCACTCGTTATCAGTAACAATACTAGTTATTGTCAGAAGTTGTAGCTCCAATTAATTTATTAACAATAAGCCCTAAAGTGTACTTCCAATCGCTTACCCTCTCGTCGAAACAAGCTGAGAAAACTGGCATTCCATTCTTCAAGCACTTGATGGTGAGGCCGAATCCGAAGCCAGAGTCACAGCCAGTGATGAGGACTGGCTTGGACTGGAGGTTACCGAGAGAGATGCTTTCCAGAGCACGGATGGTTACGAAGTAGACAATGAACAAAAGAACCAAGTACAGGGCATATTGCTGTACAAGGAAGATGCCCACTGAGATGGGGATCAGCCAAATGGCGAGCTCGTCGAGACCCAAAAGCGCCATAGCTTGGAACGGGCGCTATCAACCGAATGAAACATTGGAGGACCAAACTCCCGTGGCTTTATAGTCCATCACATGTAACACCAACTCCCGCCCAGAACTCCTTTCTCCACCTTTCTTTCATTGATATGTCTGACTGATATCACAACAGTCAGTCTTGCTAAAAGCAGGCAAGGCCAGACCGACCTTCTCCGACTTTTTTTACCTTTTTGCGACCAAAGCCCCCACGAGACCGAACACACATTTCGCCGATCACAATTCAGTTCGTGTTTCTTTATTTCTATAAATAAGTAAGATACTACATGAAACAGTTAAGCAGCCAGTTTTGCCGGCCGTGGGAGTCCAGCCCAGTATTTGAGATAAGTGTAGAAGACTTGTTGTTGCATGCCAGTTGACAGGTACGACAATGGAGTAAATTGGAACATTGAGTCGTAGCCGATTTGGTAGCGGCGACGTGGGTACTTTGAAGTCAAAGCGTTGAAGTAGGCATCGACGACGAGATCAGGCTGAGGCTTGCACTTGTAGCCGAGGTATCCGGCAACCAGCTTCTGAGTGTAGGGGAGGTAGTGTTCTCCGTATTCCTCCTTGACTGATTGTGGAAGCCTGTCCCAGACCATCTTGACATCGGCTTCGGCGGCTCCAGGGTTGGCCTGAGGGGTCTTGAAGAATCCTGGTTCCAAGATGGAGACGTGCACCCCGAATTGGGCCAATTCCAATCTAGAAATGATGAAATATAAATTAAGATATTACACTTGCTTTAGCAACAAGTAAAAATGACAATAACTTTAAAAACAAAAACATCTCTTATGAAAACAACATACCTGATGGTGTCGCAGTAGCTAGCAATGGCGAACTTGCTCACGTTGTATGGGCCTCCAGTTGGCATGTTGACCTTGGCACAGATGCTGGCCACACTGACGATGCGTCCCTTGGCTTTCTTGACGAGATCCTTAAAGGCGTGGGTTACACGGATGTGACCGAGCGTGTTGATCTCCCAGAAGCGTTGGTACATCTCGGGTGTTTGCCAGTCATCCCAAGCTCTGTTATCTCCGATACCGGCATTGTTGACGATGCCCCACAGTCCATTATATGGACCAATGTGTTGGTCGACGAACTCACGCGCCTTCTTCACGGATTCCGGATCTCTGATGTTGAGCTGGACAGCGTGCATCAGCTGTTTGCCGTTGGGGATCTGGGCTGCTTCTTCTTGGATTCCCTTGATTCCCTGGCAAATATAAAGTTAGACAAATCTTAATTATAAAAACCTAGAATAATCTCAATATTGTTACCTAAATCTCAAAAAACATAACTGTATTAAAATTTTAAACTGTTTCTACCTAAAGATAAACATATAAATTAAAAAGTGTTTTGAGTTATTACCTAAAATTCGAAAAGAATAAACAACTTTTAAAAATATTACCTAAAACAACAAAAATTTCCAAATAATCATAAACTTACTTGGTCGGTTAAACAACCAGCGAACACGGGCATTCCATGCTTGATACATTTGATGGCCAAATCATGACCAAATCCACTGTCACATCCACTGATCAGGACGGGTTTGTCGCTCAATTCGTTGACCGAGATTCTCTCCAACAATCTGACTGTGATGAAGTAGACGGACCACAGGAACACCAGGTAGTAAGCCCAGGTGTTGACGATGGCCAGGGTGGCGGTGATGATGCCAAGCCAGATGAGATACTCGTCCAACATGTTGTGCTGAAGGCGCAGCGACCGGAATGCGGTTTCGTCCTCGAAGCGACGGCCTTATATCGCTGGTCGTCAACGCGCGGAATGGGCGGCGTCGGGATTGCTATTGGCTCTATCATCACTAAATTTGATGATAAAAGGGGGAGGGGAATATAGATGACACTCCATCACCGTGACTGTCATGTGTCTTCGATCTTTAAAAGTTGTGCACTTGTTGTTCGCCATTTCAACACCGTGTGAATAGAACAATATTCACAAGTCGCATTTCTTGGAAAAAACCTAAGTACCCAAAAAAAGTGTAAATACTCACTGATTTGACAGACAAAAACTGTAGAAATTGTTGTAGACGAAACGAAGATCGTAAAACAAACAAAAAGAAACACAACTAAGTAACAAAGTTGTAAACCGAAGATAAAATATTGCCGATTGATTGCAGACAAAAGTTGTCTTGCAACAAACAATATATTGTACCAATGTTCGACTACAGGACAAAGTACGTTGATAACAGTTGTAACATGGTATCGAACGAAAGGTCAGTCTAGAAAGCGACTGTAAATTGATCGAATAAACTTCTATCAGACTATGATAACGTTATTTTTGTAGCGCTTGGTCAGAAAAAGATAATATTGGATAAGAAATCTACATTACACGAATAATTCTAGAAAACATGAATGTAGGACGAATGTTCATGACACATTTTTTGGAAATTATGTCCGACACTATTTTTTACATTTTTGACTTGTTTTTTATGGATTTAGAAATTTATTTAAATTTTATCGGTATTGTAATTTAAATTTTGTTAATTTGGTGTATTATGCTTATAGTGTTTTGCCCATAAGACCTAGTTTCTTTTATATTATACTGCCGTTATTTCCAATAATGTTATAACTTTTGTTAATTTTATAGTTGCGAGTAATTTTGACCGAAACAAAATCCTTGTATGCAGAAGCAAATACCCGCATGTTATTTACCTCTCGAACACTTGATAATGGTTTTAGGGCATTGTTATCACCTATATTTTCTCGAAAAATGCAAAAACAGGACATTGAGAAACGTATTTTAAAACAATCTCACGTTGATAAATATTTATTGACAAAGAGCTATTGAAATGTTTGCAGTATAACATCGTCATTCGAACACACAAGGAAATGAAAAACATTTACTCGCGTTGCAATAACTATTACACCGTGATCACGTTTTTACAATAAGGCACGGTATTCTATCACAGTCGGGAATCGGTGGGATTTGATATCGGGTTTGCGTGGTTGTGATTGTCCTGAGAGGTACTGCTGTTGTCCTTGTTGGCACTGGATTCCGAGTTCTTTTGTTGTACATTATCCATGCTCTTATCCTTTTTATCAAGTGTACCGTTCCTATGTGGATTGCCATCGTCTTTGGAGTTGTTCTTTTTAGCACCATCTGTTGTTTTAGTGTTGTTAATCTTGTCGTGCTTTTCTTCTGCTGAATCCTCCGATTCCAAGTCGCTGGAGGTTGTTCCAGACTCAGCACTTCGTGCCAGATTCACAAATACATCGTCCAAAGTTGTTTGAAAGACGGAGAAGTCGAGCAGCTTCATTTTTGTTTCTATCTGAAGAGTTTGTGTTACTAACTCACCTCATACGACTTAACAAGAGCCTACTTTGTTCTTGTAGTTCATACTAAGGGCAGAAACCAGTGTAAAAACATAATAACGATTGTTTTGAATTTGACTTTAAATTGTTCAAAACCTATCCCAAGTTGCTGTTAACAAATTACACAATCACAATAGTGAGTTTAATGTTTTTCAAAATACGAAACCCATATTACGTTACTTTGTACCTAGATTTTCGAAAGACATTGCCTTTTACTCCTTACTTTGTTGTTCACAACACTTATTTGAGTTTTTCACTTACCGTCTTTAAGGCATCGAACATTTTTACTAGAGAAGTGTTAGATAGTGGCACAGAAAACATCAGTGTGCATAGGTTTGAGGTCATACACTGAAATTTGAGGTTAATTTCAATTACTTTTGTATCACTACTTATATTAAAATATATTAATATTAGGTTGAATTAAAAAGAATAGGCCAAAATATTTTTTTCTTTTAATTTTTTTGTATTTTTTTAAATTTTGTCTTTTTTCTTCGTAAAACGCGTAGAATTATAAAAGCGATGGTTCTACAAGCTTTTATATGTTAAAATGTTGTTATATAATTATAACTTAGGCCTTATTTGCATACGTATGTCCCATTAATTTTTGTTCACCCTAATATTGTAATAAGATAGTTGACTATCAAATAAGTATCTATTTTTTCGTTTTTAATATGTATTGTAATTTGTATTCGAATCTTTTAATTACCGCTTACTTTTGCGTCTGGCAACATTTCTTGTACCAATTTTTGACATGTCTTCATATCAGTATCTGACTCCAGCTTCACGTTGAGTGTGTATCCTCCGCCAAACCTGCAAGACAGAAACGTTTTAAACAATAAATCGAAGACGTTTACCACATTTCTCTCTAGTGGACATTACATCAGATGGGTGTTTTCTGCAAGCACTCACAGAATGCCTTAGGGCTGTGTAATGTTTTAGTGTAATGCAGGACCTTTAGGACTCTCGGCTTCGGTTATTGTTACAGCGAGGAGTATTATTTCCCGCGTGTCTTTTAAAGAATATTAAACTCACCTTTCCTTCAGGCTCTGAATCGTTCCGATGCAGTAAAACTTGCCCTGTACCATGATGGCAGTCCGATTACACAGAGCTTCACACTCTTCCATCGAGTGCGACGTCATGATCACAGTACGGTTGTTCTGCTTCAGGTCTGTGATCAGATCCCACATGAACTTCTGAGAGCGGGGGTCCATCCCAGCACTCGGCTCGTCCAATAGCACAACATTGGGATCAGTGATAATGGCAATGGCAGCCGAGAGTTTGCGTTTGTTGCCTCCAGAATAGGACTTTGCGATCTCGAGGGCATAAGGCTTGAGTTGCATGTGATCGATCGCCCATGACACTGAAGCCGAGATGTCAGCCGACTTGATTCCTCGTATTTTAGCGTAGAACTCGAGATGTTCGATGGCCGTGAGTTTGGGGAACAGGGCGTCGAATTGGGGACAGTACCCGACGTTTCGGAATGAGACAGAGCTAGATCGGCTGTAAAAAGGAACTTGTGTAGGTAGACGGTAAATAAGACATAGTAATAGTCATATCATGTCGTAGTAAATAAGTTTTAAAGAGTCATAGGAATCATGTTGTTGTAAAAGTCAAGAAAGCAAAAGTTCATCACCTCGTGAACTTACCTTTCTCCGTCCACAATTATTTCACCGTAACCCACGTTCAGAAAGCCGGTCAACATGGAGAAGGTGGTTGTCTTGCCGGCTCCATTCACTCCCAGAAGGCCGAAGCATTCCCCTTTTTCGGCCGCAAATGAAACTCCTTTTACTACCAGATTCTTGCCATCATAGCTCTGTAATTATCACTTTAGTTGGTTATCAAACTTAAGTTACGATCTATATGTTACCTAATATCATGATAACATAACATGACGTATAATACAGTTTTGAAAATTATTGAGTTGTCATTAACCATTAAGTTGGTGTGTTAAGCTTACTTTGGCCAGATTCTTGACAACAAGACCATAGTTTTCGTAATCGTCCAAGTTCTCCACCAGCTCCTGTTCTTGCCTCACGTCCTTAGAACTGGTGAGGTTCTCTTTTCTTATCAGTTGCTTTGTTTTCAGCCGTTCCCAGTTTCTGAAGTTAACAATCGAATATTACGATAGGTTGATTGGCAGATGGACATATATAGAATTTACGATAACATAGTTTTGATTATGGCAGTAAACCATAAAAGTATAATTTGATTAACTTTTACTGACCTTCTGAATTTGATTATACTGTCGCGGTACTCGAACAGTAGGCATAGCACGTTGTAGACGATGGCGTTGCATGCTAAGGCCACCAGATGTTGACCGACCAGGTTCTTTTGGAACAGTGAAGGCAACGGGATCTCGTCTATCAGTTCTGGTCTTCGAATTCCTTCTGAACTTATCAATAATGTTATTTTTGGGTCAGACATGTTGTAAACGAAGACAAGATTACTATTGCGAAAATTAAAAGTTTCTTTCGATTATTGTGAAACGCTGATAGACAATGTTACTTATGTCAATTCCAAAAATAACAACTTCAAATGCCAAATGTAATATCAACTACTCGTAGTCGATAAAGCAATCTGTGATCTATTACGAAACCTACTCAAGTATCTCTTGGCGAACATCAAAATGTTGTTACACACGGTCATTCTGAAGATGGACATGCCCAGATTGTACAATGGTATGGCTTTGAATAACTGGCTACAGATGTTGTGAGCTGTCGTCAGAGCAATATCATCTTCTAGTTGCATGTTCTCCAATATTACTATAGTCAGTGCTGATGCTACTCCCATAAGGTAGAAAGTGATACTCTGGACCCCAAATGACAATGACGGTATTTTGAAGGCATATTGGAAGACGTACACCCAGGGCAGGCACGATAAGCTAAAGATCTTGTAATATATGTGTAAATAAACGGTTTATCAATTGATGTTTTACAGTGTTAAAGATCCGAAACTGGAATAATCGACTTAAGACTTTTGTTAATCACAACTTACCCAAATAGAAAGAAGACCAGGAACGTTACCAGAACAGCTTCACCATTAAAGATAAAAAGATCCACTCCAATGGCACACAATCCAGCAAATAGTATGATCACGCAGCATAGGTAGATGACCTAAAACATCATTTTAAGACAACACAATGACTGTTACAGTATTAAAAATGGATTTCTTTACATAACAACTGTAACATGAATAACCCATTTATTTGGAAAACTTACAAAATCGTAGATTGAATTAGTAAAGTAGTACAGCCAAGAAGGTACCCCGAAGATGCGTTGTAAATTCTTGCTATTGGTGACGTTCTCTTCTACCAGTAACATAGAAAAGCTTGCTAGGATGATGCTTACCACCAATATTATCATAATCACTCGGGTAATCCCCACTTTCTGCCTAAACCACAAATTAAAAATATTCTTCAAATAATAATAATTACATTACATTACAGTAAAATTTTGTTGTAATACTTTGCAGCCAATAAGATTTAAAATTGTAGCTTACATAAAACTGTTATTGTCCAAAGTATCTGTGGCACTTTGCGGGATCGGGTGATTCACATTAAGAATCCCAACGTACTGAGAAGAGTTGGACAACTTCAAAGTCTTCTTCAGGTACCGAAGAACAGAGTTGTAGTGAGTGTTGATGTTAGTCGGAATACTGGTCCAGGCCTTGTTATTGAACCATACCTACATAATTTAAAATCACATGCTATCTCTCTTCCTTGTTATAAATAAAACCTCTACAACCATACTAAATATTATTGTCCTTTGAAAGATAGTATCTTTACCTTAACCAGTTCCTCTGTGTCCAATTTCCTGACCAAACTGACTAAAGCGCGGTCCAAAGTAATGTTATCTACCAAGAAAGGGTCTGTGTGGGTGAGCAACTCGTACTGTGACAATACTTCATTCACCGTAAAGTTTATCTTGTCGAATGACACATTGAAGGCATCGTAAGACACCATAATGCAGAGCTGAGCACGTACCACTCCAGGCGTCGTCAGAGCTTTGGGATTCCGCTGACCGTACTCGTAGCCACCAATTCTGGAACCAAGTTATAACACATGCATAAAAGTTATTAATCCTTAAGATAACCATGACCAGTAACTACAGTTTGAAACTATATTTATAACTCTACCAAACGTTTACTTACATTCCGTATGTTGACATAGATGTATTCGCAAAAGTAGCCATTCTGAACTCAGATATGTTCCGCTCAATCACGTTATACACGTACTCAGTAGTGTTGAACACAATCTTCTGTAACACATCGTCGGGGTACTCTGCAGAACATTGCCATCCGAGTGTACTGTCACACGAAAAGTTGAGCGCGATACTGTAAGGTGGGGGTGTAATCGGGTATACCAAAGTGTTGTTGACTGGAGCTGTATCGTAGCATCTTTGGTAGTTTCTGAAACGGTCAACAATACTGTAAATGTATAGAAAGCTCTGTTGGAATAATATGTAAATACATTATGTAATACTTTGTATATTTTAGTATCTATACGGCTACACAAGTTGTAAAAACTGTCCAACTCACAATTTCGCTCTGTAACCATATAGTGGATATGGCATCACACAACCCAGGCCAGGGCCGGGGTTTTCCAAAAGGGAACTGATGTACTTTGTCGTGCTGCTACTGGTGTTCCAGACGCCAATGTAGCGTGACACCTCTTCACCGTACAACGCTGAATCCATGGGAATAGGCGGTTGCTCGTTCATAACACGTTGGGTTTCAGATGGAAATTGGTAAACTACGTAAATCTCTGCGGCAAAAAACGCGATAAGTGGTAGAAGAAGCTAAAAGAGGAAGGACAATGATACTGCAACTTAGCATTGTAACTTGTTGCTAAGAACTACATTAGCGTGACATAACACTTACCTCAAATAGAATAGCAAAAGGACTTCGCTTCGTGATCTGAATCCGCTTCTTCAGCAACGCTGTGAACTGCTGAAACCGGAGGTAGGTAGTAGATGATATCGTGCCCATCGGTGGGTGATTCAGATCATGGTCTTCTGGCTCCATACATCGTTTTGATTCATCTGCTTCTACCACGTAGTTTCTGGAGCGGTACAGTAACTTCTGCTTCACTTTCTCCATGAATCCTGAAGCCTTCTTCAAGTGAATATCCTTTTGAGGTGCTGCAGCCAGGAATACCTACAAATATAAATTAAAGGAGAATCTTTAAAGTATTAAAAACATTAAGAAAAAGCATCATAGTACATAATTGGCATAGCTAATAATATTTTAATAGCTTCAAAACGCTTAGTTAACTTACGTCTTGTAGTGAAGGTCCATTGAGTGCAAACTTGTCAATGTGAAGATCATCTTTTCGGTCAGAAAGTAACGCGAATAGTCGCTGAAACTCGGTCGGTGAAGTCTGAATGGGTATACGGTATGTCAACAAAGCGTTACTTTCTTCCATCAATTTGAAATCCTGAATCCGGGCTTTCGTAAGTAACTCGCCCAATTCGGCCTTCGTATTACCGACTGGTCGATTATGATGTGTAGACTTTAACTCCATAATCAGTGTGTAGCCTACAGAGAAGCGTCCTTTCAAGAAGTTCATCGATCCAGCTGCTCGTAGCTTGCCTTCTGACACAATGACGATACGATCAGACAGAATTTGAGCTTCATCCATGTGATGTGTAGACAACAGAATCGTACGGCGTGGCTTGTGTTTCTCCAGAAGCGCCCATATCGATCGTCGTGCATGGGCGTCAATTCCGGCCGTAGGTTCATCCAGAATTACAAGTTTGGAGCCACCCATCAACGCTATTCCAATACACAGCTTCCGCTTCATACCACCTACAATTCACATCTTGTGATTACTGTTACCTTTCATGTATAAAAGTTACTTATACATACATCACATAGATGACCTACCTGATAGCTGATCAACCAAGAACTTTCTTCTAGAAGTAAGTCCAAGATCCTGTATCATAACATCAACTTGTCCACCCAACTCCGTCCTTGGGATGTTCTTGAGGTAACCGTAGAAGTAGAGTTGTTCTTCTACCGTCATTTCATCAAAAAGTATGTTGTGCTGAGGACATATCCCCAACGTCTTTCTGATTTCCGTCATGTCAGTTCGTATGTCCATGTGATATACTCTGGCCGTTCCCTCAGACGGTGGATACAATCCACACAAGATGGACATTGTAGTAGTCTTGCCAGCACCATTGTGACCCAGAAACCCGGTAATCTGATTCTCGTAGAAGTTGACGTGAAGATCGTCCAATGCCTTTGTGTTGTTTGAGTACACCTTTGTCATGTGTAATATCCGGATAGCTACACTTCCCTCAACTGCTTCTACGTCTTCACAAATTTCGTCATCTTCATCTGATATCTTGTGGGTACCTTCTCCAACCCCAAACCAGTAGCGTTTGGTCAAGAAGAAGTAGAAGGGCTGGGCAATACCATAATCTCCAGGAAAGACGGCACTAATATACCATGCAGCTACAGAATACATGATGGTATCAACTGCCAGAGCGATGAGGACATGGAAGTACTGTATTTCAGTTCCTGAAATCGTATTTCAAATATTAAATAGAAAGTAAGATTAAGAGACTGAAGTTGCAAATAAACCCACCAAAGAACTTCATGTAGATGACACGATGAAAAGCTGCGTCAGTTTCCAGATTGGCCGTTGCCAATATTATAAAAGCATAGCCAATCGCACTTTGAGGTAATAACAACTGAAACAAAGGCAAGGTATAAGAATTCATAACAAGGTTCTGTAGATTCAAAACCAATATCTACCCGATAGTGATCACGATCTTGATTATTGTGATCAAAATGAATTATAATTATTTGGAAACAAGTTACTAATACCGTATAACAAAGAAAACTTACTGTAAAGATGAGAAAAGTCAAGTCGCCAGTGTTGAACGACAAAAAGAACGGTATGTAGAAGACGAAGAACATTAACGCTGTGCACGGTGTAGCCAAGTTGGCCCGTGAAAAGAATGTCGAGATGAATACACATTGGGCGGCACATGCTGTAGCGAAAGGAAACATGGTCAAGAACATCAGCCCCACCGACGCGTGCTTCATGATACCACCATACTAAAATAATATACTTTTAACACGTCTTAAAATCAATAATTAGACCTAATATTTATCATTTTGTAAGTATAAAATAGTCACAAATACGATAGTCAAAAATAGTAAACCATACCTTCAACATGACAACAATCAAGACAATGGCTACGGTATTCATCAGAAGTGTCTGCAGTGCCCACACCATCCAATGGATAACATCACCCATCCCCATGATCCTCATCATCTCCTTCAAGCGCATCTCCTTCTCATGGACAATGTTCTTGACCAGGAAACAAGCTGGTGTCATCCACAACAAAATTATGAATAGTGACAGGAACATGGTCACATCAAAACTGAAATCAAAACATCAAAATATAATTTCACATTACCATTTGTTACAGTATATTTATAGAATAGTAGACAGTAGTCATGACTTATATTATAGTACATCATGCTCAGACCAATATTACCCGTCCGGAACTAAATACAACATATGTATAAGACCTACGTATCCAACAGTACACATGGAAAAGGCTCTTGTTGCATCCTCAGCCCGTGTTCTACTGTAACATTAGTAGCATACTTGATCAGAGATCGCTCCAGGATGTCTTGCATAAACGCGTAGCCAAATGTCACATACCTGACATCGAAGAGTGGTCGATCTCTGGATTTCATACTGATTACGTCTCTATAGCGCTTCGTGCTGTCTACCAGAGAATGCTCGTATCGTATCTTGTACTTTACTACGTCCGGTATCTTGGTGGTCTGGTTGTCAAAGTCCTCGAATACAATACCAGCCATATAGTGAGATTCTTCAGTCAAACAATACGCTATCCTCTCCATCTCACTCTCGTCCGCAACGTATCTTATCCTATCCATACGAAGGCACTGAAATGTCATTTTAATTTAATATGACGTACTTAAAGTACAGTGTTATTCGTTTAGAGTTAATTTTACCTTAACATAACTTAAGTTCAAAATGTTTAACAGCAGATATACAACTCTGAAGATCTTTGTAACTTACGTCAGTGTTATTGTTGATGCTCGCTACCATATTCTTCATTATGATAAAAAGACCATTAGGGTTACTACTGTTCCCCAAAAGATCCATTACCAAGGTTTTAGTTTTCTCATCCCAATCCAAGACTTCTGCAATGTGCTATAAACGAACATATTAAAAGATAAACTAGTATAATATCGTATGCACAACCATTATATAACACCTATTCTTCGAATATCACGAAATTATAACTAAAATACACTGAAAACCTAACGTAACAAAAAAATAAATCAATCTTAAAAAACATTATACAACAATCTACAGTACCCCTACCTCGGCAGCCAATGGTAGATCTGACTCATTCAAAGCTGTCTGTAAATCTTCTGCTGTCATTTCAAAGTCGTGTAGTAGGTCTTTCCAGTAATTCCACTCCTTGAACTTGTCTTCCAACTCCCCCACTACCTGCCTCACCAATGGGGTGTCTGGAGATACCAGAATGTAGCCATGCACGACAGGTTTCACAAGCTTCAGGTTCATGAACTGATTGCTACAGTGAGGTACTAAAAGACTATAATCCACATACGGTACACTTACAATCGTTGACTATGATGTTATCACAGAATGTCGAGTTACCACCGTGAGCAGCCGGATTAGCTCTTCTGATGAAACTGTAGACATCTCTGAAGATATCCGAAAAGGCACCTGAGTTTACTTTTTCGTCAGGAGAATCTAGCCCAGCCGACTCTGAAACAGTCTGTATTACATCACTGTGATAATATATGACAACATTATTCAATATTAACCTTCTAATAACAAATAAAACATTTCTAAACTTTTATAACTAATTGGAACGGTATACAAATGTCGTACCACTGAAGTTTCCACAAAAGATCTTGTCCAAAGAAAAGTCAATAAAGTCCAGCTCCTTCCCTATTTCTTTCAGTTTTGAATTGACAGTAGAAGTCTTCAGAGAACTGGCATTCAGGCGTTGTAGTTCTGATTGATCGGCGACCGAGTACTAAAAAACCATAAATAACATACACAAGTTTAGATTGTAAAACGCTAATTAGAGTTGTCATACTATGAATATACCACCGAACTTAAACTCACGCTAAGTATCCTCAACAGGAGACCATCTGGGTCCACGTAACGCTGTAGATCCATACCTAACAGTATAAATGCATTTAGACACAGACTTGGCCTAGGCTCTGCTACCATACTCCAGTCAAAGCACATGTCCAGGAAGTCTTCTTCACAAAGCAAATGAATCGGGTTTCCCTTCGAACGCTACAAACAAGGTAGATACGTACACGTGGTTACTATATCTTACAGTATACGAACACTGTACCTCTCAGTTATAAATCATATATAAATAACATTGAACTGCTAATTTGTTAAATACAACACGTTATCCTTACCATGATCAAAGCACAAAGTGGCCATTGCGATGACAGATATAAGTTGCGAAACTTGTCATTATCAACTTCTTTATAGCCAAGGGCACTGAACAAAGCCGTCATGTCGTCAGATGAACGAAATAAAACAGAAAAAGGTATCCGAGCTTCGTTGAACCCGTCGTCAGGATGGGCGTAATGATGAATATACATGGCTGCCATCTTTATGGCCTCCGAGACTGTACTAGGAGTATTACCCAGTTCTGACAGTATCAGTGCCACATCGTGCGCTAACTTGATCAGTCTGAAAGTGTTCTCTGTAGAATTCTACGCACTTAACCAAGCTTTCAATATTAGATTCATTTGCTTTTTTTAAAGTTTTTCTGTTCCAAACATATAAATAAGAATAATAAATTTCAATTACAATATAAAAATCAATATTTATAAACAGACTTACATAGATTCCCGGTTCTCATCCTGAATATCGGCAAACTCATCATCAGTTGTGGTCCGGTTGTAACATTTATTAGAAAAAGAGCATAAGAACCCGTGTATAAATGGCAGCAACCCGGCTGACGGTAAGGCCCGTGCGTCATAATGGCCTAGAAAATATACAATAAAGTACAAAAAAGACTAGTAGTCAATTGTTATAAAGTTTCAATTGCATTGTTATGGAGTAATTTAAAATAAACTCACAGTGAGGATATATTGTAGTGAAATTTCGGGTTCTAATCAGTACAATTAAGAGAAACAACAGTAAAGGTACCAAAACTTCAACAGCTAGCAAAATCTAAAACCAAATATTTTAAAAAATATTTTTTGACACTTTTAACCTATTGTTATTATTTTTAACTTAAATAACTTTCATATTAAATACCGGCAGAAAGATCTACAAACATAAGACTTTGGCAAACCGTTACCTTTTTCTTCTTCCTTATCACATACGCTTTCCACAAGAGCAGCCCAAGCTGCTTTGTGAACGACACCATTACAAGTATGAAAAATGACTTAAAATTACTTGATTCGCCACTTTACCATAGGTATGCAAATTAGATTTGCATAGTTCTGTAAAGTTTCCTCCTGAAGTTCCTTGTTTCAAAAATGTTTTATTATGCTGACTCACTGAACTAACAAACTAACGCACTCCCAAACTACAATTACCTTAACAAGACGTCAAAACATTTGCATCTCCGTCTCTATTAGAAACGATTTACACACGTCTGTTAGGAAATTATAGTTTAATACCCACACATTGCCAAGTAACAGTGACTTACAACAGTAACCTACTCCGCATTAAATTACAGGTTTAAGCTTATAGATATTTTAAATATTCTGTGTTCGAGTCCATGCTTGCTCAAGGTCAATCTTTGTTCATGTTCCAATACTCTTTTTACATTTATTTACGCGAGCTGCCCACGGAAACTGAAAACTCGAGAGTCCAGACTCTATTTTATACGAAAGAACGTGTATCACAAAACGTTAACTTACACAATATCCTCTTACACCTTGTAGTTAGCTGGAGATGATGTTATAAGTCCAAAAAAAAGCTCAATCAATATCCGTTACCTTGTGAAACACCGTGTTCCAAATGAATTTGATTGTATTATAATGGTGTATGTGAACTTTATATAATGATCCATGTCTATGTTACTCATATGACATTAAAGTCAATGTATTATAACCCTTACACAATTGTTTAGGTCCGATCAAAACGTTATTAGGTCTGGCCCGTTTTAAAAAAAATTTAATTTTTTAAATCTGTAAAATGTTTAAAATTTAGTGTGGCATTGAATATTTAGACTATTATTGGTTATGGTACTCACAAGGAAAGTGCCCGACCTGCCCCGCTCTGATTGACTTCAAACTTTTAATATAGAAAGGTCATGTAAATATAAGATCTTCAGCAAAGTACTAAATCGCGCTTTCCAGGAAATCTCAAGAAAATCGAGATTGAAAAATGCCATTTTGAATTTCCCGCCAACTTGGCATTGTGTTTCAAGCTTGTAACTTTGTCATTTTTTGACTGTTAATTATTTTTCTTTAATATACTAGTAGATAACCTTTAAATGAACCTACATTTTTAAATTTGTAAGCGTATCTTGTCTGGAAAGCCGAAAAAAGTGCTTGAAACACAATGCCAAATTTGTCAAATAGGCGGGAAACCCAAATAATTTAAATTTAAAACTCAAGAGCGCGAGCTAAAATTTTTTATGGGTACTATTGGTGGTACAAAGAATTCATATAAAAATTTTGAGCTGATTCTGAGCGAGGCAGGTAGGGTACTTTCCTTGTCAGAAAACCCAAAAACTACTTACGGGAATTGAAATAAAAAACTTCAAAAAATTTTTAAGGCACGGACTGGTTCGCACTTTACTCAAGCCCGACCCGGATCAAACCGGGTCGGCCCTTTGCTCATGTCTACAATTGTTCCGACAGACTAATTCGATCTTGATCAAGCTTGATTATTTTTTTTTGATTTTTATAATTAATATTTTGGTCTCGCAACGAAAACGAAGAATGCCACATAGAAATAACGAATACGGTAAAAAAGGAAAAACCTCCTTTTATTTTTGAAGTTGAATAAGATTTTGGTTTTACAATGTTTTTTGTAATTATAGTAGCGTATATGTGATTTTTTCGTGGTTTAGATGCTGTAGCTATATTACGCGAATTGTCTTTTCTTAGTTTTTATAAGGTTGGAATGGATTTAACAGTATTTATTGTTTCAGGGAAAAGCAAATATGGCTGACGACGCTGCCAAGAAGAAGAGAACCTTCCGTAAATTCTCCTTCCGTGGAGTAGATCTTGACCAACTTTTGGACATGGATAGGTATGTTTCTAGCCTTTTTATTTTTTGGGGTTTAGGCAATACATTGATAAAAGAGTTGTCTTTCCTATTTTCTTGAAGGAACTAGGGATTTTAAATATGAATATTTAAAATAAAAGCGTCTAGCTTTGCGAGTTTTTGCTACAGTTTTTACCAATAAGATTTTTTGCTGTAAAAACTTATTACAGTCAAATGTAGCCCTTTTTGAAAAGCGTTGAATAATGTTTGTATCAAGATTTTTGAATTTTTGCTTACTTATTAGATTAAATAAGGTTTTACTAAAGAATTTGTTAGGCAGGTTTAAAAAACATTACAACGAACCTTGTTTTTAACATTTTCAAATAAGTCTTTGATTTCAGACCTACCTTCGCCAAGATGTTGACAGCTCGTGCCCGCAGACGCTTGAACAGGGGCCTCCAAAAGAAGCACCGTGCTCTCCTTCAACGATTGATCAAGGCCAAGAAGAACGCCAAGGAATTGGAAAAACCAGCTTGCATCAAGACCCATCTTCGTAACATGTTGATCTTCCCCGAGATGGTCGGATGTGTTGTCGGAATTCACAGTGGACGCGCCTACAACCAAGTCGAAATCAGGGCTGAGATGATTGGCTACTACTTGGGAGAATTCTCAATCACCTACAAACCAGTCAAGCACGGTCGACCAGGTATTGGTGCCACTCACTCTTCTCGTTTTATCCCTCTCAAGTAAATGTTAATTGTTGTTTGCTGTTATAAAACTCTTTATTATATTCGGTTCGTTTCAAGCTCTTTACAATATAAAATAGTGAAATTTGCTCTAAATAGTACATTTAGAATACAGTGACTAACATAAGTAAGATAAGTTTAAAGGATTTGGATGTAGTTGTCAATCTTGGCTCTGTGTCGTTGTGCTATGCATTCGGCAATCCAGATTATGTTCCTCATCTCTTGTTCCTTTAGTTTGATGAAGGCGTAGAACACGCCGAAGTGAAATTGGTGAAGATACGACTGTACATTTAGCTTGACCTGAAAGACATACGTCATACATTTCTAGAAAACAAAATATTTTAAAAAGACTTAACTATATAAATATTAGTTTTCCTTACTTCGTATTCGAAGAATTTGTCTTCCAAAGTCTTTTCTCCTGGGTTCACACCACTGCCTTCGAACAGAGCTTTGTAGTCAGAGTAATATTCACAGACTTGTTTGACTTGGTCGTAATCATCAGCACGAGCGAGGCCGGCTAAACCTTCTGGGTAAAGTTTTCCGCAACGTGGGTACAACTTGGCACGGTCGTCTTTGGCCAATTCAGTGTCAAAACTGTTGATAGTGATGATAATGGCTCTTCTGTCGGCTTCGAACTAAAAAATGAACATTGTATTTCCGTTTTTTAACAAAGACAAAAATTTCCACGAAAACTTACAGCCAAAATTTCGCACATTACTTCGGCCGTTTTACCACCAAGGTTTTTACAGAACTTGAAGAAATCTTCGAGATAGGCTTTGTACAAGGTGTTTCTGATGATTTCCACGTTCATCTCATCCAGATCTTGTTCATTTATACAGTCAACAAAATAAGGGGCTAAAAATACAGAATAAGATCTAAATTTAAAGACTTACCCAATGGAGTATCGACCAAAACAGCATTGTAAAGTTCAGCTGGAGTCGAAGCAATATGAATGGCCTCCATCTGTTCAAAAGAACCCAGTGGATGACACTTGGAAATAAGTTCGTTAATCGGGCGTTGATGCAACGTTCCCGTAATCAATAAAATTATGTTATCGATCATGTATGAATAACTGAAAGAGTAAACAATATTGATTACCTTATAATCCTCATTTTAACTAAATATTAAAAAATTTTTACAAAAACCTACGTAATATAGTCCAAGAAAGTTGACAAAGGTTCTAGTGAATTATTTCTGAGATGTGTGAACTCAGTAACCAACTTCTCCTTGAGTCTCTCATCAATAACTTGCACAGTAATGTTTCCTGGCTCATTGGCCAAAAAATTTCCGTAGTCAGTTGACTGAATGTGAAGCTTCAAGTCTAAAAACAGAAATAAAAAAAAAACAACTCTTACCTTCCAAAGTTTCACATTGCACCAAGTTTGCGTAGTCAGTAGAGGTCAGAAGACCGGTCTTGAAGCCACGGATTAAAGCCTCCAGGTAGCCATGATCAATATTGAACAAGAACTCGCCCATCTTAACTGATATCTACTCGATTAGATATCTTTCCCTTGGCTCCGCAGCTTTATCGAAGAGCGAAAACTAAATATTTTCGGTCGCATCGATCTTTTGCTTTTGCAAACGAAATTTTCGTGGCGGGACCTAGAGAAGTAGCCATGTTGGATGATTAACAACGTTATTCGCGCAGATAAACATCAAAATAGTTTTAAAAACATGTCGTTTTAAAAATCCGTCAAAAATAGACATCAAAAATATTAAGGTGGAGCAAAAAGTATGGTTACCTTAGTAAAACAAAAGTAAGATTTTTTATAGTTTATAGCAACAATTTGTCAACAAATGTATACTCTAACATCGTCAGAGAGTTTTTATAGTAATTATTTTAAAAAATTTCTGTTTCTGAGGATAAAGAATGGCATCCCTGATAGTTCAACAACTGACCACCAACCACAAGAATATAAATATTATACGCTCGTCTACAAATGCCGTCATCTCGAGGCCATTAATTAAAATGTAAATACAACTGTTTTCGATAAACCCTGAGGACGTTCTTAAACTTCCACGAGATTGATTAAAAGCGTTTAACCGGCGTCACTTGTGAGAAAGAGAGGCTTTTCTTTATCACTTTGTTGCCATTTCAGAGACTTTTCCTTCATGTCCACACAGATTATCAGTGTCTATTTGGCCGATGGAACGTTCCGCAATGTCAGAGTGGACTCGTTTACCACGGTTCAGGTGAATTCTCGCTTTAGTAATGTAATTAAAAATCAAGTATCGCAAGAAATGACATTTTTAAACGTAACCAATTCTAGCGGATTCTGCACGTTGTGCTAGACGGCCTTGGGATAGACCGTCTATCGTTTGGCCATTTCGCTCTCAGATTGTCCACATTTCCAACCGGTCCCGGGTCTACAGTATCAGATATACGATGGCTACATTCCTCGCTTCGGATGCCTCAGATCGTGCAACGGTATCTGAATCCGTTGAGCAGCGGCTCGCAGATGAGATTCGAACTACGAGTACGTTTTATTCCCAGCGGCCTCTACGAAATGTATCAAACCCAATTGGCAGCTTTTCTGTACTTATACGACCAGTTACTGAGCGACTATGTTCTCCATGTTTCGTGGAAGATCAGCAAAGACAAGGCTATTTATATGGCTGCGTTAGCTATCAGGAAGAGACTAAAACATTTGAACAGGTAGGCGATCAATATCTGTGTACAATTGATAACTTTTAGTAACAACCTCGAGAAGAAGTTTGACTTTAATGCCCTTGAAGAAGACGGTGGGCTAATGTCGTTTCTTCCAGAATCAGTCATCGTTGGAACACCGGTGAGTGTAATATATTATATCACAATTGTTCATAGGTTACTAATGATACTCCCCATACAATATGTTGGTCAAACAAAATAAAGCTTGTCAAAACTGCCATTTTAGAAAAAGCAGATGCAGAAGTTGTTACTGTCAGCCCTCAAGAAGGTGATCAAACTGTCAGAAATCGAATGTGTTTTCCAATTTATGAAAAACCTGATGAACATCGCCAGGTTCGACTCTGAAATCTTCAAAGTATTTTTGGGGGTAATTATATTGTCATTTTATATTGTGGTATCGTTTACGTATTATACATTTGATTTCAGGCCAACAACATTCGACCGGTCGAGTTATATGTTGGGCAACATTACGGAGTAGCTTATAAAAATGAAAATACAAAAGAAGTAAGTTTAAGGAGCCTTTTGGAGGATAATACGCAGGTTAGTGAACAAAAATTAAAATTTATATAAAAAGGCGTTAAATGCAAAATGTAAGCATATTTTGTTTTCAACCCATGTTTACTAAATATATGTTACGTAAGTGAACGTACTTTACATTTCACTCTAATATTACTGTTTTAGCCTGTTGTTTTGGCTGAACTTAGAAACGTGATTGATATATCTGTTCGGAAGGTGGACTTGAAGAAGGATCACTTCATAATCAAGATTAAAATAAGCGGAAACTCCTCGCCTCTCCTGATTACGGTAACTACAGGAGAAATGGCAGAATCCTTGGCTCATTTAATAGATGGATATCAGATGCTGCTAAGTCAACAGGCATCTGTGTGGTCGTCTAGAGGTAAGAGTATATCTATATTAAGTTGTTTGATAACATGAATCTACAAGTCTTAAACTTTAGATCTCCGAGACACATTCTGGATGAACGGTTGGAGATCAGAATCCCCAGCTACACCGCCCACGATGTCTCCACTGGCACCCAGAAGAGGCATCGTGAAGTCAGAAGTTGGTGAAAACTCCCAGATTGGAGCAGATACCAAGTCTTTGCTCAAGGAAATTGAGATAGATCCTCAGAAGATCTTACTTGAGAAGCTACTAGGTAGTGGACAGTACGGTAATGTGTATCAGGGGATACTACAACTAGAGAAACGACAGATTACTGTGGCTGTGAAGGTGTGCAAAGAACATAACAGTGATCCACAAACTTCTAACAATGTGCTCTTGGAAGAAGCGTGTAAGTAAGAGTAGTGTACTTTTGTGTACTGTAATTTCGCATCAAAACAGAAAAAGACCAATATTGACAAAATTCACAAAATTAAAAGCCAACAATGTTTTAGACACCATGTCCCAGTTCTGGCACCCCCATATCATCCACATCATAGGCGTATCAGTACATTCTACCGTGTGGGTGGTGATGGAGATGATGCAGATGGGAGAGCTGCGACAATACTTGAAAAGAGAAGGACGACATATCAGTGTGACAACACAAGTTTTGTTTTGTAAACAAGTAGCTTCAGCGTTGTGTTATCTTCACTCCAAACAGTTTGTACATAGAGATATAGCCGCGAGGAATGTCCTAGTGGCCAACAATTGTTGTGTCAAGTTGTCGGACTTTGGAATGAGTCGACTGGTTGAAGAAGACTTCTATAAATGTAAGTTGAAAAGTAGAACCAATTAACAAAGTCCAACTACCAAAAACCTTAACTAATATCAAGTTCGAATCAGACCGCCCGGTCTAAAAGGAAAAATTTTCCACAGTCTATAATTTTATCCAGATAAGCCCATAAAATCACAAAAAAAAATGTAACCGTATTTCCGACCTTTACGAGCCTTTAACCGACAATTTTCAGCAAGTTGTACAAAACTGCCCTTAAAGTGGCTACCACTAGAATCCCTAAACTTTCGTCGTTTCAATGCCAAAACAGATGTATATATGTTGGCAGTGTGCTTCTGGGAGATATTCTCGTTGGGTGAAAAGCCGTGGACTCAGATCAAGAACCAAGACTTGTCACGACATCTGGAGGAGGGCAACAAACTCTCTCAACCTGACTGTTGCCCCTTTCAGATGTACCATTTGATGGAGCTGATGTGGGAGCTGGATTCTGACAAACGCCCTGTCATGAAACAAGTCTACGCTGTGATCTGTTCGGTGATTAAGAAGACCAGCGGTCGAGTATGTCCAGGATCTGCGCCAAATTCCCCTGCCGTTCAGATGAGAAAACACGCACGAGATGTGAGTCCATGTCTTTACAATATAAGTTGTGGTAAAATAATGAAATTGCCTATAAGCTATAATATTTAAGAAAATCATAACAAAAAAGTAAAACATAAATGTGAATTTAGAGCGCTCTTCGTGCAAGTTTGTCCAGTTTGACACTTTTCAAAGGCCATGGAAACGAACTGACAGATCGAAAAGTAAGTAACAGTAGTCATCACCTCATAATAAACAATATTAATCATAACCCGTCCCATTTCAGTACAGTTTCGAAAACAACTTGAGCACAGTGGATAAAGACCTCGTGTTCTGTGCCGTTTCTGATGTTCTGAACGCCTTGAGAGATCTGCAAGAGAACAAAAGGTCAGAAGATGTCAACATGTTGTTAAACACTACAGAAGTAAGTTGAAAACATTCTAAACCTAGACCTATCGAAAGTCTATAGATAAAAACTTCTCCAAGCTAATCAAGGTCGACTAGTACATAAATTATTCTTTTTTGGGAATCTCACAAAAGAAAATCTTGACACATTTTGTTTCCTACGTCAAGTTTACCTTTTTTTATCAAATTTGTTGATAACAAGTTTCAACATCGAACTACCAATATATTTTTTAGAAATTGTTGTTTTTGTTGCAAGAACTCTTGGTGATCAGCACTCCCCATCTGGCCCTACTGGATCAACCTATGAAGAGCAAAGTTCACGAAGCTGTAGAACTTCTCAACGACGATTGTGACGTTCTGAAGCAATTCATTCAGCTAATGACACAAGAAGAAGAAAACGCCAATATCAACACTCAGATAGAGGTACTCTCGACTTTCTCGAGAACCCTCAGGGCACATACTCAAGGCTTCTGGAACACGTTCCATCTGGCCAGAGTACGATCTAATCTACCCCTCACATGAATCTCATTTCAGATGTATATTTATGATGTTGAAGCACATAAAGAGTGACTTTAATTCAGTGTTGTGATAGAACTAAGGCAGTGGTCTGTTCTTGACTCCGGCGAACAATCTGTCGTGCGTCTCCAGAATCGTCTTCCTGGCTTCGCTCCACGGCTTCGGACCATTGAGACGGTAGTTGTAGGCAGTGTCTAGACCAAAGGCTACCTTCAAAGCTATTCTTGGGTCTGTAAGGAACAGTTTTCGAAGTCTTGGAGTGCATCCGATAACATCACCTAACTCTGTCATGAACTCCGTGTAGTCGACTTGTAGTGTGTGTCTGGTCGACTTCGTGTAGCGTCTGGCCATCAGGATGTCTGCTTGATTGATGTCGTGCAGCATTTCGCGTGGAGATGGTAACTTGACGTTACCTGAGATTATTTCGAAGAAAACTCTAGCTTGCATCTCGGCAATTGGCATCACAGAGCCGACTGGCTGGAAATTAGATATTAATAACTTTTCGAAAACTATTTCTTTAATCTATAGTTATATATTAGTTTTTTGTATAAAAATATGTTGTACCTGGAAGAATCCAACCATGGCCAGACTGTTGTGAGGGTGAAGATGGATGGGGAACATTCTCTTCCACAGTTTGCTGTTCGGCTCAATTACATTGTCTTTGACTGGGATCAGCTTTCCGTTCTCGATTATTCTGAAGTCAAACTGCCATCCAGTGCCCAAGACTAGTGTGTCGACGTTCTTCACAACTTCACCGTCCTTGAATTTGATGTCGGTTTCTGAAAATATCCGATTAGGTATTGAATATTAAGTTTGTTGATTGTGATATTGATGAAGTTGCTTCTTTAACTGTAAGTAATTGATTACCCGTGAATTCCTCGATGTCTCCCTTCACCTTTACCAGACCACACATGAGTTTTCCTGAAACATGGATTGATTACAGTAAATTGGAGATATTTGTAAACATATAAGATACCATTTAACGTCAATTTCAACGAATAAGCTCTTTATATATTCAAATACTCTCAGAAACACTTACCGTACATCTCATCAGAAGTGGCAGGTTGTTGTTGCATGATACCGTGCTTTGGCTGTAGACCGTACTTCTTGTGGTTGAACATTATGTTAGTGTATCGTTCGGCCGCCCATGAATAGAAGGCAGGAGCGATGCGACGGACCCATGAGATGACTCTTCTGTTCAGAAAGGCATCTATCGGGTATCCGAAAGGTCCCACCTTGTTCAAGACATATCCTCCCTTCCTAGTCGACAGGTACACTTGTTTGGCTACCCGAGCTGAGTCTGTAGCCACATCCAGAGCCGAGTTACCCAGACCCATAACGACAACTGTCTTGTTCTCGAACCCTTCATTGTGCTAAAACACCATACTTATATTTTAGGTGCTAAACTACCTTTTACGGTAATACATATATAAATAAAACATACAGTAATATTGTAAAAGCTTTACCTTGTAGGTGTGAGAGTGGATAATTTCGCCTTTGAACTTCTCTTGACCCTTGTATGGAGTAGGCAGGTTGGGTTTACTATGATGACCAGTAGCCAACACAACATACTCGAACATCTCCGTTTCTTTTTCTCCCTTACTGCAATATTGTCATAGTGACATTATTTACCTTACCTGTTTTGGAAATTGACATCCCAGTTGCCACTTTTGTCGTAGTCCTTGGCCCTTTCGATCTGAAGCACCTTGTGGTTAAGGCGAACATGTGGAGTTACATCGTAATGTTTGGCGTAGCTTTGGAAGTAGTCAAGGCATTCTGAAAGTTTTATAAAATACCGAAAAATGTTAAAAATAGTTTTATATACGGTAATATAATACAATATTCCTCTTACCTCGCCACGGCATAAAAGGAGCTCGAGACCTTTCTGGGGGGAAGTCAGAGTAGCAACTCAATTCCTTGTTGGTGTTGTTCACGGTGAAGTTCATCACCGTGCCAAACTCGGTGTGTCCAGGTTTGTAGTTCCACAGGCCCCCAACCGATTCTGTGCCTTCAAAGACAACTGGCTTGAAGCCATATTGCAAAGCCCACCTAAAACAACATAAATTAGATAATTTTACTTCAACTGTTTTATTATAATAGTAACTTATTATCAATACCTATTACAAAATTGTAAAAATTTTTTATTTTTTGAATTTTTCAGATTTTTTACGAAAAGGTTACTGTGCCAAGACAGAATTTCGAAAATGTATGTAGGAATACAAAAGAAGAAGTACTCTGATCAACTTACTTGGCGGTAGGCAGTCCAGAAGGGCCAGCACCGACGACGCACACACGCTTCAACATTGCGAATGAACTTTACAGAGTTGAAATGAACGTTTCCATTACTGATCTTTCGAAACACAAAAATTGCTGGGAAAACGGTTTCAATAGACTTTTAAACTGCATAAACCGCTAGCTAAAAAACATAAGAGGTACTGATAAGTTTTATCACTAAGTATAGTCTGGAGCATAATATTAAAACTTTTGAAATTTTTAAATTTATTTTGAGTAAAAAATTTAAAATTTTAACTTTATTTTTATTTAAAATTTTCAAAACTTTATCTGTTGTCCAGTGTTAATATTCTGTTATCAATAGAATTACCCAATGTTCTCAATAGTAATGTTAACATTAAGTGCCTTTTAAATTGTGCCCTGAGGAAAAGCAAATTAATTCCAAATGAGCGATAGCCGTTTTGGCCCAAAAGTCCTCAGAAGGATAAGTTCGCGGCCGACCAGCTGGCCTTGTTTTACCTGCGCAGTTCATTAAAGGGCGGTTTTGGTTCTTTAATTTGCAAATCCCTTTGTCGCGTTGCTGGGGACCCAAGAGTTAGGTAATACAAAATTTTAAACTTTTCCATAATTTTTAATTTAAGCTTGGAGGTTTAGTTCCAGGTATCAGTATAAAAAGTGAGTAAAATCTCCCTGTAAATTGTTAAAATCTCTTTGTGATACCCTTAACCTCAATTGTTTTACAAAATACTTTATAAATTACTTTTTTTGGGAGAAAAAATACCACCCACCCTTTTAAAAAAATATGAAAAAAGATTAATTACTCCAAAAAATTTTTTGTAATTCCTTGTCGCGTTTCACTAATTTTTCAAATTTGTCAGACGAACTATTACAGTAAAAGAATATTTCGAGGGTGGCTATTAATCAAATCAGTTTTTAACTTTTGAGTCTAAAATTATCAACCTTAAAAACAAATAACCATTAAAAGTGTTACCTAATCTTTTCATTTTCAAAAGAATTTACATAACTTTGGCTTCTGTCTATCCGAAACATCTGATATGTTATTCAACGTCTTCCCATACATTTAGCTGTCGTTACGTTCGAGTATGGTCGGAATTGCAACATCGGAAACGGTCGAATCCACTCCTCATCATCTGTCAGCCCTTAAGGCCAATCTGTGACAGCGACCCAAATGGGTCACTTTCTGTTTTTGAAGCGCGCATTCTTTGTGCTTAAGGGCACTTAAATTGAACTCGGGCAGTCAGCATGGTGTCAGAAATAGGTTCTGGCCTCAGTTCCCTTGCCCCCATATTGATACTGGAATGGTCCTCCTTTATGTGGCCGAGTCTTTATTTCTTTTGGCCAAAACTCAATTTAAGGCCTTCTTAATGTAATCAAGCCGTAGCCAAGACGTTTTTTGTGTAGTTATGCAGATAAGAAACCCGCCCTCCGGCTATTTTCTGTTTGTTTTCTCGACTTTGGGTGTTTGCTTTCTGGTACTATATTGAGGATGTCTAACAACATCACGCCATTTTTCGTCATTTTATACGTCTTTCTATATTTATATATCTGACTATACCTTTACTACGCCGTTTTGCAAAACTGTTTTGTTCGAGTATTGTTTACTTGGCTTCCCCCGTTGAAAAAACAATTTACCCACCCAATTATAACATAAACGTGCCCGCCCCCACCAGATTTCGCGCGCTTCTCAAATCCCTGGAAGGAAAGAAATGCCGTTCTAGATCTGGTTGTGTGATGCTCAGAATTGGCCACTCCTTGGCCATTTAATTCCCGTTCTGTTTCCCGCACTTCATTTTGATGGGAAATGTTGGGATGCATCTTGTTATTCTTGCTTTGTGGCCATATTTCAGCAATTAAAGTAAGTGGCGGCATTATCAGTTTTATGTTTATTACTTTGCTTTTATGAGATTGAAGTCATAAAGCGGTAATCTTGCAGACATACACAATATGCTCCACCCTGAGGCCATGGAGTATGGTAGCGGATCTCGTTCACGACCAAGTATCGTACCCAAACGAGCACCTGCAATTGTTAACCCCATCCAAATTCACAATTTCAAATTCCCAGTTGTACCTGACTGAAGATGCAGAGCCAAACACAGAAAACCGGCTAGAAATACTGGCAGTGGATGATGACTTTAACGAGCGTATCCTCGTCATTTATGTACATATCTGGCATCGGTACGTCAATTACTATGTCTTTAGCCATGCCCAGTACCAAATAATTATGAGCTTTTAATATTTAACCAGATTTGAGCTCCGTGCATAATATATGACATTTTAAGAGATATTATCTATAATAGATGTCTATCATAACATATTCCCCTACAAACTAATTTCCGAAGCATATATCATAGTTTGCATTCATTTACCGTCACTTTCAGATGCCAGATTAGGTTTCCAAAAGCGGAATATCACGCTAAAATTACGAATGTCAAATTGGATTTGGGCGTCGTAATGACAGAGAATATGCAAATTAAACAATTATCCGGCCCCGCCGTTTATATAGCTCAAGATGACTCAGTTACGGTGAGGATTGCGTAACGCCAAATTACTTTTTAGGTTTACGAAAGCGGCAGAATCCACTTGGGATTGTACGATGACGACGCATTGGCCAGCGTAGCGGTCATTAACGTCGCATCAAAGCAAGAAAAACAATACAATATAGCACTGGGCATCGCACACAAAGACGAGCCGTTAATTAAGCTACCGTACGTTATTTTTGTCCGTAATTATCGTCATGCAAAACATACAAATGTATCGAAAACAACATAAATAACTACATTATTATCAGATATACTCATAAAAGGTACAAATATTACTTTATATTATTTTAGAAACAACAGTAACTATCTTTTACAATCATCACAACTGCCTTTTTACATAAAGGATAATACCTTGTTTTCTGCCAGAAACCTATTAGATGGACAATATAAATTCATGCTTAATGGTCAACCACCGGTAAGAAAAAACTTGTAATATAAGATATAACAAATTTAGGCCAAAGTAATCATAAATATTGGTAAGAAACACAAAAGACGACCAAGAACAGTGACTACATCGTACCTGGACGAAGGTATTCGAGGTCAAGACCTGAACGTATTCATCAAGGAGAACTCTCCATTTAAAGTGTTGAAGGAGGCGAGTTCTTCAATTTTAAAAAGTTGACTTTCAATTCTTATCATTCTGTTTTTGTATTTATAAATGTTTCTTATTGTCTATTTTTATTAGCTTTCTTGCTATCTACGTTGTTTAATTTTGAATGTGAAACTAGCCAAACGTTTCACAACTCATCGAATTGCGTAATAAAACCCGGTTGCAGAAAGTGCCCTTAAGTCAAGGAGAGCAAATTGAATCATATTCCGGATCCGGCCCTTTAATGGTGCGCCAAGACGGCTCGCTGGAATTAATCCAATCTTTGAATTTCGAGACCCAAAACCAGTTCCAAGTGCAAGTGCAAATCTCTGGAGGTGGGTATTTTTTTAATCCAATTGCGGACTCCTTCTGCTCGCCCGGCTCTTCCCCTCGGGCGCTTTAGGCCGGAAATTACTCTTGGCTCAAAACCATTTCATTTGGGCCAAGAATGGCGTCGGCCAAATTACAACAGAGCGAAAGGCATCGATTCGATACAAAGGGTGGATACCTGCTGTGATTCCGAGCTAATTATAAACGGTCACTCTATTAAGGTCATTACAAGCCTATTCAGCACATACAGATGCAACAATAAAAAACAAAACATTTAGGCAGGACACATGTCATTCATGTCCATGTTCTTGATGTACCCGAGCCCCCCGCCTTCCTCAACTCGCCCGTACCATTCAGAGCAGTCATACCTAACAATGCACCTGTTGGATACAAGTTGTACGAGGTAGATAAAATTAAATGGAAACATTAAAATACATTAAAAAAATTTAATAATTTAAAAAATGCATGTTACCATAATAATAAGACATTATACAATAACACAATTATTTCAGTTTACTGCGCGAAATGAACGTGGAGAAGGTGACAACAATGTGCACTACGAGCTTATCAATACTGAACGTAAGCCTTTTTACAAAACTTTAACAAAGACAATAAAAATAATGTCACCCAAAGTCCGAACCTTAAAATTTCAGCAAAATATGCGTTCACTGTTGATAAGAATACTGGTACTGCTCGAACAGCATTACACACCTACAACAAGTCCCAAATCTACAGAGTATTTGTGCAAGCACATAGTAGACATAACGCTACATCTGTAAGTAAAGCGAATTCTACTTTGATTTCCAACATTAACAACATTTGAAAACAATCAAAGTGTTTATTCAAAATGTATTTTAGAAAAGTGAAATCGCGGTTTTGGAATTGTTCGCAGATGACCTTCCACCACAGTTTTCACAGCCAATGTATTCAGTGCTGATATTAGAAAACACGACTGCTGGCACAAGGTAAGGCTCAAACATTACCACATCTCTGTAAAGTTCCGCCACAAAATAACTCATCACGTTACTTTCAGCATCGTACAACTAAAAGCCCATGAATTCCCGTCAGTGTCAGATCTACGGAAAAAGTCTCCGCCAACGTTCTCGTTAGCTTTTGAACATCAAAACCCCTACTTCAGTATCCATCCACTAACTGGAGTGGTTACTTTAGTCAACGAAATCGACTATGACAAGATGGGACAGTCCAAGATATTCAAACTGATCGGTAAGTAACAATACTGCATAATATTTTCCATTCTTATACATTGAGAACTTCAATAGAATTAAAAAGCCAAATAGTTTGACAAAAGTTCCAATACATTAAGCCCTAGCAAGTATAATATGCATACTCATTTCAGGAGTTGTTACCCAAGAAGGCAGAGAAAGCAAAGTGCCATTAGATGTCATCATTACCGATGTCAATGACAACAAACCAGTGTTCACTCAGTCACTTTACACAGCTGTAATCAAAGAAGATGTCACTTCAGATACCGTGATACTAAAAGTCAACGCTACAGACGCAGATGACGGTCTCAATGGGCACATCGACTACTCAATTGATAACCCCAACTTCAGAATCTCGGAATCTGGAGA